CTCCCTTGTTCGTTCCCGCTTTCCCTATCCATCCTTCCTGCCCTCTCAGCCCGTCTACCCTACGCACGTAAGAATCATGCCTCTCATCTAAACGAAATCCTTTGCTTCGTGTGCTTTTTCCTGCTTGCTTTTAGTTCTCTCTGTGGAGACGCGCAAGGCATTTCTCTGTGGCAAAGCAACAAAAGGTTGCAACACTTGCCGACAACGAAACAGCACAACCATTGCAACCACCATTTTCCCCATTAACCCTTCATCGGAGAATTTATTGCATCCTTTTTCCGCCAGACCCTGCTTGCAGCTACGTATCAACTCTATTTCTTGCTACACTGCTAACACTTTCCCTTTTGGCGATTTCTGATTTGCCAGTTTTTGCTTGTCCGCTTCTTTTGCTTGTGGTTCGCGTCGTTTGACGTTCCACGGTTCGAGTGACTTGAGAATCGCATTGTGATTCATCACTCTTTTCGTGCGACAAGGGAAAAGGTGATGATTTGTTTGAGTGCAAGTGATGGTAGAGTACAAGGATGCCGATTGCTGATGCTGCTCGAAACTCTATCCTCCACCACACTTGCCCAGCTTATCCACTTAGGCCTGTGATGATAAGCACACCTTGGAATTGCATACAGCACGTGTATATCTTTCATGGTCGCACCTGACCTATCGCGTTTCGTCGTCACGATCACTGATCGTTTGGTCGCGATGGTGGGGGCCGCCGGCCGGTATACAACAAGACCCTCGTGTGGAGCATCCTGTATCGAGAACCACCACATGGTGCTACTCGAAGAGATACGTGGACAGTACTCAAGCACGTGCATGTATTTTTCTCTTTTCTGACATCGCTCTTGCATCTCGAGACCAGTGTTTTTGTTGCAACGCTAGGCCGTCGGCCTGGACGACCGACTCTCACTGATGCAACATGTAGAGAGGCATGCTCTATCGCAAACCACAGTGCTGCTCTGCTATGCTGTAGAGCATTGGCGCACTTGCCCACGTGTGTTTGTCTATGTCACATCCGACCTATCGCTGTTCTCATCCTTATAGGATATATTGCAACAAAGGAGGCTGTGCGAGGCTCGGAATGTCATTCCTCGAACCCACGTGCTCGGTGTTTATTGGAAGATGTGAACGAGGGTTCTCGCTCAAGCATCGTTCATCAAGAATCGAGATAGCAGAGCCAGTCGACCATGTTGGTGACTGTTTTGATATTGGCTAAGCATTCTTTAGCGATGATGGTTTTGAGAGTGGGATATGGAGGTCAGGGTGACATGCTTAACGATATATCAAAGACATGAATAACATTAATGAAAGCAAAAACGAGCTTGCAGATTGGGAATTTGCTAGAATTGTATCTTAGAGAGATGGGAATTTTGTGTCTAGAATCTGCTAAAATAATACGATGCGTTATGGTTGAGATATGTTGCCAACTCCATCTGGAGCAATTATCCTCCAGGGATACTACCAAAAACTATACAGCCACTAGTCTACAACTTCTTGCTACTGACTTCACGTCTGGTCCTATGGTTGTCTCTTGAGGCCCCTCAATATCATCCGGTACTGAGCCATGCACACGGTGACTGCTGGAGCATGATGGCCGAATCAATGACACTTCCTGGTTCGAGTTCTAATATCAGGATTGAAGATGACGGTCTTTCACATTCACGATCGTAACCCACGTAGACAACACCATAGAGAATAGCGTACTACATGACCAGGATGCAACATCCCAGTAAAACAGTACAAAGCTTTAGGTAAATCACCGGGCACAGTACAGGACGAACGATTTTAAGTAAAACTTCTATTCTTTTGATTGATAAGGCATGATGGCTAGCAACGCAATCTAAACGTTATGCTTACAAACGCCCAAACTCGTCATGAAAACTCCGTGTCCGCCATGATTAGCATGCAGGACTAAAGACTGATGAAAACACAATTCTTTCTTTTGGGGTGGCTCCGTACCAGGAGAACCATGAAACGCCGGGAAGACCAGAAAAGGCTTGAAACAAAAAGCACGAAGAGGGTATCATCATCTACCAGCGAGAGTCACGACCAAGGGGGAGCGTTGTTGGAGCTGGTGAAGCCGCCACCACGACCGCGGCCACCGCCACCACGTCCACGACCACCGCCCCAGCGGCCGTGGCCACCGCCGCCACCACCGTAGCGGACCATCTCAGCAAGACGGGGGTCGATGTTCTGCTTAGCCTCGGCCAGGACGTTAACAAGGTCGCGAGCCTGCTTGGAGTCTGGAGAATCATGTCAGTTGATATTCTGTGATATGGTCAAAGACGGGTAAAAACTCACTCTCAGTGGTGAAGAAGGTGATGGCGGTACCCATGGCACCTGCACGACCGGTACGACCAATTCTGTGAATGTAATCCTCAGAGTTGTTGGGGTAGTCGTAGTTGAGAACGTGGGTAATGTTGCGGACATCTTTAAAATTAAGGGTTAGCATGTCTGTTGGGAGAACAGTGTGTATCAAAAGCGAGCCTTTGTCGGTCGCGTAATCTGATGAAGAGGTGTGCAATAGTGATATTGACAACACTCTGTGCGCTCCATAGGAGTCGAAGCTTTGTGGGAAAAGCAGATAGCAATCATAGCAATCACATGTCACAGGCCGTAGAAGATATCATGCAGGATATCTTCGAGGTCCTACCGTCTCGGATGCCTTGGAAGCGCGTAACAAAACTACAATGCAGCGCTGCGCGGCGAAAATACCTGCATCTCACTCTCTACTGAGCAAAAGGCGCGCAAAGCGCAAAGTAGAGGGCGAGAGGTACGATGCGAAGCCAAAATGAAAAGACAAAGGCCTCGAATCGAGCAAGTTTCTCCCAAGGATCCGGAGTAAGGAACCAGTAAACTGGACGGCCTATAAGGAACATGGTTACGTATGCAAAGGCGCACGAGTGCTCGGCGTAGAGCACCACTTTCAGATCACGCAAGTGCGAGCAATGGGGGAGGGGAGAATTGGCAGTGTAGTGGAGGACAGGGGAAGGGAAGGTGTTGTGAGTGATGGAGAGGGGGGTGTTCAATCATACCGATACCACGCGAAGCCACATCAGTGGCAACCATGATGGGGCTCTTGCCCTGCTTGAATTCGTTGAGAACCCAGTCACGCTCCTGCTGTTGCTTGTCACCGTGAATGGAAAGAGCTGGCCAGCCGTCTTGTCTGAGGAAGCGAGTGATTTCGTCGGCGACACGCTTGGTGCCAGTGAAGATGAGGCACTTGTTGTCCTTGTCCTCCATGATCTTCTCGAGGTGCTTGATCATCTTGTCGCGCTTTTCGAATTCGGAAACAACCTCGACAACCTGGGTAATGCGGTGGTTGGCGGAAAGATCCATGGAACCAACGTTGACCTGGATGAAATCGTGCTGGAAGTCCTGAGCGAGAGCGCGAACCTCCTTGGGCCAGGTAGCGGACCACATGCAAGTCTGACGGTCAGGGCGAATCTGGCCGATAATCTTGCGGATTTGAGGCTCGAAACCCATGTCAAGCATACGATCAGCCTCATCGAGAACGAGGTAGGTAACGCGGCGAAGGTTGGTCTTGCCGGACTCGAGCATGTCAATCAGACGGCCAGGAGTGGCGATACACACTTCAACACCGCGGGCGAGATCTCTGATTTGCTGACCCTTGGGGACACCACCGTAAACACAGGTGTTGCGGATACGAGACGACTTGCCGAACTTGTTAACTTCAGCCTGAATCTGGACAGCAAGTTCACGAGTAGGGGCGAGGATGAGGACGATGGGACCATCACCAGGAGAGAGGAGAGGCTGGGCGTTGATGTGAACGATCGAGGGAAGACAGTAGGTCAGGGTCTTTCCGGAACCGGTCTCGGCAATACCGACGACATCGCGACCAGAGAGAGCCATGGGCCAGCCCTGGGACTGAATGGGAGTGGGGTTGGCAAAGCCTTGGGCCTTGACCTCGTTGATAACGTATCCGGGGAAACCAGCCTCATCGAAGGTCTGGACGGGCTTGGGGACGTTCTTGCCCTGGACGGCGATTTGGTGAGTCTTGCGGAACTCGTCAACTTCAGCCTGAGAGCGCTCGGCAACGCTAGGTGCCTCCTTGTAGAAGGACTTCTCGAACTTGGGGAGAGTGCTCATGTCTGCAAGACAGTTAGCATGCTGAAATCAATGATAGAGAACATGGAAAGACATACCCCACTGCTGGCTCTTGAGGCCGGAACCGAGCTGACCCATTCTGTCGCCGCCTTGGCCGCCGCCATAGCTGCCACCACCGTAGCCGCCCTGGCTACCACCGCCATAGCCACCCTGGCCACCGCCGTAGCCACCTTGGCTGCCGCCGCCGTAGCCGCCGGATCTGCCACTGTTACACGTTAGTAGTTGAATGTAAAATGATGGGTGGATAGAGATAGGAGCAAGCAGAGCTGAGCAGAGACTTATTAAGAATCGTACCCGTCGTAAGAGCGACTGGTTGAATAGTCGCCATAGGAGCTTTGTCCGTAGGATCTCGAGTTGTCGTACCCGCCAGAGTAGCCGTTGCTGCCACCGTAGCCGCCGCCGCCGCCGCCGCGCGAGCCGCCGTAACCACCACCACCGTAAGACATGACGGGTGTTTGTGTGAAGGGAGGTATGGGTTGTCGGAGTGTTGTGAGATGAACTCTGCGTTCGTGTGATGAAACGAGTTCAAAGATGGAAAAGAGGTGATAGAAGAAGGGGGTGATGAAAAGAGAGAGTGTAGAGGTTGGAAAGGAAAAGTGAGGAAGGCGCGCGCGGCTTGATAAAAGTGGTTGGCTGCTGCTGCGTTTTTGCGACAGGGCGGCGACTTTCTGCCACGCTAGCAAACGCTAGAAGAACTTTGATTGCCAAGCCTGGAGATTCTCGCCTTCTCGATGGGACTCCGACCCGGACGTTGGACCCTTTCAAGTTCAGACTTCTCAACATCATGGCAAAAAGTATGCATGCGTCTGCAGAGATGAATGTTTATACAACTGAATATGCTATTTGTACACTGTAAGCACCGAAGTGATGCTGCCTCCTCACTCATCAAACGGCAAGTCTTGCAACGGTCTTGATCCAAGGTCCTTCTTGTCCTTGACCCATGTACCGTCTTTCTTCTTTTGCTTTCTCACCAGGTTCTGGCGAAGGTGCCTCAGCTGTCTACTGTCTTTTCGCAACTCTATGAGCTTCTCCTTGGGAATGGTGTTCTTTCCATCCATTCTGTCCATTAGCCGCGTGACAAAAGCACTTAACCTTGATCGTCTCTGAGACCACCCATGCATCTGATCCTGAGGGACTAATTGCTTCTTCATTAACTGATCAATGGCACCGATGACCGTTCTCATCAAGGCCACAATATCATGTCTTGCCGTTACTGATGTCTTGCCCGAGCTGAACGATCCAAACGAGATAATTGACCTCAATTTCGTGATGGGATCTGAAAGACGATCGATCACTTCGCTAATCATTTCTCCGTCTTGCGTAGAAAGGGCTAACTCCATGTATTGAGTGAGTGTCGTCGGATCAGGTTCCACCTGATAGTGCTCGCTCAGCTCAAAAAGCTCGTGAGCATGTCTCATTACGTTTGGGTTCTTTCTGTCACGACTGCAGGCACTCATAGCAATACGGAAGGTTTTGCGATGGGGTTTCCAGCCGTAATTCGGTATCGTCTCTCTCACTAGGTCGAGAGTACGACTAGATGCGCGAGTCTGTCGTAGGATACGCATAAAGGTATGAATGTTGTCCATATCGGGCTTGAGCGCATACGTGGATTCGTTGGTGAGCAGATCCCAGTATTCGTACGACGTTCGGAAAGCGTGTGACAACTTGCAAGCCTCAAGGATAATTGAGAAAGAGTTGTTTCCTGGTTTGACGAGTGTGACGGATGGTCTGCCTCGACTGTCGAGCAGGAGTGCTTGGTCGAATTCGCTCTCTGGTTCCTCGCCTTCTGTGATGTCATTGCGGTCCTTCTTCACATGGGCAGGCATGCGAAGAGGCAGATTCGGAGCAGTCATTCTCATCTTGCTACCCAACTTAGGAACCAGACGAGGGATGCCCATGGTCTGTTCGATTAGGGAGAGAACATCGTCCCAGTCTCTTGGCTGCAGACCAATGAGTAAGAGGCGACCCATAGCACCTACCATCTCTTCATTGACGGCGATGTCTCCCGATCGCCATCTTCCAACAATGTCTCCCCAGATCCTCCGGCCCTGCTGAACAGCTGTTGCTCTCAGTGCAGCAATTTCACTGTCGTCCGTTCTGCTGCCACCTTCCAGCAGTGCGTGCTCTCTGATGGCGTTCAAGATTGTAGTGTACGTGTAAGTGTCGGCAGCGCCAGACCCTTTCTCAGGAATTTTTGAGGCTATGCCCCATAGAGAGTCCATGTCATTTGCGCGTGCGCACACTCGCAGTGCTGCATTGGTGTGTATAGTTGTTGGCTTTACTCTTGAATTTTCAGCGCCCAGAGAATGGTAGATGGCAAGGGCTTTGCCGAGGGTGTCTGCGGCGACAGGGGGNNGTTCGGATAGGCCACGAAGGAGAATAACGTAGGTATGCGAGTCGGGGAATTGCGCGCGCTTCTTCATNNCTATGCGATTGTCAATTCATAGCCCTAGCAACAGAGCATAGAGAAGTCTTACCTCATTGTATATCTTCAGAGCGGCGTTGACCTGTTTCTCGGATAACAAGTGGCCAATGATGTGGTTCCAACTGACGATACAATCCATGTCCTTGCTAGCAATGCGAGTAAGACCGAGAGCCTTCTCGACGTCGCCCTTCTTGAGAACGCCACGAACATGGTCGGCAAGTTTGAGTGGGTCCGGTAAGTACTGCAGTTCCCTTCTGATCTTCTTCTCCAGAGCCAGGTTCATGTTGGGCATCTTGGCATCTTCCTGATCTTCGCCGGGTGTACGCACTTTGCGATGTTCATTGTTCTTGATCCAAGTCTTTTCGGATCATATGTCTTTTGTGGTACCCCGTCGACTGAGGTTGTGCGTCTACTCTTCTGAGCGTCAGGCGTAATGTCGTCGAGACTGTCGTCCCGTGTAGGTGTGGCGTCTCTTCTAGATTCTGTTGTATACAGTCGGACGGCTTGAGATGATCGCGCATGCGGCGCGAGGCGACTCTGGAGATACGGTCGAGGCCCTGTACTGGCCTCTGCGGCGATTGCACGAATGCATTTGAGCAAGCTGTTCCTACACTCTGACATCGAAATATGTGCAATTGCTAAGCTCTGAAGATGAGGCGAAATGTCGAGGGCACTCTCTCTTCTCGCCGAACTTTTGATGCACAGACCATCGGTTCAAGCGTCTCGACTTCTCGACGTCTAAGTTGATCAACTCTGTCACTACCACTCCTCTCCTACAAAGCATACGTCTACGTGAAACTCAAAGCCGCGATCAATGAGGTGTGTATTCGTGAAAACATGATATTGAATATACATACACATCATCAAGACGTCTGACGGGCACATTCGCCTACCTCTCCTAAATCAAGCTTGTATCAACTGTTGAGACAGGGACATGACTCAAAGTATTCTCTCTTGGTTCTCGAAGTTTGCATCTCTTGGAAGGGATTCAGGAGCAGTCGAGAGCTGAGAAATCTCATCCAAAAGTGCGACCGTCTCTGCTGGGCTGGCAATCCATGCCGTCGTGCAAGCAAGCCTATAATTCGTTAGCATATATTTCAATGTGGTGCCGATGTAGCACAAACCTAGCCTGGTATCTGTTAGCAAGTAATCCAAAAGTAGTGAAGAATTTCACGAACNCTTGAAGTCGTTCGCTCCGATTGACAAGAATTGGTCACCAACGTGGAGAGACTTGTTTCCCTCTATCCCGCCAAAATATCTCTGGCAACTCAGAACACCCCAAGACTTGTCACCAATGTCAATAAAGACGTCGCTTCNCCTCCTGTGAATGGCTTCCAGTGATCGGGTCGTCAATTACATGCATGAATTCTTACCATTGAAAGCGCAAAATGGTAGCCTCTTGCCAACAGGAGTCATTTNCCTAGTTCCCGTAAGCAAAAGTCAAGCAAAGCGTATCGTCATAGCACGTACCAGAGTCTTCTGGCAGACAAGAACAGTCTCTTCAAGCTGTTCTCGCGAGAGTTTAAATCCTTCGATCGGGATGATACCGACTGCTCTTTCTTTTCGAAGGATGTCGGCCTTGAGCCTCATGGCATCGACACAACTACGAAGGGACTTTTCTGCAATATCCAACAATTCTGTAACGTCCTCTTGTGTCCAAGATTGCATTTCTTGAAGCGTCCACTGCTTGCGCGGGATCGCAACAAGTCTTTCCGGGCTTTCGCAGGCAAATTGGAAGAGATAACTCGCCTCTCCTCCAAGAACAATAAGGTTTTTCTTGACCTCATCCGGGAGGTCAGATGTAGCTATGGCATCGAGCAGACCGTGTAGTCTACCATAGTACTTGGATGCTTCAGTGTAGCCAGCGGCAGTCACAATGCCGATGCGAGTGCCGTTTCTCATCAATTCCAAGATACGAGGAATGGCTGGGTTATCATCTGTCAAGGACTGGCCATCATCATATAGCGTAACATCACCATCGAATGTGACAAGGTCCAGACGGCTGTGCTTGACCAATGACATGACTTGAGCAGTATTGAGAATCAAGCGAATGTCGTTGAAACTAGGAGCAACAAATCTCCTTGAACTTATGTATCGTCTTTGGTCTTGCCATTCGAAAGCATCTCTCAGCATGAGAGGTGTGAAGAAGACACCAACAGTCGGAACTAGCAGCTTAAGCTTAGAGTGCGTATGTGTGCCTTCTTNTTGGCGGGAAATGTGGTCATTGATGAGTCCTTCAACATCACTCATGATCTGTGCATAGCGTTCGTGGGCGTTGCGGGCCATCTCGTCAGTGCCATGTATTCCGTCTTGTCCGAACAATGCGGTCGGCTGAGACAGGAGCACAAACGGCACAGCAAGGAGACCTTTGATCCATTCAATCTGACATAGGGTTGGCAAGGAAGAAGTTAATTAGGTCGATCAATCCAAAGACTCACTAGTTGGTCACGACGATGAGTCTTGCGAGGTACATCAGCAAGATTCCGGACTTCCCAGGCTCTGATATACGGACCTTGAGGGCATCTAGATGTAGTTAGTATCGAGTCATAGCATGTGATAGCTATTGATAAACATACACTCGACACGGTATCTAGTGGTCATTCTGACGTTGGGGACTCGGGCTTATTGTTAATTGAGGACCGGAAGGACAGGAAGTGTGAGTAAGAGGAAAGTGAAGAAAGATGACCACAAGGTGCGACAGAGATGAGAGCCGGAGCTGGCCGACGAGACTGACAGCAAGTTGTTGATTGGTGATAGGCATGTGATGCTGCACCCCACAGCGCTAAACAGCGGGTAGAAGCGGTGGCGCCGATCTCTCTGGCTCAGGAACCGCTGACGCTTGTGCCGACGCCGAAGCTTTCCTTGATCCCAATCCACCATGGCCGACATCACTCTGCCCTCGTCCTTGCTGCAACCGCGCGACGACAGCGAAGCAGACACACTTCTATCTATTCTTGGACGCATCCACGATGAGCGCGGCCACTTTCGACACATCACCGAGCAAGGCCTCCAGGCTGAAATAGCCGCCAACGACAATGACGAGGAGAGCTCTGAAACAGACGACGACGACGATGGCGCAGAGCCAGATGGACCAGAGGAAAAAGACCGTCGGGAACAGCTATGGACAGCTAGAGCCGAGATGAGGCAACATGTCGAGTGCGTTCTTTGGAGAGTATTGATTGTCACCAAGACGAATTACTGACATTTCTAGNNCTCCGCACGCAACGAAGTACTCATCGCTCTGGACTTTGTCTCCCTGCTGATCTCCAAAGACGCCCCCAAACAGGCCGATCTTACAATGTCACCCCACCTCAAGCAATTCATCAAGCCTGGGACCCTCGCTATGGACGCATGGCAGAATGTGCCGCCCAACAAAGAGCAAGAGAAGGTGGATGATACAATCGCCCGTGGCTGGAGAATGCAATCGCTTCAAGCGTCCGCCGATTCTTTGTTAGGCGCTGCAACTCGCTTGGAGAACGACGTCAGAAGAGAGACACATTACTGGGAACAAGTCTTGTCTGTCAGCGACAAAGGCTGGTCAATTTCTCGTCTCCCTCGTGAGAAACACAACCTGGGTGTCCGATTTGGCTTCCTGGAAGCTCTTGGAGAGTTCAGAGATCGTGGGCTCGCTGCCTTGAGATCAGACGAAGACGGCAATGTCCTACTCGACAAGGGCGTTGGAAACAACAGCAAAGTTCTAAGAGTACGCATTCAGAAAGGTGGCAGTATTGTTGGCGTCTCACGGATGCCGGATGTCTCGACGGAGTCAGAAGCCACTCTCGAAGCACGCATTCGTCACGCTAGAGACTCATTGTACGAAGAAGAACTGTTTCATGAAATCATCCGGGAATCACGAAATCTGGCATCGTACGGTGTCGACATGCGTGAGTCGACTGTCCGTCTTCCGACAAGTTTGACATCGACTGCTTTATCATCCACATCAGATGCGCCAGAAGTCTTGATTGACTTGTTACCTTTGACTGCGGTTGAGACGAAACCTCTTGATAAGCAGCCAGAAGATGCGTGGGCCCAAGCTATCGCTCTGGCCCTTCGCCTGTTCCTTTCCTACACTCACCGCGAGAGATTGACACGCCGATCCGAATTGCCTCCTCCAATGTCGAGCGCCAGAAAGAATACACCCGTCGCAAGCATTATGAAGCCTGTTCTAACCTTGCTGCAACACCGCTCAATGCTTGATGACATCGGCGCCTATCTGGAGCGAATNCAAAAACTTCTCGATGCTGCGTCCATTGACACTACAATCGAGACAGCTGCCTTCGATCCAGCACTCTTAAGATCTGCGGAAACGATAGAAGCGCTCATGCANAAAAGTCTCACGCCGCTACATTCGCGGTCGAAGATATCACTGAAGCCAGCGCATCTGTCCGAGGCAATCGAGTTAGGTATCGAGCTTCGCACATCCATTTCACCACCCTCCTTCGGCAGTGCCATGTTGGTTACTTCACCGATAGGTCTATCACGAGTGGAGATACCAGAGATGCAAGAGCTCAAAGACTACTCAAACACAGCGATTGCCAACGCTTTGGGCTATGGGATTGTAAACAAGCTAGTCAACTGGACCCTGAACGATAGGTGCGGCATGCTCAACCGAACCAACAGTAACGATAAGATCAGTATTGAGGTTCACGGAAATGAAAATGCAGCACAGGACAGTCTTGTGTTACGGACGGCCAGAGAGAGATTTGAATGGAAGGTCGAGGATGAGATGAAACAAAACGGGTTCTGGGAGACGGTCAAACAGCAGATCTGGGACGGACCATGAGTCCGGAAATAGATTTTAGTAGGTGCAGCGACTTTCAGGGTCCAGCGTCTTTTTTTTTCTATCGCATGGAGGGGCTGGTGATAGCTATCTAGTAGCGAGACGGAGCAGCATAGCAGTGAAAGAATCACGAGTTTACGGCCTCCGTGAGCTGACATGAACTGTTTTCTGGATTGTGCCACAAGCAAATGGTGAGATTCTTGGCCTGTAAGACCGCAGTCGGACCGTGATGTTGACTGGCACTGGCCAATGTGTTGAGAGTGACGTATGGCAGTGGGCGGTATGACCGGAGAGTCTTGGGCTTCTCAAGATTTCACCTCGCAGTCTGGCTGAGGTCTCTTTTCCTTGCATTCACAACCATCTCTCCACCACGTGTCTCGACGACTTTATAAACCTCGCTGGCCAAGCTCTCTGTCTGGTACAGCTTCTCACGCCCTCCACATAACACAACCCTCCCTCACATTCGTATCAAAAACACACAACACAACCGGCCTTCACCATGGCCCAGGTCAACCTTGCTCCCCCCGCCATGCCTGCGGGCAAGAAGCGCATTGCTGTCATGACTTCTGGAGGTGACTCTCAAGGAATGTCTGGTGCTGTGCGTGCCGTCGTCCGTCAAACCATCGCCTCAGGCTGCGACGCATTCGCTGTCTACGAAGGCTACGAAGGTCTTGTTCAGGGCGGAGACATGATCAAGCAGATGCGCTGGGAGGACGTTCGCGGATGGCTCTCAGAAGGCGGTACCCTCATTGGAACAGCAAGATGCATGTCCTTCAAGGAACGTGCCGGCAGACTGCAAGCGGCCAAGAACATGATCGACAAGGGCATTGATGCCTTGGTTGTCTGTGGTGGTGACGGCAGTTTGACTGGTGCAGACAGATTCAGAGGCGAGTGGCCCAGTCTGGTTGAGGAGCTGGTTTCCAACGGCACTTTCAAGAAAGAGGCAGTCGAGCCTTTCAGACATCTCAACATTGTCGGTCTGGTCGGTTCCATTGACAACGACTTGGCTGGTACTGATGCCACCATTGGATGCTACTCATCGCTGCAGCGTATCTGCCAGGCTGTCGACTACATTGACGCTACTGCTTTCTCCCACCAGCGCGCCTTCGTTGTCGAGGTCATGGGCAGACACTGTGGTTGGCTCGCCCTGATGGCTGGTGTTTCCACTGGTGCCGACTTCGTCTTCCTCCCTGAAAACCCTCCATCCGAGAACTGGGAGACTGAGATGTGCGACGTCGTGCAGCGTCACCGCAAGCTTGGAAAGAGAAAGACGATTGTTATCGTCGCTGAGGGAGCTCACGACCGTCAGCTCAACGCCATCTCGCCCAACAAGGTCAAGGATCTGCTTGCTGGCAAGCTCGGTCTCGACACCAGAGTCACCACTCTTGGTCACGTCCAGCGTGGTGGTACTGCCGTTGCCTACGATCGTATGCTGTCTACTCTGCAGGGTGTTGAAGCCGTCAAGGCCGTGCTCGACTCGACTCCCGAGACCCCCAGTCCTGTTATCTGCATTGTCGAGAACAAGATTGTTCGCAAGTCATTGATGGAGGCTGTCAAGTTGACCCAATCCGTCGCCGAGGCAATTGAGCGCAAGGACTTCAAGTCGGCCATGAAGCTAAGAGGTGCCGAGTTTGACGAGTACTGGACTGCATACAGCACCACCGTCTCGACCGACAAAGAGGAATTGCTTCTTCCCAAGGAGAAGGTAAGAACACACTTTGTGCTTGCTACGAAAAATAGAACTGACATGGAAACANNGCGCATGCGTGTTGGTATCATCCACGTCGGAGCCCCCGCTGGTGGTATGAACGCTGCCACCCGCGCCGCCACTGCCTACTGTCTTACCCGCGGTCACACTCCCATCGCCCTACACAACGGTTTTCCTGGACTCGCCCGCCACTACAAGNNGGATGAGGAAAGCTCTGTCCGTGAGATCAAGTGGCTCGATGCCGAGAACTGGGCCAGCAAGGGTGGTTCCGAAATTGGTACCAACCGTGCTACTCCCTCTGAGGACTACGACGGTGTCTCGGACGCTCTTACCCACCACAAGATCGACGCTCTCTTCGTTATCGGTGGTTTCGAGGCTTTCACTGCCGTCTCTGAGCTTCGCAAGGCCAGACGCGACTACGACGCCTTCAAGATCCCCATCGTCGTTCTTCCCGCAACCGTCTCCAACAACGTCCCCGGTACTGAGTACTCCATCGGTAGTGACACCTGTTTGAACGCCCTGATCGACTACTGCGATGCCATCAAGCAATCCGCTGCAGCCTCTCGTCGTCGTGTGTTCGTTGTTGAGACCCAGGGTGGTGCTTCAGGCTACATCGCTACCATTGCTGGTCTCTCAATTGGTGCCGTTGCCGTCTACACACCCGAGGAGGGCATCCACCTCAAGATGATCGCCTCCGACATTGAGCACTTGAAGGAGCAATTCGCCAAGGACAAGGGCCAAAACCGCAGCGGAAAGATCATTCTCCGCAACGAAAAGGCATCCAAGACCTACACCACCGAAATCATTGCCAATATCATCCGCGAAGAGAGCGGCGGCAAGTTCGACTCGCGTTTCGCCGTCCCCGGACACGTACAGCAGGGTGGTATCCCATCGCCCATGGACCGTGTTCGTGCCGTCCGTTTCGGTGTCAAGAGTATGCAGCACATCGAGTCGTTTGCCGGCAAGTCCAAGGACGAGATCGCAAACGACCCTCTGTCGTGCTCGGTCATCGGAATCACCGGTGCCCAAGTGCAATTCTCAGGCATGGAGAAGGTCGAGAAGGAGGAGACCGACTGGAAGGACCGCCGCCCCAAGAACGAGTTCTGGATGGATTTGGTGAACATCGTGGATACCCTTTCAGGCCGTCCTCGTCCCAAGAAGGAGGATTCCATTGCTGCTGGCCTGCCTGCCTAAAGTCTTGACTTTGCTCTGCGTTGGCGTTCTCAATCATGATTGCAATGATTTCCTTACTGTTTTCATCACTTTAGTGTCTTTTCGTGGCTAGAAGCCCGGGACAGTTATCATCATTGGTTCTCTTGCATTTTCTAGAATGGTCTTTTTATATTCACAAAATTTATTCAATTTCTCAATTTCGAAAAGCAAGACCATGGATATATGTATATGTACAGCAGAAGCGTACTTTTCCATTATCATCACCAATAGTTTTGGTCTTCGTGAAACTCTTTGATCAGGTCTTTCCAAACACAAAGACACCCTTGCCAGATCTAAAGCCTTCCAAGGTGCCTTGTACAGCTTTGATCAATTCTTCACCCTTGGTCTCCCATTCCCATTTGACCTCATCGAAAGGCGTGTCCTTGAACTTGCCTTCCCGCACAAGGTTCAGGACGTGTTCGACCGTCTTCTTCTTTTCTTCTGGATTTGCGTCTGACCACCTGCTGACCCAAAAGCCATCGTAGGAAATGTTTTTGAAGATCTGAAGGCCAGCAGGGACGGTGACAGGTTCGCGCGACATGGCGCCGTAGGTGACGATGCGTGAGTTGTCGGCGAGGACTTTGGCCATGCTGTTGACGAGTTTGCCGCCTACACAGTTCAAGGCCAGCGAGATTTGTTCGCGACCACCATTTGTGGCTTCCTTGATGACGTTGCGGAAGGACTTGTCCATTGCTTCTTTGTCTGTGAGGACGATATCTGCACCCAAATTTTTCAACTCTTGCTTCATTGCTTCTGTTGCCGAGGCGTCCGAGCGGTCGCGGATGATGTTTATACTGCGGTAGCCCCAGAGTTTTGCTAGTTGGATTGCTGCTCTTCCCACGCCTGAATTGGCGCCGTTCTGGATGAACCAGTCGCCTTCCTTGAGTGGTACAAAGTCTTTGAGCATGCGGTAGGCTGTGCAGGGATTTACGCTGACAGTACCGGCTTGGAGAGGTGTGAGGCCTGACTTGTCTTCGATCTTGAGAAGATTCTCGGTGGTGGTTTGAGCGTGAGTGCGCCAGGTGCCGAAGCCTGGGCTGCGCATGATGACCCAGTCGCCTCGTTGGAAGCCCTTGACGCTACCTCCGGCAGAGATGATTTCGGCGACACCTTCATTGCCTCCTACGGCAGTGGGTTCTGGGGCTCCGATGGTGGTGCTGAAGGTTGGCTTGCTGGGGTAGACGCCTTGGATTTGGTTGATGTCTGCTGGGTTGATGGGAGAGGCGAGGAAGCGGAGGGTTACGAGGTCTTTGTGGGCAGGAGAGATGCTATGGCCGTGCAGGCGGAGAACGTCTTTTGGTTCGCCATAGTTGGTGAAGGCTAGTGTTTTTGTTTGCTCGTAGCCGTAGGCGCTGAGGTGACGGCGGGTGACGGGTGTGGTTGTGAGACGGGCGAGAGGAGCCCGTAGGCTTGTGCTGCATGTGCTCAGGCGAAACGACATGATGTTGTGCTGTGTCGGGATGAGAAGGCAGTCTGAGAAATGGGGAGAGCTTTCTGCATGCTGAAGCTGTCGATCAACAGTGACGTCGCTGGGGTCCTGATGACAGCCGAAACCGCTGACCCTTTTCCTGCACATCGACATCTCCATCTTGACTTCTTGTCATCATGAAACAAATGTGTCGATTCAGAATGAATCATTAATCTCGATGGTGCTTTGATGGGACTGTTGATTTGGTTCCATGGCAAGGGCGACCACTAGTTTTGTCCGAGGCACTGACAAGGAGACTCACCAGGTCACCGTCACCTAATATCCATTCTGCTTTCGAACTGCTCTTGCCGTTGCATCGTGGAGTGCACGTACTGGCCTGTTCCATGCCCTCCTCAGGACCTTGGCGATACCCCGTGCAGCATTTTTGATCGACCTCTTCTTTTCGGCTTTTCCTGGTGCTTTTACCTCGTCATGGGCCAGACTGCAGTTGCAGGTCGCTTGACCCCCTCTTCCAACACACGGCCCGCCGCTCACACAGGCGCACTCCACGAATCTGGCCACTCGTGTCTGTTGTGGTGCTTGACTGGCGACGATGTTGACTACGCTTGACTGCGGAGTGTCGAACGCCGACACGAACGGGGACTCCAGCGCCTGTGACGAATCAGACATTGCTACGAATAAAGACTCCCTGCTTGAGTCTGTGAGAGTCGGGCTTGAGTTCGTCGTGCGTTGACCTGAGATACGCTCGAAGCTCGATCCGTCCAATCTTGATACTGCTTTCATCTCGAATGTACTGGGCTGATGATGTGAGAAGAGAAGTGGGAATCTCGAAGTATTGCGATGGCCTTCGTGGTAAATCCTGACGACAGTCATACTCCCTCATTCGTGAGAACATATCCGAGACATCTTGGATCTGCCAGGCTCCGGCCCTCAAAATAGCCAGGCACCTGCGAGGACTTGAGGTATTTTGCGACAGCTCTCAAAATCAATACATACATGGATACATTCACAGAGCAAACCACAGAATGCCATGGAGTATTCGAGATATCGCTTATGGTTGAAAGGCGAAACACCCCCGTTGTCTATACAGAACCTGCATGACTTCTTGCCGTCGCGAGATCTCTTTCCACGTTGTTAGGTTCGCTGCATTTTGTCTGGTCATGGGGTGCTGCCTTGGGGTGAAAATTTTATATACCTCGATTCCACTCCCAGGTCAGTCAGCTATAGGAACCCAGGCTTTGTATTGGTCAAGCTGGGGGCGACATCTCGAATGGACGCATTTCTCTCGCACAATAGGCGAGTAATCGTTTTGGCCTTCGTGATCGAGTTCAGAGATAAATAGCGCTCCTCACCCCCTTCCCTTGTTTCCTCCTTCCATCCAACAGCGATTCTTCGATACTGCTACAAGTCAAGAAAACGCACCTATCAACTCAAAACTACGAGTGACTAGTATACTGAAGCTAGGTACACCAACCCTGCACCTCCCCCTCTCATATACAACCCTCTCCTCTACACATACAAAATGGCAATTACTCCTACCCTCCTCACCCAGGCACAAGCCAAGAAGGTCTGCCGCCTTACAAAGTGGCTCCTCAACACCCAAAACAAGCTGCGTACCGCCATCAAGGGGTCCAGCACTACCACCTCCACCTCCACCACCAAAAAGTCCTGCTCTCACACAGGCAACAAAGCCACACAACAACGTCGCATCCACAACGAAATCTTCGGGTGGACAAGCGACGCCTGGGACGAGATGAGCCTGGTCTCTCCCTCTACCACCACAACACCCCTTTTCTCACCGGCACCAACCACTCCACAAACAAGGTCCATGAGCAGGGAAGAAGCTCTCAGACGCGCCGATGACTACACAATCCGCCGTATCGAGAATGCTTACATGCACAATACTGTCCACAACTCAAGTGGCAGAAGAGTGTATTTCAGAGTTGAAGGATATTGAATACTGACCTTGTCATCTTCAAAGATGCTTGTGTCTTAAGGGGCCTCTTGTAACTCTTTTCCCACTGGATGTTCGTCCTCTTCCCAGTGGGTTTTTAACGAGGCAAGAAGAACCTTTGCAGATTTTTGGTTTCTGGTTTACGAACCTGGTTTACTTTTTGCTAGCCTCTGTTTTTAAGCATTCAAACACAGTTCATTCGACTGTGCGTATTGATGTTGAGCCATTCGTAGAGAACCATGTCGTACATCTCGACATGGTGGATTGAGGCGGAGGAAATGCAGGCTGATGCTCGCCGCTACCGAAAGCAGCAGGGGAAGCAGATCATGGTTTGGGTCGTGGAGGGCAGAAACTCTCCCATCGACGATCTCATCAAACAAACAAGAGACCGTAAGGCTGCGACAAACGCTTGGAAGTAAAGTTCCTGTCTCTTCCGGTCTGCAAACTTGAATTGTTTATTGTGATGTGTCACAAGGTTGGAAAAGAAAGCATTCAGAGAGGGAGAATGAGCACGCTATACAGTGATACAGACCTTCCCATGGCATGCCTCCGAGCCATGTTGCTTGATGTATGGCTGGCTGAAGTCTTGCGCAGTCACACCAGGTCCCTTTGGTGGTCTTTGACACCTTGGAGGGTATAAGTCGAATACCAGGGCTCCTGGAGCAGAGCCAATCTTTCTGCCAATAAGACCTGTACATCGGTTCGAGGGATCCAGGGTCTCTCCGAAAGAAGGTGTTTCGTCTTCATCGTTGGGTAATGTGCCATGACAGCGAATGGTGACGACAATCTGCTAGACTGCTGAACTACACCTGAAGCAAGAAATCTGCCGTTTGCTGCTCTGACGATCTTGCTGATGTGCTCATCATTATTTCGATCGGTCTTCGTGTCGGATAATGGTCGGCGCGGAAAGCCGAGCGAGGACGCATGGGTTGGGTTGGTGGATTGGGAGAGCGTGAAGAATAAACTGTAGATAAATCAGCCAACAGATATACAGTCAGCCTACTGTGTTAATGCAAGAAGTAATATGTTAGAAGGTGGTGTCCGGGGAGAGCGAAGGCTCATCACACAGGTGCCGAGTAACTCTCCATGGACTAGACTGCCATCATCTAAGCATGCTGCATTGCGACAGCGGTAAGAGGTGGCAGTCTTTCATCTGGAGACCCGTTCATACAGAACAGGGGTTCGCATGTTCGCCGTTGATCCAGTTCTCTGAGACCTGGGAGAGCAGACGTAGGATGAGAGCATCGCGGCCTTTGCGTGCTGCTTTGACGTCGAGCAAGGCGGCTGCAATGAATACCGGATCCGCCGTGTGGCCACCGCCATTGGACACCAGATTCCCTCGCTTCCTCATTGCCGTGTCCGCAGCCCAGTCGAATCTGGGATTTGTCTCCAACATGGGCAGATCATCTCTGATGATCTTGCGTGCCCTAGCTTCCAGGAGCTTGGTAGGAGCGGCTCCAAACCTTGCCCGGATCTGGGCTTCGACCTCTGGCGTGACGCTGTCCTTGCCGTGGTCTTTATGGTATTGATCCTTGGCTTTGTTAATCTTCTTGCCATGGGCCCTAAAGCCGTCTTCAGTATACTTCTCGGCGACACCAAGACGGCGGATGGCTTCTGCATCACCACTAGCCCTGATCCCATCCTTTCTTGCCTCGGCGCGGCGGGTTTGGGAGGCTCTCCCTCTTGCAGCCACCTCGAGGTACGAGAGGGTTTCTACCCTGCAATTCTGCACCTCTCGTGCCATATTTGATACTCACGGCCGCTGGGCCCTTTATTGCCAGAGTTTGCGGGGTCTGAACCTGGTATTCCCACTCCTCCGATGATTGCTAACAAGACAGCGTGTGACATGGTCGCCGACTGGAAGATCTTGTAATCGATCTTTCTTTTCACGATTGGGTTGCCGAGCTCTGAGAACTCGCCAGGGAGATCCTTATCGTGGGCTTTGCGGTATTCACCCTTGGCTTTGTTGATTTTTTGCCATAAGCCCTGGAACCGTCTTCAGTGTACTTGCGGCCACAGCAAGACGTCGAATGGCCTCTTTGTCGCCGCTGACCCTGATGGTATCCTTCCAGGTGCTTCGTCCGTATTGTCGAATGATGAGCCATGACTGCAAATGACGATGTCAATCTGCTAGATTGGAACACCACACCCGAGGCCTGGAACTGACCGCTTCCTGCTTCCATGATTCTGATGATGTGTTCGTCGCTCATTTATTGATTCTCGCATCCGAGTCTGATCGCCGTGAGCTAAAGATAGTCACAATTCTGCAACTGATCCCTTCTCCATTCTGAGCCATAAAGGTTATCATAAGCTATCGAAATGCATGATTACAATTTCAATGTAACTCTGGCGATTGAGATAGCCTTTGTCGAGGCTCTCTGTGGAAATTGTGTTCTTCACGAAAGTATTGTGTATTTCTTCAAGGTTGATCGCGGGTCACACGGTCTGACGGGAATCATGTCAATCAAGAAGATACCGGATTTTGGTATCAGGCAACCGGGAACGAAGCAAAGAAAAAAACGAATATGGCAGCGAGGACAACAAGACAGTGAAAATGTCAATCATCATTCATTCACTCAAGGGAGGTAAGCTCCTACGCTGTCAACTGCGTGAAAACGCGCCAAGCCTCAGGGTTTGTGCTAACTCCGACAATTCTCGGTTCGACTCTTTGCAAGGTCATTCTGTAACAATCACGATCATTTCCTTCTACCGATTCCTTCTGCCGTTTCGTTCATCAAGGTAGACTCATGAAAAGACTCAACATCTTAGGAAACGAGGGTGTTCCAAGTCCTAAATCTTGTTAGCTCATCCTTGACAGTTTTTATTAGGGTTTCTTTATGCTCTTACCAGTTACGGGGTCCCATCCCTTGCTCGCAGAGAAACCTGGAGTACCGCATCCCTGGTTGCCTCCCTGGGTGATATCATTCAACACCTCAGGGTGAGCATACAGCGTGGGGTTAATGAAACCGACGCTGCTCTTGCCGGCCTGAAGACGTCTCTCGTTGATGATAGTGAGGACCGAGCCAAAAGTAGGAGATGATGCAGATGTTCCGTAGACCAAGGCAAAGGTGCCATCGACGGCGACGACATAATTGGCACCATTTGCACTGACATCAGGGAAGCCACGAGTCTTTTGTGTGTTGTTGAAGCGGTCAGCACCGTATGGTGGGGNGTAGTTCTTGAACCACGATTTGACAGCAGAAGCCTGGTAGCTGGGAAGGTCGAAGACGTTACTGAAACCACCACCAGAATAGATGACAGTTTCACAAGCTTCCTCGGGCTGAGTACCGCTGGCAAGAGCGGCGATGATGTTTGTACCAGGAATTACTTGTGTGGCTCCGACGGCTGTCACGTAAGGGCAGGTAGCAGGGAAAGAGGGGTTGAAACGACCGTTCTTGCCGGAGTTGTAGGTGCCGTTGGCTGCGATACACTGGCCGCTGTTACCTGCAACACCATAATCACCTGAGCTGTAGAGGACCGAGGTACCCATCAGACCGAGCTTCATGTACTCATCACACTGTCGCTTCTCATAGAAAGGAGTGAGATCGGCCTCATTATAGCCGTAGGATGTGCTGATGACCTTGGCAGGTGCATATGTTCCGCAGTTCTCACTGCCCTCGTAGCCCCCTGCATACGGATCAGGGTAGACAGCGTCTTGGGAAGGGTCATCGCCGCCTTCGTATGTGCAGTAAGAAGCATCAATGGCGTCAAGGAAGTTGTTGAACGATGCACCTTCAACCTGAATTCAGAATTTAGCGTGTTTCCCAGTGATAACGTATACAGAAGCCACATACAANNGATCACCAACTTGGTACAAAGTCACTTTCTCCGGATAGATAAGAGTCATGGCATACTCGAGATCAAGGTTGCTCTCGCCATTGAAATTGAAGCTCATGTTAGTCTGCTGGACAACAGCACCGTCGATCAGATCGGTGATGGGACGGTCTCCGACTTGCTTCTCCGAGAAGTTGGCAAAGAAAAGATCGAGATCGGACGGAACATAGGCCTGAGGAGTGTACTCGACAATGCCATAGCTGTTCTTCTTGCTCTTTCCGGTGCTCTTTCCAATCTGGTACAGAGCCTTCAGACAGTTCGGCGTGATCTGCTCATCACACTGTTCAAGCTGAGTGATGAACTGCGACTTGTTGATCCACTGGCCTAGATGAGGTGTACTGCCACTACCAGGTTGACCGATTGTCTTGCCAGTATTGGGGGTTACATTACGCTTCTCGAGCTTTTCAGAGCGTCCTGTGACTCTGGTGTCGAAGTGCAGGGAAGGAGTGACAAAGTCAATGTGGTCCTTCAGATGCTTGGGAAGACTGTACTCATCACAGGCAATATGAGGATGACCAGTAGCATCGTGCTCGTAAACGTGGTACTTGGTATTCAGAAGTGACTCGGCTTGGTCGACCGAGGCTTCAAGGTTGATCCAGTNTTTGCCCTTGCTCAACTTGACACTGTCGGAGGAAATGCCGGAAGCGATAAGCCAATCCATGACAGAAGAAATGGTATCATCGCTGGGTGCGAAGTGGTCTGCCACTTGCTCTGCAGTCCAGTGTTGGCCATACTTGGAAGACTCAGGATGACTGACTTCGTGCAGGTATTCTGCGGCTTGATCAAGGTTGCGTTGCGTCAATGCAATCTTCATAGGAATCAAGGCACGACGATCAAGACGCTCGCCTTTGCTCCAGCCCATGGGAGCAGCATCACGCTTTTCGTGGATCACGTAGTTTCCAGTAGGTGATGCGAGGACATAGGACACCAACACACTCAGACTGAGCAAAGAGAGTTGCATGATGACGGAGGAACAAGAAGGCAAGATGTGCCTTGAACAAGATCAACGACGAAGGACAATGGGAGATGAGATCTACCTGGACTACATTGTGGTTGTGCTGGATCCTTATAAACCACACCCAATTACTTCTCCTTCCTCTTAGAGATAGTAAAGTTCAGGGGTCGGCGCCGGGGGACCACTCGATAGATTGTAGATGAACCTTCAGCCATATCGTCCTGGAAGCATGTTGTGTCCGGATGATATGAATGCTCCACAGCCCTGGAAAGGCGCATATAGAGGAAAAGCAGCTAATGCCCTGTTGGGAAGGAGGACAGAACGACCAAGGTCGCCATCGAACGACTAGCCAGTGGCACGCTGAAGGCACCTAGATTAGCTGCCGTGTCATGAGCTTGTTCTTTGCTTGCGCAGATAGAAAAGCGGTCACTTGAGATGTACGAATTGAGAAGGTCGATAGCTCGAGTGGAAAAGAAGGCAGGAGTGGGCTTTCATGGTGAAAGCACGCGAGCAGATGTCGCAGGCTGTGCCGCGGTCGGATGGGCGTCACCCGCTTCCCGAGCCCGCTGGTAAATTCACCCACAGCTGGCTCGTACAGTTATTGCTCTCTAACTAGACACGTTTCTGATCGTCAAAGGAAGTTTACTCGGTCAAACAAAGTCCCATGGACAGGATAGAGGATCTTTAGCATGATTGTTCTGATACAGTGCGAGTATCATGGCATCAGTCATGGATGAAAAGAATGTTATTAGTCTGCCGCCCAGACACGATACCGGGAGGGGGGCTCACTAGAGGGGGTGTATTTATGATCAATCATATCTGTTGCATATCGAATATAATTACGTGCGGAAGCCGGCCGGCTTAACACTTGACCAAGGTGATGATCCGTGTGATCTTCCTCTCGTTAAGCTTCTGTTGAAGGCTTGTCTTTACGATTGTCTCGGTAGTCAGTAGAGAAGATAAGAACTTGCCTCATCAAAAGTCCAGACTATCAGTGGACAAGCCTATCGTATCGCAGATCAATGTCGGTCCTCGACACAGACCAGATAGGCGAGGCACGCGCAATCATCACAAGATCTACGAAGACTCATAGGGCGGGAACACAGATACTGTGGGAATACGGACATAACTCTATGAACACATGTCCATTAACGTCTGGTAATTGCGGCACACCCTCCTAAGTATAGTCTATCTAGCCCGCCCCGAATACGAGAAAGACAGCTGGGCGCATATGCAACCATGTCTGACCTTATATGAAATGTTCTCGGTATCTTTCAGGTGGCGATTTACTGGCAGTCGAATCTCTCGAGCTGTTCACCAAAGGACTTACATCTGGAGAACCGATCCTTGGAGACATTGTCATGGACGAAGGAGGCGATATCGCACTTCTGTCGTCGTAATTGTTCCAGCTCATGATGTGTCGACTATGCTGTCTTCTGCGCACTTCATCTGCAAGATTGCTCTGCCCGTTAGCGTAGGCGCTTGAAGCATATCTTCCTAGGACGGGTGATTCATCAACTTGTGGTGACATTGGTGTTTTCGGTGCCATTATAGGAGAACTTGCATCCATTTCCACTGGAGCAGGACCGACCTTCGCCGAGGGATATATTGGTCTGCCTTCCACTTCTGCTGGACCAGTTGGCTTGTAGGCAGCCGATGTAGCTGCGGGCCTATCGAACTTTGCTGCCGCGAATTCGTTTGCAGAATCTTCTCTGGCGAGCTGAGATTCATCGAGTGGTGCTTGCTTCGGTGCTGTTGTAAGCCCTCCATAGAATCCTGTGTCTGAATTAGCGTTGGTCGTGAAGACAGTCGGGTCCAGCTTACCACCAAGTGCTGCGAAAGGAGAGTCACTTTTCGGATGAGGCTCCATGGGACCTGGTGGGAAGCTCTGAGTGGCGGACTTGATCTCCTCTCTCTTTTTGCGCCGTCTGCGTAAACAAAGAAACACGAGCAGAGCGAGAAGAACAAGAAGAACCAAGCCACCTATGGCACCTCCAACGATAGCACCAATAGGCGTACTCTTAGAGCCATGCGATGGGCCAGGAGAGTTTGTTGGTAGGGCATCGGCTGGTGGATGAACTTGATCATCTCGATTCAGCAAAGCGACTGTTACATAGTTGCTTCCTGCGGTGCTTGAATAACTATCCTCTGGAAGGTTGGATTTGAAATAGCATGTCCCCGAGTCGGATCCTACGAAAGTAAAACCTGCGCACGCCGCGAGGTTGTCGCATGCTGGAAAGCATTTTCCGAATCCTCCTGTGCTGACAGATGTAGAATTAAACGAGTCGTAAGAATTGTCGGTGTTGCAGCGGATCGAGTATTGGACTTTGTTTGAGTCAATGTATGTCGTCATATTGGCTGCTGGACATGTGAGACTCGTCGCTGTTGGGAGCAAGCTCGTCGAGGTGGTGCTGATCGAAGTTGAAGACATCGTTGCTGGAGAGGCGATTGGAGTCGTAGCTGGTGTCGCAATGATTGCCGGTGTGGTAGTCGAACTTGGTTTCGTTGTGCTGGCTGGAGAGGTAGACAAGGTGCTGCTGGTATCTGGGCATGTGGCGCCAGGATTGCAAGGATCAATGGAACAGCAACCTCTAAATCCATTCTGGCAGACATAGTATGCGCCCCCAGGACAGCTCTGCCGATAATGAAGACCTTTCAACTGCATTGTGCCGGATTGAGCACCAAGACGTTTCAATAGTGGTTGTTTCTTTTAGCAGTGGTGACGGTGGTTGGTTAGTTTGCGTTAGAAAAGTTGGGCATAGCGAATAACGAGAGCAGCATGCGAGGTAATGAAAGAAGAGAGTGACGACTGTGGCCGGAAATGTGAGGTAGATGGACAAAGAATCAGATTGAGCGACGATCAAAGACATACAAACGAAAGCTCTCCCCAGAAAGACCAAACTGACAGATTACATACACGGCCATCAGGCGCAGCTAACCGCAAAGCCTTGAATCGCCCTTATGGGAGTACGAGGAATGTATTACCTTAAGCATGCAACCGGTTGCATGCCTTTTGTGACATCTGACACCAGCACAATGGCTATGTCTCTGTCTGTTACATCGGACGCATGATGATTGGGTAGAATGGGCGATGCATCACAACTGTGTACATCTTTGCAAGACCAATACCTGAGGACCGATCTCAAGTAGAATCAAATGAAGATTCGAAGAGTAGGTAGGTCGATGGACGTCGGATTTGGTCGCGGCATCGGACAAGATGGGCAACGACAGAAGGGCGCTCGGACCAACCGAAGCATCCAGAATGTGCCTGGTAACCTCGGACGAGCTCTGGGGCCCTGTCGTATATTTTTCAACTTGACGCTCCACGCTCCCCGTCGCCGTCTTCCCCTTCTCATCTCGTCTGCCATTTGCTTCGCGGAGTAACAGGAGCAAACGGGTTCATATCATTCTATTTGCATTTTTGTTCATTTCCAATATGCAGCGCGCTTTCACCTCTCGTGCCAGGGCTTCTGCCCTTTCGGCCTCCAAGCTCCGTTCTGTTTCTCTGCAACAGCAGCGTTTCGCACACAAGGTACGGCATAGTCGCAGTCTTACCTGCTTCACATGCTGACTACGGACCTTANNGGAGCTCAAGTTCGGTGTTGAGGGCAGACAAGCTCTGCTCAACGGTATCGACACCCTCGCCAGAGCCGTCGCCACTACTCTGGGTCCCAAGGGTCGCAACGTTCTCATCGAGTCCGCCTACGGCTCGCCCAAGATCACCAAGGGTATGCGCCTCGTCTTCCTGAAGAAGCTGCTCGCGAGCGATTGATGGTTAACACGTATTTCAGATGGTGTCACTGTTGCCAAGGCTGTTGTCCTCAAGGACAAGTTCGAGAACCTTGGTGCCCGCCTTCTCCAGGATGTTGCCAGCAAGACCAACGAGGTCGCTGGTGACGGTACCACTACCGCTACTGTCCTCGCCCGCGCCATCTTCTCCGAAACCGTCAAGAACGTCGCCGCTGGATGCAACCCCATGGACTTGAGACGCGGTATCCAGTCCGCTACCGAGGCCGTCATCCAATACCTCCAGAGCCACAAGCGCGATGTTACCACTAGCACCGAGATTGCTCAGGTCGCCACCATTTCCGCCAACGGCGACACTCACATTGGTGCTCTCCTCTCGAGCGCCATGGAGAAGGTCGGCAAGGAGGGTGTTATCACCGTCAAGGAGGGCAAGACCATTGAGGATGAGCTTGAGATCACCGAGGGTATGAAGTTCGACCGCGGTTTCATCTCTCCCTACTTCATCACCGACACCAAGTCGCAGAAGGTCGAGTTCGAGAAGCCCCTTATCCTCCTCTCGGAGAAGAAGATCTCTGCCGTCCAGGACATTGTTCCTGCTCTTGAGGCTTCTCAGCAGCTCCGCCGCCCTCTTGTCATCATCGCTGAGGACATTGATGGTGAGGCTCTTGCTGTCTGCATTCTCAACAAGCTCCGTGGCCAGCTCCAGGTCGCCGCTGTTAAGGCCCCCGGCTTCGGTGACAACCGCAAGTCCATCCTCGGCGATCTTGCTGTCCTGACCAACGGTACCGTCTTCACCGACGAGCTCGACATTAAGCTCGACAAGGCCACCGCTGAGATGCTCGGTTCCACTGGATCCATCACCATCACCAAGGAGGACACTGTCATCCTCAACGGTGAGGGTAGCAAGGACCAGGTTGCTCAGCGCTGCGAGCAGATCCGTGGTGTCATTGCCGACCCCACTACCTCCGACTACGAGAAGGAGAAGCTCCAGGAGCGTCTCGCCAAGCTTTCTGGTGGTGTTGCCGTCATCAAGGTCGGTGGTTCCTCCGAGGTCGAGGTCGGCGAGAAGAAGGACCGTCTCGTTGACGCTCTTAACGCTACCCGCGCTGCCGTTGAGGAGGGTATTCTCCCCGGCGGTGGTACTGCCATGATCAAGGCCGCCGCCAACGCCCTGAACGACCTTAAGCCCGCCAACTTCGACCAGCAGCTCGGTATCAGCATCGTCAAGAACGCCATCACCCGTCCCGCTCGCGCCATTGTCGAGAACGCCGGTGCCGAAGGCAGCGTTATCGTTGGCAAGATCATGGATGAGTACGCTTCGGACTTCAACAAGGGTTTCGACAGCTCCAAGGGTGAGTACGTCGACATGATCGCCGCCGGTATTCTCGACCCCTTCAAGGTCGTTCGCACCGGTCTCAGAGACGCCTCTGGTGTTGCCTCGCTCCTTGGTACCACTGAGGTGGCCATCGTTGAGGCAGCTGAGGAGAAGGGCCCTGGCATGCCTCCTATGGGTGGCATGGGCGGTGGCATGGGCGGTATGGGCGGCGGCATGTTCTAAGCCAGTCGCAGCTTGAAGAGTCGATGATACCCCAAATTTCCTTTAGCCTTTGACGGGCGTTCATGTTTCTATGTATTGTAGCTAAAAGCCCTGTGGCATTTCTGCCGTGTCGTTATGTAAATGTACAAACATTTCTCCTCTCTTAGATTGCATAGCAGAGGATGGGTTTAGCGATATGTATCTGTACGAATTAAGATGGTTTTTCTTCTAGAATATGGTCGAAATTGGGTGGTGAATGTGACAGCAGATTAGTGATTATGAACCAAGTATCAGCTGGATGTTTGAAAGGTGAATCTGTGACTCGAAGCATGCGAATGTGCAGGTTGGAGTGAATGAGGCTGAATTGGCGTCGTCATGATTGGGGCGTCACGTGTGTGAAGCAGGAGAGGAAGTCGCGGAGAGGACGGGGGCCACACGGGAGGGCAGGGCAGCAAGTGCAAGCTCATAGCGCCAGCACCACCAGTTGTTGTCTACCACAACACCACAACAACCTTTTCAACCCACTCTCTTATCCGGTATGTTGCCGCTCTTTTCTGCACACGCGTACAACGGCAGCCTGTCTTGCCAATGTGCTCTTGTTCTGAATGCTGTTGCCTCCACCTGGCGCTACTTAACACTGACGGCTGACACCGCTCCGACAGCCACTATCGTGTCTCAGACCTGCTAGACAGACAATCAAGATGGTATGTCCCTCCACAGCTACTCAATTGACCAGCATGCTAATCTCACTACTTTCAGGCCCAATCAGGGTATGTTCACCTTTGCCCATCTCCACCGCCTTGGCTGCGGCCCAATCTACGAACCATGGCGCTGATGACCCGCCGACAGTGTTTCCGTTGCACCCGAGTGCATCACCGCATTCAACGACCTCAAGCTCGGCAAGTCGACCAAGTGGATCATCTACAAGATCTCGGACGACTGGAAGGAGATCGTCGTCGAGGACTCGTCCACTGAGGCCAACTACTCCGTCTTCCGCGAGAAGCTCCTCAACGCAAAGAGCAAGGACCGAAGAGGAAACGAGGGCATCGGTGGCAGATACGCCGTCTACGATGTCGAGTACGACACTGCCGGCGAGGGCAAGAGGTGCGCCATTATCGAGCCCTGTCGCCTTGTCGTCGCATACTAACGCCTACTCNNTAGAAGCAAGATCACCTTCATCGCCTGGGTCCCTGATGATGCATCGCAATACGTGCGCCTCTCCCTTGCAACCATCTACAATCACGCATGCTAATCGCTTCTCATTTTANNGCCCCGTATGATGTACTCGTCCTCCAAGGAAGCCATCAAGCGCGCCCTCAACGGCCTCGCCGCCGACATTCAGGCCAACGACCCTGATGACATCGAGTACGAGAGCATCGTCTCCAGAGTCGCCAAGGGCCGCTAAACACCTCACCCCTTCGAATTCCCTAATCTCTGCTTCGTCCGACAAAGGGCAGCATTGTCTGCGTGACACATGAAGCAGTTCCTCTTACAAACTAAGAAGCGCATACAGAAGACGTTGGAGAACGATGAGGAGTGCTGCCCCCAGAGAGCCCGTGTTGATTGAGGCTTCCCATAGAAGTATTTATGAAAGCACTGCTTCATGCATTGCAATGGCCCGAGTCGCCAGCATGTATAGTCGCATATGAGCATCTTGTCTTTTACCATTCTCTACTTTTCCACATTCAGTGACATGCTCTTCCACTTTTTGTTCGCTCCGAGCGACTGTACTCCATACTTGTTCATGTTTGTGTAAGGATGAGAGCGTACATGACATGCATAAGCAGGTCATAAAATCTTGTGCTACGTCATTTCCAGCAAACAGCCTATTATCCATAAACGTGTGCCAAACTTCTTGGACTTTCTTAAAGCACTCTTCCAGACCTACCTTCTGTTCACTCTGTCTTGTGTTCTTGAGATCTATTTGTACTGATCTCATTGAGCAACCGTCACGATGTTACCCTACATCAACGCCCGTGAGTACTATCTGGACCCTCGTTCCAGGAGGTCAAGCAATAGCTTTACTGACATGAGCTTGTAGCGTTTGTCTACGTGGCTGGCAAACTGGGCGCAGCACCCGATGAGTGTATGTGCCATTGAATCGAGGTCATTGTTGGGTCGACTAATGGTATACANGTGAAACTCATCTTCTCCTTCTTGTTGTCATATCCTCTGGCCGGAGTGCTCAAACGCATACCCGACTCGAAACCCGCACAGAAGAATGTTTTCATTATTGCGTATGCGTGAATATGTAGCCCTTTTCGCTTTACTCTACTAACTTCAACAGANGTCTCTATGTTCTATCTGGTCGGGCTCTTCGACCTGTGGGCTGGCCTACGTACCATTTTGATCAGCTCTGTAGGTGCATATGCAATTGCGGCATACGTACAGGGACCTTATATGCCATGGGTTGGTTTCGTGTTCCTCATGGGACACATGTCTGTCAATCACATCTATCGCCAGATCGTCAATGACCCTAGTACCATCGACATTACTGGTGCCCAGATGGTCCTGGTTATGAAATTGACTGCCTTCTGCTGGAATGTCTATGACGGTACTCTGCCTGAAGCCACCCTGACCGATCATCAAAAGGAACGCGCTTTAAGAAAGCTGCCTAGTCTGCTTGATTATGCTGGTTTCGTGTTCTTCTTTCCCTCGCTGTTTGCAGGCCCTGCCTTCGACTATGTGGATTACAGAAGATGGATCGAGACTACCATGTTTGAGCTGCCTCCAGGTGTAGACCCCTCGAAGGCTCCACCGACTCGCAAGCAACGCAAGATTCCTCGCAGCGGTACACCTGCAGCATGGAAGGCCGCATTTGGTCTTCTTTGGATCTTTGCCTTCTTGCAGTTCTCCGGCTACTACTACACCGACTTCTTGCTTTCTGACGGCTACAAACAATACGGTCTTCTTCGCCGCATCTGGGTCTTGCACATGCTTGGTGTCACCACTCGCATGAAGTATTATGGTGTCTGGTCTCTCACCGAAGGCGCTTGCATTCTCTCTGGCATTGGCTTCAAGGGCATCGACCCCAAGACTGGAAAGGTCGATTGGAACAGACTGCAGAACGTGAAGCCTCTTGCTATCGAATTGGCTCAGAACAGCCATGCCTACTTGGGCAATTGGAACATCAACACCAACATGTGGTTGAGAAACTATGTGTATCTTCGTGTCACGCCCAAGGGCAAGAAACCTGGTTTCAGAGCTAGTATGGCGACTTTTGTTACCAGTGCATTCTGGCACNNGGCTTCTACCCTGGCTACTACCTTGCTTTCGTGCTCGCAAGCTTCATCCAAAATTCTGCAAAGAGTGGGTCTTGCACGATTATCTTCTTCAAGTATTGAACATGACTGACCTTTGCAAACAATAGATTCACGCCGCTTGATCCGTCCCTTCTTTATGAGCGCCGACGGCACAAAAGCCCTACCTTCGAAGCGTTACTACGACATCTTCACCTGGCTGTGTACTCAACTCGCCTTCTCCTTCACCGTCGCTCCATTCATCTTCCTCGGCTTCGGCTCCTCCCTCTTAGTTTGGCAGCGCGTCTACTTCTACACCATCATTGGAGTAACCGCAAGTTCTCTATTCCTTCTCTCTCCCGGAAAGAAATTCCTGCAACAAAAGGTCAAGCAACACTCCAAGCCTAGCGAGGAGCAGGTGAAGAAGGATCTGGANAAGGAGACCAGAAACCCGACTTTGGGCTTGCCTGATGATCCTGGTCGTGCTTGGGATGAAATGGTCGAGGAAATTACTGCCGAGATTCAGGAGAGAAAGAGGAAGGGGTTGCCTATCCCTCCAAAGCTGAGACAAGAGGCTGAGGCGGTTGGAAAGAAGGTCACCTAGGTTCGAAGATAAAGGATATATCTTCAGAGGAAGAAGCAAGGAAGCAAGCTAGCAGATTGTGGCAGGACTTCAGAGGGGGCATGCATGGAGGGAGAGAGAGGCTGGCAAGAAAATTGTCGAGTCCGCTTTCGTCGAAAAGATTAGCATAATAATCATTGCATTGGAACAGTGGTTACAGCGATTGTTGTTTTCTTTTCATTCCCTCAGTCACTGCGGTTCAGAATGGGGCTCATATGGACAGGGTCAGGGTCGAAACTTACAAATTTATTGTATCAGACTAACGACTACCACCGGTAGCTAATGGCCTACTTGGAGACAACAGTTCTGCGAATTTGTCTTTTGGCTTTGAGCGTGTGCTGTTGCTATTGATGATGCTGTTAGAAGCCAATATAGCGGTACTTCGAATCATTTAACATAATCCTGCAGTGAAACAGAGTTGTCATTAACAGTAGCGATCATGTTTCCTCCTGGAAGCCGTGGTTTAGTCACTCGCTTCAGGATCACCATGAATACACCTCCTTGACGACCCATGTGTAATCTCCATAGGTCAGAATGTTTCCCTCGATCACTCGCTCGGGTGTGAATGCCAGTGAGACGGGCAAGAACAGATTGCCCAACCTAGCAAGGCGTTTCCAATCACCTTTGCTGTCCTTTCCTGATACTTCAAAGCCCCAGCGCTCTACAGTCACATGCTCGCCGACCTTGAGTATACCTTGACAATATTCTCCTACGCGAACGACACGTCCTTTTGCATTGTGTTCGGGATCGTCTAGATCGATAACGACACTCCAGCGTGTCCCTTCTACGGCAGAGGCAGAGTAGTCAACCCAGAGTTCTTCATAGGCTTGCTCTGAGTTTGTGAGAGGGTTGTACATTGCGCCGAGTTCAAGGGTCGTGTTGTTGGGTTGGGGATACATATCACCCTGATCAGGTCCAGGAGTATCGGTGCGGCTATCGATCCAATGCGAGAACGTAGAATGGCAGACAGACCTTGAGGAGCCATCTGTTGGTGGAGGTGGATTGGATGGATGATCTAGTGACGGTCCGTCGATGACTGTGCTTGTTGATTTGCCCGCGATTCCCCAATCGAGGAGACTAGATGGACCGCCNNTATGAGGTCGTCAGTCCGCGTTGAAACAGGTTTTCAAGTATGATAACGTGGATGCATATCAAAGGTGCGACGAATGCTCTGCTCAATGTGACCATTTGAGCAAGAAGCATATGATCTTCGACTCACCTTCGTTAGGCAATGCCTCTCCGGGCTTGCAGAAGATGCGAATATCGACAAACTGTCCTTTGGAGCCGGTCAGGACCAACGTGGAAGTTGGCTCTTCGAGTTTAAACTCGTTAGGAAGNNCTGAGGAGAATTGTGAGCACTTGCAACTTATCCAAAGTAGTGTATTACACACCCATCTGATGCCTCTTCTTTCGGAGATACCGGGCTCGTTTCTCTGTGACTCGGCCATGGTTCGCGATGGGAGGGCTGTTGACAGGTNGGACGGGTTGACGTGGGGTGGTGTTCTGAGCAGGTTGGTCGTTTTGTTGTCTCTTTTCTTGTTCTTGGATTTCTTCTTCTTCGGTTTAGCATTGGTAAATTTGTCATTGGTGTGATTCATGGTGATAGAGCGATAAGGCAAAGTGAAGGAAGAAACAGCGAAGGACTTTGGTCGTCTGGATCTTTTCTTGGGATTTAGATGCCAGTGAATGTCGCGAGCAGTATTTATGCCGCTGAAAAGTTTGGCTTGCTTTCTCTTCTCATGATTGACAGTGGTGAAAAGTAGAGGATGTGTGAAAGACGACTGCATGTTGTATGCAGCCTAGAAATTGCGAGAGGACAGCGGAATATGAGTAGTGTGTGCTTTCAATGGCAATGGTACGAGAAGATGCTATCAGTCAAACACTTACTCTGGACAAAGAAATTCAGAGGTTTGACAATGGCAAAATCGGGGGTGGTTCGAGGAAGCGGCCAACCGCAGCAGGCCCAAGAGGGAAGTGTGATGACACGCCGACGCGGCCGAGTTCCAAACGCGTCTTCCCAGACTCCACTTGCATTTTCCTATCCATCACATCCACATAGCCAAAATGTCTGACAACGGCGACAACGACAACGATCCCGTCTACAACAACAGCCACCGTGCATTCCTGCAGTCATTCCTGTCTCGCGCAACTCTCACTTTCGAACAAGCCAGGCCAATTGTAGCTGCCATTGAGAAAGCTCAAGGTACCCAGCCGCCCTAAGTAACATGCACCACAAACATCTGACATGCACAAGCACAAGATGGCCGCGACATCCAGCCTGCCGACATCACAGAACAAGATGTTTCAAACTACATCAACGTCACCAATGCCGCCATCTCCCCCTTCGATCTAGAAATCAGAGACACGCTCTCACAGCACGATCGCACTCGCATCTACGCTCTCGTAAATGTCTCTTCAGACTCCATCACTCAACTCGCAACCACACATACTCCCGACGAGATTGCCTTTGTAAAACGCTGTCTCGATGCCATGTTTGAGACAAACAATTCATACCGCAGCGAGGTGCTTGCTGTAAGATCAACAGAAGCCTTGAGGCTAGCAAAGCCCCCAAACGCCCAAACTCAAGATGCCGAAGCCACACAAGGTGCTCAGGCTCAAGGTCTGACTATGATGCAAGCCCAAAAAATGCTACAAGCCATGGTCGACGAAGGCTGGTTTGAGCTCAGCAAGAAAGATTATTATACTCTCACCCCACGTGCTCTGATGGAGTTGCGTGGCTGGCTGGTTGAAACATACAACGACGATGAAGACGAGCGCATCAAGAACTGCTCTGCCTGCAAGGCCATAGTCACAATGGTATCTTTGCCCTGTACGCACTGGCAATTCCAAATCACTAACACTCAATGCAGNGGAGAAAGATGCCCCGACCTCGACTGCTCGGGTAGGCTACATCAGCATTGCAAGCGCATGGCCTTCAGAGCACAAAACAACAACGAGCGCTGTCCCGTGTGCAAGAAAGATTGGGAAGACGCACCGCCAGTAGGCGAGAAAGCAGCCCTTCAAAACAGGAGAAGTACGAACGGCACCGGTGCCTCAAGAAGACGTTCTACTACAGCACAAACCGACGGCGCAGACGATTCACCAGATGACTCGACAGGCGATGAAGGTTGAACATGAGGACTGCCGACATACCATTTCACATGAAGGACTGCACAACACCTTTCTCACAGAGTCTTGCCGTTATTGGCTGGAAGCGATTAAGCCTGTCTCCTTACGGTGTTCTAGGCTGTAAGCAGAAGCAATGGCTAGACGCTACCGCACTCACGCCGCTTCCATAGTAGAGTGATGGCATCTGACTGACAGAGTATACTTGTCTTAGGAAGACAGAGCATATCGAAGCAGATGACCATCCGGATAGAATCAGGGTTCGGAAGTGGAGCAGTCACAAACATACATTGATGGCTGTCAGACAGTAGCGCCGGACAGGCTCTGGGGAGAGCAAGCGATGGCCGCCTATTGGTGATAGCTCAAAAGGTCACATCAAGTAATTCTAGCATCATATGAGAATGAACAGTTCCTCGAGGTGCATCGCATCGCATCGCGACATATCGCAAGATGAAAATGGAAAAGGTCTTTGTCTCGTTTTTGGTTTGCTTGCTTTTTTCGACAACACAACAGCGATTTTCGTTTCTTCTTGACTGGCTCGCTAACGACGTGGACAGCTGCATCGTGCGCAGGGATGATGGGTGTTGTTGAAGCTGGACAACAGCAAAAGTATCGCTTTTGGAATATTCTTGCCTATGCCATCATGAAAAGTTTTGGGATCCCTTTTAACATTTTCCCTTTTCTCCCCAGTCACACGCGCCAATGGAAAGAGGAGGATCATCACAACCCCCAGCAACCCACGAGTCGAAAGGCCACCAATGCGAATGCCACACACCGTAAACAACACTTTGCCTCCAGCAGAGGAGAATTGTTTAACGGTAGGACTTCTGGAAGCGCGAGCGGGCACCCTTACCACCGAACTTCTTGGGCTCGCATCTTCTGTTGTCGGCGACGAGGAGTGTGCGGTCGTAGGCGACAAGAGCCTGCTTCAGCTGGTTCTTGGAGTGCTCATCGACGAACTTCTGGTAGTAGGCGATNNCTTGAATGCGCGTTAGTCTAGATCCTGATAGAGTGTGTTCATGTGTTGCGTATGTTGCGCGAAATCATGTCGGAAGGGCCCATGTATGTGTCTTGCAATCCTCAAATTCCTCCTCTTTCTGTTCTGCGATCGGATCGTGATGGGAGTTGGCTGAGGCAAAACGTACGATGGACTTGGCAATAGCCTGGCGGATGGCGTAGACCTGGGAAGTGTGACCACCACCGGAGACGCGGACTCTGATGTCAACACCGGNCTGTGAGAAAGAAAAATCTGTCAGCGATTTGTCCTAACAAAGATCCCAGCTGCGTGCAATGTCTCCAGATCCATCTTCCGTCCTTGTGTCCCATGCTCTTTTACATCCATTGCTCTTTTGCTGTCTTTCCGGGAGAATAGGTAATCGCATACCGAACTTGTCGAGGCCGAGGATGAGGACAGGCTCGTAGACCTTGAATCTGAGGATCTCGGGCTGGACGAGCGAGATGGGCTGGCCGTTGACCTTGATGAGGCCCTGGCCCTGCTTGCAGTGGGCAACAGCGGTGGCGGTCTTCTTCTTGCCGAAGCACTGGACGCTCTGGGAGGACGACATGTTGGCGGTGGTTTGTGTGAGGGTTGTCGGTTGTCGAAGTGGTCGTCGGCGCGAAAATCGGGTTCAGAAGCGTGTGGGCTGGCTTGCGAAATTGGCAGGTGCGAATTCTCTCGGCTTGTCGAAAAGCCGCGATTTAGCCGTGTACCTTTACGTCTTGGCATTCTTCGACGACATTCAACAGTGACCATTTCCATTTCGTTTGTTCTTGTATCAAATACTCAATAATGCCTGTCTATGCCTTGGGCTCAAATGGCTCTTGTCAGCTCGGAGTCGGTCACGAAGATGATCTTTCTGCACCGTCAGTCGTTGAGATTGAAAAGCTCGACGCCTCAGTCAAGTCCATCAAAGCTGGAGGAAATCACACTTTGATCCTCACTAAATCCGGCACCGTATATGTTACTGGTGAGAATAGTGATGGAAGATGTGCACTCTCTACAGAAGCAGCGTCTATTTCGTCCNNCTTCATGCCGGCAAGTTTACCTAAAGTGGATTTCATCGCAGCAACTTGGGACGCCTCCATCTTTGCATCTGCCAATGCGGTCTACGTTTGTGGCAGTGGCGCCAAAGGTGAACTGGGTCTTGGGCAGAGTGTAGTNAAAGCAGACTCTCCACAGCAGGTCGCAGATTTTCCCCCTACTGGTACTCACATTATCGACTTGGCTGCTTGTATGGGACATGTTGTCGTGGTCTTGTCAAATGGGCAGGTCTATGGCTGGGGAAATGGACTGCACGGCCAATTGGGAAGCCCACTTAGTGTTGTCTGGCAACCTCGTAGACTTGATGATATACCCTTCCGAGTTTCGCGCGCTGTCTGTGGCAAAGACTTCACATGTGTTTTCGGCGATCCTGCTCGTGGACATCTACAATTACTCGGCCTGGCAAAACGAGATAGATTCAACATCAAGTCAAACACTCCTCAGACACTTCAAAATTGGACCGATGTACAAGCCACATGGGGCAGCGTTTACGTTCTGCTATCTGACCACAAAATTGTCGCTTGGGGCAGGAATGATCATGGGCAACTTCCTCCTGCCGAGCTACCGGTAACTGCTATGGCAGCTGGTAGCGAGCACATGCTAGTTCTGACGACTTCTGGCAAGGTGCTTGCCTGGGGCTGGGGCGAGCACGGCAACTGCGGCTTGCCTACTGATGAACAGCGCGATGTCAAAGGTCGATGGAACGAGCTCGACGTAGGCAGTACCGTTCAGCATATCGGTGCTGGCTGTGCAACGAGCTGGATCATCAACGAATGAGATGGATTCGAGGTCAGATGGTAACCTCGACACAACTTTTTGGTGCTCAGTCGAACAATCCGTTCATCTGCGGGCTCAATCAGTCACAGTATCAGACACAAAAGCAATGAGCGCACCTGAGAAAGTCTTTGCGTAGGAGGTAGACCTTGTGTACTTCTGTTCAGACTTTGGCTGAGCGGCGGTGGCTCATGAGTAATGGCATCGCGGAAGGTCGGATGAAATCCGCCAGTCTTGAGAATGTTAGCATGGTTCGACTCAACCGAATCGGAACCTTGACTTACGACATCTGCATTGGCATCCCAGCCCAGCATCTCCTCTGGCTCTTCGTCGAAATTCGTTGGATCGAACCGACTGTCATCTTCGTCGCCTTGTGGCATGAACAAACTCTCAGGGTCAGGATCCGCGTTTGAGGTTGTTGTGGCTTGAGAAATTTGACGTCCAAGACTGCCCAAGACCCGTCGTTCGCGCAGACCAGCGGCAGGGGCAGGTTTTGGTGGAGGTGCCATCTCTGTGTTTCTGTCTTCGAACGTCTGTACTACTGCATGAGAAGTCTGTCTTGAAGGCATGCCTGAAGCTACAGATGGCTGTCTTGTAGACGCGTCTGGATCTACTGTCGATTGTCCTGACGGACGAAGCGGTACAGCTGAGGGCTGCCTAGAAGCTTGACTGACAGGGCGGGTAGATGCCACTTTTGGTGCTGTTGCGGGCGGAACGGCTTGAGATATTCCAGTTGTCATGAGTATAAATTCGCAAGTCAGCCCTTTATCAGTGTACCTGAATAACAATGGTCTTCCAGGACGAGAGAACTGAGCAGACATTGGTGCCTTTAAAGTCTCGGCGTGAACTACGATGGCTTTGAAGTCTTTGACATTGATGACTATGTGGATGTCTTCTTCGGCATGAAAGTCATCAAAGTCCTGGATGTGTAGAGAGATAGCTGTCTCTAGTGGTTGCTTGAGGATCTCTGTTACATGCATCAGTGAATATATCTTTTGGTAAGGAGATTCTCTTACCTTNNTGCCATCCATGATTTTTTCTGTAAAGCTAGTAAAGACGGCCTTTTCGTCCTTGGCTAGCAAATCAAGTTGTTCTGTCTTCGTTCCGAAATATTCGATGTACTCGCGGAGTATGCGAGAAGATATCTTCCAACCATTGGGAGCGTTGTATTTGTCGAAGAGCGCATGTGATACTTCCACAGACTCATATGTCAACCGATAGGTTTTGGTGACACNCTTCAGAGCAAGTCAGCTCGTTCATACACTTAAGGTAGTCAAGAATAGGGTCATACCGTGTCTGCATACCATCCTGACAACCAGGCGGCACTGCACCTTATTCGGCTTATCTTCCACGCTGACTTCACATCGGTCTATTGATGTATCACCGCCACGCGGATCTGTTATGCGGCTCTTGAAAACAGCAAGAAGAGNCCTCGAGATACGTCAGACATCTTCCAAATGTAATCTCAGTTGAATACAGACCTTGTTGTAGAGTTGGCATGTAAACCTAGCACCTTGTCCCAAGCCAAAATCATATGACAAGAAAAATGTCTTCGCATCTAGAGCAAAAGAAGCATATGAGGTTCTTGATGAATTTAACGTAGTCAGGGTAANGCTAGAGGGTTAACATCAGCAGGCTGCAGAAAATCACCTTGCATTTCATCACGAGCATACCATGTCGCCACGAGCTTCCATGCAAACCGTCTCGCCAAATTTGGCCAGGCAGATTAGAGCATCATGCACTTTAGCAGTAGCCTCTGGTGAGAATACAAAACTTAGAGCAGACATTTCCAGTATTTTTGTTAGACGGAAGGTCTTGGGTCGAATGGCAAAAGAAAATAGTTTGAGTATGAACTGCCAAGAGCTGATGCCTCTGGAGGAAGACGCGATCCGACGCGTTTGTGATGACGTGCCTTCCTGTTTCGGATCCGACCAACAGGCACCTATATCTTCTCCTAAAATCCTATTATTGTTATAATACAGCCAAAAGAAAACATGTCAGTCGAAGATGATACGATCACCTCAGGTGTGAGGTTACCACCTGACGTGTGGCAGCTTCTCTTCGACGAGCTTGCTTCGCGTAATGACTTCTCGAGCTTGTACAATTGTGCTGTAGCTAGCAAACACCTGGCTGGTTCTGGAGCCCTGGCAAATCTCTATCGGTATTGGTAATTTCTCAAAAATCTGATCGAATTTGCTAATAAATCACAGNNTGCGAGTCACAATGCGCCAGTTAAGAGTGGAGGCAATGAATCGTTGCCATTACAAGAGCAAGAGCAGGCTGTCCAGAGATGGTCGATCCTGTGGCGGACCATCTTGCTCTCATGTACTGAGGAAACACTCTTCCCATACTGTCATTACTTGAGGGTGCTTGATCTGCGGGATCTCTACGAATTGTTGGACGATGATAAGTTCAGAGGTAGGATAAAGCAGTAAGTCTAAGGGCATCGCATCGAAATGAGTTCAAACTTACAACAGTGCAGAAACTTCTTCTCCGGTTCCCTTGCGAGGTTCAATATCACTGGTCAGACAAGGAGCAAGGCTCGTGCCTTGAAGTCAAGTAACATGCGTGAGACTGTTGCTGCAATTGGAGATGGTGTGTCGAAATCATGCAACCATCAAAGGTGTATCCAACTGACGATAGACAANGCAATCGTGAAAGCTGCACCTATGCTCGAGGAGCTCACTGAGCCTACTGTTGGTGGTAGGTACGATTCAGCCACGTCAATGAATCAAGGCTGATTTGGCTGCCANGTCCTCTCTAGTGCATTGCCACGCTGGGCGCCCGATATGACCAGGCTTCGATCACTTGAGTTATGGGAGGGTAAAACACTAGGCGATCAGACCGTCCAAGACCTCTTACACAAGCATTGTCCTCATCTAAACAGAATCAAGATTTATCAGTGGTAAGTGGAGGTTTCTCTCGTTCTTGTCAAGTCAAAGTTATGCTGACACGATAAAACAGGNATCAGCGACGATTCCGATAGTCAACTCGCACGATTCTTGAACTACATGCCAAAAAACACATTGCAGTATTTTGAGAATATTGGAGAGTGCGGCATCGGCGTTGAGACTTGTCAAGCACTCAACATTCATGGAGAATCTCTCAGATTTTTAGCACTCGCCGTCCCGGATAAAGGAATTGAAGGACTAGGAATGATGAAGAACTGTACGATGATTGAGACGCTCAAGCTGGGCGAAACACAACCACCACACGATCTCAAGGAATTGCAGAAAGACACTCTGGATGGCATGATAGAGTGGCTGAAGCAGTGCACAAAACTGCGTGAAGTCAACTTGACCGAGTTTATCTCAGCTCCGAACATCTTAGCACCTGTCCTCAGCGAAGAGGGCATCGAACTTGAAGACCTGCAGATCGGTGCAAGAGATGACTGCATGTATGTGTTACGGGAGCATCAAGAATTTCACGCAGCTATCGGACTGCAGACGAAACTGCAGAGCCTAGTGTTGAAGGCTGATCCCGACCCTTTGGAGCCTGTTGCTCGCAACCAGCTCTGCGAGTCTTTGTGCGAGTTGAGAGACTTGCGGTATCTCAAGCTCACCAGATCGTCTGATTACTTCCAAGACGATCAATTACAACTTCTAGGAGAAAATCTGCTGAACCTAGAAGATCTCCTCGTCAGTGGCTGGCTGCTAAGTGATCGAACGCTAAACACGCTCTCGAACCTGGGAAACCTCAAGAGTGTTAGTATCACTGGTCTATCGGTCTTCACGGCGAATGGTCTTCTTGATTTTATCGACAAACTAGGACCAGGCAATCGTGGCCTGGCAATCTCGATTGATATGGCTTCGGTGGACGCAGCTTTGAGTAGCGAGGAGCAAGATTTGGTTCGTGACACTCTAGCTACCAAGGTGCAAGGTCGTTTTGAGTATCAGCTTGTCAGAGGTAAGCCAGCTCTGCCCTTTACAAGTTCAACGAACAAAAACTGACATCCGAACNNAGATCCTGATGTTTCAGAATTCGAAGACTCGGATTCGGATTGAAAGGCTTGCATAGCATATAAACAACCATCTATTCAATGATTTTCAAGAGGTTGGGTTGGTCAGGGCTAAATGACAGAGCGGCCCGAAAGCGGCTCGGTGAAATCACCCCGATGACGGCAGCCGCGAGCTCGACATTCAACCAACGCGTGCTTTCCACAATTGTTGTCAGACAACTCGCAAACATGGCAAATGCAAGACGAATCCTTGTCGTCGCAGGGTCTGACAGCTCAGGTGGCGCGTAAGGGTGTACCCTCTGAAGAATGTGTTGCTGACGACTAATTCTTGTTAAATTGTTAGANGGCCTCGAGGCCGACCAGAAAGTCATTGCGGCTCATGGCTGTTATGCTATGACTGCAACTACTGCTTTGACCGCGCAAAACACTCTGGGCGTTACCGGTATCCACGAAACACCATCGGAATTTGTGAANAAATGTATCGACGCCTGCGCTGAAGATGTTGGTATTGATGTAGTCAAGACTGGTAAATCTATCTCTTTGTTCTTATTTCATGGAACCTTCCCACTCTCAAGAAACACTGTCGCCTTATCTCTCAACATGAACTGACAATGTCAAGGCATGTTGGCCTCGGCGGGCACCATACAGGTCGTTGCAGACGCTTTGAGGAAGTACAAGCCCGCATGCAGCATCGTTGATCCGGTACGCTTGTTTGTTCAGAGAACCATGCTACTTGACTGACAGAGACAANNGGTCATGGTCGCGACGAGTGGAGCAAGGCTTCTCAAGGAGGAAGCTATCAAAACACTGTGCACAGAGCTCCTACCTGTCACAGGTCTAATCACACCCAACATTCCGGAAGCACTCCTGTTACTCGAAGAATCCGGTAACAAATTTAACGACATCAAGGATTTGGATGGCATGAAGCAACTGGCAAAGGCTGTTGCTGGGCTGGGTCCCAAGAGTGTGCTGATCAAAGGCGGACACATTCCCTTGAAGAAGAACTATGAGGTTGCCACCACCGACGATGAGAAAGAAGTATTGATCAACGTGCTCTATACCGATGGCAACTTCTGTGTTTTCGAGTCAAAGTACCAAGTTGCGAGAAACACTCACGGCACCGGATGCTCGCTTGCTTGTGAGTGTTGTGTCTTTATGTGAATTTAAGAGGGGACTAATTCGTCTGCAGCTGCGATTGCCTGCAATGTTGCAAATGGCCTTAGCATGGAACGAGCAGTGCGTGCTGCTGGTCGCTATGTCGAGGCTGGTATCAAAACCAGTGCCGATCTCGGTAAAGGCTCTGGTCCGATCAACCACTTCCATTCTCTCAACATCATGCCGTTCCCGCCGTAAGTTAGCTTTGTCACAGTATCCGGAGCCATACTAAGATTTCATAGTGGCGGCTTTGTGGACTGGTTGTTAGAGCGTGAGGATGTTCAGCAAGTTTGGAAAGAGTTCACACAGCATGGGTTTGTTGAGAAGATGGGCGATGGCACTCTGCCTGTGGAGAGATTCAAGTTCTACATGGTCCAAGACTATCTCTANCTTGGTAAGTTTCGCGGCCATGAAAGGTGGATGCGATACTTACTGTTGGTATAGACTCAATTCGCTAGAGCTAACGCACTCGCTGGCTACAAGGCTAAAACCCTGGAGGGTGTTGCAGCAGTACGTTGTACAGAATGACATCCGCTGATGACTAGACTAACCACAACTACANNGTCCGCTGGTATCGTCACGCATATTCACACCGAGACTAAGCTTCACGTAGCCGAATGTCTAGAGCTAGGTGTCACAATGGACGAACTACGCAACTCGGAAGAGCATCAAGGTCTGTTGTGTTCAAGTTTGTCGTTTCAGAAATCCATATTGACCTGAATCCTCTANGCCTGCACAGCATATAGTCGATACATCCTCGACATTGGTGCATCAGAAGACTGGCTCGCCCTTCAGATAGCAATGTTCCCATGCCTGCTCGGCTACCACCACATTGCCAAGCGTCTTTCCCTGCTCCAAGATCCCTCTGCGCCTAAGAATGCGAATCGCTACCGCCAGTGGATTGATAACTACATTGCTGATGACTACACCCAAGCTGTTGGCAANGGGAATGGGTAAGCTTTCTGCAAATCAGATGAGTAGAGAAGTGATGTTGACGTTGCCCCAGAATTGGTTGAGGGTCATGTATCCAAGCAATCTCCATCGAGAATTGAAGAACTGGTCCAGATTTTTATCCACGCAACCAAGGTAAGAGAATACACTTTTCACAGAATTCAGACGACTGACTCATCAATCTAGATGGAATGTGGATTCTGGGACATGGGAATGGGTGCCTAGGATCATACGACCAAACACGACAAAAGTATCAAGTACATGCAAAGCAACACAAAAGCAAAGTAGCGATAGAAACGTCATTCACCGATTGTTCAATTCAATCAGCCTCTCCTCTCTTGTGACATGCATCGTGGGAGTTACGATTAAAGAAGGAGACCACCGCATCAACGCCCTTCCATTCTTCCAGCACACAAATTGAGGAGGGCTCCGATGTCCATGAGGAAAAAAGGTTCTAAAAAGGCTGTGTGCTGCCAGAATTGTCACATTCATACGGTGGTAAGGACGTACATCGCGTTCATGACCGCGTGTGAAACAGATATGGATCTCAAGATGTCGTCTAGTCTTTGTTAAGCCTGAGAAAAATCACGAAAGGTGCAATATGGGAGATCTATGCGAGAAGATGCGACTTTTAGGCTTCATACCTGCTGTTGATATCCTGGCTAGTAAGTCGTTTGCTGCACAACTCTCGTCTTACTACTCTGTACAACTCTTTCCTTCTTGCTTTTCGACCGTTTCGGATTGCTGGCATGACGGTGGATAAGAGCACACTCTACTTGTTCAACCTTATTGATCTCTGCTAGCAGCGAGTTGTACACACGTATGTACCGAAAGATATAATGATGTTCGTACATGCACAGTATTCCGTCGAAAGCAACGACATCCTATGCTCTAAGTTGAAAGCAACGACATCCTATGCTCTAAGTGGACGCGCCCGGAATGCCGAAATGACTGTGACTTTTGATGACCATGTATTAGGGTTGCTTCGGACAAAGAGAATATAGCAATTGATGTTGTACCTTGATCCTGTGCTCTCTTTGCATACCATCTCAAGAAGATGAAAAAGTGTCCTTATCCCACAGACTCTATCAAGGAAAAGGAGAAGCGAGAAAATTAAATTATGTACAATGCAATTGGATCTAAAGTTCTTTACTCATTCATCTTGTTCATTCTTCACCGTCGCTACGCGGTTTGTACATGATGGTAGTCAGAAANNCTGTAGCACCAGAGTTAGTATTGGGTAACTTGACGGATGTAAGAGAAGAACCGAAATATACCTTTCTCTTGTACCTGGTTGTCGCACTCGTGGCCAGCACGCCTTGCTTGATGTTGGTTGTCGCCAGATGGTTCAATACGGTATGATTTGGCATAATCAACACACTGCTATCATCTTTTGTTGGTGTAGTACCGTTCAGAATGCTCTTGCTAAGGAACATTGGAAGGGAAGGAGGCGCTGGCTGAGACTCGGCAGCTGCGTTTGCGCGCTCAAATCTATACCTTGCAGCAGAACCAGAGGGTGACTGAGCGTCATCTTNTGCCGATGGTGGTGGGTACCAAGAATCAAGGTCTGTGAGGTATGCCGGTATTGTTTGTGTCCATTCTCTGCTCGGTTGACGGACNNCAATTGCGGTTGTTGGCGTGGTTTGGGCTCGTCTGCGGGATGTTGAGCGGGGGTGCCAGTGGTCGACTTGGGTGCAGGTGGCTCATGACTTGACTTGGGAGGAGTATTTTGTGGTTGTTTGGAGGTCAAGGGGTCTTTGTCTGCCTGAGCGGCTGGCTTGGGTCGGATGTCCATNGGGTCGCGAAGGCTCTTGCGGCTTGACTGGAGGAGGACCAGGAAGTACAGGCTTGCCGGGTTGCACGCTAGGTAGCTGATCTAGTGATACCTCAATGTAGTTGACCAGAATGTTTGTGTAGTCGACGGTTGTGGGCAGATCGTTCGAGGTCATCATGTCGCCATTGGCAATGAACTTGATGTGATGAGTACCAGGTGGCAATTGCAGTGTGGCCGACAAGGCATTTTTATGTTTGCTGGGACNCACTGCGGTATCGAGTCAGTTCAAAGATCTTCTCGGGGATTCGCATGCAGTTGGGATCGGTCACGCCACCACTTTGGACACTTACTCCTTGTGCAGACGGAATTTGCGTTCCCAGTTTGTGAAAGTACCTGTCACATAGACACGGTCGCCGGGTTTAGCATTGCGCCATTCTATCAGAGTGGGCACCTTTGGGCCACCAGCAGCCGTCTCATAACCCTCGAAGCCGTCTGGCTCTTCGTCGTCATCGTCAACAGTACTGCTCACAACACTCGATCGCCTGGGAAGGTCGGCTTGTTCAGGGCCGTCATCGGGCAAGACGGCTGAGATGATGGGAGAACCAGGAGTGTGGTCTTCCTGCTCAATTGGGAGGGGNNGCAAGCGTGGGGGCCGCGAAAAGCTGGCTGGTGGGAGGTGATAGGCAGCTTCTGTGGCAGGAGAGGCAGAGCGAGGAGGCCGTTGTGATTGGGGGACATCAACAGGCTGTGAAGCAGGTGACAGACGAGGCTCTGCTGGGGGACTGGGTGACTTGAGGCTCTTGTAGCGGCGGGGTGCCGAAGGAGAGTCCTGTTTGGGGGTGTTTGTCGTGTTGGAGCGATTGCGCTGATGGGTAGAGGCAGGGGTGGAGCGTGGTTGCGAGGGAGAGTAGGCCGAGGGGAAGATGGCCTGTCCACTGGCCGAGGTCGTGTCGAGCGAGGANNGCGATGCAGCGGCCGTCTTGGACGTCAGGGCCGGGATGGATTCGCGGCGTCGCGGCTCGCGTCGGGGAGGGTCATGATGTTGATGGTGAAGGGCGTGGGCGGGCGAGGCGGGCTGACTGCCCTTTTCCGCCTTGTTGGACGACGGAGTGTTGCCCATCGAAGGAACAGTGCTGTGGGTTGGCTGTGGAGGATGATCGGTCGGTCGAGGGCCTTGGACCAAGATGGAAATGGAAATGGCAGCAGCAGCGGTCCCGCCGCTCGTGCTTTCTCCGCAACTCGATCGCGCCCGCTGCACCCAAGCTCGCACCTCTCTGTCGTCAACAGCGCCTCAACACACGCCAATCCATCGTCCAGCACATCTCTTGCATTGACGTGCTTCGCGTAGCTTTGTCCGAGCTGACATCAAGACCTTGTACTGTGTCATCCACAGACAACATCCGAGACGTCGGCCTGCAGCATGAATCCATACGTCTCGTGGTCACTTGCTGCCCTCTATTACCTCATATATCCTGTCTACTTTCTACTTTGTTTTATTGCATTGACCCTAAAGACACTGCTCTCGCCAATCACGAGCCTGTTGCTCTTCTTGCTCCAGCCACTGTTCCTGTTCGCTCAGCTACTTGGTTACTGCGCTCTTATTCCATTGCGATTCTTGCAGAAATTCGAGGTCATCTACCCCATCCTTCTTGCTTGCTTGCTACCCCGCATCCTTCTCTCTATTTTAATGTGCTAACTATTGCCAAGNACAATATACATTTATCTGGGTGTCGCATCTATCACCGGCATCTCTTGCGGATTGCTACTGCATTTCGTCTATTCTTTCTTGCACTCAAATCTGCACCTCGCTTCTGAGCCTGCCGTCCGAGGTCCTTCCTCAAAACAATACCGTGCTTCACGGAGGCGCAAAGAAGCTATGCTCTCTCCTACCTTGTCCATGTCCAGTGTGCTCGACACACCAGGTGCAGGCAGATATGGTCTGCTGGCTCAGACCATTCACGAGGAAGATTCTGATTTCTGAGACTTGATCCATGCGGAACTCCCGTATCTATACATTCCTACCTTGCCTACAAGTTATGCTGTCGTAAGTCATGCCAATTGCCTCTTCCCAATGCGCCTCGCTAAAATTGCAGAACGTAAAAGCAGGATGCGAGGTGCTAGTTCACCATGTTCAACCAAGTCGGGGTCGCTTACCGCTGCCAGATTGGCGTTCATCACGCATGCGCTTCCTGTCCATCTCTTCCCTCATAATGCGTTCTGCCGCACTCATCTTCTTGGGTTCCTCAACTACTTGCGCAGGCTTCTTCTCCTTGAGAGGGTTGGACTTTGATTTGGACGCAGCCGCAAAGACGTTGACCCTCTTGGGTTTGGAACCAAGATCAAGAGATAATTTAGGTGCAGTTGGAGGTACGACAGGAGCTTCGGTCGGCTTCTGGTCTTCAGTCTTGAACTCCAGAATGGGCTCAGCTTTGGCTTCGGCAGGTTTCTCGGTCGGAGCTGGCACCTTCCCGGCGGCTGGCTCTACTGCTTCTGTAGTTGCCGGCTTAGATCCCAGTCCTAGACTGAATGACAAAGGGCCTTCTTGAGTCTTTCTAGGTTTGGCCTCTTCATCCTGGGTTGTCTGCTTCAGACGGTCGTCTTCCTCTTGTTGTCGCTTCTTTTCTTGTGCACGCTTGATTTGCGCTTCAAGCATGCGTGTCTCACGCTCTTCGTCGCCCTTTTCCATAGCTTCCTTCTTGCGAACCATCTCTCTGCGTCTTAGTGCTTCAGGGCTGTCGTCGACCCAAGCAATTTCCAAACCTCTTTCTCCCTCTTCTACTCTGCAAATACCCTCTCTTCCAAGATATTTGACGAATTCGGTCAAGCTGGGCCATTTAGTCGAGTTCATGTGGATGTGCTCCTTGTCGTGGATATATTCCTGGTAGAAGTGGTTGGCATAGACTTNTTTCTCTCCGTGCGACGTCCTGAGCAAGGTCANAAAGTCCTTCTTAAAAGTTTCCGAGTATTGGTTAATGTATTTCTTGGGGTCCTCGCCGACCAGCAGCATGGCGCGCACATGTCCTTCAGATAGTGTGTGTTGCTTGAAACCGTTTTCATCGCGCATCTGACGCTGACAGACTTGACAATACCAGCGCAACCTCTGCAAGCCCTTGGACTTCATGTTGTTGGAGAGCCATTTTGTGCTGCCGACTTCTGCCTTAGGCATGGTGAATATGCAAGTCGATAGAAATGGTGAGTTATGCGACCACTGTTATAAAGATTGTGAAGGGTGTTGAGAGAATTTGGTCGAGTTATGGGAAAGTCGAGATGAGTGATTGAAGTTGATGTTCGCAGTCAGGGCAGTGGCGGGGCAGCGCGTGGTCGCAACTGCTGTCACGGGATTTGCCGCCAAGTTCGGCAAGCGCCAAGGTGCCGCACGCACCTGCCACATCGAATTCGTGGATTTTACAGCCGGCGTCTTTTTCCCTCTACGACCAGCGAACAAGACCGTCAAGATGCCTGTAAGGAGTCCCGCCAGCGCTGCAGATACATCAGCACAGTCCTGCTGACACCATGTAACCATACAGTCCCACAAGTCTTTCCGCACCAAGCAGAAGCTGGCCAAGGCCCAGAAGCAGAACCGTCCCATCCCTCAGTGGATCCGTCTGCGCACCAACAACACCATCAGGTACGAATGATCCAGATCCCGTCCCCGAAAGATCGAAACAGAAAGAGCTTGGAAAGTCAAGACACGCCATGGAAGAACGCGAACGAACACCTCGAAAACATCGAACTCTTTTCTATCCGTCCAAGCACACCGAGGCCCGACTACGCAAACGCACACGAACATGCAGAACCCCAAGACTAACGGACCTTTCTTCAGATACAACGCCAAGAGACGTCACTGGCGCAAGACCCGCATCGGTATCTAAGCGACTCGCCCACGATACCAACAGCCAACATATTCCCTCGATGTCGACTTCGTCACTGCCGACCTGCTTCTGAAAGAAGCCGACTGTTTCGCTATTGGGCCCGTGTTCCCTTTCTCAACGGAAGGAGGAAAAGGCTGCCCTTTTTTCCATCATCGTGGGGCTTGTGAATCACGCAGGGAATGACAATCAAGAATCAAAACATGGCGCTAGTTGTTTGCTAGGGGATGCGTATCACAAAACAAAAAACTTCTGGTTGATGGAAATTACATGATGAAATGCCTTGACACCTTTCGAGTCTGCTCTCTGCGTATTTGTGATTTTGAGGTTTCTAACGCGCAACTCATGCCTTGGACGTTCAGTCCTGCTCCTGAATATGGCCAATGTCGATCATAATGATCCGACTCCGGACAATTGCTACAAATATACCTCTTGGTTACGACACTTTGGCGCGCAACGCAAACTGAGGAGNGCTGCTTCAAGTCAGAGATGCTGATGTAGTGTCTTCAGACATAAACCGACTTACCTCCGTAGTATCGATCTTGAGCAACCTCTCCTCGGCCTTTCCCAAGATATCAAAGATTCTGACTTCTCCTTGTTCGACCATCAGCACGCAGCTGGTCCCCGCGTATCCCACAACCTCTTGACCCTCATCATCAATACCTTGACTGACTCCTGCTACCATGCCAGGCTCAGTGCCACATCTGTTGGCCATGACTACTACAATTCCACCATCTCTTTCGCTCTGTACCACTGGCACGAACCTCTCCAACCAATAACTCAGTGTCTCAAGATCCGGCTGCATGCCAGTCTCATGTAGCTGTTGAGGCAGAAGTCTTGTCAACCAAGCCATTGATAGAACGACCAGAGGTGTATCCGAAGCCACGCAGTGAGTTGCGAATTCGTATGCCGACCAGGGTGCTTCGAAGCGGCGAGGGTTTATATCCATACAGATGCCCATGCAGGCTTGACCGATTGAACCGAGTGTACCGTTGTAGAAACCAGTGTCGCCTTCAGATGCCCACGTCTCATCCGTGTAGTAGAGGAAGGTTTTCCTGTAGCTAGCCGCTACACTTCCGTCTGGTGATATGCTGACTACCGTGTTGTAACGCTTTCCGTCTGGTGTGATTTCTGGGTAACCGACGGCAACTATGCAGTTCAATCGAGCCGCTGTACGTCTTGCCCATTCTGCTGAAGGGCCACTGCTTGTTGGCTCTAGAAAAGGTGTAACGGCCTCTAGGTTGGGAAAGTTGTAACCNNTGTGTATAACGATAGATGTGAGACTGCGTATAGGGTCTGAAGACGAAATTAAGTGCTACCTACCTGAGAAGGCCATTTCTGGTAAAACCAGAAGATCGAGTTCAGAGGATGAGGTACCCTCCAGCAGGGAGTCTGCTTGGCGGATATTGTCATGTACCGCACCCAGCTTGGGCGCGAATTGGAGGCAACCGATCTTCATATTCAAGTCCGATTCCGATGAGAGGGAGTGTTATTGTATTGTATGCAAGGTAATGTGGTGGGGATTGTGGATGGAGAGACAAGAGCAGAAGACGGAAGTCAGGACGATGTTTTGGCAAAGCAAGCAAGACAACACTGTCTACACTTGATTGAGGCGCCTTGATCTGTTCTACTCCTCTCACCTCAGTAACTCTTTGCGACCTACTACTCTTCTATCAAGACTATCTTTTGAGACAATGTGTACATGTGGCTCGAGTCGAGAAACAGTTGCAGGCGTGGCCGGAAGCTTTGACAACTGCCCGCATTTTGACGGCATCGACGTCAGCGATTTTGATTCTCTACAGAAACACATGCAGACAAGCAACGAGTAGCATTCGGGCAATGAGCACGTGAGGCTTCTGGACAGAAAATTGAGACAACACGATGGCGGGCAGACGGCTGCTAGATGCAGCCAGACTTTTTAGCGCATCCGGATCCATAGCGAAACACCACTTCAACATTCGCTCCCAGCAATGGGAACTCTTTACACAGACGTCGAGTCTGGCAAAGGCTGTCAAGAATCAGACAGATCGCGTTACTCTCACCGCTCGAGCTGCCTATGCCCTCTCACGGAGGGTCAATGAGACTGGACCTGCCTACACTCAGACGAGCCAACACGAGGAATCCATACCGAGTCAAGAGACTGTTCAAGGCGCAGATAGGACAAACACGCACGAGGAGGGATTGAGTCAGGATCATCATTGGAACAGATCAGAGCAGAATGCTGCTGCAGAAGCTCCNCCAGTAGACGACCTGCATGTTAACCAAGAGAAAGCACGTCGTCACCCTCTACCTGACGGCACCATTCCTCCTGTAGGCGCAAATCTCGATCCATCGCCGAGTCGTCAGGGCACAGATACATTCAACCAACGGCCAGTGACAGACACTCCCAAGGACCCTCTTGCAGAACAGCAGTCCGTTATCAAAGACTTGCACCCGACAGAGTCTGGCACATCCACCATTCCTAGCCCAGCTGTCCAGGACAGCCATGCCGATGACACGGTCAAGATGCAGCGTAAGGCTGAGTTTCAGATTCCATCCGTATCTGGTCACTCTCAGTCCATGCCCACACCTGGACAAGATACCTTTAATGTTAGACCTACAGAATCTTCTGTTGAATTGTCATCGTTACCTCGCACTAAGATTCCCAAGTCTGTTGAAGATACTCAGGGTGGTGACGATCACCTCAAGGATGGCCAGTTCAACCAGGATGTGTACTACTCATCCAAGGGACACCCTGCTCAACCACCTATACCGCAACAAGAAGCTATTCCCACACAGGATGAGGTTCCTGAAGGTATCAATACTGATATCTTCCACAGCTCGAGAGTGGCTTCATTGCTGAGTGGTGGAGCCAGAGAGGATAGGAGAAAGGCTTACGAGCTCAAGATGAAGGCCGCCAGGAAGGGATCAGCCCAGCCAATCCAGCAGAGCATCAAGGCCGAAGACAAGAACTCTGACACATTCAGCACAAGACCAGGCGCGTCGTTACCAGAGGCTGATACTTCGCCTGCTCTCAACACCGAGACGGCTGTCCCTGCCACTGGATCAAAGACAGAGATCACCGACAAGGAGACCCAAGAGCTGGCTGATGCTATGGCCGCAGATGCCACTGCTGCCGCATCTCCAGCTGTTGAGTCAGAAACTCCAAATACGCCCTATCAATTGCGTGAATCTGCCGTACCTTCTTCTCGCTTCGGTAGATTATGGCAGTATGGAGGCCTGGCTACAAGCATGGCTTTTGGCGCTGTGGGCGAAAGTCTACGACGAGTGACTGGCGGTGCTGCTGCTGCGAGTGGCTCGTTACTGCTTAGCCCTGCAAACATGGAGAGGCTGGTTGCTAAGCTCTCTCGCATGCGTGGTGCAGCTCTCAAGCTCGGCCAGATGATGAGTTTCCAAGACTCTAAGATGCTGCCTCCTGCCATCAATGCTGTGCTTCAACGTGTCCAAGACAGTGCTGACTACATGCCTCCATGGCAGCGTAACAAGCAACTCGCTGCCAATCTGGGCGCAGACTGGAAAGACCTGTTCTCGAGTTTCGAGGACGTTCCAATGGCTGCTGCATCGATTGGCCAGGTGCATCGCGCTACACTGGCTTCCAATGGTCGTGAGGTTGCTGTCAAAATCCAGTACCCCGGTGTTCGTGGTAGCATCGATTCTGATCTGAACAACCTCTCCCTTCTCCTCACAGCGTCAAGACTTCTCCCTCCCGGTCTCTTTCTCGACAAGACAATTGCGAATGCTCGCACAGAGCTAGGATGGGAATGTGACTACGAACGTGAGNNGGCTAAATGCGGCGCTCGTTTCGCATCTCTCCTCGAAGACGAAACGGCGACCTTCCGCGTCCCACAAGTTTTCCCAGAGGCATGCGGTCCTGAAGTCCTAACAGCTGAGCTCATGCACGGTAAAGGCGTCACCAAGATCCCCGACCTTTCACAAGACGAGAGAGATTGGATAGGCACACAAGTGCTGCGCCTCTGCCTCCGCGAACTCATGGAATGGAGATTTATGCAAACCGACCCCAACTGGACCAACTTCCTCTACAATAGAGGCAACGCCCCTTCCGAGCGTAGACTGGAGTTGCTAGACTTTGGAGCTTCGAGAGAGTTCCCTGAGAGTTTTGTGACGCCGTATGTCCAACTGCTCATTGCTGCTTCCACGCATGACCGCAACGCCTGTCGTGACCTCTCTATCAAGCTAGGCTACCTCACTGGCGCAGAAAGCCAGGCCATGCTTACCGCCCATGTCGACTCAATCCTCACCCTCGCCGAGCCTTTCGACTCTGGCAGGACAAGCGACTACTATGACTTCAAGGACCAGACCATCACCGATAGAGTAAGAGAGAAGATTGGCCTCATGGTCAGAGAGAGATTGGCACCGCCACCAGAGGAGACATATTCGCTGCACAGAAAGTTGAGCGGTGCATTCCTGCTCTGCGCAAGACTGGGTGCCAACGTGCCAGCGAAGAAGTTGTTCGAGGATGCGGTCGGGAGATGGAAGCAGAATCAAGGTATTTAGCATGCGAACAAGCTTGTAGATCTGTAGTATATGCACACAATTATTCCTCTTCCCTTTCTTATCACTAGCAATCTACAATGGCGTTGATAGTAAAAGCCTACTTAATTAATGTCCACGTCAAGTCCAAAGTCGAACTTGAGTCAGATTGTAATCTCTTCTCGTTCTTCATAGCCTCTCTAGCCAGAAAAGGTAAGTAGGATCATGTGATAAGACGACTGAAATGGTCCAAGCTTGAAATCCAGATCTATACAAGACATTGACAGGATAGTGCTTACTGGTATAGCAGGAGGTTTCTTTGAACATGGTCTCAATCGAAGAAGATGCTATGGTCATGCGTATCCGACGTCGATAATACTCTAGAGTTATGATGTTGTTGAGACATTGGTAAGGACTTGCAATTTCGGGTCTGGAGATCCTTGGCGTACTTGAAATACTTAGATATTTGTCAATATCGCATGCTTGTAACATGGGGAAAGGCAAGACAGGCAGCAGCGATATCGAAATAGCTGGTGAAACGTTCGTCATCATACTCGGTCCCGCGTGTCAGCTCACCCACGTTCTTCTAGTCCCCGCTTAGACTCTCTCCTCGAACACATCACATCAAAACCAACATCAGCAGATCAGACATGCAGCAAATGGACGTTCTGATCCTTGGAGCCGGCTGGACGTCGACGTTTCTGATCCCGCTGTTGAAGGCACGCAGCTTGACTTACGCTGCCACATCCACGACAGGGCGTGACGACACTATCAAGTTCAAATTTGATCCTTCGGACCCGGATCCTAGCTACTTCAAGGTCTTGCCCTCTGCTCGCAATATTCTGATTACTTTTCCGCTCAAGGAGAAGGGCCAGGCCCACAGGCTAGTTTGGGCGTACAACTTTACACACCAACACCCAGCAACAAACGTTCGCTTCCTGCAGCTCGGATCGACTGGGATTTGGCAGATTGACCAAGAGACGACATGGGTAGATCGACACTCACCTTACAACAAGGAAAATCCGCGAGCGATTGCTGAGGACGAACTGATGTCAATGGGCGGCTGCGTACTCAACCTCGCCGGATTGTGGGGAGGAGAAAGACAGCCGAAGAACTGGGTCAGCAGGGTTGCAACTACCAAGGAGCAGGTCAAGAGCAAGAAAAGCTTGCATCTGATTCATGGTGAGNNGGACGTGGCACGGGCAATTCTTGCAATCTTTGAGAAGTGGGAGCATGCCAAGGCTTCAGGCTCACGTTGGATGTTGACTGACATTCAAGTCTATTGTTGGTGGTCACTCATGGTCGGCTGGGCCAAGGAAGGCAAGCATGTGGACGAAGAGCCTAGCAAGCAGAGCCAATGGGTTTATGAGTTGATGCAGGAAGAGGATGTCAAGGCTTTGCCTAGAAACATGGAGACACTTGGCAGGTGCTACGACACTCGCGAGTTCTGGAAGACCTTTGATCTCATACCTTTGAGAAGCAGGATCTAATGACCTGTTATGTCGTGTCACAAGCTTCAGGAAGTCTGCAAGTATACTGATGATTATATGGTCTCGTTAATTCTGTACTTGCTCCAAGCTGCGAGGCTGGCAGTATAATATCATATATCCCAAGGCTCGAATTGATCGGATATCTGGCTGTGGTTACAGTGTACTGTGCTCAAGGATAATTGAAGAGAAGAGCCAAGAGCAAGGTAAATTCGATAGTGCATTATGATCAGGTCCTAGGATGGTATCAGGTCACAGCAGGCGGAGGTGACTTTCTGAAGCCCGCTCTGGATTTTTGGCACAAAGCTAGACATTTTAACAACAGGCAGACCTAATAGGTCGTTATCATCAGGAGGATATGAAAGACAATTCCAAAGCCAGTCTGAGCCATCAAATGCCAAAGATACTCTGTTGTTCGTGGCAGAGTTGGATATATAGTGGTTGAGCATGATGTCGAGGGTACCACCCTGTCATAACGAGGCGGCATGTTCCGTAGGAGCATCGTCATCTCGAGTTTCAGCCAGGGAAGTCAACGACACAGCGTCGAGCTTGTTGCCTTCGAAGATAACCACAACACCCCCGACGGCCAGTCTTAATTGTTCAGCAGACAGTCAAGATGGCGGCACCAAAGGACTCGTTGTTCCGCTCGGTGGACATGTCGCTGACCCAGCTGTACATGGCCAACGAGATCGGACGCGAAGTCGTGAGCGCCTTGGGCGAACTGGGCATCATGGACTTTAGAGACGTATGTCGCCCTACACCGACTCTCCACGACTTGCACTGACGGCCGTGTGTANNGCTCAACTCGGAAACCACTGCCTTCCAGCGCACCTTTACTCAGGAGATCCGAAGACTCGACAATGTCGAACGCCAGCTGCGTAAGCCATCCGCCCCTCTGAACCATCTAGACGGAACAAGAGACTGAGACAATCACCGACAGGCNTACTTCAAGGCGCAGATGGATAAGGCCGAAATCCCAATGCGTTCCATGTACGAATTCGGCGACCGCCTCGCCGCCCCCTCGGCTTCCGAGATCGACGAACTGGTCGACCGCAGTCAGACTTTGGAGCAGAGAATCCAGTCGCTCAACGACAGCTATGAAACGCTCAAGAAGCGTGAGATGGAGCTGACCGAGTGGCGCTGGGTGCTCCGCGAGGCTGGCGGTTTCTTCGACCGCGTGAGTCCGAACAACATCACAGACGGCTGGTCATGAGCACTAACATACAATAGNGCTCGTGGACAGACAGACGAGATTCGCCAATCTATCGACGAGAATCACGATGACGATGCACCCCTGCTCGCTGATATGGAGCAGGCTCACAACGGCGACGCCTCGGGCGAGCGTTCCTTCTCTGTTATGAACATTGGATTTGTCGCTGGTGTCATTCCCCGTGAGCGTATGGCCGCGTTCGAGCGCATCCTGTGGCGTACTCTTCGCGGTAACCTGTACATGAACCAGAGCGAGATTGAGGAACCCATCATCAACCCCGAGAACAACGAAGAAATGCACAAGAGCGTCTTCGTCATCTTCGCCCACGGCAAGGAAATCATCAACAAGATCCGCAAGATTTCCGAATCTCTCGGTGCCGACATTTACAATGTCGACGAGAACAGCGAACTACGCCGTGACCAGATGCACGAGGTCAACACTCGCCTGCAGGACCTGGCAAACGTCCTCTCCAACACCAAGCGCACTCTGGACGCCGAGTTGACCATGATCGGTCGCAGTCTGGCTGCCTGGATGATTATTGTTTCCAAGGAAAAGGCTGTTTACCAGACCCTCAACCGCTTCTCCTACGACCAGCAGCGCAAGACATTGATTGCAGAGGCCTGGTGCCCTACGAACTCGCTTGGTCTCGTCAAGTCGACTCTGCAGGACGTCAACGACCGCGCCGGTCTTTCTGTCCCTACCATTGTCAACACCATCAAGACATCCAAGACTCCCCCAACCTACAACAGGACCAACAGATTCACTCTTGGTTTCCAGACCATCATTGACGCCTACGGTACTGCCAAGTACACTGAAGTCAACCCTGGTTTGCCCACAATTGTTACCTTCCCCTTCCTTTTCGCCGTTATGTTTGGTGATTTCGGTCACGGTTTCATCATGACTGCTGCCGCCTGTGCCATGATTTACTGGGAGAAGCCTCTCATGCGCTCCAAGCAGGATGAGCTCTTCTCCATGGCCTTCTTCGGTCGTTACATCATGCTTATGATGGGTATATTCTCCATGTACACTGGTCTAATCTACTGTGATGCTTTCTCTAAGGAGCTTGCCATCTTCCCTTCCATGTGGGAGATTCCAGACTTCAAGGAGGGCCAGTCTGTCACCATGGTCCGTAAAGAGGGATACACCTACCCCTTCGGTATGGACTGGCGTTGGCACGATACTGACAACGACCTTTTGTTCTCCAACAGTTACAAGATGAAGCTCAGTATCCTTCTTGGTTGGGCTCACATGACCTACTCCCTCTGTCTTTCCTATGTCAACGCCAAGCACTTCAAGACTCCTATCGACATCTGGGGTAACTTTATCCCTGGTATGATCTTCTTCCAGTCCATCTTTGGTTACCTTGTCTTCTGTATCGTTTACAAGTGGTCCATTGACTGGTATGCCATCGGCGCTAACCCTCCCGGTCTGCTCAACATGCTCATCTACATGTTCTTGCAACCTGGTACTGTCGAAGAAGAGCTTTACTCTGGCCAGGCTGTGATTCAGGTCATCCTGCTTCTTGCCGCAGTTTGTTGTGTACCCATTATGCTCTTCTTGAAGCCTTTCTACCTGCGCTGGGAGCACAACCGTGCCAGAGCCATGGGATACAGCGCTGTTGGTGAAAGCCAGAGAGTTAGTGCCCTTGACGATGACGATGACGAGCACCAAGGCATGAACGGTGGCAGACAAAGCTTTGCTAGCGAAGACGGCGGTGCTGCCATCATCACCCAAGACATCCACAGCGACGAGCATGAGGAGTTCGAGTTCTCCGAGGTCATGATTCACCAAGTCATTCACACCATCGAGTTCTGTCTCAACTGTGTGTCTCACACTGCCTCTTACCTCCGTCTCTGGGCTCTGTCACTTGCCCATCAACAGCTGTCTATTGTGCTGTGGTCCATGACCCTGGCCAACGCCTTTGCCTTCACTGGTGTAGCCGGTGCCTTTGTCATTTTCTTCTTCTTCGTTGTCTGGTTCTTCCTCACTGTCGCTGTACTGGTCGTTATGGAGGGTACTTCCGCCATGTTGCACAGTTTGAGATTGCACTGGGTCGAAGCCATGAGCAAGCATTTCCTTGGTGATGGTGTTCCATTCGAACCCTTTAGCTTTGAGACCATGCTCGAAGAAGAAATGGCTGATCTGAAGTAGCCTGTCGCTGCTGTTTGACGCCGGATCATTGTATCGTCTATTGCATCGCATTTCTTGTTTAGTCTTGTATGTAGAAATCTACCGTATAGATGAGACCTTGGTGTCTCTTTGATTTTGTTCATGAATTTTCCATGGTTCCGTGTTTTCTTGCAGTCCTCAAGCCTTGTGGGGCTTGAACATCCCACGTCTATCTACTGCGCATAGGATTTTTCTGCTGCTACAGCCATTCATTCATTCTCGCAGGACATATATCTATTTGTTGTGACTTCAGGGCGGCAATCTCTTTTGCATAATAACTACCTCCGCTCTTCCTTCTCAACAGCATCAGCCATATCCCCGAGTGTGTCAAACTTCCAATCAAATATTTCTTCCTCTCTGTTTCCCATCTCCGCTCCCGGTCTCACAATCCAGCAACTCTTGATGCCCATCTCTTTAGCTGGGTGGTGATCATGGAATTGACTTTGTGCCGTTTGCAACACCTGTACTTTCTGAGTCCCAAACTTTTCGTTTACTTCCTTCAACATAAACTCGAAGTTCTTGAGTGAGGGCTTGTAGCTACCAATGTCTTGAGCTGTGATGATGGCATCGAATGGGAACTTCTGCAAAGGTCCGGAGTTTGTGGTGGAGAAGGAGTTGCGGTCGACGTTTGAGAGAACGACGAGTTTGTAGTGCTTTGCGAGACGTTTGAGAGCGTCTACGGTGTCTGGAAAGGCAGGCCATTNTCCTACCGAATCTCCAAATGCTTTGTTGTCTGCTTCTGATGGAGATTCGCACTTCAAGTCTGCAGCGATCGAAGGGTGGATCGTGGCGAGCAGGTCACAGTAAGACATATCTGGTGTCTTCTGCTGTTGGGAGGCTTCATGGTGGTGGTAGATCTCCAGCAGTTCCTTGCGGGTATAGTTTGTCTTATTGTTCTTGGAGAGAAGAGGTTGGAGAGCGGTTATTACGCCAGTCTCCCAGTCTATGAGTGTGCCGTAGACATCAAAAGAGAGCAGCTTGAAGTCGGTAAGTTTGGCCATGGTTTTCGAAGAAGATATAGTCTTTCGGGGCTGTTGTTTGAGAATAGCTTGGATCGTAGTGAGAAGTGTATGTGAAGGATCAAGTTGAGATGCTAGATACACTTAATATACGAGGAAACACGCCCTTGTAATGATCGGTGCCGTATGTTAGCCAAGATGGGACACCGTAGGAGATGTAGTTGCAAGCGACTTTAGCCGAAAGATAGGCGGAGCTCGATGAATCGAGTCGACCCGATAGCGGACAGGCTTCACCTCCTTTCCATTTCACAACAATCGACACCTCAACCTTTCTCTTGTTCTCCAACAATGAATTCGACTCTTTAGTCATGTTTTCACAAGCATTACTTGACGCCTTCTTCTTCTGTCTGTACCTGTACTGCGCCTCGCACTGCATGATTGGACGGAAAGCGTTGTGCAATCGAGCGGATGGCGGTCGGCCATCAATTGACACCTGGCCTCTATTGAATGCGACTACATATGCTCACTTGCCGCAACGTCTTCCATCGTCAACAGCCAGTTCACACAGTGAGCTAGATCATCAGACCTGCCGGGGTAGCTCAATCGGTAGAGCGTGTGGCTCTTATCANTTGGATAAAGTACAACCTCAAGGTCGCGGGTTCGAGCCCCGCCTTCGGCTATTCCTAAAAACAGTTGACATTCTTTTTGTATCTTTTTTTTTGCACTATGTCGCTGTGTAGTAGAAAGCAACACAGCATGTGGTAGAGATTTGAGAAATCCTTCTCATTTTTTTTTTTGGTGCTGAAGCCTGGCTTGGCGGTCAGGGTGGGGTTTGAAAGCGAACTTCGTTCTTCCCGTGTACTCCGACTATAGCAATTGACAAATTTTACTCTATAAAAAGACAGGATTGTTCTCAGAAGCAGAGGCGTGTCCACCGAGAGCCGGTAAGTTGTAGCTTCTCACTGAGCACTGTTCTATTTCATGATAGTATTCTGTATTTTGATAGCACACATTACTTTCTTTTAGGCTAGCCGAGGGCGCGGCTTCGACCAGTTTGGTCAGATCGCTGGTTCAGGACCCGCCATCGGCCATCCAGCCTTCAGAATGGGTCAACGCAAGGATGGCATAGCACAAGGCCCAGGCTCGCAAGAGCGATGTCTACTGTGCTAGATCACAAGTGCACAAGCCAGTGAATGAAGCATACAAGTTTGATTTAGAGAGGACATCTATCTGATACTAGGTCTAGACCTCGCAGATTGAAAGGTCGTAGGTACTGTCGTGATTTGAATCGTCGCACAAAGCTCAAACGTGCTCGCCATGGCCACCTTGACTGGTCTCAGAAGGACCATCCTGCTTAGCAGGAGTGTGATCGTTGCGGTGCCTGTTATCATGTCAGATCCTGCACTATACAGCATGGAAAGCAATGACTTACTTCTTGACTACTCGCTCGATGCCGTCGAGACCCATCTTCAGAACGTCCATTCTTGGACCGTAACTCAATCTGACGTGCTTGTGGCAGGGAGAGTCGAAGAGATCTCTTCTCTTGCTGGGGTTTAGGTCGAAGAAGATGCCAGGTACGACGATAACCTTTTCGTGGAGACAGGCGTTGAAGAAGTTGAGACCATCGTTGATACCCTCGGGCAGCGAAGACAAGTCCAGCCACAGGTAGAAGGTCGAGTTGGGAATACGTTCGATGTTGAAGCCCATCTCGGTCAATCTACCAATAACATAGTCTCTCTTTTCGCGGAAGTGGTGTTGCAAGGCACGCATTTCGTGCTTGACCTTGGTAGGTTCCAGCATGGGAATGGCAGCCTCTTGGAAGGGAACGTTGGTGCCTCCGTCAAGGTAAGATCCACAAGAGCCGATAGCCTTGATGAACTCCTTGGGTCCAACAATCCAGGCAACTCTCCAACCAGGNNGGAGACGGAAGCGCTTTGTCAAACCGTCAATGATCAGGACATNCTGGGTTGTGTTAAAGAAAGGTCAGCTGTTACGTTCTTTCTGAGACATACCATCTTCATCAACGTCTTCAATGTTGTCAGCAGCGGAGACAACAGTACCATCGCAGTCACTGGTGTAGTTGTAGCCGCCGTAGAACTCATCCATGATCAATGTTGCACGGTCTCTACCTGTGGAGATACTATCAGTTCTGACACGCTTCAGGATTTGCCATCGGGACTTACAGATATCTTGGATCTGAGCAAGCTCAGGATTGGTGAGGACCTGGCCTGTGGGGTTACGAGGATTGGATGTCAAGATGACGCTGGTACCGCGAGCGATTTCCTCCGCAATCTTGTCAGGGTGCATGTGGTACCCATCTTGCTTAGATAACGGGATAGGGATGGCGCTGAAGTTACGGAAAAGCGACAACATCTCGTTGTAGGCGGTGTAATCAGGTATGAAGAACCCCATGTAACTGTTCCCNNTTTATTCCCCCTCTCCCCTCAGTCTCCATTCATTCGAAGTTGTGTTCAAGAAGTACTTACCGATGACAGCGGCGATTCTGATGAGACCAGCTCTGCCACCAGGAACAATGCAGACATTCTCCCAAGTGTATTGACTCTCCTTGCCTTTGCGGTGGTGCTCATTGTAGAGATTGGCAACAGCTTCTCTCAAAGGTTTGATTCCAGCAGTCGGGCCNNCTATAGTATGTCAGCCTACTGGATAGTATGCCGATAAAGAGAGACATACATATTCACGGCCAGTCATGGAAACATCGATGTGGTGAGGCCTCTCGAAGCAGCCCTCAATCTCATCATCGACCTCAGGAGCGCCTTGACCCAAGTTTGCCCATTTTTCCGGATGTTCAGCAAAGCCATGCTCATAGGCTCTCTCAGTAGTCCAGACAACTCCAGTAGATGCGCGCGAGGGATCTAATCCAGCGTGGGGTTTGTGTCCTTGATGGGCGTTACGGAATTGACGATGGACCGAGGAGCTCAATTCTGANNTGACCATCAGCAATCAAACACGAAAATAGAACAAGTATTTTCAAGTTCAGTTATTGAGGATAACAACTTTAAGATACTCAACCTGTAAACAAATGAGGATGGAGTTCTTACCGCTGTCAGTGGGCTCTTTGTTGGTGGAGAAGCGTCTCTCCCTAGCCCCATGAGGAGCGTTCAAAGGAACATCGGAAGCAGAGAAACTAGCTCTCATGGTGGAGTAAATTGATCGTGCAGGACTAAGAATACCGTGATGAGATGCCAAGCGTTGGCTGGTGATCGATGGAGAACGCAAGAGTCGCCTCATGATGGGGTGAGGTCGGATGTTGATGAGTCAGCAACAACGCGTAAGCACGTCAACACATCAACAACAAAGAAAGCTTCACATCATCTTCGAAACAGAGACACATTCACTTTGGAAGCTGTCACTTGAGGAAAGCGCTATGTGCTGTACCTTCCTATACGGTTTACTGCTGATGAGCGTCTTGTCGCAGTGCACAAATGCAGTTGTCAGAGACGATGAACCTTTGGTAATATGCCTTTAGCTGCATTTCAGAATGCTGCCTGGAGTAATTTGTCCAAGGGCTGCAGGATGGTTGACTATCTAGGAGCCGAAACGACCAAGGTGCAGGTATGCGATCGGACCAGTCGCGTCTCTCGATCTTCACACTCAGCGCAAATACTGCTTCAAATCCCTGATCTCCTCCTTCAATCTCTGAATCTCATCATCCTTATTCGCCATTGTACCGACTGCCTGATGTGTGCGACGTCTGTCTGTGTCCAAAACGTTGATTTGTGCCTTGAGGGTCGAGATTTCCTCACCCCGCATACGCAAAATGCCCTTTGCCTGTTCGAGCTCTTCCCCCATTCTCTTGACGTCCTGCCACAGGGGTTGTTGACTTGGTTGTGGTTCCCTCACGCCGTGATGCGGAGCTGATGCGCCCAATGGAACTTGTGGACCTGGAGTCTTTGCTTCAAACGATGACGCCTGGTACGGAGTTCGTGCACCCATAGAGTGGTTCTGGTACGGAGTCTTCGCACCACCTGCATGTGGGGTTCGAGCTCCAGATGCCACGAGACGGCCATTGATGCGTTCAGGTTCTTCTTCGTCATAGTCGTAGCGTGCATAGACAGTCTTTCCACCAACTCTTGTCGTAGGAGACCATTCTGAGCCACTGAGAGGGTCGACTTCGTTTCTACCAACAGTTCTTGCTACTGGAGGCTTGTTCAGACGTCTCACTCCGCCAGGCCAGTCTGGAGATGGTGTTGAATGCAAATACTTACCGACTTTAGGACGATCGTGTCGAGGGTTTAGCGGCTGGTCTGCCTTTCGCTTGGTCGCGTACTCTGTCTTGCTTCCGTTGTTAAGATTTGTAGTGGCGCTCGCTGTCGCATACTCTGTTTTGTTGCCGCTGTTACGGCTTCTGGATGTCATCGTCTGGTTCGCGGTACTGGGTCTGGCTGTATTGAAATCGAAGACAACTTCTTTGTAACCACCTTCCTCTCCTGAGAGATAGTAGTTGATTACGTTGGGTTTGCTGCCCGCCTTGACCCAGGGGACGGCTCCCACCCTCTGGTTGTTTCCTCCTTCGACAAGCCCTTGGTTTTCATTGGCGACCACAGCTGCTCTGCCTTTGTGGCGTCTGCTGGACCTGAGAGTACCATTTGCCATGAAGTCGAGAGGCCAGTATGTACCCCTTTCTTTTGCGGTGTACTTTTTGGATACGACTATGTCCCAAACAGCTTTGTCGTCGAGTGCCACAAAATGCGGAGGTGAATTGGTTCCGCGTCCGATGGGACCGATATCACTTTGGAAGAAGCGATATCTCTCCTTGAACAATGGTTTGCCGGGAAACTCGCTGTCTCTTACACCGTTGCCATCGCCAGGCTGCCATACATCACGTCTGATGCCGTCACCGTCACGATAGGCGATGGCGTCAGGTCTGAATGGCGTTTGAGGGACTGACTGGTAGGTGCTGGGCCTGGTCTGTGAGCTCCGGCCGCTCGTAGAAGGGCGAGCGGGGGGTTTCGGCGGGTCTACTCTTTGACGATTCATCTGTGACTAGTCAATGATTTGGAAGCACGCGTTAGACAGGGACGCACTCACCTTTGCATTGGTCGACATGCCTGCTGCTTCACTNNGGTATTGTCGGCCTGAGAGTTTATCTGTTGCAAGTCGATGAGTATACAAGATGGGGTATGGAAGATGGGGATGCTGGCTTACTTCAGTCTGGTCAGGGGCGTTGTCAGACAGGGGCTCAAAAAGAGGTGAATGGTCGTCGTCAATCACAATGGCCGGGCTCTCCAAGACTTCTGCTTTCTTGTGTCGCGGTGTCGCTGCCTGTTTACGGATGTAATTGTTGGGCGCTGGCTCGCTTGAGAAGTTGAAAATGAGTTTGTTTGGTGCCGTCATTTTTCTTTGTTGGCTTTGTGTTGTAGAGGTCTCGAGAGAAGTGAGTCGCTCTTTCTAGTATATCAATGTGTTTGTCAACAATGTCTGCCAGGTTTGGAACCCGATAGAAGGACTAGACAGGGTTGAACTGAATTGACATATCCAGGCCGACGAGACTACGGCTTCCCGGCCTCTTTTGTTGATGTGCGCACTTTGTGGCCACCGACTTTCACATAATCACATGCATACTCTGATGCTGATCAAGTGATGCTTTGATAGAAATGACTAGCAAGATTCAGATGTAAGCTTTAGTCGGCTATGTAACCATCCAATCTGACTCAATCTTGCTGTGCGCCAGCCGAAGACGCATTGAGGCTGATCAACGAAGGCAATGGCTCACGAGATGTACCTTGGTCCCCAGTCATCTGGATAATGACTGTTGTCAGTGTGACCCCCTCGGGGGCGAGGACACAGTAACTGTCCCCGTGTCTCAGAAAATCATGAGCACAATGCGAGCCCTATGCTTGAAGACAACTTTGAATACAATGTTTCTACCACATGGCTGAGATGCATGAAGAACAAGAGCACAAGACAGTCTCGCTGAGGCTCCGGCCGCCAGGGTCAGACAATTTTGACTATCCACACAAGGCCATCTTCCCACCCAAACTTACCTGAAGCAAGACCGACCAAGACTTACTTGTCGTGCCTGCTCTACGGAAGTTTCCCTCCTTTTCACCGCGACGATGCTCTCTGAGGCAACGCACGTTCACAGCATAAGCTCGCCATCCCAGGTTCTGATTTTCGACACTTTTGAGAGACATCACGAGTGGAACACAGGCAAGTGACAACTTTCGGAGATGCTTCCAAAAGTGCTAACAATGTAAACCTTGTCCTTGTGATTGCTCAACCGACAGCAACACTACTTTCCAACTCTGGTAGCACGAAACACAGGACATACCTTGAAGGAGTCATGAATTGACTTCGGTACATTTGAACGACGGCCGGATATGGTCATCCTTGTGCATCGACACTGACCTCTGATCTAATTTTCCTCCATCTATCCTATTCGTCCTACATTGTCCAGTTAGGTGAAGTGAAGAGTGGTCACGTATTCTCATAAAGCAACATTACCCAGGCCACTGATCCTCTCAGAAGTCCAGAATCTCGCCTCAGATGTTGAAAATTTGGTACCATGTCTGATGGTCGTTTGAACGAAACATGGTTACTGTGGAAGAGGAGCTTGAACAGGGGCACATCGACCTCAAAAAAACCCGCATCTCAGCCATCCATGCTGATCAAAGTACGGTCGTGTCTTGCGTCAGGAAATGATTATACAAAGGAATATATAAGAACTATAATGTCATATCGTCGTCGTACAGTCCGCTTCAAGGCGATGTGGGTTCCACTCTAGTGATCGCAACAGTCACACTCTTTGTGATGACTGGAGCTCCTTGAATGCTGTCTTCGCTGATTGCATCGTCCTCGTTTGCAGTCTTGTTGATTGCCCAATCGTTGTTTCCAGCATTGTTGGCCAGCTCCAACTGACTGCCGTTGTGTACACCCGATTGAGGTGCACTGTGCAGTTCGTATCCTTTGTTACCAAATGACCTATCGAGCCAGGATTTTCTGGTGTTCACGTATTGGCCACTGGTTCCAGGTGCAGATGTGCCAAAGGTAGAGCCCATAAATCCAGGAGCAATCTGTCTGAGCAGAGGTTTGAGCGACGGTACAGATGCGCATTTGGCTGGTAAGAAGTACTAGAAGCGTTAAGTTTTGGCTGGTGGCTGGTTTTAAGATGACCCAATGCAGAACTCTCGTGTCGTACCTCGCTAAGATGTTGGAACAGGGAACAGCCGCGAGGGAAGGACCGTAGACCGAAGCGATCTCCACGCTCGAACGATTGGAGTCGGGTAAAACGGACCCCTTCGATTGCTTCACGAGTCACGATCATCATGATATCGTAGCCTCACACGGCGATTGTAACCATGAAAAAAGCCATGAAGCGGCACGTATGAGCACCGCGGGGAAAAATTACCGACATATGTTAGCCATTGGCCTTTTGTCTGTGCAGTTTGATAAGGTTGTTCGTGATTATTCGAAAGAAGCATAGAGCGGTGTTCGAAATATTCGCTCGGCCAGTTTGTTCTTTCAGAGTAAAGAACAGATCTCGGCATCGCATGATGGCGAAGGCACTGATTCTTGGTCGGTCACTGCTCCGACGAGAACGTGGAGGATTTTCAACGAATGTCTCACGAGCAGAGATCTGTGGCTCCGAAGTTCGCTCAGCGAGTCAATGTATCGGCAACGCGTCCAAAAGCCGTGTCTGTCGATCGACACTGCATATAACTTCAACTCTAGGGCTAAAAGAAGAGACTACTGGCATGAGTACCGGATGCCGATGTAATCCGAAACGCGAGGCTGTTGAAGGAACCGAGGCCAGAGTGGAGTGCACAGTGGTAAGTTGAGCCTCCATCCTTCGCTTAAAGCTAGCACACTACCGTCGTGAGACATGATGTCTTCGAATGGCCGAGTTGTCTTGAGGACGATACTCTTCGACACAGGTTTCTCATGACTGACTGGTGTTATGACATGTTGTGTCATGCCTTTGAATTACAACGATGCTCTTGACGAAGATCAAGAAGCCTTTCCAGAAGGAATGGAGATGTCCCAAATTGTGGCTTGAATGGCATTACCGAATACGTATAGCAAGGTATATCTACCGACTAATAGGTGCGATTTAACTCTCTAACTAGTCGTGCGGCCGTAAACATTTCATGAGAGATTCTTCGTTCATCTGTCGCGACCGAAAGTAGCGGGTCCAGCGGGCTTGTTATCAAGGATCTTCTCAATCTCCTCCATGAGCTCCGGTGTCAACTTGTCAAGCAGCTTCAAGGCTCCAAAGTTGTCTTCCAGCTGCTCGACCTTGGTAGCACCGAGAATGACTGTAGAGACGTTGGGGTTCTTCGCAGCCCATGCCAAACTGAGCTGAGTAACGGTACCACCAAGCTTCTCAGCAATGGTTGTGAGCTTTCTGACCTGTTGATGGTGCGTAAGTTTTTGATCAGACAAATTGACAGAGATATGATTAGATACCTTCTCGATCTTGGCCTTGCCTTCGGGACTCTGGAGCTGCTTGACAGTGTTCTCAAAGAAGTCCTTGTTGGTGGCAAAGCGAGAGTCCTCAGGGATGCCGTCATTGTACTTGCCAGTCAAAAGACCTGAAGCGAGGGGCGACCAGATGGTAGTACCGTACTTGAACTGGTCGTACAGAGGAGCATACTCAACCTCGAAACGCTGTCTGTGGAATGCGTTGTATTGAGGCTGCTCGGCGATGGGTGCAATGAGGTTGTACTTCTCGGCAATCTGAGTGGCTTCCATGATTTGAGTAGCAGACCACTCGGATGTACCCCCNNTACAAGGTTAGGTATTAGTATACTTGGTCCCGAAAGGCAGACTCGATCATCACGAACAGTAGTAGGCCAGATTGAGGTTGCGAATTGCCTGGGTGAAACCCTCGACGATCTCCTTCATAGGAGTTGCATTGTCAGGGCGATGGGCCAGAACGATATCGACGTAGTCGTGGTTCAGTCTCTTGAGGGAGCTCTTCAAGCCCTCGACGATGTGCTTCTTTGAGAGACCACGGGTGTTGGGCTCCTTGCGGCCAGTACCGAAGAAGATCTTGGTTGAGAGAACGTACTCGTCTCTTGGGTAACCGAGCTCGTTCAGGGCACGTCTGTAGATCACAGGTTAGTTGCTGCATTGAGGTAGCATATTGCGCTCATGAAGAAGCATTCACGAGAAGACGATATTAGCTTACCCCATCTCAATTTCAGATTGACCATTGGCGTAAACCTCAGCAGTGTCGAAGAAGTTGCAGCCNNTATCTTACAATTAGTTTGGCGACCCTCTCTAGGAAGCACGACAGATTATACCATGGTCGAAAGCCTTCTGGATGCACTCCTTGACGACATCACCCTTCTGGGTACCACCGTAGGTCAACCAACCTCTAGACAAATCGTTAGCCGTAAGGATCGAGTTGGTCGAGGCTCATGCCACGTACCCAAGAGAGAAGATGGAGACCTTGAGACCAGTGGGGCCAAGGTGACGGAACACCATGTCCTTGGGATCAAACTTGGATTCGACAGCCATTTTGGAAGATTGATTGATGTGATATGAGTGTGCTATGAAGTTGAGAAGAACTCGATGGAGGAGGCAGGCGTGCTTTTGTAGGACAAATCACCTTCCTAATAGGACCCGGATATCCACACGTACCCCTCATGTCCCGTTTCTCGAGCTTCGCCTGTCAACTTAGCTCCGTTAACGCCGCGAAACTATCGTCATCGGTATGTAAGCTAAATATGTGAGCAGAGAGGCTCTGCGGACTGAAGAGTCGAAGAGAAAGCTGCATACGACTGGCTGATATACAATTCATGTATGTCACTGGATACCAAGAAAATCATATTGGTACAGGAGAAAACAGTAAAGCTTACCAAGCAAAAAGAACTGATTCTTCAAAGCCCATCATAGGCAGCTGGGAGAATGGGCACAAAATTTACAGGCAGTGCGCTGACTGCTCTTAGCTATCCCCATCTACTTTCCTCTATTGTGACTCGAACAACAAGAGCATGTCGAAGTCTTCGAAAAAAGTCAAGCATGGACTCGTCACTTGAGAGCTCAAGTCCCACGTGTTTGGAGGCTCACGAACGACATCTCGGATAGATCCGCGGCTTAGCGTCGATCTAATCAGCAGCTTTCTCCAGAGGAGAGAGCAAAGCCATGCTTGCTCTCACTCATTCATCCCACCAGATACACAACATGGCAGCCCTTCGAACGTTACGCCCTACGGCTCTGCCAGCAGGCATCCGTCAAATCCTCACCTCTCCTCGCATCATGTCCTACTCAACCCCCTCCTCGTCACAATCATCCACCACGCCTCCGCCAAAGTCATCAGTTTCCGAGACTGAAATGTCGCACTTCTCCGCCCTCGCCTCGTCATGGTGGGATCCTGAAGGTCCTTCTCGCATTCTCCATGAAATGAACCCCTTCCGCCATGTCTTCATCCAACGCTGCCGATCGCTGTATCCAAGGGATGTCACACAAACGCCAAAGAAGCTCCGCTATCTCGATGTCGGCTGTGGTGGTGGCATCTTTGCAGAATCAGCAGCGAGACTTGTTGACACAGAGTCGGTGACGGCAATCGATCCGACAAAAGAAGTTTTGGCTGTGGCGAAGAAGCATCAAAAGAGCGATCCTCTGCTATGCGAACCGGGGAGATTAAACTACATCAATACTGCCATTGAGAACTTGCCGCTACCAGCAACACCAGAGCAAGGTGTAGATGTCTTGTCCGTCTTTGAGGTTATTGAGCATGTCACGCATCCTGCTCCCTTCCTTGCCAACTGCATGCCTCATGTCAAGCCCGGCGGTTGGTTGGTTCTCAGCACCATCAGCAGGACGTGGGCAAGTTGGTTCACAACCAAGCTTGTCGCTGAGGATATCATGCGTATCGTTCCGCCAGGCACGCACGATTGGCATCAATACATCAATGTTGACGAGATGAAAGCTTGGGCAGCCAAGCAACCTGGTTGGAGTAATCCCATGACTATGGGTGTTGTCTATATTCCAGGCTTTGGCTGGAAGGAGATTCAGGGCAGCGAGGGCTGGGGCAATTATTTCTTTGCTATTCGGAGAAATCCTTGATGACACGAGTTCATAACGTAATTTTAGTGTAGCAATATTGTATGATTTTGAGCAATTGCCATGCAAACAAATGAAAGCAAACATTTCGCAGCCATGCACTATTTCTGAGGAGGCACCTTCTAAGCACCACCTCCGGCTCCGCCTCTCATCCTCTTACCAGCACCCTCATCACCGCCCTCATGTGGACGCTTGTTTCCTTGAGCACCAGCCGTTCCTGGCGCAAACTGTTGTGCTCCAGGATTCATGCCTCCTCTGCCGCCACCTCTTCCCCTGCTCATACCGCCTCGGGGTAGCCCACCACGTTGAGCTTGGCCAGCAGCGCCCTGCACACTAATTCCTTGACCTTGTGCGTTTTGTGTTCCAGGCTGTGCCAGGCCACCTCTGCCGCGGAATGCGGCACCTCCGCGAGGTAACATGCTTCCACCACCTCTAGGTATGCCAGTGGGAATACCAGTAGGGATTCCTGATGGAATGCCACTTACGGAGGGAACACGCACAGGACCAGGCCCGGCGGCTTGTTGACCTGGGATCGCCGATTTCAATGGTGCTCCTGGTGTTTGAGGCGGTGTGCCGGCTGCAGCTTGAGACTGCCCCGGAGCAGTGTTGATTGCTTGAGTAGCAGCATCAGATGGAGCTTGATTCGGGACAAAACTTGGTTGACCAAACGTGGTGCCCGATTGTGGTTGCTGAGTTTGAGCTCCAAACTTTTGCATCCTTGCTTGCATCTTGTCTTGCGGTGCTTGACTGCTGGGAGTGGGTTGATTGGACTGAGCAATCTGAGGAGGAGCCATGCCAGGCGATTGTGGAAGACCAGGGCCAGTAGCCTTGAATGGAGAGCTCATGGGGGACTGAGCTGGCTTGTTGACTTGAGGAGGAAGTGGTGAAGCCGCAGGAGCGGGCTTGGTGGTTTTGGCAATCTCCCACACTTCGACGACTGGTCGTTGAGGTGTCTCGACCGCAGCCTTCTCGACAACATCCAACTTGGCTTTGGCGGCTCTCGTCTGTCCTTCAGCCATGCCAAGTTTTGCCTTTTGCTTGATGGTCTCCATGTTGACAGCCTTGGTTAAGGCTTGCTCTCTCTCCTTCTTTGCTTCTTCCGCCTTCTCTTGCAGAGCTTGCTCCTTCTCCTTCTGAGCCTCTTCTGCCTTCTCTTGCAAAATCTTCTCGTGTTCTTGCTTGAGTTTGGCAGCTTCTTGCGCGATCTTGTTTTGAATGTTTCTGGCCACGATGCTTCGAATAACGGTGTTCTTACCAACCAGTGTACGAGCTTGTTCGTCGGTGAAGACCAGCTGTGCTGGATCAATGTCAGATGCAGGAGCTTGAGCCAGAGTCGAGGCAGCCGCATTGTCGACAGGAGGCTGACCGGGTGCTTCGCTGGAGGGTTGCTCCTTGATCTGTGCTCGGTCCACTGCAAGTTGACCTTCCTTGGTCAGACGCTCAATTTCGAGACGGTGCTCTTCCTTGAGCTGTGCAATGGCGGCCTCATGCTCTTGGCGGAGTTTTTGTAGTTCCTCACTGTGCTTGACCAAAGCTTCCTGACGACCTTCCTCCTTGGTCTTCTCCTTGTCCTCTCGGAGCTTTTGGTTGAGCTTCTGCTTCATGAGGTTGGTTCGGTTGTTGTACAGAGTTTCGAGCTGCTCTTTACTGAGGTTGTGTTGCTCCTCGAGCTGGGCGCGAAGTTTGGCAACTTGTTCCTCTACTTGTTCGGCAACAGATGTAGCCTCGGCGCTTGAAGCAGTAGCAGCAGTATCTGAAGGTTGAGTTGATGCCTCTTGAGTGGCGTTGGTGGCAGCAGCAGCCTTGAGCGATTCGACTTCTTCTTGTGCCGTAGCCAGCTCTTGTCTTAGCTTATCCATATGCTCAGTGTTGTCATCAGATTGAGGTGCAGCCTCTTGAGTTGGTTGCTCTTGGTTTTGGAGCTCCGAAAGGCTAGCTGCACTGGTCTCGAGTTGTTGCTGGAGATTGGTCTTTTTTATGTTAGTTATATTCCATCCCAAAGAAAACATGAGAACTTACCACATGAGCTTCAAGCTCAGAAATTCTGGCTTGCAAAGATTCGACCTGAGTGGACAAGCCGGCAGCCTTAGAAGCCTCTTGAGATGCTCTAGCCTCTGCCTGCTCTAGTGATTGCGCCAATGACTCTTGTTGGCCATCTGCTTGAACCTGACCGTCTTCGGCTTGTGACTGGGTTGACAATTGCTGGGTGGCAGCCTCGGCGTTGGCCACTGCTTCGTCTCGAGAAGCCTTGGTGGACTCGAGCTCCTCCTTGACTTGAGCCAGCTCCTGGTCAAGTTGATTCTTTTCCCTCCTTGATGCCTTCGAGCTCTTTCTCCAATTCTCTGATCTTTGCGCTTTGCTCGCGAGATCTTGCCTTGGCCTGCTCAACAAATTTGGCCTTCTGTTCCTTCCATTGCTTTTCGGCATCGTCCTTAGTTTGCTGCAATTCTGCTGGAACAGCATCAAGCTTAGCCTGAAGTTCTTGTTTTTCGGTGGTCAATTGGTCGCGCTCAGTCTGGAGATCAGAGATTTGAGTCTTCATCGCTTCCATCTCGGCGGGATCGACCCTGTCGTATTTGGAAATGATGTTTTGTGTACGATCCCGCCAGCGATCACGGTCTTCTTGCATTAGCTTCATTTCGCCTTCCTTTGTCTCTAGTTCGTTTTCAACCTCTTGAATACGAGTTTGCAAAGGTTGGATCTGGCTTGTCAGGCTTTCAATCTCCTTGATCTTTTCGGCCAATTGAGTCTGGGCTTGCCTTGCCTCTTGTCGCAAGGTGGTGCTGCTCTCACGGAACACGTTGAGCTCATTGATGGTTTGCATGAGCTTGTTGTGGCTGACAGTGTTTGCTTCGTGATCAGCATGTTGTTGACGTTCTTCGCTAAGCTTCTGTCGTGTTTCATCGAGCTGTGTCTGTGTGTATTCGAGCTGTTGCTGGAGACGCTTGCTTTCCTGAGTGGAAAGCTCGTACTGGACATCCACAATCTCCTTCTCTCTACGCAGGTACTTGATGACTTCTTGGAGGTTTTCGAACTCGGAGCCATGGACTTGTTCCGAGTCGTCTTGCTCCTCAGATGAAGTCTTTTTCTGCTGCAAATCAGAGATTTGACTGCTAACAGATTCCAGTTGCTCGTGAAGAAGCTTGTTTTGCGACTTGAGATCTTCACGCCCAAGTTTGACTTCGGTCAACTCGCGCTCGTATCTTTCCCTCACTTCTGCCCAACTCTCCTCACTCTGGCTCAGAGTAGCCTTGGCAGCTTCGGCTTCAGCCTTGATGGCAGCAACCTCGGTTCTGAGTTGATTGTACTCTGTGCGTACTGACTGGAGGTTCTTGGCAGCGTCTGCATGCTTGACCAGCTCGTTTTCGTAGCTTTGTTGGGCTTGTTGCGCGATTTCTGCCTGTGCCTTGAGATCCTCCTGGTGAAGCTTTGCAGTTTCAGCGTAACGTTCAGACTCATCGCGGAGACGAGCAATCTCTGCCTCGAGCAGACGCTTCTGGTCGTCCAATTGAATGGCACTTTCTTCGTGTTGGGTGCGCAAGGTTGAGAGTTCACTGTTGGTGGTGGACAGCTCGGTACCCAACTCCTCAACTCTAGTTTCCAAATCCTTGATCTTTTCGTCTTTTTCTGCGAGGATACGATCCATCTCTTCGCGATATTGGTCGTTGGTTTCGTTGAGACTCTGGAGCTCCTCTTCTGATGCTTGGCTAATGTTCTTGTACTGCTCAACCTGGATCTTAGCATTTTCAAGATCGCTACGGGCGAGTTCAAGATCATGCTTGAGGTCGGCGATTTCGAGAGCGAGTTCTTGTTCACGAGACAAGGCGTCCTCGGCGTTGTTTTCCGATGGTTGCTCTGTCTGAGGCGTGGGACGGGGCTGGAGTGCTTGCACACGTTCTTCTGATGTGCGCAACTCAATCTTGAGCTCCTCTACTCTTGTTGAAAGTTGGTCGCGTGTAGTCTTGGCTGCGACAAGCTCCTCGCGAACGGTGGACAGACTCTTGACTAGGTCGTCAATTCTTGTCCTGCTCTGCTCTTGGTCATATTCTCTTCTGAGAGCTGCCTTTTGCTCTCCTCAACCTCGGTCTCCAACTTCTTCTTTGTAGCATCAATGTCAGCCTCGAGCGTCTCGACTCTAGTTTGAAGTCTACGACGAGTTTCTGATTCAGCTAACTCGCGCTCGTTTTGCAAAGTCTGAAGATCTGCAACCATCTTGTTCAGGCGGCTGCGTTCATTCATGAGGGAATGATTGTCCTCGGTCATGCGAGCCTCAATCTTCTTCCAGAGCTCACGCTCTGCTTTGAGGTTGGCCGCATCGTTGCGCATACTGTCGGCAAGGGTGCGAGCCTCGACCAGCTCTTCGGCGACCTGTTGTGTACGAAGATCTTGCTTGGCTGCTACTTCGGCCAGAGATTGGGATCGTTTTTGCAATTCCGAGTTTTCTGATTTGAGCATGTCGTAATTGGCTTGAAGCATCCCGTAACGTTCATGGGCAAGTGTGATTTGACCTCCAGTACGGGCAACCTCTCCTTGTAACTCGCCCTTTTCGCGAGCGAGCTTGTCAACTTGTTGCTTCAGAGTGCTGTGGTCTGTTGCGGCCTCTTGTCTATAAGCGTCGAAGTGAGTTTGCATCTCCTTGAGGAGCTTGGAATAGTCTGACAATTCCTTGGAACGAGGTGTTTCCTCGACGTCTCGTGGCTTGCCGCCTGGTGGGGGAGTTGACGGGACTGGACCCATGGAACGACCGAAGGCAGCCTGAAGATCAGTACCGGCTGGCAATTGTCCACGATGAGAGAGCATGCGTCTAAACATGTCACGCTCACGCATGATGCTCTCGGACTGAGTGGTCATGGACTTGATCTCGTCTTGGTGTCTCTGAACACGATCACGAAGCTCGTCAAGCTCTTGCAAGGCTTGTTCAGTTTCCGACTGCTTGGCCTTTGCAGCTTCGCCCTCCATGCGATCGGCAAGGCCGCGATTGAGTTTGAGGAGCTGTACATTCTGTTCCTGGAGTTCTTGAACATTCCTGAAGAGCAACAGTCTTTGGCTAATCAAGGCTCCTGCAGAGGTTTCGTCCGCAGCAGAGGATTGATCATCGAGTTCGCCATTGGCAATCATCTGCAGTTGCATCTGACCTGCAGTGTCTAGAGCTTCCAGACCCTGATCGCGAGCTTGCATCTCAACCAAGAGAATCTTAATTTGTGCACTGAGGTCGCGAAGCTGTTGACGGAGGATGTCACCTTCTCTTGAGAGTCCCTCTGTCTGACCCTTGAGATTACGTGCTTCCTTGCGTGCTTCGTCACGTTCAGCCGAAGCTGCATCGAGCATCGAGGACATTTCTAGAATCTCTGCCTCGACACGCTCCTTCTCCTCGCGCAGCTCTTCCTGCTCAGGACCTCTGTTCTCAAGATCACGGATCATCTCATCGAGCTCGTTACTGAGAAGATAATTTCTGCGCTTCTCTGCTTCGAGATCCGCCTTCATGTTGCTGTACTCGCTGTAAAGTTGAGTAAAGTTCATGTTGCCCTTCATGCGCGCAGATCCAGGGGTGAAGACGGCAGGCGATCCATCACGTCCAGGAGTTGCTGGAGCTAGGCCATTAGAGTTGCGTTTGGGAGTAGCCAGGACCGAAGCATTGTTCTGGGCCTCAGAAGCTGCAGCTTGGAGGCGTTCGACTTCGAGTTCCAACTCGGCAAGTTTAGCTTCTACAGCCTCACGGTCGGCTCGTTCGGTCTCGATCTCGGCTTGAAGCTGTCCAACTTCTTCTGCTGCATTCTCCTTGATCTGCTCGATATTGTTTTGAAGATCCAATAGACGTGCCTTGGCAGTGTCTGCACTCTGCTTTTGAAGTTCGGCGAGTCTGCGTGCGCTGTCCAACTCGACACGGAAAGACTCTTCGGCCTTGGAAGCACTTTCCTGCATCTGTTGAATCTTGGCAAAGGCATCATCTGCTTTTTGACCCAGCTCTTCTAGACGTTGACGAAGAGTCGTCTCTGTGCGCTTCAGCGCGTCGACTGTGGCATTTGCATCCTCATTGGCGCGCTGCAATTCAGAAATGCGAGCATTCTTTTCCTTGCGGAACTTTGTATGTTCAGCGGTACGCGTCTTGAGTTCAGACTCATGCCATTCATTGTTGCGTTTGAGCAAATCGACTTCTTGCTGAAGGGCTTGTTCCTTGAATTTGGCACTAGAAGCAGCGTTTTCCAAGGACTGATTCTTTTCTTCCAAAGCAGAGATGTCGCGACGCAGCGAAATTATCTTTTGGTGTTGAGTGGCAAGCTCTTGGGCAAGCTCGTCGTGAGCAGTAGACTTGAATTCGAGGACGGAAAGAGTTTCGCGGTTAGAAGTTTCGAGAGAGGCGATGCGGGCACGCAGAGTGTCGAGCTCGGAGTTTGAATCTGATGATGAAGCCTTTACAGAGTCAAGTTCGGTCTGAAGTTCGGCGCGAGCGTTTTCTGGCAAACAGATTAGTGAGGCGAGAAAAGAAGCATAAGAGTCGAAGTACACACGTTGGTCATCAAGAGACTTGCGCAAGTCCTGAATTTCTTGGGCGTTCTTATTGAGAGTGGCCTTGAGAGCCTTGACTTTTGATTCTCCAGCGCGGACGGTGTTTTCGAGCTCGACGTCGGATCTCAGCTTGTCGGCTTTGAGGTCGTCAAAGTCCTTTGCTCTAGCAGTGAGGGTGGATAGAAAGTCCTTGATCAAGTCTTGTGTAGGAGCGTCCAACAGAGAGTCAAGCTGTGGCTCGTCGATAGAGAAGGCTTGGGCAATGAGAGCCGTGTCGACGGCGCCGGCCTGGGCGCGCGTCCTCATTGTCGCAATGATGTATGGGCTAGTTGAATGTCATGAAGCTTCGGAAAGGTGAGTCGGACGTGTCGGGGTCGGAGAGGACGCGTGACGGCAAAAGCGAGAATGGCAATCGACAAGTGCAATAAAGCGACACGCAATTGAAGGCGTGTCTTGCAATGTCTGATGTGGTAAGTTGGCGGTTGCAAGACTGGACACAAAGAGTGGAAGCGTGCAACGATCAAGGCCGGCCGAGCTGCTCAAGGCGCACTGACCGATGCCGTTTGCGGCTGCCTCCAACTCCGTCACTGCTTGATTTCATCTTCATTGTAGAGTAATCCATCAACTACGCCGTGACAACACGTGCGACCACTTTTTCTTAGACACAGCATATCTTCTCGAATCTCTGCCTGCCACTGTCGTCCCCCATCAGCAGTGCTCTTCAACCATCGTCGCCGCCTTGATCGGCCGACACTCTCGCCAGCATGTCTCTCAAGGCTTCTTTCAATAGCTTCAACAGCGAGTTCTCGGCCGCCACCACTCGCAACACACAGCAGCAGCAGAAGCGCCCTAACACTACCGTTCCCACTCCTGTACAGCGTCCTTCGACTCCCTCGACTCAGCCCGCAGACCTCAAGCGCAAACGTCAGGATCTCCCTCAAAATGCTGCCTACTCTCAACCTGCCGACACGGGCTCAGGTAGAGAGGTCATGACCCAAGTCGTCTACGCCATCGACTATCTCAAGTCCAAGGACCGCCCCATCAGCTTCACCGACATATGGAATTACCTCTCTATTCCTGCCAACCAGCAGCAGCACCGCCAAGTCTTGCGCAGGGCGCTTATGGAGCACCCCAAAGTCGACTATGACCCCAAAGGCCTGGATGGGCAGCACCCTTCGTTTCGCTTCCGCCCCGTTCACAATGTTCGCTCTGCCGATGATCTAAAGGCATACCTACAGCGCCAGCATACCGCTCAAGGAATCAGTGTCAAGGAACTCAAAGAGGGTTGGCCAGATGCCATTCCCGAGATTGAGCGTCTCGAATCAAAGGGTGAGCTACTGGTCGTAAGACAGAANAAGGACAATATTCCCAAAATGGTTTGGCCGAACGACCCTTCTCTCGATCAGCGTATCGACCAGGACTTCAAGGACTATTGGACAAAGATTACCCTGCCTGCCAACCCTGGCGACTTGAGAATAGAACTTGAAAAAGCTGGCATTACTCCTACCAGTCAGGTCAAGGAAGTCATCAAGGTCTCAGGCGGCAAGGACAAGAAGAAGCGCACTTCGAGAAAGGTCGGTAGAAGCACCAACACTCATATGGTGGGCATTCTCAAGGACTACAATGCGGTCAAGAAGTAGTCCTACATCCTTTCCTTCTTTCCTTTCTTTTCTTCGTGGTTTAGCGTGGCGTTGGTCAAGGAAAGCATATCAAGGGAATATTCTTGGAATTACTGGGCAATGGGCGGATGCAGCGGAAGCAAAGGATATGCCGGCAATTTGTACCTTGCAGTGTCTCTTTGCATACGCAATACTGCCCACTGCAAAAGAGTGTAGTCGTCTAGCACTAAATCAACAAGCTCGTTGTAAAGAGACAATCATCAAATGATATACAGCTAATGTACAGCATGCCCGTGGAATCGGAATAGACAGGTTATTCCCGATAGCGTTATACCCGCAAATGTCATCCTCCCGATCAGCGAGTTCCTCTCACTCCCCGCATGAAAGGCCTTTGGCATCTTGGGGTCGCGGCGCGTGCTCTACTTGTACTCATGCATTCAACAATTTGACATTCATAGAGTTTACAAATGATCACCTGCCATTTCTCGCAATCGCATCTCTCTGTCCGCCTTCTATAGAAGGCTCCGCGTCCCTTGCATTTCCTTCTTGTTTCTTGAGCCAGCTCTCTCATCCTCGTCTTGACCATGATGAATTCGCGCCGCTCTGCCACCCTNTTCGGGATCCCAATGAAGCACCTTACCCTGTTCACTGTACGGCCTGACTTAGCGTAGTAGACTCCTTGGACCTCAAACTAACATGGCAGTCTANNGTTAACTTTCCAGAATTCCGCCTTGATCTTGGTATGCCTGATTCATCGCTTTCAGGTACGACGGGACCATTGACATTTCGCACAGATTATGCACTACTCTCGCATCATGCCTACCATAGATGGTCAGCGGTATTTCACTTCGACCGCCGTGTTTCTCAACGAAGTCATCAAACTCGCCATTTCGCTTACCATGGCTCTCTACGATCTTTCACAAGACATGCCGTCTTCCTCGTCAGCAACCGCACTCTTCACCGAGCTCATACGTCGCGTCTTCACTGGTGACAGTTGGCGTTTGGCCATTCCTGCCATGCTCTATACACTGCAAAACTCTCTACAATATGTGGCTGTGAGCAATCTGGATGCAGCAACCTTTCAAGTCACATATCAACTAAAGATCTTGACCACTGCCATCTTTAGTGTCACCATGCTTGGACACACTCTCGGTCTAAAACAGTGGTCGTCTCTTTTGTTGCTTTCGGCAGGCGTGGCCGTTGTCCAAATTCCTGCTAGCTCCAGCCCAGCCATACCCACCTTCAAGGACTTGAGAGAAGCCAATGCGGGACTACATTTTCCTCGGACAATCCAAGAAATGCGAGACATGGGAAGTAGCGCTGCCGAGCAATTGGTAAAGAGATCCGCTACATATGAAGGCATCGACAAAGACTTTGCGATGCAACACCCTCAGCTCAATGCTTCGATTGGCCTGGCCGCCGTCTTGATCGCTTGCGTGCTATCTGGCCTTGCTGGAGTGTACTTTGAAAAGGTCCTCAAAGACTCCAACAGCAAGACTTCTCTTTGGATCCGAAACGTGCAACTATCCTTCTACTCGCTCTTCCCTTCTCTCTTCATTGGAGTCATCTTCAATGATGGCGCGGATATTGCGAAACACGGCTTCTTCTCGGGTTACAATTGGGTGGTATGGAGTGCAGTCCTATTGCAGGCGGTCGGTGGTGTACTTGTGGCTCTGGTCGTCAACTATTCCAACAACATTGCCAAGAATTTCGCCACGAGCATGAGCATAGTCATCAGCTTTTTGGCAAGTGTGTGGTTTTTCCATTTCAAGATCACCACTAGTGTAAGTCTCGGGATTCCTTGATCCTGCAAGTTACTGACCATGATGAAACAGTATTTGGTTGGAACCGCGACCGTTCTCCTGGCCACATATCTGTGGACTAGTGATCATGGACCTCGTCCATTGAAAATTGTGGTTGCCGATTATGAAAAGACCACTATCGGTCACGAACAGCCATACAGTGACAACAGAGGCACTCCTAATACAGCGTCAAGACCAAGCTTTAAGGAAGCTCTGACGACTAGCAGACCGAGTACTCCAGTCAACTTTGAACGTCGTGGAGGCGGTTTCAAAAGAGAAGAATAAAGCAGCCTCAAGGTTACCTAATTCTTTTTAGACGTCTATACCAGTATTCCAGGACATGATTGCTCACTGACATGTCATGTATTTTGAGAAGCTGTCGAGGTGAAATTTGGAAAGTACTGCTTGGGGTCAATCCAAGGCTCCTTCCCTATATGCAACGCTCACATGTAAATTGGCCGAACACCGAACAGCTCCTGCTGCCTGCCAACCGAGGAAGGTGCTGGTGACGTGATTGCCCAAGATGTGGGAAACTCGTCCTTTCTCTGATTAATCTCGAAACAGCGCTGCCTCTCCCTAGTTCTATCAACCAACGAGCCAACCGTCCAGTACGTGTCGCTCATCATGTACGCAGACAATTTCTACAACCACTCCAGACCGTACGAGCAACATGCAGAAGACAATGTAGATGACTACATTCGGACTGCAAGCTACGAGAACGACAGAATCAGCTATGGTAATCATGGNTTCGAAACTGCAATCAATCGATCCCAACAGCTAACCCTATAAGATCCGTCACGCCCCCGCCGAGTAACTACAATAACCCGTCAAAGTCAGGCTGAAGCCGGCAGAGCTCGATTGTCCTTGCCGCCATCCACGCAGATTTCTTTTGATGCCAATGACTACCAGAACTGGGACCATGTATACTCAGTCCCTGACCAGGATTCAAGGACATACACACCAAATCCGCCCGAGGAAGCACAGTATACGTTCCAGCCTGCAGAGTACTTCAATACCATAGATCGGCCAATGCATCATCAAGCTCCTCAACCACAAGGTAGTAGCTCATCTCCCTTGAACGCGCTGCCATCAAGTCCAGCCTACCAAGCTAGCCAAAGGCAGCAAAACCCTGGAACCATGATTCCAAACCAGGCATACACCAAGGCACANGCAAAAAGACCGGATGTAACAACNAAAAGTGCTCCCATCGTCCAGGGTATTCAGCTCGTGCCTGTGCATGCACTTCCAGATCGCTTCCAGACCATTTTTCCATTCGCAATGTTCAACGCTGTTCAGTCCGGTTGCTTCGAGAGCATCTATGAATCCGACGACAATTGTGTCTTTTCGTCTCCTACAGGCAGTGGTAAAACTGTGCTCTTCGAAATTGCGATTTGTCGCATGCTTCGAGGTTGGCAGAATGGCACTTTCAAGGTTGTCTACATGGCTCCAACAAAGTCACTGTGTTCTGAAAGAGCCCGTGACTGGAAGGCCAAATTCGAGCCTTTGAATCTGAAATGTGAAGAATTGACAGGCGATTCAGATATCAACTCGCTACATCATGTCCAACGAGCCGACGTTATCGTGACTACACCAGAAAAATGGGACTCAATGACGAGAAAATGGAAAGACCATGAGAAGCTGGTCCGCCTCATAAAGTTGCTGCTCATTGACGAAGTTCATATCCTCAACAAGGACCGTGGTGCTGCACTCGAAGTTGTCGTTTCCAGAATGAAGTCGATTGGTTCTGGAACCAGATTTGTTGCCCTCAGCGCAACGGTGCCCAACTCACAGGATATTGCGACATGGCTCGGAAGAAATGGCGATACTCCTGACATTCCTGCTACTCACAAAAGATTTGGCGAAGAGTTTCGACCTGTTGAACTCCAACGCCATGTATGTGGCTATCAGTCGACCGCGAATGCATTCGGGTTTGACGCTATCTTAACCAAAAAGTAAGTAAAAGTCATTCTAACATTTCGTATTCTCGCGCTGACTATAAGCAGGCTTCTGGATGTTATCATCAAATACTCTCAGAGAAAGCCAATCATGGTGTTTTGCTTCACCAGAAAATCATGTGCAGAGGCAGCAAAGTTCCTTGCCGAGTGGTGGAAGATTAGTGCACCACGAGAGAGATACTGGTCTGCACCCACAGATCAGATTACGGTCGAGGATAAAGATTTAAACAGTATGTCTTTTTTTCTCAGCCTACTGTCGTAAGACACTAATACCTATAGGTACNNCGTTACTGCCGGAGTTGCTGTCCACCATGCAGGACTAAGTCAACAAGATCGTGCAGCAGTAGAAAGAGCTTACCTTGCTGGCTCTTTGAGTGTGATTTGTTGCACTTCCACTCTAGCAGTAGGTGTAAACCTCNNCCCCTGTCACATGGTCATCATCAAGAATACCGTCAGTTATGAGGCTGGAGCCGTCAAGGAATACTCGGACCTAGAGATCATGCAAATGATCGGAAGGGCCGGTCGACCACAATTCGATACGTCGGCTCTGGCTGTCATCATGACAAAGATGCAGCAAGTCAAGCACTACGAACAGCTACTCAGTGGACAAGAACGTTTGGAGAGCTGGTAAGTCTTTCGACATATACACATTTGCAAGTGCTAATATGTCAATAGCTTACACCTCAACCTTGTCGAACATCTAAATGCAGAAATTGGGTTGGGCATGGTTCCAGACCTTTGTGCAGCNAAAAAGTGGCTTGCTGGCACTTTTCTCAAGGTGCGACTGGAAGACAATCCAACACACTATCAAATCAATGGAGATACTCCAGATCGGAACCTGGGAGCTAGGCTGGAACGAATCTGCGAGAGTGCTATATCAGAACTCAAGCGGCTTGAGCTGATTGCGCAAGGTTCATCGTTCAAATGCACAGAATATGGAGATGCTATGGCACGCTACTACATGAGCATCACGACTATGGAGTCAATCCTGAGCCTTCCGCGAAAACCAAAAATATCGGAAATCGTACGTGGTAAAAGCTTGATATCATTCTTAGCTACTAACATGCAAGCTAGNTTGACCATCATCTCACAAGCTCACGAGTTTAGAGAAATTCGATTCCGTTCGGGAGAAAAATTACCGTACAAAGAATTGAACGGCAAGAACGACATTCGCTTCCCCTTCAAGATTGATCTCTCTACAACGGCACACAAAGTGTCCCTGATCATACAAGCCGCACTGGGTAAGGTTAGTCATATCGCCGATCAGCAGAATTATCGAGTTCAATACAACATCGATCAGTCCTTGGTATTCCAACATGTTCACCGTTTGATCCGATGCATTGTGGATTGTCAAAACATTGACAGAGACGCGGTCGGCATACGCAATTCCTTGATGTTGTCACGCAGTCTGGCTGCACGAGTATGGGATGATTCACCAATGATACTCCAACAAATCGAACAAATTGGCCCAGTGGCAGTGAGGAAGCTAGTGGATGCAGGTATCACCTCTATGGATGAGTTTTCGAGTACGGATCCTGGCAGACTGGAGCTTGTACTCAACAAAGCTCCTCCGTTTGGCATGAAGATGCACCGTCAAGCTCAGGCGTTTCCCAAGTTGAGAGTCAGCTTGCAGATGAGCGGACAATCTGTAAGAAACTAGAAGAACACAACGCTTCGAGTAACGAGCNNTAATCATCATCAGATTGCCACCCGCGAGCATGTTGCTGTAAAGCTGAAGATTGACGTTGGATTCTTGAACGACAAGACTCCCGTTCACCATCGAAACAAGCCCGTCTTTGTCATTGTTCTACTTGGCACTTCAGATGGACACCAAGTCGATTTCTTCCGCGTCAGGTATGCACAAAATTCGTCCGTTTGTAGCAATAAATTTAACAAGAGAAATAGTGCCGCAAAGCTACAAAACATCAGTCCATTCACTAGAACCGCATACTTGACTAGCTCCACTCAATTGATCACAGCCTATGTCATGTGCGATGAACTCGGTAGTGTCATCTTATTCTTTCCAGAGGCTCATTACTGACATAATCTAGCTGGAACCATGCAGGAAGCTGTGCTCAAGCCCGATATCCCAGTGTCAGTGTTTCAATCAATCAAGGATATCACGGCAGATGTTGGCAGAGATAGACAGGCGACTGTATCCATGGATGGCGTCAAGAATACTTTACCCACGTTGCAGAAGAGCACTGATGCCGATGAATGGGATGACGGAGGACTGAACGACGATGACTTCATCGGCGCGGAACCCAAGGAGGGCGACTTCATGGATGTCGACGCACTTGATCAGCCGACGTTTAGTCTAGCAAGGAACGACAGGTCNAAAAACAAGACTGCAATTATCGACACCGTCGAAGCCCTAGACGAACGAAGACTGGAGAATGGCAACTACGCTTGTCAACACCGTTGCAAAGACAGAAATGCCTGCAAGCATAGGTGTTGCAAGGAAGGACTTGAGAAGAAGCCAAAACCAAAGAAGCCCAAGGACAGCGAGTCAACCAGCACTGCGAGCAAGAGCAAGAAAACTTCCAACTCTTCTAGCAAGGTGCAATCAAAGCTGGAGCTACCAATAAGGAGAAAGGTGGTTAGTGGACCTGTGGAGCACCTAGACTTGTCTCAGGCCTCAGCATCACCCAAAGTCAGGGTGCCCACGGCAGCCGCACGTCTGGTCAGTCTTCACAGCAGTACGACCAAGTCCAGCAAGGTTCCGACCCTAGGAGCGACTTCTGTCACGCCCGTGTCAATAGCTTTTGGCAGAAATTTTGCTAGACCAAAATTCTACCAGAACCTGAATTTCTTGGAGAGCGTCGAGGAAGAAGTGTACAACGATTCACCCCCAAAGGAGCATATTGTCGAGGTCTGCGATGACGACATCGACAACCACATGCTGTCAGATGAGGAAGAAAACTATCTGGACCAAGATGAAGAAATGCTGGATGCAGCTTTGGTGGGCCTACAAGACTCACAAAGCCTTCAGAATTCGGATGAGATGGTCGAACCTACACAAGATGCTCAAAGTCTAGATATGCTGGATTTTGAAGCGAACTACCAAAAAGCCAACGACGAATCAGAGCTCTTCGTAACACCGCATCCGCCGCGCGTCGATGACTTTGTAGGTGGATTTGAAGATGCTGTAGCAATGTTCGACCAGAACATGAATGATGACGACTCGACCTCGTCAGGCATGGTCAAACGCAAACGCGACGAGGGCATATCGTCAATCTACTTCTCGACAAAGAAAGCTAGAACAGACGATGAAGCAGAATTACAAACGTACGAGGAGCAGGCACGAGAAGCCGAGGGAGACGAAGAGAGCGTGGAGAGTAAGGAAAGGCGGGAAAAGGAGGAGCTGCAAGCGTGGTTGGCTGCAGAACTCGGAGACTGTGTCGAGATGATCTGACTAGTACAGAGCGAATAATACTGCGGAATATCGGGTAGAAGATAGGTTGCTTAAAGGTGGTTGCTCGAGATGAGGTTATGCCATGGATGGAAGGTGGTAGAAGCGGTATAAGACAAGGGCGGGAGGACGAGATGACGTGTGCTTGGCGAGTGTGCATATATCTTTCACATGCTTCTACAGGCAACTAGGAATAGTTCGTCGCATCACATACGAATATTTACTGCAACACCTCGTACACGACGCAAACATGTCGGTCAAGTGAGTTGAGCATGGCACCAAGTCAGGACAGATAAATGCTGACCAGAGTGGAGCTGGGTGATGCTGGAGCCTTCGTCGGCGCAACCCTTTACTNNCCCCCTTCCGCACGAGCAAACTCTCTACAAGTCACCAGCCCGTACAACTTTCTCCTTGCAGTCGCTCAACAAGTTTCCTGGCAAAGAGCCTGTTCACTGGTCAGCCTCTACTGGCACCTTGTACCTCACCAACCGCCGCCTCGTCTACCTGCCCTCCACACCGACACCTCAACTCCAGTCTTTCGCCGCACCTCTTCTCAACACTCACGATTCGCATGTTGTCGCTCCTTGGATAGGACCCAATGTCTGGACCGCACTCGTGCAACCCGTTCAGGGAGGTGGCATTCCTGCACACATCCCTGCGCTAGAACTCAAGTTTGCATTCAAGGACGGAGGAGCATACGATTTCCACTCTGGATACGAAAGAGTCAAGGAGAGACTACAACAACAAGTCGATGTCGCGAGACAATCAGGTCATCTCCAAGGCGATGGCAGCGAGGCTGGACGCGGAAGAGGAGGAGACTCTCTTGCCGCTGTTGATGTCGCAAATGTTCATTTGGATGATTTGCCTGCCTACGAGGAAACTGGTGCTTCAGTACCAGTTCCTCAGCCTCAAGCTCCGGCTGCTCAGGCACCTGCATCAACACAAGCTTCTGGTCCCTCCGAGTCGCATGCGCCAGAAGTCTTCACACCACCTGCCGAGCCCCCACCAGGATATGAGCAAGTGCAGAGGGAGACTGTGGAAGATGAATTGGAAAGAAGATTGAGCAGCGGTCAAGTTCTTTGATTGCGACCGACTTTCTGATGCAGTCATGTGTACGATGAGATGATACCCTACGACAAATTCCATGGCTGCTGATGAGCTATGTATTTATGAGGAAAGGACGGATTGGCGTTTATGGTATTCTTTTCTTTCTGCTTGCATCAGGCAGGATTGATTCATTGGGCGCTTTACTGTAACAGCATTTGATTTGAAGCAGGAACAAGTCGAATTCCATTACTTCCTCTTTTGAAGTTCCGTTTCTCTCTTCACTCAAATGATACCAGGAATCCAGCGTGCACCCACCACACTCTTGTAACTCTCATACTTCCTTCTGATTCCCAAGTCGACAACCTCTCCCTTGACAACATCCTCATTCAGCATAAACTGCCTTTCCTCCAATTCGGCACCCTCTCTGTACAATCCAACCAACCCAATGACGACAACAGCCATGGCCACCATTCTGATGAATCCAAAGAATGCATGATTGTGTCTCCACTCCTGCTCCATGGCAATCAAAGATCCCAGCCAACCGAGCGTATACGACACATAAACCGGATGCCTGACCAAAGCATATGGACCAGTATTGATGACTTCCCTAGGTGTAACCTTTCCAAAGATGACAGAGAGGTTACCTTGACCAGTAACTTGACCGCACCATACTCCAAGTAGCGAGCTGCCAGCTAAGAAAACCCAGGATAGCAGGTGCAGCAGTCCAGTATTTGTGGAATGGGATACTGCAGAAGGTAGACTGGTCGCAAAGATTGAGGGAAAGGAGATCAAAATGGCGAGAACTGATAGACCTTTGACTTGGAGGAGACGGTTGGAGTTGACGAGGCCAGTGGACGGTTTGAAGAAGTGGAGAAAGATGGCGTAAGACTGGCCGCTCAGGAATATGAGATAGAGGATTTGGACAAGAGATGGGAACCACATGGCTTCAATGTGTTGGTATTCTTGAGACAGTGGGTTTAGGATGAGAGAAGGTTTGTAATGCTGAAAGTCGCTGGATCTTATCTTATAAACTGCTGGTGCGATGATGGTGACATCAGAGTATATATACTCGGAATGTCTCAGATTTGGGTGGACCAGGGTCGCCCACGTCAACCCCACACGGCAATGCACGGAAACAGGGAGTCTTACATTGCCGAGAACACCGAGCAAAGTGGATTGTGACTTGATTTGAGAAAGGTCCATAACGGTCTTCCATATCTGCATATAGCACACTACCGCGGTTTCTAGCAAAAACAAAAGAGTCAACCTCAGTAACCACTTCCCCACATCTCCTCCTCGTCAATGACTTGGTCTTGTGCGATTGGAGCACGTCTTCCTTGATCTCTTTCGCGTTGCCTTCTCTCTGCCCTACTTGTCAAATGAGGCGTCACTGGTGTTACGGGCGTGAATGGCATATACGGACTATACGGCGTAGCCATGCCTGTACGAGGAGCACTCAACATATCGCGACGCCTCTCAAGGTAGGTAGTTTTGGTAACAAGACCAGGTGATGCCAATGGCACACCCTCCGATTGTGCCATTGCACGAAAGGGCAGCGTACCCAACGTCGATACAGAAACATTCAATGGAGGTGTTCGATTGTTGATACTGTGACCACCTATGACGGCGGTGTCCAGCCTGAGTTCTGTCTGCTTGCGTGCATCGCCTGCTACTCGCGGCATTTCGTATTGGTAGCTTCCGGTCCTCTGTGGCTCTGGTCGAGGCAAGGCTCTAATCTCATCAAAGTTCTCGACATTAACAGGTGTTCCGTAGCCATCGTGTGTGCCCGGTGTAGTAGGTGCCTCGCTTCTGGGTGGAGGGCTAGGTGGAATGCCCGAGTCGGTATAATAGCGTGGAGTTAATGGAGTGCGTACTTCCTCATCAGAGACTTCACTTGGGTAGTGGCGGTGTTGGATGCGCAAGTTACGAAGTCCCTTGCGGGGACGCTTGCTTTCGGCCTGAGAGCCGAATGAAGACGTCCGTGTGCGTGTCGACGCTGCACCTGGAGATGTTGGTATTCGTAATCTTGGAGATGCGGCTTGACCGTAATCTGGCCGCAAAGGTGAGATGGGTGACGTTGGGTGTAGATGAGGAGAGCGTGGAGGATATATAGCTCGAATAGGACTCCTGGGCGAGACAGGGCTGACCTGAGAATCTTGCAAGTGCAAATGTGCAAGAGCTGGGGCCGATGTCAAAAGCCTCGGAGGTTGTCTTCTTGACTTGAGTGATGTATGTTCAGGTAAATGCATCTCATCTTCTGTGACTGCCGTTCGTGATTTGGCTGCTTCCTGCGCTAATGCCGCTGCGTAGAGATGCTCCAGCTCTTGTTGTCTAGCCACCCTGTCTGCCTCAATCACGCCAGGGTCAAAGGATGAAATGCTCTGTACTGCGGGGCTGGAAGGATTACTGACTGTCCTGGTACTGCCTTGAATACTGCGCTTCTTCTTCAATCTTCGAGGGCTATACCAGGATCGTTGAGAATGTGGACTCAGTGGCGAGTCGTCGAATTGTTTGATGGATGGTTTGACCATTTCCACCGAGGTTGTAGAAGAGGCCGACAAGGCGGCTCGTCGCATTCGTCTTCCTAATGTGAGAAGAAGGCTACCAAGGATAAAGGTGGTCGCTAAATAGGCGCCTATGATTCCACAGATCTGTCCGGCAAGCAAGTTGGGATTTCGAGAAGCATGCGCAGACAGAGGAGGTCCATCTTCTGGAGATGGAGCTGGTCCATTATCGATGTCAACCGTCCAGAGACCTGCTTGTACAAATGATACCAGGAATATCGTATGGAGGATGTGTTGATCCAGACGAACTGGTTGGTTAACCATTGTCAATTAGTCGAGGCCGACTTTACAGTACAACTACAAAAGCAGACATGAAAAGAAGAAAGAGAAGAGTCAACAGCAGGAGAGTGCTTGTTAGTATACTCCAGCAATAGGGTGAGCAATTGGAGTGGTTGGTAAAGTGATTGATCGGATACTTGCATTAGTGCGCATGTGGTTGGTAAAGTGATTGATCGGATACTTGCATTAGTGCGCATGTGGCTTTGCGTCCGGCGCTTAAGTTGCAGAGAGATGCCCTGGACCTTTTAATGCTGTTACAGGTGCAGCATGGTCGATACCCTACAGAATCAGAGACACAAACCACTTAAAATAAAAATGATTTTGATGGAAGAATAAAGATTTCATCAGTGTATCTCGGTGTAGGCGCCAGAATTAGCCAAAAAGGGAAGGAGGTATCACCAAGAAGGAAATGGTCAGAACCAGACCAGAATGCCATATTTATTCTTGTGGGTATCTTGTCGCTCGCTTTTTAGTATGAAATGAATAATCGAAAGCAATGCTGTGAGTTTTCAACAGGCTTTTAGGGGTCGTGAGGTGCGTGAAAAGGCCTGAGCGTCATTGAGTTTACGTTGTTTCCACTGCCACTCAACCAAGACTGGGAGAAACTGCCAAAGATCAAACTCGGGCCAGAGACATTCTAGGAAAACAATGCTGGTATGCTCGTGGCATTGCCACATCATGAAATCGCTTAGTCTCTGGACGCCAGAGGTCCGAACCAAAAGATCGCAAGGAGGCGCATCATGTGTAAATGTGTGGGCATTGATGGTGTCTGCAGTAATGGTTTCGGGATCTGGAAACACGGTCTGAGATTTTGTAGGCTTGAAAGCGGGAGAGTGGGCAGAGATGGATGTGCGAGAAGAGGGAGGATGTTCGTCGGTTGAGGCGGCACTGATGTTTGAGTCGTCCGTCTCCTCTGTATTGTCTTCGTCGGTCGAGGCTTCTTCTTGGACTTGGCTCAATTGAGTAGTACGCAAATGGCGTGCAATATGAGACTCGGAAAAGGGACGCTTATTGACAGGACGCAAAGGGGTCGAGTATTCGCGGACGGTCTCGCGTATGGCGTGTGTCATCTCGTGGCGCGAGGTATAAGGGAAGCAGACGTTCAAGACGGCCTTTGTGTTGTTGCTAGTCAGGCGAACGGCATCGTCTATTGATTCCAGAACGTCGGGCCGGACGAGGTCTCTCTGGCCCAGGATCTGAATACGAGCGCCGTAGCGATGGAGAAGTTCGCCGTGTTGAGCCAGCTGGTTCAGCTTGACCTTGGCCATGTCCATGAGAGCGTCGACTTCATACTTGGAGCGCTTGAAGTTCTCAATGCTAAAGGCGTAGATGGTGACAACCTTGACTCCTGACTTGTAACAAACTTCGAGTATNNCTGCCCCTCAATGTGTTAGCATGTTTCAACTACAGCCATGAGACGAGTGCAGACATACACGAGCGAGGGCTTCAAAGCCTAGATGATGGCCTTCTACCGTCTCGATATGATGCGTACGAGCATAACGCCGGTTACCGTCCATGACAAAGGCAACGTGCCCTGGAATGGGCCCTTGTCGCAATGCTCCGATCAGCAGCTCTCTAACCCGCTGAACCGCCCATTCTGCCGGTGGAGAAGACAGCATCCATCTACTGAGGCGTGTCAGATGGGCAGAGGACATGTTGGCGTTGCTTTGGGTAAAAGAAACGTGGACCTCGTGTCAATGGCGGCCATGATGGATCAAATGCCATGGCCCCCAGCTTGCCATGCACTCCTGCGTCAGCTCCTCGGCACCGCTTGCCGCGTCTCACAGTCGCGAGACCGTCGGGCGATCACCGCCGCATCTCCGTCTGCCAAGCCCCGCCATCTCCGTGCGCTGCTCCCGAATTCTCTTTGTTGCTTCCGCGTCCGACAACCTTTCCACCTTGTTTCCACTACACGCTCTTGTAACTTGTTTCTTCATATCTGCTCAACATGGCGTCCATCGCCGAAAAGCAGCTGCAAAGCTTGCTGGACGGCTTTGACGCTTTGCGACTGGAATATCAGCGTGTCTACTCACGATGTGCAGTTCTCGAGGCCCAGCTAGTCACGGCAAAGTCACAGGTCAGTCCGTCACGCACTCTTCTCCACCACCTTCTTCCTCCTCTTTTGTGATGAACAACCTTTAGCTCTAGACCTGCAGCTGTTCGCAGCTTTGACAGATAACACACCATAGCATGTTACTGATCCTTCTTATCCATTTCACTATCAACTTTCATCCACTTCTTTCGGCACACGTGCTGACTTGATTAANNACAGTATTCGAACCTTGCTGCCCTCAGTCCTGAAAAGGCCAAGCCTCTCGATCTCTCAGCTTCTGCAGCATTTCCTTTGGCTGTTGATTTCGAGAGCTTGATAAATAGTTCTAAGATAGTTGACGCCAGCCGTCGTGACAAAATCACTGCCGCTTCTCGTACCTCAAATTCGCTGCGTTCGGCCGGCGTAGTCATCCATTCTGGGCCTTCGGCCGACAAACCTTCCGCTCCCACATCATCTGCTGCCATGCCCTCCATATCAGAATCTCCACTCGAACAAGACTTTACCGTCCCGGGCACTCCCAGCAGACTTGATTGCCCTTTCGCTTCCATGGAAAGGCGCAAATTGAGCTCGCACGCCGCTTCAGTTGTATCTCGTTATAAACCAGAATCTGTTCGACAGCCGCGCACATCGGGTTCGCGTATCAACGGACGACGTGGTTCCTCTAGCGCGCGAAACTCAGTCGTTGACCCCATAAGAGAAGTTTGTGCCATGGAATCACACAAGAAGGCTCCCGAGGCCGCGCCGTCAGTCCAAGGCTCGTCTGCCGACAAAGTTTGTCCTATACGCTTTCTCGATCAACACAGCCCAGAGGAAGTCGCCGCCTACTTCGAACTACACAAGCACGAACTTCCCAGGAGCCACGAAATATGTGTAAAAAGATATCAAAGCAATGAGGAACAGATTCGCCAGCTCGATGCGAAATACGGTAACATCGTCAGCATGATTCAAGGGCTGGGTCAAAAGCACGTATCACTCTTGCCTGAGAATCTGGGCGATGAACATCACGAGATCGAACCAGACTTTGATGATGAAGACGAGCGTGCAAGCCATGAAAAGATACGCAAATGGGCCAGCACTGTGTATACAGGTCCAGATGCTCCCACCGAAGAAAAGAAGGACGAAGAAGAGACTGAGGATGAGCGACTGCCTCGTTTCGATCGGCCACTGAGAGATGTGCGTCTAGGTGAAAGCCCGAGCCGGCCTTGGGGCATTCAAGTACCAATCGAAGCACAAGATCGTCGTTACAGTGTGATGTCAAGCGTAGCAGCTGCTGCAAAGCCTGAGTCCGCGCAGCCTCCAATGGAGGCTCAGTCGGAAAGGCCCAAAGGCAAATGTCCGTTTGGGTTTGACCAACAGAAACCATCTGTACAAGACAAGGAGGGTGGAGTTGTGGACAAACCAGTTGCCGAACCAATCCAAGAACGACCGGCGGCTCACGATGCGGAGAATGCCGGAATCAAACCTACTTTTATTCGACAAGCCCAATTTGAGACGTCCACCGAGAAGAAGGATGAGGGACAGCCAGTGTTCATCAAGACAGAGTCCGGCGAGCAAAATCATGAGGCGGCATCGATGGTGTTTACAGGGCCCGTCTTCATTGGTTATTCAGTCCAAGAGGCTATGACGGTACTGCAATCGATGCAACGAAATTAGAATAATGAAATAATGCCACGAAACGATTCATGACTGTATCCAGCAATGTTGAGTGATTCCAGGTGCAGTCGCTAGTGGGTCCTTGAAGATGACTTGGGCATAATTCGTTTGAACGGTCATCTCTGCAACTTGCCGCCGAAGTGACACACGAGCATAATGTGTCAGCAGGAATTGACATGGTACAAGCAGGAAGCAAGGTGAAAGAGAAGAGAGAAAAGAAATGGACATGAAGTGATGGGACCATCGGGGCGACTCTCATTGGTCCAAGTCAGTGGCCCGTGCACAGGGAAACGTCGAAAGGTTCGCAGTGCCGCCTCTTCGACAGCAACGACAGTCAACACATTCAAAGTCGCCTCATCACCGCTACCATGGGTATCTTCGACTACGTCTCCGACCTCTACTCGTCCCTGTCCGTCCAGTCATGCGAGGCTGAAGTTCAGGACGACCTCAAGTACGCTTCGGGCGACTTCAACTCGTCCAAGGACCAACAGAACGGCATGGGCACGGCTCAGCAAACCCGTGGCGCCACCACCAAGGGCGGTGTCAGTCTCGACACNCCCGCCTCGGGCACCGACGAGGAGAGCGCCTCCGAGGCCGAGGCCAACAAGCAGGACGCCAAGAAGCCCGAGCCCTCGAACGAGAAGGGTCACGTTGCTGGTGACGGCGGTGCTGGTTCTGGTCAGGTTGGCGCCGACAACGCTGGCCCCCACGGTGGCCCCGTCGGCAAGGCCGATGATGATGAGGATGAGGAGGAAGACGAGGACGAGGAGGAGGAGGATGAGCCCGAAGACCCCAAGCCCAAGATTGAGGAAGGTACGTCAAGGAGCCATTGACCATGCGGACACAACAAGAAACATGTCTGACAAGATGACNNAGAGTGCGCCAAGTCATCCGAGTGCGCTCCCTACAAGCACCACTACGACCACTGCGTCGAGCGCGTCACCAAGCAGCAGGAGGAGAACGGCAAGGCCGACGAGGACTGTGTTGAGGAATGTGAGTATTGTCGTCTATCAAGGGAGCAATTGCGATGGCGATATTGATGCTTTATGTCTNNAGTCTTCCACCTCGCCCACTGCGCAACCGCATGCGCCGCCCCCAAGCTCTTCAAGCAGCTCCGATAAACGATACGCGCGCCCTTAGGCCTCAGTCAAGCAAGTCGACTTTCTTTTGCGAGGAAGCGATGACACTACCCTCTTGTACAAAGCATTTTCTACACGACGAATTGTACTATTTTTCCTTTCTGTTCCCCAAATCTCTAGATGAGTCGTTCCTAAGCGGTCAAAAGTGTGTAGCATAGAGTCTGTATGCCCAATTGCTTCCAACAGTTTCTTCAGTCGAGTCTTGTCTTTTGATAATACGGAAACGGCATGCAATTGTGAGGCATAGTTTAGGTGGTGGTGAAAGTCGATGGTCATGGTGAATATAATTGGCTCTCGGGAGACGGCTATGACGCAGCACTTAGTAAAGCTTTGGAAGCTGGGTGGGTGTTGCTCTGCTCTGCTCTCGACATTCAACTCTTGTTCTTGGAAACCCATCGACGAACACAATCGCATTGATCAATCATGTCTTCCGCCGCCGTCTTCCGCAACTCTGCCGTGCGCTCTGCTCTTAGAGCCACCGCTCCCTCTGCCACCAAGCGTGCAGCTATCGCCAGCACCACCTTTACTCGCGGCAAGGCCACTCTTCCCGACCTGNNCCCTGTGAGTTTTGGCTCTTCTGGTCCTCGCACCTTGTCCCGGGACTGACAGCATAATCCAGACGACTATGGTGCCCTCGAGCCCGCCATCAGCGGCCAGATTATGGAACTCCACCACTCCAAGCACCACAACACCTACGTTACTTCCTTCAACGCCGCTTCCGAGAAGATGGAGGAGGCTCGCTCAAAGAACGACATTCAGACCCAGATCGCTACCCAGCCTCTGATCAACTTCCACGGTGGTAAGCTGATTTGCCCTGCTTGAACACTGTCCACAAACCACTGACACCACAATCACNNAGGCGGTCACGTCAACCACACTCTATTCTGGGAGAACCTCGCACCCAAGTCTCAGGGTGGTGGTGAGCCTCCATCAGGCGCGCTCTCCAAGGCCATCGACTCCCACTACGGCAGCCTCGACGCCATGAAGGAGAAGTTCAACGCCGCTCTGGCCGGTATCCAGGGCTCTGGCTGGGCTTGGCTGGTCCAAGACACCCAGACTGGTGCCATTCAGATCAGAACCTACGCCAACCAGGACCCTGTTGTCGGCCAATTCAGACCCATCCTCGGTGTTGACGCTTGGGAGCACGCCTACCACCTCCAGTACCAGAACAAGAAGGCCGAGTACTTCAACGCCATCTGGGATGTCATCAACTGGAAGGCTGCCGAGAAGCGCTTCCAGTAGACGACTGCCTTATGCTTTAATGACACTCTTAATCACATTGTACTGTATATAGCCGTATCCGAAAGGCGTTGTCCCTTTCTGTACTTTCTTGAGACCGAAAGCAGAAGCTATCAGGTTTGAGCCGCGTACTTGGAATGCTTGAACGAATATCCGCCAGAAAGTAAACCGTGTGCTCCTGGACGTAGTCACGTTTTGACCTAGTAGAAAGGGAAATGCAAGGTCATTTTACCGCCTTCCTAATAAGATGTTGCAACTTTAGATCCAGATCTGGATGAGATGATGGGCATTTACAGTTAAAGCAGGTGCATTAGGAATGGATGAGTGCTATGAATGTGCAGAATATGAGAGCACGACTTAAACAAGTGCCATCGAAACAAGGTCAGATATGAATATACCGGGTCATGAATAATGGTAAATACCATGCAAATACTTTTCGTTTCATGATACTACAACCGCCTCCAACAACATTATATAAAAAGAGTAGACAAAACCTACAACAGAGGCTTCTCCATAGGCGCAATGATGCCCTGTTTGACAACAACTCTGGGCCTCGTGTTGCGCTGGAAGGTTTCCTTTGTCGTCCACTCGGGACCAACAGGAACACGCAAACTCCTCTCATACTGCTCCCTCTTCTCGAATTGATGAGGCAATGTACTGGCCAAATACTTCTTGCCCTTCCTCTGCTGAGCTTCCGAGATGATGACATTGTTGAGCTTTGCATCTTTGCGGTTTGCTGCCTTGACACCCTCGGTGACCTTTTTGTGCAGAGGATTGTGAGCAATGCGTTTGTTTTGCTTTCGTGTTGCTTTGGAGAGACCGGTGCCGGTCCATGAGCCCCAACCGGGAAGGAAAGTGGATTCGACCTTGTCGCCTTCGTCTTCGACCTGAGCCTCCTTTTCGGCATCGAATTCAACGGCGACGTCATCACCGGCAAAGGCACGTTGGTGGAAGAGAGCTTGCTTGTCTTTGGAGGAGAGCATAGGGTTTACTCTGTTGTCCTCCTCGGCGTCGGCTTCTTCTTGGTCGTTGTCGTATTTGACCGTCTCCCAGCCTTCGGTTGAGGGAGCCGTGGTCTCGTTGGCAGCGGGTTTGGTCGTTTGCTTCTTTGCCTGAGCCTTCTTTCCGGCGGCAGCAGGTTTTGATGCTGCGACAGGTGTGGGTGCGGCCTTGGAGAGATCGAGCATCTCCTCATCGGCAGCCTTCTTGTTCTTCTTCTTGCTCTTGGGAGCACCAGTCAGCCAGGCGTTCTCTTCGGGCTCCTTGGGTTCATCGACGTCGGCAACGACCTTCTGGGCATTCTGAAGAAAGGATCTCGACTTCCTTGACTGAGGAGCAGGCTTGGTGTCTGTTTGACCACCGACGTTGATTTCAGCCTCGGCTTCTTCTTCATTGTGATCCTCCTCGTCTAAAGTCTTGTTCTCTTCGAGCTCGCCACGAGGAACGGCCTTAAAGGGGTTGGCAGCACCTTGCTTGGGCTTGGGTCCAAAGATGGCACGACCAACAGTGGTCTCTGCCTCTTCTTCGCTCTCACCATCTTCATCAGCCAACTCCTTGCGCAAGCGCTCGATATCTTCATCATTCTGAGCCTTTCGTGACGCTTCGGCTCGGAGCATGAAAGCCATATTGCCAATCTTGGACTTCTCTCCATCTTTGGCACCAAGCTTGTCAATCTTCTTGGACAGACGTGCCTTCTCGAGTTCGTCGTCGTCGAGCTCCTCATCCTCATCATCGCTGACGCTGATGTCGGAGTCGTCGCTCTCACGATCGTAGACATCCTTGCCTTCGATTCTTCTCCTGAGCTCCTCATTGCGTCTGGCCATGTCGATAAGACCTTCTCTGGCGTCCTCGTCCCAGACGGAACGGTTTGACTTCTTCATGGCCTTTGACCACTTGCTGTCCTTGTGCTTGGTGCCCATTCTCTCTTCGGCACGTCTTCTGTCCTGCTTCTCCTTCTCGTCCTCGTCCTCGATGCCCTCAGCTACAAGGTAATCACGCTCAGCGGCCTCGGCACGCTCACGCTCCTTACGATGCACACGACGGTAAGCTTTCGACTTGATCTTCTTGACACGCTTGGCCTTGACCTCCTCNNCCCTGAAAAGCAGTTCTCTTGCCTTGCGAAGTTCGGCGCGTCTGGCCATGACTTCCTCAATGGGGATCTTGTTCATTTGCAATTCCTCAAATTGTTGAAGTTGGTCCTCCTCCTTGCCTTGCTTCTGCTTGTTGCTGAGACCGCTTTCCTCGAGGATATTCTGGATGGCGCTTTCAAGTTCGTTGGCGGGCTTGTCTTGCTGGATGGGCAGCATCTTTTGAGTGCCGACGGCCTCGATAGCATTTGGATCTGCCAGAGGGAACTGCAAAAACTCGGCTCTGCGGTTTTGGATGACAGTGTCGCGCCATCGGTCCAGAGTCTTCTTTGTTTCTTGGGTAGCAGCGGCTCTGTCCAGTTTGTCCTGTTGTCTCTTGGGCAGTGGAGCGTCAAGTTTTCCAGGGATGCCTGAGCGCTTGGTAGTCTTTTCGGAGGTGAGAATCTTGAGCGATTTGCGAAGGGCAGGATCGGTAACAGTAGGTAGCAAATCAGAAATCTTGAGCTTCTGCGAGGCGGACAGTCCATATGCTGAAGGCTCTTGCGACTCGTGAGCGTCTTGTGTACGTCCACCGATGCGCTTCTCCGGGTTGTCCTTGTTCAGCGATGCGACCAGATCCTGTAGCTTAGACAGCTTGGTAGCGTCGTCTTCCCCGTCGTCTTCTTCGGACTCTTCATCGTCGGATTCTTCCTCTTCTTCTTCCTCATCGTCGGACTCGTCTTCGGACGAATCGTCACCATGCTTCTCCTCGGTCTGCATAAGGTCGTCCTCGTTGTCCTCGTCGAGCATGGTGGCTAGGTCGACACCCTCATCGCCAAAATCGCTAGCCGAGTCTTCCTCATCGCTATCGCCGCCTTCGTCGAGATCCATTTCCGAGGAAGGTTGGGGTCGCTTCTTCTTCTTTTCNNGAAGNNGGCCGTTAGTCGAGCTTCCTCTGAATGTGAAGCCTTCGAAACGCTCTTCGTCGCTCTCTCCAAAAGCTTCGTCACTGTCAAGGTCGCTGTCGCTTTCTTCGCCAATGTGACCGCCCATACGCCACTCGTTGCCTTCGCTGTCGCTTCCCTCGTCTGTCTCCTCATCTAGGCCTCCTCTTCTGCCAGTACCAGTTCTCTTGGTCACAGTCTTTTGTTGCAGTCGTCGGGCGTTGCTGGCGTGTTCCTCGTCATTGTCGTCTTCGTCGTCATCTTCAAGTCTTCTGCGCTTCTGGCGAGGTTCGCCAACAGAATCGCCCAACCGGTGCTGGCGAACTTTGTATGTGTCAGGAGCGGAATGCGAGGCGATCGAGTAGGCGTCGAGTGTTCGCTTCTGAGACTTTTTGCGAGCGTTGGTGGGTTTAGCGATGGATACGCTCGAGCGAGCGACACGGCCAGGCATGATTGTGTTTGATAGGAAGTTCACAAAAATGCAAACTCGAACAAGATAGAGGCCCTCCGGAAAATGTGGTAGCGGCAAAAAGTCGTGCCAAGACGCTAAAGATTGGATAAAGTCCGCANNAGACACCTCCGAGTCGCAAAGTGGTAGAAGCAGAAGCAGCAAAACAGCATCGTCAGTCGCATCTCGCACCGTCGCCATCATGTTCACTTCTACTCCTTCTCTGGGACGCGCCCTCCGTCGCCTCGCTCTCACAACCAAGCAAGCCGGCAAGGACTACTACAAGGGTACCGGCTCAGGCTCCATGGGTCGTCACACAAAGTATGGTGGCTACCGTATCGACTGGTCAAAGGTCCGCACCTACCTCGTTCCTGACCTGTCCGACTTCCACGTATGTCTCCTTTCCTTCTCTATACTTAATTTCTAGTCATCTAACACACCACACAGNCTCAAGCCCTTCGTCGCAGAGAACATCGACAAGCCCACAAAGACACACGAATTCGCCGGCCCCGTCAACGGAAAAATGTACCTCGATGCATGGAAGAACCAGGGCGGCGACATCTAAAAAAGTCTGCCAAACGACAACTTTTACTTTTTTCGTTACATCTGCCAGGCTTTACCTTTATGATACCCATGGATCTGCATTTTCACCATCCTACAACTCTTGTACTTTACCTTTTCTCTTCCATTCTTGTATCAAAAGAAACACATTCTTGCAGGATGAACATATACAGTGTAGATGGGTCCGGACAATTTCTACACGTTCAACGATCGAATATGTTCGTCACTATGTGCTATGCTGGGTATATATATCCGTTCCAGTACTCCAAAAGAATGGCCAGTATTCCACCACTGTCCAGCGGTTGATGAACATCAATTGAAACCCCAACTCAGAGCTTCACACGTCCATGCCTGTGACCTTTGTGCTTATGGACAGCCTGGGTCGTTCGCTCTCCTTCCATCTGTTCCTCGGCTGGTTCCCCCTCTGCAAAGGCCCCTTCAGTCTCCGATCTCTTCGAAGAACTAGCCGGTGATCCTCCCATCGCTGCCGAGTAGGTCAGATACCAAGTCTGACTAGCTCCACCATCAAGATAAGCAGGATCGAACTTGGGGTCGGAGAAGAACGCATAACTGGCTGCCGGCTGAATAGTTGCCAGGTTGGCATACAAGATGCCTCTCCAACCACCATCCACATTGGCACGGCCATTGGAGAAGAAGGCGTTCCACTCTTCCGTGACAAACTTTTGCGTGCGTACGTATGCGCTGAATGGGAACCCAGCAGGGATCATATGGATGCCGTGAATGTACTCTGGGTTGCTGCCGAAATATGTNNCTGAAGTAGAACGTTAGTAAAGCTCCCCGTTGCACACACGATAAGATCTTACCGTATAGTCTATCTTGTTCTCGAACAANNCTGCAACATATTAGCAAAACTGTGTTTGGTACAAGATGGCTCAACCTACGACTCCGCTGACTTTGTTGCCGATGAGATTGGAAGGCTGAACTTTGTTGTCCGACGTGTAAAGGAAGTAGTTCTGCATCGATCTTGCTTCAATGGCTAACATGAGGTTGCCTCTTGCCTCCATTGCTTTGTCGCCGATTGTGCGTCCCCACATCTTGATTGCATACACTGACAAGTTGTCCTCAGAAGAACTCTCTTCATCTTTACCATCACCACTCTCGAATAAGCCTTTGGCCCAACTGTGTCCCATATACCTGCGAGAAGAATATGGTTAGCAAGATATTAGAGATTGGATGCCAGAACGCCACAGCTTTGCTAGACGAATACTTTCAACTCTGTGAGACGCCCAGAGACTTCTCGTGCAGGTTGAGACGACCGCTAGCACTAGTCGTGGCATCTTGTTCTTTAGTTCAACGTACCAATCAAACGATCGAGAGAAAGGAAAGTATGCATCAGTGGTCACAGAGTTGGAGTAGTCTCGGACCAACGTGTTGACCCATGCCTTGTTCGTGCCTTGATTCAACCAGCTAGGGTCCAAGTATCCGATCACAGCAGCTGCATAGACAAAGTATCCGTAATGGAAGTGATGATCGTTGTAGTACGTGTTACCAAAATCGAGGCCTGAGTCTCCAGTCTGGTAAGTGCCGCTGGAAACAGCTCCACCCCATGATGATTCATATACGAGGGGAAGAATCTGCTCGTTGCGAACGAATGTGTCGAAAGCCGTTTTCAGCTTCTGAAGTCCACTGATGGATAGGGTTGCGTTATTGCCAATGTCATGCACTGCATAGACAATAGCTGCAAACTTGGCAAGTGCTTTTCCAGAATAGTACATTGAGTTGAGGTTCGATTGCTTCTTCATGTCCTGACTGAGTTCACTCTCTCCTGCTTTGTTGATTAACCTAGCAGCTGCAGCCGAGACCTTGCTGACTCCTTTTGTGGAGGACGACCATGGCGCGAAGCCCATATCTATTGGCAAAGTTCGCTCGAGCAGAGTCCATGAATCGCCAACGATGCCTGTTGCCATTCCCTTGGTCGTAGTCTGAAGCTTGATGTTGGTCGCACCGCCAGAGGTAAGACTCTGCACATGATGAGGCAATGCGAACATAAGTAAAGTGCGGTTGACGACTCCTTGTTTAGTCCATGTCAACTTGTATGTTCCACCGGTCCCTGCTACAGAACCGGATACTGTCGCAGAAACTGGATATGCGCCTGCTGCTTCGTCATAGACTGACTCCGCACCAGCAGAGGGCACTTNTGCGACTTGAATGAACCCTTGAAACTTGGGAGCTCCTTGAAGTACACGGACATTGGTCAGTGTGAATGAATTGACGGGATAACCAGCTTGAGAGGTCGTGACGTAGATATTCCATGATGTGCCATCGGCGAGTTTCGCTTGATACTTGTAAGTCGAGCCAGAAGGCATTCGCCCCACATAAGTGATACTGGTAAATGAGATTGCACTCTCGATACGTGGTGTACTACTGCTGTAAACAGCCGTCACAAATCCCATACCTTGGATCAGGGGNNGGAAAGTGATAGCCGGGGCAGCGCCTGGACGTGGCAGAAGGTTGATGTTGGCAGAGAAAGCATCTAGGGAATCCATTGTGAGTTGGGTTGTGGTATTCAGCTCGGAAGCAGAGAGCGTGATTGATTGTATGCCAATAGGGTTGATAAAATATCGAGCCGGATTGCCAGGGCCAAATGCTAATTGTGACCTCTCGATGTGACTGATAGCCAGACCATAGCTTTTGAGCACACCAGATCCCTTTGACCACGCTACGGAGTAAGGGTGGGTGAATGTGCTAGAAGATTGAGAACCCAAGAAGAAATTGGCATAGAACTTGTTTGTCTGCAGTTTCTTCTTTTGTGTTGCGATCATGGAACGAGAGACTGGATGATCGGTTCTTGAGGAGATTTGAGGCGGAGGCGGACCACTTGCGAATGCCGCGAAGACGTTACCCACAGACATCGTCGAAGCCAGAGGAGCGACAACCGGGTGTGGTAATGATGTACTGGCGGTATTGATAAGAGATAGTGTAGTCGAAGCAGACGCTACTGATGTAGGGAAAGGCTGGACAGAACTCTTGCCAGAGGTTTCCAAGGAGGATATAATACTCTACGATAGGCGTTAGTAATCAGTCAATAGCGAGCTCAATGATACGCAGAACTATGCAGTAGGTCTGTAATATCTACAGGCTGCAGATAGAGATTGAGTAATAAACAGAGGCAAGAGCTACTGATCTGAAGTCCGAGTCTACCTAGGCAACCTTCTTCCTACAGATCAGGGCTCGCCAAGCCATTCTCAGTCCTCACTTCGCCCCTTCCTCTTCTAACAGAGTTTTGATTCCTGGTAGCTGAGAAAAGGAACAACGTACACCTGAGGTTTGAGGCTCCACCGTCGAAGAAGCACTCTGAATTGCAGATGAGCTAAGAGATGTCAAGCGACCAGTGGTTGAGAGCGAGTAGGAGGAGGTATCCGGTCGCATTGTAGACAACACAGGTGTAAAACTGCCAGCAGAGGGCATCAGAGACCTCGAGGAAGCTGTCGACTGCATCTGAGAACTCTTGGTCTCAGCGTCGCAGCCATAGTAATATTCCCAGTCGGCATCGTTGGCAAGGGGAGCAGCCTTAGTAGACTGAACTAGAAACATGCTCAAGAAGAACATCAAACAAAATACAGAAGAAGGCATAATGAACGTGTTGACTATTCGTCCAGCGCATCTACCAGGGAGTCCAAGGTCATATAAATGTTCGGATGCCCAGTGTTAGCACTTAAGAGAGCAGCCGCTTGGCATACGGCCGTTTAAAGGGGGTGGGTCAGAGGGCGCAGAAGGCGTCAAAGAGTGAGATTTTAGGACATCCTGTGATTAAAAGATATTTTTCCTTTTCTGCAACTTACTTAGGAAGAGAGTCAAGTGAAGGGGGGTATAGTGATCACGGAAACGTGACTCGCCTTGCGTCCCGAAGAATGCCTAGAGAGGACGCTCCTGGCAGGCAAGCCTAGCATTTTACGACACGAGTGCTGGAGCACAGGATGAGCTTGAACGGCGGACGTGATCACTCCAATGCACGGTCTTGCATGGACCAAAGAGTCTACGTGAATGGTTGTCTCGATATGTACAGAGCGTAAAGATAGCGTTCGAGGCGCCCTTGAGGAATGTTAAGCACTGCTATTGGTAATTCCAGGGGCCCATGGCGAAGGTCGATCGCAAAGGGAGGTTTTGCTCGAGCCCCTCGGTCGTCTCAAGAGGCTGTTGGACAAGAACGCCACACAGCCAAGTGCCGATCGTCTGAGCAGTAACGGACTTTGGTCTTGTGGATAGAGGACATGGTTGAAGATGTTGATGTATGCTGCAGTGCAGGATGAACAAAGGTTCTTCGGAAGGCGTTGAAAAACGCGGGCGCATTTCACTGCCATCCAGCCACCAAAGCCTCCCAGAGCACATTCTTCAACGCGAGCTATCACCAACAAGCATGGCAACATTTTTCACAAAGCCTAGAATGTCTACTTTGTGCGCTTTCGCTATATACGCAGTTTTCTGTTACCGATTACGTACCGGCGCTCAAGCACTGCAGCGACGTCTTTTCGACCAAGGCATATGTCATCGCTAGACAACTCGCAGAAGACCAGTCGCTGCTTGCACTTTAGCGCCTTTGGCATCGCTCGTCGACAAAGAACTTCTGTCCATCTGACAGGTTGGGTCAGGCTTCAGATGCTAGGTAAAACACGCTGCAATAACCAGTTTGGTCACGGATCTACGAGATTTGATCACACAGCCTCCTGCTAGTGTCACATTTACTTGTTGATTCATTATGATACAGCAACATGCAGGTCTTTCAAGTTGGAGACAGGTCACACAAGCATGGCAGCATGTGCTGTACCTGGTCGGAGCACTTCTAAACAATGGTTGGTAGGGTAGGGACATATGCTGTACGACCCGTCGATTGAGCCTCATTCGGATCTGCAAGAACCGTTCAATATCAGTCTCTCCTTCTGTCTTGCTCCAGATAACTTCGTTTAGCCGCTGCATCAAAAACTTGACGTATAACATGTTGTTTGCTCGTCGAAGATCATCCTTGATTGATTCGCTCAAAGCTGCCCCTCACGCGTCGTGGACGCGCATCGTGCAGGGTTGTTGCCTGCTTTGAATTCCAGCGATGGATTCCAGCACCGAACCAAATATTCATCAAATCAAGACATCCGTGTTATCCATTTGATTCAGGTAGCTTCTCTGCAGGTGCTGAAACGGCTTGTTGCAGCTATCGGCTTCCTGAAGTCGCCTGGTCGATTCTTTATCCGCATTCGCTGCGACAGTCAGATTCATCAGAAGCTCATATATCATCAACAACACCGCTCGTCTTTTCCATCTTTTCTAATCTCGACTCGTTCTCATCAATCAGTTTGACCTAAGTTTCTCACTCAGCCATTCACAACATGTCAGCTTCACAACGTGGAGACAGAGGCGGCGGTCGTGGTGGTCGCGGTCGAGGAGACAGCAACCGAGGAGGCCCTTCCAATCGTGGAGACTTCGCTGGTGGCCGTGGCGGCCATGCTCCGAGAGGAGGCGGCCATAGTGATCGGGGCGGTGCTTCGTCACGAGGCGATCGTGGCGGTGGCTCTTTCCGGGGAGATCGTGGTGGCTCCACGCGAGGTGATCGTGGCGGTGGTTCCTATCGAGGAGACCGTGGTGCTTTTCAGGACCGTGGTCGAGGTGGTGGCTTTCAAGACCGTGGTCGAGGTGGTGGTGGACGTGGCCGAGGAGGCTTCACGCTCCCAATTCACTCCGGACCTCCCAACAACAGCATCTTCCTGTAAGTCTCATGCCTCGACCTGACTCTGAGTTTAGCTCTATACTGACTTCATCCCACAGCGAAGGCAATGTTCTTCAGCCGAATCAGGAGGTGCAAGCTCTCGAAGACAAGCGTGTTCTTGAGACCGCGGGAAAGATTATTGAGCGATTTCCAGGACGCCCAGGTCATGGTACCAAGGGTATCTCGATCGTGCTCCGTGCCAATTACCTGCACTTGAAGACTGCTTACGAGACGGGTAAGCAGGAAGTGCCTCTCTTNCGCTACGCGGTCGGCACAGTCGGCGGCGAGAAGCTCAGCAAACCAAAGATGCGTCTTCTCGTTACCAACCTTATCAGAGACCCTCTCTTTGCTGGTCGCCAGGTCGCGACAGACTACGCCAGCATTATCGTAACCACCGAGAAGCTTGACCTTGGCCCTGCCGATCGCAAACAAGGCAAGATCGAAGTTATTGATCCTGCCCTACCCGCTTTCCAAGGTCCAGACAATGCACAAGCCCAGGAAGCCAAGACTCGTCGCACCAAGGGTTACGAATTATTCAAGACAGGAGAGTTTAGTCTGGCTGATCTTGTCCGCGCCCTGCAAGCTGTACAGGCAGGCGCCTGGTTTGGAGGGCAAGGCGATCTAGTACAACTACTAAACATCATCATTGGTAAGCATGCTAACGACACCGCCAACGTTTACTCCCTTGGTCAGAACAAGTACTATCCAGGGGTTGGTTCGCCATTGATGGAGCAGGTCGACATTACTGGTGGTCTTCAGGCACTTCGCGGATACTATGCTAGTGTTCGCACTTCGTCGAACAGAATCTTGGTCAACCTCAACGTAGCGAGCGCAGCCTTCTACAAGCCTGGACCACTCATGGACCTGGTTTCCGAGTATGTCGGCGGCTACCTTGGTCAAGTTCTGAGAGCGCAAGACCTGGTAAGGGCTGAAGCCTTCATTCGTATGCTTCGGGTGAAGACAGACTATCTCAAGGCCCTTGACAAGAACGGTAAGCCCAAGAAAGATGCTCAGGGGCGCCCTCAGACAGTGCCTGGTCTCAAGAGTGTTGTCGGCCTGGCTCCGCGTCCCAGGAATGGTGATGCCAGGACTGTCACTTTTCCTTGGACGGATCCAAAGAACCCGCAAGCTGCGGCTCGTAGCATCTCTGTGTTCGATTACTTCAAGAATCAACACGGTATCGCCCTTCAGCACCCAGAGCTGCCTGTTCTCAATGTAGGCACCAGAAGCGATCCCTCATATCTGCCAATCGAGCTGGCGACAGTGCTACCCGGTCAGCCTGTCAGACGCTTGCTTTCGGGAAGTCAGACCGAGCATATGCTTCGATTCGCTGCTAGAGCNCCCCGTCTCAACGCAGAGTCTATTGCAGGCACGCCAGGTAACGGACTCAGGACCATAGGTTTCAATGGACCCGCACAGGTTGTGAACAACTTCGGGATTGACATCGGCAAAGAACTTATCACTGTTCCTGGTCGCATATTGCCGACGCCTAAAGTCTATTATGGAAACAAGGAGTTGCAAGCCAAGGAGGGGTCTTGGAACTTAATGAACGTCAAGTTCTCTAAACCTGGTTCATTTGGCAATTGGGCTTGTGTCGTCATCAACTACAACGACCAAAGAGGTAACGCATTGCTTCCCAAGGGCGCTCAGATGCAAGGCATGGACGTCAGTGACGAGAACGGTATCTTGGCGGCTCTTGAGCGCCATCTGGGAGCATATGGAGTTCGTATGGGCTCACGTCTCCAAACTCAAAACATCAACATCCCTCGTCCCAACGAACAAAGTCGCGAGGCCATTGACAAGAAGATCAAAGAGGTTTTCTTTAATGCTGCATCGCACAAGATTGAACTCCTCTTCGTCATCCTCAAAGAAGCTGACAAGTGGCTCTACAGCCGCATCAAGTTCTGGGGTGACATCAAGTGCGGTGTGCAGAGTGTTTGTTCAGTCGGTTCCAAGATCCAGAAGCCTAAGGGGCAAGACATGTATCTTGGCAACCTTGCTTTGAAGTTCAACATCAAAGGTGGCGGTGTTGTTCATACTCAACGCGATATGTACCCTCTTGGCAACAACGACTGCATGCTTGTTGGCATTGATGTGACGCATCCTTCTCCGGGTTCTCAAGAGTCCGCTCCCAGCATCGCTGGTGTCGTGGCTAGCGTAGACGAACAACTGTCTCAATGGCCAGGCTCATTGCGCAGTCAGAGAGGAAAGGAGGAAATGGTCCAAGGGCTCACAGAGATGATGATCGAGCGCCTAGAGCTTTGGCGCAAGCACAACAAGAAGCTTCCTACTAAGATCATCATCTTCCGCGACGGTGTCTCTGAGGGACAATATAACCTTGTCTTGGATCATGAACTTCCGCCCATCCAGAAGGCTTTTGAGAAGCTCTATGGGTCTCAGGCGCCGCGTCTCACGATCCTGATCGTCGGAAAGAGGCATCATACTCGATTCTATCCTACAGACAGCAGATCAATGGATCAGAAATCCGGTAACCCCATGCCAGGAACTGTGGTCGATCGCGGTGTTACTTCTCACTACCTCTGGAACTTCTTCCTTCAAGCGCACAAGGGCTTGCAAGGCACTGCCAGACCTGCTCACTACGTCGTCATCAAGGACGAACTGAACTTTGGCCAGAACGAGCTCGAAGCGTTCGTCCACAAATTATGCTACAACTTCAATCGCGCCACCAAGGCTGTCTCCATATGCCCACCCGCATATTACGCCGATCTCCTGTGTGAGAGAGGTCGCATGTACCTCTACTCAACCTTGAACGAAAACCAGAGCGTGAATGGTGCGGCATACAACGCTCAGACAGCTGATTGGACTGAGGGTGTTCATGATAAGCTGACCGAGAAGACCTTCTACATTTGATTTCGATCTCCGAGTGCTGGAGACGGCTACATTGTAGCTGACGAAATACACAAAGGTTTTGCGAAGCATGCGGTTTCCACAGAGAGAGCCTCACAAACGCTATCTCAGTGGCCAGACTCGTATTTTGAACACAACTCTGCATTTTGACAGCTTTTAAACACTTGTGCCTCGGGGTGGGGAGAGGAAATCGCGAGATTGTGACAGTCTTTAGCACACGTTGGATCCAGCCAGTCATTATCATTCACTCATTGCAAGTACACTTTTCAGCATAACTCATGTATGTAACGGCCGAGCATCAAGAATTAACTTCATTTCATCCAATATCTTATGCAACGTGTTTATGAACTTGTGAGCAATTGAACGTTAAAGAGAACCTCATGGCTCCCCATGTGCTAAACACTGTCATAGCATAACTGTAGAAATGCACAATACTTTTGTAAAGGATGTGATGTCCACAGAAATAGCACCATCAAAGGCTATCTCCATGGTCATAGTCAGAATCAAGATGCAACTGTGTATTTCGATAGCATACAATAATCCTTGTACTCGCAACGGAGAAAGAGTCAATCCCAAGCTTGCGTACAAGGAGGTAGTTGAAGACATAAAATCGTGAGGCCGCACAATCAGGAGGTCATAAGAGCTGACAATGAAGAGACATCGCCCTGTCCAGACCAAGATGATCAACAATCGAGATTGTGTATTCTATCAGCTCTGGGGTTTGATGAGCTGCTCGAAGGAGATGTGGTACCAAAGCTCTGACTCCAGCAATACACTGGTCTCCTCTCTGCAAGACACATTTGATGCATATCTGATTACTATAGCGATACACTAGTGTGATGAGATGGCTGAAATGAGAGGGGATCATTGGTCGTGCAGTTCATCTTGGGGGTACCTGAGACTTGTTGCTAAATTCGTGACCGTATATTTTGACCTTCTGAGGACTATGTATCGTAATGCTGTGTTCGTATTGAATTTACCTGAACTCATCAATGGACAGAAGCCATGACCTGTTCCATCCAGGGATACACATAACTGTTCGCCTCGGGGTAACCNNTATGGGAGAAAGATAGGTCAGCATATAACTTCTTCAAAGTCGACAATGACTGAGACAAAAACTTACCCATGTGCAAGCGATGACTGATGAACCTCATCTCCTTGGGTGAGCCAAACTCACTCAAGAGCATAGAGTCTTCAATTGGCATCAATCCATCGATTGTTCCATTGATAAGCAGTAATCGACAACTTTTCATGTTGACAACACCAGTCTTGACGAGTGACCAAGTCTCTTGAGCATTGTCCATAAAGTCATCGTGGTCCTTGTAGCCAAACTTTTCCGTAAGGGCGGGTAGAGCGTTCCAGGGGTATTCTTTGCATTGAGCCTTCTCGAGCCATTCGCGCGAGAAGAAGTGGTGTGTTCCTGCGCCTTGGCCGATGGCACCAGCGAGTCTGTCAGAGTGGGTGTGTGCTGCGCGGANCCTGAATGATGTTAGTGGATGGTGCTTGAAGTGTAGCCTGCAAAGATGTGGCTCATAAACGCAAGATGCACGTACTGCGTTGTAACCTCCAGCGCTCAGTCCCCAAGTGATTATGCGCCTCATGTCGAAAACTCCTTCTCCCGACATCCAATCCAAGATGCTTGTCCACAGTCTTTCAGCAGCCTCAGGGTCTTTTCTGTCAGCAGGGCAGTCAGCGGTACCAGGGATATCGACAATGACCGAAGCCCATCCTCTCGTGAGGAACTCATCACTTCGGGTTGTGTTGTCTGGCCTGTGTCCATCGAGTCCGCACATGAGCAGGACAGCAGGGCAAGGCTTCGACTTTGACGCATCCTTAGGCAGGCGAACGTAGANGGGTACAGAATCAGCATCGGCCGAGGTTGCTGCTGTGTGTTTGATAGTGACATCCTTGATCGGGCAGTCCCAAAGGCTAGCAGCCTTGATGTATGCCTTCTTTTGTGCTTCGTAGATTTCGCGCTTGTAGTCCGAGTTGATGTAAGGGAAGCGAGCAATGCGGTAGACGGTGCAGGCACGGAGGTAAAGGGCTGAGGCAGCGTCCTTGTCTGAGGACACCAGCTTGTCGGCCTCTTCAACGAGGCGTTCGGCAGTGGGAACGAATTCACGAGTGTACTCGTCTGTGTAGCCTGAATCGATGTTCTTCGAGATCAAGGTCTTGAAGACAGGCTCGAAGTCTTCAAACTTGCCATCGTGGAAGGGGTAGAGAGACTTTGAGCAAGGGAAAGCCCATTTCTTTTCCCACAATGCCTGGATACCTTCAAGATGAGGGTATACCTGGTCGAACTTGTCACCAAGGATCCACTTGTGTTCTGAGGGAGTAGTTAACGACATAATGTGTTAGGGTGGAATATGACAATTCGGAGGAAATACAGTGGAAGCAGAGCAAGAATGGGTAGCAGTGATTATTATATTCTGAGCAGCAAGCTACGCATATTACAATATCAAAAAGTCCGTCGGGCATTGAGGGGAGAGCCGTAAGATGGAACAAGGCATAGTGTCACGGCAATTGTATATAAGCAGATATTGAAGGCGCATAGGCCCATACGACAGAGCATCCACAAGGAAGGGACGACTCGTTATGCGCTGGTTCGGAGAATTAAAATGCAGGGACAGATGGTGAAAGCTGATGCAGTCATGAACAAGGACAAGGACAAGGTTGTTGCCTCGGTGTACCTAGACCGCTGTTCGCTCACGTGACCTTCGGGACTTCCGCTACGCGGTCTGGGATCAAAGCGCGCGACTTTGGTGAGCCCAAGCAATCTGCTTTGGTGAGGAACTATTTTTCGTATCGCATACTTGCGCTCTTATACTAAGGCTTATAGATAAATGCCAAATAGATAGTATAGCTATAGATCATTGTTTTAACGCCTATATAGCTCTTACTACTAGTCTGCTTATTGCGTAATAGCTAGATGCGCTATGTAGACAGAGGAACAGGGTTGCCCTACTAGCAGAGTTTAAGTAGAAGTTTTAACAAAGCTTAGTTAGAAGATTAACTAAAAAATAGTTGAACTTATTTTTAGCTAATGCTTAACTAAGCTATTTATTTAGTTAGAAAAACTTTTATAAAAAGATAGTTTATTTTATAATAAGAAGTCTAGAAATATAAGTAGAATTAGCTATATACTACTAGATAAAAAAGTTTTCTAACTAGAATTAGTTAAATAATAATAGTTAAACCTTTTTAACTATAGTAGTTTAACTAGCTTTGTTAGAAAGCGAAGTTGCTAAGCTAGTAACCCTATCCTCTACTTATAACTATGATTATTAGTATATCTAGTTAATAATCTTTCTTAAAAATTTAATGCTAGCTTTTTAAGTATGTATACTATCTAGAAAACTTATTTGCAGATACTTAGATATAGTAGTATAGCTATAAATAAGGATTATATGAATTTACTAGTAAGATTCCTAAACTTTGCCTAGTAGGAGGCTAAAATAGCTATAATATTTCTATGATTTGCGCATTAGTCTATAGCTTTGGCCCTTAAGAAATCCCATCTATCGATTAAACTTATGTTTTTTGACTAATTTACAATAGTATATATAGTTAAACCTAGTAGTTATTACGCATTTCGCGCTGGAAGTCAAAAATCCGATTCTTAACTTTGCTTAGGCTTACTAAAGTCGCGCGCAATGATCCTAGACTCCACACAGAAGGAGTCGTGGCTAGCCGCGCTAACCAGATTCAGAAGCCACGGTCAGCTCCGGATGTCTTGGAGTCTGGGCAAACTGAGGCAACAAGGTTGAAGGTTTGAGAGGCTTCGGCCCCACACGAGGGGCAGTTCGAGTAAACAATCGTCATAAGCCGTTGGTGGCACGAGGCTCGGCGCGCGACTAAAGAGCAGAAGCGGCTCTGGGCGCCAATACCAACCAAGCACTCTTGGAGCTGCTCCATGCGTCGACGGTCCACCCGCTGAGCGCCTCAAGAGGCTGTCGTCTCGTGCGGATCCGTTCATCACTGTCCTGACAGCATCGCCCTCGACGACCTGTATCTCTGAATCCCTGCCATCGCCACGACGATACAAGCAACCATCTGGTCCTGCGTCGGGCCAAACACGACCGAGACCCACATCTTTATCTTCCCAGATAGGCTAGGCAACCCGGCCCCCGAGTCATCAACAAGCTCGTCCATACAAAGTGACCATGTCGCTATCAGCAGCAATCGACCAGGAGGCTAAGGACCTGCGAAGGGACTTTGAGATGAACAACACTCGCAAGAAGTCGGCTTTGCCCCCTCTACCAACCCCAGCCATTACCAAACCTACACCGCCCACAAGTCCCGTCTTGTCTCACAGAACTATGGCTCCCACGACTGCTGCACGCGGCAAACCGGCATTTCCTGGTGATCTTGGTCCTGGCGACCCACGACGCAGCTCCAGGCTGCCAGGCGACCTTGGCCCAGGAGATCCCAGGCGCAGCAGCAATAGACCCGCGATTTCAGACGGCACTCGCTCGGCCGCGCGCAGTCTGAGTCCCACTCGCAGTATCAGCCACTCTTTAAACCCAAACGACAAGTCTCCCGCCCAGCGCAGACTGTCTGATGCCGGTTCTATTCGTCCCCAGCTTGGAGACGGAGGTGTTCGTTTGCAGAAGGACTACGACAATGAGTCGGCCAGCAGCGACGAAGAAAGCAGCGATGAACCAGACACCGACCACGAGTCGTCGCGAGGCAGAGGTCGCGCCAGAGTCGGTAANTGCTGTTGGCATCACTCCAGACAGCGACGACGACGAACCCTCACCCCCTTGAATGCTGACCCTACCATCACTGTGACTCCACCCTCTACAGACCAGCCGTCCTCGGCCTCAGCCTACTCATCTCGAAAGCCCGACGTCCATCCCAGCACTGCCTTCGACTTTGCTGCATCAGCAACCTCTACCCCTGTACATTCCGACGACGAAGAACATCTGTCCGACTTGCGCCGTGCCCAACGCCTCTCGCTCAATATCTCTCCTATCCACAGCACTCCCTCGGCGCATCGTGTCATTCGTCAGATTATCCGTGGCGACTACCTCTACTTTCAGCGTCAAGCTGAAGAAGGCCGTAGGAGGCAAAGAGTTTACCTTGTCGCTACCGATCTCTCTTCCGAAGCCGAATATGCTCTCGAATGGACTATCGGTACTGTTTTGCGCGATGGCGATACTCTGCTGGCGGTCTACGCAGTTGACGAGGAGGCTGGTACTGGTGGCGTTTCTGAAGGTGTTGAGATTGGACATGGTGCCGACGTTGTCAANGATACAGCCACTATCGTACGCTCCATGACTGCAGAGAGTATGACTCCTGCAACACTGCCGCGAGATAGCAGCACTGCGAGAATCGCCTTTAGCGAGAGAAAGGACATGTCCAAGGCCGAGCAAGATCGTTTCCGTGCCGCTGAGGACATTAGTCAACGTTGTGTTAAGTTGCTCCGCAAGACTAGGCTTCAGGTTCGTGTTGTAGTAGAGGTCTTCCACTGCAAGAGTCCTAGACATATGATTACTGAGGTGGTGAGTATATACTAACTCCTGATTACTGACCCATGCTGATAGCCTCTACAGATTGATTTCCTATCGCCCACTCTTACTATCCTCGGATCAAGAGGCCGCTCCCAATTGAAAGGTGTCTTGCTCGGCTCGTTCAGCAACTACCTCGTTACCAAGTCCAGCGTGCCAGTCATGGTTGCCAGAAAACGGTTCGTCGAACGACACACGAAAACACATTCCCAGGACAACCAGACTGATTCTCTTGCCAGACTTAGGAAACACTCCAAGCAACGCTTACACAAGGATGGACTGCCAGTGGCCCAAGCCGGTGACGGAAGAATGCGCTATATCAGAATGTCCAATGTCCTGGAAGCACCCGGTACAAAGCCTAGAGCTAGAGGCCTGGCTGGAGCCAAGATTGATTGAGCGAGAGTCTGTCTTTCTGCTGATCAGTTACTTTGGGACTTTCTGCAAGGTTCTGAGAGCTCGTTTGAGATGCACATAAAATTATTGACATGAGTAATACGCGACCACGACAAATTCATTAGGCATTAATTCATACTACACTCTTTCAAGGCAGAGCATATTCCTACTTGAGTAAAGACAATGTTGTGTTTTGTGAAAGTTGCAAATAACTCGTAACATATCGCGGGCCGTTTGGAAATCTTGACGAGTGTGCCATGGTCGGTTAAGAGTCTCTGCATGCTATATATAAAATTAAAGTTTAGGGAAGAACATGGGTGTGTTCTATCTCAAGTCAGCAAGAGAATAGCCTTCGTTTGAGACGCATGACGCTTACCTNNTCTTCCACTCTTGGTAGTCCTTGCGGTCACCGTAGCGCTTGTCATACTTGTTCTCGCTGAGGGGAATACCCGAGACNNCTGGTTGAGTTGTAAGCACAAGGCAAAGCTCACAATCATCCTTGAAACATACCTTGAACAACAAGAAAGTAACAAAGGCAGGGCTAACACCAGCCATGGCCAAAGCACCCAATCTGGCACCAAGACTGCCGCTGAAACCCATACCAGATTGACCAACATTGGTAACCAAAACACCAGCAGCAGCAGTAGCAATACCAGTCCACAAAGTGCTTTCACCAAAGTAGTTGGGGTGTCTGCTTTTAGACCAAAGACCTCTGGTTAGGAAATCTTCATTGTGCTTCTTGTTCTTCTTTTCTTCCATCCATTGGCTCTTTTGCTTGTCGGCTGTTGCTTCGAATCCGATACCGCCGATGTAGAGGAGTACACCAATGACGTCGGTGAGGGTAAGGAAGGGGAGAGCGGAGAGGGTCGTTGCCGGGATTGAGTTGAGGGCTAGAACAGGGAGAAGGCAGAGAGATACCCAGGTTGCCTGGGCGAAGAAGGCACCGAGGAACTTGGGAGGAGAAGTTCTGATCTCGTCAAAGCGGGAATCGCGGCCGTCTTCAGAGGTGATGCGTGAGAAGAGGAATGTACNCAACTGCAAGTGTATTAGTCGTAGGCTCTGCTTGAGGTAGATGCGATACGCACGTCTTGTGGCCCAGATAGCTACAGCAGCACTGAGAACGACCTGTCTCCAGTTCCAGGCCTGAACACCTCCCTTGCTGGCCAGACTAGCCAACAAGCTAGGGTATGCTGGGAGAGCTGCAGTACCAGCAGAGACAGTTGCTGCAGCAGCTCTAGCTCTCAGCGTAGGCAAGTAGAGAGAAAGTGCCGTGCATGACAAATATGTCAACGATCCACTCAAATCGTAGAATCGTTCAGATTGGAACAAGATACTGGGAGCTGCTACACCAGCTTGAATTGCATAGGCAAGTCCAATGCTAGGTACCAAAGTACGAAGGAAAGGAGATCTGAAGTTTGTGAGGGCTAGAAGGGTGTTCAACAGAGTCATTATGAATTGGCGATGGCTGAAATAGCCTGTATACGTATGAGGAAGGGTGACAATAGAAGCCTACACTTGACAGATGTTGTTGCAACTCATATATGAGATTGAATCTCAAATCAGGAATCCTTCTGCCTTCGATGCATGCTGGGTTGAGTGCACTGGTGGAATCGAGCTGGAAGCTACGGACCATAAAATGACGACATTCAGGGTCCGAGTGTTCCTATCGGGGTCTGTTGATCTCCCGACTCCGAGAAGAGAAGGAGGTAACCCTCCGAACTCATTCTGATGCTCAACCTCAGAGTGTGAATATGGCCATTCGTGAGAAATATGCTCATTACCACAGGGAGATGGTGCCTGACTGAAGTCTTTGTTGAAGGTAGGAGTAGATAGATACATGCTGCCAGATATCAACCAGAAATCTTTGGTTTTCTATGCCAGAGCGGACGTTACATGGAATCGGTGGAATTTCGGCTCCATGCCATGCCATGCCACTACTTCTAGCTAATATTCCATTCCATGTCAATTATCTAGTGGAATAATGCCAATTCCAACTCCGTCGTCGTCGTCGCAGTCACCCTGTCCTTCTTCTAGGTCACCCTGTCCTTCAACGTCATCCTCCAGCTCTTCTACGTGATCTTCCGGTCCTTCGTTAGTAGTAATTGGTAGGTCAACCTTGTCAAAACAAAGGTTCTTCTGCCAGCTCTTGAGGCACTCAATATAGCCAAGATTGTCAGCAGAGAGGCTTGCTCGGTCCCACGACAGTGTCCTTCTACAGCCACTGAACACCCTCTCTGACTCAGCAGACATTGGATTGATTGAGAGGATATCAATAGCCATCTGAGAGAGGTTTGGATAGTTGTGTTGCTGCGTTGGCTCAAGCCACCACTGTATAGCATCATCAACGAGTACTGGAGGACTCTTGGTAAACTGGACAAACTCCTCAGGTATGGTAACTGAGTTTGCAAACCGTATAGAAGCCTGCCACTTGGCCAGCTGATTCGACTCCTCTTCATTTGACAATGGTGCTATTGCAATAGGCTTGGTCTTGTTCTTGTATTTAGCAGTCCATAAAGCGCGTACAGCAGTAATAGCTGGTGTTCGCCATGACGGAGGCCAGTGTTGTTTGATATAGTTCTCGCGATAAGTTGGATGGAGGAGGAGCGCTGCTGCATAGGCAGGAGTATAGTTGTTGATAGCTTGCCACTTATTAAGTGCAAATTGGCTAGTTCGGATTGCGGCAATAAGGGCTTGGTCGGTAGAAGCATCTTGTTGTGTGTACTTTTCATAGTGCTTGCGTAAGAAGTCCATTGATATAAGCACTTGATCAAGAGTTGCGTTATCGCCTTCACATAGCTTTGTTACCTCCTGCAATGGTTCCATAAAGTCAACAAGCGCTTCAAGGAACTGCCAGTGGCGCCGCTGAAGAGTAGTGTGCTCCATATGCTCGTTAGCCGACTGAATAGCACGTATAGTTGCTCGAGACTGAATCCCTCGCTTGATCATGGCTAGCCAGCTATTCCACCTTGTGGTATTGTTAAGCATAGGAGATACACCAGCAGCTGCCTTGAACTCACGACGACGGCGAGCTGACCTCATGATCCACTCGAAAAACTGACGGAGGTAGTCGAGAGCTTCATGATCAGTAAGGCCAGTGCCTTGAGCGAGCGTTGAGATAGCTTTTAAGGGATCTTGACTCTGATCAATTACAGCAGCTATGGTGTCTGTTGAGCTCGCTGACATGAGTGCTTGACTAGCAAGATTGATCTGGTGTCCAAAGCAGCGAGTTCGATGTTGTATAGGGTCCCAATCGATAGACAGACGCTCGCTAAATAGAGTAGCAAGGTGGCTCATCATAGTATCGTTGCAAGTGGCATTATCAGAGGTGATATATCCGATCTTCTGCTCGATGCCATAGGTAACAATGGTATTAAAGAATAGAGGAGCACATTGAGCACCAGCATGGCCAGCTGACAGCTTATGGAGAGCTAGCAGTGCCTTGCTTAACTTGCCGTCTGAGTCGACAAATCGAGCTGTGATACTAAGCAGCTCATGGCTACCATAATTGGCTGTCCAAGCATCGCAGGTAAAGTGGATCAATGATCGAGATGTTGCAAGCAGTGCCTTGAGCTGCTCTTGATAGAAGTCGTGCTCCTTCTTGACGTGTTTGGCGACAGTAGAATGACTCTTGATCAAGAGCTTTGAGGCGCCAGGAAGCACCTCATCAAGTAGCGCATGGAGTAGAGGATTGCTAGCAGTACGGAAGGGGATGTTGCTTGAGGTGATGTAATCGATAAGACGTCGATTCAAGCGAGTTTTGTCGATATTGGCAATAGTATATGATGTCTGAGAGGGTATTGCTACTGCTAGCATCTTTGAAAGTGTACCAGTTGCCTGTCTCCAGCCATGTCTCTTCTTAAGGTGTGATCTGATGTTGTCGTAGTTGGTGGTGTTGTAGTTGCGAGGACAGTCTCTATTGCCATAGAAGCAGTACCAGATCTTCTTCTTGCGCTCACGCTCGCGCTCTCCAGGACGACGAGCTCTAGCATGAGACCAGAGCTCTTCAGAATCGCCACGGGTAGGAGCTGGTTTTCGAGAGCGCTGTATTGACGTACATTCAGAGTCATCAATGTGGTTGCTAGCGGTTGTTGGCGTCAGTCGTCGTCGCTTTGAAGGAGGAAACAATGGCTGGTCGACATCAGAGGCGCTATCGTCAGTCTCAGAGTTGTTGCCTTCAACAAAGATACTGTCTAATTGACTCTGAGGAGCGAAGAGTCTAGGCCTTGGAGTATTAGAGGCGAATTTGAAGAGGGTACTCTGTTTAGAGGCGTATAGCGGCTGGCTCTGAGATAATCGAGAGTTTGGTTGGCTTTGTGGCTCTTGTAACTTGTGCTCTTGATTAGCTGGTGAATACATGATACAAGGATTGTAATTAAAGGTAGATCATATGCTCATGAAGATAGAAAGATGACAAAGAGCTAGGCTCTAATATTGAGCAAGAAGGTGGAGGATAGGATGGTTGATGAATTGAGAGGGAGCAGTTAAGACGCGTCGAAAAGGACGCGCGAGGCTTCGTATAAGCTAATAAAGAATTAGCTAGTCGGAGCTCGCGATCTAATCTCCGAGATAAGATCTAGCCAATCAGAGAGCTCAGATAGGTTACTAATCGGAAAAGGCGTCATAGCAAGTTTTTTGAACGCGACTGCTATGCCCAAGCGTAGCACACTCTAAGCTGAGGCTTACTATCATCAACCATAGCAACACTAGCTATACCAAGTGGTGGAATGGTAGAATATTCCACTCAAATTGACGATTCTATTCCATGCCAACTAGGTGGAATATTCTACCTCAAATCAGTGGAATATTCCAATATTCCACTTATTCCATGCCATTTAACGTCCGCACTGTTCTATGCTTCTATGCTGAATGTTGCGCGGGTGACCTTGGCTTAACTCACCATCCTCTCCTCGAAGGCGTACCTACATCCATACAGGTCTAGTGGGGCGTAAATAGTTAGCAAACTCTCCTAATTTACTTAAGTATAGACTAAGGTGTTAAATAAGGGGCGTGTGTGGACAACAGGTAGACATAGATTAAAGTGACGCTCTGGCCTATTTAATGTCAAGACTCGACCCAACTTCCGAACAAAGAGGCATATAAAATTCACGCCGAGCTATTCTAATGATGAATGTTAGGCGAGATCTCCCAGCGGTAAGGACAATATCGATCGAAAGTAAAGTCGGATGCAAAGTTCAGTTCAAAGATAAGGACTAGAGACTATACACAAAAGTGAGTTTCTCGTCTCCACGCCGTAGTCTATCAACCTGTGCCCAATCACGCAATTTGTTCAACTTGCAGGCTCTTGTGATGAGTGTCCAGAAGTTCTTTTGCTCAACCACGGCACCGTCCCCAAACATCGCTTCCCGTCTGACTTCTTCATCGTCCCAGCCTGCCACGATTCGTTCTCGTCGATGATTTTCCGCAACAACCAAAGCCCTGAAAGCAAGGTAGCCAACGAAAGCGGTGAGGACGCAGACCAGAGTCACATAAAATGGAATGATGTAGCCGTCCTCGGCAAACCTGGGAGCGAACAGCATGCTTGAGATAACGCCAGCAAAGTTCCCCCAGCCGTTGATACCTAGGACAATCGCACGCTTGCCAGGCTGAGGTATGTTATTGCTCAGCCATGTCACCGTCAGAGGTGAAGCTACGAAGGAGCCAGATAAGAGAACAGTCAAGGCAAAGTATCGGAGTTTGTAGGCGCGCGTGGGTAGCGCGACAGTGGCGGCTAGACCGGCGAGCAGGATTGCCAACCCATACAGGATTGGAATCAGACGGGTACGATGCTTGTCAGACCACCAGGTGAATAACCACAGGATGATTGCACCAGCCAGGAATGGAGGCACCACAAGCAAATTTATAGCGGCTGGTCCCAGATCGTCCCGTCCTGCAATGCCTTTGATGACGAGCGGAAGAAATACTGCAAAGGCGGTGGCTGGAATGGCGGATAAGATGTTACAGAACAGGAGATACCAGATTTTCCAATCGGACACGGCAGAGAAGATATCTTCGCGAGAGACTCCACTATCGGCCGTGATGGACACGAACGAGGCGTGGCTCGCTCGTCGGGTAGATGGTTGTGTAAATTCAGCACGAGAGAGCAAGAAATCAGCTTCTTCATCCTCCAATGTTAGGGATGAGCGTGGTTCCGGCAGGATGGATGACGTTGACACCTGGATGTCGAGATTTGGCTGATGTTTTGGATTGGTCCACGAACTGGCTGCGGCAATCTGATCCTTGCGAATACGTTCTTCTGCAACGAGACGTTCGTCGGCAGTCAGAAACCAGGCAGTATTGGCGCTGTGAGGCAGCCAGAAAAACCCAACGAATGCTACTAGAATCGTCAAAGAGCCTTCAATAAGAAATAGAATCTCCCAACTCCTCCACTTCCTCGCAGCAATATGAGGATTTGGGTCATCGTGAGGGAAGTAACTGAACACAGCCCAGGATACGAGTCCTCCGACGCAACCAGCAAGCGCAGCTTGGCCGTAGAAGAAAGCCAAGCGCTTGCCAAACTCGTAGCGAGTGTACCAAAGACTCAGATCTGAGTAACGGTGTGTTAGTCCATAGTCAACCTCGCAGTCTCGAGGAGTATAACCTACNNAGCTGACCACAGTAGGGTAGAAACCGGATTCTAGTGCCGCAATGAGTACTCTCAGAGTAACTAATTGAGTCTGAGACTGCACAGCGACGTGAAGTGCTGTACAGACTCCCCAAAGGCCCATAGTGGCTGGGACCCAGCGTGCCATACCATATTTGCGACCGAAATAGGCACCGATCGGTTGACAAGAAACGAAGACAGCAAAGAACCAAGCTACTGAGACGTTCAGGGCGGCCTTGGGCAGTCCAAGGTCTTCAGTGAAATGACCAGACTCTGCATTCCCGACGTTGGACTTGTCCAGAGAATTAAGCAAGAACAGTAAACACAAGAAAGGGAGAAGCAGAAGGTCGAATTTGAGCACGACACGTTTGCTCAGACGGGCATAATCGTCAGCGTCAAGATGACGAGGAAGAGCTCCCTCCATAGCAAAAGCAGACACAAGCTCGATGTCGCTTCCAATGTTCATGGTCTCCAGGGGCCGTCATCGGTCAGGCTGGCTGGGGAAGTGGCTGGTTCACTGTTCGCGAGTCAAGAAGGAAAACAAGCTTCGCGTCATCATGCATGGCCCGAGCGGCTGTTGTCATGGTGAAAGAGTGCACAGCGAAAACAAATTGGATTCTCAATGCGTTGTTCAAATTTGAGTGGGCAGCTTTTGACGGAGCACAGATCAATATCTCGTACTTCTCTTAGCAGGTAAGGAGGATGTGTTGACACATAGTGTGATTGACAATAAAGAAGAAGACATAAACAGTGCTCAGAAGACAAGCAAGAAAACAAAGCTAAGTTCCGCTTCATCGCTAACGATTTGCACTTAGCAGCAGCGCTACAGACCATCACAGCAAAGCAAAGGCCAGAAGAAGGCTCTCTTTAATATCACGACCGGGGAAGAGCGGGCCGCGCCCTGACAGTGTGCTTGTAAGCGACGTGCTGTGCCTGCTGTCGTGCTGCATTCAGCGGCAACCTGCTTGCTCGCTCTGCATCTGGTGAGCTGGACCAACTGTGGTGGGTGTATCTGACCTGAAGGTCAACAATTCTCTGTCGTCGAACACCGCTCCTGCCGCTCGATCAAAACGTGATTTGAAGGGCTGGAAGGTAGTTCGCTTCCCCGCAGGTACGACAGGTGCAATCGACAGGTCAGAAACGGTGTCAACGGTACTTACAGACTTCGATGAAGTATGGCCGACGCACCACCTCCTCCACCACCTCACGGAGCGAACCCAAAGTCAACATCCGGCGGTCTGCCTGACGGCAATTATGACATTTTCATTATCCCGCCTCACAGCTCAGGCTCTGGATTTCTATACCTGCCTTCACTCCAACCACAACGCAATTCGTTCATCGCTGGATTCGCGTGTGCCGTCTTCTGTTACCTGATATGGGTGACGGCCGTACCAGTGCTAGGCCAATGGCTGTCCATTATTGCTGCTAGCGGGAGTGCTGGCGTGCTTCTGCTTGTCGCTGGTGTGGGTGCTGTCGCATGGGCTTTCGGAAAGACGCAGGGTGAAAGCAAGCATCAGCACTCTCACAGCCCACCACCTTCTGGTGGCAGTGATGGGGCTCAAGGAAGTGCAGGCACAGAAGGAGGAAACAAGAACAGCAGTGGTCCTTATAATGCTTCACATTCCTCAGGCTCAAACCATGCACATTCCGCACCACCTCCGCGCACCCCCCGACAAGATTACTCGACCCTCCACCAAGGCAGGATTACAGACCACCTCCGCAGTCAGAATACTTTTCTCAACCACCACCTGAACACAACAATCCTCCTCCCCGACCCCCACCGCCACCAGAATATGCTGCTCCACCACCACCTCCGTCACCTCAACCCGAATATAATGCTCCTCCTCGATACACCGCCCCACCGCCTCCTCAGCAGGAAACACCGAAGCCTACTCCTCCACCGCCAGCTGCCTCGCCAGAGCCTCAACACGGTCTGCAACCGACGCTGCAGCAAGCTGGGAGAAGGCCCGAGAAGAAACTCGTAAGAGAGAGGAGGCCAGAAAGAAGGCGGACGAATTGGAAGAAATTACGTGAAGAAGCGTTACGGAAGAAGGAGGAAGCTGAAAGACAGGCAAGAGCAGCTAATGAGAAGCTCAAATGGGAGCAAGCCAGGGCCCGTGAGAAGGAAGCCCGCGAAAGAGAAGCAAGAGAGCGCGAGCTCAAGGACAAGGAGACCAAGAACCAGGAAACTCGTGAGAAGGAAAGGCGCGAGCGTGAAGCGCGGGAGCGAATCGCCAAAGACAAGAGGGAAAAGGCTGCCGCCGCCGCAGAAGCAGCAAAATCACCCNAAGCCTGCCGTGCCTGCCTCCAAGACGTATGAGCGCCCTAGTGCGCAGAGCTATGCCAGCACCGAGACTACGAGTGCTTATGACGCCCGCACAATCATATCTTCCTCGACGGCATCCTCATACACAGAGACCCTTTCTTCATATGCGCCCTCGACTTCTACCGCTCGGACCAGTCCACCTCCTGAGTATCGTGGACCATACAACACCTCTGATCCAGACAAGATAGTCATGAAGGCCGTCTACATGTACAACAAGACGGCGCTGAAGAAGCCCATAAGTCAGCTCGTCAGTGGTGAAGCTAACGTTACTGATGGCCTCGTCCTGAGAATCACCACCGAAGGCTTGTTTATTGATGATGATGTACGCCGTGTTCCGCAGCGCGAATGGGATATCAAAGCCTGGAGTCTCAAGAGCATTGAGAGAGGTGCTTCGAAGCCTCACTACATGCTGCGTGCCACAATCAGAGACACAGAAGGCAAATGCTACGTCTTCGTCATCCCATCAGATCAAGAGTGGAAGGTTGATGTTGGACTGGCTCGCCTACGGAAAGGTAACCTGGTCCGCAGTATGGGAATGAGTAGCATCAAGGCGTCAGAGATGAGAGGCTTGCTCAGCGACCTTGGTTGGGTCTAATTGTTGTCGCGGCAGGTCGAGATGCGACCTCATCTGTCATATCACGGAGGTTTTGTGACCATTGGCCAAGAGCGGCTTTAAGTGTTTCACCGCATCATGCATCAGCGACCAGGCGTTTTTCTTTTCTGCTTTGAGCTTACAGCTCTTATCTTGAACCCTTTGCTTGTCTTTGGACATTTACGCTCGCTACGATGGAACGACTATTGAAATTCGCGGATACCACCTTGTGCTTTTGCTCCAGTATGGAGTGTTACATACCCTGTTAATAGAAACAAACAAGGAGAATTGTTTGCGACGTTGCCTCTTGTGTCATTGATTGTGTCCCGAGTACGTGGATGATTGGTCCTATACTGAACCTATTCTAAGAAACATTCCTCGGTTGACGGACCGATACGCCTTCTTCGTATCGCTGTAGGTCATGTCACCTCTGGTGACATTATCATTCAAAGAAACAGTGCATTTGCAAGTGGCGCAGACAGTGTTTTCGTCGTAGAGGAGCGTACACCGCTTCTTGTTGCACATATCCTATGAACCTATCAACTGTTTTGAGAGATATTCTCAATGTTACATCCTCTGGAAGCAGCAATCCGCTGCATACTTCTTTCGTACTTGGTAGCCAGCATCTAGTATAAAAGGCCCTGCTGTCTTCGAGTTGATGAGTCTCTCAGAATCTCTAGATCGTGACTACAGACAACACATTATCCTCTTTCAGTATACTCCTGATCACTTTGAGAAGTCCCGGTTGTTCCTCAGTCCATCTTCCAACAAACATCATGGCATCATCAGTCGCCATGTTAGCAGCAATGCTGTACGCTTCCACAACGTTTGCATATCCTCAGTCCATCGCCGGACAGACCCTCGTCCCTGGCAATCTCGCGGTGACTTGGTATCAGGCACCTCTGGCCTTCAGCGAATCAAGCTCGACCAACGCGACATGTGGTTGGGCTGTTTCTACGGGACAGCTAAACACCACTCAGTGCTACGTCTTGCACACCTATGCTCTCGGACTACAGCAAAACGAGCACCACGATTGTACTCTGAAGGTGTGGGATGACGTCTCTGATTGTTCGGGAGATGGGTCCTGGACCATGCATGCTATACCCAGTGGCAGAGGGACTCGTTGTGTCGAGACTGGAGTTTTGGATGGCGGCAATTTCCAGCACAAGAGCTGTGTCTTGACATGCTCTTGAGAACGTTTGGATGTTGTGGCGTGGGTAACGATGAGAATCAGAGGAAAGAGAGAAGCGTTGTGGTGGAGGGATAATCGGATGTTAATCTAATGCTCGGTACTTGGGTAGTTCTGTCTTCTAGCTTTTCTGGCTTAGGACGATCTAGACGATCTACTATGCTTCTTTTCAGTTGTTAGCATGGTGATTGATCAGGTACTTAAATACTGTATCAGAATCTTCAAGCTCTATACAAAATCCCTCTGGTATGCTGTCAAGTACTATGTATAGACAAAAGTGATGAGCGTAACCTCTTGTGCCAGGACAAACCTTGTGGCCCTGCATGTCGAGCTGTGAGCATTGCACGTGTTCTTACCAATTGTCTTACCACGGCAAAGCTGCCGTATGGCCGCTAGCGCTCGAGTCTCTAGATCTCGGCTTGCTCTGACCACTGAAACATTGAAACTCTCAGGCCGACTCCGGCACTTCTCCATGTACGATTCGGACCGCATCAGGTCACATTGGAACGACAGAGGGCATCTCCAGAGGTCGCATGTTCATAGCAGGAGAAGGACCGATAGCATTGCTAATGGACCCAAATTTGCGAACGGCGTTCATTGGTCCGGGCCCTCCCCATACCGTGTTTGTCGTGGAGGTTGCGGGGATCAAGGATGGGGCGTTCTCTAGAGCGCTTAGACCGTCCTCAGGCGTCATCTCCACAATTGATCTCTGGCGGGCCGGGGATGTCTTCACAGTTCTTGTTCAGCAGACGAAGGGACTTGTGCATCAAGTAGCCGTCTCTGTTGTGTGAATGTACTCAACAAGGCAGCGGATAAATAGATTTGGTTGGGGATCTGGATGCGAAGAATTGAAGCCGCAGAGCTGGGGTGATGCGGCGGAGGATGAGTTCAGAGTGGGAACAGGCCCAGAAGCGCAATTTCGAACGGTAGTACGCTTTCTAGCCGAGCGCCTGCACCAAGTTTTGGCTAAAAAACGTCACTGGGGGTTGGATCAGTTGAACGATTTGTCCCCAGCCTGAGGCTTCAGTTGTTGAGAGCAGCGCGTCTCTGCAATTCACCACCGCCACGCCGTCTCAATTGCTTCAAAAGACGTCGAGGTGCGCCTGACTTTGTCGAAGAGAAACAATCCACAAACACAAAGCGATTGTGCAAGCAAAGACGAGTCCCTGTCTCGGCTACTAGCAAAAGCACAGAAACGTCATTGCGGTGTTGCTTCTGACCATTTGCAGGTGAGTACCCCACAGCTCGCCGATCTCGTCTCGTTCGGATGGACACGAGCTAAACCGACAGCTCTCTGCTCCTTCGACCTTCAACCCTACTTTTAGCTTGCTCCTCCCACTTTCTTCCCTCCGTCACCGTCATTGCTCGACGCTTTTTCCGTCACACCTCTCTATACGCACCACACAATGGCTACCGCAAAGNNGCGCGATGTGAGGAATCACGTCCTCTTCGAGGTCGCTACCGAAGTCGCCAATCGAGGTTTGTCTCGCCTCACAATCCTTTGTTCGTGCCACGTCCATAGCTAATGTCTCGCAGTCGGCGGTATCTACTCGGTCCTCAAGTCAAAAGCTCAGGTTACAACAGCAGAGTATGGCTCAGCCTACACACTGCTCGGTCCTCTTAATCGCAACTCGGTGAGTCGCCAACTAATCCATGTACTCATTGCTGCGTCAATCAGCTGACTCGAACACAGNGCAGCCGTCGAGGTTGAGGAGCTCGTGCCCAAGGACCCCGCCATGTTGGCAACCATCAAATCCATGAACGAGCGTGGAATCAAGACACTATACGGAAGATGGTTGATTGATGGTGCTCCGAGAGTGCTGCTTTTCGACACTGGCACTGGCTACTACAAGCTCGACGAGTGGAAGGGCGACCTTTGGGCAACTGCTGGTATCCCTTCGCCTGCAGATGACCACGAAACCAATGAGGCCATCGTTTTTGGTTACCTAGTTGCATGGTTCCTTGGAGAGGTAAACAATCTCCAATATCTATGTTTCTCAGCGATCTCTACTGACACGTCATTANNGTACGTCTACCACGAAAAGGAGCGTGCAGTCGTTGCTCAATTCCACGAGTGGCTCGCTGGTGTTGCTCTTCCTCTGTGCAAGAAGCGCAGAATTGATGTGACTACCATCTTCACCACTCACGCAACCCTCCTCGGTCGTTACCTGTGCGCCGGCTCTGTCGATTTCTACAACAACTTGCAATACTTCGACGTCGACGCCGAAGCTGGAAAGAGAGGCATCTACCATCGCTACTGCATAGAACGCGGAGCTGCTCACGCCGCCGATGTCTTCACGACTGTATCGCATATCACTGCTTACGAGAGTGAACATTTGCTCAAGCGCAAGCCCGACGGTGTTTTGCCCAACGGTCTGAATGTCAAGAAGTTCTCAGCAACTCACGAGTTCCAAAACTTGCACCAAGTCAACAAGGAGCGCATCAACGACTTTGTTCGTGGTCACTTCTATGGCCACAACGATTTCGACCCCGACAAGACTTTGTACTTCTTCACTGCAGGTCGTTATGAGTACCGCAACAAGGGTGTCGATATGTTCATCGAGTCTCTCGCCCGTCTCAACCACCGTCTCAAGGCAGCTGGCTCGGACATGACCGTTGTTGCTTTCATCATTATGCCCGCACAAACCACTTCGCTCGCTGTCGAGGCCCTCAAGGGTCAAGCTGTTCTCAAGTCTCTGCACGACACAGTCAGCTCCATTGAGAAGAACATTGGCAAGAAGCTCTTCGAGCGCTCTTTGGCATGGCACGAGGGGCAAAACCCTCCTGACGAGACTGGCCTCTTGACTCAAGAAGACAAGGTTCTGCTTCGTCGCCGTCTCTTCGCTATGAAGCGCTCCAACCTGCCTCCCATTGTTACTCACAACATGGTCAATGACTCAGAAGATCCCATCCTGAACCAGATCCGCCGTTGCCAACTCTTCAACCACCCCACCGATCGTGTCAAGGTCGTCTTCCATCCCGAGTTCTTGAGCTCCGGTAACCCAGTCCTTCCAATGGACTACGACGATTTTGTTCGTGGTACTCATTTGGGTGTCTTCTCATCTTACTACGAGCCTTGGGGTTACACTCCTGCCGAGTGTACTGTCATGGGTGTTCCTTCCATCACCACCAACCTCTCTGGATTCGGATGCTACATGGAAGAGCTGATTGAGAATGCTCAAGACTACGGTATTTACATTGTGGACAGACGCATGAAGGGCGTGGACGACAGTGTGAACCAACTCACCGAGTACATGTTCGACTTTGTTGGAAAGAGCCGCAGACAACGCATCAACCAGCGCAACCGTACCGAAAGATTGAGTGACCTCTTGGATTGGAAGCGCATGGGTATGGAGTACGTCAAGGCTAGACAGCTGGCTCTCAGAAGAGCGTACCCTGCCTCATTCGAGGGCGATGAAGAGCCTGGTTTCTTCGACGGCACTGAAGTGAAGATCTCTCGCCCACTTTCAGCACCCGGCTCGCCAAGAGACCGCTCAGGCATGATGACCCCTGGTGACTTTGCTTCTCTGCAAGAAGGTAGAGAAGGCTTGAGCACTGAGGACTACATCGCCTGGAAGCTTCCGTAAGTTTCCTCATAACCCGTACAATATATTGAGAAGACCATCATGCTAACATGTTATTCAGTNGAGGAGGAAGATGTGGACGAGTACCCATTCCCGCTTACCCTTCGAAGCAAGAACTCATCGTTAAACGGAACCGGCACCACGACACCTACAAATGGCACTGCAAGCAACTTGACAACCAACACAAGCGGTGCTGCCTTCTGAGAGGATGAAACCAAAGCTAGGGAAGAAAGAGAAGAATAATGAAACGATCATAAACGCAACATGAAAGACCGGAGCTGTTGTAGCCACGGTGAACTCTTTTAGTCGTTGCACCTTTTGTACACTACCATGTAATTTGCGAATTGCTATTCCAGAGATGCTGCATGCTTTAGCAAAGTTCTTGCCATGACGGCAGACGTGATTATAACAGGATATCCACGATATGCATTATATTCTTGTCGCCCAGACGTCAGTTCATGCATGAGTTGTTCGGCTCTTGATGATCTGCGTGTCGCAAAAAGCAGGCAACAAGCAAGACGGGTGAACAAAAAAAAAAGCAAAATAAGGGATAATGGCAATGAGCAGCGACGAGGTCATTGAGCACCGAGAGCATCGGAAAGAAGGGAAAGGAGACGGACGGCAAGCGGGAAGGAGCATCATCGGGGCTGAGCATAAATGAGGTTAGAGCCAANGGCATTGGAGGCGGCTGTGGGTTNGAAGATCGTCAATGCGCCGGACGCCGTCAAGTTGCGATTATTGTCCCCTTCTCTATGACTGCATTCTAGTTTTGTTACGCCTGGNNGTCCACTCGACCTAGCCCTTCACCTGTATACTCTGCCTCACCTGACACCAGCCGCGCTCCCATCCAGACCTCTAACAGCCCGAGCTCCGTACTTGACACCCCGTTGTGCCCTCTCCTCAACTCGAACGACTTCGACTTTTGACGATGGCGATCGCGCCTCAAGATCAACTCTGAGAAGCTTNNTCGCTGGCGACAGTTCTCCTTCACAGCCGCCACGGGAATCACTTCAGACGTACCTCGTCCCTCTGAAGACTCCTGCTGCGACCAACTTNNCGACAAATTCTTCACACACNNCTCTTCGACCCTCTCTGGCCGTCATACTGCTCGTCAGCAATACTTTTCAAAGAGATGGAACGCCTAAAGGGTTCGTGGGAATGGGTCAAGAATCGCTTGCCCAATCCCTTCAAGCGTGGTAAACCGCATTTTAACTTCATCACAACTCACNNTGTAAGAAGGCTTGATCATACAAAATTGAAGCCGTGCTGAGATATCATCAATACAGACACATATATGCTGGGGTTAACCATACTGGGCTCTATTATGATATACCCTGCTGGCGTATTGTCGTATACAGATGCTCTCTTCTTCTCTGCAGGTGCAGCTACCCAGAGTGGTCTTAACACGCAAGTAGACTGTATGCCCCCAGTTGTGCTATTGCTGACATGAGGTAGCGTCGACGTTAACAAACTACATACTTACCAACAGGTAAGGGTTCTGCTCTTATCTTTGTAAGAATAACACTAAAGCTTTACTGTTTAGGTTGTGCTTTACTTTATGGCCTGCCTCGCGAATCCAATTTTCATCAACACATGTGTCGTCTTTATCCGTCTTTACTGGTTTGAGCAACGGTTCGACCACATTGTTAAGGAAGCCCGAAATCAGCGCCGCACTCGAACAAGGTCACGGACTGTCAGTGAATCTCGAGAAGACCCAGATCTAGGACGTGTCGAGATGGGAGTCAACGGCCGTAAAATCACAGTTCTGCACCACACCACAAAACCGAATGGTATGAGCGCCAGAAGTGCTAACGCCAAAGTCCATGGTATGGACGAAAAGGAACGTCTGGAGCATCTTGCTGGAAGTTTGAACGACACCCATGGCAGCACGTCAGAAAGTGCCGAATCAAGCGAGAAACGAGAGCCAAGGTTCGGCGACGGTGACGAAACAAATTCTACGAACGGAGACGAAGAAGTGGCCCCAGACGTGACAGCGACTCGAAATGAGAGTGAGGACTCAAGGGGTGAGACAGACGAGGAAGCTGATGAGACACCTGCCGAACAAACCTGGCTGGGACGAAACCCATCTCTGAAACGAGAAATTACCTTTGCAGACCAAGTCAGACCTTCCGAACACAGACGACAAGCTTCGAATCTCCAAGCTGTACCGGAAAGACCCAAGCCAGTCCGCCTAGAAACAGAACACCATATTGCATTCCTGGAGAGGCAACGAAACATCAAAGATCAACAGACTTTGCGCATTCCTAACCCTAGAGAGTTTGATCGAGGTGATCAGCCTCACGAAGTCGACTCTGATGAAGAAATTGATGGCCTCAACCGCCAAATGACCAGGAACACTCTCCCATCATCACCCCGTCTCCGCGGCCGCTCGTCGTCTGACGCTCCGTCAGGTCAGCTAAACGGCGACGACCATCCAGTCAGGCGAGGCATCATCATCGATGAACCAGAACGCCCACGACGCGACCGTCAACCGTCGCCATCATCGAGCACTGGACGCTCACATCGCTTTAACATACTCGCACCTCTTCGCAATTTTCGTAGCAGACAGCGCGGAGAGAGCACTACGTTTGGTCGTTCTTTGAGCGGCTTCACCAATAGGACCTTCAGTTTCACGAAGAGCCAGGACCGTGACATGCAGGATCCTATGCCATATCTAAGTTGGCAACCGACGATTGGCCGTAACTCTCAGTTTGTGGATCTTAGCGAGGCACAGCGAGAAGAGCTAGGTGGCATCGAATATAGGGCACTCAAGACGCTGGCACTGGTGCTCGTGTGCTACTTTGTCGGATTTCATCTTCTCGGTGTCGTTGTCTTCGTTCCCTGGATCCTTGAGAGNCAAAAGTACGGCAATGTCGTTACCTCGGATGGCCAAAGCAGGACGTGGTGGTGAGCACTCGATGATACCTTTACCAAGAACAATGCTAATCAGAGTTTTAGGGGCATCTTCACACCTGCGTCCATGTTCAACGATCTTGGCTTCACGCTCACTCCGGACAGCATGATATCCTTCCAGACATCTACCATGCCCCTCTTGTTTGGATCTTTCCTGATCATCATCGGTAATACTGGCTTCCCATGCATGCTCCGTTTCGTCATCTGGCTCGTCTCAAAGCTCGTTCCTCATGGCAGCGGAATCTGGGAAGAGCTTCGCTTNTTGCTCGATCATCCTCGTCGCTGTTTCACGCTCCTGTTTCCGTCAAAGGCCAATTGGTGGCTTTTTGGAGTCCTTGTAGGTCTCAACGCGATCGACCTGATCTTCTTCATCATCCTGGACATTAATGACACAACGGTCACTTCTCTGGCTCCAGGATATCGAGTATTGAATGGCTGGTTCCAGGCTGCTTCTACTCGTACAGCTGGATTCGCTTCCGTCAACATCGCGGATCTTCACCCAGCCATTCAGGTGTCCTATCTGATCATGATGTATATTTCCGTCTTCCCTGTTGCTATCTCAGTACGCAGAACCAACGTGTACGAAGAAAAGTCTCTTGGTATTTTTGCCGGCGAGGAAGAAGAGGACGAGGAGAATCGCAGCTACGTTGGTCAACATTTGCGTCGACAGCTGAGTTTCGACTTGTGGTACATTTTCTTGGGCTTCTTCATCATTACCATTGTCGAAGGTCATCGCCTGGAGGACACCAACGCCTACGCTTTCACCATGTTCGCCGTCCTTTTCGAGATCGTGTCTGCATATGGTACCGTTGGTCTTTCTCTTGGATATCCAACCATCAACGCCTCGTTCAGCGCCGAATTTGCGACATTGAGCAAACTTATCATCATTGCTATGATGGTTCGTGGCCGGCATCGTGGTCTGCCATATGCTCTGGATCGTGCCATCTTGTTGCCTTCAGAAAACCTCCACAAGAACGAAGCAGAGGGTACGACAACTGCCCGTAGTAGCGGAGATGAGGCCCGTCCCTATTCACGCGCTTCGTCCAACAGAGACAGTAATGTACCTCCTGAAGCCAGTGGTGCCTCTCTGGACTTCAGCCCCACTGGCTTGAGACAGATGCGTCGTGGTAGCCAGGTCAGCACTAGATCCGCTGCAACTAGAAGTCAAGCTCCCACACGACGCATGTCCAAGATCTTGATGAGCGGGTTGAGTGCTGGGCCAACGATGGGCAGGAAATATGACTGATCCGTGTTGATCTTGTATAGTGTTGTTTATATAAACCAATTTAGCCAGGCGTTGGGTTGTATCGGCTTGTTTCTTTCGTGGCCTACTCGAGTACTTCATAGATAGATTGTAAGCATGTGCAATGCAACATGTCTTGTTTCTACAGTTCGATGTCTTGCAGATTATTGTGGTGACAAGAGTGGCTCCTATTTATCGGGATACAGCCCGAATTGTCAAAGCTTTTACCAACTCCACGTGTTCAGCCCTACCTACGTCAATTACGTACATGGCTAGATCAATAGCGCTTCAACCAATCGTTCGTTATGCGGGAACCAGGAACGAAGATGTTGTTCTGAGCGGCGTAAGGTCATTATGTTGTCACTTGCGCATATTTTCTCTTGTTGACAAACCTGCCTGCAACGTTGACCAAAGGCAAGCTTTTGGCACGTTCAAGCGCCGAATCAGCATGTGCCCTGCGGCACTCTCAACAGGTGACGCTGTTCTACACAAACGTGAGGCAGCAGCTCAAAGAATTACCAGACTACTACCTGATAGTCAAGATCCTGCTGGCTCTATACCAAAGTGGTCACTCTTATGGAAAGGCTCCGTAGAAGAACTTCTGGGCTTCCATATCGACGACATTCCAACAGAAGAAAGCTGGTGGCTGGCAAGAATCCATCCAGAAGACCTTTTCGATGTGGTCAACAGCCTTTCCAGGATTCTCGCTCCAGCGCCAGACAAGCCATATGCTTCGGAGGCTAGGATATGGGCTCACAACTATCGCTTCAAACACGCAGATGGACAATTCCTCCTGGTCTCGGAGAGGTCGATTGTAGACAGAGACGAAAGCGGCAATGTGATTAACATGACGAGCACAATATTCGATGCCGAAAAGCGAAGGATCGAACGAAAAGCACACAGGGAGTTTCTGGATTCGAGGAACCAGTTCGCTCTCATCGCGAACAATACCCCATCAGGTATCTGGATGATGGACCCACAAGGATACACGACATATATGAACAATGCTGCAGAATCGATCACAGGTTTCAAATTCGAGGAAATTGCTGGCTGGACTTTTCATGCAGCAGTGCACAGCTGCAGGCCAGATGGCAGTCCCTATCCAGTAGCAGAGTGCCCCATTTTTCGACATCAGCAAACTGGAACCGAGGCCATGAATGAATCCGAGGTCTTTGTTCACAAGAATGGAAGCTTTTATGATATCGTTTACAGCGTCTCGCCGATAGGTGATTATGCCAGTGGCGGTGCGGTCATCGAATTCCGAGACGTGACTGCACAGAAGAAGCTGGAGCGGGAACGATTAGCAGCAATTGTTCAAAATGAGCAGCAGTCGGTACTCATCAAGGCTTCAGAAGACCACAAGGCGAACATGGCTTCGTTTGTCTCTTTCGTATGCCACGAGTTACGAAATCCACTTCAAGGCATTTCAAGTGCGACGGTAAGGCTAGCGATGACCGAGAAAAGCACACTCATCTGACAGATTGGTACANNGGAGTTCCTATCAGAGACATTAGAGAAATTGGATGCCTTGACGAAAGACACAAAAATCGACCGGTCGATAGTCAAAGACACGCAAAATGGTATCACGAATGGCCACCGAAGTGAGACTGGTGAAGACCTGCAAAACGGCCCACACACGACAGACACCCCGACCGTCGAAGCGATTCAAGATCTAGTCACATATGCTCGGGAGCTCGTTGTAAGTGTATTTTTATTCGTGGGCATCGACAAAGAGCTCACCGTGTGCGTANNGTCAAATATCGCGGTCTGTGCCTCGCACCAAGCTCTCATAACGAACAATGTCCTTGATCTGAGTAGACTCGATGCCGGCAAGGTAGAACCCTCATACGATATCGTGGACTTGCGTGCGCTCTCCAATGAGGCTGTTGGGATGATGGTTTCTAGAGCGCGTGTAAAATCGATCAATCTGCGGCTTGCCAACGATGATGCTCCGCCTTTGTATCTGAAGGCAGATTCAACTCTCATGTCACAAGTCTTGTTGAATCTGATAGGAAATGCCGTGAAGGTATGAACTTCAATATTCTCTTCCTTGTCATTGACAATTCTTGACTATTCGAACAGNTTCACCCCCGAGAACGGCAATATCACGGTCGACATATTCTCAGAACCGCCGGATAAAGATGGACGAGTTGTCTTCCATGGCTCGGTCAGCGACGATGGTGTGGGCATGACAGAAGCCGAACAACAAAGACTATTCAAACGTTTCTCACAAGCCAACAAACGAGTCGCCCAGACCTACAAAGGCTCAGGACTAGGTCTCAGCATCAGCAAGGAGATCGTCAAGGTTCTAGGTGGCGATATGGCTGTCGAGAGTACTGCAGGCGTTGGCAGCACGTTCAGCTTCACCACCATGCATGATTATCCCACCGAGAGCGAGCTGGCTTCGTTCCTGGATTCAGGTAATACCACGGTGACTGCAGTCGCCACAGATCTCGAAAAGTTCGAGTTGAACAATTCTGCGTCCATTTCACCGATACCAAAGTTTAAGAAGATTTGCGTGGCGGAAGACAACCCGTTAGTGCACTTCAACACGCAACGATACTGATCTTTCAAGCTGACTGTTTGCAGAATCAACCTTCGTCACCTGTCCAAGAATTTAGAAGTCCTGGGCTATGAATATGTCTTATGCACTAATGGCAAAGAAGCACTAGACAACTTTACAGTACCAGAGTCAGATATTGATGCTGTCATCATCGTAAGTAAAAAGGGCTGTCTGTAGCTAGATTGAATGTCAACTGACCAAGCCACANNGGACATGAGCATGCCCATCATGGACGGTCTCGAAGCAACACGCTTCATGCGCGAGCACGAGAAATCCCACCCGAGCACAAACTCTCGTCGCATACGCATACCCATCATCGCTCTGTCAGGTAATGCCATGAAAGAGCAAGTCGAAGAAGCCATGGCAGCAGGAACAAGCGATTACATGATCAAGCCTTGCAAGAGAGCCCAACTAAAACTCATGCTCGAACATTGGGAACGTATCATGCACGACGGTTCTGCGCATACGCCGCTGGTTGTCAAGTGATGAAGGACATGCCTTTTTCGGCTGTCAGACTCATGGACCTGCTCCGCCAACTTGAAAAGAAGTCACCACTCAATGCTGTTGGCTCGGTGTTCACACTACAGGCCTATCAAAGTCTTCCTGACAAATGCCAGACACGAAGTCCGCCGGGTCACAGGCCAGTGTACATATAGAATCATTATGACAACTCATGAGGCATGATTGCGCCATGTTCAGGGCTCCTACAACCAACGAAAAGTAGTCAGAGTAGCGACATGCTTTGGAGTGAGTTCAAAAGAGAACTCCTTAGTGGTAGAGCAGAGACAAGGACGGAAAAAGCGAAATTTACTGCTGCCAGAGAAATCCACCTAGCCTGTAGCATTAGCCTTGTATCATAGACATCTCACACATCGTCCGAGATTCCCAAAGATTGTCAAGCTATACAAGCTTAGAAAAGTGCGATGGTATTTAAATTCTTGCCATACAGAAAGGCAACTTTAACTCACCGTTGTTTACCGCTAACTTGGAAGCAAAGAGCAGATGAGTAGCATAAGTGGACAGCTTTGAGTACACCCGTAGCACTTGTTTGTATGTGGTTGACAATCTTTCAGCTGATTGACCTTTTTCGGAAATATGGTTCCAGAGCTTCTCCCATCACCTTATGTAAATGCTAAACCGCTTCCTTCGCGCCCAACCAACAATGCTGCAGTATTAAACGCCATCGTGATATCCCCTCAAACAGACAATCTAATGCAAAAAGAAAAGAACCGAAAAGGCAGAACGTCAACCCCAAATGTTCGAACTCCATAGCCGCGTGCTAGAATAGGGTATCCTTGTCATCTTGAAATCGTGGAGAGGGTGTCTGAAAACATAGAGCCCAGCGGAATGCTCAGGCAGAAGTCATGGGTTCCAGAAAGATGCTGTTACCCAAAGCAAGCAAGTCGCGCTTGCTCGTATTGTTGGAGAACTGTAAGTTACCAACATCACACCAATTGTTAACATNCCTGCGCAAATTGTCAGCATTGCGTACAGGGAAAATAGAGAGTGTATGACTTACGATGCAACTCAGGTACTTGCACCAGGTACAGCCAGTGCGCCAGACGTAGAAGTNTTTGAGTAGAACGATGAAACCGATCAGGACACCAAGTAGGGCGAGAGCACGCACAATCCACCACACCCACCACATAGCGCGACGACCTTTGAAGAAACCTGCAGGCTGCTTGATGAAGACACGCAAGCCCTGGCTGGCCGCGTCTTGGGTGGCAGCAGGGGCACCGACACTGCTGTAAGGAGGTTCATCCTCGCCAGTGCGTCGGCGTAGAGCATTGGGTGAGCGTAGGAGGCAGATACCGAGAATCAGACCCATGAGAAAGCCACCAATGTGGGAGAAGTTATCTAGACCTGGCAAAAGACCGAGGACGAAGGAGATGATGACATCAACAAGGATGAACAGGAGGTCCTTGATGGGACTTTGACGCTCACGCCATGTGTACAGTAGCTCAAGTAGGGTCAGAGCCATGATGCCAAAGAGACTGCCAGAACAGCCAGTAGAAGCGATGCCGGTAGCTGCAAAATTGCCACCAAGAACGAAGCCAAAGATGCCAGCACTAAAGTAGACGAGGGTGAAGCGAATGCTGCCTATTGAACGTTCCATGTCACGGCCCAAAGTCATTTGGAGCAGCATGTTGAAACCGATATGAATGATGCCAGCATGCAAGAAGATGGGAATGATGAAGCGATACCATTGGTTCGGGTAGGGGTGGTCTGTGATGGAACCTCCAGCATGTGGCTCAGGGACACCACCGAAACCACACAATTGAGACAGGGTACATTTTGCATCGTCGCCGGTGTTGGAAGTGGCCCAGGGGCAAGGCCATGTGATGTTACCCGAAGCGCGGTCCTGTACGTTGTGCATGTTGTGCATACAGGGCTGATAGCGGGCGCCCATGTTGATCAGGACGTAGGGCGAGGGACCGATCATGGGATTGAACTGTGGATGGATCTCGATGGGGGACTTGGTCAGGACTGCGTTCTTGACGATCTCGGCGATAAAGACAATGACCTGGATCAAAGTCAAGAAGTAGCAGACCCAGGTGACACGGCCTGTAAAGTATCGACGCCAGCCCTTGACAGGCGGCGAGCGGGGTGGCCTTGAACGAGAGCGTGGTTTTGCATCTCTTACGAAAGGGTCGTGGTATTCGGGAGTAATGACAGGAGCGGTGCTGGACTGAGACGAGTGCTTTGGGCGGTATGCGTGCATGGGCACGGCATTGTCATCTTGGAAGGGATCGCGGCCATCGTTTGGGGTTGGGTGATCGCTGAGATTGTTGTACGAAGACGAGTAAGATGGGTACTGGTTGTCGTCAAAGGGAGAAGTATGAGTGGTGTAGCTGTTGTAGCCGGGATGGTTGTTGTTGATGGTGCTTGTGTTGAAGTAGTCGCGGGAAGCCATCTGGACGGCGCTTGCGAGGGTAGGAACGAGCGAAGTTCAAGTTGGATCGATCTTGACACTTGACAGTCGACGATCGGCAAGCCAGACAAAAGACAGAGGTCACCTCCAGGATGAAAGTGTCGTTTTAACAAAAGAGCACAACCGGATCAAGGACAGGCTGGCGTCAGCGTAGTCAGAGCGCTGTGAGGCGCAGTTGGTCGTCAGAGGTATAAACTGCTCCTACTCGCTCGACGCTGGACGCGCACTGCCAACAAGGACACGGACACAGACTTCTGAAGGGCTGACAATCTTCCCGCCCTGCCAAGCCTCTGCTGCTGCTGCTTCGTACGGAGACTCAATTTTGAATTGGAAGCAGCCAGGCTCCTCAGGCCATAGTCTTCTGTCTTGCTGCTCTCTGTCAGAGCTCATGAACAAGTGATAGGCGCCGCTTTCGTACACGTCCCGACTCGCTGGGAAGGTTTGCTGTGTGGGATATGGATCCGCCGCCGCCGTCGCAAGCTCGCAAGCGCATTTGATCGGAAGCGGCTGCTCTGTTCGAGTGCAGCCCTCCTGCCTGCATATACACTTCCACTCTGCTGGGTCGCCCACGAGCCCTATATACTATTCCTCGTCTCCGCTCCTCTTCTCTTCGCTTTCGCTTGCTCTCACTCACTTCCTGTTTTCCTTCTTGCTCTTGCCTACACTCCCTCGCCAGTTCTCTTTCCGTCCCCTCCTTCCGCCCACCCGAAGGGCCATGCTCTGCGCCGCTTCTCGACTCTCTCTCTGCTGATATACTGTCCACCGTCATGTCTCACTCTCCGATACCCATGCCATCTTCGTACTCAGCACTCCACTCTGCGCGCTCGCGTCCCTCCCCCTCCGCCAATGGACCGTCGCGCTCTCTCAAATGACTCGCGCCGCAACGATCATCCCCCACCTCCCGCTCCACACTACAACCAACCCTCGGCCGCACANNACAGAGCGAAGCTTTCCAACAGGCCCTCAACACCATCGAAGTCCAAGGCTCCTCCGATGAAGACAACTACTCAGACTCGGGCTACGAGGAGAGTCTAAACTCGGCCTTCTCAACTTCGACTTCCATGACTTCTTCTGTGCGCCATTGGGATTTTGAAAACGGCCGCCGCTATCACGCATATCGTCAAGGCCATTACCTCCTGCCCAACGACGATGCAGAACAAGAGCGCGAGGACATCAAACATGCTACCGTTTTGACTGTTTGTGGTGGCAAGCTGCATTTTGCGCCCATACCTGAAGACGCTCCAGACACACGTATTCTCGATATAGGAACAGGGACCGGCATTTGGTGCGTCGAAATAGGTGATCACTATCCTTCTGCTCAAATCACCGGCGTAGACCTAAGTCCTATCCAACCTGACTGGGTGCCTCCGAATGTCAATTTCATGGTCGACGATATAGCAAGCGAATGGCTGTATCCCGAAAACCACTTCGACATGGTCCATGCCAGACACATGGGTGTTGCTATCAAAGATTGGGATCACGTCCTCAATTCAGCATACACACATCTCAAACCAGGTGCATGGCTCGAGTTTTGCGAATTTGATTACTGGCCGAGCTGCGATGATGGGACTATGACCGAAGACAATCTCCACTACAGATGGCATAAACTTGTGACTGAAGGCATGAAGAAAAACGGTGTCGATTTGCACGCTGCCTTGTCCTTGAAAGATAGGATAGAACGCGCCGGCTATCATAACGTGACTGAAAGGATCATGAAGGTCCCCCTAGGTCACTGGCCCAAAAATNNCCCCCTCCTCAAAAAGGTTGGAAGCTATATGCATGCTGTCCTCTACGACGGGCTCCAAGGTAAACAACCATTCTACCGCATTACTATGTCTGAAATCTAACGAACCTCTTACNNAGGCATCTGCATGGGCNNCCCCCTCACAAGAGGTTTGGGCTGGTCAAGGGATCAGGTTGAGCTCTATCTACCTGGAGTACGAAAGGATCTAAACAATATGAGCGTGCACACTTATTACAGTCTGCACGTAATCACGGCTCAGAAGCCATACCATTGATGAGGGCGGCTGCTAGATTTATAGCCGCCCATACACTTGTATTCTCGCGTTTCTTTGCTTATTGACACAGCGGTCCATTACGACGTCGCTGAACTACACCTCTACGAGATAGCATTATACCCCAATACATTTTTCTGCTTTATCTTACTTGTCAATGTGCCGTCTTTTTCCGCCTTGTAAGTAAATCGCACGTATGCGGGGATGCTCGTTCATGTCCTGCACAAATAATTGGACAGATGCATCGATCGGTCCTGCCAATCTATCTCGTCAAGACAGCTGCATCGCGCACGCGACGGATCTTCGGAAGTTGGATCTCAGCCGATGTCGTATCCTCCTTGCATGCAAAAAGCGTTTCGGCAATCACTTTTGTTTCCGAGAATCTTCAAACCGCACACGTTGAGTCGGACGTCAACTTTGAATGTACTTACAATGAAGTGTATGAAATGTAGAGTCTTGGGACCTGGAACGCTTCGACCTTCCGTCAAAGCATGTTGGGCGAAAAGGACGCCGAGCGCACTTCATGGCCTGAGCAAACAAGACACGGCCGTAAGTTGGTGACTGGCTTTTGGACTGCGCTCAATCAGTTTCCTTCTTTCCCATTGGGCCCTTTGATCTTACTTGAACCATACCACCGGTAACATGTCCTTGTCAGAAATTCAGAGTCGCCCCGCTCGCTTCCGTGCTCAATCCGCCAAACCCCGAAGGAAAACAATATAAGAAATGGAGCATAAACTGGACTCTGGTTGGGAGAAAACACGAATCTAGCCATCGCACATGACATGGTATGCAAGGGAGAGATGAGTTGAGGCTCGAAAGTTGAGTTTCTATGGTCATGCTGCAAGTCACAACCCCGGCAGACAACGGCAAGATCCTTTGCACTATCCAACTTCTCTGGCGGGCTAGTCGTATCCCCATGGCTAGTTCCACTCAGCTCACCACTGTCCTGGTAATAGCCCTGTGTCCTTTACTCGCTTGGAGGTCTTCTGGCCGAGAGACATGAAGCAAGGTCAGGGTTGCCGAACGTTTGCACGCATCGATTGGATGCTCTTCTCTAGCCATTGTACTGTCGAGTTGTGTGGCTGCTAGTGAGGCACGACTGTCTGCTGGAAGCTCTCTTGGTTCGATCAGCTCTAGAAATCTGTATCAGGATACACATGCCAGACTGACCTTCACAGGGGTCTAGGAGTATCTATCTCCTCACGCTCAAGGCTGTTATTACCAGCTGAACACCATCTCGTCTTCTCCCAGTACCAAGGAATCAGTCTTTCGACCTACTGCAGATTCCTCTTGATTCTGTCGGCCGTACCGCGCCATGACTCTGAGCAGGAAATCCCGAGGATGATTTCTTCGTACCACCACTATGAAACAACTTTCGAGTGCGGTTCTGTACGCGGCCTGGAACTGCTGCTTCGATTGGCTCGGCTGGTGAGATGGGCACATGCAGATGTACATACATTTCCCGAGCGACAGGATCTGGCGGTAACATCATGTACGGTATGTTTCTTTCATGTAGGAAGTCCTAGTCGACAGTGGCCTGACTTGATCTGCAAACCAGCAGGTTTGATCTGTCTGTTGAGCACATCCTATTCGGACATCTTCAAAGAACAGTGGCTGATTGAAAGCTGACGAGCTTCCAAGGACACGCCTATTCACTCGGAGCTTGGTTGCCTGGCACGCTGAGTTATCCTGGACTGTTTTGCATTGGGCTAGCTACCATCTCGACTGATAGCCCCTACGGGATCATATGTGTCTCCAGCTCCCGTCGACTAATATACATTGTCAATTAGGATTTTCCCCAGCTCTCTCTTCTGATCGCTCTTCGAACCTATCGGCCCCCATATCCTGTAAGGACAATTCCGCCAACTTCTCTCAATGTCTCCAGATGTCGACACGAGTAGGCGATTTGGATCTGTAGTCGTAGTCTTTGACGCCATTTCCTGCTGATGCCCACTGGTCGTCTTCAATGTGAGATTTTTGTGCAGGGCGGGCAGTATCACTACCAGGCTCCAACTTGTAGCCACTGATAGGCTCATCCAGCGTCTTGTAGGCCTGAATAAGTCCTCCGGTTATCTCCGAGAGCAGATCGCTGTAGCCTTCACGACGAGCCACATCACATTTAGCTCCAGACGAGCTCGCTTCGAAATGAGCGACAAGAGGACTGAGCTTGTGAAAGTCCCTTAGACAAACTGGGCATAGTTCACGCTGTGCAGCATGTGTTTCGCGCATATGATCGCCAACATTTTGAGGTGTCTTGAAACGTCTCTTGCAGTTCTCGAAGGGACACTGGTAGGGAGGAGCAGCATAATTGGTGATGTCTGGGCAGTAGAAGAAGTCAGGTTTGAAATTGGTGTGAGTAGGGTCCCAGAAGTGTGAAGTGAAGATGTTGTTTTGGTCGTCTTCTTCCTTGTTGCGCTGATGAGAAGCATTGATGGCATCCCAATTGGCGATGGCCTTTGCTTTGAAACGTCCGAATAGTTTTTGAGGAAGGTTAGGAGTGGACCATGGTTTGACTGGTGTAGCAGGAGCCGTGCTGACATCATCGTCGCTGTCTGTGGTTGCGGCGTTACTAGAGATACTGACAGCGTCTTCGCTAATGCTCTCAGCATAACCAAAGGACAGGTCGCTGTCGTCTGTGGAGCTGACTGAGAAGCTCTTCATCGAGTTGCTTAACTGACTGATATCAGTGCTGAGCAACGCTGGCCATTCGTCTTCAGATTGGCTCGCAGTCGGAGACAACTGGGGACTCAAAGGTGGGTGGCTGAGGGACTGGCTGTGGTCGCTTTGGCTGATTGACTCGATGCTGACACCACCACTCATGTCGTCGATCTCCCTAGGCTTTGGCTGTTGAATTGCATCAGAAATGCCCATCATGTTTCTCTTGAAGCTCTCGGGGTCCTCCAAGATCAATTTGAGCATGCGCTTGTGCTCACGCTCCTGTCTGAGAGCCAAAGGCCTGAAGTATGCACAGAAACCTCCTTCGATGTGGCTGATGAGCTGACTGGCGCGGCCGAAGATGGAACCGCAGCATTCACGGTGGTCATTGCCATTCTCGTCTCGAACGACGAGATAACCTTTGCAGACGACATGTTGATCGGCTTGATGCATCTATCATGCGCATCTAAAGTCAGTATCCCGTATTCTGTCAAGTGTCCTCACCGACGTACCCTNTTTGCGATGAATCTCCCTGCCAGCAAGACTGTCAAAGTCGACACCACAGAACTCACAAACGATGTGGTTCAGCTTCTTGGGGATCTCAAACCTGCGCTCGCCGACAATCCATGGGAGCATTGTCTCAACTTTGTGTGCAAGAAGCTCATCCCAAGTCTTGCCATGGAAGTCACACTTCACAAAGCCTCTTTGCACTCTCTCGAAACCAGGATCCTTGCCACAGTAGTAGGGGTGGATTTTCTTGTCCTTGAGGTGGGCTTTTCTCTCGCGCTCTGTGTCGAAAGAGTGAAAGCAATCATCGTAGCTGCACTTGAAGGCCTTGAGTGGTGTCAACTGTACTGCCATATTGTTTGAAGTTGGTAATGAAGAGTTGGTCTCGCCGATAGTGTTCAGCGACAGGGTCAAAGTGCTTGAGGAACAATGCTTAGGTCGAGTGTTGAAGGAGGTAGAGTGTTCAAGGAACAAGATAGAAGAGCCGGAGGCAGCAATTTAAGGAAGAGTGTTGAGAGCCAGTGAAAGATGAACGCAAGGTTGAAGCTGGATGAAACAAGAATAGCGGATGTGAGAGATGTTAGCAAGAGTGATGTATAGTAAGCGGTGTTGAGGGAAAGAGCTCTGGAAAAAATTGCGGCAGTTTTAGAGATTTTGGATTGGCTTCAGAAGGAAGTGACGAACGGTTAGCAAGCAGCAATATCACTGGATAGTCAGTCGGGGTGAGAAGAACTATCTATTGAGGCACAGCGAAGGATAGTGAGAGGGATTGTTGTGATTGCAATCTTTGACTTGTTTGCTAAGATAAAGAGTGACTGGTGCCTGTCAGATCGGCATGAGAGCCAGTGATTGGTCCCAAAAGGACGCTCGAGTGTAGTGAAAGTGTATAGTGTTGCTTGCAAGCAAAACTAGATGCGACGATATGTGCTTCTTTGCCTCTGTGTTGTCGGTTTGCGCATGGGAAGGAGGAAACGAGATCAAACAGAGTCGGTTTAGATGCCAAAACAACCAAAGCGCGCCTTGCGCTTCTTGTTCTNTCTAGTTGATGCCTTTTCCACTGTGATCTTTGCCGAGTCTCTCTTGCGTCCATTGCCCTGAGCCATCTCCTGCTCCTGTTTCTTCTGCATGATCTGCTGACGGATTCTTTCTTGCCTTTCACGAACGCTCAGTGGGCGATCGTCCCTGAGATTGTAACGGCTACCAGTAAGCATGTTGCCGCTGGGACTTCTAACTTGCAGATTGTCGAGTTGTGCGGGATCGATCAGTTCCGAGTAACGACGGATGAGAGGTCTTGCCGGCTTTGGATGTGTGATACCAGACTCGATTTCATCATCGGTTGAAGACTTGCCTGCTGCTTCCTTTGCGCTGTGCGGAGCTTGTTGAGGCTCGCATGCAGAGAGATCGTGGAAACCCGGGCTGCGAGGCAAGTTCATCTGCGTGGAAACATCATCATCCGTGTTGAAGGATGTGACAGACTTGCTCGAATAGCAAGCTGCAGTCTTCGAGATAAGGTTGCCCATCCTGTCTGCTCTAGATCAGTACTGGCATGTCTTGTTTGTCAGCTATTGGCTGTACCTGGCTGTTGTTGATATCTTGCGGTACACGGTAAGCCTTTTCAGAGGAGGTAGCTGCACGTTGAGGGGTATGACGGGAAGCACTAACATAGATGGTTGCAGACGTGTTGGGCGAGTGAGGATGTGTTATTGCAACTCCAACACTCACACACGCTCCTCGAGCTTCTTTAGTCTTCCGCAACTCGATGACCCGCCGCATCGGGAACGTCGACGGTCAATGCTTTCTTATTCACATGATTGGATGTAGGAAGGACGGATGATATCGTTCAATTCGTATCTAGGAGAGTAATTGCTTTAGAATCTCGAGTAAGGTAGCCTAAAGTGTATAGGTTAGCAAAGGTCGTTGTTGGGAAAAGAAGCATATCCAAACATACCACTTTCCCCTGAGAGTAATAACAGCCCAATCACCCTTCTCATCGGTTTCCTTCTCGACCTTGGTGCTGAAGCTAATGGCACTCATGATACCATCACCGAACTTCTCGTTGAGAATTGCCTTGTATGCATAGCCGTAGTTCTGAACGATTTCGTAGAGTCTGTAGACCAGAGGCTCCCTTGGTGGCATTTCCATCTGGCGTCCGCGATCCGGGTAGCCAGAGAGCTGTGACTCGAGCAAGGATTCGTCGAGCTCGAGAACCTTGGCTAAGTTCTTGACATCCTCCGGAGAAGCTCTGGCTTGTCCATAGAAGAGTGCCGCGACAGCGACTTCNNCCTCACGTCCAAGGGCTTTGGCAATGGTTTCGAAGGAAAGATTCTTGTTCTNTTTGGCCTCGAAAAGAGTAGGCGATGAGGACGGGAGGCGAGGCACAATTGAGGTCTGGATACATTGTGTTAATGGCAGGCTGCACAAGGATCGAACTACTAGTCATACATCGAGAGTAGCAATAGGATGACCTGAAGAGGTTCCAGAGGCCGACATCTTGGTCTTGGTTGAAGCTGTAGCTTTGGTACGGAGAGATTGCTGGGCTAGGATCACAGAGGGACGGATGAAGGCTGAAGCGTGAGGGGTTGCACGAGATGCAAGTCTGACTGATAGCGGGAGCATGTTGAGTTAAGTACTTGGCCTGCGGTAGATAGACCAACGGTTCGATATCCGAGGTTCTTCTGGGACGGGAAGCTCAGCTTTTTGAAGCTTGATGGCCATGTCTCGGCCATCATCTTGCTGCGTCACTGTGACTTTCACCTTGATTTCAAACAGCACTCAATCGTTGTTGTCATCGATGCGGGGCAGATTGATAAGTAACGAAGCCCGTACTTGTGCTTCTCCGGCAGGCACGCAACTTAGCTCTGGCCGAGGAGATATAGGGAAGGAGAACACCATATAGAACCTTCCAATCCAGAGTCGGCCCCAATAGACTTTCAACCAAAGTTCGATACACCAGTTGTCCTAGATCCCTTTGTCGACAACTTGCTCTGCTGACTTGTGCTTCTCGAAGCAAGGGCATGCTTATCAGCCTTACCTCGTGGCTATCAAGCTTCTGTTAAGTCCGAAATCACCGGTGTGAAGAGCTGGCATCGGCAAAGTTCAACTGACGGAACTCAAAAATGATATAATTCCTGCGTGTTGAAGAGTGCTATAGTAATGTGTTTATGCTTTGGTGAGTTGTTGCTCTCTGCTTATGTCTCGCTTCCCTACCGGCATCACTCTTTACAATTGTGAGATAAGAGCTTTTGGGAGGTTCCGTTGAGTGGGTTGTCTAGATACCTACTATGACGGAGTGCCTAGCCTCCATCGACTACCCCGTGGTTGATTGAGACTTGCCTTCCATATGGAAGTGACCATGATGAGTGCTGTTGAGTTGGGGCAAAGGTGTATGTAGGCTCTGTGTAGAGCACAGCTATCGAGGCTTCACAATACGAGCAAGAATATGCAATGGCCATAAAAGGCGGTCTGAGTGACGACGTACATAAATCTTGGCGAGCTCGCCGTGTTTCAGGAGCTGTAACAATCACCTTGACCTCCCACAACCTCGACCAAGGTCAAGAACGACAAAATGGCCTTCCTCTTCGACAAAGTGCACAAAGCGGTTCACGAGATCGGTAACGATCTCAAAGACAAGTTCTCTGAGCATGGACAGACTCAAAGCGCAGGCGCAAACGAGCAATATGATCAGAGCGGTTACAATGAGCCCCATGAGACGCATCGCTTTGAGAGCTTTGCACCGCACAGGATTGGAAACGAAGTCAAGTGGTATGTCGACGGCGCTGGATATATGCATGCTGTAAGCATGGCAATCGAAAGAGCTCGCGAGTCAATCTGGATCATGGACTGGTGGTTGTCGCCAGAGCTGTACCTTAGGCGTCCTCCTGCCCAGAACGAACAGTACCGTGTTGATCGTATGCTCGCTGCTGCAGCTGAAAGGGGTGTTCAAGTAAGTGTCGTGGGCCGATATCTTTGACTGGCACATTCTTCTCTCGGAACTCTTCCCCTGGTTTCCTCACCCCATCCTTCTTTGTAGTCATCAACTACTCTACTGACATCATCTATGTAATCTGCATGTACGGAGTGCTAACATATCTAGGTCAACATACTCATCTATAAGGAAGTCACCCAAGCCTTAACACGTAAGTGCCTGAATCCCGTTATACCAGATTTCCTACATTCACTACTTCCACGCTCGGTCGATGGCGTCTCTTCGGCTCTGGTTCGATTCGGAATGGACGTAACTTTCAAGTCGTTGGAAATTCTCGAGGAGACGAATCCACTAATCAATCCACCCATCACAGTCTCCTCAGCACACACCAAGCATGCTCTTGAACAACTACACCCCAATATTCGCGTGTTCCGTCATCCTGATCATCTTCCGGATACACAAGTCCTGACTTCGTCGTTTTTGTCATCTATACAAGGAATGAAGGTCACCGCAGCCAATCTGGCCAAATTACCTGGCGATGCCATCAAGTCTGTCTATGGTATGAACGAAGACACTGTCCTATTTTGGGCCCATCATGAAAAATTATGCCTTGTCGACAGCCATATAGCGTTCATGGGAGGCTTGGATTTGTGCTATGGTCGATGGGACACCAACCAGCACTCAATTTCCGACGCCCACCCTAGTGATCTCAACAAAATCATCTTCCCAGGACAGGACTATAACAATGCACGAATCTTAGACTTCAGTGACGTCGCCCACTGGGATCAGAACAAACTTGATCGTCGCTACAACTCGCGAATGGGCTGGTCCGATTTGTCCATCTCTCTCATGGGACCTGTTGTGGAAGACCTTCGCAGACACTTCGCTGAGCGCTGGAACTTTATCTACAACGAGAAGTACAGATCTAAGAACGAACATGATAGATATGGACCTCTTCATGTCGCGGAATCCAGAACAGGAATTGTTCACCATGAGTATCCTTCCGCCCCGGGAGCTCCACTTCCTGAGCACATGCGCGAACGCATGATGGAACGCTGGGAAGAAGGTCGCGAACGTATGGAAGGGTTCAGGGAACAAGTGAGACATCACTTCCCTGCCGGCGGACACCCTTCATCACCACCACCCGGAATGCCTTGTCAAATCATGAGATCATGCTCAAAGTGGTCGCATGGCACCAGAACTGAGCACTCAATCCAAAACGCTTATATTGAGGTGATTCGAAACAGTCACCACTTCATCTACATCGAGAACCAGTTCTTTATTACAGCCACTGGTGATTCACAACGCCCTATCAAGAACCAGATTGGTGCTGCTATCGTCGAACGTATCGTCTGTGCTGCACGCGAGGGAGAGCCTTTCCAAGTCATTGTCATCATGCCTGCCATTCCTGCATTTGCTGGTGACCTGAAGAGCGACGAAGCCCTGGGCACGAGAGAGATTCTGGAGCTCCAATATGACAGCATCAACAGAGGTGGCCACAGCATCATGGAAAGCATTGCGAGAGAAGGCGTTGACCCCATGCAATACATTCGTTTCTACAATCTCAGAAACTACGACCGCATCAACTCGAGTGGTGCCATGCGTGAGGCAGAACAGCAAAGTGGTGTGAGTTATGACGATGCAAGACAAGAGTACGATCAGCGTTACGGTGGCTCGAACGAACAATATGTCCAAGAGGGTGCTTATGACAACCAATATCAGCAGTATGATGGAGGAGCTTACGACGAGCAAGGCGGACAATACAACCGCTTCCAGCGTTACCAACAGGCCACCCAGAACATGGGTAATCATTCAGGTCTTGGTAGCGGACGCTGGGACTCTGTCGCGGAGTGCTACATGCTCGGCGGCGAAGACATTCGTAACGTGCCTTGGGAAGATGGCACGACCGATGAGATGGACGCATTTGTGTCTGAGCTGCTCTACGTACACAGCAAGCTCTTGATTGCCGACGACCGAGTCGTCATCTGCGGCTCAGCTAACCTGAACGACCGCAGCCAACTTGGTGACCATGACAGCGAGATAGCAATCTGCATCGAAGACCCTCGCGAAGTCGACTCTTACATGGCTGGTCGTCCCTGGAGGGCAACCGAGTTTGCTGCCAGTCTCCGTCGACAGCTCTTCCGCAAACACCTTGGACTGCTACCCGCACAAGATTTCACCCGACCTGATCGCAATTTCGAGCCTATCGGCGTACCAAACGCATATGACTGGGGCAGTCGTGAGGACGAAGCTGTTGTCGATCCATTGAGCTTGGACTTCTTGTCGTTGTGGAACACCACTGCACGCACCAATACTGAAGCATTCGAGCGCGTCTTCCATCCTGTTCCTTCGGACAAGGTTCGCAATTGGAACCAGTACGATGAATACTTCTCGAGATTCTTCCCTACCGGTAAGGACGCCAAGGAAGAGAAGGGCAAGGACGCGGAGAAGCCTAGCCAGTGGAAGCTTGGTCACGTTGTAGCAGAGGACTTCCCTGGTGGCGTGGCAGAGGTCAAGGATGTGTTGAGCCAGATCCGTGGTACGCTGGTCGAGATGCCACTGCTCTTCCTGAAGGAGGAGGATATTGCAAAGGAGGGCCTCACACTCAACGCCATCACGGAGGAGATTTACACCTGAGGGAGGAGCTAGCATGGGAGGCTAAAAGGAGAAGAACGACATTACGTTTATGACAAGCAGCATCGTAGGCGACACCGAGATGATGAAGATCAAGGAGGAGCATGAGTTAAATTGTCTCCATCATCGAGACAGAAGTTAGGTAGAAAGTATGAAGGTCAGCTACGTCTACTTCTTTGACACTTGCTGAATCAGTCTCTCAACCTCTGTGGCTGCCTGACCTGTGGCCTTTTCACGAAGCGACTCGAGCAACCTAAGGTTGCGAGCCTNTGCCGCTTCCTCGGCTGCGCGTACTATTAATCCACATTTGGTCCACAGCCCCACGCGTTCTTCTACTGTGAGGCTCGTGCACTTGGGTATAAACAGAGATGCCAGTTTCGGGTTGCCAGCAGACAAGATCTCGTTGATAAATGGNNCTGGGACATGATTAGTGTTGCGTATCGAAAGGGAAAGGAGAAAACGAAAACTTACCTCCCAGCCGATAGGGCTCTTGCGAGTTTTTGACAAGTCCTCAAGCTCGCGCCAGTCACGACGTGAGACAAGTGCCCGCAGGCGGATCCACCAATACACCTTGTCCGAAACCCTGAACTCGGACTGGACCTTCAGACTTCTCTTCACATTGCCTAAACGAACGAGCTTGTATATCGTCTCATTGATGCTGAGGCCGCTGAAGTCTTCGTCGAGATCCCGCTTGAACGTGTCCTGAAATTTGAGTAGCTTTTGCTCTTCCTCAATGGCTCGTACTTGTATTGATTGGTCTTTTGACTCTTGAAGAATTTTTGACGCCATCTTGAGCTTGTCGTTGCGAGCATTCGCGTCCGGAACATTGAGCGAATCCGATAGTATCAGGTTCGAACTGTCAAGTCTCCGGTCGTCCTGATAGAACAGATCTTTGAGCAGTTCCTGGTCTTGCTCCCAAGCGGAAGCTTCCACAAGTGCAGTGGCAACCGGTCGACCATTAATTGTGCGGAAGAATGTGGCGAGTGGCAGCTTCTTCTTCAGATGTAGCAGCACATGGTACACCAAATCAGTATCTCCACTTTCGATGGCCTTGTCTAAGGCAAGCGAATCCTCCTCTACATTCAACAGAAGTGGTACTTGCTTACCGGCTCGTGGTTCGTGTTCGAGCAATTCTGTTGCAAGCTTACCACGGCCTTCCTCGTATGCTGTCTGTGCGATCTCCTCAAATGAGATACCTCGTTTGCCTCGCAATCTTTCTACGATCTCGGCACAGATATCCTCCTCATCACTTGTGGAGCTACGCACTTNTTGACGTGCCCAATGTACATAGATCTTATCAAGAGGCAAATCCAGATGCTCAGAAATCTTGATCGCCAAAAGGTACTCTTTACGATTGATCAGCCTTTGGACCAGGTTCGCAGGCGTCAAGCGGGTATATTGGTCGAAACTAAGAGGCAGGCCAATTTCGAAGAATCGAACAGCGTTCAGTACGCGTAATGTTTCGCACATGTCGACAAACTCGTCGCTGTTGTATAGATCAAGCACTGACTTGCCAAATGAGGCAGCTTTCAAAAGCTGCTTTTGCCAATGTACGCTGAACTCATGGCCAGCTGCTCTGATACAGGTGTCAACAGCTTCGTCCAGATTTGGTCGAATGAGTTGGATGTTCTCATCGGCCTTGGGAGATTTTCGGTCGAGCTGTTCTGCTGCATCAAGAAGGACTGAAGCAGGTGACGTGGAGCCCAACCTGAAGGTGTCTTCAGAAACCTCTGGCACTTTCTGGATGAACTCGCAGACATCGTTTGTGAAGATGCGGATGCCGTCAATGTCGGGTGACAGATGGACCCAAGAGTCATAGTAGTGTTTCGAAGCAGCACCGTTCGGACCAACCAAATGCACTTCATCCTCCCAGGCCAGGACGACGGCATTGTTGCCACACCACTGCAAATCCTTGGGAGGTGTCTTGACGCGTGAGTCGTACTCGGTCAGACGATTTTCGAAGTCGCTACTGATGACCCAGACCTTGCCATCCTGGGTGTAAAGAGCGATGAATTTGGCATTGGGGGCCACTGAGACGAGCTTGAAGGGACCGTTCTGTAGCTTGCGATCCTGGGCCTCGGAGGCATCGACTATGACAATGGTATCGTCAATGGCCAGGATGGCTTCGACAGAGCGGGACAAAGTAAAGGCTGGCGGGATGACAGCCCATGATAGGATTTCGCCTTCTGGAGGAGTGGCAAGGAGGGTAGGGCGAGGCTCGTCGTAGCGTGAGACACAGACGAGTTGATTGTTTCCTAGAAGAGCAACGAAGCCAGAGGACCAGAAGCGGCACGAGACGACACCATGCTCGTCGGCGCCGTGTCCGAGGCTGAAGGGGATGAAGTCGCCAGTCAAGGCGTGGTATATCCTGACGGTTCCATCGTTTGTGACGACAATCAATCTTTCGTCTTCAGACCAGCCACAGCCCTGGATTGCGCCCTTGTCCCAGTTGATGCGGTGGATCAGCTTGCCCGAGCATGTGTAGAGGTCAATGGATGGACGAGCAGCTTGGGTGCTGCGATAGGCGTATAGTTTGGAGTCGTCACGGTAGATTGCTATCTATGTGGTACTGTCAGTGCAGTCCGAGTCGGAGTGGTCGTGGTTGTCTTGTCTACGTACGGCACCAGCCAGTGGAGCGCCGACTAGCACATGGTTCTCGAGTTCCAGCTCCGGGTCGAATACAGACGTGTACAGCTGCGTCTTGCGGTAGAAGCGATCGCCCACTCTTTCCCAGTCCGCCGTGGCCTTCGACATTTCAGCAGCAGTTCATGCCTGCACTTTGGGGTCGTCGCTGTCGCTTGCGCATCGAGCCCATTGCGTAGCTGCTGGTCTGTGCACCCTCTGTAATTGCTTCCCCAGGAAGCCTCACTCGACCATCACAATCACCATCGTCCTTTTCCATGTCTTCGTTCTCGTATTCACACTAAATACCGACTAGGCTGGATCCTATCTGATCAGACTTCTTTGCCCCGAGGGTTCTGTCCTTCCAATATGGACTCGACTGCTGCCAGAATCCAGGCCTTAGGAGATCTAGAGTTGGCCGTCTTGCTCTGTCTAGTAGCCCAGCAACACTGTATAATATCCACGAATAATCTTTTGCTCGACAGTTTGGCACACGAGCTTCAGCTAGTCTGTCCATACTTCCCTTGATATTCTCACCTCAATACTAATTGAACTAAGATTGCTACTAACATCTTTGGTCTCTCGTGTGCCTTGGTCAATTGTTCATCCACGACTACTCTTGATGATTTCAAAGAGTCTATTCTGGTCGATGTCCCAGACACATCCGATGATCATGTAGCGTCTTCTACCCACCTATCACTTCCCTCTTTCAACCACACCACTTCTAGGCACACCTTNTTTCGTAATCAGTCTGGCACGAGTAACGAACTTGATGAACGGAAGATCGCCGACATTATCATTGCAAAAGACCTAAACATGGCAAGCAGCAACGTCCAGACCCAGGCTCTAGAGGTATACACATTTCCATTTTCATCGCGATTATCTTGCTCACCATTCTGCTAGCTCATGCGTACCAAAAGACTGTTCAGTCATACCGCTATGCACGGTACATCCAAGCACTTCCTCTTCNNCCTCGCTCTACAGGCATCAGAGTCCAAGCCTAAGCTCGCTTTTCATCTTGTAAGTATCACTTGAAGCTCCTAACAATACCTGACACTGACAAAGCATCTCAGNAACGACATGTTTGCCATCTCACATCACCATACCGAAGATGATGGCTTCCCGAATCTTGAAGAACAAGAGTTCAAGGAGCCACCACAATCGGATGATGCTGCATCTATCTCGTCAGTTGTCAAGTATCCTGTTACCAACCAAGAGAATCTCTCTGAGTCTCCTACGATTACGCCCGAGGAGATTCAGAATTTACGTTCTGCTGTCACAAGTGTACGGGTAAGCGCCGAAGTGGCTGCCTATCTTCACAACATTGTCATCTTTATGCGTCTGAATCGCTTCGTGGCAGGCGGCATCTCTGCCTATGCTACTCGACACTTCCGAGCCATTGTCTATGCTCTTGCGCCCCTGCACAACCTCAAATATGTTCCGCCGTCGTTGGTCGCTCTGGCAGCGAGAAAGGTTTATGCTCATCGTCTGATTTTGGCTACTCCGAACACCGAAAGGAGCATGCAATGGGGAAGCGACTTTCGTGCGGTCGAGCAAGTTTTGAAAGGGGTCACCGTCGAAGATGCTATTGAGTCGGTCCTCTCGAGTGTTGAAGCGCCGCTCTGAAAGAACTCATTATCTTGTCTCTGGGCTACATTGTTGCAGTCTAAGATACATAGGTCGTCGACTCGGATGATCTATCATACAAAGATGCATCGCGCAGCACTGTTCATGACACACAAAGTCTCGAGATCTACTGGTGCCCAAACATCGGAGCATCCGCGTTCCACTCTCTCAGAAGAACGCCAGTCTCTATTCTCAAGTCCTCAATGATATCATCCATCTTGATGTCAGCCTTGTCCCAACCGAACGGCTCTTCCAACTGGTACGCAATGGCTTCTATGCCATACAGGGTGAAGGTGATGAGGGACACTAACACGACAGTCCACCACTGCAGACTTTCGACGAAAGCAAATGGCAGCACGCCTCCATAAAGTGCCAATACCTGTCTAGTGTGGATGAGATAGGCAACTGGAATTGGCGTCAAGCGGATTGTCTCCATGGCTCCGAACGCTGCTACGAGAGTATTGAGCTGCACAGACAGCTGTGACGCCTGCGGGCTGTGGAACCATCCTCTATCGTGGGCGCGTTTGATGTATGCTTCAATGGACATGGTGAGTTGAATGGGGAGGCCAAGACCCTCAAACTCATAGGTCTGAGACATCCTTGGACCAAGGAGTTCTCTCAGCTCCGGCTTCAAAGATCCAGAGCCGCTATCTTCGAGGTCAGGTGCTCCTATACTGTGTTCCCACTCCCATCGAAGCGTGTTCTTCACCGCATAGATGATTGCTAGTAAAGCATGCACAGCGGCTTCGGTTTCTGCCCGCTCGGCTGGCGTGGGCTCGGGTCCTTTGGAATTGTAGTTGCAGGTCAAGAAGGACCGGGTCAGATTTCGGATGTTCGTACAGATGGTTGTGAGTTCTTGCTGGCCACTCCAGAATCGAGAATACGAGCTTTGGTTGCGGAACACAAGCAGCAAGCCCACAACGATAGACAGAGAAGATGTGATGCTGCCAGGAAGGTGTGGCGTGTAAGGTGTAAAATCATCAACATATACAATCAATGCCGCGAACATGGCATGAAGGATTACTGGCACCAAGATATCGGCGTGAATTGAGCCCTTGATGAATCGCAAGACGAGTGGCACTCGGCGGGGCTTCCTCCTGGCCCTGTTCATGAGCGGCTTCATTGGGTGAGGGTGAGGATGATGTCGCATTGTGTGGGTGATGGATGTTATTTACTGGGTGATGGAAGATGAGGAAAAGGTGCGAGGTGTTGTCCCTGTCTTTTGAGTTCGTTCTAGATCGGAAAGGAGAAAGCTGAAACGCCTTTCAAGATGCGGTGAGGTTCCTTGGTCGCTGTCAGGGTTGTCCCCACGACGATGAATCAGAAACTTAAATCGAAAGTAAACTGGCGATGCCATCAAGTCTGTCTATGGTATGAACGAAGACACTGTCCTCTTTTGGGCCCTTTATGGAAGGGTTGTCTTTTCGAAGAAATATAGCTTTCATGGGAGGCTTGGATTTGTGCTATGGTCGATGGGACACCTACCAGCACTCAATCGCCGACGCCCACCTTAGTGATCTTGACTAGAATCGTCTTTCCACTTTGACTATATAGTCTTCCGTATGCTAAAATATGCAATTTTTTCTTACTCCAACTACAGCAACAAGCATCTGTATACTATGAAAGGACACAATTGTTTCCAGGCGCAGAGGCTCGGCCAAAGAGAGCTGATGTCATATCGCCTCTCAGTGGACACTATCTTGTTTCCTAATAGTATTGTGTCGTTTTATGGCTACACGCGTTGTATACTTTTAGAAATGGGGAGGTAGGATGGAAATTACCATGATTGCGAGCTTCCGCTGTCTGATGAGAGTTGAGCGAGCTCGATGATCTTCAGTACATCAGCGGCATCATCTCCACTGACGGGAACCTCGCCCTCGCCCTTCAATACCCTGGCGAGGATGCGATAGTACTCGACATAAGTAGGTGGCGGTTCGATTGAAGGAACAGTCTCGTGGTTGAACTTTCCATCAGCAGCAGCCGCTGTAAGGGTGCCGTGGGAGGATGCCGGCTCGACACCGAAGTCAGAACTACTCAGTTTGACACCGGCTAGAAGCTGAGGCTCTTGAACGTCCAAGTTGTGTTTCTTGAAGGAGCCTTTGGTTCCACGGACCCAGAATCTCAGCTGGTCTTGCTCTGGGCTGATGGCAGAGCTTTTGACGGTGACAAGCATCTCATCCTCGGGTGATCCATACTTGAGCAGTACCGTACATGCATCTGGCGCACAATCACCAGTCTTGAGCCCCTTTCGTTGCACTTGAACGAAGCCCGTGACGGATTTCGGCGCACCGAAAAGGTGGTATACTTGATCGAGGAGATGACTTCCCAGATCGTAAAGCGCACCACTCGCCGGAGTAGCCAGGGTTTTCCATGTGGTACGAGTGGGAAGCTCCGGACGGAAGCGGTCGAAGTGTGTCTCGAATTCAGCAATGTCGCCCAGTTTACCAGAAGCCAGTACTTGCTTCAGAGTAACAAAGTCTTGATCCCACCGTCTGTTTTGGTAGACAGCTAGCAATCGGTTCCTGTCCTTGGCCAGTTGGGTCAACTCTCTGGCCTCCTGAGATGTTGGAACGAATGGTTTCTCGACAACGACATGCTTGTCGCTCTCGATGGCCTTCTTTGTAAACTCGTAGTGTGTTTCCGGGATACTGGTGACAATGATCAGATCGACGGCCTTGTCAGCGAACATGTCGTCGGCATTGCGAAACAGCTTGATCTCGGGGTGGTCGGCTGAAGCGTCATCGCCTGACTTTGGACTACGTTGCACGACAGCATACAAGTTGTAGTCGGGGAGAGCCTGAATGAATGGGATGTGGAAGACCTTTGCACTCAGACCGTAGCCGATCACACCCACGTTGATCTTCTTGTCTACAGACATGATGGTTGGAGAGTTGGGGCCTAAGCAGAAAGAGCGGACCCGTGGCTTCTTAAGGTCTGCAGGAAACAGCTGTTCTTAGTAGCACAGAGTACGGCGACAAGGGCGAGAGTAGCCCTATGAGATGTTAGTGGATAGATGAGTCACAAAACCGAATGAAAGATGTTCGCGTAGGCTGAACAAAAGACATGTTAGGGCATGGATAGGGCACAGATCGGGATACCTTCCGTTCTGAGCGATGACGAGCTTGCCTTTATGCTCGACTTGCATGTGAAGACTTAACAAATATCTAGTCAACAACAACCCCCCAGTCTTGTTTCACCTCGCCGTCGACGTGCGCGCAGGAGATATGTCGTCGGCTCCGACCGCCTACAAAAAGCGCAACGGCACTCTGTCTGTCAGCGCAGACAGGACGTCGCTTTTCTGGACTCCCTCTGAGCCGCCATCTTCTCCGCCCTCACTGACCATCGCCATCAAGGATATCACAAGTCAGTCTAGCTTGGTCTTATCAAATCTACCCAAGAGTGCTGACCAGGTATTCCANGATCTCCAGCAGACTCCCGCAGGCAACCCAAAGGTCGCCTTGAAAGTCGTCGTTCAGCCAGCAGGAGCTACTGCGCCAGAGAATCATGTCTTCTCCTTTACCTCTGCCGCCGCACGATCCGAACAAGAAGCGATTACCGACATCTTACGGAACGCCATCGCCGCCATAAAAGCCGCCGAGCCAACGAAACCTGCACCAACACCCGCAACAGCACAAGATGCATCTGCTCCTTCAGCAGCCATGGCCATGGCACAGGCTGTCTCCTCCACAGTCAAGACCAATGAGAGCTGGTATGATGATGCCCATCTCAGCACCGATATCGAGCTGCAGAGATCACTACTGGAAGCAAATCCAGCACTGCGACAACGATTCAATGAAAGTTTGAGGGACAGACCAGAAACCATAACCATCACCCAGTTCTCCACACAGTTCTGGTCTACACGGTTACATCTTCTGCGTGCTCATGCTATTGAGAAGGCTCAGAACCAGGGCGACTACAATGTGTTACCCGAGATCAAGTTCACACGAGTCGCGGCCGAGAAGGAAGGTGAAGCTGACTCTTTGACGCTTCGTCTGGCAGGCCCTCAGATCAAATTGATCTTCAAGCAATATCCTATTGTCAGACAAGCTTACAACGAGAACGTTCCTCCGACAGATAGCAACACATTCTGGTCTCGATTCTTCATGAGCAGGCTGCTAAAGAAGTTGAAAGGCGAGAAGATCACAGATGCAGATCCACCAGATCCCATGTTTGACAAGTATTTGAGTTACCAAGAAAAGGGACCATCAAATATCGGCCATGTTCCGCACTTCATTGATCTCGAGGGCAACGAACAGAACCACAGCCAACGTCAAGGTAACCGACCGGACGAAACCATGCGGCCTGAAAAAGTGCCAATCCTGAGAATTCTCAACAACTTGTCTGAAAAGATGATGGCACAAGTGGCGCCGACAGACGGAGAAGCTCATGCACCCATCGGTATGAGTGAGGATGCGTTCAATGAGCTACGGCTTCGAGATCTTCAAACTGAGGCAGGAGACAATCGTGTTGTCCTGAACATCAAAGACCAGCAACGTTTGCTGGGTGGTAAACAACAGAATGGACTATCGTCGGAAGCACAACTCTATGCCAAACAATCGCCCGAGAAGGTGCTTGAGCTATTGCACACAGAGATGGCTTCTGCCAATAATATCAGCCTCAGCAAAGTGGTTGGTATTCAGTCTGACAGCGATGACTCGGACGACGAGACTCGACCAAGCAAGAGAGTGCGAATAGGAAGCAAAGCCGCACTTGCACAGTCAACTCAAGGAATGTTGGCTTCTATCAGCAGACGTAGGTTGGCAGCATCGGCCGATGTAACATCACGGAGGGGTCTATCGGAGCCCACGTTCGATACGCTGAACCTTACACACAACACGACAGTGGAGTTCCTTCACTACTTCTGGACTCTGTTCCTGTCTGGCGATGGATCAAGGAGCAACGAGCTAGCAAAGCTGGTAGAAACTCTGGATCGCTCAGTGGATCGTATCAAAATGGTGGCAGACCAGGCAGAGAAGGAAAAGTTGCAAGAAGCGGACAATCTGCAAAAGCAGATATCAACACTAAATCCCAAATCAACAAAGCGACGACGGATCGAGATGGAGTTGGAGAGACTAGGCGGAGGAAAACAGGCGGTGGAGGAAATGGTTCAGCCTACGATCAAAGCACTGGCCGAGGCTACGGCACAATACCGCAAGGCATTTGAGGAACAAAGTGCACAAGCGGTGGCCTAAGGCAGAGTGAAACCTAAAGCTATAGCGGTTATATGATACCCAAATCTGATGCAAGACAAACAATATCTATCGGAATCAACGTTCCTACATGAGGTTAGAAGAAACGATAGAGTAGGGCGGCAGAAGGACGGAAGGCGGCATGGTGGATAACCAGTGAAAAGTGTGGGGAGAGGCTGATAAGGGAGGGTTGCCGGGCAACAACAGAAACATCAACAAGGCAAGCCGCTCACGACGGCGGGGAAATGTTGTGCCAACAATCCAATTCTCAGCTCTCTTGATTTAAGCTCTCGACAAACACTCTGTACTCTGTAGATGGACGAGAGAGGCCATGGGCAAGCTGGCGCCGACCACAACATCCCTTACCAAGAAGCACCCTCGTCGACCATCAAGATGCTGAAGTCCATCCTGCCCAAAGAACACAGACGCTCAAAGTCAAAGGATCTCGGCCGAGTCGCCTCCAATACGACTACCACTACTACACAGATAGTGCCTCTGCTGCCTCCCGACCACCCTCACTCGACTACACAATCCACAGAAGATGGTCGCTCCAGCAGACAGGCCAAGAAGGAGAATGCTCCGCCGCACAAACGTTCCAANAGTACCGTATCGCTACGCTCCCTAGGTAGAGACAAGGAAAAGGACAAAGAGAAGAAGAGCCGCAAGGAAAGAGAAAAGGAGAAGCAGAGCCAGCGTGCCACAAATGATCAGGACAACCGCGACGGCCGCACACGCATGAAGAAGACCAAGTCATCCACCAGTCTCCGAGGCTTGCTGGGCAAGATGAATCGCTCGTCTAAGGACCTCAGCGATACCGTACACGACAAGGAAAACCAGAGCCCACCACCCTCGGCTACCGAGCCCACCACAACCTCTGCCTGGCCTCAGCACCCGCCCGCCGTTCAACAGCTCGATGCAGAAATCGATCGCTACACCCCCAAGGACTATACTCCATCTAAACAACGCGACTTTTCCGCCTATGGCCAGCCCGTCCTCTCGAGGCCCTCCTCCTCTGGACGCCCCAAAAGTTTAGTCATTCCTGGATCAACCTCCTTTCTCGATATGTTCAATCGACCCACCAGTCGTGACAAAGACCGTACACAATTGAACTCACGAGGAAGTAACCATTCACGGGGCAGTGGTGAGAGCTTCGAAGAGGGCATACCATCNTTTGATCGCAAAGTGAGCTCCAGCAGCAACGAGCGGCCAGCACCAAAGCCTTTAGCAAACATGCCTAAGCGTGGTCCAAGGGTTATGGCTGCTGTTGCCGCTTTTGACGAGAAAGCCAGAGAGAATATGGCGGCCAAAGATGACCAAAAATTGGATCCTAAAATTGTTGATGCCGCTTTTGAAGCCGTCTTGGTAAAAAAGCCTGTCTTTGTATACACTCGGTTCATCTGCTAATACATGTGTTCANNGGATTCACGCAACATTCCAGAGAATATGCGTCANAAGATGCGTACTTTGACACTGCGCGTCAAGGCCGATTTTGTCAAACAGGACAAGGGCGCTCTTAGCCCTACTAAGCCAGAATCTCGACTTCCATTTTTCCACGATGAGCCCGTTCAACAACAGGCTGTCGAATCCGGTGACGAAGAAGCCAAAGAGGATCCCTCGAAACGGTCAAGGTCGAGAAGTAAGACTTTCACACTGACCAGGAGCGACGGGACTACCAAGAAACAAAAGCAAGACAGCCGTCCAAACTCGATTCATATTCCAAGATCCTCGGGAACTTTGCCTAGGAATTCTGTCCCTCCATCACCTGGCCGAGGTCCCCAAGCTGCTTGTCCCGATGAGTTTGTGGCCTACTTGGAGAATGTTCGCGATCCTGTTCAAATGGAAGTCGGCCGTCTGCACAAGTTGCGTCTTCTGCTTCGCAATGAGACTGTCGCTTGGGTTGACGATTTCATATCACTGGGTGGCATGGCTCAAGTTGTAGATCTACTTCATCGCATCATGCAGATTGAGTGGCGCGAGGAGCATGAGGACCAACTACTACATGAAGCATTGCTCTGCTTGAAAGGGCTTTGCACTACCGAAGTCGCTCTCAAGAACCTTGCCAGTTTGGCTGATGCCCTGTTTCCTAAACTCCTGGCCATGCTTTTCGACGAAGAGAAGAAGGGGCCAAGTGAGTTCACCACCAGAGGCATAATTATCAACATCCTTTGTAAGTCAAGTTCAAGCTTGTCCGATGTACGAGTCTAACAAACTCCTCTAGTTGCATATCTGGGCGCGGCACGTAACGGTGGACCGCACGCACTTGCTCAAAGAGCTCGTGTGATTTTGGCCTATCTCGCAGATCCGAAGAAACCGGAAGAAGCACAACCAGTATCTTTTGTGCTTAGCATGCGACAATCTCGACCATACAAGGTGTGGTGCACTGAAGTCAGCAACGTGACGAAGGAAGTATTCTGGATCTTCCTACATCACCTCAATGTTATACCACTTCCGAAGAAAGAGACTTTGAATGGAGAAGCACAGACACAACCAGACGGAACTACGACCCCTGGTCAAGGTTATGCTCAGCGATTCTTCCCCGGTGATCGACCACCTGTTCCAGCTGCCCCCTACATTGGTGGTGTCGAATGGGATGCAACCACATACATGACAGCACATCTCGATCTTGTAAACGGTCTCATCGCTTCACTTCTGACCAGAGAAGACCGTAACCAGCTACGTGCTGAACTCAAAGCCAGTGGCTGGGAGAAGATGATGGGCGGTACCATGCGTACATGCAAGGAAAAGTTCTACTGCGGCGTTCATTCTGGATTGCAAAACTGGATAGCCGCAGCTCAAGCGGATGGATGGGATATTGACTACGTGCGATATGGCCCAAGCAAAGAAGAGATGGCCGCGTCGAGTCCAAAGAAGAGTCCGAAGAAGACGGAGCCACCGCCACAACTTGGTCTCCCCATCATACAGATGCCCAAGCTAACGCTAGGATTGGATCGATCCAACTCGACACCTGCATTTAACGCCAGTAACGATAACGATGGATGGTTGCTTTGAAGAAGGTAACAACTTTGGGTTTCATGATTACTTTTGAATTCGTTTTTTCTCTTTCTCTCATTCTTGTAAGGCATTTTAATGGTGTTCCTCGGACAAGGCTTCATGGAGGCGTTTTCAGGTGTACATGTGTGGAGGGAAGGAAAGTCTCGGGAGCGTGCACGTATCAAGTGCAAAGTCTGGTAGCATGTTAGGCTTTTATATATCTAAGTTCCTCCTCTATTGCATATCCTTCTCTACCAGCTGGTCAATTGAGTCGAACGGTCGAAACCTCCTCGAAGCTGTTGTCCAGGTTTGACCACTTTGCCTTGGAGGATGGTATAACGAACGAGGTTCTCGCAGTCCTGGGGCTTGATTCTGGCCAGCCATATGCACTGTGCGGCCTCGTTCAGGGGCTTGCCGTCGGGGGTCAGGCGTCTTCTGTAAATCAGGACATTTGCCGAGTATTTGTGGCCGCCAACGTGATTGATGAAGTAGATTCCAACACCTCCTGGACGTTCGTCGTCAAAGTCACGGGCCAGGCCCAGAGGTCGCAGGTGTCTTTCAAACTCCTNTTTGAGTAGTGGAGCGGATTGACCGCATCTAGCATCTCTGGTTGCGTGAGAACACAACAGGATCAGGTAGTTGTGAGGGCAGTCTCTCATGTCCAAGCCTGATGGCGGAGGTGTCGTGGTAAGAGCGTTTTCCGAAGCAGGATCGGCCAGGGGGGTGGTGTTGGTTGGAGCGGTACTGACGCAACGTTGAATGAGGTCTGGCACAGCGGCGGGAGTAACATTGTCGATGAATTTGAAGGCGGGAAGAAGCAAGACGGTTGTGCGGACCTGGCCATCAGGGTCTGAATGCGAAGTGTGAGGAATAGGCATGTTGGAAGCCGAGAGCATCATCTTCTATGAGGAGGCATTAGTACCTTGATGTACTGTGTAGAACAGGCATCAACTTACGCCATTGGTGGGCTCTTCTGTTCTTGCTACAGCCTCCATGACGCTGCCCTTCTCGTCGGCGACATCGCGTACCCAGTCATTCTTTCCAGTGGCGACAATCAGATGAGTGTTCCAGCCATTGATGTGTCCATAGAGCTTGTCGTCTTCATCAATCTCGAACTTGCGGGGGTATTTGACCGAACATGATTCGCAATCGTGCAGACAATCGTCGCCGTCGACAGCGGGATCCGTCTTTGTAAACAGAGAGTCTGCGTTCTTTGCCTTTCTGAACTCGGACGAGGGTGTAGGCGTGAAGCGATACGAGAGGTTGCGAAGGAGTGAAGCCATTTTGGTCATGTTGACTCGGAGGGGAAACTATTGCAACTTTATCAGATCGACTTGCGCGTGCTTCCGATTGCCGACGCGTTTCCCGCCCGTCATCGTCTGCTCGACCATCATTACGACTTACGTACCTGTAAACTATGTCTGTGTGTTCTGTTATTTGACTGTAGATGTGAATTTTGGCTGCAAGAGCTGGCTAGCTAGGAGGTCGATAGCAATAAGGATGACTGCCTACCATCTGCCTCTTTATCACTCTTCACCTCGGACATCACGGACTCGGAGCTCGGATTAAGATTCCTTCCTGCAACACGCCTAATCACTTTACAACCACCCACCACAGGCAATAAGACTAAGACTACTTGCGCGCTTACATGACCTCTCCAGCTGTCAAGTTTTTGACTGGTGCTCCCATTGCTACTGCACTGGACTGGAGTGATGAAGGCTTGCTCAACACCTTTTCTTCGGCCTTGCAGAGACATCTCAGCCATGTCCACTCGGGTCCTCCACCTACACCTGTGCCCACTCAACCCGTAGCCAAATGGAGATCCATCCCTCTAGCAGCCAACAGGACCTTTCACGAGAGTCCTGTGTTGCCTAGAACCCTACCACANGGTCAAAAGAGTGCACTACCACATCAGATTACCAGCCTGAAAGAGGACCACGATGACTTCCTCGACCACTCATTCGCTTTTGAAGCAAATCTGCAATCTTCCCAGATCGAATCTCACCACCACAGTCCAGAGNNGGATGATATAGGAGAGGCGACCTTCATGACAGATGACTCCATATATTCGACCATACTGGACGATTATGACACGACTGTCATGTCTAATGGCACATCCTTCCAAGACGACTCTGTACCCCGATCAGGCACATCGTACAGACCTGTTGGCCCCGTCATGAGCATCAAAGCCATACCAACTGCTGAATACTTACAACGCATACAGCCTCAAACCATGACTGTGAACTTGCTAGTCGGCATCATCAGCATAGCGCCTGCAAGAACAGTGACAACACGAAAAGGAGGTCACGACATGGACATCATCGAACTCACAGTCGGAGACGAGACAAAAGCAGGCTTTACAATCAGTTCATGGCATCAAGCTCAAGATTCTCAACAACGACACAAGATCGAAGACCAGTCACGCAATGTACTTTCATCATTACGCCCACAAGATGTCGTTCTCATTGAAAGAGTGGCACTCAGCTCTTTCCGCAATGCTGTCTTTGGTCAATCTCTTAACCGGAGAGCAACCAAGAATACCACGGTAATCACGGTCCTGCACAAAGCCCACGACATTCGAGCAGACAGTGCACAGCAAACTACGTGCCCTCTAGCAGTAGAACACAAGCTTGAGAGAGTTTGCGACTGGGTCTCGAGTTTCGTTGGACCAAGTGTCAAACGTAAGGCACAATCAGAACCTCTGCCACGAACTGGGCCCAAGAAGAAAGGGAAAAGCGCTTTAGTAGAAGAGTTTCTGCCTGCCGACTCTCAGCCTTGACAAAGGTCACAAGATATTCACCAAAGACAGTCGTCATGATTTGGAAAGGCGCCAGATTTGGAGTCGGGTCACGTGTACTTCTAACTCGCACTAGCCGGATTGAGAGCCTGGCGTGGTGCTTGCGAGAGCTCTTGCAGCAAGAAAAGGAAGACAGCAAACATTGCGAGAAGCATGACATTGATGAAACAGATTCCAATCAGAATTTTATCCGTGACCATTGCACCTCTGATCTCAGTGCCATTGTATGAGTATCATGAAGACATCCAGCTCCTGTACGTTCTGTCGCAATGATTACGCCTATCACATCACCTGTGGAAACGAGACACGAAGCACAGCTCACATAGGTTGCTCGTGAGAATCAATTTGTTCAGTGAGAGATTGCAGAACTGTTCAGGCGTGAATCTAAACAAGGACGGTGTAGACGCAAGACTGTGAAGTAAATCCACTCAAACGCAGTCGCTGCAGTTAATGAACAAGAATCGTGGCATGTGTCTATTCAACATGTTGTACATGAGAGGTATCGGAAGAGAAGGGATATAATACATGAAATGAAGGAAGAATATCGTGGCAGACAAGACTTTTTACTGGCGACCAAGGCCATACTTTTGGATGGTGCCTTGGATAGCATCCCATTTCAGTTCTTGAAGGGTGACGCCCTCTTCTTCGCCNNCCTGTTGTATGACGACAGTAGGGGCACCACTGCCACCGCCGGGGTTCTTGACCATGCCGCCGAAGACTTGACGGGCGACGTGACGGAGCTCGGGAATCGAGACCTTGTCGATGCGAGCAATCATGTCCTTAACAGGCACCTTGCGTCCGTGAACCTGGACTTGACGACCAAGATCTTCCAGCTCGACCATGCGGCTCTCAAGGTTCATGAGCAGACTGCTCTTGAGCTGATTCTTTGCACGCTTGACCTCTCCTTCGGTGAGGCGACCAATGCCAGTCTCCTTGCCTAGATTTGCGAGTTGCAAACACATGACTTGGAGCATGTGGTTGACGTAGGGAGTAGCACATGCAGCGCTGATACCAAAGATGCCGCTATCAGTGTAGGCGTGGTTGAAGGCGACGCAGTTCTCGACCCATCCGTGCTGGTTCAAGACATTGGTGTACAGACGACTGTACATGCCCTTGCCAGGACCGCCGGCAGAGAAAGAGCCACCGCCACCAAGGAGAGTTTGCAAGGTTGCAAGGGCGTAGATGGAGTCAGAGTTGATTGGAAGAGACTCGAAGGCAAGATGAATGTATGACAGACGAGGAAGCGCAGGGTTAGGAGGAATAGGAAGATTTGGTAATGTTAGGAAGCCACCGGTATAGTGGGCGGGTGCAGATGTGTCGACTGGAACATCGAGAGGATGGGGAATGATCTGAGAAGGATCCAGTGGTGAGACGGTGGCAGACTGTGAGGCAGAGGTGGAGAGATTCTTGAAGAAGGGAATCTTGGAACTAAGTGTCGACTTCTGCTGTGGTTGCGGTGACTTCTGAGAAGTAGGCTCTGTTGTAGCGAGCTTCTCAGCCTTCATGTCGCCAAAGTATTGTTCGGCCAGCTTGACAGCTTGTTGGTGCTCGACTCCAGCAAATGCGACAACCAGTCTCTCCGGACGGAAGAAGGCATGGCGGTAGGCGTCAACGGTACGCTTGTCGATGCTACCAAGGCGGTCGGCAGGACACAACAGAGGGTTTCCAAGAGTGTTGTCCTTGTAGGCGGCCATGTGAACCAACTCAGGAAGGATAAGGTCGGGCTTGCTCCAGATTTCACCAATCTCGTACTCTGCTGTCTCGAGCTGACGAGCAACCTCTTCATCGGTGATCAGGGGATCACGAATAGTCTCGGCGAGCAGAGCGGTAGCTGTGGGTACTGCACTGTTGAAAGTGGCGGCCTGGTACATGAGGGATTCGCGAGAAGAAGCGCATTGAATGTTGCCGCCCAGGGATTCGATCTCTTCGAGCATGCTATCAGCGCTTCGCCGTGATGAAGACTTGAAGGCCAGACGGTCGATGATGTGTGAGACACCGCGTAGAGCATCGTTTTCGTATCGCGAACCAGCATCGACGTAGACACCGATACCTGAGAAGGCACCAGGTACTGCTTCGCTGGCGACTCGGACGCCATTGGAGAGGGTAGTCACTTGGTCGAGGTCGGCAGCGTCCTGAACAAGATGGGCGTTACTATGACTGGCCGGTTGGAATGCGATGGGCTCTTCAAGGCTTCTTAGGATATGCGCCTACCTTTGTGGCTCGGTCTACCGAGGCAAAAGTGCGACGCGACACATGGCGAGATAAGAGTGTGGTAGTAGAGCGTGGTATGGCTCTATTTAGTCGTAGCATGATTGAATACTTTTGTTATGGGATAGAAGAGGCTTTTTGGAAAGCATCCGCATGGGGCTATTCTGTCATGGCTGGCGGCGTGTTTGGCAAAGTGCAAACAAATGCACGCACGCCCGTCGGCCCCCAGTTCCGGCTTCGAGGGAGAGACAGACTCGACGGCTGACGCCCCAGGACGTCTGGATCCAACATGTGATGCATCACGCGTGCAATTCTCTGCCTGTCTGTTGTTGAGGATCGTGTGTTCTTGAGTCTATGGCGGCAGCATTGGAGCAGCAGTGCTTGTCAGGACTGTCGAGAATGACATCGAGTCAGGATCGGGGCTAGAAGACGGTTTCGAAGATTAATCGAATAGTGACAAGGCTAGAAGCCATAACGCCCCATCGAAAGCGTTGTTGCATTGACTGCAATGAGTACGGAGTATCGCCTTGGGCGTATGCGAGTGCGGCACATACTCACACGACTCCCTTCTCTCTCCTTCTCCTTCCCTCTCTCCCCCACTTGTTTGTCGTCGTCCTTGTCGTCTCGTCTGCAATCCCATTCCTCACAAGCCAGCATCCGATCACCGTGACTCGGCCATCCTACACTCTACAAGCGTGATCGCCCGCTTCAGTGACATAATACAGAAGCCTCTTTTTGCTTTGATATCCGGAGCGCTCGTTCGACTTTCTTTCACCCCTCTTTGTCTTGCTCGCATCACACCATGTTTGGCAATTATTCACCGGCTTCAGCGTCGCTGTCGACCGTTACTTCAGCCGCCAACTCGCCCGCTACGCCCGCTTCTCCGACTCGTCCTTCCCGCTTGCGCGGTCTTTCATATCTAAGAAGTTATACCCACAACCACCTTCACTCGACTTCAAATTCCACCAACGCCAATCAATCCAACAATTCTTCGGCGACCCCGTCTCCAGCTCGTCCCTCTACACTCAGCCGAAGTACCAGTTCTCCTGCCCGTAGCGCACGCGAGACACCCCCGAGTCCCCCACTTCGTAGTGATTCCACTGCCAACGGCTGGATCCCTACTGTCGCCGGCCAGAGTGCCCTGTCCAGGCTTGCTACCCAACCTCAATCTACTCAATCCGAATCGCCTACCCAAAACATGACCCGTACAAGAGCTGCAACCGTCAACCAGGATGCTCCTCCTGCCGCCGACAACAACCCCGCTCCGGCTACCACTGANCACCACCGACACTACCGAATCTGCTACTACTGCCCCACCGCAAGCCACGACCACCGACAAAAAGAGGCCCCGACTATCCGTTTTATCCCTCACCATGAGCCTCGTGCTTCGAGACCATCCCTCACCTTTCCTATCGTGACTCGCACAATCGCCGCTGCTGGACAGCGAGTAAAGGTCGGCAGATATTCTGAAAGAGATCAGGCTGTCGATTCCCAAGCAAGTGCCAAAACGGCAGCTCCTGTTGGCTTCAAGAGCAAGGTCGTCAGTCGCAGGCATTGCGAGCTCTGGTGCGACAATGGTCAGTGGTTCATCAAAGACGTTAAGAGTAGTTCCGGCACCTTCTTGAATCATGTGCGTCTGAGCAGTCCAGGCATGGAGAGTCGTGCATACCCCCTCAACGACGGTGATATTGTCCAGCTGGGTATCGACTTTAAGGGTGGAGAAGAGGTCATCTTCCGTTGTGTCAAGATTCGTATTGAGTGTAACAGAGGCTGGCAGAAGAGCTTGAATCAGTTCAAGTAAGTTTCATGACATGACCGGGAAAACGCAATGTCGCAAAATTGCTAACCACCANNCAGCACCGCAACACACAAGAATATTCTTAAACAAGCAAAGGTCAACAACGCTAAAGACAGCGACGCCCAATCAACCCACAGCTCCGAGTGTTCGATCTGCTTGAATCCCGTGGCTCCATGCCAGGCTCTTTTCGTCGCACCGTGCTCGCACGTTTGGCACTACAAGTGTGTTCGCACTCTCATCTATCCTAGCTGGCCGAGCTTCCAATGCCCCAATTGCCGTGCGTACGCCGATCTGGAAGCCGATGTCGAACCTCCGGAAGAAGAATATGAGAGCGGGGATGTCGAGGTCGCCATCCAAGCTTCAGCAAGTGCCCCACCGAAATCCCCTGAACCGGAACCGCTTCCTGCTATAGAGACTGGTGGTCTTGAAGATGAAGATTTGACTGCTATGATGAACAGTGTCTCCATGGACTCGACCTCGCCATCACAAAACCCTTCTGGCACAGACTCGAGCTCAGATGGCGAAGCTGGGCCGTCACGAGGCTCAATATCACAGCCCGTACCCATCATTGCTTCGACCAACGCACCGATCAACAGAAACTTGCCCGACTCGATCATGGCGCGGTCAGCCACTCCCACTTCTTCTGCACCNTTTGCTCTAGCTGCAGCTACCTTAGCACCCATGACTGATGGACAAAACACACCCATGAATGATGCTGGTCCGTTTGTCTTTGATAGCAACACGAGACGTGCTGCTGCGCAACGAAATGTTGCAGATATAGCTCGCGAACCAGTCCATGAGCAACCTGAGGAGCATGCTGCATCATGAGCCTTATCCTTTCTCTTTTTATGATACCTCGATTTGAGCTTCTGAAAGTCTGAACATGACTGGTTTGTGATTGTTGATAAGCACGTTGGGTTTCTTGTTTGGTTGTTCTGTTTCCAACTTTATATGGCTGTTCATTATTCTTAACATCTCGTTCTAGCGGACAAAGCAGGTTGGGCAAGGGACATGGAAAAGAGAGGCATACCAATACAAAAGCTGGTCTTGCAAAGGAGTCTCCCTCCCCTTGGAATGCTTCCCCCTTTTTGCTAACTTATCTAATCTTGACATTACTTGTAATTCATCTTGCTTATACTCTGCTCTTGACATACTCTTTCCACACTACGATTCCCATTCTGCTAACAATTTTCTATTGGTAACACCTCCAGGTTTGATCTCTGCTCGTTGCAGTCGATGCTTTCGATGGGCAGAAGAACTCGTGCTCGTGAACCTAATGATATTCACATCTTGCTAGAAAACAAAAAGGAAGAGGAAGGTCTCGAGAAGGACAACTTCAAAATACAGCTTGTGTGACGGAAAGGACCCCAAGTATGAAGGTTGGAAAATGTATAAGTACTAGGGTGAAGAAAACTGCTAGTAGACATACGCTATGTGTATCTAGAGACCTGAGCCTCCATCATAGCTTAGCTAACTTTCATCTATAAACCCTGACAGCAGGGCAGTATAGCATTGGCTCCAGTCTAAAGTTTGCTCTTGCCGATTCCCCAAAGTTGAGCCTCAGGATTGTTCTCTTTTGGTTCCACAGTGCCGTGCTCACTCTTTGGGTTGGCCGAGGGATCCTGGATGGGCTTCCCTTCCATATCGCTCTCGGGGAGCTCATCAACATATAGCGATTTCGCCTTGTTGATGGTCTCCAGAGCTTCGCGCTCGATGCGTGTGATAAGGTCTGCACATGTCGGAATGTCGTGAATCAAGCCAATGACTTGGCCAGCGGTCCACACNNCTGTGTCTCGACGTCAATACAAAAAATCTTTGAGAAGTAGTCATGATCCACTTACACCGTGTTCTGGGTCTCCATTCAAGAAGACCTCTCTGCCTCGCTTTCCACTGACGTATGGGGCGACCTCCTCGAATTTACCAGTTGGGCTCTCTCTTTCAATCTTGATAGCGTCTCTTGCAACCTTGTTCGAGAACATTCTGCTAGTGTTCTTCCATCGTCGAAGAACCAGTTCGGTATCCGTCTCTTGTGCCTTGACAATCGACTCCTTGATGTTTTGGTGGATGGGAGCTTCTACGGTGCACATAAATCTTGTGCCCATGTTGATACCTTCAGCACCCAAGGAAAGTGCGGCAGCAAGACCCTGGCCATCGGCAAATCCACCTGAGGCAATGAAGGGAACATTGAGTTCCTGACGAGCTCTCGAGAGCAAGATGAAGTTTGTGATATCCGTCTCGCCAACGTGTCCAGCACATTCCATTCCGTCGATGCTCAGGAAGTCGACTCCGAGCTTGATGGCAGACAAGGCGTGACGTACGGTGGTGCATTTGTGTAGGATGATGATGGGAGGGTTGGCGGCTTTCAATTGCTTGATGACGGGTGCAGGGTTGTTGCCTGCTGTCTCGACGATTCGGATGCCTTCTTCGATGATGACGCGTGCGTAGGCAGGGTAGTCCGGAGGCTGGAGGGCGGGCAGAAGAGTCAAGTTTACACCAAAAGGCTTCGAGGTCATCTTTCGACATCTTCGAATCTCCCTGCAGGTTGTTAGCCAGTCCCATTATTTCCTCAGGCGCTTAGATAGAGTACCATACTTTCTCAAGTCTTCGGGGGTTGGTTGTGTCAATGCGGTCAAGATTCCGAGGCCTCCTGCATTTGAGACGGCACTGGCGAGCTCTGCATAGCCCACCCACATCATGCCNNTGGACATTGTCAGTAGCCAAACCACCTCTAGAAATGCAGAATGTCACACACCTCCTTGGACGACCGGCACCTTGATCCCGAGTTTACGGGTCAGAGCAGTATTGAAGGGCATTTTGAGTTCCTTTGCTGAATGGCTTTAACAGAGATGTACGCTTTCGAAGATCACATCTTGTATGCTTCTGGACGATGTTGACAAGAACACCCCTCAGGAAGGAGCGCATCATCATGCCTCGGCTCGTTTCGGTCCGAAACTCATGCATGTGAAAAACGCTCGGACAAACACCCTCGTGCCTCCATTTACAGTAGTAGTACTTGGCAAAACTTTGATAATATGACCATCCTCCGATGGTTGATATGTTTCGATATCCAAGTAAGCTACCACGCCTTGAAATGTTTTATCAAATCATAGAAGCCGTGAATCTCATCCATGTGATCATATCGCTGAGCTTGCAAAGAAGAAGTCCCATGGCAGAGATGAACGAGAGACAAAGAAGGAAAGTGATAACCAGATCCGAATACAGGAAACAAATTCGGGAGTCGAATAAGAGCGTGATGAGGAAAGAGAACGCCAATTCATACTATCATAATTCACCTATCGTTGCATCCACGCTACCTGAACTGGTGCTTAGGTCGATGGCACTGCCAGCCTTTCCTTTTCTGGCAACGACATGGGCTCCCACAGGTCCTGACCACCGTTTCAACACCTCAACATCTTTTCCGCGAAGCTTGACACTTCCTGACATTGTCACCGCCTCAATCTTTCCTTCCCATTGTTGAGGGTATTTGACGTGCAGACTTCCAGACTTGGTCTTGTGAATACTTCTTAGGTACCCCATCACATGGTGTGGGTCCTCATAGGATGGCAGTACGTTGACATGAATTCCTCCCACAGCAGACTCTGTGCGCAGCCAACTTCCAGTGCTGTTCGTCGAGTATGGTAAAACATTGACATCGATGGACCCGCTGGAGGTGGTAATATCAGTGTTAATGCCATGGATGTAGTTTCCACGCACTGATCCACTTCTACTATCAACCTTTGTGTGGTACAAACGTGGTGGGATCTCTGCAATCGTGTCAGACATAGGGAAAACGGCCTTGATGCTTCCAGAGGTAGTGACTGCAGAAAATGAAGCAGGCCGAGGGTCGGTTGGGCTCTCTGCTTTTGGTTCGACGTCTATGTTGACATTGCCCGAAACTGTTTTGACTGATAGGACATCCTTTAAAGCAAAGCGGCCGCTGATGCTTCCTGAAACAGTGTCTATACGAGTTTCTCGGCCACTTTCCCAGTATGCGGCGGACAGAGACCCCGCGACCGTAATAAAATCGGTACTGTTACTGATATAATATGCACTGCCTTGGCCAGATGGCGGGGTTTCGAGGGATGGTGGAAATAGACCAGGTTCGATTCTGATGTCAAGATGCTCGGTTGCAATTTCCAAGTGCTCGAGCTGGGTTCCCGGTCTGATCCAGATATTCAAGTCAATCTCCATGCAAGCTCTTTCATAGCTTGGTGAGGAGGCAGGTACATTCAAGCGTAGGCTCTCGCCCGTATAATCAACCTGGAAGTGTGAGTTCTGAGCGGCTGCTGATTTTGCGACTCGCAACTCCACCATCAGAGGATCTTTCTGGTCCGCTTCTCCAAGCGAGACTCGAACCTGGCCACTAACATCGCCAGAAGGATTGTGTGCTCCTTCAGTGATTTCGACAAAGCTGAAGCTACGCGGGAACTCGAAAGAGAAAGTCGAGGGGTCGCTGACATGTCCGTAATTACATCTCCAGTAATGAGGGAATCCGTCAGCAGGGGGAAGCGCTGTTGTTTCCGTTACTCTATGCAGCGCGTCAGTGCCTGACCACTATGACTAGGACCAAAACTCAAGACGTACTGAATCCTGGCTTTTATCGTGCTTGATTGTCGTTACAGTCACTAGCCCGATCAGAGAACACGCAAGAACGAGGACTAGGCATGCAAGCGCCTTTCGGTTTGTCAAAATGTTGCGTCTTTTGGTCAATTTCTTTCCATCCTCGGGATCACGTCCTGGATCGCCCATACTCTGTGGCTCCTCTGTTGGCGTATGAGCCGATGTAGTCGCATCTTGATAGCGTGCTTGGTCTGGCTGAAAACTACTCGATTCGTTCCGAGCGACATATGGTGGAGTGCCGTACAATCTTGTCACGTCGGCATAGGCTGGGGGAGGTGGTGAAGTGCTCAATAGTGGTGTTCTTTCGCTCAATCGTTCTCGGTTTTTTGGTCCGGAGGGGTGTCGCGAGGCTGGCGCGGCTGAGGGTGCCTCTTCGTCGAGGTCAGAGTAATCCGTGTCGTCGTCGTGAACCGCCGACATCTTGTCGGATGTGCGACGTGTTGAAGCAGCATCTCGAAGAATGAATCGAGTACCATGATCGTATTATTAAACAGAGCTGTCAGACAGCCACCTCGTGACAGCCTTTTGATTACACTATCCCCCGCTCTCACCTGTCCAATGGCATGGCCCGATAAGGCAGACTCTCTTAATCCTTTTGATCCTTCCGGCGAAAATAAGCCGCTCTGGCATAACACCGACGCCATGCATAATAGAGCGACACTTTCATGCAATCAAGACAAGATCACGACGATAACACACATGGTCGGCATGCGAAGAGCATACTCTCATTTAATTGTTACATGCGATAATGGGTATCATAAGAAGAAACAAGAAAGAAAAAGAAGCTAATCGTAAAGTTGTACCTCCCTTAAAAGCCCAGCTCATCATCGCTATCATCTACAAAGTGATCGCTGGCTCTTTTGATTGGAACTGAGGTCTTGCTGAGAGATTTTGGTGGCACCGCTTTCCTGCCAACAAANNTATTTTTTTTACTCGGCTTTGAGCAACTCATGGCCAGTTCGTCCATCTCGCTCTCAGACGAATCGGTTCCTCCCTGCTTGATGCAGTCATTATCCGAAGATGGTGATGGTCGTCGAGCTGCTTCTGAGGCCGGTGAAGGAACAATTGGTTTCCGTTCTTCCACTGCCTGACGTTTCCTCTTCTTTGCTGGTCTTTCCGCTACGTCAAATCTGTTTCCAAGCGAACCAGAATGAGTTTCTGGAGGTTCGGCAACAGTCTGGGCTGTATTTGAAGCTTTGAGCGGAGAAGATGGAGGCCATGGTAACTTTTTGATCAAAGGTGTGCCATCTGATAGTGTTGTACCCTCGTGTGCTTGGAAGATGGCTTTCGAGCAAGATGGGGTCTCTATATCGAAACCTAGCACATCCGGTGAAGCCAGCATATTCGAGATGTTGACCACCTTATGTTTGAGATCTGGTGTTTCCTTTGTGTCACTGAGATAACCGCTGTCGTCTAGATCGTTGTCTTGGTCAGAAATAGATCCTGATCGACCCCTATTTGCCGTGACAGTGACCCGTTCGGCCTTTCTCGTGCGTACTGGCGATGCAACAATCCATTCGCACAGACCTTCTTCCCACCTGAGTCCCTGTCCTGCAATGACACCACTGATATGACGCGGGGCGCTGGCTATGCTGTGGGTACTCAAGGGTACGCGTTGTGACATGGCAGCCTCGACGTCCTCTAAGAAGCGCCGGCTTCTTTGTGTGGCAGAGATTTTGACAGAGAGCAAGGAACTCTCCAATGCCCATTGTTTTAAGAATGATGTCGTCTTGTCTGATTCGTGTTGACCGTCTTCCATAATCGACTGAACGAGGCTTTCCAGATAAGATTGACCGTCCGAGTGTAGGCTCTGTCCGCAGCATCGAGACAGGTCGACCAGAAATGAAGCAGCACGCTCAACCATCGATTGTGTGCGGTCTGAGCTATTGCTTCTATGTACGACAATCATTCCTCGCAAGATTTCCTCTTGCCCGAGTAATGTCTCTGCTTTGCTGTTCTTGTCATGTTTGGCACTCAAAATGAGGCTGCTTGCAAGAAGGGTGAAACAGATTGTCCGTTGCTGATGGACTGAGCCCCTCGCACTGGATCCGGATCGACAGGCTTCCAGGTTCGTAAGTACAATTACTGAAAGACGCGTGAGGAGAGATTCGGCAGCAGTGCATCTCTTTGAGCCGTCGTTGCAATCTTGTGCGTTGCGCCCTATCAAGACGATTGCCGTGAGGACAGTAATGATGCTGATCATTGTATTGCTGAGCGACTTTTCCAATTTCAACCAGGTATCCAGTTTGCCCTCTGATCCTTGTCGGGTTGCATGGTCTTGTACCAACTCTGCCTCTGATACTTGAGAAATGCGGCCTTGGAGGAACTGCAAGATTTGATCGTTGTCTCCAGATTGCGACCCCAGCGCTCTGATCATGCCACTCAACAGAGCGACCATGTCTCGAGTCGCCAACCACGACAATTTCAGACGTCCTGAAGAAAACAATGCATCAAGGAGGCGGACGAACGTCTCATTGTCGGCACTGGCTGGCTGCATGGCCGTCAAGCTCGATAGACATCCGTTGAACAGACGAGAATCCACACCGAGAGGGCGTTTGAGCGGCAGGGATCGAACATAAGCAAGAAGGAGGTCTTCCGACACCTTATGGAGACCGTGTTTGGCAGGTATTCTTGCAAGTTCTGCCCTGGTCTCTGTCGCCACAAGCTTGTCTTTGATAATTTCATGGACAAGACTCACACCGTGTGCAATCACTACTTCGCGTAGACCTGACCATCCATGTCCATGTACCGAGCCAAGATTCTCCAATTCTTCATACACCTCAGCAGAGACGTCTGTGTCGTCGTCTTCGTCGATACTTTTGCGCCAGTCTTCTTCTGCTCGGATGTAGTCTGGAACTCTCCGCAGGCACATGCTCAGCAGTGATGAAGCTCCTTNTTGCGCCGGTCCTTCACAACTTGTCGAATTTGTTCTTTGTAGCAGCAACGAGAACCCATCCGTGACACCTTGGTGTAGCTCGAAGGTTCTCTCGTAATTCTGTCTGCCTTGCAGTTCGATGCTCTGTTTCGCAATCGGCGCCCGAGTAAATGGATCCCGGCGTTGACGAATGTCTTTTCTTGCTAGAGGGAGAGATTTTGAAACGCAGGGACTGTTTGAGGTTTCCAGACTAATAATACCATGTTTGACGGGAGTCCCTCTCCTGAACGCGCGAGCCTTGAAGGGNNGAGTCGGTAATGCTACCAAACATGCTTGAGGGCTATTTGTCTGACCTGACGGTGGCTGAGAGTTGCGATGCCGGACTGAGTATTTCTTTAACTGACATTTGGTTCTGTGTTCCGAAGGTAGCCAAGTAGGGTCTGAAAATGGAGTATTGATGTTGGCGCAGGCAGTTTCTCGTCTTAAATAATCTTGTGTCTTGGAAGTAGATAGCGACTCTTCTTCCACAATTTTTGAGATGTTTCGAGNATTCAAGGTGTACTGGTGTCTTTTCAATGGCGCAATCCTGGAAGCAATCGGTCTTAGAAGTCGTTGGCACTTCGCGGCGGTCCAGAACTCTACACGTTCCTGTCGCTTCCTCTTGCGATCCATACTGATGAGGTACATATGCTCTATGATATCCCTGGAATCATGTTATGCTATCTCTGCTTTTCAATTCATGCTGTGTGTGTTGATATGATTTGATGTTGAGGCGAACTTCTTGCACCGACAGCGTCGTCCACGATCAACAAATAAACAATCGGAATTCAACCCCGCCGATGCACATCTTGGCAAGCGCTTTCAATCATCTTTATCGTCCTTGTCTTCTTCCTTTTCCTCGACCTCAAAATTAATAAGTTTCTCGATAGCACCCTTTGCATTACGAGTAGTGACACGGTACTTCCCCCCATNCCTGTTGGAATAGTGTTAGTTCAGGATCTTGAGCGATAAGCAATAGTGACCAACCCATAAATCTTTGATCGTCAGTTCACGAGTACGTCCCAACGACTCAATAGCAGAGATGCGGTCCAGAGTTGCTTCCAAGTATTCATCGAAGCCCCTGGTGATGTGTTAGCAATCATGATGTACTTCCATCAAGGAACGTGCAACTTACTCCTCGGCGCAAATTTCTCGGAAAGCATTCATCATTGGGACCGAATCAGCTCTTACCATGGCCTTGCTGTCGATTGTGAAGATATTGATGGCGTCGTAACTCTGAATGAAATCGGCACGCGTCATGATCTGCCTCGCCTTGTGTAAGGGAATCTGGGGTAGCATATGGCCCTTCTCCTGGTCGTACTCCAGATTATCCTCCTTCTCCTTGTCTACCAAGGCCTTTGCTAGGACCATTGCAGCTGANNCTGACATCGTTAGCAAAGCTTTTTGACCGAAAGAGATGGTACTCACGGCATATTTTTGTTGGTCCATAACATCGTCGTCCATCTCTTCGCCTAGAATCCAGGTCTGTGATAGAAGCCAAGTCTTTTCTGCGCGACAAATATCTTCGCAGGTTTGAAGCATGTCGGGAGACTTTGCGACACGATTGAGGAAAGCAAGTCTGCCTCCCACTTTCTGATAGACCTGTTCGAGTATTTCCGAATCCAGAGGCTTGTCACTATGGTATCTTGCCCGGTAGTTGGATAAGGCCATCATGGCTTTGTCTCGCGGTAAATCAGGAACTGGCATGACCACCATACGTGTTGCCAGCTGCTTAAGTCTTTCGTAGACCCAATAATCGTCGCTGTTGAAGATTATAGTGGCCAGGTTACTGGCAGCCCATTGTTCNNTAGACTGAGAATCAGTTATAAGTCCGATTAGAAATGAGTGTGATGACGAACCGGCTCTTTGTTGCAGCAACTCGAGAAGATCACGTCCGTCCTCGTCGTCTCGCAGCAAATGCATGTTGTTAATGATCATGATGAGCGGTCTTCCAACAGTTGCTCTCCTACGCAACGCCACCTTCTCCAGCTTGTTGAACGCTCTCTCTATATCGAGCAAGGCAGAAGCATCACGAGGGCCGCGAATTGAGAAGAGAGATCCGATGTTGTCCTCGTGATACTCAAAATCAAGGGCTTTGCCCAAGCGTACGCGAAAGATCTCAAGATCGGAATGGGCATCAAACATTGCAACACCTTCACCCTCAATCTTGGCCATGGCATCGATAAGCATGGAGCTTTTTCCAGTACCCTTTTCGCCTACTATGAGATAGTACTGTCCTTTAAGCTCACCACGAACAATCGCATCGAGTTTGGTTTGCTCTTCACGAAGGATCCAGTGTTCTCGATGACCATCTTCGCTCTTGGACATGGCGGCAAGTTCTAAAACTGGGTCGCCTAGACGTGCATTAGCCCTGCGAGAGATTTTCAAAAGTGCATGAATCAGACCAGGCGCAAAGGCATGTTCCATCTTTCTCAAGATCAGAGCCTTGTAGTAACGCGTATATGAGTAGCCAATCANGACTGCAATTGATGCGTTAGACATGAACATGAGATTGTCACACAGCGTGTCATACCCAAGGACGGTCACTGATGCGAGTGTAGTAAATGTCGACTCTAAAGACTTCCAGAAGATGGGTCTCCATTTGCTTTCTTCGCCTTCAGACTTCTTGCCTTTACCTCCATCATCTTCTTCTTCGGGTGTTGGAATCCCCGGGATGGAAGTAAAGGCGCGAGCACGACATGTCAGATGCGTCTGGAGACAATTTCGAGAACGAAGACTTAATTGCAGAGGCCTTGTCGTTGTTTTTAGTCTCTGCAATGCTAGTGGCCGCAAGGACGACATGGTCGTTCAATGTCAGATGACCAATTCGAGATGGAGCAATGGCAGTTCGGGGAAGTTGAACAGGCGTCACAGGCGAGATCTGGAGTAGAGCCCAACGGCTTCCTTCTGCTTGGCAGTCCCTTGAATTCGCCTACCTTGCTTTGTTTCATGTGAATCCCGCGACAGACGTGTATCTGGATGTCAGATAAACTGTTCTTTTCTGGAAGCTTCAAAACAAAGATTGCGGCTCCACTAGTTCTTCCCTGAGAAAAACTAAAGGTCGGGGGAAACGATGTTGGTGACCACAAGTGCGTGTCATATATGCTTGGGACGTGCGAGCGAGCGAGGGACTGATGGAAGCTCCGACTTCAACCGAGGAAGTTGCCGAAGTTTTGTGCGGCCTCGCCTTTGGTGGACAAAGATTTGGGCGATTGGACTTTTGATGTGAATCACAAGCTCGTGTAGCATATAACTTCTTGTATTATACTCGTTTTTCCCTTGTACTATATCTTTGGACATTGCGCGCCCATTTGCTCTTTGTTCTCCTTCTTCCGTTTCCCTTTCGACAAAACTTTGGCTGAAGCATGGCTGCGGACAGTGAGACGAAAGCTCAAGGTAGGCAACGTGACGACGCANNATTGGCGCACGAGTGGAAGACTGATGGCGATTACACAGATGTGCAGAGCAACGGCACAGAAGCTCAGAGCAATGGAGTAGAACAGCACGAGGCTCAGGATGGCCAGCAGGTTGAGCAAGAGCAGGAGCAACCAGTCGAGAATGTCTTCCAGCTCACCATCCACCTACCTCATGCTCCTGTAAGAGGCTCGCCAATTCCACACCAACGACGCTTCTGACACCGTCACTAGGGACAATGCCAAATCATGGTCAGCCACCTCGAGCAAGTCCAAGACATCCGCCAATCCATCATCGACCTCCCCTTCACCTTCCAGTACACGTGCTTCCACCTCGAGCACAAGGGCAAGCGCATCAATGACTTTGTCGAGCTCTCCGAAGTGCCCGACATTCAGCAAGACCCAGAGCTCCACCTCGTCGAAGATCCTTACACCGAGACACAGGCCCGCATGCACTTTGTGCGCGTCCGCGAATTGATTGGCGCATCTGGTGACCGTACCGACCTGTTGCACGGTATTGATGCCGGTCTCTCGCTACACGACCACATTATCAAGCCTACCCCCGCCGACCAGCCCGAGGCTCCTGCTAGCGAGCATGCCATGGTTGACTACGACCTTGACGCCCGCGGTTCCGTAAAGACTCTTCTTTCGCCTTCGCCGGCAAACGCTCCCAAGACTGTCAAGACTCTGTCCTTGTCAGCTTGGAACCCTGCNCCCTACCACCTCCGTCAAAAGGGTCACCTCATGTACCTGCTCGTTACTACTCTCGAGGGCGAGCAGTTCCACATCACCTCGCACGTCTCTGGTTTCTTCGTCAACAAGTCGACAAACAACAAGTTCGATCCTTTCCCTCGTACCGCCCCCAAGCCTCACTCTGCACACTCGCTCCTCACTCTGTTTGGCCAGATCTCGCCCTCGTTCAACGATGCCTTCCGTAGCCTGCANGAGTACAACGGCCAGCGTGACCCTCTGGCCGCTTTCCAGCTCGCCAACGCTGTTCCCGCTAGCCCATGGGTTGTTTCGCCAAACTCGGCCTCTTTGACAAGTCACGTTGCCGATGCTGCTCGTACTCAGGAGAGTTACCTCCTTGCTGGTCCTGAGAATGCAGAGACTCTTCGCGACTGGAACGAAGAATTCCAGTCGACCCGCGAGCTTCCCAAGGAGAACGTTCAGGATCGTGTTTTCAGAGAGAGACTTACCGCAAAACTCTTCGCCGAATACAACGAGGCTGCTGTCAGAGGTGCCGTCCTTGTTGCTCGTGGTGAGGTTGCTCCTCTCAACCCTACCGAGCCTCGCGACGCTCAGATCTTTGTTTACAACAATGTCTTCTACTCATTTGGCGCCGACGGCGTCGGCACTTTNGCTGCTGATGGTGGTGACGAGGCTGCTCGTGTTGCTACTGGTAAGGATATCATGGGTGTCAAGGCTACTAACCAGCTCGATATCTCTGGCATCTTCACCCCTGGAACTGTTGTTGTCGACTACCTTGGCAAGCGTCTCGTCGGCCAAAGTATTGTACCAGGTATCTTCAAGCAAAGAGAGCCTGGTGAGCATCAGATCGACTATGGCGGTGTTGAGGGTAGAGATGTCATCGCCGAGAACGACGACTTCAAGCAGCCATTCGCTGAGCTCAGCAAGGCTTTGCGTGTAAAGAGCCACCCTGTGTGGGACAAGGAGAACAAGAGACACGATCTCGAGGCTAGTGTTGAGACCAAGGGCTTGCTCGGAACTGACGGCAGAAAGTACATTCTCGACTTGTACCGCATTACCCCTCTGGATGTTGCTTGGCTCGAAAAGTACCGCAAGGACAACTCTAGTGATGATGACAACTACCCTCACAGAATGGCTGTCCTTCGCCCTGAACTGGTTGAATCGTACTGGAGACTCAAGCTTCGCGAGTATGTTCAGGCCGAGGTCCAAAAGCGTCGTGAAGCCAAGAAGGAGGCTGCTCCCGAGAGCGAGACTGAAGGTGCCGAGAAGAAGGAGCCCGAACAAGAGCGTGTTGATGTTTCTGGATTCTCGTTCAGTCTCAACCCCGACGTTTTCTGTGGTCAGCGTCCTCAGACTGAGGAAGAGAAGGAGGAATGGTCCAAGGATGAAGTCGAGGTTCGCGCAGCTTGCAAGTACCTCTCAGAGGAAATCATTCCCAAGATGATTTCGGACTTGCAGGATGGTGACGTTGGCTTCCCCATGGACGGTCAATCACTAACCAACTTGCTTCACAAGCGTGGTATTAACATGAGATACCTCGGAGAGGTTGCCCGTCTTGCTGACAAGCCCGAACAACCTCGTCTGCAGGCACTCAAGCAGCTCGCAATTCAGGAAATGATTGCCAGAGCATTCAAGCACACTTCCAGCAAATACCTCAGATACCAATCACCACCATTCGTTCAGGCTTGCATTGCTCACTTGCTAAACTGCTTGTTGGGCGCCGAACTCAACGCCAAGCCTACAGCAGAGACTGACGCATCCCTCAAATCTCTGTACCCCGAGGAGGACTTCTCCTTCGAGGCCGCCACACCTGAGTCCATCAAGGCGGACATCGTCAGCGAGATCAAGAAGCGTTACAGATTCGACCTCGGTGATGCTTGGGTGCAATCTGGTAAGCAGGTGCAGCTCCTCCGTGAGGTTTGTCTCAAGCAGGGTCTCCAACTGCAAGCCAAGCAGTACGGTTTCACCAAGGATGATGCCCCTGCCCCAGCTCCTGTGCAGGCCCCTGCACCTGCCACCAATGGAAGCTCTGGTGGAAAGAAGAGAAAGAACAAGAACAACCCTGAGCGCTCGCCAGCACCTGTTGCTGCTCCCTCCGCTCCTACCCAGACCTTCCATCCCGATGATGTTCTCAACGTTGTTCCCATCATCAAGGATGCAGCACCACGCAGTGTCTTGGCCGAGGAGGCTCTCGAGGCCGGTCGTATCTCGCTCTCGCAGGACCAGAAGGAGCTTGGCCAAGAGCTGCTCCTCGAGTCTCTCTCCCTGCACGAGCAAATTTACGGCATCCTGCACCCCGAGGTTGCTCGCGTCTACTACGCCTTGTCCACCATCTACTACGGTCTCGACGAGAAGACTGCCGCTGTTGAGCTTGCTCGCAAGGCAGCCATCATCTCCGAACGTACTCTTGGTCTTGACCATTCCGAGACTGTTCTAAGTTACCTCAACTTGAGTTTGTTCGAGCACGCAAGTGGCAACACCAAGAATGCCCTTGCCTACATTCGCCATGCTCTTGACCTGTGGAAGGTCGTCTATGGTACCAAGCACCCCGACTCCATCACCACCATCAACAACGCTGCCGTCATGTTGCAGAGCATGAAGCAGTACCATGAGTCTCGCCTCTGGTTCGAATCTTCCCTCGCTATGTCGGAGGAGGTTTCTGGCAAGACATCTGTCAGCACCGCTACCTTGCTGTTCCAGCTCGCTCAAGCATTCGCTCTTGACCGCGACTACAAGAGCGCTGTCAACCGCATGCGTGAGGCCTTCAACATCTTCAAGAACGAGCTTGGTCCCGATGACCGTAACACCAAGGAGGCAGAGACATGGCTTGAGCAGCTCACTCAAAGTGCTGTGTCGCTCGCAAAGCATGCCAAGGTACTCCAGGACAAGAAGATTATGCTAAGACCCAAGGCTCCCATGGTTGGTAGAGGTGCTAGACCCCAGCCCTCGATCGGCCAGAGCATTGAAGAGGCTGCTGCCCCTAGAGCTGCCGATGGCACCAATGACAACAGAAGTGTCGATGAGCTTTTGAAGTATATCAACGGCGACGGTAGCAAGACTACACCAAAGAAGAAACAGACCAACCCCAAGAGAAGACAGGGAAGATCCTAGATGGATGCAAATTTCGTACATGTAAAGCAGGAAGAGGTCACTGATCGGTCGACACCTTTGTAAAAAAATCTGGCGAGGAGCCACCTGTATTTTTGTTTGTCCGTTTTCAGCATGCACGTCATGTTATACATACCCTCTCTGGCGTTGGGTTTGTTGTACAAAAGAAAAGCTTTCGGTTGGGTTCTTTTCACATCGCCGCTCATGCCTTTATTTCTATCCGTTAAATCTGTATTACTATTTTGCCTGTCAAAGTTTTCCTCGTTCTGTTGGCAGTCACGATGAAAATCCGAGATAATGTTGCAGTTCTTGAATCCTTGTGGGCCTGGTACAAATGTAACAGAGCTTGGTCGGAGTACTGTCCGATCTCGCAGGTCTTTGAGAATTTCCAGGATCGATGGATGAGTAGTGCTGTATAGCCTGCCCATAAGTGCGGTTTTTACTCCACTATTCACAGTTCTATACACAATCATATTGATGGTTGATTCGTCGAGAAGATATTGTGATACAATGAACAGGGTCATCCTGTTGACGATGATTACTCAAGATGTCATATCCTAACGTATATCAACTACACTGTGAACGAATTGTGCGACAATTCGTTATACGACTTTTGTGTCGACTTTTGTGTTTGGTGTAGTTAGCGCAATAACAAAGATCTGAGAACCTTGGCAGTAGAAGGGAGCAACACGTTTGTTTCGTCGGTTGTTCAAATACAGCTCAGGACGATCTTCGGAGCTGGAGCGTGCTGGTTTCGGCACAGTAGAGTGGTTGTCATCCTTGATGCCTCAGGCGTGCAAGAATAAAAGCCCGCCGACGGGAGACGAAAGCGCGTTGCAGCCGCAATTCTACCGGATGGCTCCCGAGAACGCATCTCTGGAGTCTTGGAAGTTGCGACTCGCAACACACCTTCGTGTTGGCCATGTTGTCGCTTGCTCTGTGACGTTGAACTTGATATGGACCTGCGAGGCTGCAATGCGGCTTCTTGCCTGAGCACGTCCTTGGTACAATTTCGGCTCCCCTACTTCATCTCCGTCCTGCTACATGTATGTTGTGATTGCAGATGCAGCAACACGGTGGTCGTTCTTGCTTCTCTAGTCGGACGTTGCTCCTCAACAATTACCCCTGCCTGCGAATGCCGCACAGTTGCACAACTCAAGTCTCTTGTGCCATGGTTCTTGACCACGTTTCTAGACACGCGAGATCGGAAGTTTGATGACACGATGGCTGCTGCACTCCGTCTTGTGCTTTTCTGACGTACCTCAATTATGGCTGCGTTCTGGCAATCAACCGCCGTCTTCGTCTTGGGCTTGTGAATCTGCCGGTCTGGTACACAGCTGCACTGGCTTGATCTAGGTCTTGCTAGTAATAGACTTGCTGTTTCCCCCAAACGAGCCGACTCCAAGAGAACGTTCGCTGACCATGCCACCGTGATGGTCATTGCTTGTCAGACTTACCAGAATACTCAGAATAGAAGCTTACCCCCGCTGTAGTACAGTCGTCTCCGCGAAGACTGCAGGTCACCTTGGCATCGACATCATGAGGTCGAACTTCTCACCAAGTATACTGCAGAGTCATTTCTGCTTGATGCCTGGGAGGCAGATCTTTCAGTGGCCAGACATTCCATATTCTTTGAAATCCTCAACGCTCTTGGATGCAACGAGAACCTCTGCATATCTACGCTGCCGCTACGGACATCATGGCTTCGGACCATCTGGCCTACCGGATCGTTAGCATGATGGGGCGCAACTGACAGTCAGCTCTAGCATCCTTCACGTATAAGATCCTCGCGCCTCGCAATTTTCGTTTGCTAATGTGTACTACTCTGACCTTCATGGCTGCGTTTCAGTATGGAAGCTTGTATGCCCAAGCCTGGTCTACGCTCTCGGGCCATCACATCAACTTCCTTACGACAATGAGTTCCAGCACGGCAGAGTCCCATGTGGACGCGCGTCTGAGATCTGTATGGATAACTCTCTGTACTCTAATCATTGTCCAGTAGATCTCGCAATTGTGTTGGTACGACAAAGTTCGGTTGGCAGGAACTCTCGAAACATCCTTGGACCTGCATTTTCTCCCTGACCCGGATATTGAGCGAATATTGGTGCAGTTGCTTCGCGTCATGTAGGACTACATTCAAAGACGCTGGAATCCATCTCGTAACCAGGAACATGGACTAGCTGAAGAGTCGTGATTGGATCAGAGCTTGAATTCAACATCGTCGGGACCAGTTTCAAGGCATCTCGTACGCCTCGGACGACAATGAGAGGAACGACATCATGACGTCTAGAGCAGAAGTTGTCGTCAAACGACGAACGAGAACAGAACGAGCTTCGCTGGCAACCGAGAGGGGTAAGCGTATTTACTGGGATGAAAAGAGCATAAATACTAGACCACGCACCTGCCTTCAAGTCCTTCTTCACCACCAGCAACAAGCAAGACATCAGGAGTTCTAGACACCTGATCATACTTCTCATTCATCCTCATACCACAAGCAACGAACAGCCAGCAAGCCAAAATGGTTTCTTCCAAACTCCTTTTCATTGCTTTCGCCAGCATACTCACCTCTGCTATTGCTGCACCTGCCGAGAAGAGAGGCTCCTCCAATGGATACAGTAAGTGACGCCAATACTCTCACCAACAGATTCGGCTACTGATAGTTCACAGATGGTGATCTGGCAGACAACTTCAAGTCCTTCTTCCAGAACTTTGGTGGTTGGTCTTCCGATGGCGACTCTAAAGGCGACCTGGCCAAGGACCTCTCCAAATTCGCAAGCGGCTTCGGAGGCAAGCTTTCCGACCAGGATGCTCAGTACTGGGCCGATACCTTGACCAACAAGAAGAACAGCGGCGACTTCAACGGCTGGTCGGGAGGCAACGGTGGCCAAGGTGGATATGGCTGGGGCTACGGCTACGGCCACGGAGGTCCCAACTGTGGATCTGGATATGGCAACGGAGGCAACTGGGGACCTGGATCTGGTAAAGGAGGCAATGGAAATGGCTGGAACGACAACAACAACGGCAATGGCTGGGGCAACAATGGCAACGGTGGCAAGTCTTCAAGAAGCCTCGTCGCTAGAGGATCTGAAGGAGGCTCTGGTGATTCCTCGAAAAACGGCCAAGGCTGGGGCTCCGATCAAGGTTCCAAGGGAAGCTACGGCGACTTCTCGAACAACGGTCAAGGCTGGGGCTCCGACCAGGGCTCTAAGGGTCAGGGCTCTGCTGGCAACCAAGGCTGTGGCTCTGACCAAGGTTTCAAGGGCCAGGGCTCCTGCGGCAGCCAAGGTTGGGGCTCCGATCAAGGATCTGGCAACAATGGCGGATCTTGGGGCGGTGACAACCAGGGCTCTGGAAAGGGTGGTGACTCTGGAAAGGGCGGCTCAGGCTCCTCTGGTGGCAGCTGGGGTTCTGGAGACAATGGTAACAAGGGCTCTGGTGGCTCAGACAAAGGCAACTCCGGCGGCTCCGGCGACAACTGGGGCAGCAGCGGCAGCAACAACAACCAGGGCTCCTCAGGAGGTAGCTGGGGAAATGACGACAAGGGCAAGGGACAATGGCAAGGGAGCTCAGGGTTCCGTCGGTGGCAGTTATGGAAGCTCTGGACAGGGCTCGTCCAGCGGCAGCTGGGGAGACAGCGGCAACAAGGGCGGCGACAACAAGGGCTCTGGCAGCAACACAGGATCGTCCAACAGTGGCTGGGGGAGACAGCCAGGGCTCTTCTGGCAGTAGCTGGGGCAGCAGCGGCAACAAGGGATCTGGCAGTGGCCAAGGTTCCTATGGCAATGGCTGGTCAGACAACAAGGGCAAGGACAACGGCAATGGAAACAAGGGCTCCTCGGGAGGCAACAAAGGTTCTGGTCATGAGGGTTCTGGCAGCTGGGGAAGCGGCAGCAAGGGATCCAGCGACAACAAGGGCAACAGCGGAGATCACAAGGGTTCGTTCGGAGAGAGCGGTAGCTGGGGAAGCGGCAACAAGGGCTCTGGTGGCGAGAAGGGCTCTGGTGGTAAGGGATCTTCTGGTGGCGAGAAGGGCTCTGGCGGTAGCTGGGGAGGTGACAACAAGGGCTCCGGCAGCAAGGGTGGTGACAACAAGAGCAGCGGATGGTAATCTGGTTGTCGAAACCGTCTGGCCGTGGTTGACGACTCGATGACTGAACGAAAATGTTTTGACACCAACTGGAACACACTCCTTTGAGATAACAGTATCATAGTATTGATAACACCGAGTAATGAAATGGCTTTCCTACCTCTCAATCTTCTATCCTCCTTCTCGTATGATCAAAATACTAATTGATCATGTCTCGACGTGGTCCCTGCCACGGCAAAGGAAAAAAAGAAAAGACTCTGGTCAGCTCTCTTTTGAGACCATCACCGCCATCCTCATTTTAGGATCAGCAAAAGAAACAAAACGTACAGCAGCAGGGATTCCCACGTGGTCACCCACCGTAGTACTAATCTGCCGTTCAACTGCTTATGTATGGCAGAGCGGACGGGATGCCCAGTTTTCAGCTGACTGTGGCCGTACGTGCTTATATGTGGAATCTTATAGAATATATCGCTCGTGTTCAAGGCGCAACATTTACATGCCAGATCCTTGCGACTCACAGCCCCTGTCCAGGACTGGTTGTTTGAGATGCATAATTAAGCTTATGAGACAATAATTTCTCCCGTGAATCAAGCAATGAACTTTGTTTCTCCGCTTTTTGAAAATGGAAAGCGCACTATCTCGCCGGTCGAGACCACCTCTGAATAGATATACCTCTCTAAACCACATATTATCGTTGCCAAAGACCGTCTCTTTCTCCCAATCAAGCTCCTGCGCACCAGCATCCTCAAGTGCCTCTGCAATCTTCATGTGACCAGCCGCCTTAGCCGCCTGAACTGCGCTACCATATCTGCCACCTCTTGCATTGACATCTGCGCCTTTTTGCAACAAAAGCTGCACTGCTTCCATACTACCCACATACGCAGCTGCTTGTAACGCGTTTCCAAAATACCCAATCGAGGTATTGACTGGTGCACCATGGTCCAGCAGAACTTTGGTGCGCTCCAACATACTATGGCCTGACTTGAGACAAGGTCGTAGTTCCTTGTTGGCGATATTCTCGGTGGGAATAGTGCCGTAGCAGCCTGCTTGGCCGCTTATGTCTGCTCCTGCGACGATTAGGGCTTCAACGATGGCGGAGTGGCAGCGTAGTTGAATCGCGAGTTGCAAGGGAGTGCCCGCGATCGGGTGTGTAGCATCTATATCGGCACCGTTCTGCAAAAGACAGTTGATTGAGCCCACAATCCGGTCAACTGGCAGGTTTTGGACGCCATAAAAGTGAACTCTGCCTGTGTCTGTGGGTTCTGACAACCATATATATGGGTCTTTGATCAGAGACAAGTGTAGAGCCGACAACCCCGCCGGTGTTGTGGCGTTAGGATCGGCGCCTTCTGCAAGAAGCAAATCCGTCATACCGTCATCCAGAAAGGTCTGCACCGAATATAACAATAGTTTGTCAAGACCTTCGATCCTGAATTGACCGTGCTGATTCTGCTTAGCTGCATGGTACAGGATAGCTTTGCGCTTTGCAGGTGGTTGATTTGTACTGCTTGTTCGAATACAGTCTGGGTAGTTCTTTCCTCGATCTCTTCCAAAGTGCCGAGCAGGAAGTGCAACATATCGAGCGTAGTGTTTGGAAAGTCCTTGGGTACCAGGTTTTCCAGATGCATGACGAGTCCTCGAGTATGCCAACCAGAGTGGACATGGTCTCTGTGGTTTACGGCCTTCTGTAACTCTACAGCGTATGCTTCTCGAAGTGGTTCGAGAACCGAGCTGAAAAGAGAGTGGGTTAATCTACCCAGTGTCTGCGTAGACGGCGAAGCTGCCACGAGTATACTCAATATCTCTTGAGATCCCTGGCGGGCTGCAGCAACTAGAGCGTCTCCACATCTCGCGAGATAGTCATCCCCCATGTATTCAAGCTCGAGTATGTGGCGTACCATGGAGACGCGAGAGGGATTAGCTTGACCAAACGCGACGAGTGATCGTAGTATCCTGCCCTGCTGCTCAGCAAGAGCAGGCCGACCGTGGAATAACAGCACAAGCGTTTCGGTGTCTCCAGACTGCGCAATGGCCCTGATCAATGGCTCCTCGGATTCATCATCTATCTTCAGATTCTGGTCCAGGGTGATAAACAGCTTCAAAACATCGATATACCTCGACTTCCGCACACATTTTGGCTTAGTGAAGCCATCGTACGTGACTCGGTCCGAAAGCGCTCTGATCACAGTTTGGCATGCCTGATTTAGACCTCCCTTGTCGAATCCATGATCGAGAAGTGTTTGTGCAACGAGTGTATGGCCAGCCTTCGCGGCGACGTCCAGTAACGTCTGGGATCTTATGATAAACGTGTTGGCATCCAGGCCTTTATCCAGAAGTCTTTGAAGAAGTGGAACATCGCCCTGCTCACATGCATGCCACATCTGTATCTCAGATAACAAATTCTCGAGATCTGTGTGTTGTTTTCGTGACGCGTGACCTAGATCTGACTGCAGACATTCAAGGTCCAGGTAGTGCTTCGAATCTCTCCTGAACAACAAGCGAGCTATGTTTGCATGACCTTGGGAGATGGCAGCTGAAATAGGTATCTTGGGTAAAGTCGAAACGTTCGAGCGAGTCATCTCTGTATGGCCCTGGAAGTTAGCGGTCATCGACGGAGAAGTCATTTTGTGTGATCCTCTGGTGTTATTGCTTCGGCGAGGTCCAACAGTGTTTTGCAGTTTTCTTGAATGGTCGAGAGATGACTTGGGAAGAACATCAGCACCCTTTTCTAGGAGGCTCTCGGCTATAGCATGGTTCCCGAGATAAGCTGCCAGATAAAGAGGGGTCCTGAGCTCGGCGTCCAGGTCGTTGACGTGTGCACCAGCTTCTAACAATACCTGGACAATGTCAAGCTTATCCCGCGTATCAGTGCTCGCTGCATGAAGTGCTGAGCCATTGGGTCCATGCTTGGTATTGACTTCAGCACCATGCTCAAGTAAGAGATGGACAACACCTAAGTGGCCCTTTGCCGCCGCAGCCTGCAACGCAGTACCTAACTCGCCATGAGCTTCCAGATCGGCATTATGAGAGATCAAGAGTTCAACAACTTCGAAATGGCCTCCATCGGAACTGAGTTGCAGTGCAGTGCCATTGAGGCCATGAGGACCATTAACGTTGGCTCCACTGTCAATTAGGAACTTCACTCCAGCTAGATTACCTTGGTCAGAGCAGATCTGAAGGCAAGTGCCATAGCGAGGTCCCCAGAATTTGTCGATTTTGGCTCCTTTCTCCAGAAACTTCCAGGCGAGCGAGAAGTTTAAGCCTTTAATAGCGGCGTGCAAGGGACTGGCAAAACATCTGCTGGACATGTCCAGGTTTGCACCTGCATCCAGAAGGCATTCTACAACTTCAACATGGCCATAACGTGCAGCGACCTGCAATGCAGTAAATCCGCATCCTCCAAAACCAGGTTCCCCTCCGTCCCACGACTTGCAGTCAATGGGAGTTCCTTTATCAATCAGAAGCCGTACGAGGGATAGATTTCCCGTCAAAGCAGCAGCTTCAAGTGGCCCTGCTTCGTCCGACCAGCTCTCACGCCATAGCTCAGGCAATGGTAGCCGTCCTGGAGCTGGCCTACGTTGCATCCATTGATTGCGCAGGGAAAAATTCCACTCTGCACCGTGCTCAACAAGAATTTTGACCACATTTTTGACGCTCCATACACGGCGGCCTGCAAAGCGTTTCGATAGCGGCCTCCAGATCGGATGTCTGCGTGATTTCTTAAAAGGAGTTGAACAGCTCCTTGATGCCCTCCAAAGCATGCTGCTTGAAGCACATTTTGATGAACGCCGTCAGAACCTCTGACATCAGCCCCTTGATCAAGAAGTAGCGTCATGATCGCGAGATAGCCTTTTGAGGCAGCTGTCTGGAGACAATCCCCAAGCTCTTCGTCTTGAACATTAGGGTCTAATTCTTTATCGGTAAGAAGCCATTGCACGATTTCCTCGTGACCGAAAGCGACTGCAGCGCGCAGGGGATACCCAAATCGACCTCGAGTATGCACATCCGCCCCCTGAGCAAGTACATATTGGACGAGGTTGAGACTCCCACCACAGATAGCAGCGTGTAGAGCGTTGCCGAAGTATCCGGTTTGTGCATTGATGTCCGCATAGCCAGTGATCAAAGCATTCACTTCTCGCTCATTTCGACCATAAAGTGCGACCTGTAAAACATCGTGGGCTTGCTTTGGGCTGAATACAGAGTTGATACCTTGAAGCATAGACAGCATTAGATCAACATAACCTTTGAACGCTGCCAGGTTGAGACACTCATCGAATCTTTGTTGAGACGAGAATTTGTAACCTTTTTCAAGGATCATGCTCGCTATCTCTCCATTTCCAGATGAGAGAGCGGCATAGACCGGGTCGAAAGACTCTCCAGGACCAGACATTGTAGCGCCTTTCTCCATCAAAAAGCGACAATCTGATGATGTCCCGCGAACGCTGATGCTTGAAGTGCGTGCCCGAACTGTCCTCCGATATGGTTGACATCGAGACCCAGGCGAACCAAATACTTGACTGCGTCAAGATGGCCCCAACGAGCTGCGACATATAACGCGGATGCGCCACTAAGGTTACATTGGTGCCAATCGGATATGCAAGTCTCGAGTCGACTTTCGTCCAGCAACCGAAAGAGGCCGAAACAAGACAGCACGAACAGTGGAGAGGTCGGCTTACTCTGGACAGCATGCAACTTCTTTGCCAAATCACTGTCGATGTTTACATCTGTCATTATAGTCTCCAGGACCCCTAGCCAGCCATCGAAATGGTATCCATGGAACAGGAACTCGGACAGAAGATCACCTAGGTGCGATGATGCGCTCGCGATCGCGCAGTGGTGGGCCCAATGTACGACAGCATAGTCTGCGAGCTTATCAAGTGTTGTACCGTGACGGTCCATGTTCACGGCAAGACATCGCTCGGCAATGACAGAATTGACCTCGTTCTTCGAGAATTGAAGAAGGCCGTCGAGATATTCTCGAACCGATGGGTGCGTCAGTCGTAAGGTATTCATGCCTTTGTCGACCTCTACGAGACCGCAACAACATCCTATCATGTCATCTGTCGATATTGCTGAAGCGCCAGGGTCTGACAAGGCCGCTTGGAACTCCTCGATGGACAACATCTTTTCGGCTCCGAGAAGCCACTGCAAAGTTGTCACGGCAATCGAGCGACTTCCAACGTGTAGTCGTAAAATGCGACCGAAAACGACATCGTAAGACTGAGATAATGTCGTGGGAAGCTTGGTAAGGGTTTGGATCACATCTTGTTCTATAATAACTTGTTCGGGGTCGCATAAAGCTTCGACTTGGAGACTGACCCAACGAAACATCCCTTGGGCTTTTGAATCAATTCATTGACAACATGTTCTCGAAGATCTTGGGAAACATTCCCGCAAAGAAGTCTCCTGTTTTTGATCGCTCGATCAACTTCAGTGACCACGAATCCTTGGATATCGTGACGATTACGTTCTTCCGTAATTTTGATCTGATCGCAGTGAGCTAGATGGGCGCGGAGATCTTTTCATCGCGACTAGTGACAAAGATTTTGACCACGTTCTGTGAGGTGGTGATAATATTGTTGAAGAATGATAAAAGATGATGACGTTGTGTCGGGTCACACTCATCGGGCGCATCAATCACGATGGTTGCCGGAGTAGTGTTGACGATTTGCAAGAGCAGATTCGTACACTCTGATAGCATTAGGGTCGAGGGTGGCAATCCATCCGACTCGGCCTCGAGCCTGTTTTGCTCGAAGCTATCAACAGTGGGCTGAAGGATCCCGCTTTGACTTTGAGAAAGCTGCTTGATGATGGACCTCATTATCTCGCAAGGATCTGCTCTTTCCGGCTCAGCCAAAGCTCTAGAGCAGTAAAAGTATGCAATTGGCGCAGCGTTCTTGAGATTGCTCATCCCCCTTTTGAGGCTCTCTAACACGATGGACACTAGCTTTGTCTTCCCTGATCCAGATGGACCATATAACCATAAGATTTCTGAAGCGCTTGATGCCATCCAGCTGATAAACTTCTGATCTTGAAGAAGCCATTGACCTGATCCGCAAGAAATTTGAGATGAAACGATCCGATGATGTTCACGATGAGGGACCTTGGACAACCACAAGAGCAACTCGATTCTCTCAGAACGTTCGAGAGAGTTATAGAGCAATGTACTTTTCGATGGACGATACCATCTTTGCGCAAACGTCTCGGACCACGATCTTTTTACCATTCAATCCTTGAATCTTCCAGCGGTCTTGCAGACAGCGGTTTTGTTGACCTTGGACAACCACGAGGATATCCTGCAATATCTGACGCTTGTCATCGCGACCCAGGTCGAAGAGAGTGCCATCTTTATCATCTAATTTTGCCCGGCTTTGTCCCAGAGACTTGCCATGGCTTTGGAATATGCCGGTTGTTGTCTTGCTGAGAGGAACGAAGGCCGCTTACTCGGAGGATGGTGGAAATATCAGTCATGTTGATTATCGTACACCTGATGCATTACTCAGCCTCACTCGATGACTCGGCCTTGCGGCCTCGTCTGCTTTTGCATTGGCATTTGGTGCCCGGCGGCTTCAGTCGACACCTATTGGTCTAATGTTGCACGCTAACGTACATATCGTGAGATGTACGGTGGCTCAGCAGATGAGCGCGCCATCAGCCAAATGCACCTCAATGAAGGTGACGAGATGACGGCGAATGTGAGAAATTTCGAGTGCATTGTCGTGTTCGTAGTGAAAGAGACAGCCTCATGTGAATCGAGCGAGACTTGCTTCAAACCACAGTCTGTTTCGACCGAGGTGAAGCTGTAAAGAGCGAAGAGACAGGGTGTAAGAGGGGACATGTATTTTAGGAAGTGACGCAGGCCTGGTGTGGGGGAGCCTTGGCAAGAGCTAGGTAACAACAGAACAGCTTGGAGGATTGAACAAGGAGTCAACATCGTCCATTCAAGGAGAACAAACACGACAAGTCAGTCGCAATGGCGTACTACAATCCTCAGCAACAACAGCCGTATGGCAATGCGCAAAACCTACAGTTCTACTCTTCCTCATACTCGAACCAACCCGTGTCTGGCACGTCGACACCCTTCCAGGCATTCAACGGCGGCGCGCAAACATCAGCATACCCTTCGAGTTATGGCGCAGGCTTTGGTGGTCAGCCTACTGTGTCTGGACGTATGGGCGAACAAGGAGGCTTGACAATGGGATGGCTAGCGGCCTTTGGTACTGAGGGATACCCCGGAGAGCCGCCATTGTTGGAAGAGTTGGGTGTCAACTTTGGACACATCAAGACAAAGGTGTGTGGAGTGATACACGCAATTGGCGACACCGCGTACTGATGTAATGCGACANNGACTCTTACCGTCTTGAACCCTCTAGCCAGAATAGATCAGCACATCATGGACGACTCTGATCTGGCAGGACCCATCCTCTTCTTTCTGCTCTTCGGCACTTTCTTGCTNCTTGGTGGGTAGTCTCAGAACGTGGATAATGTTTGTTTTGCTAATTTTGTACAGTCTGGCAAGCTTCATTTCGGGTACATCTACGGTCTCGCCGCTCTGGGCAGCATCTCGCTCCATTGGATCCTGTCGCTCATGTCACCTCCCCTTTCGCCCGCCGAATCTGCAGCGCAGCAGCAAGACTCGTCGTCTGCACACGGTGGACACTTCTCAGCGACTCTGACCATCTGGCGCTCGGCATCCGTCCTAGGCTACTGCCTTCTCCCTCTCGTCTTGACCTCCTTCGTCGGCATTGCGCTTCCTCTAGATGGACTATTGGGCTACATTCTGACGAGCTTGGCGATTTCATGGTGCACATACAGCAGCAGTGCCATGTTCTGCGCTGTGGGAAGAATGACTGGCATGCGAGGATTGGTTGCATACCCTTTGGCTCTTTTCTACGTCGGCTTTGGCATCATGGCCATTTTCTCAAGCAGAGGCACTGGCACTATCACCAGCAACCTCAAGGCTGGTGCTTAGACTTGAACGTCTGCAATACGAGACAGAAGAGCAGGTAGCTTGCACGAGTGGCTAGAAAACATTATTCATGAATATCAAATGTCAGATCAGATTAGATAAGATAATCGCGAAAAGCCCGAGTCAGGATCTGGGTCAGCGACTTTTTAGTCGCCGCCGAAGACTCCCGAGCTTGATCTTTATCTATCGACCATCTATCGACTTTTTTCGCCGCTGCCTTGGAACTTGTCGCGCCTTCCTCGCAATACTCTTACTATTCAACTTCGTCCTCATACACGCATAATCACACACAATGGGTTGGTTTTGGGCAGACTCCATACCAGCTGCGCCCGTCGCACCTCATCCTATGCCCGCCAACGCCAACGCCGCCCCTCCAGTAAGCACATCCAGCTTTCACATCAGAAACACCAACTGACAGCGTCTACAGCCAGGATGTCCCATGCACAAGCCCGCCGCCGATGCTCCCTCCGCACCACCACCCTCCGTCGTCACAAAGCCCGCAGACTCCGCATCAGCATGTCCCTACGTCCCACCCACCGAAGCCCAGAAACAGGAACCCTCTGCCGGCTCGCCCTCGTACATCTCCAAACTCAACCCCNNCCTCAACTACATGCCCAAGTCCATCTCCAATCAACGCGATCACGATGAGCAAAGTGTCGACCTCCCACTCGACCGCGAAGCCTCGACAATCCCTCGAGGCGACGGCCAAGGAATGTGGGAATACCCTTCGCCACAACAAATGTACAATGCCATGTTGAGGAAAGGATATACCGATACGCCAGCCGAACACGTCGAGTCCATGGTTGCAGTACACAACTTCCTAAACGAAGGAGCTTGGCAAGAGATCGTAGAGTGGGAGCGACGCTTCTCCGCCGGTCTAAAAAGAGGCTGGGATGTTTGCAAGAAGGGAGAAGAGAATGCTGGCACTTTGGCCGAGATGCTAGCGAGGAAGGACGCTTTGGCTGCCAATACCGACACCAAAGACCCTTCTCTTGTGCGGTTTATGGGCAGACCTTCAGAACTCACGCCTAAAGCAAGGATGCTGCAGGTCATGGGATGGCTGTATCCATCCAAGTATGAGAGCGAGCCGCCATTCGATCGCCACGATTGGTTTGTGAGGAGAGTACACCCGGATGGCACGGAGAGGGAAAAGAGATATGTCATTGATTATTATTCTGGACCTCCTGAGGAGACTGGCGAACCGGTTTTCTATCTGGATGTCAGACCCGCTGTTGATGGTCCTCTGGATGCGGCTGAGAGAATGATCAGATGGGGTGGTGATGTTTGGTGGAGAGCAAGTGGAGGCAGTGTTAGAGAAGAGTTGGCAAAGCTGAAGAAGTGAGTGTGCAGGAAATGATACTGGTGATTGACTTTCGGAGCAGGAGGGTGTTGTTGGTTTTATGAGGGCTGTTGAAGCGCTGTATTTTGCCTTGTATTCTTTGTATGCTTCTAGCTGGAGCGGACAGGTTGCGAACATAATGACCATCTCCCCTTTGACATTCAGGCCAGATCTCCATATCTGTTGCATCATACGTGGACTGGTCTCTGAGTTTTCTGACAAGGCATGGCGGAATCTGATTGGACTCATCTCGCACAAAGCATAGTGGACAACTTCTTGCGAGCTTGTTACCGAGCCATCACTACGGAAGGAGTGAGCTGTGAAGCCATCGATCAAGTCCAGCGTCGCTTCTCGAACCCGACTGTCAGGAGGAAACGCTGGAACCTCAACAATCCATCAATCAACATATCAACTCATCATCAACAACTCATCTACAACGAGTCTCGAAAGGATTGGTATGATAGGAAAATCAAAACGTTTCGAACACATGCTTTTGGATACTCGCAAGAGGGTAAGTGGGTTATCGCCATCTTACATTAATCCATCTGTCAATAATGTTCTGCCCTTTTGACCTTCACTTTACCACTCTTTGGATGTCTGAAAATACTGTCTGTGCCGCCTGCAAACTGGTTGTCATGGGCTTCTTGCATGTCTTGGCGACAGGGGTGCAGCTTGGTGATCACACTTGCACCGAAAATCTATCACAACATGCAGCCGCTATCTCAACCATTTTCTGTTACTCGTCGTAACCATTTGATCATCGAATCATACAGAGTACCGAGGAACTCAATGGCGGTATGCGCGCTGCTGACAGGAGATCTGCTTTTCTGGCTACGTAAGTCTGCTTTGTCTCCATTTCCTGACCCTGAGGTTTGATCTGTTCATTGTCATCTGGACATCTTTCCTTGCACAAGCGACACAACCATCCTTTTATTATCCAAAAAACCTTGTCATACCAGAGTTTCAATTTTTGCAATCATGTCCATGCCATCGCCGGCTTCTGAACCTGGAGACCTCGGTCAGTTATTGTGTAACTGTATCTGGCAGCCCATTACTCATGATAGCAGGCTCTGTGACCGCCTCATTCAGCAAGAGAAGCTCGGTGCTTCAAGAGTATGTGCTTAAACCGTCGAAGCCATCGGCCCCCGTCAACCTAGAGGTGGAATATGGAGAACGTGGTTGGGTGCATGGACGTCTTCCGCCAGGATGTTTTGAGTTGATAGGTGACAGCGGCTACAACGTGAGTCAACTCTAAATGCTCAAGAGATTTTCAATACCTAACCGCTGACAAGGGGCTCGCATGGGGCGCAGTGGTTCTCGCGAAGACAAACAAATGTCCAAACTTCAGGATGTTTGTAGTATCCCGTTGCAAGAAGGTGTCTGGGTCGGCGGAGTCCAACTTGATCCTCCATGATGGTGATGCCCTATCGTTCAAGCCTGGACATGGCCCAAAGATCAGGGTCCAGATAAGGCGTAATCCTCAGCTGCCGAGCGATTTCAGCACGAGAGACCTTGAGTACCCTGACCTGCGAGGGAAAGAAGCAACCAGCGTCCTGCTAGAAGACTGGCGTCTCGCTAGAGATCTCGACTCTCAAAATCGAAAGCGACATCTGGAGCCAGATGTGCAGGGCCAGGACATCGACAACGCCGAGGAAGACGACAATCCTGGTGAACAACCAGACCTGACCATCGATGACAGAATGCGCGAGTGGACAAGTGCGATTTCCGAGTTGGGTGCACCAATCAAGCAGACCAAGCAAGAAATGAGGTCTAGTCGTGAGGTTGCTCTGCAACCAACACGCGAACTAAACGATGCATACCGCTCAAAGGTGTCCAGCATAGAAGACGGCTGGATAAACGACAAGTACGATGTCAATGAATATTTGACGAGACTCGCGACAGCTCAAGAGGAGCATGAAGCGGCGACAGAAGTTGAGAAAGACAGATTGTTGGATTTACACTCCAATGACTTGCCTACACGCAGACTCAGAAACCTTGAATCCAGGTTGGCGAATCTGAAGGCAGACGGAGCGAGTGATTGGTTCGACTATTTCCAAACCGAAGCAGAACGCTGTCGTGCGCGTATGCTTCCTTGATGCGAACTCTCTTCCAGAGAGCACAGCACATGGTCTCGTTTCTCTTGTCGTGTCTTTGAAATTCCTTGTACTCGCTGAAATGATTACGTCTGTCCTAACGTTGATTCTTGATCAGCATGTTCGTTGTATCTTGTTGTCGAATGAGCCAGCTTTGACTCGAAGATTTCGCACTTTCTTTCCAAAACCCCTCATGGATAAACGCATCATTCAAACGAGCAAAAGCCAGACAGTCGTTGTCGAATCACGTATCGGATGCCTGTTAATAATCACTGATCAAAGTCGAGCTCGGTGTTCTGTTTTGGCGGTGTTGCGAGGTCGGGTCTATCGATGCGAACATCACAAATCCCTCATCGATACTCGTTGCTAGCTCCCGGAAGCTGCGTCCCGTTGGCTGCTCTCGTTCCAAACTCCATCTCTGGTTCAGCCACAGATGTTGCAGTCAGCATATCACTCTTACCTTCCATCTCAAACTCTCTGATATACGCTCCCACCGTCATGCCCATAGTCTTCTTGAATACCCTGCACAAATAACTCCTCGTCACCTCCGTCTCTGCTGCTATCCTCTGCAACCCACTCTTCCCACCCAATCTCCCTATAACTGCCATCGCTCTCATAACCACTTCCTCAGCCTCCCCGAAGAACAATTCGTCATCAGGGCGACAGCGTTTGCAAGCGCGATAACCAGCACTTTGGGCTGCCTGGGCAGAAGTGAAGTAAATGACGTTTGCGCGACGAGCGAGGCGTGCTGTACATGTCGGCCGACAGTAGATCTTTGTGGCGAGGACGCCGTAGTAGAAGGGTAGTGTTGGGCAAGAGGTGCGTGTGGCTAGAGCGTGCCATTTTCGTGAGGGGGTGGTTATGGGAAGGATGGGCAGAGCGACATTGTATGGGTGATTTGTGGAGGAGGGGATGGTGGTTGACATAGTCTTTGTAGATATGAGGTGGGATGGTGGAGTTGACTCTCCTTCGAGCAAAGATCAAGTTGTTGATAAGGAATCAATCACTGATGCGATGCTGGGCTTCAAACGTGTCTCATGAGGTCCTTTCACATGTCGATGTTATGTGCAAGAGTCTGTTACAAATTTGTGTCAAAGTCATCAAGCGCGACTGGCACACAATGTGAGAATGCAAGAGGAAGGCGCCTCCGACAGATAAGAAGAGGTTGGTAAGCACGTCTGCTGGACCGAGGTTGATCCGCGCCTTCCCCTTGACATCATTCGTGTGCGACCACGATGACAGACTTGTACCACGCAACAACTCATCATACGAAGCAGTTGCGCCTGAGAAATTCTCTAGACACAATGAATGAACTTGAATGTATGGATCGAGATTCGCCCAAAGCTTTCCTTATCGGTAGCTGTGGCGGATGAGCTGCGCTCACGCAGAGCTTCTTCCAAACATTCTGACTACTACATCATACGTCTTTCGACATTACATTTTCCTGCGGTCCAGCTTTTATCATGACCTGACCTGAAGAGCGATGATACCTTGGGCGAAGCGGATCGCTTTCTGGTAGAAGGATTATGTACATATGGATGCTGGTCGCTGATTGGCCAGTTGCAGTACACTCGCCGCTTGATTGGTCACTTCGAGTACAACGATGATCAATCATAAAGAAGCGACAGAATCGATATAATATAAAAGGTGAGGGCAGGAGAGTTCATGGTAAACACCCTAGAAGTCAGGCTTTAATCATCGAAAGCTCAAATCATATCGTAACCTTTTTTCTTTTATCCATTGACGTCCCAAGGGTATCTCGAAAAGACAAAAGCAATGTCTACTAACCCAGATATTCCTCCTGATCCCCCATCACTTCTTCTCGACACCGAGAAAGCCTCTCCAAGCCAATCTCCCGACCTCGCAACCTACCCCGAAGGAGGCACTCAAGCCTGGCTAGTCGTTCTCGGCGCCTGGTGTGGTCTGACTGCTTCAATCGGTATCTACAATACGACCGGTGTCTTCAGCGTCATACTCTCATCTTCTGTCCTTCCCACGACATCAGCATCATCTCTCGGCTGGATCTTCTCCATCTATGCTTTTGTAGTGTGGAGTGTTGGTGTCTGGGTTGGACCTTGCTTCGATGTCTTTGGGCCTAGGCTGTTGATGCTTGCGGGAACCTGTTGTACTGTGCTAGGAATGATGTTTTTGAGTTTTTGTACTGGTAAGTGATGTCCTGAGAACATTTTGTCTTGCTTGATGAGTGTACTGACAAGTAGACCAGAGTACTATCAGATCTTCCTGGCCTTCTCGCTTCTTACGGGTCTGGGATCAAGTTTATTGCTCACACCTTCCATGGCTTGCGTAGCTCATTGGTTCAACACGCGTCGCGGACTCGCCAGCGGTATCGCATGGACAGGCAGTGGCTTCGGTGGTATCCTCTTCCCACTAGTCATTCAAGCCCTCCTCCCAAGACTAGGATGGAGCTGGTGCATCAGGATCGTGGCTTTTGTACTCCTCGCCCTCTGTATCATCAGTATCTGCTTTTGTCGCAGCAGAATCCCTGCAACCACACCGAAAGATGGATCATCGCCTTGGCGAGCTACACTTCCCGATTACCATATCTTCTTCGATGGAACAGGAGCAATGGCTGTAACGACCGCGGGAACATTGTTTACGGATCTGGCGTACTACATCCCCATTACCTACCTTCCCGCCTACTACCTCTCTCGCCAACACATCTCTGCCGATGCTGGTGTCACGGGCTCCGCAGCGTTTGGATACCAGCTCCTGGCTATCCTCAATGCAGCATCATGTTTCGGCCGTTTGACTTCTGGCACTCTTGGCGATCGATTCGGTCATTACAACACCATGATTGTATCGCTATTCTTCTGCGCAGTGTCCGTACTCGCATTCTGGATTCCTGATATCGTCATCCAAGACTTGTCATCACCAGCTCTACTCATTGCATTTGTGATCCTGTTTGGCTTTGTAAGTGGCTCTAATGTCTCGCTGACGCCCATCTGTCTGGGACAGTTGTGTGAAATCGGTGACTATGGACGTTATTATGCTAGTTGCTATACGGTTGTGGCATTTGGCGTGTTGATTAGTCTTCCCGCTGCTGGCGGTATCTTGGATGCGGTGGATGTGGAAGGCAAAAGAAGATATTGGGGTGTTGCTGTGTTTACTGGTCTGAGTTATGTTGCCGCTTTGATATGCTTTGTTTGGGTCAGGATCAGAGTCAAGGGATGGGGATGGAAGACGAAATGGTAGGGTTGATGACATTGGATATTTCAGCATCAAGATAACTTTCTACAATCATACTGGCTCCAGAGACTTCGTTAAATCATTGCCTAGACCCCTGTGTTTGCGATCGCTCTCACATGAATCGCAAACGGAAGGATTACAAGAGAAGCCGACTTCCATCGCCCCTTCCTCCTTCGATGGACAGTTTCAAGATCAACTGCGGCAAAACGGACGCTGTATCATTCTGCAAATGTGGTCTGCGGATCTAGAGAACCCTGGTGTGCTGCCCTGGGTGATCGTCTTGACATCGGCTCGATTCTCTGATATCTTGGGAACTTCGACCTTTACTTCAACGCTTGGACGTGTGCAAACTTTGATTGCGTAACGCAAGATCGCGCTTTGCACATTTGAAAGATGGGTGTCCAATCTCACTATGAGTCACGGAGATTCGTTTACGTAAATCGACAGCCTGGTCTTGGATATACTTGTCCTCAGGAACTGGCCAAAGATTTCGATACCGCCGACGCTCATCACCCGTTGCCAACATCCATTCAGGAGACAAATCATAGTCGCAGATTCCCAGGTCGGTCCAACTGTACAGTCCAATTTCGATACCAGTCTTACCGTGGTCCCAGGCAACCATGAAGTGTCTGCTCAAACAATAGTCGCAATACCTTATCGAATATTTGTGCATGCGGCTAAATATTTTCGGCCGCCACGGAAGGAAAAACCTGCTAGACAAGAATGCCTTCGAAGGGACTATAACAGTGTAGCCGTTTTGCAGACAATCCGGATCTATCTCATGCTGGCAAGCTAGGGGAGGATAGCCAAGACCAGTGGCTCCGCAAGTATTCCACACATCGCGACTATACCACATGCGCTGAACAGTATGAAGAATGAGCTTGTCGTTGGCAATCTCGGCCTTCACGGCAAGTTTTGTAAGGGATTGCGCCAGTGTTCTTGTATAACCGTTAGGATCCTTGAGACTGGGATTATACGTCGGAGCCTGCCAATCTGTCTCAACGGCCAGGCTTTCTAAGTCATCGCCATATGGCGCACCCCAGCGATATCTAATCATCACTTTGTACACGTCCTCGAATTGCACGTGATAGTCCCAGGCCTTCAAGTGCAGCCAAACAAGACGAGATGGGTCGGTTGAACACGGATTCCAATCAGACCAGTCTTTGGTAATCTTCGGAGTTGTTCTTCGCGAGTGTAGACGTTTGCAGAAAACGCAGTAGATCCAGTCCGGTGAGAATTCAGCTATCCATTGGGGACAGCAACTTGGCAAGTGACGAATGGCTGGTTTCCAGACTCTCTGGAGAGCTTGAATGTGGTACAAATCTTTTGTCGTAAGAGCAAGGGCAATCACTGATTCAGTTGGAAGAAAGTCAGTAATTTGGAGGACCAAATCGAGAGAAATCTTTGAGAAGGGGGCTATCTTGTCTTCCGTCGGCGGTACAAAAGTGTTGATTTCCATGGCTGTACGACTTGCGCAGGAAAAAGTGGCAGATTTGAGAGATGTAGGACCAAAGAGAAGATGTTCGAATGTGGAGAAGGTCTGTGCAAAGTCCAAAGCAACAATCGAGAAACTTGCTCAACTTCCCATGGCTGTCGAACGGATCTTTGCGTACATTTGATCCAGTTTACGCAACCTTTAGCTGTACTGAAAAGCATATGCATCTTACAAGGGAGAATGCTGCTTTGGTAACGTGTCGCACGAGCCTCGATATCCAGAGGATCTGCATACACAACTGTGGTGATAGCCATCCAGTAGACCAGGGATTGGATGTATGACACGAAACGAGTGAAAGACGGTCGGCGGTATCATTTCATGCTCTTTGCATGGGGTCATGAATGTTTGAGTTCCGGTAGCTGATGAGAGCGATGTCTGTCAATAGAATTGCGACGTTATCAACTGCCGGCGAGAAAGTGTGACCTGATTGTAGTCATGGTGTTCCCTTACGTGCTGGCGGCGGCATTAAATTGCAAATGAGTCTCGTGTTTTCGGTCTTCTCTCAATCGGGTGTCGGGTCATTCTCATAGACGGGTCTCGCATGGTTGAGAACCATTCGGCAAATTCGACTTGACTGCGAGGCGCATTCAGAGCGGTGTAGTTGATTTCAGTCACTTGGTCATAGATGAAGCCAAGCAACGCGCAGTTTCTGTTAAATGATTGAGGTTCAAAAGTGTCAATGTTATGGTGATGGTTGCTGCAGCCACCCGAGGTGTTTATGTAAGCATCCTTCTTATCGCTCCTTCCTTTCCTGAGCTGCAGGATTCCGGTTAGCTGCGCCCCAAAATAGATTCTGACTTATTAGGTAGTTGCTCGCGTGCCCCTTCCTCTCTCCATCTCCCTACTTTCTTCCTGCAACTTCAGTTTGCTTCGTCTTCTATCATCACATTTCAAGAATGCGATCATGGCGCCTGGCTCGAATCAACCTGCGTCGTGGATCGAGAACACCGATACGACATTATCATGCGAAACCAGGACCTAACTTATCGCAAACAAGACGCGCCAATGGTGCGAAATATACTGCTGCTACTGCTAGTGCTGCGCTTGCTGGATCAGGGATCTGGTGGCTCACAACACCACCTCGCGATGACGTGCCAGACATACAAATTCAGCAGATCAACAGGTCCGGCCTCTCGAAAGACGACATCACTCGGATACTCTCGCGAGAAGCCTATTCTTTCCCGGTCAAAGGTGTTCCTGGAGTTGCTAGATACGATGGTGCTCAACTGGCCTCCAATAGTCCTTGTGAGGACCGCTTTGTCCATGGCAAAATGCCTTCACCTCGTGACGACGACAAGCCATGGATGGCTTGGGCTATCTTCGACGGCCATGCAGGCTCACAAACAGCAGAGCTGCTTTCGCAGCAACTTGTCCCTATGGTTCAGCAATATCTACGACCAGTCAACCTTCCCTCGAAAGACCAACCTGAATCAAAACAATCAGCCCAGCACGCAATCACAAAAGCATTCGTGGATCTTGACACCTCAATCATCGACACAGCTAAGGAAATCTCCCAAGGCCCTTTACCCTTACAAGAAAAGATGCGGAAATTGATGCCTGCATTTGCTGGTTCGTGCGCCCTGCTCGCCTTATACGACCCAGTCACCAAGAATCTGCATGTAGCATGTACCGGCGACTCTCGCGCGGTTCTCGGACGAAAGACCTCAGATGGAACATGGGAAGCAATACCTCTATCAATCGATCAAACCGGTAGCAACACCGACGAAATAGCAAGACTTTATTCCGAGCACCCCAACGAAGAAGACATAGTAAAAAATGGTCGAGTGCTGGGACTAATGGTATCGCGAGCCTTCGGCGATGGTAGGTGGAAATGGGGTCAAGATTTACAGAAAGAGTTTGTGGAAAAGTTTCATGCACCGGCACTGAGACCTTCATTCAAGGTTCAGACACCACCATATGTGACTGCGGGACCAGTGGTCACAAGCACTGCTATCGACGCCAACACTCCATCGTTTCTGATTCTGGCATCAGATGGTATGTGGGATAATCTGACCAACCAACAAGCCGTCGATCTAGTAGCGAGATGGCTAGAAAACCCCAGCGCAACTCCTGCAGATCCTAGACCAAAGCCATTATCTGATGCCCTCGACTTTGGTCATCTCTCTCGAGGTGTCGTAAACCCGAGATTCGAAGAAGAAAGAACAACAACTCAAGACTCCAATGCCGCTGTCCACTTAGTGCGGAACTCTCTAGGTGGAAATCGCGATGAGTTACTAGCAGGCCGGCTTGCAGCTAGTGCGCCATTCTCAAGAGATATCAGGGACGATATCACTGTGCAAGTGGCTTTCTTCAATTGTTCCAGGTAGTTTGAGATACTCTCAGACTCAAAGCTTGATTAGCGCTTCATCTACATCGTATCTGTATGAGGAGCAATGCTTGACGGTTACAGGATAGGATGTTTCAACGATTGCACATAACAAACAATCATGCTGTTAGAGAACGATCTTTAATCCCTCCTTCCGAGCGGCAAGTAGCACAACTTCATGAACATGACGAAACAAAACTTCTGGCCCCAAAAGAGAAAATTGAAAACTTAAAAGGCGTGTATGTCATTAATAATTTGTGTGTGTTTGTACTTTGGAAATCGAGCGAGGAAGTCATGCTTCTCACGTATGCTGCCTCGCTTGTTGAGTGCTCTCGATCCTCTTTGACCGCCACCCAACCCTCTTCCAAAAGGTGTGAGAATGCTAAATGCCACTTCCTCGCACATCCAGCTCCATCTCCCTTAACCGAATGCATAGAAAGCCCATCGCCCGTCCTCCTGGAACATCTAGTCCAGAACCACGACATCATGGCCATTGGCTCCAGCACCTTGCGCTCTAACCTTCTCATCAAAGCCCAGCAAAACTTTCTGCACAGCATGCACCTCAGCAACAACACCAGTCCTGAACCCTTTGACCCCTTCCAAATCCTTGCCTTGCCAGACTGATTGCAACAAATCCAACGCTTTCTCATACTCAGATGTAGACTCCTTAAGTATAGTAAAACTCCAAAGATTCTTTGCTTCTTTTCTGGTGGCTTCGATGTTAAGAGTTAACGCTGGGAAAGGAGCAGAGTAAACAACACGCAAATGTTGCAAAGTTCTAATAGCAAGACGCGAGGATTTTGCAGCTGGGTCTTTGGCTTCGATGACAGCGCAGGCGGAAAGAAGTGGTGTTGTTGTATATAGTGTATCCAGCAATTTCTCCATCCTGGATTTTTCTTCGAGCATAGATGAAGCACCAGGAGGTGCGAGAAGAAGATGTTGGAGGAGTGGTTGCACACGTCGATGAGGATTTATTGCATGCTCGCTTGCGAAGCGTAATTGCATTGGCTGCGTTGCATCATCAGAGAACAGAATACCTGCTTTGAGCACTTGAGTAGCAGCAGAATAGCGGAACACCAATCCAGTAACTGCCACTTTTTCAGCTGCAAACTTGCGTTTTGTGATAGCGGCAAGACAACTTGTCAATCGCTCCACACGTCGGAGTTTGCTTTTGATAGCGGCCAGGAGATCGATGCCGAAATGTGTGCGCAACTGTAAAGCCAGGATGCCATTGGCGGCAAATACGATATCCTGGCTGGAAGTTCCTTTGCCTGCTAGTGGTGCAAGGATCTCAGCTGTTTGAGGGGTCAAGTTCGTTTTAAGAACGTGAACAACTTTGACTGCATCTTNTGCTGTTTCATCGACACCATGATGCGTTAATATCATCGTACTGCCACACCGAGGTTTCCAGAGTTTGCGCTCGGCTGGAGAAGCGGGTTGCATGCAGTCCTCAAACTTGATGCCGATGACCGCTGTAGTTGTGGATGAAGATAGTGATGAGGCTGTAATATTGGGTTGTGCGGCGGCTGGAGATACATGTCTGATCTCGTGGCTGATTTTCGCTTGTCGGAGTTGAGAAGATATGTTGCTGAGAGAGACTTGAGCTACAGCGCGGGATTCAATAAGCATGAGTGTATGGCGGTCGAAAGATTTTGTGGACGAGGGGATGGAGAGAGTTTCTGCTGTGTTGATTGTGCGGGAGTTGGGCGAGGCTGACGCCAGACGGACGATCCACCATTTTGCGCCTTGTAAACTGATAGTCAGACAGATTGCCCAGTCTTCGCCCCAACCTTGACGAGTGAATGTTGTGCGGCGGGTTATTTGCTCGCCAAAGATCTTGTTGCCATCTCCTTGCTGGGTTGTTGGCATCAGAAGCCAGCCGCCCTGCAGAGCTTTTCGTGTTATCTGATCCTGGACAAGCTTGCAATTTAGGTAGGACAAGATCTGCGCAGCATCGATTGTTGGGTCCGAATTTAATCGTCCCTCGACGTCTATTGAGGCAGCAGACACGGGTGAGATGGATATGTTGCCATTGACAGGTATGATGCGTAAAGTAGTCTCTAGGCCATTTTTGCCGAGTCTCATGGTCAAAGCGCAGGCATTCGGATCTGTTGATGAGACTTTGACATTGATGTCCAGAGCAGAGTCCGGTGGTGATATGGCCAGAAGCTGGTTTCTGATGGTTTCCAGGCGAGCCGTCATATGTGCAGCAGTGACCTGATTGAGGATGTGTTCCATCGAAGGATTTGCTGGATCGATTTGGAAACTTTTATCAGAAACCTCCTTTCCAGCTCTGAACCAGCGGACATTCAGCCGCGCAGGTGCATGTGGTCGGCCGGAATCTTGTGCGTTGTGCCCCTTTATGATTCCGATCTCAATCCAACTCTTTCCTCCAGGCTGACCGGTCCAGTATTGAATGATGAGCGATCGATGAACGGGTTCGATATGTAGGCATTCCGTCCACCTTGTGCGCGCCAAATCTGAGGCCTGTATCCGTAGCAGTGTGATCTTGTGTGTGAGGACGAATCCATGCAGGAAGTCGTAAGCAGCGTTGAGACCCTCAGCTTGGAGTAATTGGTTAACTTTTCCTTCCAGGTGTGCGCGAGCAGGACCATCCGCTAGAGGCGGAGCATCGGAGAACAGGAACCGGATATCGATAAAGTAGAAAGGGGATGTCGTATCTTCGTCAGTGACAGCCAAATCAAGCTCAAACTCATTGGGCACGACAAAAGTAGCACGTCCATTGGCTATGGAATAGTTGCAAAGATGTGAAGGCAGTTGCTCGTGCAGGTTGAGTCGCACGGAAAGAACAAAGTTCATGTCTCGGAGCGTCTTGAGTAGTTTCTGAGCAGACAAAGGTTTTGGTGCGATATAACCTAGATCAGGTAGCCATGGCGCTTTGGATGTAGACAAGAGTTCCAGGGCTCCTTGGATGTTTGGGTTTGGCATTTTGGCACCAATCATGTTGTGTTTCATCTGCATAATGGCATCGCCGACTTGAGTTGAAGCTTCATCCTGTTGTGTCAACCACATGCGCAACTCGATCAGCTTGTTCATGTCGCCCATGTTGCGCGCCCAGTCTGACAAAACCAAAGCCTTGATGAATCGAGCTTGTTGAGTATTTGCGAAATTCATAAGTCGCAATTTCTTGTCCACGCTCGCTTTTGACACATCAGGGGCAGCAGTGGATGCGCCATTCGTTTGTGGTGTGCCAATGTTGAGATCTGCCATTTGCTCGATGACCTCGCCCAGGTCAAAGTAACATTGCTGGGCCATGCGCTCGAGCAAGGTGCCCATAGGGACATATGTATGCGCCCAATGCTCCAACTCCGGCGGCGATGCCATCTCTTTCTCCTGGGTTGTGCCATTGCTGTAGCCATTTGCCAGTGTGGTGGGTGGTGCGGGAGCGGTCAAGGCCATGGCTGGTAGGTCGGGCTTCAAGCCGTTAGTCTGCGGTGCGGCATGGCTGTCCATGACGATGCGACCTGGCATGCTCCTCTATGGTTGCTGGTCGGACATGCGGACGAGTGATTGAGACGAGACAAGAGTCCGTGATGTCACTGCTGGTCGCGTACGAGTGAAGCGGTCGTGTCGAGCCCGGGAAGTGACGCCAGTTTCCAGAAAGGCGAGAATGGTTCAGACAGCTTGGTATGATGTATGCGATGGCGTGGGAATGAATGCGCGTCCTTGTCGGAGCGGTCGTGAAGAGGTCGAACGGGTATACAAAGACGCCGCATCAAACGCTCCACCCGGCAATTCTTCGGCTGCTGCCATGTGCCAGCCTGTCTCAGATGCCGATCCCGTCCATTCAGGTATTTCTGAACTTTTGTACCAATGAACAATTCAGAACGGTAATTTGTTGATTGAGTCACCGCTTGGACTCTGTATTATATACTTGATAAAGTGTCCTCTCTTGAAGTGTAAAAAGATAAAAACAATGTCTATCATGAGCTCACTCGCCCAACTCTAAACCTTTTGCGCGAGCTTAGCTCCTGCCTTGAAGAATCTGCTCACAGCCATGAGACTTCCACCTGCCAGAATCAACACTCCAGAAAACACCCATACATATGCAAAGCTACTGCCGTTCAGGATCCAGCCACAAATCGGTGTGCCGAGCAGCAAGCCGATCGAGATGATACTAAAGCCCTGTCCCATGCGTGTTCCAATAAGTCCTCTGTTGGGCGATAGATGCACGAACACGGTAGGTGGTAGCGACACCAGAGCTCCAGAGAAGAAGCCATACATCACACACTCGACAATGATTGCTGCTTCGCTGCGGACGGGGATGAGACAGAGTGCAACAATTCCAGAGATGATACAGCAAGGAATGATCATGTTCATCGGTCCAGTGCGATCGGCGATCAGGTTGGGAACAATGCGACCAAACACCGAAGCCGAGTTGATGATGGACAGCGTGTAGAAAGCCAGGCTCTGCGACGTAATGTGGTAGGTGATGCTGTAGCTCTCAATGTAGAAGAAAGGAGCGTAAAGACCCATAAATGCCAGGAATCCACCAAACACGAAGAAGAGGTAGGGCAGTTCGGTGAAAGCTTTGAGGTCGAAGACGGCGCGACGGGCAGCTGGTAGAACACGAACGCGCATGACTGAATTGGACACGATGAGAGTGGCTAGAGCGATGAAGCCAATGACACGGGTTGCCCAGGGGAAGCCGATACGTGGTTCGAGACGGTAGAAGACAATAGGATAGATGACACCACNCTGTATCATGTCAGTAAACACATCACACTAAAGCCGCAGGCAGCGCTTACCCAAACTACTTCCAGAAGCAGCAATACCCATAGCGGTAGCAATCCTTGTACTGAAATAAGTACTCAAGATGGCGACTGATGGGACAAACAAACATCCAGCACCCAGACCAACACAAACTCCTTGTGCAAGGATGACCTGCCAGTATGTCTTGGCCAGCGAAAGCATCATGAAGCCAAAGACAACACCAAAAGAGCCGACGGCCAACAAGGTGCGAAAATATCCAGCATCGTAGATGGGTCCCGTCAATGCACCGACAAGCATCAGCAAGAAGGCTTGCACCGATCCGATCCAGGAGATATCCGAAGGTGTTGAAGACGAAAGAATGCCGGTCTCGTAGTAGGTTTGGTATGCGCCGAAGGTATTGANCTGTTTGACTGGTCAGTGTTCTGGTTGCCTGTATGCGAAATGGCACTTACTGATTCCCCAGCTGTTGAAGAATAACACCCACGCTCCGAGAACCTGCAACCAAGCCTTGGTACCACCATTAGGGATAGCAGCAACATTGTTCACCGACACAGCTTTTCCCGACCGTATCGACCTCCTCGTCGTCTGTTTTTCAACCTCGCCTCCATCGGCATGTTGATGTTCCTCTGCAATCGGGTCTTCGTATGGTTGTGTGGTCCCCTCATTCAGCGCATTTGCCGCAATGATCTCTTTCTCTGCATCTGTGGCTGAAGACACAGATGAATCTTCATATTCTTCGTTGGTAGGTCGTGTTGACGCATTTGCTTCGGGCGTGTGTTGATGCATGACGAAAGGTTGTTTGACGCGCCCCAGATTCTTGTTTTGCCAAGCCGAGAGAAGTGGAAGTGGTTGCTGGGCGCGCTTCAATCTGGGTCTTTGTCTCTTCCTTGTCGGCGGTCGTGAGAAGAGAAAAAGGTGGGACAGAGTGATTCAAGTAGGAGGATACCAGAGTATGATTCCTAAGCCGTGAGCCGTTCGAACTTCCCCTCAGAAAAATACGTCCCTCTTGCACTTGCCGAATCGGCTGCGGTCAAATTTGAGCCGCTTGCCGTCATATCCGGCTTTTCGGTAGGTGGTTTCGGTCTACACTCTATTGCGACATCAGTTGCTGGAAGCCAACTTCTACGTGTAAGCGGTAGAAGTTTTGATAGTGTCGCGAGAATCATGACGAAGAGACATACAGGGAGCAGGCAGAACCATGAACTGTCGGCGATGTGTGAGGGCGAAGCTGGCACAGACTTGAGAATATCTTTTGCTCTAGAGAAAAGTATTGATTGAGGATAAGCCCCTGTGCCATGAAAGACACAGGTTACCCACCCACCCGGGCTTTTGAAGAAGCGAAGCAGCCCTGGCTCCATAGCTATTAATACATTGAGTGCAGAGTGCAGGTGTAGTGAAAAGGATAGAAAAAAGGGAGAATGATTGCTGCCGCCGCGAGGACCAGCCACCTTAAGCAATGAACCTGCACACCGAGCCTCCTCGTACAAGGAGACCCGACTGTGATGTGCAGAGCGCTGAAGCATGTACAAAGCTAAGGTAACTAGGACTTGAAGCGCACACAGCAAAGATTCTTGTGTGATAAACGACGAAAGGAAAGGAGGAATACCGAACTGCGGTCCTGCAAGACCCCTGCCCTGTTGGAGTGACAGTGGAAAGCCGGAGCGCGCACAGAAAGGCGAAGACCTCCAAAGGGGGAGCCACTGCGGTCCTGCAAGAACCTTGCCATGTCCAAAACAGTATCTGACGCCCGGACACGCCATATACATGTCTAGGGCCATGACAATGAAAAGCCGGAGCGCGCACAGCGACTTAGGTGATGGTGATGGTGATGGAAGACGGAGGGAAAGGAGGAATACCAAACTGCGGTCTGGCAAGTCCCCTGTCCAGGAAGTAACAGGGAAAAGCCGGAGCGCGCACAGCAAGGCGAAGACCTCCAAAGGGGAGCCACTGCGGTCTGGCAAATCCCCCTGCACATCAGAGAACCGCATGCGACGCCCGGGCACGTCGCATACATGCTCAGAGCTGCAACAGTGAAAGGCCGGAGCGCGCACAGCGACTTGGGTGATGGTAGAGGGGATGTGGAAAGATGAGTGTGGGAATGTGGATATTGTGTAGGTGATGGTGATGATGAAGGTGAATGATGTTGATGGATGAGAAGTGCGACGGAAGCCGGCGCAAGCAGCTGGCGGCGGCTAAAGCACAGACCAACCACGAGGCTGGCGACTCGAATATCTCTTGGCGCTCTCTTTCGACACCACCCACAGTTCACTTGCAATATTCATCAAAGTGCACATTCCTGTTCTGTATCTCTTATTACCCTCGCATCTCACAGTAAGTCATCGCTCGCCTGAATAGATCAGTCAAAAGGCGCCGGTCAGTACAGTGGTGGCGCCCGCATCCCTTTCACCGCTTCAAAGGTACTCCTTAGCCACCTAGCCTTCCAACGATGTCGTCCCGGTCGCCTTTGGAATCTGCCTTGGATGTTGAGTGGATTCTGGAAGAGCCTTGCGTGGTCAAGTGGGAAGATAGCAACCATGAGTCCAAGACACTCGGACTAAAAGCCCACCCAGTGACCCTGTGGGTCGGCGCGCGGAAGAAAGATCGTATCTGGGTTGCCATGTTGCAGAGCATCATTACCTTTGAGTACTCATGCAGGTCGAAACCGTTCCATTTCTACATGTTCTTGGACCCGCGGACTCTTCGCGTTGAGAAGGACCCCCTCACTGGTNNAAGTATACCATCCTGCTTACTCGGAGCAGTGTGAGGTGGCTGTTAGCAGTCACAATGAACTAACTAATCTCCATGAACAGATTCAGGTACCCTAGATGAGCTACTCAAAGCGCAGCGGAACAACGTTCAGCATGGCTGGCTTGGTGGTCGAGTGTTCCTGGGCCAGCTCCAAACCCCTGGTCATGTCCTCATGAAAAGACAGTTGCCCTCAGACAAAGCTTGGAGTGGCAACCCTTTGCATCTTCTCATGGAGGTTCAGTCTCTCTCAAAAGCTCCCTATTTCCAACTCTATGTGAGCAACCAGAAGCATGTCCGTAAGGTGATGAGCAGACTCGAGCACGAGCTACCAAAGACACTTCCTGCCGTTCACATTGATTTGAACAAGATCTTTGGAGGACGCGATGGCGCGTGGGATGCTTGGAGTACATATAGTGATGAATTGATCAGCTTGCATAGAGCGGATCTATCAGGAGTAGCTNNGGTGAGCTATCAAACACCTNNAGACATTGTCTCCTGAAAGATACTGAAGACATGCATAGAACTTCCACCTCCTTATGACCAGGCTCTGGCACAACCTACAGGCACCCTGAGAGGACTCTCAACACCGCCCTCATTGAAACGTCTTCGTCATGAAGATACCTCGACCAACAAGAGAACGAGAGCATCGGAGTGGGAGTGGTATGAGGCCAATTACCCCTTCGGCTCACCCACTGAGGAGAACACACCTACTTCCATCCGCGAACGAATCTCTCAACAGTCTACTGAAGACAATCAATCCATAAGACAGGGTCAGCTAACACCGGAGGCTGAAACCCCTCGAAGTCATCACCTACCTCCCCTTGGTGAATCGTTCCGAGATCAGTCTACACAAGTCAATTCATCTCCTCCCGGTTGCCAGCTCACCCCTACCCGTCATTCTCCCGTCAATCACAACAACGCCAATAACATCGAAGACATGCAAGTACCGCCTTGTACCGCTTCTGTCGCCTCGACTGCATCCCTTGACCAGCTCAACATCAAACCGACTATATTCACCACCAAACCTCAGGCTCCACCCCCACTAAACATTGCTCTTACCCTCACAGACCTCGAGCGTCTCATCACAACAACCATCCAAGCTCAAATCCCCGCGATTGCTGCTCAAGTTCAAAGCCAGAACCTTGCTGCTGAGTTGACAGCTTGGGCGCAGCCCTCGATTGCAGACTACATCGATACTCACATGCCTGCAATCATGCACGAAGCAGTCTCCGCACACGTCTCTGACGTCAACGACGAATTCGAGTCCGCATCTGCATCCCTGCACGAGACAAAGGACGAGGCAATCACCGAGATCAGGTCAGCAGAAGAGTCAGGCATCGAGGAGGTGCATAGGGAATCTCAGGCTGCCGTCGAGACTCTGCAAGAAGAGTCGCACAGGCTGTCAGGGGTCCTCGATGACAAGTGCACGGAGTTGGAGGATCGACTTGAAGCAAGAACGAGCTCCTCAGCACCCCCGGTCTACTCGAAACAGCCTCCTACTGTTGCGAACAGCGCCAAGGAGGCTGTGAAGCTGTTTGAGCGCTTCCACAGGGGTCGTCTCGCTTCCGACGAGCAAGTCAGAGTATTGCTCAGCATTGCGAAGTTCAACAATGCTGAGGTCTTTGCTGCGGCCGATTGGGAGAGTCAGAAGATGCTGGTTGCTCACTGGTCCGGCAGAAAGGACTACACACCGCCCTCGCCACCCCTCTCCCGCTCTGCTGAATGAGCGCATGAATCTGTTTTTGGTTGTATAAAAGTTATGGGGGATGGTGAATTGCATAGCGCTGGAGTCGGGTGTCAGAAGGTGGTTACAAGATTCCCGCAAAGGACGAGGCAATGGTAACAGTTATGACAATGCACGAATTAATACAATCATAGAGCTTGTCCAAAGAGAGCCACACTTCGGCTGGATTTTCAACGGACATTACCTCAACGCCAGATAACCAGCGCATGTGAGAACGCTGTCCGCCAACCGTTTGGCTATATCACCTCGATAATTGGTTTTGGACACGGGCGCGAATCTCCCTTGCATTTTCCATTTCGGCAGGTGAGTTTGCTGCTCTCTACTTTGCGAGCTGCAGCAATTCAGCATGCATGCCTAAGATGGATGGAAAGTCTCGGTGGTCTCGGTCCGGGTGATTGGTGTACGCTGCAGGAAAGGACAGCATTTATGTTCAAAAGTCAGGAACTATCGAGGCTTCCAGTCTGAAAAGACACTTGAAGAATGTTATCGTCTTCACAAGCGTCTTCTGCATTGCAATACGTACATAACGTCAAATCTCCATGCACCGAGAACAGCATGTCGCGCCAACTCTTTGCAGAATATGCACCACTGCACCCAGCTTCGTTACCTCAAGATTGTTATCCAGAACCTTCTAGCTTACCTCGACATACATCTGCTGAATACACGCCAAGGCATCTATAAGGTAAGTTGCGCGGCAAGTCCACTGGTCTTTTCGTTGTGTGGTAGCTCACGCCCTCATTTATGCTCACTCAATCTTCCTCCAATGAAAACCTTACTGAGCTGGTGCACCTGACCGCGTTCTCTTTGGCGCGTCTGAGATGGAGAGAAGATATTGATGCATAAGATGCAACAAGACATAAATGTGCGCAATGTTGCGCCCTCAGGTGATGTTGAGCCAATCATGTGGAGGAGCTGTCTGATATGCTTCACCACTGTGCAGTAGTTATTCTTTTCATCATATTGACTCATAGGCGCTCGACTCTGGGATATAAAAGCCGAACTCAAAAAGTCCCCAGTAACACAGAACCCAAAAAACCCTAGTACACAGAACCCCAAGTCCAGTATTCTGTGTGTGCAACTTCCTCTCCTGCCCTACTATCCGGTTCACGACCTTCTTTCGCAAGATGTATAGTGAGCCCATCACGGAAGATGATTTTCCCACTTTTACCCAGATCTTGGACTCGTCGACACAAAGCAACGCACCCCAGTGCATCTGGTATCTCCCCTTCCAAGGCCAAAAGTTGTATGGTATCGGTCTCCAGAATCGAAGAAGAGGAAATCTCTCGGCTGAAAGATCTCGATTCAAGGCTTACCAAGGACACCTTGAGTCAAGAGCTTCAAAGGCTGGAGCAGGTTGCCGAGTTCCGCTGCTGTAAGGAAATGCACCGCAGCAAACCACGTGGAACGGATCTCGGACGCAAATTAGCAATGCGATGGATGTTAGAGATCATCCTGCGCTCATCTGTACCTGAAAGTCTGGAGCTTCTTGAACAACTGGCAGGTAAGGTTTTCCGTCTTGCGCACCTCGAGGCTTGATGCCACGATAGCAAGATACTAGTCATAGCACACGTACTGATGGCAAGAAATAGCTATGAAGGAGCCCTCTCCTGTCTCGGGATCGGTCGTGTTCGAGAATCACAAAGTCTTCGAGCAGAAGATAATGGCTACTGTCTTGGACGATCGCATTGGACACGAGGAAGGGAAGTTTGGATCTGTGTACATCTACACCCACAATCAGGATGCTTTCAACGGATTGATCAAGATAGGCTCTACTACCACTACAGTAGAAAGTCGCCTGAAGAGGTGGAGCAAGTGTGGCTATGGAGATCCTGAACATTTGCGCACGTACGAACAAATACGCCGTCCCCAGCGAGTTGAGCGCTTGACTCACATCGAGTTGACCGATCATCGGCACGAGCGTTGGTGCAAGGTCCATGACAGATCCCATATTGAGTGGTTCAAGATTGACGTCGAGAGCGCGGAACCTATTATAAAGCACTGGTCGTTGTGGATGGATACCGACCCCTATAACAGTCAGGGTCATCTGGAAAAATTCTGGGTGAACGCCACCAGAATCTTGACCGAGCACCAGAGTCCAACAACAGGCGAGATCATGTTGCAGATACACCACATCAGACGAGACGTTGAATTCCTGATCAAACACCGAAAAGGGACCCGAGAGGAGGCAGAAGAAGAGATTCGTCAGCTGGCACAACGCTGTCCCTCGTCTAAAGAACGTTGTCCCTCACTTCAAAAGCTCTTCACCAGATGTATGGGGTTTCTCAAATTGTGCGGCAATGGCACTGGCGAGTTTGCTATTGAGAAAGACATGGCAAGAACTCGGCTTCTTAGCATTTCCTGCTTTTGTGGGCAAAACAGTGGTAGCCCAAGGCTGAGACATTGAGAATCGATCCTCGAAGCCGCAAGAAACGCAATCCGACTTCAACTCCAGAATGGAAGCCATCGGTGACTAGAGCTCCAAGATGCTACATCCATTCTGATGCCGGCAGACCATGTCAGATAGGATTTTGGACACTTGTGGATCCCCTCTGGAGTGGTGGATGCCATGAAGTCAGGCAGCGGAACATTTTGCTTGACTGTGTGCTCAATTATCAGTTGGGATGAGCTGGCGAATATGTAGCCAAGTATATGTAGTCGAATAGTTTCAGAAAAGATATCCTTTTGTCCATCCGGGCCTTCTCTGTAGCGAGTCTCAAGAACATAGACCTACCATCACGTCAAACATTCATGACAATCTTGTAGTGCTGATTAAAGTTTACCACTGCCAACCTTCGTTCCCCGACAGAAAACTAAAATTCGCGGAGAGTTTGGTAAGTGTCAACGCCACCTGAAATAGGTGACTACTTGGAGCAAAACATGACGTTGGCCTCTGCATCGCGGTCTGCTGGTCTTTTCACTTACTCTTCCAAGATTGCTGTCGCCGGCAAGGTGCTTCCACGAACCAGAAGAACAGAGAAACTCTCGGCAGGAAGCTGTGCTGCTCTCTATGACTCGTTGAGTGCTACTGTTCGGTCAACATTCTTTTCCCCCTTGCTTCCACTATCTAATCCTCGACTGGACCTAAGGAAGAATGAAGGCGCAACCGCCTACGATCAATCAGTTTCCTACCTTTGACCAAGTGCGAAAATGGCTTGACCACAACGTTCCTCAATGCATCTGGTACCTCCCAGACAAAGGGCGGTGCTGCTTGATAGATACACCTGGGAACCACAGCGATATAGCTCTCCGACTGACAAATCTTTTTTTGGACGAGAGTGACGACCACTTCCCATCGATGAAGAACGCGCTTGAGTTACTGCAGCAGATAGCTGAGTACAGCTGCTGTGCTCAGAGACATCGAAACAAGTTCTCTGGTGGTGGTCTTGCCCAGAGTCTAGCAATAAGATGGTTGACTGAGATTTTAGTCTTTGAGTATGGTGAGGATTCTCCGGAAGTACAAAGTCTCAAGCAGGAAGGTGCGTTGCCCTGCATTCTCGAGCGCGGAAGCCGGCTCCCTCTGGTCTGTGATTGATACACATACTGACACTTGGCTCCGTTCACCAGTGCTTGCAAAACAGTCCTTCCCTATGGCAAACACTGTCAAATTTGTCAAGCATGAGGTTTTCGAATACCAAACATTGGTTTCGAGCTTATGCACACCCCTTGAAGTAGAAGAATGCAGGGATGGATCAGTATACATCTACACGCACAAACAGGACCCCTTTCCTGGTATGCTCAAGATAGGCTATACTTGCAGCAACATCCAAACTCGGCTCGACTACTGGTCCAGGTGCGGCCATGGATGTCCCGCACTTCTATATAGCCATACAGGAGTGCGCTGCGCAAAGCGAGTGGAGCTGTTGACTCATTTCGAGCTGGTAGACCTTTGGTACGAACAGCAGTACTGTAGTTTCCATAACAGTCCACATGTCGAATGGTTCAAGATCGAAATCGACATCGTGAACCCCATCATCTCGGACTGGTCTTCGTGGATGCAGTCCAACCCTTACGATGTATGCGGCAACCTCACAGCTTTCTGGGAGGAGACCGTTGACTTCTTGGAGGAAAACTGGATTCCGCTAACAGCAAAGACTATGCTGCAAATCCATCAGCTGGAAGTAGGAATACTAGAACTTTCAGACTTCATGGACGACAAACATGAGCAAGAGGAGCGCTCTACAACCACTGATGCCAAAGATGAATTCCTCGTGAACGAGACTTGTCAAACTCGCAGCCAATATCCAGAATCCGAGCAGCCAGCTGTCCAGCCTCCAAGCAAATTTCTCCCACTCCGAAGAAGGAAAGTGTCGGTGGTCAGCGATACGAAAGTCTGAAATTCGGCCATCGGATGGCCAAGTGAGGAGGCAGGATCAGTGGTCATCAACCTGGAGATCTGCAATCCCTTCCTTGCATCGCAGAGGCATCACGGCATCGGACTCGGAAAGAGCCACAACGAATGGATTGAACATGCCATCGAGGTGATGCTTGATTGGAGACATTATCTGCTGACCGTATGCACGAAGGCTGGCCGCAGGGACGTTTCGGTTACACAAGACGCGATATGTCGTCAACTCACCTCTAGGAGCTAGTCTCGTGAAGCGTCGCCCTGCATCTTATCAGAGCATTATATATCTCCTCGATTCTGCTCTTTAATCCTTCTTTCTTCCAACCACTCGTATCAGTTCTTCTACTCCAATTGAACCAAGAATCAACATACCTTACAACCCAACAACACCACAACAATGCCAAACAAATCCACCGGTGGAGGCGAGAAACACGCCATGAGTGGTTCTGATGCCAGCCGCATCCAGTCGGCTCAGGTATGCCTCTGCCCATTCGGGTGCACTCTCCTTACCTAAATTACGCTGATGCCATCAGGCTAAATCCGGAGGCGACATGTCCTCTTCTGGCTTCGCCGCACGCGCTCAGTCAGGCGCTGCAAACAACGCCAATGCCGCAAGCATGAACTCGGGAGGAGGTGCTGCGGGTGGCAAGGATAAGAAGTGAGGGTTTTTTCTAGTGTGAGCATGGAAACCCAGGCTGAGGCTTCGATCGATGTCGAGCTGTTAGGTGTGATGTTGTCGCTGAATTGGTTTGTGTCGATGGCTGGTATTGCTCTCTGCTCTCCTTGCGCGCACTTCTGGTGTAACAAGAACAAAGCAAGCTCCAAAACTATAGCTGCCATTGCACAAAGAATTCGCACGTTGACAGAATGAAGCGGAAGAGTTTCTGGTCCAAAGAGGCTGCCGGGAGATGTGCTTGTCAGCCCGTTGTGCTTTGTGACTATGACACAGCTCCCGAAACCTGGTTTCAGAAGTGTCATGTAGTGCTGCACTATTGTTGACACGGAACAATAGCGAATCCCAACACGCACATGTCTTGCTCTGCGACTGCTGTCACTTCCAGGTTTCGCGATCAGACTGATCATCCGCGGGTGTATTGTACGAGTTGAAGTGTGGATGAGTCAGTGTGTCAACCGGGACAGGCGAGTGTGACAAGTCTTTCGGTTTCGTTCCGCGCATCTCCACACTGTGTGTGCATGTAGGATATCCAGGGTCGCACCTTGACTTGTACACAACATCACCGTCTAAGGTGGAAGATTTTTAAGCTCGTCTTCGATTCACAAACAGAATTCAAGCACGCCTGTCGTTCAATATTGGTGGCCCTGTGCTAGAGAAATCTGGACGTTGTGCAAGCATGATTTGAAGCTGATTCTAAGATCATTGGATAAAAGGATGTTCGGCTAGGCTATGCGCAGGCCCTACCTACATTGTGATCACCAGAGGGCTTCGGCAGCCCTGGGAGCAGGCGACACAAGGGACTGATTTTGAGTGACATGAACACGACTTACTCACATCATGCTCCATGCTGATCTTGACAAGTATGACCGTCTTGCAAGCCGTGCGGAAGCAGTATCCTGGAGTAGATGGGAAATCAGCTGCACACGGCCCACGTCTATCGTTTTGAAGGGTGCTTGGTTCGACGTAACCCAAAATCGCGGTTCGAGAACTTGCGATTCATTGAGTTGTAGAGCGAAAAGAACGGTGTCGTGTCGCGATGAGTTTCCTGTAAGAAGGAACTCACGGCCCCTGTCAAGACTGGGAATGAGTCGAGGTCCGCCAAGCCCCGCCCGTCAACCTTGGCTTGGAAAAACAGCTCAAGCCAGCAACGAACCTCGCTCAACCAAAACACGGCATGGTTGTGAAAGCAATCGCTCAAGGCAAGCCACCGGGAAAATTTCTTCTGCGTGTTGTCTGGCAATCTGATTCTTGACGCCTTTGACGCCACCAAGGTTAAGCTTGTTGTTGAGTCTAACCAAGACAGCATGACTCGTCCTCGCACTGCTTTGCCGATTCCCTCGTGGCCCATTTAACCAGTCTCCACTTGATTCGCGTTCCTGTCATCCATGCGGTCAACTCAGCCCTGAGTATCCGTACAGTTACCTTGTTTCCAAATGCCATGGGCTCAACAAATCTCTTCACAGTTTAGCTGCGTATGGTAGCCACGTCCTTTCCAGTGGCCATGCACTGCTTAAGGCAGAACAACACCATCGTGTATAGATGGATACCTGGTACAAGTATTTCTCCAGTAACGTCAAACAGATACCTGGGTCCGGAGATCCATGATCTGTATGATCGCCTCGCGATTCATATTGGGATCCACATGGCTTGCACAAGCTGACCCCAGATCTACAGAGGCTCCAGGTTGGTGGTCCAATCCACCGAGGTAATTACATTGCCATGCACAGATCTTCTCCCTTTCCAGAGTATGACTTCGCCTTGACCTGCACGTCTTGAATTGCCAGAAGCATGGAAAGAGAGATCAACCAAAGTAATACTACTAACCTCCATCAATCCGAGGACTTCCCAGCGTTGGTACAATGAACAGATTAGCACATACCAGTACACTAACGACTACAATAGAGTCAGATGACCGTTAGTGGATCTTTCATCAGGATGCTTGACACAGAACGAAGCCCTTACAATGCTTTGACCATGACGGGTCATGGCAGACCACCAATTCAGTTAGCGGTGGCGTCCACTCGAATGCGACGCAAGTACATATCGAGCGAGTATCCCCAATGCCATTGTCTAGCTTTTGGGCTCGTCTTCCGAGCAGTCTTCCTACCTCGATTGCTGCCAAACATGTCGTCTTCTGGCGATTACCAGCTCGCCGCATGTGCGGCTGGCTTCTCCCTTGGATTTGGATACCTAACAACAGTCCGAGCCCTTCATCAAACCAGAGCGAACAGGAATCCATTGCGGTCTGCATATATTTACATGATCTGGGGCGAGATTATAGCGAATCTTGTCCTTGGTGTCCTATGTTGGCTTTGGTTGAAAGATATTGTTCACAATNNGGGTACGCAGATTCTTCTGATGACCCAAATCCATCTAACACTCTTCAGACCTGTCCTACTCTTCTTCATCCTCTTTTTCTATGTTTTCGAAGTTCAGTTCCTCATGCAAATCATCATCAATCGCATCTCGATCATCTCAGAGCGCAAGGCCACAGCACACCGCTTGAAGATTGGAACTGCTGTAGTCATCTCCTGCATTAATATTGCTGTCTTCTGCATCTTTATTCCTTCGCATCTCTCGCCTCCACCCAGCAAAGTGTAAGCAACGGTTGCTTTGTCTTTTTTTCTTTTGTAACGCTGATAGCAAAACAGCTTTGTCCATATCAACAAGTATTGGGATCGCACCTCTAAGATCTTAATCATGCTCGTCGACGCGTTCCTAAACTGGTACTTCATTTACGTTGTTAGGGCTAGATTAGTCAAGCAACATGGCCTTCGAAAGTACAAGCCCTTGGTGGCTTACTACACTCGTTTGGGAGTCATCTCTGTCTGCATGGATCTTATGCTCATCGGCCTGATGTCTCTTCCTAATGGTATTGTCTTTGTGCAATTCCACCCGGTGGCATATGTAAGTCAAAGTCTTCGTTCCTTTAACCTCAAAGTTTTGCTATTTCCTGTCGTGTTCTTGCATCCAAAGACGCTAACGCGACACACANNGATGGTCAAGCTTAACATCGAGATGAGCATGGCCGACATGATTATCAAGGTTGCACGAAACAACGAGCAAGACATGAACTTCAACTCTTCTTCCCAAGGCACTCCTTACCCGGCAACACTCAATACCCAGAAGTCACAAACACTTCACACTTTCCATGGAGATAGTTGCGCTGGAACTCCAAGAAATGTGACAAATACTGCATTCGTTGGACACAACCAAGGCAACGAGGACCTTAGAGAAGATATACACGGCATCAAACGCCAAACGGAGGTCCAAGTGTATGTGGGCGACTCCGAGAGTGAGGAACGTTCAATCGACCTTGAGCACGGAAAGCCGTCTACAAGAGACTTCACCCACGACCGTGATGGCTTCGCGATTAACAACCGAGCTAGTCATCACTCGAACGACTCGCAGATTCCCATGAATGATCTAGCTAGTCCTGTTGGTCGTGCAACATGATCTAGATTGTCCTCCTCCGTGGATCACAGCACTCTCTTCATTCATCTCAGCATTTTGTTCTATACCCCTCTTAGCGTACACAATCTTCAATATATTTCGTTTGTCTGTCTAGCTTAGAATTTCTGATGAAGCTTCTTTACTTGTCTTTGTTGACAATACCATACAATCTCCAGACATCGCTCTCCAGGCTGTGAACTTAACACACATAGTGACTTCGGCATCTGCAGATGATCGAGTCATGCACAGATGCCGGAATACCGAGACGATGAATAGTGCATCCTTCGCTTCAACGTTTGTGTTTCGAGTCAAGCATACGACGGGACCTCTGCCGACGATGATGGACTTTGAGCCGTTTCTAGCAGGTTTTCTTTCGACGATATTTCTTACATGACTTTGAATGCTCCGAACGATCGGCTATAGATAGGAGAAACGATCGACTTACCTACTGAACTTTTCTACCCGATAGCTTATCTCGATTCTCGAACCCAGAACAGCTGGATTTGGATTTGCGGAGCCAGTGGCATACGGCAATCCCAACCAATATGTCACCACAGCGGCACTTGGGGATATCATGTTGCAACAGAATACATTTCAAGTGGGACTCTATACATTCTTTCTCTTTTATGTCGAGCAAACAACTAGATATGTCGAGAATGACAGGCTCTTGCCCCAATTTTGTTGTTGGAAGGCGCACCCTGCCGGAGCTGTCTCCATGATTACTATCGTTACTATCATAGTCCATGCGCGAGCTCGACCGCCCGACGCGATCGCTTCGCAGCGACTCCTTCAGACATCTTCGTTGATAATCAAACGAGTCGATTTCTAGCGGACGAAAACTTGTATGCCACAAATTAACTCAGTATGAGAGGCTACCTACTGTTTGTCAACCATCAACATGTCGACTATCTCCGGAATGGGAAGGCGAGAGTCAGTTCGCACTTTCCGCCCAAGCCAACATGATTTCTGATTTTAGCCTCAACAAAGACAATGTCAGCAACGCATCAAGGCCATCTCCACAGAATATACATTCTATTCATCACTTTGGCGTCGTCCGCTTGCGATGTTTCCTTTTATCCTCATGTTCTGCTCTTGCTGGGCTTTTGTTCTTCGTGGCATGCCCGAATCCGGCGAGACTGGTTACTGCGTTTAGTGCTTTGTTCATGATGGACTACTTACCCGAACATCCCGTTATGTTGCTATCTGATAGATCTCGAGTACTCTGACCACTCTTTGGACGACTTGAACTACGATTGGCATCACATCGAGGCTTCTATCTTGACGGAACTCACCGTTCAACCTGCGCAATATGTCAACTGAACCCAATGTCCGGAAGGATAAAAGACTCCCAGATATCCAGCTTCCTCCTGGTCACATCTGGCAACATGAAAGAGAACTGGGAGACGGCGGTGAAGGTACAGCTCATCTGTGGGTACACCTAGACGCCGATCAAAGAGTCGTCGAACGCATTGTCATCAAGAATACTGTCACTGTCGATCCTGACTTCCACATGATCAAGGAGGGACCTCACGAGGGCGAATGGTTAGAGGTTTCTGTGCAGCAAAGGCTCGCACCCGGTGGATCAACCGAGTTCTATACCGTCCCCATACTTGCAGCTCAAAAAGTCCCTAAATCGACTTACGGTTGGCGCACATACATGCCTTTCTACAGTAAAGGAGACTTCGAGAGGATCATCAACGAACACTATGCGGTTTCTCCTCTTCCCGAGCCATTCTTGTGGTTTGTTCTCCATCGCATGGCCAAAGCTGCTGTAGCGATGGATGAAACGTTCCGAGAAGAAGGCAGAGACCGCCCTGTTCTCGTACATCAAGACATCAAGCCAGAGAACATCTTCATGGGTCACCCAGGGTCTCTCGGTCGAGATGAACCATATCCTGTATACCCTGTGGCTTACCTCGGCGACTTCGGATTAAGTTATCTTACCCCTGATGACGAATCTTGGAGGCAAAGGCTCAGAGGAACTCCAGGCTATTGCGCGCCAGAACACGACACGGGCACGACTGGAAAGTCTAAAGCAAAATACAATGTACCACCCGAATCAAAGACCAACATTTGGGAAGTTGGTAATTGTATAATGCTCGCTATGACAGGAAATCATGGGGGTTCGCATCGCACGGACGGATACAAATTCTCATATCACGACAAATGGGATTATCTTCGCGATCTCGAGCCTGACGACCCGTGGCGATGGTCGGGCTATAGCGACGATCTTATCAAGACTGTGGAATGGTGTCTGATGGATACTATGCACAACCGACCCACACCGCAAGAGTTGTTGGAGCAGATTGAGCAGCTCATGCCCCAGCATCACGAGGGAATGGACCGCTGGGGAACTTTCAGCTGGGTCAAGGACAAGAGTAGAGAGATCGATGGTCCACTTGCTTCTGCAGATGCTGAAGAGGCCGAAGAGCCTGACGCGGACATCGAGGTCATGCCTGGGGAGAAGCGTAAGGCATCTAGTCCAGCTGGATCACCTCGACACGCTAAACGCAGCAAAGCTGAAAAGGCTCTGGAGAGAAGACTGACTTATGTGGCAACCATCATCAAAGGCCGTATGCCCAAGCCTCACGACGATGATAATGCTTTCAGGCTTGATTTCAAGAAAGCGCTGCGATACGTAGCGATGGACGAGGAATTCGATCCTCAATCTTTCTTTGACACAGCGGGCCCCGAACCAATCAGTTTCTTCGAGCTTGATACTGTTGCAGATGATGGACCGGCACACGACGACCAGGACAACAAAGGGAAGGCCAAAGAAACATCTGGTTCTTCGAAAGATGACGGCGACTATGACGAAAAGAAATCTTTGAAGTCTAAACCAAAGCCAAGTCCCCCAGCTGATACAGGCGCTTCTGGTCCTACAGACGGCTATGACGATGATGACCCGGAAGATCTTGGCGCTGCTGCGAGTGGTTTCTTTGGTGGCGGCGACGATGATGAGGAAGACTTCACGAAGCCGACCGGAGCATCAAAGTCAGGATCTAAGGCCGGCAAAGCGAAGGTGGAACCAGCCGACTATGAGGGAGGTTTCGACTTCGGTGCCGGTTATGCTGGCACATATGGCGGAATTGATGATGGCGAGGACGAAGATGCTGACGGTTTCTATGCCGGCGGCGGTGGCACTTTGGCGCTGGTGACGACGATGAAGAGGACATGAGTAAATACAAAAGACTGAACCTTCCAAGATCGATAAGGGAAAGGGAAAAGCGGTTGATGCAGCACCACCCACCGCGCCCCCAGTCACGCCTGCAAAGCCCAAGACACCCAAGGCAGTTGGCTCCGCAATGGACTACATCGACCTTGCTACCCCAACACCTGCTAAGCCTAAAGGTTCGAAGGCAGCTACAACCATCGGCGATTTTATCGACCTTGCTACCCCTACACCTGTTAAGCCAAAAGGGAAAAAGGGAGCTGGAACAGCAGAGAGTCCTATTATGTTTGATTCACCAACGCCTGTCAAAAAGAAAGGATCCGTAAAGAGTCTGTCACTTGCCCTTCCACCCGTCACGCCTCCACCTGCCGCCAAAGACAAAGGAACAAAAGAAGCGCCTCTAACTGTCGGTGACACGCCTGCTCCAGCTGATGAGGACGAAGATAGACATCATTCAAGCCCGTTAGGTGGCAAAGGCAAAAGACTAATTGACTCACCCCAGTTGACCCGCTTCAAGCTGAGAGAGACCGTCTCCAGGCTGCGCTCCAACATTGGTGTTCACGCTGGCCGAAGCCTTGGACGATCTCTTCAGTAGAGTGGACATCAAAGCAACACGAATTTGCCGCAAATTCGAAGAAAGCAACAAATATCTTTGAGAAGTTGTACTGGATGAACCGCAGTATCCAGGCTGAAAGTAACTCGAAACAACAATACAACTCTGCCAGGGTAGCAACCTTCACATCAAGCTTGCGCTTGATAGCTGGAAGCAAAGCATGGAAGAGATGGGAGTCAAAATCACGAAGACAGCAGTAGCAGACAGAGTCTTACCGCCAACTCGAGTTTCGAAGACGAGACGATCAATTCCGCCTGCTACTGCTCCTGGGAGAATAACTCTGCGTGGTGCTAGTACTATCCCGTTGGCCAGACGAAGAAGAGCCCCTGCTCAGCTCATCTGTCCGAGATGCATCGTACAGTAAAGTTCATCACGCCTCATCTTGCTTTACTATTTCGGTTCCATCTCTGCTTTATTCTTCCTCTTTTTTTTCTTTCTTTTTTTTTTGCCTTTACTAGCTTGCACTCATGCTTCATTTGCATATCCAAATTATCTACAACACTTCCTATCCGGTTTTATAACAAAGGTACTGAGTTCGACATTGAATTTGCTAATAAATACTGTGCAAACATGAGTCTACTATGAGCATCACGATTGGGATGCACGATGCTTGATTAAGAGGTTTGAAAAGAGCAAAGGAGTTGATTTGCAGTTTCCTTATCCACTAGCCAGGGAGAGATTCCGAGATGTATGCTGTATCTGCGTTCTTATAGTATGTCTCTATATACATAGCAGTATCTATGTACTTCATGCCCAATTTCAGTCACAATCTGACCTGCGTGGCAATTGTAGAGAACGATATAGCCATCCTAGTCCCTTATCCCAGTCGCTCCTTGCCCCATGAATCAGCATGTGAAAGAAAGAGATCCACTTCCCACCCAAAGCAGGTGCTACCCCGCGCGGGATCCGGGGATCCTCTTCCTTCTCCGCAAACCTAAAAGGCCGATGCGGGCGAGCTATCACGCTACTCTTGGAACCACGAGACACCAACTGTGCCGCCGATGAGGCCAGATGAGCATGGCTGAGATAGGAATCCCGCGCGGCCGGAAGGATTGCGAATTGCCAATGCTGTTCCAAGCAGCCTCACCAGATGCGGTAGTATATAAGATCATTCCCCCTCTTACTGCCCCTCTTGCTACTCTGTCTTTTCCTTTTGCTCCTCTCCCTTAATCCGTACGAAAAGCGAGATAGAGCAACACCGCAAAGATGATGCGCGCAGCTAGATACTACGGCAAAGAAGACGTGCGCATAGAGGAAACGCCTCGTCCTCAATTGTCTCCCGGCCAAATCCTTATAAAGCCTTCGCATGTAGGGATCTGTGGAACGGATTTACACGAGTACATTGCTGGTCCTACGTATGCTGCCCTCCCACCATCAATCCTGTCATTGGAAGCAGCGACTAACTCAAAACCACAGNNCTTCGCCCCCATCGAACCCCACGCCGTAACCAGAGAAAAGATCCCAATTGGCATGGGCCACGAGTTCAGCGGCACAATCCTAGAAGTGTCTCCAGAAGTACCTGATGCATCTTCCTTCAAGCCAGGGCAGAAATGCGCTATTCAACCTACAATCTACTGTCAGAGTTGTGGGGCTTGTAGGAATGGAGTGGAGAATGCATGTCCCAATGGCGGGTTTATTGGTTTGAGCGGTAAGTGTTGTTTGGCGATATGGTAGTGAGGAAGAGAGTGCTGATTATAGTGGATTGTAGGTGGTGGTGGTGGGTTGAGTGAAGCTGTGGCTGTGCCTTGGGATGCAGTCCTACCACTGCCGGAGAATGTGGAGTTGGATACTGGAGGTATGCATGACCTTTTCCGTCGAGCTAAGGGTAAAGACTAACATCAAAACNNAGCACTCGTAGAACCTCTCTCCGTCGCCTGGCACGCCGTCTCTGCATCTCCACTCGTCGAAATCGGAGCCAAGAACGCCTCTGTGCTCGTACTCGGAGGTGGACCTATTGGTCTCGCAGTCGTGCAAGTCCTCGTAGCACACGGAACCAAAAAGATCATTATGAGCGAGATTGCCGCACAGCGACAAGCCTTCGCCAGAGAGTTTGGAGCACATCACGTCCTTGCACCAAACGTATACGACGTTGTCGGAGTCTCGCGCGAGCTCTGCCATGGCGAAGGTCCTGATATCGTGTTTGACTGCGCTGGCGTACCTGCTAGTTTCGAGTCAGCATGCAAAGCCATCAAGGCTCGCGGTACCGTCGTCAACGTCGCCATCTGGGAAAAGCCAGTATCGTTCAACCCCAACAGCTTGGTCTTCAACGAAGGAAGATATGTTGGTGTGTTGGGCTACCAACGCAAAGATTTTGTCGAAGTGATCCAGGCTATTGCTGATGGCAGACTGCAACCTAACAAGATGATCACACGAAAGATTCCTCTGAACGATCTGGTTGAGAAAGGCATCTTGGCCTTGATCAAGGAGAAGGACAGACATGTGAAGATCCTGGTCGATATGGAGATGGCTTGAGTGTGTAGATGTTTTGGATAATTTTGGTGTGTCTTCTAGATTGTCGGAACTCAAGCTGGAGGCATAAAGCTAGCATATAAACCACCTTGGATAATGGAATACATGAACATTCCTCGAACGACGAGTTGTTGCGTTGATTGCTTACTCAGATGATGTTGGAGTGTTGCGACAAGTGATGAAGCGTCCTTTGAACGAATTGTCTTATCGTCTCTGCTAGTCATGCTCGGCGACACGATAGCTGCTGCTAGAACAATATACCAAATCGGATAGCCAGTAGCGATGCGATTGACTATTTGGACGTGGAAGATTGTAAAAGCCAAGATAGCCAACAAGATCTGTGGGAGAGCCAGGCACGAAATATAGACCGACGCATGGTTGAAGTGCTGTTTCGAAGATTGTCTGGCAGTTTCCAACTTCAGTCTTGGAGCAGCGAGTCCAGTACCGATGAGAATGCAAAGCATTGGCAATGCTAGCAAGAACAATGGGATGTTAGAGACGGTCCAGTAGCGGAGGAAGCCCACATTCCTGAGATAATGTCAGTAAGCCTCGGAAAACATACGGAGACATGGAGCATACCAGTAGTGTTCTTGTACCCAAGAATAAATACTGGGCAGGCTTCGCGAACACCATGGTCTGAGGTTGCCGTCTGATGGTGCTACACAATAGTCCTGGTACGCTATATACTGAGGCAGTAGCATACCCGACAAGATCATCGCGGCAGATAATCCAATAACCGCAATCGTCACGATCGTGCGAATGGTGATCCGCGAGTAGTACAACATGTAAACGTGATAGAAGTAGATGAGTCCGCTGAAGATACCATTGCTGCGGACTGTGGTAGCCAGACCGAAGCTAGCGCCAGACAACAGGAGAGAGATCAGTGAGGACAATCCGTACTCTTCGAGGGGCATTTCACATGGAATACCAGCGTGAACAAAAACACCAAAGAAGTTCAGCAACGCGAAGAGACTCTCGGAGTAGGGTGCAGAAAGGAACAAGCCAGCAGAAGAAAAGACATGGAGAGATGCTGCAATGAAAGCAATCTTACGACGCCGAGGCTTGTCCACGATGGGCAAGCGATTGACCAAACCATAGAGCACGAAAACAGACAACAGGTGTGAGACATGAGAAATCAGCACTCCTGCATATGCCTGAACAAATAGTGGTGGTTGCGAAGATGCACTCGGTAGGACTGATGTTGAATTCAGCCCAGGCACTCTACTGAACTTATAGATATTGGACCAACCTTTGGAGACCAAGGCGAGGAACTTGGTATAGCCCCAACCCCAAGCCCATTCTTGTTCAAAAACCACACCTCGGCGAGCAACACTCACAAAGTACAAGGCGTCCCAGCGAACAAGGTTCGACACGAGTCGTTTCGCAAAGTCTTCCAGAAGGGTATTTTCAGTTACCGAGGGCTGCGCACGGGCCAAAAGCAACGTGGTAGAGGTATCGTAGCCGGGTCCGGGGCTAGCATAAGCTATGCAGAGGAGTAACAGCTTCCACACAACAAATAAACAAGTCAATGCTCGAAGGTCCGCAAGCATCAGGCTGGACCCCGATCGATCAGGAGGAGGCATTGTTGACGAAGTGCGCAAAGGGGTGAAACGCGAAATGAGAGTTGGTAACAAAGGAGTCGGACGTTGAAGGAATTCCGGCCTCAGCGTCTCCTGACAAAGAAGAATCAGGAAGACGCAAAATCTGACGAGAACAAAGCGAACGGGTGTCGGCGGAAGGGACTGAGGAGTAAGAACGAGGATATTGATCAGATGATGGAGAGAGGGATTCTGAAGGATTAGGCATGGAAAGCGAGGTCTGCCTTGAAAAGGCCGAGTCGGAGGAAACGGACGGGGCGCGGACGAAGAAGGTGCCGATCGTATTAGGATCTCACAGCTCCGCGACCCGGATTTGTGCAGAGTGAAAGGTGACGATGAGATTTTCTGGAAAAAGCGCGACTGTCCGCAAGGCTAACCGTAAACGGGTGCGATTCTGCAGGGACAAAAGGCCGCTGTAGCAACCCAGTTCGTTGTATATGTACAGGAGCATAGCCCCTCGTCCGCAGCATCCTGTCTGACCTACTTAGTTGGACGACTTTGTCTATCACTTACAACACTTGAAGAGCGTGCCCGCGCGAAGGATTGCAGTTGCCTACTGGTGTCATCATTCTTCTTTCTTTTACTGGATATCGCTTGGCTGCCAAGGAGCGTTCGACCCACCTCGTGCATAAGCATACGCGGATAGTAAGAGATCTGACCAGCGGCGGACGGGAATAGGCACATCTTGGTCTTGGTCTTGACTCTTGGACAAGAGTTGGCCATCGTTTCAAGGCGGTCTCCTTCGTTGCAACTTTTCTTCGCATCTTCTTAGACTCTGTGCAAATGCACTCCAAGACAATCGCTTGCTCGTGGACGTCAAACGCGGCTTCCCTATTCTTGTAACGAGGCAGCGACTTAAAACACCGAGATCGACATGGCCGAAGTAGCAGCCCCTCCCCAGCCCACGCTGGTGTCTGCACTGCCAACAATGCTCATGAGCTATTTTACCACGCCAACCACCGACAACACTGCCTCGTTGAACGACAGTCGGGATGCGAATACAAAAAGCTACCAAAAGAACAATTATACCATTGAATCACTACCAATGCAGGACAATAACTCTACCCCGCGAAGCCACAGGAACAATCCAAACAGAAACTCACTGCCGCCAATAACCAACGACGATGACGACGAATATGCCTCTCGTGAAGGTTCACTGATGAGCTCCAATGGCGGCAGGAGGAAGCGATCCTCTCGCCCCAAGACTTCATACAGCATTGCCCATGCACCACCCAAAGGCAGTGCGCGACACAAGATCCATGTCCGCGCCAAACCCCTGTTGCAGTTGCACCAATTGTCCCACTCTGCGAGACCCATGCCTGCCTACGAACTTCTACCTTCGGCTATCTTCTCTCCCTCTCTGTCGCGCGCCATCTCCAAGACCTTCCGTACCCGCCACGGTCTCTGTCCTGCCGACCTGGCCATTGTCAAGGCTGAAAAGTACCACCAACACGAAGCATCACCTAAAGAGGAGGATGAGTCTAGAGACGTTCTGGCCCTTGTCTGCAAAGGCCGAAAGGGAGATGGCAATACAACATCCAAGGCGAGGCTCTTTCTCGAAGACGGAAGCGAGTGGGAGGCCTATCCTCTGCCCAATGGTGGCTACGAATTCTTTAGTACCGACGCACATGGCTTGGGCATGACTGCACGCTGGGTCGTCCGCCGTCCAAAGGCTAGAAGGAGTCAGTCTGCCTCGGACATGACGACGTCTTGGGGTACTGACAACGCCAACCAAAACAAGAAGTTCAACTTCAGCACCATCTCGCCCAACTCTCGTCGCCATCCTGTCATTGCATCACTCACAACCACATCTCTTGATATCAACGATTCTTATACCATCCCATCAGCTCTGGCGCCCTCGCCCGAGATCTCCGACCACGAGGAAGCTGGCCAGGACTCTGGCAGTCTTTCTGAGCCAGTCATCACAACTCAGTCCCTGAAGAGTTTGATCACTGCCACTGCCGTATGGGTAACCCTTCGTGAGGGCTGGTGCTCTGGCTATCGTTACGACGATCTTATGCTACGATCACCTTCTCTCAAAATCAATACCTCTCCCATAAAGTCGCCAACAGATTTGTCCCCTGCTGCTACTTTCAAAGAGGACACTCCAAGAAGAAGCGGCAGCATTGCTCGTATATTCCGCTCTTCTGGTGTCAAGCGACGCTCCACGTCCTCTCAAATCGACGGCTCTACCTCGACTGACGAGGCTCCTATTGCTAGAAGTGCTAGTGCAAGGAGGGCTCGTGCTGATTCTACCAGCACCGTCTTGGTTCATTCTAAGCGTCCCCGAGGACGTCGTGCTGATACTACCAGCTCTACTGCATCCGGTCTCGCGCACATGGATCTTGCACCAAGCGATATGACCGAAGAAGAGGAAAGTGTCGAAACCACAGCCGCCATGCTTGCCAAGTCAAAGCACTCTTCGGCTCCAACTCCCTTGATCCCTGCTCTTGATCCGCACGAAAGCGATGAAGAAGGTCACACTCTTCGTTCAGACTCAGCCAAGTCTCAAGAAGCCGAGAGAAAGCTAGCTGCCGCAGCTGCCCAGCGTCAGAAGCGCGAAAGCTCCACCACCTCAGCCAATAGTATAGATGCCGGTAAAATCGAAGCAACTCTACCACCGAAAGCAAAGAAGAGTGGCAAGTTTAGAAAGCTCTTTTGCGGCATGGCAGGCTGAAGTTGAGGAAGCAAAAGTCACGTTTCGTTGTTTTATCTATCTGATGGCTGGCCCTTAGAGAAACACACACCTCATCCCAACCATTATACCTATATCCCTCATTCTTTAGCGGCTGTTACCATCTTTTCTACATTGCGCAGAGCGCTATGTATTATTGATATCAATTGTTCTTATCCAGCGTCAATACACTCACGAATACACGAATTCTTTCATTGTTTCACATCTTGCCATTGTCCTTGCTTGTTTGTTTGTTCTATCCTGCAAGCATTCATTTCTTGTGCTACGCGACACATTCAATCTGCATCTACTCAAAATATTTGGTTATTGTCATGCACTTTATCTGCAGGCAAGCTTGCCCCGTATAGCAACCCCGTATCGCGTACACCGTAATGAAGTCAATCTATCGCTTCAGTTTCTCCGCACTTTTGCATAAATTTTGCTGGAGTGCTTTTGCATAACTTTACTCTCGGAAGCTGGAACCTCCGCAAAAGCTGCAGAGATAGGGTGGAAGGGAATGAGCTGGAGTTCTGACTTGAGGGCGTTTTCGTGACCACTTGGGAGAGCACGTGGGTGCGATGATCTTTGAATGGATGATTGTTGCGTTTTTGCTTTTGCATTTCGTCTCTCGGTTTCAGGCTTTCAGCTCTGCTTACCTACGCTGACTTGACTTGCTGTTCTTTTCAGCTCGGGGTTTGTGATTGCTGACGGGCTGACGGGTGTCAGCTTTTGAGCTTGCTGACCTTGAGTTTTGCTACCTATCCGAAGGCTTGGTAATAGATGGATGTTGGCTTGGTTGGCATGCGTGCCGATGTTTTAAGATTGTACTGAGAGGTTCCTGGTCTTTCGGAAGAACGTCTCGTTACGGATACTGACAAAATTGACTGGCAATTGCTGATTCACGAGACATTTCCAGCGAAGAAAGACTCTATCGATTATAAAGTCTGCATGGACTGAGAGAATGCTTGGTACGTCAGTTTCCCTACTGATATTCAACCTCGCGACCTTACGAACGACCACGTGGAACAAAGAGATCAATACATTGAGCAATATCTGTAAGTACTTGCTTGACAAGCAAACGCTAGCTTGCTACACCTTTCTTCTCACTCAATTGTACCTGAATTCAGTCGTGGCCCATTCTTCCAGATTCCACAGTCTTGGTTTCTGGTCAAGGGTACTAATACTGTCTTCCTCGCTCCGTTTTTTTTTTCCTGTTCTCTTTCTGTCTCTTTTTCTTTTCTCTTCTTCTGTTTCTTTCTGGCTTCTTTCTCTTCCCTCAGTTTCTAGCCTGATTCTCCTGAGCAAGTTTTTATGCTCTTGCTTACTCTCCTAAAGCAAATTACTGTACACCATAGCCCAGAAGTCCTTGACAAAGTTTCCACCCTCCTTCAACAACTCTCCAAACTCTTGGCTGTTGCCGAAACCACTGACTTCAGACACAACATATCTGACCGCAATGTCCTTGAGCTCTGGCATGTCTCTGGCCATTCCAAGTTCAGTGGTGTATACCCAACGAACCAAAGCAAGAACATCGCCAACACGCTCGGGCTTGCAGTCGAATCGCATCAACTTGTCGCACAATTTCTGCAACGACAGAGTCTTAAGTTTGGCGATGTCGTAGTTGATAGCGAGGGCGTGCATGGCAGCATGGGCGATGAAGACGTTGGTGTGGTTCTCGTTGCTTGAGACACCGTTGGACTTGGTTCTGGTGTTTGTGCCAAAGACGCGAGCGGGAATAGTTGTGTAGGGTGTGTTGGCAAACACGCTCTGCAGCTTGTGTTTGTTGCTCAGGTTCATGTTCAGTGGAGTGTTGACTTCAGGAGCAGGGGAGGAAGTGCCGAGGATGCCAGGTCTGCCAAAGCCGGTGAGAGATTGAGCTGGCGATTCAGTGCGAGGACGCTTAGCAGCTGGCGGCTGGACGGAGGCGTCGTCGGTGGTGACGAGAGCGGTGGAAGTGCTTGCGCCTTCGCCGTTTGCATCGCCGTTCCTGGCGCCAGACTCAATGGCAGGAAGAGATGGCTTGACAGCGATAGGGTAAGGATCCGTGTAAGTCGAGGTGTAGCAGAAGTCGCAGAAGCGCAGGAGATCTTCTTCGCGCACGCCGTGCAGGGTAGCGCTGGTTCTGTGATTATCGGGACCTCCTTCCTCCATCAACAATTTGAGAGGAGCAGAGACTGCAGCGACAGCGCCGGAGTGGACTGTAGTGGCTGCGCCATTCTCGCTTGCATGAAATGTGAAGAGACGCGAGTTATAGACGCTAGAGATGATCAGAGCATGTCTTCTGATGAGCAAGATGTAAGAAATACCTTGAAGAGTGTTGCGCCATGGCAGTAATGTCTGTAAAGTCAGACACGTCAAGAGATAAAGGTGCGTTTGTTGTGGTCGAGTCAAAGATGATGCAGGTGACGCGCTGATGGTTAGGTTGTTGATTTGCTGTGTCAATCACCAGTAGCATGACCGAACCGGGTTCGCTGGCCAAGAATATTACGGTCGCGGCGACGATGCAGAAAGTTGTGACGCAAACAAAGATGGTTGCTGTTTCCCAATTTGTCTTTGTTGCTCCTTCCTGATGCTTCGTCGCCATCATCTGAGCAAAGTTTCTATCCAGAATCAAACTACAACATCAATATCGGTCCTGACTGAATACTCAGCATTATGGCCCAACAGCTTTTGACGTCCCGGATGGTTCTCCATATTTCGCTTGAAGGTGACTGGAGATCCTATCGTTCCAAACTACCCTCCTCTGATGGGTCAATTAACGGATTGCCTTCCTTCAACACACAAACACTAGCATACACCTCCATCACCATCTCTCATTGCCATAGCGCTACTGGATCAGCTATCAGCCATGATCACTCTCTGGAGAATTAATGAACACTGAACCTTTGCAACTTACACCCACTGTGCTCGACGCCAGAAGTGGTCGCTCTATGCAGTCAATGAGAGGTTAGCTTTGAGAACAATGACCTCGAGCTCGAGAATCGTCGATTGCGATTGGGATCTGGCACAGAACACCTGTCGACACGGTCATGAAGTACCTGTGCTAGACGCGCCGGAGAGGGACTTGCGTCGACGGAACTATTTGACCGAGGCGTACTGGCCGACTTGCTAGCCAGATCAGTCCTTCCAGATGTCCTCATTTTGCGTCAAGACACAGCCTGCGCAGTTGTTCGTCTGCATGCACTTGATTTCGGACGACTCGAATGCGTTATCATACCAGAGATAAGCAGCTTCAGACCGCCACACTATTGGATGCATACGAAATACCTTGTGCATATGCGACTTGCTGATCACTGGGTTTAGCTGACTACGCCACAATTCGGGCTGCATGCTCAGCCTTGCTCAATGGAAATTATGGATCAGCCAAATATAGATCCTGAACTTGGGGTTTTTCTTATGACAGAGACTGACACATACACTTGGAAAGCAAGGTCTGCGAGGATTTGACTCATCGCTCGCCATGGCTTCTTCTCCCACTACGCCTGAACTCGGACCAACACAGTCGAAACTGAAAAGCGAGGATGTCGCTCAGGAACCTGACCTATCCCATGCCGTGGCTTCGTCTTCTGATACGTTTCGACCCGGAAGAGATTCCTATACCGAATTTTTATCTCACCCGGATACTCCACAGCTTAAGTCCCTCCCTCAAAACGCCAAAATTTGGTATGACGATTGGGGTGAGGCGAGCAAACCTCTTAGTCTTGTTGAACTCTCACACCTCCTCGGGAAACGTTCGACCTCGGGTGTTATAATGATTGAAGGAATGGATGACAGGACTTCCTCTCTGATCTCAGACACATTCAGGACTAAGGAGCTATATCACTTCCTGTATCGACATGCAGCACGAGTGGAAGGTCCAAAAGCTCCCTCTAGTAGAGGGCACACAAAACTTGATGTTAAAACATCCGGACCGCTGGGCGAGAAGCATCAGACTTCGCTAATCCGGCGTGAATTCTGTGGCATACACTTTGATGGGTTTTACTGTCCGATGACTGTATTGATCGAGCCAAACAGCTTTGGAGAGTTGGCTGCTAGTGTGAGCGTAATAGGAGGTCTGACGTTCGCCAATGACGATGATCATCTGCTCATTCCAAAGGATGAGACAAGGATTGAGACGTTCGTCAGCGATGGCTCAACATGGCACAAAACAAGTACTCGCATTTCATGCTGCCAGTTGACAGCTGACCTCTGTAAGCTGCATTTTATTGATCCTGTGACGATAGCTAACCCTAAGAGTCAAGTTCTTGTGCTCGTGGATCCCACGTTGAGCAACCCCCCTGTCAACGCGAAGGACATGTTTAATGGCAGCTTCCCGGGCTTACCCAGAAACCTAAAAGGCAGACCGTACCTTGCCGGTGCGCGACTTTTCAATGCCTACGAAACTTTGCAAAGGCTTTCTACGAATTTTTCTTTTCGTGGCGTTCTTATCTATCTGTGTCAACAGCCTATATGCGGCTCACACGAGGACTCCATCTTCCATTGTTTGATAACCGTCAGCGAGTGGCAGTCATTAACGGAGCAACTTGAACGCAATTTAAGGCGCCTGCGATCTCAAGCCACAAGGTCCATAGATGAAACGACCCTTGATGAACTGGGTAGGTATCGTCGCATCTTGGCAGATACAAGAGAATCTATCGCGGACAATTTGTCACAACTGAGACTTTTAACCAGGAAGACAGTGCTTGAAAGCGTCTCTAGACAGGTGAGACGACCGATGACCACGTTACATCATGTAAGCTTGTATCATCTTCTGATATACAACAGGAACTACGCAACAAAATCATCAATCAGGAAAAGGAGATAAGGATGAAATGTCTTGACGAACATACATCAATCATCGTTGAGCAGGAGGATAATACTGCAGAAGCAATCAACATACCAAACCTCCTAATCAAGCTCGCGAAACTCGAAGATAGACTCGAGGCTATAGACCAGGGCCTCAACGGCGAGGTGCAGCTGTTCATCGCTTCGATACAGATCCAGGACTCCAAAATAGCAAAGGAACAAGCCGCACGTACGACTCTTCTTGCCATTCTCGCGATGATCTTCTTGCCTCTCCAGCTGATCACCGGAATATTCGGCATGAATATCAAGGAAATCACAGGGAACAGTCCGTCGAGCTGGTGGGTTTGCTTGGTTGCTCTGGGGATCTGTGGTGTCCTTACATTTATAGTCTTCTTGGGTGTCAAATGGTGGCGTCAAAGGAGAGACATCCGGCGTAGGGAGCAAGAGCAAGTTTATCAGGAGAAGAAAGGAGTATAGCAGCCGAATCCCCGGAGAGTAACCTCGCTGCAAGATTGCTATGTTCGGTGACTGGATGCTAAACAGTATGCTCAAAGGATACAAATGACACTTTATCCTGAAGAAGTACCTTGAATATATCGATCCCTCATCTATGCAAACATCTGTGGTACAGCATACGACACAACAACATTTCTCTCGGTACGATTACCTCATCGTCATCCCTCTCTCTTCTCAAGCTCCCATCATCTCCATGTAACATTATATACCAGATGCTTTTACAGATCCTTGGCCTTATGACAAGTCCGCTCCTCTATCAACGTATCATGCATAAGCCTCTGGAACTAACATCTCACACCCAGTAGCATGATCAAACAGAATCCACGAGTCGAAACAAACACCTCTTTCACCATCTGGCCTCTCTTTGTTCTTTCCGTGATCCTCAAAGCGATCATTCTCTTCTTGTCTCATCAACAAAGCTGTGGTGGATGCTTTGCTCGAAAGTTGTTGCTGACGACGAGTTGGTCTATCAAACTCCAACAAGCAAGGAGAGCCTAAGGCCCAGGTCCACAACCCTTCTCCCTTCTAGGCCTTCCCATTTGAATGATATTACTGATGAAAATCTTGATGGACTTCAATCTAGCTAAGAAAGCCCAATAAAGGAGATGGAGGAAAGGTTGTATATGCTTCACAGACCCTGTACGCCTCCATTGTCTCCGCTCTAGCTGAGGTTCCAAGAGACTGCTCCACAGACTATCCCTCGCCCTCAGTCGGGGGTGAGTTAGGTCCGCCATACCATCCTTGGAAGAAGTACTAAAAGTGCACTCATAGATACACTTCGAGGCGACAAACCCATCCTTGACATTAGTAATAAACTCATGATTCCACAATCTACTCATAAATTGTGAGGCTTGCCAGTCCATAGTAGTAGTGAAAATGCAACCTAACTCGCAGTGTCTCTTAGGGAAATATCTGAAATGCTCACTCTACTTGCGGTGGTACCATGGTTCAACTTTATCCTCACAGGCACGATGATTTTGTGCGCTTCTCCGTTTTCACTATGAGGCAGATCTATCATGCAAGTAGACCCTTGAAATGGTTATTTGGTCTTATGCAGACAATGTCTAAGACCTCATGTTCGTAGATACTCTGCCAACCATAACTACATTGCTAATTGCTTGCCAATGTACGATCATACTTGCGACTTCCTGTGCGCGCCCATTTACCTGCACAAAATTAAGGCCTACATTCTCACGGTCACAATGTTTCCACTATACCAAACCGCCCATCTACAGCTCCCACGGAAGACCACAAAGACCTAGGTTCATAACCACATCCCTACATGTATGACTTCCTACTTTAGCAGAAGCACTGAAAGACATCTTGACGAACTTCAATCTATTTAGTCTCAAGAAGATGGACAGGAGATCATGTCTGCTTCACAGACCTATACACATTCATTGCCTCCCCTCATCATGCACCCTGCCCGTAGAATGCTCGAACCCGACAGAAACAATGGGCCGAAAAGAAAGTTGGAGTAACAACTGGATCATAACAGATTCCTGATTAAACGTGATGGGGCAGAACCGACCCAAGCTTAGCTATTTATAAGAAGTACCAAGGAAAACCAAGAGCTCAAAGCACTGAGGCAAGAGGTAGTCTCAAGTACCAGACAATCCAGAGTAGAGTACACAAATTCCAAACTACCAAAACGCATATCTTTACCAAAAGTGATAACACAAGAATCCAGGGTAAAAATTAATGTCTTCATATCGCACCTCTACGCTTCCTACGTCTTTAAATATCATATAGAACCATTTACCATTCTGACTGGAACAAACACCAAGATTTTATCTATCTGTACAAGTCCGGCCACAGATGGGATGATGATGCTCCGTCGATTCAGACATTCTGCAGCAGAGAACAAGGTACAGAGAAGGGAACAGGAACAATCAGGTCTGTATCCCCTTCCCCACTCCCAAGTCTCAGTAGTAATGTGCATCAGATGACAGGAACTCAAACATGATCAATTGGGATGAATGGGGAGAGATTCTGTATTACAGACCTAATGGCTTCAAGTGTCGTTTGGGTGTAGGCAAAGAGGTCGTCGAGTACATCTACCACATCTGCGTGAGCGTCTCGAGGAAATGTGTCTAGTGCATTTCTGAATTGTAGAAGGGATAATTCCAAGAATGTTACGCCATCGTCGCCAAGGTCGAAGAGACCGGTCTCGACATCTTAGCTATAGTGTGCGGTAGGGATCAATCGACTTATGGATCTCTACTCCTACTTTTTACTTTGATCTGCTATGTTTAGTCTGTCGCAGATGTTGGTCAGTTGTATGAAGCCCACCAAGCCAAAAGACTTGTTCTTATACATATCCGCGCCTTGTCAAGGCCTCAAAAGACATTCAACAGCAGCGATAATGAGAATCAAGTATCTCGATCATGTTCTCAAGGATTCAGACATTCAAGAAGAACTCCATTTTTGCAATACGTTCTAACCCAGAACGTTCAAGAACATGGCTCGCTGGCTTGTCTGCGATCTGCTGAGATTGCATCCACACATATCAAAGGATGCACGCAGGAGGATCGGTACTCGCTCTCAGAGATCCTAGAAGAGGAAAGGCAAACACCCAGGTCTGTATCCCTTTTCTTCACTCCCGAGTTCCTATAGTGATGTGCATCAGAGACTCGGATTTCACCAACCGGGATGAACGGTGAGAGATTTTGTATCACAGACCTGATGACTTTATTCCGTGCGGCGGGAATGAATTGACTGTAGATCCCTGCTGCCACCTTCTCCATGCCTTAGGACGTGGCAGGCCGCTTCCGAGAACGCAATCACGCTGGTTAGGATTGGTAGTGACACAATTTTCAAGTATGAAAACTGAAAGTTTGAGTCAAAGGTCTGGCTTCCCTCAAGGCAACAATAACATATCACTTGATAAAAACAACAAGTCAAGTCGTCAAGCGAAACGTTGTTATATTGTCTCCTCGTCTCTTCTCTTGTTCAACATTACTTTATGTACAAAAGGTCTGTCACAGAGAACCACTGCCACTCTTCTCATGTCCGCATCTTCATTTCATCAAGTCATCATAAAGCGAAAACACAAAAACGAACGTGTTGTCATAACTGGACCTGCTTTTCAGCGTTGCTTACACTGCACTCAGGTACTCTACCAAGATGAGTGGTAGCCAGTGGGTTGAGTGTAGGTAGTCCACGAATTGTGACCACCATTGCTGGCGGTGTGGGAGTATGAGTGAGAGTATGAGTGCGAGGAAGACTTCGAGGTCGACTGCGAGGCAGACTCAGAAGGAGGGCAGGAAGTAACAGTGACTGTGGTGCCGATGACAGAGCTGGGGGGCGAAACGGGAGGGATGGAGTAAGTGCCGTTGGCAGAGCTGCCACTGCCTGAGCCGCCATTGCCCGAGCCCCCGTTGCCAGTGCCAGGAGAGGTGGCACCGTTAGCAGGCAAAGCGGCCTTGAGAGGCAACTTTCTGCTGGAAGAGCCGACATAGACGGTCTTGGGGTAGTCACTGATGTACCAGTCATCAAGCATGTTGCTCCAGTTGCTGACATCTCTGCGTGTGATCTGGGCAGTGAAAGTTTTCGAGGCACCAGGAGCGATGGAGAACTTGTCGAATTGACGGAGGACAACAGGTGGGTCGTTGGGACCACCAAGAGATATGTAAAGCTGGGGAACTTCTTCACCCTCAACTGAGCCAGTGTTGGTGACAGTTGCGGTGACTGTGTAGAGAATGTCATAGAGACCGGGGTTACCACCGGAAGCTCCTGAGGCGGGAAGAAGAGGTTGAGGAGCGCTCGAAGAAGAATCGGCAGGGAAGCTGTAGTTGCTACCGTAGTGAGGGTCTCCAGACGAAGCACGGAGGTTGGTAGAGTTGAGGTAGGGGTANNACTAGGTATGTTAGTCGTTATAGTTGCTGTTTGACCTGGTAGACAAGACTTACATGTAATACTCAATAGGTCTAACGTCAGCAGGGAACAGGTAGTCGGCAGAATTGTTCGAGATAGTGCCGTAGACAGGTGCAGCTTCGGTGTAGCCTGTGGTAGGGACATAGGCAGGAGCCGAGGTGTTGACCGAGACTGAAAGGTCAGAGTAACTGAAAGTGGTGTACGAAAGACCGTAACCGAACTCATAGACAGGGGTTTCGTTTCTCCTGTCGAATGCTCTGTAATCGATGAAGACACCCTCTTCGAATTGAGTCTGAGGAGCTGCGCCACCGTTGTTGGGTTCGTAGAGGAGATCGGTGCCATAAGACTCACGGGTCTTACCCATGGTGAAGGGGAGCTTGCCAGAGGGATTGACCTTGCCGTACAGAACATCGACGATAGCGTTTCCTGACTCTTGTCCAGGAACACCTGCCCAGAGGATGGCAGTAATGTTCTCGTGTTCGTANNCCTGAGCAGGTAATCAGTTTTCTCTCTTGCTGAACATAACGGTTAGGACTTACCACTCATCGATCAAGACGGGACCGACAGTGTGAAGGACGACGATGGTGTTCTTGCACAAGGATGAGACGTTGCGGATGACAGCCTCACCACCTTGCCAAAGAGTAAGGTTGTTGCGATCTCCTTGGTTACCATCGANCCTGGTTTTTGTCAGTTTTGTACTTGCCACATCAGCTCGAGAACAACATACGATAATGTAGCCTTCACCAGCATCTGCATTTGCGAACACTGAATGATAGGGTTAGCAAGATCCTAGGCGGTGAATGTGCCATATAATGCAAGACCTACCGATACAAGCACCGTTGACTTCATCAGCACGTTGAGCGAGAAGGTCGATCTGACTGTAGGCGGCACGGTCAAGAACACTCTCGACGGACTTGCCGTGAGAGCGAACCTCGTTCTCAATGGCTGTGTGAGGTGCAACCAAGTAAGGGAAGTTGGCGGTACTGTGACTCATGGGTTAGTGTCAAGCTTTTCTTGTTGCGACGTTTCGGGAAGGAACTCACCCACTACCCCAACCCATTGCGAGGGTTCCATTGTCGCATCCTCTATCGCTACAACCATTAGGGCCGTATTGGTTGTCGGCAGCGTCTTCACCGAAGACACCAACAAGTTGCTCGTTACCGCTGAGTGGCAGAGCACCTCCCTTGTTCTTCAACAAGACAGTACCCTTTGCAGCGACCTCGCGGATGTTATCGCGGTGGTTTCCTTGAACATCGACATGATAGTTGATCTGTTCATAACCCTCCTCAGCAATGTAATGTCTGTATCCAAAAGTTCTTGTGGTCCATGAAGAGAAGTTAGGGGCATTCTCGACTTGGTGGCCCTCTCTGTCAACGAGGTACCATGCGGCAACGATACGGACAGCCATGTCGTCGATTCTGTACTGAGGGACGGTGCCGTTGAGTACGGCGATGGTGAGGTTGGCGCCCCAGAATGAGGTTCCGCTATCGAAGCCAACATCTCCGGGCATGGTCATGTCAAGGCCCGCAAGAGCACTCGAGACACCAGAGTGTTGCCCAGACCAGTCACTTATTANCACAATATGTTAGCCATGTCTTCCAACGTAGACGACAGAGCCCTGCACGAACCTCACTACGAACCCCTGGAAACCGAGCTCAGACTTGAGGATCTTGTTCAGGGTGTGAGAATTTTGGCNACTGCAATTGGTCAGAAACGCTTCGACTGCATACATCTTGTAAACACTTACGGCGTAGCTGTTGTTAGCCTGGTTGTACGAGCACATAACACTTCCAGTACCAGCACGGACGGCATCAGCGAAGGGCCAGACGTAGAGCTCGTGCAGAGTGATATCGTCAACATTAGCAGAGACAGCGTCAGAGATATTGGGACCACCTTGTCTGAAGTGCTCCTGCTCGTTGAGGATGTAGTGCTTGGTGCAAGCAATGACACCAGCATCTTGGATACCTTTGACGGTCTCGGCGACCAAGATACCAGAGAGAACAGGGTCAGGGCTGAAGCCTTCCCAGTTGCGGCCCCCNNCTTCGGGACTACGGCCAAGAGGGCCCACGACAGGTCCGAGCATGACATCTACACCCTTGTCGCGGTGCTCACTGCCCATGTCATTGCCGCGTGTGTAGGCAAGTGATCTGTCCCAGGTCGCGGCAACGGAAACGCCGGCGGAGAAGGCAGAGACGAAATCACNCTGGTTCCAGTCAGTACTCAAGAGTTCCCGAGAGAATGCTCATTGCTTACCGAATCTCACACCCAAAGGCGAATCCTGCAGACAAAGGGATTTGAAGCCCAAACGGGGGATAGAACCAATGTTACCAACACATTTTTCGGACTCCCNAACTAGAAATCTGTCAGTATAGGATCTCTTGTTCGGATTGAGGAAAAACTAACCCAACACCTAGACATAGTTAGCATGGCACGAATACGAAGGGTCATGTCAATCGAACGTACCAGTAGTCAAATTGACCTTCTCAGCAAGTGTCAACTGGGACACAAAAGCAATAGCCTTCTCATATGCATCTGCCCATTCACCAGCACCAGTTCCCCAAGGAGATGGATAGTAGGGAGGAGAGGTCTCGTTGAATTGAGCGCCAGCTACAGCATAGGTAACTTCGGATCCAGGATAGTTGGTGCCAGGGANACTGCGCAGCTGTCAATTGGCTGTTGTGCAACTTCAAAAGTCAGAGACACTTACAGGAAGACCTGGAACAGGAGGAACCGGGTAGCTGCCTTGGGCATTGGCGAGCTGAGCCGCCAGCAACAGGGCCAGGCTCTTGAAACCAGACATCTTGTGCGTAAAGATGTCTCAACCAGTAGAAAGATTACTTCTTAGGTACCAAGAGAGAGCAAGAGAGAAAAAAGTTGAGAGCTCAATAGAAATTGTTTCGCAGGAAGTAGAAAGCACAAATGGCACTTTCACAGCTGCAGCTTCCCGTGAGAGCAAACACAATGTTGGCCCAAAAAGATGCGGCCATGCGATTCAATTTAAACCTTTTGACTCACCAGCTTCATTTTACCGGTAACCCGAGTGGAAGGGACCTCATGATGCCATACAAGGATCTTTCTTTTGGGGCATGGACACATGAGGGAAGCTCTGACCCGCGGGGTAAATTATTTCTCCAAGGAACGAAACAGAGGAGCTCTGTCAGCATGCATGCTATATTGATCATCTATGCAGGCACGGCACAGACGATGAGAGGGGTGCATTGCAGTAGCTTCGTCTCTGAACAGCCCCAATTGACGTGTTCGTCACTACCTGCTGTAGCGCAGCAAGGTGTGATTTTTCCATCTTGGACGGCCACAAGGGTTTGAAGGAAGGGCGACAACGGCTCTCCAAGGCAATTGTCCTACCAGTCAGAGGCAAGTCTAGCGTTTCATGGAAAGGAAAGAAAGTACCACGCGGTGTGGTTTTGAAGTGAAATCTTGGTTAGAGTGCCCTAAGGTTTGTAGATCATGCCCATGGGGCGTAGTCCATGATTCTCAGTGTATGTTGTTAAAGAACGTGGTAGTAGTGTTAAACAGCATACAAATCCTAAAGTGGTAGTTGCTTGGCTCTATCATTGTGCATTACTGCATCACATTTCGGCATATCCCAGAGAAAAGAGCTGTCGTGAATTCATGATCTCTTTCGTACTGTCTGCTTTCGATACTTCCAAGTGACTTTCATAAGTTTCAGCAGCTAATCCAGCCAATCACATATAAGCCATCCTACTCTCGTTCCTCGATTCAATCTGACCGCTCTGTAGACTAACCCTCTCTTCCTCGCAAATGTGGAGAAAGCTCCAATGTCGATCAATCATCCATCACCTCGGCTGTATGCATGTTTGATAAGTAAGGACACCTCATGACACCCACGCCTCCGCGCGCCAGCAAAGAAGTATCCATAATCCTGCAGGCAGCATCGTATTGCCATTATCCTGTATCACGTCAGAAACCAAGGTCACGAGTACTTAAGCCAAAGCAGAACTTAGAAAGGATGTAAGGGCGTTAGTTGTACCTTTCGTACGTACCATGTCACGTTTGCACGTTTAGACACGGAAAACAGGTGCCGTTGCCCGCAAGATTGAGACACATGCAAGGATGGAGTTTATTTCTTTGGCGTGCTTTGCATATCCCTCTTCAGCTAACTGCGGGGCAACAGAGCGGGGTGCTGCACCTTGTGGATGATGGAAATTTGTAGATCCACCTTTGTTGGCATCGAGTGTAGCGATGACAATCTAATTCGGCCGAGAAAGATGCCATAGTCGCAGTGTTGGCAAACAACCGAGAGCAAAGACATCAACCCAGACAGCAAGAAGATTAGCCTTGACACTACAGTAGCTCCCTGAGATACAGAGATATAAAAGACATGCCTCTTTCATCTCCACGTCTTTTCCAAATGTTTTAGGACCCTCTCTACCCTTGTCACAGCCTTTCCTTCCAGAATGCCACACGAGAGAAAAAGCTCCACCATCGGTTAAACCCCCAAGGCTTGAACCACGCCACAAGAGGGTCGCCCGTGTCATAGCCCTCCCACCTACCTCATCGAGAGCGATCCCGCTGCCATGATACTTTAGGGACGTGTGTGGTGGATATGGTCCACAGCTGGGCACACCTGGGCACTTTTTCGGTCCGACGAAAGCAAAAGTCAAGGAAAGCGGTTGTGAGGGCCGTAGTCCCGTGGCCTCTTGCATGACTTGGTCCCAGTCACTTTAACCCCTCATCGCGATGTAGGATGGTGACCGAGGCGAAGATATTGACAAAACCCTTCGCAATATGGATGTGTTGTAAGAGAGTGGAGGAGCAATATTTGCCGAGCTTATACTGATGCTACAGCTCTTCAAAAGCGCCTTTACTGCGCCACATGAGGATAGATACTCAATGACATAGAGATTCCTCTGTACATTTTAGAAATCCGTGAGAGTGGTGTAAATATAATAATACAAAGAAAGGGAATCCGCTATGCGCAATATAAAAACAAAGATGCCAGAAAACACACTCAAGACCCCCAATGCCAATATCCCCCAAAACTCCATTGTTCGTTTCGAGGTTTCTATACATAAGAACATCTGGAGCTTTATTTGTTCAAATCCTTGAACACCACAGGAGCAGGGTTGGAGGATCCGGGAGGAAGGATGGGTCCATCAGGCTTCTCGGGGATGCCAGGGATTCCTGCGCCAGGACCTTCACGGTCGCCACGGCCGCCAAAGTACTTGCTGAAATCGCCCTTGTCCTCGAATGGTCTTGGGCCAAGCAATCTGACGAGGTCGTCGCGGGTCAAGACTTCCTTGCGGAGCAACTCCTCAGCAACGATGCCGATCTCCTTCTTCTTCTCCTCGAGAAGGTCGCGACATTGCTTGTAGGCTTCATCGACGATGCGCTTCACCTCGGTATCAATGTTGCGAGCGGTCTCCTCTGAGAAAGGTTTCTGGAGCTGGTTCGGGTCATCCTCGAAGTAGAGGTAGCCGACCTTGGGTGACATGCCCCACTTGGTAACCATGGCGGTAGCCATGCGAGTGACCTTGTTGAAGTCGTCTGATGCTCCTGATGTAACAGTCTCGAAGTGGATCTCCTCAGAGACACGGCCAGCAAGAGTCATGGCCATACGATCGAGAAGCTGCAGGTACGACATGAGGTAGGTGTCTCCCGAAGGAAGGTACTGAGCATAACCAAGAGCTCCTTGACCACGAGGAATAATAGAGACCTTGAGAAGAGGGTCGGCCCACTTGAAGTACCAACCACAGATGGCATGGCCAGCCTCGTGGTATGCGACTGTGCGCTTCTCCTCGGGTGAAAGAACCAAGGACTTCTTCTCAAGACCGCCAATAACACGCTCGATGGCCTGCTCGAAGTGAATCATCTTGACAGTGTCAGCACCGCCACGAGCGGCAATCAAAGCAGCTTCATTGACACAGTTGGCAATGTCTGCTCCGGAAAACCCGGGAGTAAGTGCTGCCAGACGACCCTTGAGATATTCAATGTCCTCCTTTGTCACAATGTTCTTCAAGTGGACAGCGAAGATCTGCTTGCGTCCATCCATGGTAGGCTTGTCGATTGAGATGTGTCTGTCGAAACGACCTGGACGCATAAGAGCTTGATCCAGAACATCTGCACGGTTGGTACCAGCAAGAACGATGACCTNGTCATGAATTGTTAGTATATTGCCTATCTTATGAGTAGGGCATCATCAAAGGCTCACCTGCTCAGTGCTCGCGAAACCATCCATCTCAGTAAGAATCTGGTTAAGCGTAGCCTCTCTCTCATCGTTACCACCGCCGAAGTTTTGCTTGGATCTTGACTTTCCAATAGCATCAATCTCATCGATGAAGATAATGCAGGGCGTGCTCTTTCTGGCATTCTGGAACAGATCGCGTACTCTTGAAGCACCAACACCGACGAACATCTCGACGAACTCGGAACCACTGACACTGAAGAATGGTACACCAGACTCACCAGCAGTTGCCTTTGCGAGCAGAGTCTTACCAGTACCAGGAGGACCAGAGAGAATAGCACCTCTAGGGATCTTTGCGCCAAGCTTTTGGAAGCGCTCGGGTTGCTTCAGGAAGTTGACAAACTCCATGATCTCGACCTTTGCTTCGTCCATACCAGCAACGTCGGCGAACTTAACCTTGACGTCGGTTTCGTGGTTGAATTTCTTCGCACGACTCTTACCCATACCAAAGATACCACCACCGCCACCACCGCCAGCTCCTGATGCAGCTCTTCTTGAGAGCCAGAAGATGGCACCAATGAACAGCAGAGTGGGGCCGAAGCTCAATATCGTGTCAGCCCAGGAGACTTCGCGACTATATTGCACGGGAATTCTCTCAGATGATGGGATGCCAAGCTCTTTCTGTGCCTCGTCAAGTCTGCGCTCAAAGGCTTCAACAGAGCCGATTGAGAAGTAGTAGTAGAAGTTGCCATGAGCAGCAGGGCTTTCGGGGTACATGGCTTGGACAGACTGCTGGTGGACATGCACTCTAACCTTGTTGTTATTGACGACGACGAGTCTCTCGACAAGGCCCTTGTCAAGGAAGGTGTTTCTCAGCTCTTGCCATGTAATCTCGCGGGAGTTCTCGCTGGGGACTACCAGACGGTAGATGAGGTATGAGGTGAAGGCGGAAAGAATGATGCTGTTCATATCCAGCTTGATGTCCTTGATGTTGTATGCTGGACCATCCTTGTCTTCGCCCTTGTTGTTCGACTTTGACTTTGAACCAGCTCCAGGATCGTGAGCACCAGACTTTTGCTGAGCGCCCTTGGCTTCGCTCTTCATGTCGCTCTCAGCAGTCTTCCTAGCCATGGAAGAGACTTGGCGCCACAAGCGAGCAGCGACAGCAGGGGTCATGTGGCCTTGCTTGACCTCGTCCATGGTATCGCGTAGGTCTTGAGGGATTCCTTCCTTGCGCATTTTCTGGAAAGTCTTTTCAACCTCTTCGGCCATGGATGCGGGCATGCCCTTCTTGATGTTGTTGAAAACCTCGACGAGCTCCTTCTCTTCCTCGGGAGTAAGCTTCGCAAAGCCGGGGCGAGGAGAGTCGGAGGAAGATGATTCGGCCTTTTCGTTTGTCAAGGGGCCGCCCTTGTTGTAGAGATGCTCCATGCCAGGAGCAGACTGGCCGGGAGTCTTGTCCTTGGCCTCATCCTTGTCTCGAGGCTCTTCGGGTTGGGTGGCGTAGCGGCGGACGCGCTGGTATGCGTAGGTTGGTCGCGGGATTGAAGCAGGTCTTAATGATAGCGAGCGACCGCGGGATGGTATTTGGTAAGTCGGCCTGTACAGGCGACCAAGGTTGATGGTCTGCCTCAAGATGCCTGACATGGTTGGTGGCGTGATGCGAGGCGGCGAGGGTGAGGGAGGTGAGGTGTGAGTTTAGAACGCAGCAACCATCCAGTGAAAGGATAGTCTGATGCGTGCGGCGGCGAAGTATGCAGCGGCGAGAGTGGGTGGTGAGATGATGATTTGAAGGCGAGAGAAACGCCCGACAGTCAATGACGCGAATCTGCTGTTGGCTGGCGTCCCGCAACGCTTGCATCAAGTCCGCCGGCGTTTGCCGTTGGCTTGCTAAGCATGCCACTTCGACACTGAAACACGCTCTCTTGATCAATCATCGAGTCGCACCCGTATTCTCGTGAGTCATCTTGTGTTCAGACGATCTGATCATTCGTTATTACTCTTATGCCTTTTATAGCGCTTGCATTCACACTGAGGTACAGCATTCTATGATCAGAAATGTTTCAGCTATATACATGCATAAAGTGCTATAAACTATTGCATATCTAGACTTCGAGTCCTATGCTCCGAAGCCAATGCTCTCCCTGTTGTCGTCCACAAGTCTTCCGTACTCGAGCAAGAGCCTAAAGAACCATACTTCAAAGTCCTCGTTTCTAAGCACTTTGTTGCTCCACTCTCGGCCTCTTTCGGCCATCTCGATAGCCATGTCCTTGCCGACTTCCTCGGATCCAAAGTACCGTACTGACTCGAGAGCTTCTTCTGCTCTCAAACTAAGCGGTACGTAGTGAATCCAGGGCTTGAGCCACTCTGCATGCCACTCACGGAACACTGCCATCTTGAACACCAGGCTGTGGGACTTGAGGAATGCATAGAATCGGCCACTAAAAGCATTGCCGTCCATGTCAAGCAAGTACTTGTACTTCCAAGCATCTTGCTGATCAGCTGGTGGCACAATCTTGAAGAAATCCTTTTGCGCATCGCAATCACCAGGATCGCATTGACCAACATGAGAGAAGTGGACGTCCATGAGTTCGGCATAGTCGGAGCGCGGTACGGAGCGCATTTGCCAGTCGGGAGTATTGTCGTCGCGCGAAGAAGCCGAGGTAAGGTGCGCGTCGTACATGATCTTGGCCTGGTCAGGTGCATTGAGCTTGTGCACGAGTTTCTGACGGTGTTGACGACGCCAGCCACCATCGCGTGAGAACCCGCCAGTCGTGCTACCGACCCACCACAGCTTGCTTTCTTTCTTCTCCCAGGCCACGTCCTTATGTGAATCATAGGTAACTTTTCCGTACCAATACCACGGAGAAGGATACAGAATGTCCTGGAAACTACTCATCTTGGACTGAGAAAAGACCGGTACAAGGTCGTGCACAACATTAAATGCATTCGGTCGGTCGAAGAAGCCATGTGATGTGCCGAAAGAAGGAGAGTTGCAAACGTCGCTGAAGGCTGTGTCATTATACACAAACCCTAGCTCGCTGATTGCATAGGCTGCGATGTTATCAGGTGTGATCTCTTCTTCGAGGGCCCGAGCAGGGCTGTCCGGAGAACAAGAAAGACGTGAAGGAATCCAGGTAGGTTGATGAGCAAACACGTTGAATCGTGTGACTTTAACCTCATCAACTCGTTCACCTGGGTTCACATCTTTTGGTCGAGGTGAGAAAGCGTCCTTAGGGTTCGGGTTTGCAAAGGCAGCAGGCATGTTCCTGGTCTTCGCCACGTCCACCAGGCGAGACAATTCGTCATGTGGAACAACGACTCGAGGCTCGTCGTGAATGTTGAAGGCCAGATCCATATCGGGCAGATACTGGATGAATTTGTCCATCATGCCAATTGTCGCCTTCTGCTGCCATTCTTGTCCGCTGCGCACATGTGTCACCTTTCCGCCTCTTACCATCAAAGCGATCAGGCTGTTGCCATCAAAACCAATGGCCTCTTGCACCCTTCGTCTTATTGTTACAGGCTTNNCCAAACCCCAGAACGGAAGCAAGGAGTGGTAGATGGTGTCGAACTCGTCTATGAGCTGAACATTGCGATCTTTCGCGAACTGGAACCATTTGTCGAAATGAGGTGGGGNGGGTATGTTGTATCGGCGCTTGTACTCAGTGACGGCTTCGTCCAGAGTACGTGACTGTCTTTGTAGTAGAGCAGTAAAGTCGTTTTCGGCGTTCTTTGCTAGATATTCGATTGGGTGGACATGGCTGTCGTTGTATTGTAAAGGACGGGATAGGTCTTGGTCGCGAAGCGTAGGTGACCAGGGACTGGCAGGGCCAGACGGGCGACTCGGACTTTCTGAAACGACTCGAGCGATCAAGCCGTCGCGGAAGTTGAAAATTGCAAGCAAAGCTAGCGAGACAAGAAGCAGCAGCGTGAGAAGGCGTCTCGAGCGCATGTTTGCTCGACCGTCTTGCGAAGAGTGTCGAGTAGTCGAGGTCGTGCGGTCATGGAGATAAGCGTAGAGTGACAGGAGGCATATCGACGCAAACCACAGTCGTCCTAGCGAAAAGTCGGCTGTCAATTGGGCGGCGAGTGCTGCGACAACAAAAGTTGAAGCTGTTGTGACCTGGTCGCATTTATCGANCCTGCGAGACACCCTGGTCAGTTTACAGGCCGAAGTGCATCCGCGACCCATTCTTGGTCACCTTATCTCGTCTTGACTTACCGCGAGAATGATCGTCTTGTTCAACATGACGTGAATCATTATCATAGCCACGCCCAATACCACCATCAAAATCTGTTGTGGTAGAAAAGCAAACCAAAATGGTCTGGTACTAAACTCCTCTAGAACAAAAGCCGACAGCCATTGTGCCAACGCAGCTGCAAACGACACATCGACCAACACTTGTTGTGTATCTCTCTTGATCGTCGGCTGAGAAAGCAGGCCACTCACAGATATTACTCCATCGTCAGGCCCGCTTGTCGAGACTGTCTCTCGATGGGCGGATTGCAACAGCGACAGGACTACGGCCACGAGCACGGCGTTACAACAGCCAAGCGCGAGTGTTGTCCGCAGCTCACTCAAATGGTTTAGAGCTACAAGTGCCGACACAGTGAGCGCTGCTAACAGTCTCGTGTCTCCATTCTTTGACTTTTCTGCAGATCGAGTGTCTGTACTCGATATGAAGCGTGCGGTGCCGAATGCATCCACTTTGACGACTACGCAGACGAGGACGGGAAGAAGAGCCTTNNTGGTACAGATTTTTCAGCCAATGTCCATTGTATATACTCGAGGGGCATTTCTTCTGACCTTGGCCCAATATATGTGACCTCTTTCCACAGCTCTTTCGCATACGCTGGATAGGGCCAGCAGCACTCCTGCTGTCCATGACAGTACTCGTCCCTGCGACTCTCCGGTGCTACTGAGGTCGCTTCTGTAGCGTGTATATGCCCAGATGCATGTCCATGCGACAGCGCTGGTGGTGAGGGAGTGTCGTGGGGAGGTGCCGACTAATGCGAGGGCGGCGGTGATGAGCAGGGTGCCCAACAGCACCGCTTGCTGGTTGTCTTGAATCACCCGACCCGGCAATAGCATCAGTGTCTTTCTCGTTGTCGACAAGTCTTCATTGCAACGTTTCCCTGCTGCAACACTTTCACGAAGGACCTCCCTGCTGGACGCGTGAGAGCTTGGCAATCCTTCCTCCGAGTCTCCGAAGCTAAAGAATAGAGGTGCCCAGTGATTGGCTGCACTACTTGATTCTGATTCAATTCATCTTATCAAACATGCTGCCATCACAAGACCAAGTCTCAAACTTGCAATAGAGGTAGTAACACAAGAGGCATTGTTTGAGTGAGCATGTGCTTCTTTGTCTGGTCATGTGTGATTGATGGTCTGGACTCGAGTCATGAACAGGGTCCCGTTTTCGACTATCAATAGATAAGGACGTTATCCGAGCCGACGGCGCATGACCGACACTAACTCCGCACCCGCTGTGTCATTGCTACCTCCTCCTTCTTGTTCTCTATCTCCCTCCTCAAGGACTCTTTGGTTCCTTTAACGAAGACCAGAAGTAGACGTTCTCTGCTGCTTGTGTGTCGGGCTGCTCATCCAACCAGACACAGTCAAGAGCTTGCAAGCTCTCACACAACCGCCAACATGGCTTCCAAAGCCATGATTCCCGTCCTCGTCGCCATGATGCTACTGACGGGCATGTGCAACACCCTCTTTACCAAGTACCAGGTATGATGCGCGCAATACAATCTGCCTCTTCACCTCTGACAGAACAANCAGGACATGCAATGTGTCGCTAACTGTGACGATCCCAACCCTGCCAAACGCAAGAACTTCGAGCAGCCTGTCATTCAGACACTCCAGATGTTCGTCGGAGAATCTGGATGTTGGCTTGTTGTCTTCGTCTCATACCTCTTCTCTCGCTACATTACCAAATCCTCCAACACAACCGCATACCAGCCCATCGACACCGAAGACAGTCGCAGCCCTCTNTTACAAGAAGATCTTGAAGCTCCCGCTGATGCCACAAATGTGCCTGCCAAACCCTTTGCTGATTCAGAGCATGCTGGCCAAAGACTGCCGCTCAAAGGATGGAAACTTCTGTTGCTTGCACTCCCTGCATGCTGTGACATCGCCGGAACCACCTTGATGAACGTAGGCTTGCTGTTCGTGGCAGCCAGCATATACCAAATGACCAGAGGTGCCCTCGTGCTCTTCGTCGGACTTTTCAGCGTCATCTTCCTCAAGAGACACCTGAATGCCTTCAAGTGGGCCAGTTTGTTTATCGTCGTCGCAGGAGTGGCAGTAGTTGGCTTGGCCGGCGCTCTGGAGAACAAGAAGGCCACGGTTCCTGGCACTACACCCGGATCTGATCCTCCGAGTATGGGCGAACTTCGACACCAGATGGCTTACAGCACCATTCATTTGATGCGCGATGTTGCGAAAAGCGTCGTGGCTACCGCTCAGGAACACTCTGCAGCCCAGACTATCATCGGAATACTTCTCATCGCTGGAGCGCAGATCTTCACAGCATCACAGTTTGTGCTGGAAGAAAGCATCATGGCCAAGTATGAGCTAGATCCCCTCGCAACTGTCGGATGGGAAGGAGTCTTTGGCTTCTCGGTCACGGCTATCGGTATGGTGATTCTACACTTTGCGGTTGGACGTACCGAAGCCGGCAGAGGAGGTTACTTCGATGCAAAGGAGGGGTTAAGCCAAGTGCTTCAACATCGGGCGATTGCTGTGAGCAGTTTATTGACCATGGTGTCGATTGGTGGATTCAACTTCTTCGGGCTTTCTGTCACTCGCACAGTGTCGGCGACAGCTCGTAGTACCATCGATACTTGCCGAACGTTATTCATCTGGGTGGTCAGTCTGGGGCTCGGGTGGGAGACATTCAAGTGGCTTCAGGTGGTAGGCTTTGGACTGCTGGTGTACGGCACCATGCTGTTCAACGAGATCATCCAGCCACCCACAGTAGGATTCTTGCGCAAGAGAATTACACTCGAGACGGAGGATGAAAGAAGAGGAAGGAACGACTAGGTCGTGTGTTTTATTATCTGAATATCCGTGTATATAGTTGGTTTGCCAATAAAGGAATTTATGCACGTCATAAATGGGCATCCCCACAGGTTCGGCAGCACCTTTGGATGGCTGCGATGGTCTTGTAGCGGTCGAATCTTGCTTTCCTGTGACGCGCTACATTTCAACCAGCACATTCCATAAGGCTAGCAGACGACCATCCATCATGTCGACGGCTCCTTCATCGCGTCCATTATTCCAGGCTCAGGGCGAAAACATGGGTCCTCCAGGAAAAACAATCGCTCGACCGCGACCAGACAATACCAACCGACCAGTGCTAGGCGACTTGACTCCAAATGCCAAACTCGACAAGCAACAACAAAGAGCCGGCAGTCCCCTCAAGAGACAAGCAAATATCTTCGACGATGGCAAAGGCTTCAGCTACATCAAGCGTCGTCGCCTATCACACAACAATGCTCTGACGCGCCGCATCACTCCACAACCTCCTCAGGATCAACAGAAAGCCCCCTCTCCTACCGAGCCCGACTCTCACTCTGAGGGCGACAGCGGCCGCTCATCTCAAAACTCGAATGCTACTCGTGGATCTTTCTCGTCGCTCATCAACTACGATCCCTCGTCGCAACAACAACATCACCAACAAACCTCCTCGTCAGCGTCCATGTCCATCCGTACCGCTGCTCAGACTTTACGGTTACGTCTACGCATCGCCCTCTACAAAGTCCGCACCAACCAGATCAACGTGCCCTTCTCGCGTCTGAAAATTATCGCCAAGCAACCCACACGACAACAACAACCTCAACCGCCAGCCCCTCCCTCTCCCGACGCCCTGCCTATGGCCCCTCCGCCATTACGCCCGTACGCCGAGAAACACACACAGGCTTCCGAACCACACGTTCAAGCTCAACAGGCTCTCTTCTCCACGCCGAATATCTTCTCGAATCGCTTTATGCCGTATAATGCTCCTTCGAGCTCACCGCCGTTAGCACACGACCCTCTGCCACGTATCGCCAGAGAAGCACAGGCACGTATGGCTGCTGCTGCCACTGCCGATAGAGACAGTCTGGACTCTGAAGCCACCGAGCTGGCCGACGATCATGATGAACACCCTGTAGCTGAGAGTCCGCTGGATAGGTCTAGAAGACATCACATGCTACCGCAGACTTGATTCACTTGGTCACGACATGTTTTTTGCTCGTACGATAAGCAGCGCGTAGACTGCTTTTGGCCTTATAATGCAACTGTGTCGCTCAGATAATAGGTGTTCAGCGGTGGTCCTGAGTACCCTCCTGCAAGACGAGCCACCTTGGATGGGTCGTTAAACTCTGCTCTGGCGCCAAATTATGCGTTTGTTACCTCGAATGGATCAACGTATATCATAGGCCCCCACGGCTCACCCTCGAGACGAAGGACTAAACGATGAGAAACGGACAAAAATGGGTCTTCGAGGTATACACGGCGTTCTTTACGAGGCTTTTCTTTCCGTTCTGCGATCTGGAATTTTGCGACTAAGATTGGCTGGGTTCGTCGCTTGTTTGTTGTTCTTGATATCCGATTTGCTTTTTCCGATCACGTTTTCCGCCATTATATCTCAATGAGCTTTTCTATTTATATCCTTTTTCTCTCTCAGAAGTTATCATTCGGTTTTGCTCGTTAAACTTTTCTTGTTTTTCTCGGACGCGAGGCGTATTAGAAGTCCGACATTTCTGCTCTCTTGGACTCAACGAGGGTAAACGACGAAGATCTAGACCTGCAAGAAAAAGAATCTAAGAATCCATCATTTGAAATCCGCTCGAAGCTACCTCACTCGATCAACTTCTCACCTGCTCATAGTCTGTCATGTGCTCTTGCTCATGGACTCTTTCATCACAATAGTACTGTAAGCAGTGAAAGCGCCAAGTTGTGGTGATATGAGGCCGAAGTGAATCTGGTCCTGTGAGGAAAGTGCTTTCAGTGACCCTGCGAGAGGAGTATAAAAGCCATTCCACCTGACATCTCTACACTTCTCTCACAAAAGGTTCCCTTGGGTTTCTCGTGTCAACACCAGTGCCCGCTTCAACAAAGCTGGGCTGTTGTTCGAGTGGGAAAGAGGAAAAGCGAGGAGAGGGTGGGGAAGGGAGGAGGTCAGGTCAGTGCATAGGAGTTTCTGAGGCAGCATACCCTGCGAGCCTTGCTTCTCGGTGGTTTCTCTGATGTTGTTCACGTGGGATTGGAGTAAAGAAGGAACTTGGGAGATGTGGCAAGAGGTATTGGGTACACTACCCTGAAGACTCCAGTTATCCATGTTGACAGCCTAGCGAAAAAGGTTTGACTCCTTCTGAACAAGTACGAGTATAGGTAAAGGTGGTCCATCGCGTAACGGTGTGGCTCGAGTTTCCTACGTGAGAAGGCGTGATGGGTTCAGCTTAATATACGAAATCCAAATTGCTACCCAGAAGACCCATTGATTGGCTGCATTGGTGGGTTGCGAACTGTCAAGGGAAGAGCAAGACCGGCGAGTAATGATAAGAGAGTCATCGAAAGCATTGACGTAATCTTCTTTAAATGGTTCACAGTGGTGGTATTGGTTTCTGATGTACTTGTATGGCTCTGTCTTGATATGTTGTCAACCTATGTCAAGTTGATGCGAGAGGGAGAAGATCATGATCCACTCAATGCGGCTAATCATGATCCTCGCTCACGTCCATCCCTCCATCTTTCCTCCATCTTGCGCTTTGTGCTTCTATCGCAACGGAACATCATCAAATTCACAAAGTCATGCTGCACAAGAATACCGAATTATAATATTGAAGAACACAATACACATCCAATCAGAGCAAACAGTAACCTATCATGTCGCTGTGGCGGTAAGTCGAGTTCATCTCTGTTTTTCTCCGTCTTCTTGCTTGAATACAATACAGAAAGAAGAAACAAATCGTTCTATTGCATTTATCACAGCCCTGATATCTCTTTTCTACGATGGTTTCTTTCCTTTTATATTCTGAATCTTTCTTGCATATCAGTCTCCAACTTGTCATGTCCTCTGTAAACGTTTCTACTCTTTTTCTTTTCACCTCCGCTTGCCCCTTACTCTCTCCTCCCCCTCCCACACAACTAACAGACCCCATCTAGCTACTACACCTCCCTCTCCCCCAAAACACGCCTCATGGTTGGCGGCGGAATAATCGGGTACGCAACACTCGGTCTCTTTCTCTCCGACACCGCAGAAGAGAAACTAGGATACACGCCTACGGAAGAAGATAAAAAGAGGTTACGGGAAGTGATGCCGAGGATTAGAGTTGTAGAGGAGTAGAAGAGGGGAGTAGAGGGGAGGCAGGGTAGAATGTATGGGGGTAGTTGAGGAAGGGAAGAAGGAAATGGTAAGGGGATCAGAGGGTGATGGAAAAAATCAAGGGCAGAGATGGTGGGGGGGTCACCCTGGCGGCACTTGGTTTGAGGAGGATGGTAAGGTAAAGGTCAAGTGGTGATGGTTTTTAGTTGGCGAATAGATCCCAGAGACCTTTGTGCACGTTACTGGGCGTATCAGATCTACTTTGGCTGAAACGTGGTGGGTTATGATGAACATTCACAATCTCTCACGGACCGGCTTCTTCAACCATCCAACTCCAACACCAGCACATTGACTAGTTACGCAACAACCATGGAGTCCATAGTCTGACACACGGAATGCTTGACAGTCTTCTCTTTCAATCGAACATACCCCAGGAGAATTTCGCTTGAAATCATGGTGCATCTAATGATATGGCAAACTTGCCCTCGTGTGATGCTTCTAATCCATCTATTAACATATCGTCAAACTCATTCTAAATACAAATTCCCAGATGACTCGCGTCAGCGGTCCTACACATCAAGAATGAGAGTAACAAGCCACAAACCAAGGGAATTGTATAGTATAACTGACCGCCTGTGGTGCGACTAGTTCCTTCAAGAATCACAGTCTCGGACCGGCAAGAGCTTGTAATACTTCAAGATTATGGAGAGACAAACCTCTTGGAAACAGATTGATGCGCAGAGCCCAGACAAGTGCCCAGACCCATCGTACAACAACACTGTATCAGATCAGCACAACAACAACTATACCAATACCTGTCTTGATACACAAAGGCAATGTCGATGCGAACACCCGCACGGCTCGCCAACATGTGCCTCAGGCAAGCTGCAATCCCGAGGGCCAAACATTCAATTGATCAGTAATCATCCAAGTCCCAGTTCATGCACGTCCAGAAAACAATAACCCCAGAGATTCGGTGAGGCAGAGAGAGACAGAAGGCTTTTAAATCGAAGATATGGATCTCAGATTTGCCGTGGCTGCCAAGTGCAAACGAAAGGAAGACCCTCAAACCGGTGTACCGAATTCTTGCGCCGCCAGCTCGGAGTCGACTCCAGAGGTCCTGTCGTATTCGCTTGCGAGTTCGCCAACATCGTTGTGTTTGTTTTGTCGTAAAGACTAGTCGGACTTGATAGCCAGATGCGATAGTAGCACAGCGCCCATGGCTTCTCCGGGCTTGCCCAACAGACCTGCGCCGAGATCGGTGTTAATGTGTTTCTTCCAACGCAAGGTGCGCCCATCGAGTTTCAGCGAAGCATCGAAGTTTGGAATCGAGAACATCGAAAAGCCAACATGGAAACTCGGCCTTTCCGGATTGTGGAGAAAAAGGGCAAACAGGAAAAGCTTGGCATGCACATGTCATCCACGATACTATGACGAACGAACCCGAGTGGTCTGTTTTGCGTTCCTGTCGGCAAGTTTCTTGTTTGCTTTGCAGACGGATAAACACTTGAGTTCAAGAAAGGGGAGAGTGATGGGCCAGCCGCATTGGGAAGGCGTACATCCAGCGTTTCATCCATGCTGCTGAAGAAGGTAGGGACTTGACAGCCAGCGCGCGGACCTTTCGGTAGTGCGACGGGAGCTTGGATGTTGTTGTTGATTCGCAACGGTATCGTTGCATGTGGCTTGGACGAGCTGTGAGGGAGGACTTGAGTGATCAGCTGCGCCATTGGTATGGCTTTGATCTTGATTGCGCGAGACGAAAGAGCCAGAGCGAGGTTATCAGTCAAGACCGACACTCTGGCGACTCCTACATGTGTAGAAGGTACGCCATCAAGGTGACTGATATATATCGAACCTTTACCATGAATAACTGACCGCCAGTGGACTTTGCGCTGGACAAATTCCGAACCAAATCTGACACGTATGTGCGTGCGAATGTCACCACCTGTTCGGGCTTAGGCTCCTTGCAAATGGTTTCTTGCGCATGCAGGATCTGATTTCCATCGAGACCTGCTATCATCGATCCCAGGTTCCAGCCCCCTCCTCGCGTAACCACAACCCCCGATTCCCCCGATGCGGATCTGAGATGCCTCAGAAAATGCGATTGGGAGTGTATGCTTTGGGGCAGCTGTCACCAAAGCGCGCATTCTCGCTCAAAAAGCAGCAAACATGATGCATGAATAATCCGACGAGGGACAGCTACAATATTTTTCCAGTCCGGCGTCGTCGGGAGGCCATTAGGTAGCTAGAATTAATGATCCTGCCGAGACGTTAGCTCTACGCCACTTTTACTAGCGTTATTAGACTACGGGTAGGGAAATCCATGCCTAAGCTCTGATTTTGCCTAAAATTGTCCTAATAGCTATATACCACATTAAATGTCGTTAATGTTATTAATTCTAGAGCCTCTAACCTTATTATAGATATTATCTAATATACTAACGTTACTACCTTATTTTTAGAGGCTTTTCTAGAGCTAGATCTAGAGCCTTAACCCTCTTAAGTAAAGGGTAAGAGTAAGCATAAGAGCGATAACATTAAGACTAAGCTAAAGAGGTATAATATCCTATTAGATTACGTCGATAATAGTTAGCTAGTTATTATTAATATAGATTTAGAGTAGAAAGAGGTAGTAACTAACTTTAATATTAATATTAGATAGAAATTTATTATATATAGTAGTAAGACTAATAACTCTCGAAACTAGCTACTATTATTAATTACGCTTAGCGTATAGAGCTTAAAGGTATACTACTAAAGCCTAATAGATAGTTAGCTTAAAAGATACTTATAAAGGCGCCGCTAGAGAAGGTGGTACTTATTAATACCTTATTTAAAGTCTCTTCTAAAGGTAAAGAGAGTAGGACTATAACTATAGAGAATACTAAGGACTATCTAACTAAGACTTTCTAGTCTATTATTAAGTTCCTTAAGGACTATTATTATTAGTTAAAGGTAAGTAAGCATATAACCCTTTAGGTTACACTTAACTTTAATCTACTAATTAAACCTCTTATAGCTAAAATTAATAAAGGTTTAGCATTATATAAGGCCTAAAATTCCTACCTAGGTAGCTCTATATAGTATAAGACCTAATAGTCTAAGATAGTGTATAAGCTTCTTAATATGCACTAATATAGTAAGCATAGTTAATATTATTAGATAGATAAGTAATAAGTCTATTAGAAGATAAGTAATAATATATTTAGCTATTAGGCTAAAGTAATAGATAATAGTAAGGAAGGGGTAACTAAGTACGAACCTTCTAAATTTATTAAGGAATTAATTATAAAGAACTAGCTTCTTAAGAGGCCTTAGTCTTAGAGCACGCCTTAAGCTAGTACTAGTTAAAGTAGACTATTAGAGCTCTTATTAACATCTTAAGCGCTAGTATATAACATTAATTATTAGTCGAATTTAAGCCTATTACCTATGCTAGGTATAAAATTGCTAATTTTCTTATCTCCTATTAGTGTTAGCGCTAACTTTAAGTATCTAGATAATACGCTATCTACTTACTTTAACTAGCTTAAGGACTTAGTTTATTTACTAAGGTAAAAGATAGACTATTATAAAGCATATAGTAAAGTTAATATAGTAAGGGTAACTATTAAGTAGTTATTAGATTAAAGGAAGTAATTTAGTATTAAATGGCTTATTTAGAAGGGAATTCTAGAGGGAATAGTAGTAGAGATTAAGGATAGAGTTAAAGATTAGTAAAAGTTAAGAGCATATAAAGTAGTAAAGCTAGTAGAAGTAGAAGAGATTAATATTAATATAGAGACTTAGTCTTAATACGTATAGTAGATAACTAGTTTCTATATTTAGTAGCTAAGTCTACTAGCTAAGGCGTCGAGCGCTCTAATTAGTCGGAATTTATTATTTATATAGATAAGCGAGCTTTAGTAATAGACCTAGCTAATTAGAGAGCTAGCATTATACGTAAGTATAATAAATCTTAAACTTCTAAAATAATGCTCCCTCCTAGAATATTAACTATAACTATATCTTATTATTCTACCTATATCGACTTCCTAAAGTATACCCTTACCTTCTTAACATTACTACTATACTTATCGATAACGAAATATAGATATCTAAAGAAATTATTACCGCTAGTTATAATAAATACCCTCTACTTACGCTTAAGCGCCTTCTTAATATTACTAAATAACTCCTCTATTAGATTAAAGTTAGGTAAGTATAGTAGTAGCATCTCTAATCTAAAATTCTATCTCTTAGCTATCTTACGAAGTATATCTACCCTATAGAAACTAGCATTATCTATAACTATAACTAATATAGCTATTAGGAAGAGATTATAAATTAGTAGTAGTATATAGCTAAACTAGTTCTTAAAGAACTTAGCATCTATTATGCCTTAATAGATCCTTATATAAGGTATTAAACCATTTATTATATATACTAGTAGTATGTTATAATGTTATTCCCTTATAAGAAGTTCCTTTAATTAAGCCTAACTACTAATAGGCGCCTATCTATACTTATATATAGTAGAGACTTAGTCTACTCTACTCTTATTAATAAAGATAAGCTAATTAGGGAAATAGCTATATATCTAAGCGATATGTTTATTACGCTAGGCCTAACTTTATTAAAGGGTAACCTTAAAAGGACCTTTTAGCTCTAGCTAGCTTATTTAATAGCCTTTAAGATATAGCTTAGCGTAGGAGCTATGCTTAACTTATTAAAAGAATTAAGCTATATTAAAAGGGTTATTAATAGCTTTAAAAGTAGGTAATCTAGTAGTACTTTTATAACTACCTTATCTATAATTAACTAAGGACTATTATAAGCCCTTAGTACTAATAACGACCCCTACTTCTTAAGGTTTACTATAGCCCTCTATATAGCTTAAGTAGAAGTTCGACTAAGCTAGGCTACCTTCTTATTATTAAGACTATTACTCTTTATAATAGCTATAACGTTCCTCTAATAAGCTATAATATTATGTGCTATTAATGGTTAAGCATTAGAATTAGAATTTTAGAGGTCGAATAGAGGTTAGATTACGCTCCCCACTCCGCCTTTACCGAGGTTACTAATTTACTAGTAAACGCTACCAAAAAGCAAAAATTAAGGAACCTTAAGAGGGGGAAGGGTAGGCTTCGCGACGCCGGACTAGAAAAAGATTATAGCCTTAGAGTGACGACGAAACTGTGTGATGGAAGAGATAGAAGCAATCGAATTGCATGCTGGTGAATCTGACAAACTTGAGCTAGATCTCCCGATTACCGAACGGTGTCGCATCCCATTGGTTCGGTGAAATACTCCGGGTCTGGGCCTTGCTTCTGCTTTTGTGTTGACGACGTCTGCCATCCTTTGATCAGGCCTGGAGACCACATAAATCGCTTGGCATCAACTAGTTAATGCTATCTATCCGTGAAAGCATCTGCGTTCTGTTGACAGCTGTGCTACATCATGATTTGTATATATCACCATACTGCTTTGCATAGGTGAAGCATGAGTCGACTGTTCGAGGATAAAATGGAAATTGACTCAAATATGGGCTTTGCAGTTTTCATCATGCGATTTGGCGCGTATATTGCGCATTTCCTGGCTCACCTGGCCACTTTTACACAACTCAAATGTTGTTGGCGCATGAAACAAGCGCAGTTTCCCTCCATGACAAATCGGAGCATGACTCTCAGGAGTTCGGACCTAATCACTCCTCATATTGAACTTCGAATGTGTGCCTGATTGCCGATTTTATCCTCGCGTGCCTTGTGCTTGTTCTTTTCTGATGCATGTGTCCTTTTACCGACAGGTCCAGCGGATCGAGACTGCAGGGGTAATCGCTGAACATTTGGCGATAGTTTGTTGAGTGATCTGAGATCAGTGCCAGTCGACAGCACGTTGCCGTCGGGATGAGAGGTGGCTTGCGGGGTCACGGAGTTCGAGTGGACAACAGGCCTGCGCTGAGGTGTATAATCGAGAACAAAGATGTACGTGTTTCTCGCCGCAGTTCAAGGCGGCTCTGTCAGCCTTCGAATCTTGACTGTCTTCGACTCATGGGCTGGCCAGTCCTAGGATCGACGTTGCCATCTACCCAACTAGGCTGGGACATCTGTACATCGTAAAGGTAATGGTTCGGAGGAGGTCCAGCTTCAGCTTGGTTATGTGGTTTCGTCCAGTCATGAATGTTGGGTTGTAAGGATTCCTGCTGAATATTGGATGAATCTTGGAACGGCCATATTTCTGCNNGCTAGAAACAAGTCAGCATCGATACAGACAGGTGCGTTCGCGGTTCCTTAGTGACAGCGCTCACTTCTTCAAGAGGCTTTGTTCGCAGAGGCTGCGCATCATCGACTAGAGACGACGATTGACAAGAAAGGGACAACGCCACTCACAGGCTCTGTAGGGTTGAACCATTGTTGCCTGGGAAGCTGTACAAGGTCTGCTGGCCAAGGCGAGGATCTATCATCAACGCGGGTTGCTGACCAGGGCTTGTGAAGTCTGTCATGGGAAGAGGGTCTGTATAGATGTTCGAATCGCCATCCTGTTGATCTTGAGACTGCGCCGACATGGGTGATAGATTTGACATTGTGCTGTCATCCATGAAGTCGTTCAAATGATCTGACGGCCGTTTCTTCGCGGACGGGCGCGATTTGCGGAGCGTTTTGGCATAGGTTTCCACATCTGGACACTCTCTCAGACGACGAAGATGGTCAAACGCTTCAGGCTCTGGAGTAGAGTGTATCGCGTTGAAGACGAGCTCAAAGTCAGAATTTCGTTCTCCCAGTTCTTTGTTCCGGCGGCGCACTGCTTCGACTCGTGATATGCCCGCTTCGGAGTCGTAGACACAAGATTGACCTCTTTGTTGACAGAGCATACACATAGGACGCTCACCGCTGCANNCTGGATGCCATTTGGTCAATACAGAGGGTTCGTGGAGCCGAGCCAAGGCAGTTCTTACCTTTACTTTACGCTTCTGACATGATTGACACGCCGCCTTGACAAGTTGTCTTTTTGGTCTGGTTGACGACGATGCATCTGTGCTCATTTTGTGAGCGCAGGACTCCGATGCCAGGAGACTGAGGTGTGGTGATGGAAAGCGTAGACGCCAGCGGTATTATGGAGTCCAAGTGTGGTCGGTAGGGTTGGCGCTCTTGTACTTGTTTGCGCATGAGGGTTGTCAGTATTCAATGGGCGGTCCCCAGATAACTATCCCGAAGTGCCGTAAGCTGTTCTCAATCGACGATGTGAATCGTCGGTTTTGTCAGGCTTAGATCTGTAGGTTTAAATGGCCCCCGTCACGCCCACCTGAGGTCTTTCGATATGGTCTTCGAAGGAACAAACAAGAGCAGAATCGTGAGGCCAGAGGCAAACGTGCAAGAGCTTTCGAGGGGGTAGGGTTGTTATGAAGAAGAAAGATATCCGGTTGAAATGACAAAGCCTTCTTTCGGACTCGACTCCGAATGACCTAGGAGTTGCAATGGCTGGACTTGGTTCTCTGACTGAGGAACACTGTGGGGACAGCCTGGCTCGGTGTTAGCAACGTCCTTACGAGAAGGTAGGTGCAGCCTCATACTCACTGCGATTGCCGAGCAAATCACCCCAGAACTGTAATCAGGTATCAGTAGTGCCAAACTTGATGGTTGGTCGACGAGGGATCCTGATCGCGTCGCCACAGCACTACCAAAACAGCGTCAGCCTGCTATTGCAGACCCCATGCTCTTATATTGCGGCATCTGCTGTGGCAATGCGCAATCCCGGCAAGCTCACCAAGCTACGGTCGGCTCACCAAACCTGAAGTGAGAAGACACACGGGGAGTCGGCCAGGCAGGCCTTGAACCGCTTACGCGCCTGCTCGGGCCAACGTCACGAGCTGAGCGTTTACGTTGAGTATCCATTCACAGTGCAAGAGAGGCAGGCGCAGATAAGCAGGCCATGGGATTCTGTAGACTCGTCCGTGTTTTTGCTGGCGCATTTCTGTTACGCATGTATCTCGGGAATCTCCAGCGCTCCCCGAAAGCAGCCGCGGCAGACACCAACTTCATGGACGAATGCTGTTCGTACGAGATACGGATTGCTTTTGCCTTGCATCTACGAGTAACTAGAGTAGATAAACGGCATTCTCGCCTTCTCATGACGGCCGTTCTGACATGGCGAAACCGAAATCTGCAGTGCATCATCCGGATCACACCCGAATTGGCTTGCCACATTGCATGATGGGAATTCGGAAAGACCAGCTCGGCGAGAAGTAGATGGGTACTCCACTGTGGCTTTACGTTGTTTTAACTGCCCGGCACTACTTCGTTGCACTTCACCATGTTCTCAAAGTCCATGGAGTCGAATTGGATAGCTGAATTCAACCAGATAATACAAAGAGAAGATAAAACACAATCATGCCTGCGAAAAGAGGAAAGTCATCAAAAACAGAATAGCATCATCTAGAGCTTGCTCTTGCTGACAATGCTGCTGTTACCTTTGCCAATACATGACACGGCGTCGCTGACCATCTCATCTACAATTTCCTTGGCCGACTTTCTTTCATTCACAACAGCTGCAGCCTTACCCATCAGGAAGGGTCGAGCATTGTCCATGGTATCATCATCGAGATCATCTCCGAGGGTTTCAAGATCGTGTTCGACAGGAATGACTCCCTCGGATGTCAGCTTCTTGATCTCGGCTTGTCTTTCATTCTCCCACTTCTCGATGTATGGGTTTTTTCTCACACGAAGTGGACGTCCAGTGAAGATGATGGTGCGGACATTGTCGTCAAAGCCAGATGTGCGAACGGCTTCTTGGTGAGCCTTGCTAGCGCCTGCCTCCTCACTGAGTACGAAGCGAGTACCGACCCAAACCGCTGTAGCACCGAGCATGAGCGCGGCTGCCAAAGACTGACCGTTGAAGAGACCGCCAGCGGCAATGACCTGTACTGGCTTGCCGGTCAGGGGNNGACTCTTGTGGCCTTCGCACATCTTAACAACGGTCGGAATCAGGATAGTTGTAGGCACGTCGCCAGTATGTCCACCTCCTTCTCCACCCTGGGCGCAGATCATGTCGACACCGATCTCCAGGCACTTCTTTACATGCTTGGGGTGTCCGATCATGTTCATATACAAAACTCCAGCTTTGTGTAGTTTCTCGACAATGTGCTTTGGCGGTACACCAACAGCAGAGACGAAAAGCGAGGCCTTCGAGTCGATGATGATGTCGACGAGTTCATCGAGTTTGCCTTTGGTATAATCGTAGCNTGCATTTTCGATAAGAACCTTGATATTGTTGTCTGTAATGGGCCATGCTTACTTCGTCTTTCTGGCACTGCCACCTACTTGAGGAAGCAGGAGGTCAACTCCGAACGGAGCGTTCTTGTCCTTCAAATAACCCTTGAGTTCAGCAATCTGCTCACGCAGCATGTCTGGGGTGTAGCCAACACCACCGATGACACCTAAGCCACCAGCATTTGTGACGGCGGCAGCGAGTTTTGGACCAGCAGCGACGTTCATACCAGCCAGCATGACTGGGTGATTGATCTTGAGGAGATCAGTCGTAGTGGTTCGAATTTGCTCTACATTCTGTCAGTAAGTATTCGTACCGGGCTTTGTCTGCTGAATCTTCGTACGTGGAGATGCCATTTTCAACGTTGACAGTGTGTTATGTGGTATTTGGTGACGGTGGACAATCGGTGGGTCGTCCTGCTAGGGATGCACGAAACAGATGTATCTATGAATGAGAGAGGAGAAGACAGGACGACCGAGGACTTAAGTGTTGATCACCAGATGCCTCGGCATCTTGACGCTCGGCACCAACATCCTTCTCGATGGTCACCAGACAGACTTACATATCTCGTTTTCAGCTTCTAGCACGCCTTGATACATAGTTGTCCTTCTTGTTCCATATCGACAGGGAGTGCTACCAAGAAACACCAACATTTCTCAGTCGAGCGCATGTTCTGTGTTTATGTTGCCCTGGCAAGGCGCTTGGAGCCTCGAAAGCGGGGCGTCTGGGGTAGCTTTTCGGGAGGGCTCTCCCGTTCTCTCGATTCGGAAAGGGTCTCTTTTCACGTGTCGACGTGTTCAGCAATGCAACCGTGAAAGCGGCCTTGCATCTCGCTCCGAGTTTGGATATCGCCGCTTTATATGATCTTGCTTGCAAGACCTGATAGAATGCTTGAAGTTCATGCATGACTTCCCAAGAAATCGAAGCCAATGAGCTAGAGGTCACTTCTTCCGCTATCGGATCTCTTGCTTCCAGGTCAACCCGCTTTGACTAGCGACCGAAAAAATTCACTTGAGTCTTTAGCCTCCTTTGCCGGCACGACCTAAAGTTCCGGAATGAACTACACCTTTGCAACGATCAAACCGTCCTATAGATGCGCTCAAGCGTATAAACATCTTGCAGTCTTTGTATCTTCGCCTCGCCGGACCTATTATCAGCTTTCACGAACAGTTCTACCAACACAATCTCGTCCATTCGTACTTCGGATGGCTGGCCTGACTTCACGACAAGGAAGGACTCACACAACGACAATGCCACTATTCCGCCGCGACATGTCTATTAACACAAAGACTCGCCGGAAAGCGTATATCGCTCTTGGAAGCAATGTAGGCGACAGGCTTGAAATGATCGAGAAAGCATGTCTGGCCCTGGATCAGGATCCGGATATCAATGTCACACGGACAAGTTCGCTTTATGAGACCGAACCCATGTACGTCCAGGATCAGGCCAGATTCCTCAATGGCGCTTGCGAGGTTGGTACTCTTTTCGAGCTGTTCCACGAAGCTATTTACTGAAGTTCGACGATAGATNNGGAAACCACACTAGAGCCAATGCCTTTACTGGACAGATTACAGGCCATCGAGAACGAACTAGGGCGTGTCAAACTCATCGATAAAGGACCGCGAAGCATTGATCTGGATATCTTGCTGTACGAAAATCAAGTCATCGATACAGAACGCTTGAAAGTACCGCATATCCTCATGCTCGAAAGAGAATTTGTGCTTCGGCCGCTCTGCGAGTAAGTCGTCCCGTCTCCGTAAGATTGACAGTCTTGCCTAATCCATTCTCAGNNCATCATCCCAGACACGATACCTTCAATCGGTCAAACACGAGTGCCTCTTCGGGAAAGTCTGCAAAAACTAGCGTCTTCTCCCTCTACTCCCATATCGACTACAACGAGTATGGGAGAAAATACGTTTTCGATTCGGGCTCTTGAAACCACACGTCCCACGCATGTCATGTCTATTCTTAATACTACCCCTGACTCATTCTCGGACGGAGGTCTAAATTCACCTACTGACGAAACAGCGCTTCGCGAGACGATCAGATCTCAAATTCGCGCAGGTGCTACGATCATCGACATTGGCGGACAGTCATCTCGACCCAATGCTCCGGATGTGACAGCAGAAGAGGAGATTCAGCGCGTCCTTCCTGCTATCAAGGTCATCAGATCGTTGCCCGAAGCATCTGACGTCTGCATTAGCATCGATACATATCGTGCAACAGTGGCCGAAACAGCTATTAAGGCAGGAGCCCACATTATCAATGACATTTCTGGAGGGCTACTTGACGCCGACATGCTACCTACAGTTGGCCGTCTGGGATGCACTGTCTGCTTGATGCACATGAGAGGCACCCCAGCAACAATGACCAGTGCAGAGAACTGCTCGTACCCTAATGGTCTAATCCCTACGATAGCTAAAGAACTCTTGGATCGAGTCAAAGCAGCAGAAGAAGCTGGGATCCGTCGCTGGCGCATAGTTCTAGACCCAGGAATTGGTTTCGCCAAGACGACTGAGCAAAACCTGGAGATTCTCAGACGTATGGGCGAACTCAGGAGTTGGCCTGGCTTAGTTGGATTCCCCTGGCTTCTGGGCAGCAGTAGAAAAGGATTCGTCGGCAAGATCACAGGAGTGAAGGACGCAAAAGAGCGCACATGGGGCACAGCGGCGACCGTCGCAGCGGCTGTCCAAGGTGGAGCAGATGTGGTGCGTGTGCACGATGTGGACGAAATGGTCAAAGTGACAAAAATGTCTGATGCGATCTGGAGAGCATAAAGATGGGGTGACGATTGTCACTTAAGACGTCGTTGGAAGATCAGAGTACACACACTCTGGCCCTGTTGACCGCCGAAGGTGAAGGTCGGGTACTTGGCCTCATCAAAGAATTGCAACTCTCCATCAGGAGCGACAAACCAGTTCATGACTTCCTCTTTGGTCCAGTTGCATGAAGTGATGATGAAGAATTGACCGGGCTTTACGAGGGGAGTGATGTGTTCGCGGTAAGATTCGCAGATGCGCCGGCCCTGTGCGTCTGTCTCGGAAGACAGTGAGATGGCGTCGAAGGTGCCTTTGTCCAGTACGGCGTCGAAGCCTTCGCCCAGCCATTCTCCAGGCTGGTGATTCAAAAGGTCCCACTCCTCGAAGCGAACAGGAGCACCCTCCTCACTGCGGCCGGCAGCAATCTGGCGTGCAAGCTTCACACTAGTATCGCTGTAGTCGACACCAACCAGTTCTCCGACCCAATCCTCGTCCAGCAGAGAGAACAGCATGTGTCCATTACCGGTGCCCAAGTCGAGGATGCGCGAATCGTCCTTGCTCAGCAAGCCTTCATCTTCCAAGGCTTCCAGGCGTTCAATGACCTTCTCTTCGGCACCACTGTCGTCAAACCAGATTGTGCCTTCGTCTTGGGCGTCCTGAGCGTGATTTGCGATCTCGCGGGCGTAGGCGTCGTCCCAACTGGACAGTCGATCAGCTGTGTTCTTGTCGCATGATCAAGCGTTTGAGGAGGCGTACTATTGTTTGGTGCCGAGTTCGCTGGGGTCGAGGTGAGTGCGCATGATTGCTGTCTTTCGCGAATGACTAGAGTCGGTAGGCGTGATGAAAGAAATAAAACAAAAATAGAAACATGACCCTGTTCCTGCTTCACATGCGGCGGTGCTCGGGGATGCCAACGGGCCGCACGGACTTGGCATGACGGTGGGCCATGACTTGGACGGTGAGGGTAAGGCTAAGGCTACGAATAGCTCCTGACACGCCTGCCAATTGTCCACTCAACAACTCTCGTATCTATTCCGCTTCTTGCTGCCTGGATGCCGTGAATCCATCTTGACACGTCCGCCTGTTTCCCCTTCGTCGCACCGCCGTCTCCGACTCGCGGCGAGCTTGACACTTGACCGCTACCCTTCCCCGGACACCCAAGGCCCCCGTCATGGCCGCCGCATACTCTGCACATGCTCCGGGCTCCCTCCCTCCAACCATGTCGAACCCGAGTGCTCCTCCAGGCACCTTCGCTCCAGGTACCAAGGTCCAAGTCGGCTCACACCGCGTCGTCATCGAGAAGTACTTCTCCGAGGGAGGCTTCGCTCACGTCTACACCGTCCGTGTACCGCCCAAAGATGCCTCAAGCAAGCCCACCATTGCTGTGCTCAAAAGAGTCGCCGTACCAGACAAGGATGCTCTGGCAAACATGCGTACCGAGGTTGAGACCATGAAGAAGCTACAAGGCCACAAGCACATTGTCACATACATCGACAGTCATGCCAGTCAGCTGAAAGGCGGTGGCTACGAGGTCTTNTTGCTCATGGAGTTCTGCTCGGGCGGTGGTCTGATTGATTTCATGAACACACGCCTGCAGCACCGCTTGACCGAGCCAGAGATTCTGAACATCTTCGGCGACGTCAGCGAGGGTGTTGCGACTATGCATTACCTCAAGCCACCGCTTTTGCATAGAGATCTGAAGGTCGAGAACGTGCTCATCACAAATTCGTCAAAGGGTGCTATCTACAAACTTTGCGATTTCGGTAGTACAGCTCCACCACGACCTGCTGCTACCAATGCTCAAGAGGGCAGGATAATCGAGGAAGATATTCAGCGTCACACTACCATGCAATATCGGAGTCCTGAAATGGTCGACGTCTGGCGCCGGCAGCCAATTGACGAAAAGAGTGATATCTGGGCGCTGGGCGTCTTGTTGTACAAGCTGTGCTACTACACTACTCCTTTCGAGGAGGTCGGTCAGATGGCCATCTTGAATGCTTCGTTCAAGTACCCACACTATCCTGCATTTTCATCTCGTCTCAAAGCCTTGATCGGTCAGTACCATGTGCCTGGATCACGATCGCTCTACTAACCTGTACGTCGCNNAGGCTCTTGTTTGCGAGAAGACCCTCGTCTGAGACCGAATATATATCAAGTTGTCAGCGAAGTATGCAGTATGCGCGGCACGCCAGTACCTATCAAAGACGTGAGTACCATCTGTACGATTCAGTTCCGAACGGACATTCTAATGGCGAACAGNATCTATGCACAACGCACACAGTCCGAGGCAGGACGCAACCAAAAACTTCCGGATCTCACCCCTGTAGCTTCACCACCTCCAGCAGGCATCAGTCATGCATCACCCGTCAAACAAAAACAATACATCCCTGAGATTGCTCCAATGAGGCGCGGCAGACCGACTGCTGCACCTCAACCGCAGGCTGCAGCGGCGTCCTCTGCTAAGAACTCGGATCCTTTTGCTGCACTCGATTCTGCCTCGAATACCATCCGATCTCGTGCTGTTGATGAGCTTTCAGCCAAGTTCCCATCGTTGGACGAATTCTCGATTGCGCATGAGTCAGGTGGTTTCAACTTTAGCTCGTCTAAGCCGCAAAGGAACGATCCCATAACGAGCGCTCTGGCAGACGAGGTATTTGCACGTCCTTCGTCAGCGAAAGCCACACCTCCTCCCAAATCCGAGTCTACCCCAGCTCAAAGTGTCAGCAAGCCTCCAACAAAATCCGAGCCTAGCGCGAAGGCACAAGCACCTCCTAAACCCAAAACACTGCTACATCAACCAGCCCCACAAAGACCGAGCTACTCTTCAACTGGCACCATGACTTCTTCGGCTGAGACTCAACCTACACAGCCAGCCCTACCGAAGATGCCAGACGTCAGCAAGAGACCGATCTGGCGAGTTCCGGATCACTCGAGATCTTCGAGCCAGCCGCGTGCTTCTCCCCTGGCCCAGAAAGAAGCTGATAGACTTCAGCCCAGTGCACTACCCGCCGAAAGACCTGCATTACTCGACATTCACCGCTCCAAATCGCAAACAGCTACGATGACGCTCGCGAAGCAAACAACTTCTTCCAGACCCTCCTTGGAAGGTCACAGACCATCTTTTGGATACGAGGATGGAATCAGCAGAACAAGATCTGCCAACGCAAGGCCGCGACCCGTTAGTGCTGCGTACGTGGACTCCAATCTTGACTATTTGCGGGAACAAGAAGCAGAGAGAAAGAGACCGTCACTTGAAATCAGGAGATCCAGCCGATCGATCAGAAGTACTGAGCTCAACTTTGACGACGCAAATATTGAAAGCGATGCCGACTACCTTAGAAGCCTGGAAAACAACGATGGGCTTAGTCGTCGAAGTAGCGGCAAGAGTGCTGCTCATAACAAGCGCTCCAGCTTGTCCTCATTCAGCTTAAGTGGAACGAAGAATATGCTATCAGGCAGATTCGGCGATGCATTCAAGAGATTTGAGCAGACAGGCGGAGAAGAAAGGACTGAGAAGAGTGGTAGAGGGTCTGAATCAGGATTCAGGACACCTAGCCCCAATCCACCAATGCAGACCGAGGGTAACCTACTCAGTCCGATCACAGGCTCCGAGACTAATGAGACGCCGCGACGTCCCGAAGTTACCAAGTCTGATCTTGATGATCTGATCGAGACTGAAGACTTACCACCAGAGATGCGCAGAGAGATGGAAAGGCTACAACTTGCACAGGAAGAGAAGCGTGTAGCAGCTGCGGCGGCTGAGCACAGAAGTCGCGGAGGTGCGCCGCCCGTGCCATCGAAAGCCAACATGATTCAGCAGCGCGTTCAATCCTTATTGGACGATGGACAGAAGTCTCCTGTACGAAAGAGGCAAGCGGAAGGCTACGGGCGCTACACGGAAAGAACAGAGACTGTGGAGCCCGAACGGCGACCAACACCCACAGCCCAGCCTATTGTGAAGAAACAAGCACCACCTGTTGCGAGAAAGCCAGCTACGCCTGTTCCCTCATCTGCTGCTGCATCTGGAGAAGTGGATATGAACTTGAGATACCACAAGGTTCGACAATCTCAATCGTTCCCGATACCAGCAGGCACATACCCCTTAGAGCACTCAGTGTCAGCACCTGCGCAAAGAACAGGAGCAGCACCAAGACCTAACACACCTGCCAAGCCAACGGCACTCAAGACAGGCGGATCAGCTATGTCACAAGGTCGACCGCCATCTTCAGGAACGACGGGCCCTGTATACAGCCAGCCCTCAGGGGCAACTCGTGGTCCCAGTCTTGCAGCACTGATTGCACGAGACAATGAAGGTGTTGCGGGCGTCGGTGCCGGCAACAATGCTGGCATGGAGCAAGGAGTGAGGCAGGAACCAGAGATGGTCAACCAAGCGGATTTTGATGATTGGCAAGCAGATTTCAGCAAGAGATACCCAAGTCTGAGTGGCATTGAAATGGTGGAGAGAGAAATAGCAGCGACTGGCGGGAGTAGAGATGGAGGGCGACGTGGGATGCGAGTTAGAGATGTATGAGTGTACTTGTATAGGTGTAATATAGAAGGTTGGACAAGACCAGATATCTGTATAAAGTTGAGTGGGGACCAGTTGTGGAATGGATGGAGTAGGATTCCGGGAGTCAGATTCAAGGTGTGGCTTGATGTTGGTGTTTCACAAACGCCGGTCGATCCCTTCCACGAAGGTCCGACGACTGCCCCAAACGTTTCCCCCACCTGACGCATCACAAACATCACAAGCCCTCGCTTCTTGCTATTGTTGTCTAGTAGAGAATTACACGCGCCTGCCTATTGTTGCCGAGAAAGAGAAGGAACCAGAGCCAAGCAACCGAGAACAAGCGGCATCAACAACAACTCTCAGGACGACGCAGGAGCGTCATCATCACAACACGCGCGCCCTTTCTCCGCTATACACCGACCGACACGCACACAAGACACAAACCACAATGGCTCCTACCAACGAGCGCCCGCGAAGACAGCGCCGCTCATCTAACGTCTCCAACTCGTCCTTCTCATCCACATCCCCCGAACGCGAAGTCGACGATGACAACGACTCCTTCATGCTACAGCCCAACGACTCGCAATCGTCAGTAGCTGCCTCACTCGACCTCATGGACGACGTCAATTTCGAAGAACGATGCCGCCTTTCTCCCGTCTACCGTCTGCCTGCCGAATTACTCATTGCAATCTTCGGCCGTCTCGCATCCACAAAAGACCTCATGTCATGCATGCTCGTGTCCAAGGATTGGGCACGAAACAGCGTCGCCCTGCTGTGGCACCGTCCACAAACCAACAACTGGGCCAGCATACACAGCGTCGTCAAGTCAATACGCAAGACTGAACGCTTCTTCGCCTACCAGGATCTGGTCAAACGCTTGAATCTTTCCACTCTGGCTTCACAAGTTAGCGATGGCACCTTGATGGGCTTGACTGCCTGCAAACGTATCGAGCGTCTGACTCTGACCAACTGCGCCAAATTGACCGACCTGAGTCTGACCACTTTGATCCATGGAAACCGCAGCCTGATAGCACTGGACGTCACTCAACTCGATCAACTCACCGATCGCACCCTTGAGCTTGTCGCTCGCAACTGTGTCCGCCTACAAGGTCTCAATATGACTGGTTGTCGGCGTCTCACAGACCAATCTCTGGTGCAAATAGCCCAGAATTGTCGTCAACTCAAGCGTTTGAAGTGCAACAGCTGCGCCCAACTGACCGATATTTCGATGCTCAGCGTTGCTCAGAACAGCTCACATCTGTTGGAGATTGACCTTTATGATTTGCCACTCCTGGAATCAGAATCCATCACTGCACTCCTAACTGAATGCCGTCAGCTACGTGAATTGCGGCTGGCCCGTTGTCCACTCATTACCGACCAGGCTTTCTTGCAGCTGCCACCCAAGGCTGCTCCTTTTGACGCCTTGCGTATCCTTGATCTTACTGACTGTCAAGAGCTCACTGACAAAGCCATTGACAAGATTGTGCAGACTTGCCCCAAGCTGCGTAATTTGATTCTTGCAAAGTGCAGGCAGCTCACCGACAGAGCCGTGTGGGCCATCACCAAGCTCGGCAGAAATTTACACTACATTCATCTAGGCCACTGCGCCCGTATCACTGACGCATCCATAATCGCCCTGGCCAAGTCGTGTACTCGTATTAGGTACATCGATCTCGCCTGCTGTAGCAATCTCACCGACCAGAGCATCACTCAATTGGCCAACCTTCCCAAGCTTAAGCGCGTTGGTCTCGTCAAGTGTGCCGGAATTACTGACAGAAGTATCCATGCTCTTGCTACCTATGGTGGTCGTGTCATGCAGAAGCCTCGTGACCGTCAACACAATGTCAGCGCTCTGGAACGTGTTCACTTGAGCTACTGCACCCTTCTTACTCTCGATGTACGTGGCTAATCTCGCCCCCATCTTTCTAACCTCATGGTCTGACTCGTTTCTAGNGGCATCCATACATTGCTAAACAACTGCCCTCGCTTGACGCATTTGAGTTTGACAGGTGTTCAAGCCTTCCTCCGCGACGATCTCACTGTTTTCTGCCGTGAAGCCCCTGCCGAATTCAACGATCATCAGCGTGAAGTCTTCTGCGTCTTCTCGGGCAATGGTGTCATTCGCCTTCGTGAATACCTCAACCGTGCTAGTGGTCCTGGCTTGGAGACTGGCATGGTCAACGACTCTGACGATGATGGCGATGGTGCTACTCTCCGCAATCTTCCTCTTCCTCCGCCTCCACCTCCTCACCATCCCAACCTCATTCACACATGGCACAATCCAGCCTTCCAAAATCACAATGACCAAGACATCGAGGACGAAGATATGGAAGATGATCATGATGGAGTCGACACGCCGAACGATGGACATGGATTTGGTATCATCGACGCTGCGGTGCATGGTCATATGCTCAATTTGGACGTTCACTCAACACCAGCAAACGACCCTCACCAGATGATAGGCGGACCCAGCACACATAATCATGGCGGTGCATTGTGGGCTGGTGGCAGCGGCGAGGCTCAACATGTTACTGGCATGATGAGCGCAGCCATGCTTGACGATGTTGATGAGGACACACCTCAGTGATACCAACGCGCTTCTCTTTCTTGACATGACGAGATCACAGCATCACGGCCGACGAAACGACTACAACACAGGAGACGGCGTAATTTGCATTCCCACGGCACTGGGCGGACGGAGTTTGTTCTTGGCTGAGTGATCGTCTCATTTGATCCATCGAAAGCCACCTAGGAGAAGCCATTAGGGAGTTTTGTTATCTTCCTTCGGTGAGAGAGATGACCAGGAATGATGATACACAATTTGGGGGTGTTTTTTTTTTCTCCTCTTTTCTCGATTCCATCGTGAGGGGGCGTTATTCTTGGTCTCCTCTTTATTCCTTTTTGTTTTTATTGTTTCTTCTTCCCGCAGTGTTTTTTTTGTCATCTGTCCAAGTATCAGGGCAGAGTCTTTGAGGAACAAGGGTTCAGGGAATTGAGCAAGGAAGTAGTAGCGTTTTTCTTGCCAATTCATCTTCCATCAAAATTCACTTCTTGAAGTCTTTGGGCGGTGCTTGAGAAGTCACTATTTCGTGACACCATAAGTCTATCTACTTATCTTCTGAATATTTGTTGTTCTGCAGTCAACTGACTTTTGTAGGAGATGGGCAAGTTCGAGCTCTGGGTCAGCGCTAGATATCTTTAAACCAGAAGGAACTCTCCGAGTCAGTTTTCAACGGATTGCTTTTTTGAAGTTATGTTTGTTTTGGCCATCTATGAGTGTTACTGTATACAGGTGGGGTACCAGTGAGATAGGAAGGAGTAAGATGGGAAGGAACGAGTAAGCTAAGATGGCAAAGTGAAGGTGCAAAGGAAAACGCAGCCACACAAGTCTATAAAAGCAAGACGTTGCCAAACCCAGAGACTCCATCCCTACGACATGGGAAGATTTGGATGTCCGTATCCATCTGTGAGACAAGGAAACACGGAGAACAGGGAGTTTGCTGCATGCGTTAGAATCTAGCTTGGACACGAGAGAAAGGCTTCAGGTCTGTGATACAAAGCTTCTCTCCCCGTGGATCTTGTGGTAAGGTTGGAGGATAGGGCTTTTGATGTACATCATGATCGAGGCCTTGGAGACGGAAAAAGGAGATAAGGGGTAGGGACCTGGGTGTTTGCCTTGCCTCGTCTTCGTTCTTTAAATTTTGTTTTTCACGAAGCGTTGTGCTGTTCTCAAAGCTTTGATGGAGCACTTGTATCCGGTGCCAAAGGCAGCGTTGTGGTAAGTCTGCAGTGGTACAGGTGGCAATGGTTTATATAGACTATAGGAAGGTAAAGGTGCGATATGAGAATGTTGTATTCACTTTTTTTTTCTTCCGGCGTTTTGTGTTTTGCTTTTGAAAAGATACAGGTATATTCTGTGAAGTGTATCTGCTTGGTGATTGACATCCATCTTGCAAACTGTAAGAACTTTGCAGTAAAGATAGATAAGAAGGAACGACGGCAGAAGATCCTTCCCTGAGCACTGGATAAGTATAAATTGTATTTTACGAGTTTGGGTAGATACACCACTGAACATCCGCGTACTTCGTCTCGTCCAAATCCTCATCGACAACTCACTAAACAAGCATGAGTAATGAGCCATCCAAGCCTGTGGTCGAACATCGTCAGAACCATTCGAAGCTGCCGTGGACCAACCACAACGTAAATTCCCAGATCATAGAAGCCGTCGTGAAAGCAAAGGAGCTGAAAAGAAGAGTCCCATTGTGGAAGTCACCAAGCGGGATGGAAGATTACCCTCATAAGACTCCTTGATACTGTCCAAATCGCTGGAAGGTTGATGATGCCTATCACAATGTGGGTTGAGCAAGTATGATTCAAGCTAAAACGGATGTTAAAGCTCAGATTGAAACACATCATATCAAACCATGCGCCTTCGGCGACTTTCGGCTACTATCACATATCCTGTATGTACATACGTTAAGTCTCCAACCTCCCAGCATCGCTCTGATCGGACGCTTTCATTGTAAGCATCGTGACTCTCAGATATATCCCAATCATCAATACTGATATTATAGTGGGGCAATCTGGTATTCTTACTCCATTCATCAGAAACAATACCTATCTGCCATCGCCTAACTCCACTGTCATCAGATCTTCTAGCCAGATCATATTGGTAACGTGACTAGGACCTGGTTTTCTTTATGAATCTGTCTCTGCCTTTGCAATAATGGGAAACGAAAGTTTTCTCCATGCGTATCTTTGCGAATTTGAGCATGAAATTCTCGTATAAATTCTTCAAAGGTTCGTTCCTACGTTTGTTAAACATGAGTTCCGCAACGATTTTGCTTTCATAGCAGGCGGTGCACAAATTCCTATCACCATAGTGGCCATTATGATTCTAGGACGCACGTGGACGCTCAGGAGAGAGGGACACCCGGGTTCATGAAGCAGAAATAAGGGGATAGCCTCCTAGACGGCTTAGTCGTTGGAGTCTATGCACAATCGGTTCTCTCAAGTGTAGCTGGTTAGGAGAGAGGACAAACAGGCTCAGGGGTCGTGGACCTGTTCTTTCCACTTTTGCTGTATAGTCCGCGATAGTCATGACCAGATCAGCAGGGCGAGATGCGGAGTGTTGGGCTGCAAGCTTTTTGAATCGGACTTGTTTTGGTGTGTAGGCTGGCAAGAATATGAGTGGCGAGTGAAGAAGTGGCGATAAGTGCCGAGACCTCGGTCTTGTATGGCTGCGATAGGGGACGGGTGGTTGAGATGGACGAAAGGCAGGTCTGCAAACCACTTCCATGCTTCTGGTTTGCTGCTTTTGCTATCGTGAATAAGTTCAAGATTCGTTGAGGCCGATTAGGGAGATAGGGAGCAAAATTGTTGGAACATGGACCCGATCATACACTTCCTGTCTGGGAAAGCACCTTCCATTGAAACGATCGACACTTTCTTGGACGTCTTCTTACACTGTTTCAGTAAGTCGGATACGGCGTTGAGCCATGCAACCACTTTGTGTTAATAGTCTTACAAACTTATCTATCAACAAACACACCAGCATTTCTAGTTCGTCTCTTGCCTAGCCTTATACGCATTCACCGATCCACCAGCTAAGATCTTCGCTTGTGTCCTTCCTCTAGTCTTGTCATTTGCAATCCCGTCTTCTTGCACAGAACCCCAACCACCACCGCCAGGAGAGTTGATCACAATTCTATCACCTTCACCAAGTTTAATCGTTCCCTTGGCACCAAGATTGACCACTCTCTTCTCGTTAGAGTACTCGTCTTTCTTGATCACTAGGTTCAGACCGGAAGCTCCAGCCTCGCCTCCTTCAAGACCATAAGGTTGACGACTACGTCGTTCAGAGAGGATCGAACATTGCACTGGCATACGGAACTCGATATCGCGGATTGTGCCTGCGCCACCCTCGTGCTTGCCTTTACCACCTGAGCCCTCGCGTAACCCGAACTGGCGCAATATGCATGGGTAGCGCTTTTCGAATACTTCAGGGTCGGTGATGCGGGTGTTGGTCATGTGGGTGTGTACACCGCTTTGGCCTTGCCATGTTGGTCCTGNCCCTGATCCGCCAGCGATGGTCTCGTAGTAGCCGAAGCCGTTGACGTGATTGCCGTTCTCGTCCTTGCCGCCTGTGCCAAATGTCAGGTTGTTGCAGCAACCTTGACTAGCGGCGCAGGCGCGGAAAGCGAGAAGTACGACGTCCGTGATGCGTTGAGAGGTCAGGACGTTACCGCCAACAACACCGGCGCCTTTTGCTGGACTCAGCAGCGAGTTCTCTGGGATCTTGATCTCGACAGGGTTTAAACAGCCTTGGTTGAGAGGAATGTCTGAAGAGATGAGTGCGCGGAGACAGTAGATGATCGCTGAGTTTGTGATTGCAACTGGTGCGTTGGTGTTGCCGTAGACTTGTGGTCCCGTTCCTTCGAAATCGAAGACAGCGGTTCCCGTTTCGGGTTCGATGGTGATCTCCAGAGCGATCGGTGTTCCGTCATCCATGTAATCGACCGCTTTGAGGGGCTTTCTGCCGAATTGTTCGTACTTCTGCTTGAGCAATTCTCGAACGGCAATGTCGCTTGCTCTTTGAATGGCATACATGTAGCGGTGCACAGTAGACAGGCCAAACTCGCTAATCAGACCCTTGATCAGTGTGATACCACGCTTGTTAGCAGCAATCTGTGCTTTCAGATCGGAGATGTTATCCTGCAGACATCTAGTACCTGAACAGCCGTCATACTGCGCAGGCTCTTCGAGAAGTAGCTTGGTGATAGCTTCCTCATTGAATCTGCCCGCCTCAACGATCTTGAGTGATTCGATAGCAGCACCTTCCTGGTACAGGGAGTGGGAGGTGGGTGGCATGCTTCCAGGCAGAATACCACCAATGTCGGCATGGTGGCCCCTCGAAGCCACATAGAAAGCGATGTCCTCTCCATCGAAGACAGGAGTGATGACGGTGATATCTGGTAGATGTGTTCCACCACAGGAAGGATGGTTTGAAACAAGCACATCACCATCCTTCAATTTGCTCTTCCAGAGGTTGTGTTGGTACTTGACTGCAAACTGCATGCTTCCAAGATGGACCGGTACATGAGGCGCATTAGCTACCAGCCCACCATCGTTGGAGAAAAGTGCACAAGAGAAGTCAAGTCTCTCTTTGATGTTGGTAGACACTGAGGTCTTTTGCAGAGTTCTGCCCATCTGCTCGGCAATAGACATGAAGCGATGACCGAAGATGGAGAGCTGAATAGGACTGAACTCGTCGTTCACAAGTGCCTTGTCGACAGTCGTGGTAGATGTTTCCTGGTCGATCACAACACAGCTTTCGAGCACGTTGGCGACGGCATTGGGAAGAACGACTATGGTCTGAGTCTTGTCGATGATCAAAGCTGGCCCAGTAATCTTGCTACCGACAGCGATGACAGGCAGCTCGTAGGTTGGAGTGCCGAGGTAGCCTAAGCCTTCATAGTAAACGCGGTTTGTTGCGTTGGGTTTGACTTCAGGCACAGTGAGAGAAGCGGCCTGTGCCAACTGTGCGTAGGGACTGGCAGCGATTTTCTCATGCGCAGCACCAATTGCCCTGACACGGAGGTCATCAACCAGAACCGGCTTCTCCCGGAAGAGGAAGCCAAACTCGCGCTGATGTCTCTCTTCAAAAACCGATTGGAAGTCCCAATCAGTACCCCTGAGAACCATGAGAGAGCTGCTTGAGCCGGCATAGCGAAGGTTCAAGAAGATCTCGTAGGTAATATTCTCATCGGTGAAACCTTGATCCTTCAGTTCGAGAGATGCTTCGAAAGCAAGATCCTCAAGCTGTCTCTGGATGGTCTGTTGAGTTTCTGGGGAATAGGTCATGGCTGCTGGCTTCTGGATCTCATGGACCACATCTGCTAAGCTCATACCGTAAGCAGAAAGGATACTGGAGTACTTATGGATGATGATACGCGAGATGCCGAGAACCTTGGCCACGGAACAGGCATGTTGACCACCAGCACCACCAAAACAAGCTAAGTGGTGTGCAGCTGTGTCGTGACCTCTCGCTTCAGTCAGCCCTCTGATAGGTCTGGCCATGCCCTCATTTGCAACGTTCAGGAAGCCTAATGCGACTTCTTCGGGTGAGAACGTAACAGCACCATCTTGACGTTGCTGTTGGTTGATCTCTTCTGTCAAGGCCAAGAACTTCTGCGCTGTAATATCCCGATCGAGTGGCTGATTCTCCTTAGGGCCAAAGATCTTAGGAAAGTGGTCTGGTAATAGCCTTCCCAAGAACAAGTTGGCATCGGTCACGGTCAGAGGTCCTCCTTTGCGATAACAAGCAGGGCCAGGGTGAGCCGAAGCAGATTCAGGGCCGACGTGGAACAGACCATTCTTCCATGTGAGAATAGAGCCTCCTCCTGCGGCTACAGTGTTGATGTCCAGTTGAGGTGACTGGATGGAAACACCCGCAGTTGTGGTCTCGAAGACATGCTCGTACACGCCAGCGTAACGAGATACGTCTGTACTAGTACCACCCATGTCAAAGCCAATGATCGGCCGGCGTTCTTCGTCGTCCCAAGACGTTTGGGCATAACCGACCACACCACCAGCTGGACCAGAGAGAATGCCCTTGAGACCACCGAACCTGCGGAAGTCAACAAGTCCACCATCTGATTGCATGAACTCGCAGCGAGTGTTCTGTGCCCCAAGACCGCCTCTGAAGTTTTCCGAGATTGAACTAATATATTGTTTGATGACTGGTGTGAGGTAGGCATCTGCTGTAGCGCTCATTCCTCTGGGCACAGCCTTGATCATGGGTTGCAATGCGCTGGAAAGAGATACTGAAAAGCCCATTGAGACAGCTAAGTTGCCGACAAGGTTTTCGTGAGCGGGATATGCGTAGGAGTGGAGGAAGACGATTGAAATGGATCGATAGCCTTGATCCCATAGTGATTCGAGAGTTGTTAGGATAGCTTCCGGATCTGGTCGTTGCAGCACACGAATGCGTTCCCCAGTCACCGCCTCCACGATGTTAGGATCTGTGGCATCTGAGTTGACCGCCTCAGGATTCGGGTTCTCAGTGTAATCTTCCATAGTTATACGCTCATCAACTTCTATTACGTGCTCGTAGAGGACATCTGGTTTCGCTGCTGAGAGGTCGAAGATGTTTGGTCGTGATTGGTTTCCGATGAGAAGCAGATCTTTGAAGCCTTTTGTGATGAGCAAAGCAGATCTGGCGCCTTTGCGCTCAAGCAAGGCGTTCGTAGCAACTGTTGTGCCCATTCTGATAGATTCGATGTGAAAAAGGTCGAGCAATTGGCCTCTGGGATGCGGTTGGCCAGTAGCCAGTTCCAAGATCCGTCGGATACCTTCTGTCGGCGCATCTTGGTAGTTTGCAGGATCTACTGAGAGAAGCTTGAGGATTATGTCTTCGCGTCCGGGTATCGCAGCGTGAACATCAGTAAATGTACCACCTCTGTCGATAGAGACACGAATCTGAAGTGGTTTGATGGCCATTGTTGTCAAGAAGGAAGGTCGAGCAATACTAGGATGAGTATGCTCGAAGCCCCAAGGCTCTCAAGTTGGACTTATATTGGACCTACCTCGCCTCCGAGGCCGGTATACGAATTGAACTCACATAATGGCAACTGCTTTACTGACCAAGTATGATCGGAGACCTCTGCCGCGGTGTTGCAGTTGAAGGATTGTGCCCGGGCGTCGATAAGGGAGCAAACGATCGGGGACCCACACCGACGCTTTGACCATCTCTCGCGCGCTCCTTCCCCGACAGACGACAGACACCCCGCTGATACTTTGATACTGTTCCCGAGTGTGCCCGCCTATCAGCAACTCGCGCGGAGATCATGATAGCTTGCCTGTGAAGCCGATGTAGGATGGTATATCAGTTACCCAACCATGTAGGAGGTCAAGAGTAACCAGCGATTTGCACGTCGAAAATGGCCATATCGAAATTTTCTACTGGAGTTGCTGTCCGATTGGCAGCGAGAGATGGCACTCTGAAAGGCGTCACATCAGGTCTTACTCCCTCCTACCTCCAAGCAAATCTCATTGTCCTACCGTCTCGCTATGCTGCTGACTTCCGCCTCCTCTGTGCTCGGAACCCCGTCCCTTGCCCTCTTCTTGCAGAATCCTCACAGATTGGCTCCTACGATAGCCTGAAGTCTTACATTGCCGGTCTGAAAGGAGACAAGGTTGCATCTGACATCGACATCCGCTACGATGCTCCTAAATACATGATCTATCAAGATGGACTTTTGTCGGCTTCGCATGTGGAAAACATCGCTACAGAATGGACGGAAGATCATGTTGCGTTCTTGATAGGATGCTCATATAGCTTCGAAACTGCCTTGATCAATGACGAACTTCCGCCTCGCCATTTTGTCATGCAGAGGAATGTGCCGATGTATCGCACGAACATTCCTCTTTGTCCTGCTGGTGTGTTCACCAGATCAACATATGTTGTATCGATGCGCCCATACAAGCGATCAGACATCGAACGAGTGAGGGACATTACACGACCATTTGTCACTACACATGGCGAACCCATAGCTTGGGGCTGGGACGGCATGAGGAATTTGGGTATCGCAGACATCACTAAGCCTGACTGGGGCGATGTTCCGTTGGAGATGGATGGAAGGCCACTGGATTCGAGCAACGAGGATGTTGTTCCTGTGTTTTGGGGTTGTGGTGTAACTCCTCAAGAAGCTGTCATGAGAGCTGGACTGAAAGGAACTGTGTTGGGCCATGCTCCGGGGCACATGATTTTGCTCGATGTAAAGGATGAGGACGTGTTTAGCATCCATTGAGTCTCATGTAGCGAGATCTTCATTCGGATGCAGTTATTGTTAGTATCAGTAGCTCCGTCCTATTTTTATGTATGACAATTCTTCCAAGGCCTCATTTCTAGGGTTTGAGCTTTGAAGAGTTTGTAGCCACTGCCCAACTGACTGCAAGATTGATCTTGCAATTCGATGAGAGTCAACGTGCATTGGATCAAGTCTTGACTAACATTCTATTTCGAATCGTTGTACGCGAATTTATGTTTGCTGCATGTAAACAAAATGAACCTACGTCTGTTCTATCTACAGATGGTACTTGAAGTCTATAGCAGCATCTCCAGTCTGCACCTTCCTGGTGTCCGCATCACCGTTCGCGATTTTATCCTTGACATTGTTGCAGTGCCTCAGGTAAAGCCACTTGCAAGCGATCAAAAGTTGTGCAACACCAAGAGCTCCGAGCGAGAACGAGTTGCCAAGGACATAAGGGCTCTTCCTGTAGATCTGTCCAGCAACGATACCTGCAGTGTTGCCGATAGTTTGTTGGAAGCCAATTGCGGTTGCTCGGCGATATTGTGGTGCCACGTTGACATTCAGCCAACTCATGTTCAGTCCTGGTCCATTGTAGACAGCGACAGCGCAGAGGAACGTGCCCAAGAACTTGACGCCGTGCGGTGTCGGGCAGATGATCAAGACATAGCCGATGATACCGAAGATGTTGGCAAATGCTACAAGTGGCCCACGAATGCTTGTGCGATCGGAGAACCAAGCAACAATCATGAACGCGAGACCACCGAATATGTATACCGGAATGGTAAGGTATTGGGCTTGAAGGGAATTGTAACCCAACGACTTGATGATACTTGGTAGGAAGGTCGAGAAGCCGTATAAGAGGATGTCCTGACAGANATCTTGAATTGGTGTTAGAGATGGGCCTTCTGGAACATATGACGGCAACACTTACTGAATCAAACCACTCAGGATGACCTTGGGATCAGTAAGAGCAATCTTCACTTCTGCCCAGCTGAAATGTTCGGATCCCATGTAGGCTGCGCGCTGCCTCGCCCTAACTTGCATCAATTGCTTGTCGTCATCGTTGAGGAAGTAAGCGTTGTTGGGGTCGTTGGGCAAGAAGACGAATACGACAATTGCTACCCCGACCGAGAAGATACCCTGTGATATGTTAGTCTTGATGCAGCAAGGCGATATCTCCTGACTGACCTCGATAATGTAGACCCATTTCCAGCCAGCAAGGCCAGACACGCCATCCATCTGAAGGATACCGTATGCAAGAAGGCCACCGAATGCACCTGCGAGAGCTGTGCAAACGAAAAGATAAGCCACTCTCTTAGCCATCTCTTCTCTCTTGTAGACCATTGTCAGGTACAAGTTCAGACCCGGGAACAGACCTCCCTCACAGGCTCCAAGAATGAGGCGAGCGGCATAGAGACCACCAACGCTGGTGATGAAACCGCTGAAGATCGTCGTCAAACTCCAGACGACGCAAAGCCCACCAATCGTATACTTCGGGGTAAACTTCTTCAGAAGAACAGCCCATGGCGTCTCTGACAGAACATATGTGGCGTAAAAGATTGACACAGCTGTCGAGAACTGCTCTGCACTTGCACCAATGTCTTCGGGCATGCCAGCAACTTTGACCTAGCGCTTGTAAGATAGGGTACGGACATCATCTCTATGCCATCAACTTACGTTTCCAATATTGCTGCGATCAAGGAAACAGGCTAAGTAGGTCAACATGATGATGGGAACCAATGCTAGGTCCAACTTGGCAAGGAGCTTCTTCTCCCTAGCAGGATCGATGAACTCTCCAAGCTGTACGTCGACAGCATGCTTCTCACCATCTAGCGTGTGGTCGTCGTATTTCTCAGACATGATGAGAAGATGTTTGGATTGGTAGGTGACAGATTGATGCAAATAGAAGAGATGGGCTAGACTTATGCAATATGTATGCGTACTTGCCTTCAGACATGATGTTCAGCCGATCTTCTGCCTATCTTGTAGATATGTCTCCAACCACGAGGCGTGTACCCCGCATGCCTTCTCCAGGAGATAAGGTTCCGTTTTCTCAAGAAGTGGCATTGCTGCTGGGAGCTTTGATCGCTCTCAACAAGCGTCAACATGTCGGGATGGAACAGCGAGCGATTAGCAGAGTGGGCGATTAGCAGGATAGCATTGATCGGGGTCAATGAGCGAGGTGCCAAGCCACCAAACCATAACAGGACGCGCTATCGACGTATCAAGGAGGTCCAAGCGTCCAGATACCTATCAGCCGCTGCAGCGAAGACCGGAGCAACGTCTGACTCGTCATGTACATGGCGCTACTAATATTCATTATCACATCGCGTTGATGCCACGAACCATAACCGTGTCTTTGGCTCCTGCTTTGATCTCCGGGGATATCCTGTCTTGACAACGCTTGCACATTTGCAAACCCGCTCTTTGTTGCCGGCAGTTCCTCTTGCTGGACATGAGTCCGGGGAAGTCACATTTCTGCCAATTGACACGATCAGCAAGACCGATGTAGGACAGAAGAAATGGCTGCGAATACAGCAGGCCCCTCTCCATCATCTGAGATCAACTTGATTCGACCTGTTGCTTGCAAAGATGTCGAGGTCGCCGCACATATTGCTCCAAAGAGCAGCCTATTTGTGCAAGTTGTAGAGAAGGCAACCACGAGTGTGTTTACGAGTCTGGTCGTAAGATTGTGGTCTCAGAAGGTGAGGCTTGTCAATCAAGGCTCACTTAAAGCGTACTTACTAACGTCTATCCAGCTATCTGCGAGACCTTGAAGCCAAGTTGAAGTCGTATGAGGGTAGCTAATGCCAGCCCAGACTAACTTTAGGAACTGTCATGCTAACCTGTTCCCACAGTGAATTCAACAGCTGCAGCTCCCCGACCTACATCTGTCAGCAGAAAGAACGACCCGGAGCTCGATGTGAACCCTCTTATGGACAACTTTGCCAATCTTGTCATAAGTCCATCCGGGAAACACCACTATCTAGGAAGCTCTTCATCAACAATCCTTGGCAGGAGATTCCGAGACATCGTGGGCATAACCAATTCCGGACTAGACCTTGATCAAGAGTACTCGACCTACAACCACTCAGCTCTCCGTCTGCGGCGGCTTTCGGTGGTTGACAATGTCATGCTACCCCCTGCTGCGTTCGCCAAACGCCTCTACATTGCTCAACATTCATATATTGGGACAATCTTTGCGTTCTGCACTCCAGATATGTTCGAGGAACAACTTCAACAAGCATATCGAGGACCTCCAGACCTCAACGATAGGGAAGCCTGCCTTGCATATTGTCAAACACTCCTGGTACTGGCGTTTGGTCAGCTATATTCTGTCAACCAATGGTCTGGCTTTGACGGCCCTCCAGGATTCGACTTCTTTACTCAAGCTCTGCAGTATCTACCAGACATGTATGAAGAAGGTTCTGTCCTGTTTGTGGGCGTATTAGCTCTGATCGGATACTTCTTGCAGAATCTCAATCGCCGCGATGCTGCCTTTCTGTACGTAGGTACTGCTTTGAGGATGGCCATCTCTCTTGCTCTACACCAAGAAGTACCAGACCCTCGGCTCGATGAAGCAAGCAAAGAGCAACGTCGTCGCATCTGGTGGAGTGTTTATTCATTGGACAGGATACTGTGCGTCAAATCCGGTAATCCCTTGACTATCGACGATCAAGACATTGCTGTAAAGCTTCCAAATAGACTGAGTCATGAACCCGAATACTGCCCTGCAGTGTGTTTACGACATTATACGCAACTATCACGAATCCTTGGACGAATCATGAAAACCATATACAGAAGAACGCCCAAGACCGGCTCGACACTCATTGCCTCTGTTTCAGAGATCATGACCGACCTCTCCACATGGCACCGCGACTTACCTAACGAGCTCCGTTTTGATCCTGCGAAGCTTAACGTATCTCGAGAGTCTGTTTCGACATTCTTACACTATCATCAATGCATCAACCTTACGGCTCGACCCCTCCTATTCCATGTAGTGGAGAAGCGTTTGCATGGCAACGCTGACGATCTCGGCAAAGACTGGAAAGATGGTCTGTCTCCTACAACCATTGCTGTAATAGACATGTAAGTCAAGCTGAAGGTACAGACATCACGACTAGCGTTGGCGCTTTGTCTCGATCCGCGGGCAAGGCCCGTACGGAGTGATTTGGAACACCGTTAGGGACAGCGCCTCACGGAGTTGAGTACACTCGTCTAGCAAAGTCGTGGTGTTCTTGCCCTCCAACTTTATAAAATCATACTAATTGTACTTTCGCTTTAGNNGTGTGTCAGCGCAGCTAAAGATTCAGTAACCATGATGAATCTGGCTGCAACCAAAGATCTGGTCGCGACATATGGCTACATGGATGGTGAGCATGCTTTCTCCGCAGCCATCGTTCTTGTGATGGTCTGTGTTGCTTTCCCTGCCAGCAGATCAGAGTTCATGGCTATGGACCAGGCACTTGAACTTCTTCGAGGCATGGCTGAAAGAGGCAATACACACATCGCTGGGAGGCATCAGTTGCTCTTGCACTTGCGCTCTCTCATCTCGTTGCCATCTACCAATGTCGCTTCCACACCACCAACCGCGACGATACCTCAACCGAACACGACGTTCGTCGATGTCAACCAGATGCTAGCATATGATGCTGGCAATGTAGACTTTGGGTTGTGGGAAGAAGGCTACACGAATCCGGATCTCGACATTGACTTCCAGGACTTGACACAATGGACGCAGGCGGCACAAAACACCTACGGTATAGGATCACTTTGATTGCAGGCTACCTGGAACGAGCGATCGACCAAGAGAGCTGAAAATGAAGATTCAGCGATCAAATGTCAGACGAGGGGAATCGTGTCATCATGTTTGACTCTGCCTCACCCAACTTGGCAGGAGCAAGCGATTGCTTCTGTGGTAACCCCCAAAGCAAGGCTCACTCGCGTCCTACCTAGCGAAAGTAGAAGAACAGGTCTATGACCTTTGACTTCCTCGCCGACTCTCCGCAACCGACTACACTGAAGGACTGCTTTTGTGCATCAACCCCAATCATGAAGCCGTCCGAGGAGATGGCCCTTTATTTTTGCTTCATGGACCTGAGTTCCCCTCTCCCACACCTCCACATGCATTGCGAGCACAGAGCGATGCTTGGATCCTGTCAGAAACGAAACAATGTTCTGTGTCGAGGGCCGCAATGACAGAAAGAGGTTGTAGCTAGCCTGGGCGAAATCTGCCTTGATCCTGTACTCTTCGAAGGTCTCGAAGGCTTCGACTTCAAACGCCTCCTACTTCTGTCGTAGCTTAGCATGGTGCTGACTTTGAACTATGCTGCCGTCGACGACCTTGACGACCATGCCGGTTATTGCTAAGCTTGTTTGGAGTCAAAGTCGTTCATTGCACTTTCGACCACACTCTGGCATCGTGCAGTCGAATTGAACAATATCTCAACTGCTTGTAATGCATCCGCTTTCGGATTCCAAGGAATAAGAATCGTTGTTGGTGGTGTGCTCAGACAGCATTGGTAATTACAATTCATACTTAGCCAATGAATGAAGCATTCAAACTCACGAGAGAGTACCAATGATTGTCTCCACTGCTTTACTGACACCGGCTTCAAAGTTCATCGTGTCCTCATTGCTAGGAGCTCTTCCCTACAATCAAACTAGTTCCATACTCACAGTACCCGACGACCAGTACTTGTGGCATGTATGGTACTGCTTGCTCGGACGTCCATCGCTGCAGTTTTCACGATGAGTCAGGGTTCATTAGTGATGTTGCGGAGGTCCCTTTTGAGAAGCAAGTGAGGTTTATTAGCATAACAGTAGCCCAGTGAGGCGGTGGTCGTTACTGCTGTTTTCACTACTGACTAACAGCTTCTGACGCTTGCCAGGGTTCACCTTATGTATAACGGTGAACGACTCCAAGGAAGCCATGGCTCTCATCGAAGAGCTGAACAACTTTCTGCTCGACCCTCAGACTCGCGCACAAGTCTTCAGTGACGACCAGGTCGCATCGGAGATTGAGGAGATGATGAACGCGGTGTGGAAGAGAGGAGGTACAGAATAGGAAAGCAAATGACTAGGTCCACAGCCCACTTCTCCCATCTCTCATGTCTTTGTAGTGCAATGATGTGCGTCAGTAAATCAACAATTACTCGTCTGTTATGAGATGCACGGGAGAGAGTCTCTGCATCACAGACCTGACATCTTTATCTAGTCGACAAAGTCGTCCTATTCCTAGATATGATGTTGAAGATTGAGCAGACGCAGATGACCGATCTCAAGGCTTTGAGTACAACCAGGTCCTTGCCGTCTACAATCTGAAGCTTGAGTGAAAGATTGTACATCGTGCTGTATGTCGTGGGCAACAACGGCACCACGACAGTGACCTGAATACCGCAAAGGCAAGCAAGGATAACTGTGACGCTAAGTAAGAGCGAGCTGGCTCAACGAACGCGAATGATGCCGCGACATATAAAGCAATATATTTGCAGTATGAAGGGTGAGTCTGGACATTTGACTGGAGAGACGGTCTTGAGTGTTCCTAGAAGATGCTCTAGGATTGAGCATAGCAGCTAGCACGATGATGTGGCACGTAGCTTGTGCGTCTCTCCAGGACTCATGATGTGTTGTGCGAGTTATGAAAGCAAAGCTTGTTAGAGAGAGTATGCCCAAATCTGCGCATCATCAGAGGCACTCTGATTCGATACATAACTCTAAAGCTCGATGTCTTGTGATTCTTGATAGCCGATCGGGAACATGGTGTTCCCTCAAGTGCTAGGAGGAGGCGAAACAGTCTTTCGACGACTAGATGGCCTGATTCTGGCGCCCATAAGTCGATCCTTACGTTCCCTTAACTGCTCTGCTGTCTTCACGTCCTCAAAGCCCTGGGGCAAGAACGTTGAGGGGTTTTTCAAAAAGCAAGCATTACAGTCATAGAGATGTTCGCCGACGTCGATTTCTTGTCGGCGCTGCCAAAACAACCTCATACCTCCACGTCGCTTCACACCGCAAGAGGCACAATGACGTTCCAACTTCTCCTGAGTCAACACGGGTATGTGTGTCTTCCAGGAAAGTTTTTCGAGGATAGAAGGTCCATAATAAACCCAATTGCGTAGCACCTTTGCCATGGCGAATCTTGAGTCTGTATTCATTTTCAAATGATAATACTCTCTATATTGCTCCACGGTAAGATCACGCCATTCCTGATCGGTAGCGCGTCGATTGCGCGTATAGGCGCTTTGTACAGCAAGACGATGTTCTCGCCAGATAGGGTTGGTTGCATATTTATTGCGTCTCCATGCATTCTTGTATTGTTGCTCGCGCCGTTTCCGCAATTCAAGATCTTTCGAGGGCTTGGGGTCCTCTTTTAGTTCTGATTTTGTTGACAGATCAAAGTCTTTTGGTACTTCATGATCTTCTGATGATTTGTTCCATGCCGGACAGGCAAAGAAGGTGCGCAAGGTGGTAGCCGAGACTGAAGACTAGATCAAGCAGACCTTCGGACGCAAGGGAATATGTCGAGTGACATATTTGAAGGTCTGCATAGTTGCAAAAGAGTGAGATGGATGTGCAAGGATTAAAAGACGAGGAGATGTTGATTGAATAGCAAATGTGGATCAGAGAGTTTGCGGCAGAGGGCCGAGCCACTCGGACACCGTGCGTAACTTGGACATACAACAATCACATGTCGAACTTGGCCCTTCCATTCACAAACACACAACATGGCTCCTTCTCTACAAATCTCGATTCCGACGACATCAACAGCCGAGCAAGACGGCAAGAAATACACTCTCTATCACGTCCAGCTCGCTCTCCCCATCCGCACACACGAAACCCGTAAACGCTACTCGGACTTCACCTCCCTCCACGTTACCCTCGTTGCCCAAACCGGTGCTGCTCCTCCAACTCCTCTACCGCCGAAATCATGGCTCCGTCGCACAGTCGATAATCCCGCTTTGACCGAACAACGACGACGCGGTCTCGAAGCCTACGTGCGAGCAATCCTCGATGCCCAAGATGCACGTTGGCGCTCGTCAACTGTATGGCGTCATTTCCTCGGTCTCCCCAACGACGACAAACAACACAAGATCATGCAGCAAAACGACAGTGTCGCCGATCCAGCAGCATGGCTAGACCTACACAGAGATGTCAAGAACCAACTCCACGAGGCCCGTCAATTACTCAAGAAACGAGATGCTGCAGCTACTGCTCAAGAACAACACGCCGTTTCCGCAAACGCAAAGGCTGCTTTGGTGCGTGCGGCTACCGGACTGGCTAGACTGGACGATGCCCTCACGAAAGCTGCAACCAAGACAAAAGACGATGACGATGGGGGTTGGGGTCAGGCCTCCCGCCTAGGCGAAGGAGAGATTCGTCGTCGTCGTGATATGCTCGGTCTCGCGCGCGCAGAAACAGAGTCTCTGGAGTCGAACCTCAAGTCTTTGGTTGTGAAACCGCAGGGAAGTATGTTGAGTGCTTCTTCGGCAGCAGCAGCCGCTTCGGACAGTGATAAGCGCGCACTCTGGGGTGATGCACCTGCAGCTAGGAGCTCCAGACGTGTATTGGGCGGACCGGCACAAGAGACTGACAAGACTCGCGAGCTGGACAACAGTGGTGTGTTGCAACTGCAGAAGCGCATTATGGGTGAGCAAGAGCAGGATGTGCTCGAGATTGGCAAGGCCGTGACGAGGATGAAGGAGATGGGCATTATGATTAATGAGGAGCTGGTTGTGCAGAATGAGATGCTGAACATGCTGGACACCGACGTGGACCGCGTACAAGGCAAAATTGACGTTGCTAAGAAGAGGATCAAGAAGATCAATTAGAGCTTGGATTTGGTAAAGAGCATTTTTCATTGTTTGAGGGTTTGGTTTCTCTTTTCTTTTCGTTCTGGTTAGTACATGGATACCCTTCTTGTTGATTTGTTTCTTTGGTTGTAGATAGCATAACTTTATCATATCATTGCATCTTTCACCTTGTCCGCTAGCTCAACCGATACGCCAATCTAGGATCATCGTGATTCAGGTTTCACAATTGTTGCTTCATGTACGGCTTGATATCTGATGAGTATAGACGGATTTTGGAGAGTCTATACGCCCTTCGCAACACCCTAGCACCCTTCCTTCTCTTGCCCTTGACATCCCTTCCTTCCTCAATAGCCAGCAAAGCTTCTCTCTTCTTATCACCCACAACATTAAGCGCATCCCTCACAACCCTACTTTCCACATTCACACCTTCCTCAACATACTCCTCCATCTGCCTACCCACGCGCTCCTCAATCGCCTGTACCAACCNCACATCCCTCTGCCCCACCAAACTCACAGACGTACCTTGTCTCCCCGCTCTCGCCGTTCTACCAACCCTATGCACATAATCATCCGGATCCCTCGGTAAATCGTAGTTTACAACTAGTTCCACAGAAGGGATATCCAGACCTCTGGCTGCAATGTCTGTACACACTAAGATACGAGCGGCGTTGGCGCGGAAACGGGCGAGGTTGTTGGTGCGGTCTGATTGGGCAAGGCCGGAGTGTAAGGAGGTTACGCGGTGAGAGAGGCTGCGGAGTAAGTGTTCGAGGAGGTTTGCTGTTGAAGTGCGGTTTACGAAGATGATTGTTGGTTTTTTGACGTTGGTTTCTGTGAGGAGGAGGACGTGGAGGTACTGTGGAGGTTTGTTAGGATGGAGGTCAGAGATGGGGAGAAGTGGGAAGGTTTACTTNNTTTCTTTGTGGACGACGTTGACGAGGCAGTAGGTTTGGTGTAGAGTGTCTGGGATGGCGAGAGTATCCAGATCGACCTGTATCTCTGTTAACATCCATACTCGAAGTATTCCGGTAAGGGTTTCATCAAAGCAACATACCTCACAAACAGCCACAGGAGGTTTGCCCTTAGGTCTAGGTCTATCCTGCAACGCTCTAACCTCGGCCGTCACAGTCGCAGTAAACAGACAAGTCTGCCTCTTCCCCGACTCCGGCAACACCTCCATACAAACCCCCAAATCAGGCAACATGCTTCCCTTCCCTGCAGCCAACAACCTATCCGCCTCATCCAAAACCACAAACCTGACTCTGCGTAATCCCACAATGCTTTCCTCTCCACTACTGTTGATATGATCTGCAAGTCTTCCAGGCGTGGCAATAACAACATGAGGCCTCTNTGCCAACTCGATAGCTTGGGCTCTCATATCCGCACCTCCAGTCACCAAACACACTTTCAAGTTTTGGATTGCGCCGATCGCTTTGAACTGTTCGAAAATCTGCAGGGCGAGTTCGCGGGTTGGTGTGAGCACCAAGCCGAAAATGCCAAAGGNGTCTTTGGCCCATTGTTGAAGGATAGGTACGGCAAAGGCAACGGTCTTTCCCGAACCTGTTCTGCTGCCACCGATACAGTCGCGTCCGGCGAGGATTTCGGGAATGGCGGCTGATTGAATGCGAGTAGGATTCTTAATAGCCATATTGGCAAGCGAAGACACCAGCCAAGGAGAAACATTCAAATCTGCAAAAGTCGATTTCTCGTTTCCTTTTTGAGCTGCTGCGATGGTTGAAGAGACAGAGTCGTTTGTTGTAGGTGTTGATGTTGGTTTGGCCTTGATACGAGACATAGATGGTTGAATGCGAGATGCAGTAGCCATAGGAGCAATTTTCTGTTGTGCTACTTCCGGTTCAGAGTCCGAGTCTTCTGATCCAGTGGGTGAGAGTCTGCGGCGCTTCCTAGATCCATTTTGGTTTACTTCTTTGCGCTCGCTGTGAATGCTGCTGGCGCCCGAGTCGCTAGAATTGCCAGAATCCGAGCTGGCGACGGAGTGTGCCATCTTTCTATTTATTCTTCCCGCTGTGGAGTTTCCGTATGTCCAGAAGAATAATCGCTAGAGGTTTCGCAGCAAAGTTTTTGTGATGTTTGTGCTGTTGTTGGCAGCCGACTATTTTTGCCTTGATATCCGAAAATTTCATGAGCACGTGACCTTAGTATAATTTATATCGACCAAGACGAGACCTTCGAACTAACGAAAGGTTATGAACGTTATTTCCTTTTAGATATGTTTATATGCTCGTATATACAGTGTGTTCGTGTCGTAAATCAAATATTTTGCATCTCATGCTTGATTTAAGCAGAGGTCTGCTCCTGCTCCTGCTTTGCCTCATCAAAGTAGTTGGGAACCATCTCCTGTTCGCGGTATCCACCTCTGGTGAAGCTCTTCATGGGAGTAAGACCGTACTTGGCGAACATGGCCTTGTCTTCGTCCCAGCCATTGCACTCCGTGGTCAACATCTTCTCACCAGTGAAAATGGCATTGGCGCCAGCGTTGAAGCACAGAATCTGCTCAGCCTCGCTCATGGTGGTGCGACCAGCAGCAATTCTGATGATAGTGGCAGGCATGACGATTCTTGCAGTGGCGATGGTACGGAGAATAGCGTCGAAACTGATGCGCTTGCGGCTAGGGTCGTCACCAAGTGGCGTACCCTTGATAGGAACCAGAGCGTTGACAGGGAAAGATTCGGGGTGAGCAGGCATGTTAGAGACGGTGTAAAGCAGACCAACGTGGTCCTCAGGCTTCTCGCCCAGACCAAGGATACCACCAGAGCAGACGTTGATGCCAGCCTTGCGGACGTTGGACAGAGTTTCCAGACGCTCGTCGTAGGATCTGGTGGTGATGACTGTGGGGTAGTGCTCACGCGAGGTGTCGACGTTGTGGTTGTATGCAGTCAAGCCAGCCGACTTGAGCTCCTCGGCCTGGTTCTGGTCAATCATGCCGAGTGTGACGCAGACCTCCATGTCCATGGCGCGTACACCCTCAACCATGGCCTTGACATTCTTCAAGCTGGTCTTTCTTCCTCTCATGTCACGCCAAGCGGCGCCCATGCAGAAACGTGTGCTTCCGTTCTGCTTTGCGATACGAGCCTTCTCGAGTACGTCGTCGACTGGTGACATTTTGGTTGCCTTGAGACCTGTGTNTTTGTATTCAGCTTTGACCTCTTGAACACATGTGTGAGTCGCAGAAAGCATACCAGTGTTGTAGCGAGAAGACTGAGCACAGTATGAGCAGTCTTCCGAGCAGCCACCAGTCTTGATGTTCATGAGTGTACACATCTGAATAGATGAAGGAGAGTGGAATCGGCGGTGCAGAACACCNNCTGGGGGCTCTGTCAGTCACCATAGCTCTGAGACTCATGCAGCACGTGTGCCTACCGATTGATGTGCCAGCTCCATAAGAGGAGTCTTGTAGATTTCGCGAATCTCGTCCTTGGACCAGTCATGTCTGGGACCAGTCTGTCTCATAGCCTCTTGCAACACATTGCCGGTCCTGGACACAGGGCTTGAGCCTGCTGCCATGGCCATGCGGTCGTCCACGACTGTGCTGAAAGGTCGGCCATTTGTGAGCTGTCTCAACGACCGTACTGCTTGGCGGGTAGACATTGTGAGTGTGAGGATCAACGAGAAGAGGACAGCAAACGATTGAAGAAGACAACACAACGACAGACACACTGTTGAACACAGACGGCAGAGAGATTGTGTCTGATGAGTCGAACAAAGATCGAAGGGTCAACTGTCTCCGTGTTCGCAGCACGCACTCCTCGGTATTCGGGGTTCGTTGGTGGGGGAGCTCAATCGCGGCCCGGTCATCAATTCACCGGCGACTCGACTCATGATTGGCTGTTTTGTCGGACAAGCTTCGGAGACAGGCGCTAGAACCGGCCCATTGGAGATCTTCCACAGACCTGCAGAGAAGGTCCTTTTCCCCTCAGTTCAACCAAATTTCCATCGACTTTTGGCTGCTTGGACAAAAGCCATGGAGGCTGAAGAGGCTCATATCAATAGTCTGCAACCTGAAATAAGGACTGTTTCTTGGCCTCCTTTCAGCTGATGGATTTGGTTGTAGCACGAATCTCCTTGCCGTGGTTCTGGCTCAATATTGGTAAAGCATGTCTCCTTGCTCGTATTTTCGAGATGATGGTCTGCAGCTGATCATTCGAGACCGGTTCTCTGCATGTGCCATCAGCATTTGTGTGAACCCCTGCTGTTTGCTAGTACGTGTATGGCTTTGTTCGGGTGAGCCGAAATAGATCTCTTGTAGCACCGTCATGACGACCGAGGTCTGCAACTAACAAGTGTGATTATTGCTTTGTTCAATTGAACTGGTGAAAGGAATATATGGAAAGGTCTCACTATCCAAGAATTAGTGCTCGTTTTCTGGCAGTTACTATTATTGCACATGTGCATCAATAACTACCGGTACAACCGTCGCCTACATGTTATGCAGCGTCGCGTACAAAAATTATTCAGATCTTGCTGCAAGACCCTGTGCTCTCCGTTACCCTGCACTACTACTAGTGTCACACACAGCGCAGCTGCGCTGCACAAAGCCGTTGGATGGGCGTTGTCGCAGCCGTTGCGAAAGAACGTCCAGAGTCCATGAATTCTAGTAGCTGCTGGATAGAACAGGTCTTATCGCAGGCCTCGAGAACGACGTGATATGAGATAGACGGTGCTGGACAGAATTGAAGAGACGCATGGCAGCAAACATGAATCTCTAAACGTCTGTTCGTGTTGCTGCAAATCGCTCTTTGACTAAGCCAGCAGGTGTGTGCGTTGTCGAAGGATTGTAAGCATGATCTGCAAGTTCGAGGTCGCCAGCAGTTTGGGCCGGTCTATTTTGGCCAGAGCAAACAGACCAGAATCCAGTCAACACTCTAAAGATCCCAAATCCCAAATCACCGCGTAGATGCAAACAGCTGATCAACATGGTAAACGCAGAACCTCGACGCGTGGTCACACCACATTGTGCTTCATGTTCAAAAACTGCGAGAGCTTTTTCTACGCACGTATCAGCTGCTTGCTTAGAGACACGATGTTAACGTAATCACGAAAAGTGCTCAGTTGGACCAGAGTTTTATCACAGACTATCAATCGGGCCTGAGCGAGTCTCCACATAGTGTATGCACATCAATATTGAAGCTGAAAGCTGTAGTGACATGGTATACCATGTTATAAGCTTTATGGCGGAAGATGATTGACGTGAGCCACAATACGAACACCCCCTGAGTCTCGGACAATTGTATGATGACACTGAGTACGGCGTCTGGCTGAGACATCTGAGACGCGAGTCGTCTCCAGTGAGCTGGTTTGAACGTTGTTGCCGAACAATGGCCAACGGAGAAGGTGTTTGAATTGTGGATGAGTAGGCACTCTCACACAGTTCGAGGTCACAGAGCCAGACACACCGTTGTGGCATTCCGGGAGCTCGAACTTACATATCTCCATGTCAAGAGAGAAGGAGGTCGATAGAGCAGGGCGTTACTCAAACGCCAACCCCGGTGAGGAAAGCAATTCTGGTAGCAGCTCCCACGTAGACGAAACCCAAATTACCCCAATACATTGAATTCCAATCCCAGAATTGCCAATAGACATCGAATCCTACGTCCTTGACGCTGTAGATGTGACCGAAATCGGCAAGCAAGAGGCCGAAGAGAAACACTCTCCAGACGCGAAGGTTGGTGGTAGAGCGTAAGACAAGGGCTTCGTTTAGTGCAAATACAGCGTACATATTTGCGAGTTGACTCAGAACGATGCTTTCACGGGCGGATGGACCGAGAGAAACGGCCGAAGCCGAGGCGTAAGTCATGTCGAGGTAGTCATGCTGCTGAAACCAAGCGTAATAGGCACCGACGGCTGTAGCGACAGGTTCGATGTAGAGGAAGAACAGGCGGTACCACAAGGCGATGGTGGCAGCATTGGCAGGAGGCATTGTTTATGATTGCGGTGGGTGCAGCAGGAAATAATGATGTACGTGCATGCAAGAACTTGCGGAAGAGAAAAAAAGCAGGACGCAGGGTTTCGGATGCGCGGTAAGCCAAGAGGTGAAATGACGACTGTATCTGGATTGGTACAGCACAGAAAAGGGAATGCCTCGGAAGCAGGCAGCGCGGGCGCAGCGGGAGAAACAGGCGCACAAGCGGACGATGAACGGGACCGATGAATGATGGAGAGAAGCAGCAAGAAACAACAGCGATGATAACAGCAGCAAGATTGATTAGTAGTATGCCAGCGCAAGCTCAAGACGGTGCAGAGCGTGACGCTGGTCAGGCGGGAGGCCTCGGGACAGCGGTCTGCTCGAGGGAATGGACAAAGTGCGAGACAAGCAAAGTAAGATTTGTATGGAAATATGATGACGGAAGTCGCAGTCCAATAACGCGATCGGGATGTCTCAGAAGTAGATAGAGTGTCTCGCTATGCAAAACAAGGCAAAGCGCCGGGCAACCAAGACGGCCTGATGATGACTAGTACCGTGTAGGGCCAACCCGCCGGGCCAGAAGAGTGGCAGAAAAACAGGGAGGTCGCAGCGCAGCGCAGCGTGAGCGTACGAGATCGCAGTAGTCGAGCGCGGGATTTTGACTTTGCTACTGTTTGACACCAAGACTCTTTTCGCTCAACGGCAAAGAAACGTAACGCGCGCTGTTTCCTGCTGCGGTGCTGTTGCTTCCCTTCCTCCCTCATTCCAAACCAATCGCCGCCATTTTGCTGTCGCTTGTCGCCTGTTCGCTGGCTGCCGGTTTTATACCATAAAAACACTGAGGCCGCCACGACTGGGGTCCCCCGCCTAGACACTCAATCCATCATAACCGTTTCGCTTCCTTCCCTTTCGCTTCCTTTAACTCTCCTTTCCGCCTCGCCCTCTTCTTTCCTCCACCTTCGACTTTTCATCATCACCAACACATCCGCTATCCAACCTGCTCCACTCCTTTTTATCCTCAAAATATCCCTCGCTCTGAAACAAAAGTTTCCACTCTTCGGCCGCATTGCTCTACTCCACTGTCTCAGCCGTAACACGGATCCACTCTCACTCATCACGACTCGATTGAATTTACCAAAAACTCTGTTTACCCTCGCCAAGGGGCCCCCATCAAGCCACCATGTCAAACTATGATGTCCTCGACAACACCCACCACAAATACTACTACTCCTCCCAGGCTTCGAGTGGTGCCGAGTCTTCCTCATCTTCGACCTCCTCCTCACCAACCCGACCGCACACTTCGCAAGTATCTTCCACTGCCTCTCTCGTAGCGTCCACTCAGGGTCACCACATCCCTCGTCCATCAACACAACCCCTCTCCATCCCTCAGCAATATCATTCCTTCGACCACAGTCTCGAGGCCGAGCAAAGACGGGAAGCCGACATGTTCCGTGACGTCGAGTGGAGATCACCCAAGCTGGATCAGTCCGAGAGAGATATGTCTTTGAAGCGCGCTTCCTCGGCAGACCCTAGCCAAAGCACAAATACAAAGACCAAGCAACAGAAGGAGAACGGCATCTTTAGAAAGACGTCGCAGAAGTACAGAGGCCTCCGTGCACACCTCCATGGAAGGACCCGACGCAACTCTGGCGACCTCATGGAGGGTGTCGAAGGTTCTTCTTCTGCAACCATCCCTGAACACTCGGCATCTTCTGGCCCTTACCACAAGGGCATCCAGCGCTTTAACCCCACCAATCGCTTACTTCAGTCATTGAAGGCTCCCAGACACGACACACCACAGCCCGTCAACGCTCCCTCACCTACCCTCCAGTCCTCCTCGACCATGCCTGCCCTTCACTACAACCCCGACCAACACTTCATGCATCGCTACGTTTCCGACTCAAATGCTGGCGAGGCTGCTCGCCGTGCCGCCTCGGCCACCAATGCTGCCAGCTATGCTTCAAATTCTCGTGCATTCATCCCTCACTACCAAGCGACAAGAGATCTCCACCGTAGCCGCATCGGCAGCATCCCCGGAGCCAGCGACAGCGGCGCCGATCTTGCGTCCAACGCCGACTTGGACGTTGAGATGGCTGATATCGCAGAGATTGTGGCCCCAGTCAACAAATGCTCGGATCCTGTTGAAGCCCTTCCTACTGAGATCGTCACTTTAATCCTCTCTCACCTGGACCCCGAGAGTCTTAAGGCTGCCCAACGGGTCGCTAAGAGCTGGTCTCGCATCGCTAAGGACCCTCTTATCTGGCGTGCTCAGTACCTTCGACAATACGAGAAGCAGACTTATGTGTCTCCTGCACCTATCCAGATTGGTGGTATCGGCACTGGACTCCCTCATCAGCCTATGCAACATTGGGAATTGATGCACGACGCTAGAAGACGTATCGACAAGAACTGGACTCGTGGCGATCAAGGCGGCAAGGGTATTTACTTGGCTGGCCACACCGATTCTGTCTACTGTGTTCAATTCGACGAGCANAAAATCATCACTGGATCTCGCGACCGCACAATCCGTGTTTGGGACATCAACACCTACAAGTGCCTTAAGGTCATCGGCGGTCCTAGCGTTCGTCCCTCTCCTGGCCCCAAGGTTTTGCGTACTGTGGAATATCCCAAGTTCCACCATGCCGAGTCATCTGTTAATGGCACTGCCTACGGCAACAGTATCTACCACGTCCCCTCTGACTTCCACAGCGCCAGTATTCTTTGCTTGCAGTACGACCACGAGATCCTCGTTACTGGTTCTAGTGACAACGATCTTCTGGTCTGGAACGTCAACACTTTCGAACCCATCCGTCGCCTGAAGCAGCACACTGGCGGTGTCCTTGATGTTGCTTTCGACGAGAAGCACATCGTTTCCTGCTCTAAAGACTGCACCATCATTGTCTGGGATCGCAAGACTCTCGAGCCCATTCGCACTCTTACTGGCCACCGCGGTCCAGTCAACGCTGTCCAACTTCGTGGCAACCTTCTTGTCTCTGCTTCGGGCGACGGTGTTGCGCGTCTGTGGGACTTGAACAAGATGCAATGTGTCCGTGAATTCCCTCAGAAGGAGCGCGGTCTCGCTGCCGTTGAATTCAGTGACGATGCTAAGTTCGTCCTTGCTGGTGGTAACGACCACGTCACCTACAAGTTCGAAGTCGCTACTGGAAACGAGGTCAAGCAATTCACTGGCCACACTCAGCTCGTGCGTTCGCTGTTCCTTGACACTCAGAACCGTCGCGTCGTCAGTGGCTCTTACGACTTGGACTTGCGGGTGTATGACTATGACACTGGCGCTCTCCTCGGTCGCTTCAACGAGTGGACCACTTCTTGGATGTTGGCTGCCAAGTGTGATTACCGTCGCATTGTCTCGACAAGTCAAGATGGTCGTATCCTCATGATCGACTTTGGCCGTGACGCTTCTGGCCAAGTCATGCCTGGTGTCGAGCTTCTCAAGGGCGTATCACCGCTCTCGCTATAAGGCATGGAACACGAATGAGCATCACATGGGATAGACAATAAGGAGCTTAGGCATGGGAGTTTTGAAAACAATTCTGGGACAAGCGGGATACCTCGGACAGGGTAATTGGGAAGCGGCATCTTTCTTTTTTTTTTTTTTTCTCTACTAGACCACTTTCCTTTTCCTTCTTGTCGGTTACTTGAATTCTTTGGAGATTCACAATTCGGATTCGGCGAACACAGGGCAGGCATATCGGGCGTTTTGTTTCATTCCCACCATTCCTCCTTTTCCATTTTGGTGGTGAAGTATGGGGCGTTTTTGATGTCTTTCTGTTTGGAGATCTGCTTTTCGCTCTCTTTCTCTTTTTCTTCGTTTTACAAATTTTCAGAATGTGCCATTTGATGGCATTCTTCTCCCTCACCACTTGTGCTTTTTCCACCTTCCATTGCCTTGTCGCCAATGTTTCAAAGGTCTTGAATTGTAAGACTGTATTCCGACACTCCTTGTTGTTGTTCTGAGCATAGCTTTTGTAACCTCGTTCTCAACAGTTGATTCGGAAATAGCATTCTTGGCCTAAAACGTTATTCATGCAATTGTTTAGCACAAACATGGTAAAGTTCGTAATGGGAGTTTCGCGTTGCCGATGTAGTCTCGGATATCTTTTGATCACATGGCATTTGAGGGACTGGAGTATATCTGTTTGTCGAGCGATGCAGTTTTCCAAGCTTTATCAAGTATTCTAGAGTTGAATCTGGGTTGATTGTCCAATCTGAGTTTTACAAAGATAATAGGTAGGCTCTCTATATAATCGTAATTCGCATGCCTACGGTAAAAAAAATCATGCGAAGTGCGAGGTTCAAATATGTCATCCACAGAGGTATTGCAGCATTTAATAGCAGAAACTCATTTTCCTATCCACATACACAATACACATATTTTCCAATTCAGTTATAAGCCAAACACGTATCTTAGGGCTATGAGATCTGAATTTGGATTGATAGGCCTTGGTTGTGATTGGTATAAAAGAGAAGAAAATTAGAGTCAGGGTCGTAGGGTCAGCTACACAACTTGAAAAGATCTTCAATCGAGGTTCCCTTCACAACTGACAGCACAAAAACTATGGCAGGTGCATTGAAGATGCATATCGTCATCGAACAATGTAATGGTAGTCGGAAAGAGCTAATCCAATATCATAGGTATAAACGAAAAAGGGGTATCTTTTTCTAGGAATGAGAAATCAACCACACAAAACCACCACAAAGACTTTCACAGAAACACCACCAATCTACCTCGCAGTCAACAACAACTCTCTGAACTTCGGTCCAAGGAGTTTGATAGTTGTCTCAGCTGATGGCGCCTCAGGAGTCTTGTCTCCCACAATCTTGTCCGCTTGCTTGAGCTCAACGCCAGACTCTTTGATTTGACCATCAACGTCCCTTCTGGCCTCTTGCTTGACACTAGCACTGGCACCCTTGCGGACAGGTCCTTTGGCTGTCTCGGGAGTTACCAGGGTTGAGTCGAGCAATTCCTGCCATCTAGCCAGATAGGCTCCGGGTCCGTATGGGGTAGATGACTTGTTGCTGATCACGTCGCGAATTCTAGCCGCGGATGATGCGTATAGTTCATCGAGGTATTTTGCCGAGGCGTCGACTTCTTTGCGGACCTTGTCTTGTTCATCTGGCTTNNCCAGTCCATCAAAGGCTGTAGAGAGAGAATCAAAAACTGAAGGTGAGGCGTGTTCTTGCTTGAAGTTGGCAGAAACCTTGTGAACGTAATCTTGGAACCATTGTGTGACCTCCTTGCCATTCTTGGCCACTTGGTGGATGAAGCGATGCGAGGCACCCATGTGACTGTGCAAGAGGTGTACAAAGTCCTCGACACTGGGAGCTTTGCCGTCCTTCTTTGGCTTGGCGATCTTGATCATGTCGTCCATGAAAGCCTGGAAGTCTGCGACAGTGGCGCTGAGGTCGACAGCTTGGTGAACTTGTCTGATCATGGGCTCGTAAGCAGCTACACCGTCACGTACGGCTTGTGTAAGGTGATCAGGGCTGTGATGGCAGAGCACATCGATGATCTTGTTTCTGTCTCGGACGGCCAGACTTAGTGACAAGTACTCGAGTGCCAGCTTGTGTTGTTTCTCGCTGAGATCTGGACTTGCTTTAGACAAAGAGAGAATGGTCGATACGATCGACATTGACTGCTCCTGGCTTCGTCTGCGGCATTCTTCTTGCTCTGGTCGGCTTTGTTCCATCCAGGCTTTTAGAGCTTCACGCTGGTCTTGTGATGGTGCATCCTTGTCTTTTTCGATCTTTTCCAGTCGCTTCTTGAGCTCCTTCTTGTCCCAGCCGAGGACGGTAGATATGATCTGTTGCAGCAAGTTCATGCCTTCATCTGCTCCACTGCTGATGCCCATCCAGTTGGTCAAAGTACCGACACTCATCTTGGCAAGCATCAACTTGACCATACCATTAATCATGGTAGCAACATTGCCGACGCGTAGTGTCTGTCTCATCAGAGTGTACGGTGCNNACTGAGTTTGTCAGAACAGTAGTCTTCGAGCATCACAACATGACTTTACTTACAGCTTGTGAACATTCTCGACCATGCGAAGTAATGACGGGCCCTCGGGACTAACGACAAGGGTGTAGTGCATGAAGGAGGCAAGGCNTATAGTATGTCAGTGAGTGCGATGCTGAAGGTCAGGATAGGGTAAGGCATACTTAACAACAACGAACTCGTGAGCAGCTTGAATCAGACTGTCATGCTTGCGCAGGTCGTCCGTCTCTGCAGCTTTGGCGAAGAGCTTGTCGAACAGGTCGTCGTAGACCAGCTGCTGCATGAAGACGTACCACGCACGCAGCACATCATCAGGCTTAGCAGGGTCGAAGTGTTGATCCTTGAAAGCCGATTCGTCCTTCTTGATGCCACCATAACATCCTCTGGCCGGGTATTCTATCAAGGCCGAGATTGCAGTAGCCAGTGTCTTTCTGATACCCAAGACACCCTTGTCATAACTCTCACTCAAGTTTGCGGCTGCCAGCTCTTCTATTATGTTCTCGATCCGGACCTTCCAGAATTCGGGCGAGACGTCGCGGAGCCCTGGTAGCGGTAGGATGAATTTGGAGAGAAGCGATTGCAGGATAGGGGAAGTTGTCGTCCTTGTGTCTTGGAAAGGAGGGCCGTACTCTTTCATGGCGGCTGGCGACTTAAATTGGCAGATCTCGTCGTAGGTTGCATGGTGGGTCAATAGGTCGAACAGAGCACTGTTCTGCTCTGGGCTTAGGTGTGTAGTCGACATGTGGAGAGATGATATGAATGAGGTATTGGATCGTGAGCTTAGAATACAGATTTGGAGATAGGTGAGGTTGAGAAAAGAGTCAGGTTGTGGATGGAAGAAAGTGTCGAGTCGCAGTCGCATACATGAAATGTAGAAGACGTTGGGTGATGTCATATGGCAGTCGCGCTCATGATGCGCATGAATGACCCGGACGCTCTTTCCTCCTTCATTCTGTCACCAACAACACAAACTCAAGTGTGTGGCTCGACATGTTTTTGTATCATCTTCTTGAATCCTCATGATTCCTGCTGTCGTCTGCTTGTGCTCGACCTTGTACGTCCGAATGTTCTGACTGCATTTCTATGCCCGAGCATGTGATAGCATCACTCTCACTCTTTGCCTTTTCTGCTTCTTGTACCTTCTGTGTGACTTGCTCAACCGCGTACATGGAAATGACAGCCATAGCAAGATGAGCCCATAAAAGTATGGACGGAACATGCTACAGACAATCAGCAACTGCTTTTCTTCAGCCCAGCGCAAAGCCTAATTACTCTGCTCGACGAGGCTGTAGCTGCTGCTAGGCTGACGCATTCAGCTTACCGCAATATGACACAAGTGAGTTGCAAAATCATCCTGAGGATCCACCGCTGCTTTGGCAAGAGCACAGCTGAATGTCTTGATTCGGGCTCCTGTGGAGCTGGCATATTGATGGTAGGCGCCAGCCGTCGGTGCAATTATATAAAGCCATTCGTTTGGCGATTCAGGACCAACGTATTCAAGGTGATCTCGAAACGTCTGAAGTAACGCAGAGCAACCTAGAAGAACGTTGACAAAACACATGAGTCCCAGGACCGCCAACCATCGTCTCTCGATCTGTGTATTGTTTAATGACTCTGTTCCAATTTATTGACTCATTTGAAGAAGCTCACCAAGTTCTCNTATCAAGTTCTCTATCGTTTCTGCACGAACACGTCGCCAGAGCATAGCCATAATAGGCACATCGATAACCGTAATGGCAGATGTCACAAGAGTGAGCCACAGACCTCCCTCAAGCACCCTCTCAGGCAAGATGCTCATTGGCGATAATCCATCAGGCCTAGCACTCATTGTATAGACGTAGTATTGGTGTTGGACTGTTTCCGGATCCCGTAGGAGAGCAAGTAAATAACCAACAGCACCCAGGTTCGCGATGGCATTGATGAAGCAGAGGGATATGAATGTGTAAAACCACGACATGTTTTTTCGAAGCTTCTTCGTAGTATGCAGTAAACGATGATGAGATGCAAAATACGAAAGACCAAAGGGCAAGTTCCCATTGTATAAGTATAACAAGCAGCAAGGCGCAGTTGTAGACAGTAGGCGCAGTATTCGAGAAGAATGCAAACATGCAAGGGGAAAAAGCAGCTTCAAAAAAAAACATACATGAATTTATTGTTTATCTAGCTTTATATCTGGTATAACCCAGACTTTGTGATTCTTTTATGTATTATGTTGTACTTCTCTTTCTTAGAAAACTGTATTGGTCTTGCAAGGAAAAATGTACCGTGGAAAGAAAAGGGTTGAATGGCAGGGGGAAATAGACATGGCGCCAGCGCCTGATGAAAACCATTATGCCGAGTCTATGCGATGCGGAAACGCCAGGTCGATAAAACTACGATGAGGGTATTGGGTAAAGATGGTCGTGGCACGCTTGAAGTGGTCGGGTTTAGTTCTTTGAACCAGGAGGGCTCGAAGGGCGAGATGGGTTGGGGGTATCTGAGATGGCAGAACCCTCGAGTTTCTTGGTGACGCCGATGATCTCGCGGAGCTGCTTCTGGCGCTCACGCTCGATACCGTGCATGACAGCATCCAAGACGTTAGGAACGGTGGCCTTGGGCTCGAAGCGAGGAGTAGTACCGTGCTGGTAGACACCGGTCTCGACCAAGATGGAGTACCAGTTCTGGTCAGTAACCTTGTTGAACTCGTTGGTTCCACGGATATCGGACTCAGGAGTGTCACCAACGAAGTAGATGGTCTCCGGGGGTGCGTCGATACCGTGAGTGGACTTGCGCCAATGTTGCAGAAGACGAGTAGCGAACTGGAAGGTACCAATCTGAGGCTTGCCGAAAGCAACGGTCTCCAACTCTTTACCAGTGACAGCCTTGTACATAGCCTCGAGGGAGACGCGGAGGGCACCCATACCGAGACGGGTGTGTTCGTGAGAAGCTGACCAGATAACATCATTGTGGGAGAAGAAGACTGNGGGACCCTCGTTCAGAGTCTCGGAGCGAGTACCAACAACACCACCCTTTGACATGAGAAGATCAAGAATGATCTGTTGGTCACCAGCCCAATCACGGCTGTCGGCAAAGACAAAGATGGCCTCAATCTTGACGTTGGTGAAGTCGCGATCACGGGAGTGTTTCAGATCGTCCTCGGTCATGGTACGGAAAGGTGTGGTGTCGGGGTTGTGCTTGATGATGTCTCCAGGAGTGACAACGTCCTTGAATCCGTAGCCCTCGGCGACCTGACGGCACTTGTCACCCTCACCACCGATAACAAGAACGGTGTTGTACTTGTCGGCCATCTCCTTCATAGGTGTGTGGCCGCAAATGAATTGACCAGGTGAGACCTCAATGTCGAGCTGTTTGCTGAGCTGAATGCATCTCTCCTGCTCAGTCTTGCCACCACCGTTGGTCAGGAAAATGTAGGNGACTGCAAACATTAGGATCGAGAATCTGCAGTGTGAGGAAGAAGCAACTTACATCTTGAGCCCGTACTGATTTTGACCGTTGAGCACCTTCATGGCCTCAATAGCCTCAGGAATAGGACGTCCACCACGAATCAGCACACCGTCGATATCGAAGGCGTATGCATATCTGTCAGTGACACTCGATTCTTTTGGCGAGTCCGAATCTTCGAGAGGAGTGATTGCTTCAATCTCTTGTCTGGCCAATTCCATGGAAGCCGCAATGTCGTTGGCTTCCTGATCCACAAGGTGGGGAGGAACGACAATGGCGGGACCACGCGAAAGAAGGTCTGCCGTGGCATCCTCGCTGGACAACCTGCGCAAGGTGCGCGGTCTGGGAGGGTTGGATTTTGTGGTAGTGCTCATGATGGCTTCGATTATGTGGTTGTGACTGGTGCGAAGGACACTCAGAGGAGAGCGGAGAGGCAGAGAAATAGGTGGGAACCACGTGCGGGGAAAAGAAGGAGAGTGTCAACAACCTTGGAGAGCAGCGAGCGTCATTGCAGCCTATATAAACCGAGAAAGCACCTTGGGTTCCTACAATACACTTCTGGTTGAACTTAGCCCGAGTCCGCGCGATTAAACGTAAAAGCCTCTGACGAGTTAGCGCGGCCTACCATTTAGTCAACGCTTGCCAGAACAATGTTTGCGGCTCAACTGATTTGTGAGCTGTACTCTTTCGACGCTGTGCTTCTGGGCTATACCACTCCTCAAGTCAGACATCTAGACCCTGTGGATGTCAAATCATACAGAGTGTCGTTGATGTTTTGCATTGCGTATAAATGATGTTTGACTGGCCTTACGCTTGAGTTGTCAAGCGCGAACCCGATCTCTGTGACGACATGGTGGCGCTTTCCCACGTTGCCGGCGAGCGTTCCTCCTCCGACCGCCCGCATTTTCACTGTCTCAACCGATTGTCGATGTCGAGATCCCGTACAAATTTGCATCAAGACGGATGGAATTGACGTTGGATTTGCTGGAAAGACCAAGGCTCATATCGTTCTTCTGTAAAAGATGCGATCCCGGTGGAATCGTGGTTAAGACATAATGCACGTGTGGATTGATTGAATTTCGATCGAAACAAATACGGCCCTGTACGAGAATGTTGGTCTCGGAGCGTATACGTAGTCATAAGATACAACACCCCTGCTCGGCATATGTTATTCAGGCGCTGGTGCTCCGCTTTACCCTCGCTTCGATCGAGTTCATGGTATACGACATCTCAGGTAAGCAGGAACACAGGTTTATGTATGGCCAAATCTGGAAGCGACCATCGTCGTAACTTCTCCAAACATGCAAAGATGTAAACGAGTTCCTTTGTGAATTGGATTGATTTCCTTCCTTCAAAACCCTTAAACCTCGACCAGGCAAGATGAACTGGACAGGAGGCAAGCTGCAACGGAACTCGAAGAGCAAGGGCAATGCCGTCGTCGAACGTCAAAAGTCGCACTTTGCCAAAGTTCGTAGCAAGGCTCCAAACAGGACCAATCCTTCGACTGAAGGCTGGAAAGACACCTCTCCAAATCGACCTCCATCTCCTCCACCACTCAAGAAAGCTCGGACTCAGCACAGGCACTCTCCACGGATACAAAAATGGTCCACATCTGGCCAAAGGGATGGACGCCGCATTGTGGGAGATTTTGTGTTGCCATCTCGGGGTACCAGTGAGGTCCAGATCAGGGTAGGTCCGCGAGCATTCGCAAGTCAGCTCGACACGACCGTGGCTAGTCCCTCGACCAGGATTCGATCACACTCCACATCGCCCTCGGATTACTCCTCAAACTCGATGCTTCTTGACGGGCTCGACCAGCGAGGGTCGCAGGCGAGAGACTCCGGTGATAGTAAGCCCTACCAATCAGACCAAAGCAACATCATAACCTCACCATGTGAGCCGGAACGAATGCGGTTCGTGTTGAGTGACTCGCTTGAGGATGTCTTGCGGAATCAGGATGATACCCAGTATCCCTCAGACTTTGCGACACATGCTTCATCAGCCGTTCATGCTGTCGCAAGTTTTGGTAATGCTTCGAACAACACATCAGCCGAGGATATGCAAAGCAATCCAGATGCGGCCAAGCAATTGAGAGGTTCACCGGTCAAGCCACTACCTGAGCACTTGAACACTTCTGGACCATATGCACGAGATAGTCCTGGTCACAATCACGAGGACTTTGGAGATAACGATGACATCTGGCTGAGGTTCATCGAGGAGGAGAAAACAGAAGTTGGTCAGACNAAAAATGACCGGTATGCTGCACCTCAATATAAGACGCAAGCCTCGCCTATTCCTCTACCTACTTTGGCAGTGGTTCAGGAGGAGCCGTCCTATCCGGTCAGCGTTCGTGGAAGCACCCCGCATTCATCCTGCCCGACAGCACGTCCATGTCTTCTCGAGACAACGACCTCGAAACGGTCTAGCGGTAAGACAAGCAAGAGAGGACCAAGCCTCACTCATGACAATCGAGTATGGAGAAGATTCGTACTAGGATACGACCCCTCCTATGCCTCGTGAGTGCACACGCATCATGGTTAGACACAGACGGAGGTGCAGTCGAATACGGTGATTCGTGCTTTCCGGAGTTGTTATTGATGGTGGAGAGTGCCACAGCAAACGTTTTCGATTTCAGCTGAAACCCAACTTCTACGAGACGTACAGCGCGTTTCTGACTTGCTACCTACTGCAAGGTGAACGGTCAAAAGCACGCCACTTGCGGAGAAAGATATGTGGGGGTGCGTGTGTTGGTCGATTCTTCAATCATCAGAAGTACTTCTTGATATGTCGTCAAAACTCCACGAGGTCAGACATACATCAACATGGCTCCTTGAGTGCTTATCATACATGTGAGTATACCACTATAGAAGCGAGGCACGTGGTACACTGGCTGCAATAGGCCGTGGTCTGTATAGAAGTACATGTCTGTCTGCATGGTCTTTAATGCATAAATCACGATGATGTGCTTGTTCACGCACGTGTTGACCGCCCAGCCCCTTGTCAGGATAGGCACGGTTGTGGCGTGCAATGCAAAGCACTGTAACGCTAATGCGACAACACGTCCAACGTAGTCCAGGCAGGTGAAGCCGAATCAAGAGCTGTTTGATACTCCTCTTTGATACTCACCCCACAAAGATGTCAGGCAACATCTTTGGAGGTCTAATGTCGCTGCGGGCCGCAGAGTTGTTTCGGGTTGCAATTTTCCGACCCATGTGGTAACCCTGTTCAAACTTCAGAGCCAACAGGGTTTAAGAATTGGTTGCTTCTAAAGTCTCCTAATTTCAGGCTCGATCCACTGAAGGATTCGAGAGCGGTGGGCTTAGCTACATGGATTCGTATCTAACGGCCGCGAGGTGTTCCCTCCCCCTTGAATCAAGTCAGAGTCAATTGATAAGGAACAAGGCTGCGCAGCTGCGGACCGACTGCACGGTGATGTTGGCAACCTTGGTGGGCTCAGTATGATGAATGACAAGCATGAGAGTTCGGCTATCTAGTATCTAGCCGTTGAGCAATCAATACAGGCATGAACGCGGGGAGTTTCCAATCAAATGGTAGGCGGCAGATTGCGATGAACATTCGACGGAGCGTGTTTCAGCATTGAGGGCTCGGAGCGGATGCGGCCGGGCTTTCAAGGTAGGGATACAAGTTTCGCCTTGCCGTCACCTTACGTGGGCCCTGGTCGCGGGAATTGAGAGAGTTGGTTGTCGCAAGTCGCATGTCAATGCTGGCGTGAGCAGAATTGACTAGCAGGGGGCATGACAATCAGGCAAGAAGGCTTTGCAAGCAGGTTTCAGCAGTCACAGTGCATGGCAGGAAGGAGGTGCCCAGAGATTGAGGTTCCGTGAGCCGTGGAATCAGGTCGCTGTCGCTGGTTTTTAGTGGACCTGTCAGACTAAAGTTAGCTAGCGACGGGAATACCGCGAACCTGCCGAGAGACACACAGCATGTTTCGGTGCAGTTTGGAAGGGCGCCAAGCAGATGGTGCTCGTATCAGGAGACGATGCGAATCGTTCTCGAAAGAAGCGGACAGGCTGGCGCGGTATGAAGGATGCGATCATCTCTCACGGGTGACGGTTAGTCGGGCTCAGACTCCAGTACTTTTAGTTAGATCATGACATGGTGTTAGCTTGGGTCGGTAGGCGGCAGGACTAGCCGGGGGCACTTTTGCGCCAGTCCAAATAACCATTGAACCAAGATCCACCGCGTTCCTTTTTCTCTTTACCTAGCACCTCCCGGCCTGTGTCTCAGCACCTTCTCTCCGCTTCGCCCTGTTGTTAAAGAGTGTTGTAACGGCCCTCCAACTCCCACACGTTCCTTACATTTGCATTGCCCGACTCGACAGCCTCCTGGAGCAAACTATTTTCGTCGACCCTCATCCTCAGCCTTAGCATCCCATCCCACCCATCCTTCTGGCGCGTCATCTTGCGAGATCGATCTGCAGGGGCGCACGACCCGTCGCATTGCCAGCACGCACACAACCCAGACAGGCTGGTCCTTGGAAGATGCATCACCGCCTTGCCATTCTCTCGACATGAGCCTGACCCAGTCTTACCTCGCCTCCGCCCCTTCGCAAGACTCGCTCCGACACACCCTGTCACACAATCACCACAATGGCATTCATACCACTTCGCAACCCCTTCTGATACCCACCAGCGCTCCTTCTTACCCATATTCAACTCTTGCCATGGCTTACACTCCGGCATCCATTGCTTCCAAGGCCTCGACGGCTGCCAACAGCCCAAACGATGCCTTCTCAATGTCACACTACCAACGCTCCGTTGATCGGGCTGCTCCCATGTCTCTGCCACCTTCTGCCATGTCAGACTATCCCTCTCCTACGCCTGCTGTATCCTCGTCTTACAGCTCCATGACCGAAGCTTTCGGCATGTCCAAAGGAACTGGTCTCATCCGACGATTGTCTCGTGGTGCCCACAACAGACTTAGGCGAAGACCTTCTACTACACAGACTAACCGCATCCGCGACCAAAGCGCCGGCCCTGTCCTGGTGCGCAGAAGGAGTGATAGCACTGGACAATCCGACCTGACTGGCGACATGTCCGATCTCGATCTCGGACGCACTTCAGAGGACGGCAACGAGGATAATGTTACCTCATATCCACCTCCAGACTCCTCAATAACACAAGGTCTGCTTACTATGCGTAAGGCCTCGGCGACAATGGCTGAAGGCGGCGTCGCACCAACCATTTCATCCGTGCTGGAGCAAGGTACATGGCTCACCAAGGTTACCAAGAAGAAGCGCAAAGTACTCAAATTCCGTTTGGACCCCCTGGCTGCCAAAGTGTGCTGGAACCCTTCGAACCCTTCCAAACAATTCTACATAGACGATGTTCGCGACATTCGGGTCGGTGCCGAGGCAAAATCATCACGCCAGGATATTCAAATCCCCCCTGACCAGGAGCGATGCTGGATAACCATCGTATACGACGCATATGAACGATCCAAGGGCAGTTCAATCAAGACCATGCATCTTATTGCCCCGAATGACTATATTGTCAAGCTTTGGACTGATGCGCTGAACGTCGTATCACGCGAACGCATTGAAATTATGAACGCGTTATCAGCGAATCCCGAAAAGAGCGAGCGCAGCATGAGGATGGCGTGGAAACAAGCCACGTCACGTAAGAATCCTGATGCAGAACCGAAGATCGATTTCGAGGATGCAAAGTGGATCTGTCGCAAGCTTGAAATCAACTGCTCTGTCAACGCCGTTCGCCAACACTTCAACCACGCAGACCACGATTTGGTTGGTGAGCTCAACTACTCGCAATACCAATACTTCATCAATCTTTTCAAGATTCGCAAAGATGTCCAGTCTCTCTACTACGGTATTAAGCGCTCTGATGAGCCAGAGTTGAGCCAAGAGGCCTTTCTCGAGTTCTTGCGCAAAGAACAGCGTATCGATGTCGAGAAAGATCGTGCTTCATGGGAAAGCAAGTTTGAGCTTTATTGCCGAAGCGCTTCTGGCAAAACCACTGATCGTCAGGTACCTCCCACTATGAATCTGCAGGCATTCCAGACCTTCNNCCTTTCCTCCGGGTCAAACGGAGCCACTGCTTCAATCAAGTCTGATCCTACACTCGATCGTCCACTCAACGAGTACTTCATCTCAAGTTCCCACAACACATACCTCATGGGCCGCCAAGTGGCAGGTCTTTCCAGTGTAGAGGGCTACATATCAGCTCTTGTCAAGGGCTGCAGATGCATTGAGATTGACTGTTGGGACGGCAAGAATGGTTTGCCTATTGTCAATCACGGTCGAACCTTGACTACTGAAGTCATGTTCGAAGATTGTATTGCTGTCATCTCGCGATATGCATTTGCATCTTCGGTCTACCCCTTGATCATATCGCTAGAGGTTCACTGTAATCCAGATCAACAGCTGCACATGGTCAACATCATGAAGCTCTACTTTGGAGATGCTCTGCTTACCACGCCCTTGGTTGATAACGCATCTGTACTTCCCTCGCCAGAAGAGCTCAAGAACAAGATTCTGATCAAGGTCAAAGCAGCCTCACAGCAATATGGAGCACAAGATTCTGCAGAAAACACTAACACCCATCGCCAGAGAAGTTTCAGTTCTCCCTTCAGTCGAGCTGCAGAGAACAGTGTTCCTCCGTCACCATTACAGAATGCCGTGAATGGTGATGGGCTTGTCACGAAACCATCGAACACTTGGCCTGTTATCCGCGGCTCTTCGTCTACCCAAAGCACAGTACCGTCAACATCGAGCTCTTCTGAGGACAGTGATAGTACACCTGCTTCTGTCGATTCGAAGAAGAAAAACAACAAGAAGACCAGCAATATCGTGCCTGCATTGGGTGCGCTCGGTGTCTACGCTTGCGGCATCAAATACTCTGGTTTCTCTGCCCAAGAAGCACGAACATACAACCATATCTACTCCTTCGCCGAAAACACGTTTGACCGTATCTCCAGAGATCCCGACGTCAAGAGTCAACTCGAAAAGCACAACTCTCGATATCTCATGAGAGTTTATCCTGCTGCTATTCGTATTGACTCGTCAAACTTCAATCCCCTACAGTGTTGGAAGCGTGGAGTGCAAATGGCAGCTTTGAACTGGCAGACCTACGACATTCACATGCAAATGAACGAAGCCATGTTTGCCGCTGGCACAGACAAGACTGGATATGTCCTCAAGCCCGAAGAAATGCGCTACAACAAACAATCCCTAGCCAGTAATTCCTTGCTCGACAGCTTGAAATTCCACAAGCGAGGAAAACACTTAGTACAGTTCAGCGTCGACATCATCTCGGCCCAACGACTCCCTCGACCTCGCAATCACAACCCTGAGCTAGGTATGAATCCTTATGTCGAGTTCGAGGTGTATACCGCTGAAGACAACAAGTCTCGTGGTTATGCCAAGGTCGATGGCGGTATCGATATCCAGCCTTCAGGTATGGGACCTTCGGTCAAAAGAAGGACTAGACTGATCGAAGGTAATGGGTTTGACCCAAACTTTGGAGATTGCTTCAGAGTGTCTCTTGAGACGAAGTATCCCAGCCTGGTCTTTGTCCGATGCACAGTTTGGAACTCACCTGATGGACGCAATGCCTCGTCTAACAGCACGCTCCTTGCCACCTTCACCGCGAAACTTACCAGTCTTCAACAAGGCTACCGTCACCTCCCTCTTTTCAACTCTTACGGCGAACGATATCGTGACGCCAAGTTGTTCGTCCGAATCAAGAAAGATTCACCAATTGCCTTGTCAGCAACCGAAGTCGAACCAATAGATGAATCTTCTCCTACAGTGTCTGGTCCGCGGGCGGAATCCATAAGACAAGGATCGAGATCATGGTCTAGAAAGATATTCAAGCGAGCTTCGAGTGAACGAAGACGAAGACCACAATGGCCTGAATGGCAAGGACCTCTGAGCAGGACCTCCAGTACCGAACGATATTAACGAATCACGCCTTTGCATAAGCCCCGAGATTTCCAGTCCGACTCCTTCTCTTTCACGTTCGGCTTTTTCCTCTCCTATTCCAGGCAAACTGTTTTTGTGGAAAACCTCTCTCTTTTGGGTGTCATCAATGGTGGATTTTCCTTTGGCGTTTCTTCTTCTGGATTATCTCAGATACCCAGCGGTGTCCATGCCACACCCGCTTTCTCGTTGTTCTCTGATTGGTTTATCTCATCCCATCGCTTTTCGTTTTCTCTACAGAGCAAAACAACTCCTCCCCCTGGTGGCGTCTTTCCATAAATCGATCTGATACCCCTGTATTATTACAAGCTGCCAGCACGACCTCAAAAGCTGGACAACTTCATCATTCGCTACCATCACCATTTTGCATTTCTTCTTCTGTTACCCGCATATTGTTTCTACTCGTCTTCTTCTTTTGTATATATCTAGATTGTTCTTTTCATCTTTTCTTTTTTCTCCATCCTGGCATTTGCAGATGTTTGTTTACAGTCGGGCAGGCACCGATGTGATGGAATACGATCAACATGCATTCCAGAATTTCTGTCTCGGTTTCATCGGAGACAAATCAAATATCATCTTTTCTCACTCCTTTTCAATTGCGATGTCCCTGAGTGCCTTGACTTGTGTGTTTCGATCTCGAGTTGATTATGTGATGAGCTATGTATAGGGAACATATTCGGCTCTCACTGTTCTACTATCCAAGCTACTGCTCTGCATCTAAACAGCCGACCTCAGACATTGGGCACAGCATCTTAGCATCATTAATTTTACAGCAGTAATTAGTGCTCTCACGGCTGTTTTGTGTTGTGTTAGCAACAACTAGCTCTTTGTAGATCAAAACTCTCTTCACAAAGCCATGCGACAGGATACCCTGGTTTAGAGATGCTCAGAGAGGTGGTTCGGTTCCTTGTTCTTTTATCTTTAGTACTAAGCCAATACCATAATCCGGCTGCTTTGAGTCGTGTGGCTCTATTCGGTGCCAGGTCTGTTATTCTTCTGGCAATACCTCATTCTTTAAAGTCCTCAACACGGAATTTGGTCATTGTGGATAACAAAAACTCTGTGATTGATTTGGTTGGAGATGTTGGTTTTGGCTGACGGAAAGTGCAGAGCGGTAATGCCATGTGTAGACGACTTCTTGAGCCTCTTTTGATAGACTTGATTCGCAAGAGGAAAGAAGAGAAAAGGAAGAACAAACGACCAAAAAAACAACGACGCGAGAAATGCTGCTCATGCGTGGATATCGTGGCTCTGAGAGAGCAAGAAAACAAAAAAAGAAGAAAAAAAGACAAGACAAGTGCTGCGAAAAGCAACACAGCAAAAAAAATCCACACCATGCAAAACCCCTTCCTCCCAATCAATCTTAGAGAAACTCCTTGCAACAAGAAACCAATCCCTGCCCCTCCCAAACTCCTTTAACCACACCAAAGTCTTTCATTTCATGAAGGGCGAGCATTTAGCCCAGACCACCCCAAGCACCTCTGATGCGCCTGGCCAATTGAATGTCTTTTTGCATGATGGTGACTCGTTTGGCGTGGATGGCGCATAGATTCGTGTCTTCGAAGAGGTGGACGAGAAAGGCTTCTGCGGCTTCTTGGAGGGCCATGATGGCTTGGCTTTGCCAGCGATAAATGCCTGAACCAGCTGGTGCCATGGATATACAGACTTCTCTGANCCTGTTGTTTTGCGTATCGTTTATCAGCCATCAGCCCACAATCATTCCTTCTCCTTTGCCCAAGATACCATAACACAAAAAGTAAGACAGAAAATGGCAGGAGAGCACACATACAAGTCTGGCAAAAGGCAGTTTTAGGATGAGCAAATCGGTACTGCGTTGATACCTTCTGATCTCGCGGAGGGCGACGGTGCCGGGTTTGTAGCGACGGGATTGTTTTACTGCGCCGACGCCTGTAGAGCTTCGGCGTGGTGCTTTTGTTTTTAGCCCTTTGCCTGCTGTGACGGTTTTTCCTGCTGGTCGCGAGGCCATTGATGTTCGTGGTGCCATTGTTTTGTGTGTGATGCAGTCGCTCGCGAGGTTGGTCGCGGGTGAGGGAGGGTTGGAGGTGTCGCGTTTGTGTCTGGAGGATAGCGGAAGATGGGCGTGAGGTGTGCGTGTTGGATACAGTCGAGAGGAGTCGCGTATGTGGTTCTTTGTTTCTTGGGATGTTGTCGATGTTGTTGTTGGAGAGAAGCAGCTTGTCGCGTTGTGCTGCTTTCGGACAAGTCTTGATCGCGCTAGTGCAGGCTATCTAATCTTATCCCCGTCCTTACAGCCTAAACTCCCCGCCTCGGCTCGTGTTTCATTCTTATTGTTGGAGCTTACGTTTGTTCATTCGCAAGGGTCTCTTGGTCTTTCGTGATTTACTTGTCCTAACTCACGACTTTCTTCCTTCAGCATAACACTTTCGTTGCACACGCCATGGCAGCTATGTTGGGAGCCGCCGGTGGAGGCGATCTAGGCGCTCTGCCGCTGGAACAGTGGTTCTTTGAGATGCCCGTGTGCACGCGATGGTGGACCACTGCCACGGTTGTTACAGGCTTGTTGGTGCAATGCCACGTCCTCACGCCCTTTCAACTGTTTTATTCCTTCCGAGCTGTGTTTGTGAGAAGTCAGGTACGCCTTCTTCCCCACTACTCTAGTCTTCCTTTACATTTGGTTGTGGCTTTTGCTAATGTAGACACAAAACAGTACTGGCGCCTCTTCACCACCTTCATCTACTTCGGCCCTCTATCCCTAAACCTGCTGTTTCATATTTTCTTTATCCAACGCTACGCCCGCATGCTCGAAGAATCCGCAGTCTCTCAGGCACACTTTACTTGGATGCTTGCTTATGCGGTAACCACCCTTCTCTGTCTTGCTCCTGTCGTGTCGGTGGTGTTTTTAGGCAGTATACTTAGTAGCACACTGGTCTACATCTGGAGCCGCAAACACCCAGACGTCCAACTTAGCTTTTTGGGGCTTNNTTTTGTGTTTAGGGCGCCGTGGTTGCCGTGGGTTATGATTGGCTTGAGTGTGGTTATGCATGGCAATTGGCCTAAAGATGAGTTGTGTGGTATTGCTGTGGGACATGGTGAGTGTTGCCTCTTTCTCTTTACTCTGATTCTGCTCTTGTGTGGGTTTCGTTGCTAATGCTAGACTGATAATNNAGTCTACTACTTCTTCAACGACATTTATCCGGCAAACCACAATGGCCAACGACCCTTGGATCCTCCTATCTGGTGGCAGAGATTGATAAGAGGAAATGCGGTTGTGGATGCAGAGTTAAGGCAACAAAGACCTGCGGAAACTGCTGCTCCTGCTGTGCAGTTGCAATGATTAGATACTGATACCCCTTTCTTTCTTTCTTTTTTTTCCATTGCTGCTGGCATGGCATGGCATAGCGTTTACACCAACGTATAGAACTTGCATTACATTTCCTTCATTTTTGATGCTTTGCGGGCATGGCCTAGTGTGGAAGGTGTGGAGTGAGCGTACAAGGGAGATCTCTGGTTTCTTTCTCCATTTATCCTATTTCCATAACTGACCAACTGCATAGAAGTATTATATCATTACAGTATGCACTAAAGAATAGCTTGAACCATAGTTTCTACAACACCTTAGAAATTTAACAAATCGTCGTTTCTCAGCGAATAACTACTTGCTCTGTATGAACACAATTGTGCATCAGATGTCTCGTCAGCCAAAACAACGAACTGTATACTTTCCCATTCCGACGCTGCCGCCTTTGCAAAAATCAAGCGATGAAGAATAGCTTGATGGCATCTTTGACCTTTCGCCGACAGGTTGGACAGACTTCGACTCGTCCAGCGCACTCGATACAAGCAAGTGCGTGACCGCAGTCGTAGAACACAGAATTTGCTTTGCTGATCAAACAGATTCTGCAGATCCTGGTGTCTAAAGCTTGATGGCATTTTGAACGCTGCTGCTCCCGTCAAGGCCAACGCCCACCCGCCGTGGTTCACGTTCTGTTTCTGGTTGGTGGTTGGATGGTCGACATTTCGGCGTGAGATCAAAGTCTGACTGTAGCGCATACGACCGGGGGTGTCTTCGTCGATGATATCAGTCAGTCGTTGCAGAGGACGGTAGGGAGGCGGCGTTGCGGTACGATGATGGGATGACTGCTGTCTTGGAGACGGTGGAGAACTCGAGCGATAGTCATGAAGGCTGATACCCCTGTCTCTCTGGTTTTTCGGTTTGCTGCTGGAATGGCATGGCGTGGCATGGTATTGAACGTATAGAATGCCTTCTTGTTCTTCGTCTTTTGATTGTTCTCAGTCATAGCCTGGATAGTGATTTGTGGAGATGCTTTCTGTCATCGGCGAGACCTTGATAGCGTTCATCTCTAATCTTTCGAGAATGTGATTAAATGCAGATCTTCCGTGAGCTCATGGGGTATACTATTCAAGCCCTTCCCTTACCCTTCCTCTCCCTTTCTCTATCCCACTCTTTCCCTTTCTTCCCCTTGTCTCCCACAATCTCTCTCGTCTTCTCTCTCGGATCAATAACTTCAAACTCTTCCATTTTTCTTTTCCATTCTAGATCCTTGCCCAACGTATCTTTTGCAAAACTCAAGGCGTGAGACATCCAAGTAGTATCGTTGTCGTCCTCTTCTTCGGCATTTTCATCCTCGTCATGCCAAGTACTGCAACTCTGGCAATTGGCGATAAAGTGTAGATCGCATAGTTTTTCTTCCGTGTCCATTGCTGATTCTGTTGGTTGTTTGCTGTCTGGTATTGTTGTTGTAGATGTTGTAGTGGTGGAGACTTTCTCGGCGGGAAGTTTTTCGAGTCGCTTCTTGAAGGCGTTGAAGGTTGAAAGCGAGGAAGCGTCTTCTTNTGCTTTTCCTCGTTTGCGGCCGCGTGTTGCTGAGGCCGGGATCATGGATTCGAGAGCGGAAAGCTTCTTTTCGGGGGCTGAGGTTGTTGTTGTCGTTCGTTTCATCGAGGCTTTGAGTTGTGCGATTTCGGCGTTGGTGCGTTCGAGGGCGGTGGGTTTGCGGCGTTCGGGAGAGGGTGTAGGTGATGGTGAAGGAGATTGTGCGGGCACGGGTTTCTTCGAGGGAGCAGGTGCGTGACTTGTCGCTGGTACTGGTGGAGGAGGCGAGAGTGATCTGGCAGGAGATGGTTTACGGGCGGGCTTCTCTTGCTTTGGCTGCGGAGGAGCCTTTGGCAAGGCAGAGTTGTTCTGGACTTCTGGCTGTTGTGGTTCGGCAGCGGTGAAGTTTGGATTGACCTTTACTTTCTTGACGACTGGTACAGCAGGTTCTTCTCCATCTTCACCTCCAAAACTCAATAATGTCTTTGTAGCCTTGCGTTTCTTCTTGGGAGCCTTTGTTTCCTGTGCTGTAGAGATGGCGATCGAGGCTTGCTTGACCATGTCACTGAAAGGATTGAGGAGGACTTCCGTAGACACGATTCTTGTAGGGTATAGCGGTCTGTCTGAGCCGTCTTCAGCCAGGTCGGCCTCGGCCATCTTCATCAAGTTGTAAATGGTATCTCCCTCGATACGGCCAAACATGGTGTTCTTGTCCTGCAGCTCAGGGGTCTTGTCCAGAGTGAAGAAGAATTGCGAAGTGTTGTCATTCTTGTCACCAGAGTTTGCCATGCCCAGCAGACCACGGCGGTTGAACTTGAGTCGCGAATGGAACTCGTCGGCGAAAGGAGCGCCATCATTGACAGCACTCAGACCACCAGAGCCAGTTCCAGTAGGGTCACCGCCCTGAATGATGAAGCCTGGGACCAGACGGTGGAAGATTGTGCCATCGTAATAGCCGTTCAGACAGTGTTGAAGGAAGTTGCGAGATGCAAGAGGGACTTGTTTGGCGAAGATTTCGACGACGAGATCACCAGCGGTTGTGTTGAGTAGGACCTTGGCCGTTGGCGGAGGTTCGAGATTGTATAGTGTCGACATGGTGTATGTGAGTGAGAAGAGAAGAATTAAAGAGCGTGTTTCACAAGAACTTGTCCAAAGCTCGGTCCCCATTGACATCAGTCGGGCTGGCGCGACTGCGGGGTGAGACAGACAGACCCTCGACCTGCTCGTGTCTCAAGCTCACGCTATTGCATACCACATCACATCACATCCACAGACAAAATAACAATCATGTCGGAAACAATGTTTGCACAAGCCCTCATGTCGGGTCTGGAGAAGCGCCCCTCCAGACTCGGTAGCGACCACGTCTCGGACCCTAGGAAATACCCTGCTCAAGCTCCCGTGTGTTACATTGAGACCAGCCTCTCGCTCTGCAGTCACTGACCTACTCCATCTAGNTACACCCTCCCCAAGCCAGTCCACCCTTACCCTCGTCGCCAAAGACCTGCCGCTGGTCAACAGTCGCAATCCATCAATGTCACTCTCAAGCCACTCAAGGGCTCGGATCAACTCGACCTCCCGAGTCAATCTCTCAACACGACTATCCTCGATCTCAAGGCTCAATACGCTCAAAAGTACTCTCTCGACAAGACAAAGATCAAGCTCCTCTTGAACAAGAGACCATGCACAGACCTCAAGACCCTCAAGGATGTCCTTCCTGATCCTCTTCCCACCAAAGCCGACTTCAGCGTCATGCTCCTGGCTGGTGCTTCCACCCCAAGTCAAGCCTCTACTCCTGCTCCTGCTTCACCCGTAGTCAAGGCCGATCAGTCGCAAAAGCTCCCTCCTGATTCTGCTCCTTTGTCCGAACATGCCCAAGCAGAAGCCGAAGCTCTTCCTCATGCTCATGATACTGCTTCTCAGATGTTACAGTCTGACGAGTTCTGGGCTGATCTGAAAGACTTTTTGGTTCAAAGGCTGCGTGATGAGAACCAAGGCGAGAGGTTGGTTCGTTTGTTCCGTTCGGCCTCTACTTAGCATGCTCTCTTAAGATCCAATCACTATTTTACTCGACAACAAAATACAAACGCTGGTGTCCTCGAAGTTCGATGTTATTGAGATGTCTATAATTGCCAACAGACGCCAATTCGTACTCGCTCCGATCATTCCTTCCAACGCCATGCATATACTATAACGTGGCATAACAAAGCTTTGTTCCGCCATTCATAGGAAGGAGCGATCGCTGCGACGCGTGTATAAGCCACATCAGTTGTCAACCATAACCATCACAACAACATCAACTTCTGAACCTCTCTTCACCATTATTGAGCCACGCATCCATATCTGACTATCGGTACTTGACTTTGTTCGAGTTATCATTTCTGATCCTTCTTCTCCATTGAAACCCGCACTTATCCATATCGTGCGCTGCTTTGTGTTTCATTCTATCTTCTCACACACACAGTCCCATCACAAAGATGATGTTGGGCTATCTATCCTTTCTGCTGCCTGTACTGGCGCAGGCAGCTCCTTGGAGTCTGCAATCCGGTCAACCTACAGCACGGTAAGTTGAGCAGTGTCGTTCGATCGCATCTCCTGCACTGCACTGTCACGCATCCATACAACCGGATTCGTCTCGTTGATTTTGACACACAAATATTAGCCTGATGCAAACACAATCATACTAATCCATTTCACAGTGGCCGCCTGCCTCACTCGCGTCTGACGCTTCGCGGAACTGATGATTTCTCAACCAACTCTTCAACCGATTTGCCCGCCAGTACCGGAACGCCAACGCCTTCAGCTTCAGATTCTCCATGCAAGAATGTTAGCTTGGTTCTACAAGGCTTGAATGACTCATCGATGGGAGATAGCGGCATGAGCCTGGTACCTGCGAAGCTCGCATATGATTGTCTGAACTCTATACCCTTCAATCAGAGTGCTGCTGCTGCTTTGATGGAGTCCATGAGACCGTATCTGGAGTGGCAGACGACTACTGCTTATCTCAAAGACCCACCAAAAGAGGTACGTACATCTCATCATACCTGTCCAACAAGTCCGGGTGCTAAGATTTCACCACAGTATGCAGAACACGTTCAGCCATCACACGACTTCTGGACCGTCTTCAATATAATCGAATCAAACGTTGCCGGTGATGCTTATGAAAGCGAGTATGATTTCGGATGGGAACTCTACCTGGCCACACAACAAGCACACGACGGTCATTTTACATACACGTTAGATGTCATTGGCAAAATCTTCTCTTTCGAACGCGCGATACCACTTGTCTCTGTTTCAGAGAATGGTAAAGACTTGCCAGTCATCTATGCGTATGCCGACATTCTGGCTGCTCAGGCTGGCAATTCGTCTTTCCAGCCTTCTCACATCATTCAGATCGATGGAGTCGACGTCGTTGAGTTCTTGCTTGACTGGGCACAGTATGGCACTCTACAAGACAATGATGCCCTATGGAACAACCTTTTCTACTCGCCTGCACAAGCTTCGCTGGGTGGTGGTGGTTCAGCAGTTGGGACCTTTGCTGGAGGTGGCCGTGGTCGCTTTGTGTATCCGGGACCGACGACTACGCTGACCTTCGCCAACGGAACAAACGTTACCAACCAGAATTATGCCAGACCGTTTGTCAGTTTCAAAAATGTCGAGTCTGGAGCAGATCTGTACAGACGGTATCTCACACCCAAACCTGGGAGGCCTGTCGATACTTTGGAGATGTTGGAACACCATAAGGAGAAGCGCAGTGCAACCGAGAACGACAATTCGAATATTCAATACCTCCACCAAGATGAACCCTTGCTTCACCATCAAAAAACCGGCAGCATAGATGCCCCTGGATATCCACCTCCAATCATCAGACAAAGGCGCAATATGAATGGGGGCTACTTCCTTAATGGATCGGATTTCGAAGACGTGGCAGTCTTGACACTGGCATCCTTTGTAGACGAAGGATCCGCCTCAGTCGAATTCAAGAAGGTGAACTCAGACTTCATCGCCGCCGCGTTGGCTGCAAACAAGACCAAACTGATCATCGACGTGAGCGCGAATGGAGGTGGTCTACTCCTCCAAGGCTACGACCTTTTCAAGCAGCTCTTCCCATCTATACATCCGTACGGTGCATCTCGCTTCCGTGCTCACGAAACTGTCGATTGGCTGGGAGAGATATACTCGAAGTTCGCTCAACTCAACAGCACTCGAGCCCGCCGGTTTCCCATGGCACCTTGGGACTACTACACCGATCTCGACTCAGACGACAAACACTTTACCTCTTGGAAAGGAGAAAACGGCAAATACGGCCCTCACAAGCACGGAAACGACACTTTTACTTCGCTGCTGCGTTGGGACCTCCAAGACCCACAGATCATTAACTATGCCGGGGGCATCTACGTAACAGGCTACGGCGAAGCTGCCAACAAATCCTACACCCAGCCTTTTGAAACGCATAATGTCATTCTGGTGTATGATGGCTACTGCGCCTCCACCTGCGCTATCTTTTCAGAGTTTCTGCGGCAGGAAGCGGGGGTCAAGACCATTTCCTTGGGTGGTCGACCCTCTTTTCATTCCATGCAAGGTGTCGGCGGCGTCAAAGGCGCAAACATGTTTCCTTTCTCCACCATCTACTCTACCGTCCAAACAGCAAAATCCTTGGCTGAAGATATGCCCAAGCAAAACCTCAGCACCACTGAATTGGAGAAATACACACCCCTCGCACTAAAGAGATCCATACAAGCCGGCGTCAACTCCCGTGACGGCATCCGCAGAAACGACTCCTCCCAAACTCCGTGGCAGTTCATCTACGAACCCACCGAGTGTAGAATTTTCTACACCAAGCAGATGGTGCTTGATCAAAGTGCTGTGTGGAAAACTGTAGCTGATACAGTTTGGGGCAGGNNGGGAAATGCGTGTGTTGTTGGAAACAATAGCTTTTATGGTGGTAAGGATGGGCAGGGGGCTGGTGTTGGGGGTAAAGAGGAAGAAAACAGGGTCTGGGATGTCAGCGAGGGCTTTGATCTTGAGGGCGCGTGGAGAGGACTGGATGTCAGGACTGAGGAAAGGGGTAACCCTGAGGGGGATTGTATTATGTTTCCTTGAGGCAGGAGTGAGTGTTGAAGGTGGAGAAAGAAGAAAAAGGGGTTTTGCTGATGGCGAGAGGAGGTGATGTTGAGGGAAATCAAGAGCACTGTTTGAGTCCTTAGTATTTGAGAATGCTTTCTGTTCTTTTGGTAATTGTTGTTCACATGATCGTTCGTGTCTTGGTGTCCATTAAGCTCTACCTCACGCCCGAGATGCAAGCAGGGGTCTAGCTGTGAAAACACACAATAATATCATGAAGGACGCAGTGTGCACGGAGATTGTGACTTTCATACTTCGGAGGTTCAACTATCTCCTGTTGACCACACTTGTTTCCCCGCTGACCACTGTTTGCTCTCTGCTGTCTTCGTTGCATAGTTTCATCCTTATTGTACAAGGTCCTTTTGAGCTTTCTGCTTTGTTCTCATTTCAAATCCCGTATGACATTCTCCGTTCGTCCTTTTTGCTCCTTATGATTCTCCTGTTTTGTTGTCACAACCACGTCCTCTGGGCTTGTTCTCTGCCTCCATTGTTTTCGTTGCTTCCGTCCTTGTTTAGCTGCTGCAAAACAAGAAGAAGATTAGCACAGACTTAGATAGCCATCTCATCGTCATCAGCCTCGACCACATCCTCAACCTCGATGACTTCCTTCTTGATGACAGGGAGGTATGGTCCAATACCTCCTCCCTGCTTTCCCTTGCCTTTGACATTTGCGGCGTTTGCCTCTTTCTCAGCACCGCCATCTGCATCCTCCTCTGCGGTCAGATCGATCATTCCTCCCTCGTCGCCGTTGTTGTTTCCTTCGTGCTCGACCTTGACGTTAGTGGTTCTGGAGGTGTAACCAACACTGAAATCAATAGCATCGCCATTGTCTTCTTCGTCTCCACCCATACCAGGAAAGAAACCTGCTTCATCTGCATCTTCGATCTTTGGAGCCTTGCCTAGTTTTCTCTTCTTTGCTGGGTTAGTAGTGGTAGTGGAGAAAGAGGACTTGGAGGGAGTGGCGGAAAAGTCTTCTTCGTCGTCGGAGCCGGTGTCGTGCATTAGGGTTGTGATTGTGTGGGTTGCTGACAGGGTCTTACTTCCTTTGCCTGTGGTTTTGGAGGTGGAGGATTTTTGAGGNNAGCTGGGTTTTGTGGTGGGAGTGTTGCGTTTGCGAGAGGAAGAAGGGGTGGAAGGGTCCAAGGCAGAGGCATGGGCTTTGATCTTGGAGAGACGGTGGGTTATGGCTTTGGCGGTGACGTCNNTGTTTTGAAGGTGGAAACTTAGCACATACTCAAATGAAGGGAAATGTGTATGGGAAGGTTAAACGGGAGATAGAAGAGAGAAGGGTGTATAAACAAAGATAGTAAACACAAAACACTCACCATCTCCCATCAATTTAGCAATTCTCTCATTCTGGGGGCCAGAGATTTTGATATCGTAGACTGCCATCACGACTGTGAATANACTGTTTTCCTCTGTCAGCTTCTGAGGTTTTCGAAAGGATGTCCATCCATGGGCTTCTCAACTGACCTTGGCATCAGCCGCGGCATCCCAAGTCATAGGCATGGTTGCGGTGTTTGTGTGAATTGGCTGACTGGCAGCGTTTTCGTTGGTGTAGGATTGTGGTTGAAGTTTTGATTGCTTTCGGTGGATTAAATATCAGAATGAAAGTGAAGTGAATTCAAGATCGAAGATGGACCTTGAAGATCAGTTTGATGCAATCACTTTGCAACCGTAAGGAGATGTCGGTGTTGGTGTTGTTGGTTCGATTGAGTTGATGAGAAGAAATAACTCAGTGGTAGGCAAATGAGGTGTTATGTCTCAACCTGTCTGATCTGCGGTCGTGAAAGTGAAGGCCTCCCTTCAAGGTGAGTCTAGTTTGACAGAAGCTCGATAACTGTGGATTCCTGAGAAGGAAGGACCTAGCTCAGAGAAGAACGAAACTCGTGCTGGTGATCGGAGCAGCAATATGGTGTAGAAGTCGAGGTGCAGAGATGACCTGAAGAAGAGGTATTCGAGAGCAGAAAGGACGAAATCAGACGACAATTCGGGATCTCAAAGAGAAGGGACCGAATCAGAGGAAGTCAGAACCCGCCTCTGTGGTTGAGCAGAAGGTGGTACAGAAGTGCAGGCTGGGAGATGAGTCGGAAGAGAATCGATCGAGAGAAGAAAGAGCGAGATTAGTGATCGAGGGGAAAGTGACGACCGTGTTGTGATTGAAAGCGAGGACTGTCGAGGCGTGTTGTTACCAGGGTGATGCGTGATGGAACTCGATAGAACTGATCTTGGTATTCGAGAGTGTAAATCGATGCTAAGGATGCATGGCAGACTCGATATCTCGCAACAAGATATAGACTGCGGAGTGTCGAATTCGAACGCCGCAGCACCCCTGAGCATACTCAGATACTCTTCGAGTTTCTTAGATAACAAACATGAACAATGTGGAAAAACTGAATTTCAATGGTATCTTTTACTCAACAAACAGAAATGTAACTTGCAAGTTCATGCAAACAGTCTTTTCCTTCCCCTGTTTACTAACTCAAGACTGAAAAAGAAAGAACAGAAACAAGAAAAATTTACATCACCTTTCATCTTCTATGCGGACCGGGTGGTGGAAAGCCACCATATCCACCTCCTGAAGATCTACCCATCATGCCATTTGGATTGCGATAGTCATATCTCATTCTTTCCTCATCTTCCTGTATGCGTCTGATGTGCATTTCTTGTTCGTATTGCTCTCTGTTTCTGGCATCGCGGTAGCTTTGGTCAGCCTCGATACGTGCTTGTTCGCGCAGAGACAACATCTGAGCAGGCGGTCCAGAAAGAGGTTGTTGCTGGTACGGTTGAGGTGTTCTGTGTTGGCCATAGCGTTGCTGTTCTTGCTGTTGGTGCTGCTGGAATTGGGCTTGGGCCTCACGCTCCTTGTACTGTCGGTCCACTTCCATACGATGCTCGCGCTCACGACTCATGTGGTACTCTCTTTCTTGTTGCTGTTGCTGCTGTTGTTGTCTCAGCATACTCATCTCCTCGCCACGACTAGGTTGTCTCTGGTGCAGTCCACTATGCGACGAGCCTCCGGAGCTGTTGTGGCGGTGACTGAACTGGTTTTGCTGATGACCCTGCATTTGCTGCATATGTGACGGAGCACCGTGTGGCTGGGCATAAGGATTGGACTGAATCATCTGGGCTTGTGCCTGAGCTGTTTGTGCCTGAGCCATGTGCGACAAGCCAGATGGGCCTTGAGGTTGCAGCTGACTAGGTGTCATTGGTCGACCGCCAATTGATGGAGTTCGAGAATGATCCATGTAAGGATGAGTGTTGGGTGGCGGCGACGGGTTCGCTCTTGACTGCGGGTTGAGACTACCCAGGTTTGCACGATGCGAGAAGTATGGTCTAACATCACGCTCGAGAGGAGCTGGTGGATGGGGCGAGCTGGATGCCAGATTCTGGCCTACAGGTGGACGTGATTGCCATTCAGCTTGTCTTGAGCCAACTGGAGTTCCTGATCTGCCAGTCATGAGCTCGTGTTGAGCTGCTGGAGTTGGCGCATGGGATATTGGCTGAGGGTAAGATGAACGCCCGTCAAACTCCTGTCTAGAGACAGGTGTCTGATTGAACACCTCTCTTCGAGGAGGGAAAATGCTCGAACTTGGTCCAGAAGGCGCGACGCTCAGTGTCGATGGTGTTGGCGATTGAGTAAATGGTGTTGGCTGATCGCTAATCCTCTTCTTCTGGCGGGGCTCTTCTGGCTCAGAATTGAGCAAGGATGCCAAGTTAGACGTCTTACGAGGTTCGGCTGGGGGTCCTGTAGTCAAAGACATGGCAGGCTTGACAACTGAAGGAGCAGGTGATGGTACCGGGACTGAGCCAGGTCGATACATGGGGTGCTCTTCTCTCTTCGGCGGAGATGGCACGTGACTTCTAAAAGGAGGATGCATAGTCACAGCCGGAGATGGCATCGGTCCAGGAGAACCCAGAATGTTGCGGAACATCGCTGGTCCAGCACGAGGGTGTGCAAGCGATGGTAGCCCAGGCGTGCCAGAGCGCTCATCCCTCTCCAAAGGTCTGTCCAACATTGACAGCTGTGGAGATCCAGAAGGTGCGGAAGTCTGGCCACCAAGAGGCTGGAACAACGGGTGTTGAGCGACCTGTGGTACATGCTCTTGAGAAGCACGCTTCTGAATCGACAAGGCACGTTCTTGCTCTTCCTTGAGGTTCTTGACAAACTCCGAGGTCAGGTGTGACAGGTTTTGATGCATCAGGCCAGGTGGTGTTGGTTGCTGTTGGTGCATCAAGGAGGGTGATGGAAGTTGAGCTGGACGCTCAGACGAAGACAAAGTCGGTCGTCGCTCCATCCTAGATTCGGAGAAGAAGCCCATCTTTGGACCAGCGGACGATATGCTCGCACGCGGCTGGGCAGGGACACCAGGTTTGCTCAGAGCGGGAGACTCATGCTGTTGGAGTGGAGTTGGAGCAGCTCTTTGCGGAGGTGCAGACGTCGGCTGGGTAGCCATTGAAAATCTGTACTGATGCTGGAATTGTGACGAAGGCTGAGAGAGAGTCGAGGGCTGTGTTGGTGGAACAGGGTCGATGTCCATAACCTCACCCTGAGACCCAGAAGCTGTTCTGGGAAGAGATGGTCCGGGGTTATCATAGCGTCTTTTGTTGATTGGCGTAGGTGTCGGCGGGACGCCCATATCNNCCTCACCCCGGTCGCGACGGGCATTTGCAACGTTAGCAGCGTCGACAACGTCAGGTCGATTTCCGCTCTCGACAAGTCTTTGGTAGTAGTTCTTGANCCTGTGGATGAATTAGCAGCTAGAGATTGTATTGAATAGAAATTTACTTACCATCGTCTGAGTTTTGGTGCCCATGTGATTGGCAATAGCGCCAAAGTCAGTGCCGAAGTGAGCGATGAACTTGACGAAATCGGTTTGCTCCGGTACAGACCAGTAGCTCGATGCACTAGATCTTTGCATTGGTGTCTGCGCAGGAGCACGACTTCTTTCTGCAGAATCGTTCGTGACTTGGACTGGAAGTGGATCATGTGTATACTCGACATGCTGAGTTCCACCTATGGCCCGGGTACCAGTGAAGATTCCAGTAAGAAGGGCGGCATCCTCTAATTGCTTTGCGCGAGCGAAATCTTCCTGGCCGAGAGTGACTTCTTTATCAGTCGTGGCAGGTGACGTGGCAGAATTGCCAGTCGAAACCAGCGTTTGTCTCCCACGCTTCTGAGGTTTGTCCCCAGCAGCTGTCGTTTTGCGACGCTTAGCTGGTTTCTCGGAGCCCGCCTCACCAGTTGCAGGCAATTTCTTGTTAGTGGTTGTTGGAAACAGCAGGGGCTTNNTGACTTCAGGGTCCTTTTCGGCTGTATATGCAGTGCGTGTTGCTGCGCGTCTTGGTCTTCCAGTCTCGGTAAGCATTGGTCCGGAAGAGCTATCATCCTCGCCGGCAGCACTGGTGCGCATATCGGACATCAATTGAGCACCCCTTGCTGCGCGACCAGTCTTGCCGCCGCGACGTGCGCCACCTTTGCCTCTACGTTTAGTCTTTTCCTTGAAGCGGCCATCCCACTTGTACTTGTAGTAATGATGGATGCAATCAGCATATGATCGACCAGGTAGTTGAGCAGCAATTTCGCCCCATTGTTTCGGCCTTTCCTTAAAAAGCTCCACAAAGCGTTTGTGCTCGGTTTCGGTGAAGGTGTCGAACTCTGGCTCGTATCCATAAATCTCTGTGAGACAGACGGGGTCTCGGTATCGATTCATGTTCTTGAAGATCCTCTTTTCCTTCGAAGCTTGATCCCACACCTCTGGCGGGATGGCTTCTTTCTCAAGGTCGATCTGAGCTCGTCTGGACTCACGTTCAACCTTCTCCTGTTCGAGCCTGGCTGTCTCCTCTGACTGCTTNNCCAGAGCTTGTATGAGGTCGTATTCGCTGCTGAACTTGTGCAATCTAGAGCGAGTTTCCGAAACCGGATTCTCGAGTATGGGGCTGGACTCAATATCAAGCCCGAGCTCGACAGACATTTGTCTCTCTTCAGACTCTTTATTTGTTCTTTCACGATCAAGTAGCTGAGTCTCAAGGCGCCAGGCGCGATACTTCTCGAGATACTGTTCGTGCAGATCTTTCTGCAAGCTTTTGTCTTCCTCTACTTGCGCTTGATAGTGCGCGATCAACACTGGCTTTGCAGCATTCAGGCGCGCTATATTCTCGTGGAAAGCACCCAGATCTGACAGCGGAGTAAGTGGCGTCTTTGTCAAGTAAGGAAGAGTGATCGCCTCAATGCTTTGTTTGGGTTCGGGAGTGATGAAATCCAGGTTATCGCTGCCTTCCATATCAATATCGTCGTTTTGATCGGCCTCTGCAGACTCAAGGATTCCACCAGGTGCAGGTTGATTGTACTTTGTCGGAACAGCTGGAACGGCCGCTGTCTCTGCATCATCGATTTGCTCTTTCTTCGGTTCGATGATGTCTGTATCAATGTCTTCCTGACTCTTTGGAGATGACGGATGGGGCTGCGAAACAGCTGGTGCAGCTGGCTCTGAAGTTTCCAAGCCTTCCATAACATCGTCCTTAGCTTCTGTTGAGGTCGATTCCTGAGCAATGGGCAGGTCTTTTACGGTGATATTGGCAAGCCTGGCAATTTGTTCCAAAGGAGTAGTTGCTCTGAACTGTCTAGCGTTCAGATCGATCATCTGGGCTTCCAGATGCGCTTTTTGCCTCTCGAATTTGGCTTTGCTCTGGGCGAAATCTTCCTCGTCAAGATCCATGCCTTCTTCGTCACTAACAAACTCCTCAGACGATTCGGCTGTCGCGAGGTCGGCATCCACAGCAGGGTCGGACTGCACGGTTCCATCAGGACTTGGTACGCTGTACTCCTTTTGGAAAGGAGGCTTGTTGGCTGCATTAGTGTCAGACATCCTGCGCTCGGGTGATACGGGTGCAGTTTTGAAAGCACGATCATCTTTGTTTTCATCAGCTCTCATAGATGATGGATCTGAAATCTGGCGGTGCATATTTTGAGGCGATGTTTTTGGAATGAACTGTTGAGGCTTTTCTTCACCATTCAAATCTCTCTTTGCAGGCACCGTGGGGTCCCTGTACTGAGGAGCACCAGGTCTTATCCATTGATTCCATGCTGGAGCTCTCGGCGCTCCAGAAGGAACACGGGATGGAGCAAGCCCATTTCTATCCATAGGCCTGTGGAGGGGCTGTCCACGATCTATTGAGGCTCTCGGGGCCATAGGAGGTCCACGAATAGCCTTAGGCGCAGTAGGGATGTTGGGGTTCTGCATGACGGGCGATGTACTGAACGAGTGTGCATTTCGTGGGCCGCTAGGCGCTGATGGGGGTGGAGTACCGAGTCTTGGTGGTGCCATATCCGCTCGTGGTGCTCTTCCGTCTGGCGCATTTCCAGAGCTGGGCTGCCTCTGGGGCATGAGTGCCTGATTCGGTAAAGTCTCTGGAGGGTTCACTGGAGTCATCTGTGCCATTTGAGCGACACCGGCACCCAAAGTTCGCGGTGATGTTGGCGTCTTGTTCGTCTCTGGCTGGAAAGACCCGGAGAGACTACGTCCCTCGCGAACTGTTGTTGGGGCCAACTGCCCACTTGGCCTATCATCTGTTCGCAAAGCCCATGGGCCGGTGGGAAGTGGAGGCTGCGGCACAGATGGATTCCTAGCTTGCGATACAGAAGGCGCTCGTTCAACTGGCAGTTCCCTAGGCGCGGTCGGAGGCGCATTTTCAAGTGCTCTAGGTGCTCTGGGAGCAGCAGGTGGTGGCGCTGCAAGTTGTGCTTTGGGCGCAGTTGGGATGGACTTGACTGCAGGAGGTGATGGAGCCGAAGGTTTCGCGGGAGTGGGTGGAGCACGGTTCTCTGGCGATGCTTTCCATACATTTGAAGTAGGCCCATTGTAAGGCTGAGACTTGAATGATAGAGATCCGAATGCAGGCACTTGCGGAGCTGACGGTGGTGGTGAAGAAGCACGAGATCCATATCGAGCGGCCGAGGACTCGACGCGACCAGCCAGAAGGTCGTTAGGTGGTAGTGGCATAGGCGGGGGTACATTCTGAGGCGGCAGATCACGTCGAGGAGGTTCTTTAATTCCGGACAGTGATGTCGTCGAGGGCCTTCGCATTGGCAAATCATCCCTCGTTGACTCGAACGGCGGCGCACGCTCAGCCGGAGCTTGTGCTAACGGCACTTGTTGATGAGGGGTGGGCGGACGCGAATCGAACCTGCTGGTCGCAGGATCTCTTCTGAAACGTTCAGGCTCACGCTCGCGATCATCACGATCGAGCCAACGATCGTCCTCGCGTCTTTCTGGTCGCCAATCATCTCGATCGTTGCGGGATACACTTCCCCATCGAGTGGGCGGTGATCTGTCTCGAGGTCTGAACGTGCTTCGATCATCTGCAGGACCGCGTCGGTCACGGAAGCCAAAATCTCCTCTGCCCCTTCCTCGGCCTCTACCGTTGAAACCACCTCTACCGAATGAAGGCTGTCCAAATGGTGGTGCATCCGAGTACCCAGGTCCAGCATTGATAGGTCCATCTCTAGAGTCGCGGCGACCTCTCCCCATGTCGAGATCACGAGGCGGAATGGGTCCATCTCTGAAGCCTCTCACAGGCGAACGAGCCCTTGGAGACGTAGGCCTCGGTCTACGGTCAAACTCACGTTCTCTGAATGAGCGGTCAGTCCCAAGAGGTGGTGCGTCTCTCAACTCTCTAAATTCTGGTCTTGGTGGTGCGCCTCTACCGCGTGGTCCAAGTGGCGCTGATGAACCAGTTCCTGGGCCTGGCGGTGGACCTCTGGGGCTGTCATTAAAAGTTTTGGGACCTCGCGGAGGATCCAGTCCTCGGCCGAAGTCACCATGTCTGTTGTTGTTGAATCCAGGATTTTGTGGTCCGTTCGGTCTCCATTCCTGATACCTCGGCGGCGATCGCGACCGGGTGCGAGGTGGATACCGGGACTCATGTACCGGAGGAAAGCGTGACGACATACTACTAATGTACTGCACAAAACATTATCGTAAAAGAGAATAGATCGTGGGGCACGTGCTGCGTCGACGTGTATTGCGCCGTTGGATGCTGGAAATGAATTTGCGATGAGCCAGAAATCGTCAGAGAAAAGAACGCGCGCAATTGATCGTTTTTGCGCAAGCTGTCAAAGGAGTGAGTTGATTAATGGTATGCGCGGTGAAACTTGCAGTCGAGGCGTGGCAAGATTTGGCAAGGTCCGATCTGAATGCCAAGACCTAATAGGGCTTTGCTGATCCGCGCTTCGGGGACTTCGAAGACAAGGCACTCTCGAATCACCCGTGTCTGCGTAACGATTTCACGCTCAGCTTTCAACACCACAACAAAGAGGACCTGGAAGCTCGAAACTTGCGTCCAAGCTCTCTTCAAAGCAAGAAGGCAGCAGGAATCCGCTAAAGACGCCGCTGGGGAGAAAATCGACGAAAAGAGTCCAGGAAAATGCCGGATCTCGAACGATCACGGCGAAACAGGCTGGCGGAGTGGTCACTTGGGTATCAAAAACAAGCGAAAATGATGCCGAGTCCAAATTTGGGTATCCCGACAAGGCCTGAGGTCGTCCGAGTGAGATGGAGATGTTTGTCTGGAGGATGTCGAAAGACAGGAGAAGGAAACAGAACGTGTAGAGTAGGCGTGCGGAGCGACGAAAGCCAAACTCTATGTCATGCTGATTGGCCGGTGCGTCTTAGTTTCACGCATCTCGTGGACTAACCCGTGAACCGTACGCTCGGGCGGAATGTCAGGAACTAGAGTGAAAATCTAGTCATTGGTGGATTGACATGTTTTTAGACAAAGAGACCAGATTGCACAAACAAGCCGACAGTTGTCAAGCACTTTACATTCGAGGATAAAGTGCATATGTGGCAGAATTCATTGCTTGAACGAGGACTGGTTGATCGCATATGTCATTTTGAGGTACCTCAACGGTGATGAAGCTCAAAAGTCTCGGCTGCAACATCTGCAAGTCCAGGCAAGCCAGGAGCAGGGATTTGCGGATCGAGATGTTGATGAGCCTCAACTTGATAGCCATCTGTTCCGCGCATATTGACATTTGACCTTCCCTGGATAATCTTGCAGTATTTTTCAGTCCTCTGAATTCTTAAATGAGGCTTGCATAATTATACGATCGCATCTTGATTAGAATCGTTATTGCCGTCGAACCGTCATCCAAACTTAGCTTGTCTTGTGCAGTATGCGTGCCGAGCCGCTTGCATTTAGAGTGAGCTGTCGCGCCTTAGTAAGCCTCGAAAATTCCAGGGTTCTCGAAAATCTCCTAGACCAGAAATCACGCCAGGACAAGAAGAATAATTGCCGCCGACTCGCACAACAGATTCAGTCTCGTACTCGACATTCGCCCACACTCACTCCTCGCAATTCGTCCTCGCAACCATGGCTGCGCCAAGTGGAGCTCAAGATGCCGTTCTCAAGCCCTCCGATCCTGTACCAGAAGGAGCCGTTCCCGTAACTGGACTCGATTTCGACAAGTTCGCTGGCCGCAACATCACCGTAGCTGAGATGGTAGAGAGCATGGGTAAAATGGGCTTCCAAGCAACATCAGTGGGACAAGCAACACAGATCATCAATGGAATGGTAAATTGATTTCGAGACCTCGAACCGACAAATCGACTAACTCGAGGACGATAGCGCGAATGGCGTGATGAAGAGACGGGACAAGGCACAACTATCTTTTTGGGATACACATCAAACCTCATCTCCTCGGGTTTGCGCGAGACACTGCGGTGGTTGGTACAGCACAAGCATGTCTCGGCCATCGTCACAACTGCTGGAGGTGTTGAAGAAGACTTTATCAAGTGTCTGGCCCCAACATATCTTGGTGCTTTCTCTACGGCCGGAGCCTCCCTGAGAGCCAAGGGCATGAACAGAATTGGCAATCTGGTGGTGCCGAACAGCAACTACTGCGCGTTTGAGGATTGGGTAGTACCAATCTTTGACAAGATGCTGGAAGAGCAGGAGGCGTCAAGGGATACAGAGGAGCCCATCAACTGGACTCCCAGCAAAATGATCCATAGACTCGGCAAGGAGATCAACGATGAACGCTCTGTCTATTATTGGGCATGGAAGAACGACATTCCCGTCTTCTGTCCTGCTCTGACGGACGGAAGTTTGGGCGACATGCTGTACTTCCACACGTTTAAGGCTTCACCATTGCAGCTACGTGTTGACATTGTGGAAGACATCCGCAAGATCAACACAATCGCAGTCAGAGCCAAGCGTGCAGGCATGATTATTCTGGGCGGAGGCATAGTCAAGCACCACATCGCTAATGCTTGCCTTATGCGCAACGGAGCAGAGAGCGCAGTCATCATCAATACAGCCAACGAGTTCGACGGAAGCGATGCAGGCGCACGACCAGACGAAGCTGTCAGTTGGGGCAAGATCAAGATCGACGGTGACAGCGTCAAGGTGAGTGGATTGCGGCGGCTGAGCGCCGGAAATGATTGGGGGATGTATGCTGACACAAGACTACCTGCANNGGTGTACGCCGAGGCGACAGTCGTGTTCCCTATGATCGTTGCATCAACATTTGCCAAGGTGGCTTGAACGTTTCCACGAATACGGCACGACAAATCGGAAGAGAGGCATAGACTCGAGCCATTCGACGTAGACTGCATCCTGTGTCGCATGGGGATCACTAGCCAGGCTCATCTTACCAATGCGAGCATGCGCTTTGGAGTGAAACACGTCTGAGCGGATGGATGCTGTGCAGGCAAGGTGCATGCGTTTGTCTTCAAGGACCAAGTTTAGCCAGAAGGGCGCCTAGGCTGATGAAAGATTAGGCGCGAGCCGAGCCGCAGCCTTAGCGTCCGCGCGGCAATAACAGGGCAAATCGATGCACGTGCCACTGCAAAGCCGAGGTCAGGAGTTGGCGGCACCTTGATGAGCTGTCCCTCAGACCCAAGATAAGAGCCGCTGCTGCCTCGTCCCATAGGTCCTGTCGATCAGTTCCCGAGTTACTAGAGATAGACAGAATGTTCAAATGACATATCAGTCTTTATGTGCGAAGCAGCAAGGTGTCTCAAGATCCTTTTATAAGAGGCACTGAGCTTCAAACATTAGACGTGTTATGGCAGGTAACAGCTGTGTATTGCTCAGTAGCTCCGTAACAGAGAGACATGCCCTTTGACTGGAGCTGGAGCTGGAGCGGTCCTGATTGATTGCCCTTCACCAATGCTGTAGGTGCAGGTATGTATCTGGTATTTGTCTGTCGGGCGCTGGAATGGCGTGTGGCTGCAGAAGCGGGGATGACCTGATTGCGCATGCATTGCATGTGAAACCAGAAATTTGGTTGGACCAGGGCTCTTCTTGGCCAGAAGGCAGAAGGTGAACAGTCATCAAAAGAGACTGCACGGCGGCGAGGCTGCTTGTCTGCTTTGCTGTCGATTGTCGTTTGTTGCCTGGCTTTTTGCTGCCTGCTCGACACTTTCACCATGGCTACGCTCACTCAACCACCGCGCGCGCTCCAAGCGCAAACACCAACTCCGACTCACGACGTGCCTCCTTCCTACGATCCTCACCACACCCTTCATCGGCAACCATCTTCCACACCTGCAATCATGGATCAACCGAACAACGACTTGGAAATGGAAGGCGCTGCTGATCCTTGGCTATTACAGCCGCAAACCACTGGACCAGTAAGTTTACTCCCTCCTGACCATCATCTGGATTTCACGCTTGTCGCAATGCACGATCTTGTTCGCTTTCCAACTCTGTCCATGGAGACGAGGCACCGCATGACTCTCAACTGTCGCTTCCTCTCTGCCATGCTCTGAATTTTACGTCTATCGCATTGCACAGTCTTGTTCGCTGTTCAGCTCCGTCCATGGAGATAGGGCAGCACGACCCCTAACTATCTACTCCCTCCTAACCATGACTCGAACTTCATGCCTATCGCAATGCACAGTGTTGTTCGCTTTCCAACCAAGTCCACTGAGAGGCACTGCATGGTCCTTAGCTAATACCTCCTAGAACTCAGCCACTCCTAATCCTGAGCCGCTCTCGCCCGCACGTCCACCGCCGCCACCCTTAGCGCCTGTGTCGCATACAGCAGGCGAAGACAGTGAAGAGGAGGATGACGAAGATGACGACAGAAGCCACATCAGCGACGAGCGCGCAAGAAGCTTCTACCCATTTCACGAAGACACAACCGTTCCAGACGCCGAAGAAACCAGAATTATGCGAGCATATGCCGAAGCCAACGCTCTAGACGACGCGCACTGGCAATCAAGGACATTTTTCGACCTACAAGACTCTGGATTCAGTGCAAAGGAGCAAGGCATCATTGAGTGGACTATCAACGACTTCAATGGCACCAAAGAGAATCCTCGCAAGAATCTCTTGCTTACGTCGCACACAGTCAGTATCGGCGGTTATGACTGGAGGGTCAAATTGATGCCACATGGCAACATGCATACCGATCGCCTCAGTCTATACGTTGAATGCGTCTCTGTTCAGTCATCGACGTCGCAAGTGATGGAATGGCCTGCAGACCAACTACCTCTTCCGCTGCTAGGTGACGCTAAAGTCAAAGTCATGAAACCTACGTCTGTTGCTGCCCAGGTATCAGCTCTTCTCTACAATCCTGATGAACCTCGCGTGAATGAGTTCAAAGCAGACGCGTCTCAGTTCTCGCAAGTGTCACCTGACCATGGTTGGACTCGCTTCACGAGTGTGCCGTGGTATGAAATCCATCGTCGTTCTTATGCTCAACGACAGCCTCTCCTTCGCAATGACACACTAGCTGTCAAAGCATACATACGTGTGATTGATGACCCTACTGGCTGCCTGTGGGCTCCCAAAGACTCTTCGAAGTTGGCATTGACTGGCTTGCACCCATTCTGTGACGACCAGGAGGATTCTGCATTGTGTCCTGTGTTGGCCTTGTGGCTGCACTTGCGTCCGTTCCGTCAGATGATCTACCAGCTCGGAGCTGTTGATCTATTCGCGAAAGATGGCGATAACATAGTTACAGAGCTCCAATCCATGCTATGGCGCATGCGCTCAAGAATTGGTTGGGAACCTGAGAATCATCACGCGCCTTACATCGGCGACTTCATCGACGATTTTACTTCGAGAGGCTCTCAAGATACCATGATGGACGCCATGCAGACTATGGACACCATCCTCAACGACATGAAAACTGTTCTCAAGGACAACAAAGATGCCCTCGAGAAGTTAACAAATTTGTTCGGAACAGATACCTTTTCTGGTAACCGTCCGACGAAGCGTTCAATAGAGGGCAAGGCTTCGATCCAGGAGATTGTCAATGACTGCTTCCATGTGCCCTTGCTCCTGAATGAAGTGTTGACCATTGAGCTCGAGCGTCAGGTCTTTGACAAGGACAAACGAGTGTGGATGAAGCTACTTGACAAAGTACTTTTGGACGATCAGATCACGACTTCCGATGGCTCTACATGGACGCTTTACGGCTTCGTCGCCCACGAAGGCTACCTGCGCAACGGCAAATACACGAGTCACTTTCGTCCCGGCGGTCTCGGAGGCCTTTGGTATACCTACATGCACGATAAGGATCCAACATGTCAGACCAGAACACAAGCTGTTGCATCAAAGGAAGGAGTATCTGTTGCCGAAGTTACCGATGGACCTGGTTCCTCGACTAGAATTGAAGAACCGGTGATTTCTTCCGATGCTCCTATCAACTACGGCCATGCTCTGCATCGGTTTGATGCCGTAGCCTATGTGGTCATCTACGTGCGCAGCCATACCATCAATTCGACCATTGATGACGAGCTATGGGACGTACCAGAATGGATCCCCAGATTGTACGGGCCTCCTCAAGCAGATGCTGCCGAAGGCGCAAACACTCTGCATTCAGATATGGTATCAACCACTGCAGATGAGGACGAGGAGATGAACGATCCGCCTGAAACATCTCCAAACGAGGAACCTATCGATAGTACTGTGACGAAAGTCACAATAGACTATCTCTCGCAACCTTTCTATCGGGGAGATGTCAACAGCGCCTCAGAGTGCCATGGTTATGGTCACTTGATTTACCTCAACGGTGACGAGTACAACGGCTACTTCAGCAAATCCCAGCGCTCGGGACAGGGAAAGATGCGCTATGCGAATCGGGACACATATGATGGTCACTGGAAAGATGGCCAACCAGACGGACATGGGGTGTATACTCAGCATCGTACTGGCAACGTCTACGAGGGCAACTGGTCCGAAGGAAAGAGGTCTGGCACAGGGGTCATGTACTACAAGGTCAGTGAGGAGGACACCAAGCTCTGCAGAATTTGCTACACCAACGAAGCAAATGCCGCTTTCTACGACTGCGGGCACGTACTTGCGTGCATCGACTGCGCTAGACGTGTAGAAGACTGCCCTATCTGTCGTCGTAGAGTCAGAGATGTGGTCAGGCTGTTCTATACCGCTTGAAACAGCCCGGCATTGCTGCGATGCCAAAAGTATGTAACACATATAGATGAGAAAAATGCACAATCGTCGTATCAAGTGAGGAATGAGTTTTATTGGCTCTCTCTCTGGCCCCATCTCCATCCTGGAAACTATCGTGACTTTTTACAGTACCATTTTTGCTGTGCGTCGCTCTTGGAGAGAGGGCTGTATCGAATCTGACTGCAAACTCGTGTGACTATGTTTTCTGTCTCCGACGTACGTTCTGAGTGGGTTGAAATTTAGCTATAGAAATGCACGATACGAGCGAGAAACAGAGCGAGATCCGATGAGAGTCATCATTTCTTCGGCTCTCCCTGGACGAAGGCTTGAGTCTGAACACCACTGTGCATTTTCACAGCTAGAATTCGATGATTCTTGGCATGTGGGAGACAGGAGAACCGAAACGAGCACCACGATGCAGAACGAACCACCTAGAACGACCTCGCAGTGCTTTTGTATAACAAAGGACTCTTCAGACATGGGACTGGCTATGAAAAGGAAAGCAGGACGAAAGAAGCACAGAGAGAACAAAACAAGAGCAAGAAAAGGGGATTTTCGTCTTGCCGTTCTATACGGTACACGATCGCAGGCTATGGGTGTGGCAAGTTCAAGGGCAAATCATTCTGCTATAGTAAGTAACACGGCAATGATCATGCTTTTCCTGTGTGAATGGTTGGCTGCTTTTGCTATTTCTAAAGAGCAGATATGAGTGGTAAAAGATTTCCTAGGTGAGAACGATGGAAGTGATGACATAGTAATGGTCATCTCTCAAAAGTGAGACAGAAAAGGATTAGAAAGTTGACCATGGTGGTTGATTGTGAACCCAGACTGGAGCAAACCTTGATAACGTACATTCACACAAAGAGAATTGAAGATACTAAAACTCGTAAGGAAATACCTTGGGTCTTCTGATACTAAATGTTTACACAATACACCTGCTGACATTGAACATAAGGTCGTCTTATTTCAACGTCTTTCACTCAACTCTCACACAAAGGTGAGTGAAGATCTTCGATATCACTACCACTTTCACAATTGGCAGTTCGGTTCATAAATAAGTTTATTGTCAGCAATCTCCTTGCCTTTTCTTCTCAACCAACAACACATCCACATCACGCAACCTCTACTTGCTCTCCGACTCCCATTGGCTTTACCAACCGACTCACACAACATCTGCCTTTAACGATATTCGCACTTCAAACATGGATACCACTCTCGACGAAGCTATAGCCTTGGGTGATACTGAGGCTAGAGATCTCGCACTAGAGATCAGGAACCGCGACCGCGAGTACCAGGCAAGCCGTAGCGATATGCTCTGGAGACTCGCTGCCGTGACTTACACAGAGAAACATCCTCCCTTGAGAATGTCAGACATCATCACTGTTGTCGACGCCGCACCAGATGAAGAAGCTCAACTCCAAACCGTTATGGTCAAACTGTCGAAAAGAGGTGACTACAACCCTCTGCTCGTTGAGTTAGCAATTGCGACGATTGGCCCTCATGACACGGATTCCATCATCGATTTTGTGAACCCTCTGGATGTCAAGAACATCAAGCACATCGAAGCCGCCTCTGGCAAGAGGCTTTTCGAATGCACATCCTGCGAAGATTCATTCTTGGCCAAAGATCTCATCACTACACCCTGCGGACACTGTTACTGCGGATCATGCTTGAACATGGTATTCAAGGCAGCGGTTTCAGACGAATCACTTTACCCTCCCAGCTGTTGCGACCAAACGCCCATTCCTATCGAGCACGCAAAGAGATTCCTGGATCGCGGATTCGAGACAACATTCGAAAAGAAGGGTGTGGAGTTCAACACTCTCGACAGAACTTACTGCTCGGACCCAGAATGCTCGACCTTCATACCTCCCAACTCGATCCGCAGTGAGACTGCCTACTGTTGGGACTGTGGCCAGGCAACTTGTGTTGTCTGCAAGGCTNNCCCCGGTCACGAAGGAGATTGTCCCGCGGATCTCGGGTTGGCCGCATTGCTCAAGTATGCCGAAGAAATGCACTGGCAGCGTTGCTACAACTGCCTCAGTGTAGTGCAAAGACGAGACGGTTGCAATCATATAGAGTAAGCTTTTGTCCAACATATTCAATCACAGGATCATAAGCTGATTAGTACCAGATGCCGCTGCGGAGAAAGCTTCTGCTATATCTGTAGTAGGCCGATCTATTACGAAGAGACCTCACGATGCCCATGTCAAGAGGACGACCCTCCTCTCTACAGATTCTACCACCGAACTGCGAATCGCTTGCAACCGCCGGACTCACCAAGAACGATGCAGGAGGACGATTGGACCATTCCTCCAGCTGAGTGGGGGCTCGGTGAGCCCTTTCCTGCTCCCATCTGGGTTGGTGAGCCGGAAGAGAATCCAGTGCAACAAGAGCAGGACAGATCCCGAGCTGGAACACCAGATATGCCAGACTTTGAATGGCCAGATGAACAATTCGTCGAAGATATCAACCGCGATTTGCAACGAGCGATAGCAGAAGCACAGCGCCGCCCACCTGATCAACCTCCCGGAGCCGAAGCGGTCGGGAACGCAACCAATCCAGACGCAGACACAACATTGCTACAACTGACGCCCGATGATACCCTTATCAACATGCTTAGACAATCTATCACTGTGGCTTCTGCTCAATACTCAATCCTCCTCAATCAAGACCACGAGAACGAAAACCCGGTGAGCACAAGTCCGGTATCAACGCGACATGGTTCAGCTTTAGATAGGCTCAGCTCACGATCAGATGAAAATTCACAGTACACAAAGAGCCGAGCTTCCAACGAAGATGTTCTTGAACGAGAGAGTATTCCAGACGTTCAGCTACCCGATGGATCTGACTCGAGAGAAGAATCAGCACAATCCGATCACAATAGCGACGGCGCTTCGGAGTACCAGAACTCTGAACATTCCTCTTCCGTATCAATGCAGCCAGCAAGACACAGCCGTCTGCGAACCAAACTTTCACCACGCCGTCTCCTGCGTACCTTGCGAAAGGCAGGTATGTCTGTACTGCGCAGAAGAGAAATTACTTCTTCATGCAGCAACAAAGCTACTGTCGAATGAGGAAGAAGCCGTACATGAGAACGGTCCAGACAGAGAGAATGAGGGAGACGCGCTTGAGTGTGATGGAAGTTGGTTATCAACCAGGACCGTGGTCATCACAGTTGAGACGAGAGTGGGCTCGGAAACTGGGTTGACAAGACAAATGTTTCTCCCTGTGCATTTCAATTGCTCTGTTATCAATCAACGGAGACATCAAAAGATCTGCTGGTACAAAGAGAGATAGACAAGAGCGTGATGGAAACGCAAAAATGGCTGTGGCAAGGAGCATAAAAGATAAAGACCACCTTTACCAACCAGTGCACAAGTTTGCTGCATACGATAGCCTCTTCAATAGCAGAACAATGAGAACCAACGATCTAACAATTTGAAAGGTGATACGGACGTGACATTAAGAGATGCTTGCCAGACGGAGCGTGGGTTTGGATCCAATTCTGCATTTTGATAACTATGATCTGACGGTCTTAAGCACTGTTTTGATGGGCTTTCTGGTCTTGATGAGAGATCGCGTGGCTGCGCAAGGGTCGAAGGCAGGTGTTCTGATGGGCTTCATGGTCTCGAAGAGAGATCGTAAAACTGCGCAAAGGTCAAAGGTCGGCGTCCTGGTGCGCTTCCTGGTCTCGAAGGGAGATTGTAAAAATGCGCAAAGGTCAAAGTTCGGCGTCCTGGTGCGCTTCCTGGTCTCCAAGGAAGAAGAAACTCATCCAAATCGTACTTGATTTTGGGTTTTGTTGGGGTGTACTTGCGTCTTTGAATGCGCTCGGGATCACAATAGAACTCGTCCAGTCCGTACTGCTTGTACATGAGGTCGAGTCTAAGCTTGGGTTCTGGGATCATGGAACACTGTTTGTCCCTACCGCCAGGAATGGAAGTTGGCCGGATGGTTTGCTTGATCCCGGGTTTCCATGGTCCATGAAGTTTTGGTCTTTCGAGCGGACCAAGCAATGGGAAGAGTCCCTGATCTCGGTGAGGGTCCATGGCTTGTAAGGCCTCATTCTCAGCATATTGTCTTTCGACATACTCGTCGAACTCGGCACGGGATGTGACCTTGACCACAACTTCCCGAATGGGTTCTTCTTGCGGGCGCATCTTGCCCTTGACTCCTCTTTGATGACGAATCTCGATCCAAGCCACTTTTCCTCCAGCGTCTTTGCTTTTCATGATAGTAGCAATCCGTTGCCAGCTTGTTGGGATGCCGTTGATCACAGTTCTGATTCTTGGTCTGTCACCATTCCAATAGTCTGATCCGCCGGCGGGGTTCTCCATCCACACGCCAAGGGATGGAGTACTGCGAAGGGCAAGGACAATTGCGTGAGTGTCCATTGCTGATTATTGATGGCAAGAAGATCGTCCGTAATGATTAGCAAGATAGTAGTGATTTGATACGTTCATTCTTCAAGTGCGAGCGAGTTCGTGTTGCTTGCGCATCGTGCGAACAAACAACAACCTTGGCACGTCTGGCCAGGACCGTTCTTTCCCTAGCAATTTCCTTTCTCGTGATTCATTTGATCTTCTTTGCGCTCGCCAGGCACTTATCGAGCATGGCGCATCAAGGGTAAGTCGAGCACCCTTCTAAAGAACCGACATCTCTTATTTCAAGTCAATTTATTACTTGGGTCCTTGTTCCATGAGACCGCCACCTGTGTGTATCTATGGCGGCGTTGCAAGATTCCTGTCGATCCGAGTTCGTGACAACACTTCTGTCGAGTGCTTCATAGAGTACACGGCTTCTTGGGTTCAGCTGTGGGAGATTATATGAATCCCAATCGACCTAGAGGAGCAATGATGTTAGACTGTTATCGAAGCCGTGAAGCTAGCGGATCTCTCACTGGACGTCCCTTCCCAATGGAAACAACTGTGCCTCTCGATGGCCGAGCATTATGCCGAGCAGTTGTAATGAGATACCAGACGGCCACGGAGCCGGTTCACGACCCATCATCTTGGAGGATATAATCAGTTTGCAAATTGGCTCGAATTCGACTTTCTGCTTACCTTAATACAGGAGCCGGACCAGGCTCTTAACCATGAGGTCCTCGATACATTGCTTTCAGATGATATGACCTTCTACTGCAAACAGACGCATCTAAACGAGCTTTGTACAAACGGAGACATTACTGGCATAAGAACGAAAGAGGGGTATTGAGTACAAAATAAACACATCTCCCACAAGTCCTCCTATTCTTCCACACATCTATGGCGGACACAATAGCCAAGGAACACAACTTCTATGGCCATCTAGCCTCACTTCTTCCTCAACTCCAAAGTAGTCACCCTGTCGAGGCCGGGATATTGATCGTGACGACTGATCATAGAATCGAGCGTAGCAGTATGCGTGAGCACATGAGTCAAGTCATCGTTGGCCAGAGACCTGCTGCGCATAGGCTCAAGCGGGTCCCCATCCGCACCACCGCTGGGTCCGCTTTCAGACTTTGACCGTGAGGGATCGGCTGCAGCAGGAGATAGCTTTTCCATGCTTTTGCCTGAGAACAAGCGAGTGAGTTTTGGTCGAAGTGAACCCAATAGCTTTCCTTTCTTTGGTGTCTTTGGTGGCGAGATGGTCGGTCTGGGTGCTTCTTGGGAAGGGCGAATGGGTTGCGAGAGCATCGTGTGGGAGGCCGTCTTGTGAATAGTGGGGTTGTGATGCTCGGACATCATGGCATCGTAGCCGCGGCTGCCTTTCCATTGATCGGTGACATTGTCCAGCGCTTCCTGTGCTGCGGTACTGTATTCAGGATACAGCACTTCTGAAGCTTCGACCAGAAGCGATAGCTTTAGTGTGTCGCGAATTGTTGCATTCATATCCTCGCTGGGATGCCAGCCCATGGCACGCACATCGTATCGCATTGCCTTATCGACTTTTGATTGAGCATCCATGAGCTGGACCAGATAATCCACCTTCTCGCGAATCAGAGTGCACAACTCGCTGGCCTTGGCCACATCCATAATTTGCCAGGCCATCTTCTTGTTGACGCCAAAATGTTTGTGGGTCTTCGCGTGTGGGAACGCGGTCACGACTTCGTCCAAGAGTTCGAACTTCTCACGGAACGCTTGCAACCTGAAAGGATTGGGTGCCAGCATGTGGTTCTCGCGTACTTTTGGTGAGCCTTTGAAGAGGTCCAGTCCATATGCCTGGAACATCTTGACTTTGGTAAGATGTGTCATTGGGCTTGCGATCGCGTGTAACGAATCTTCGACGCGTTGTCTGAAGCGAGGATCGTCCAGGCGAGCATCTCGAGTTCCAAAGTACAAGGCCTTATCAGGTTCCGGATTCAATGCGCCAGGATGCCTAGGAATAGCAGAGGTGATTCCTGTCGAGGCTGGCGGGGAGGAGATTCCGACTGCATCGCCCCAGATCAACAGACGTGCTTGTTCGATACCGAGCTGTGATGTGAGAATTTCCTGACTATGAGACTCGTCGTGGCCATAGATAAGATTGATAGACTCAACACAGTCGGCGAAGAGGTCAGCAAGTGTGTAAGCATCGCTCAAAGCCTTTGCGCTGCTGTGATGATCCATTTTCGGTTACTGGTGTTGCTTGAGTATTGATACTGAAGCTCGCCTCCGACTAAGTCTCCAGGTTCCAGAGGTGGTTGAGAAGCTGATTGGTTATCTCTTGCAAGGCCACAGGATTCTGCTATGACATCGGCGGCGCGTCAACTTTGAATTTTGATCTCTCAAGGTGCGAAAAAGCGAGATGATTTTGCGAGACAGCTCGATGGATATATAAGATGAACAAACCCAGCCATCTTTCTAGACCATTGGGACGCTAGCCCACCTCAACTGCCAGGACAACAGTGTGGGGAGTTGAGAAAAACTCTCACACGATTGTAGAGAAGGCCTAAGCTTCTCAGCCAAAACCTTGCTGCAAATATGTCTTGGCAAGGGGTCTTGTCTCGCTGTTCTCCTCACCCTGTCTCGAAAGTCAACCTCACTCCTTACAACTTGCATTCATCGTAAACCCGATGAAGATTAATCAAGATACAGACCCATCAAGAGACTCGCCGAGATAACGTCGAACGCATGATAAAAAACTTACTTGTAACACTTGCATCAACGGTCAATCTGCGAGATCGTTTGCGATCATGGATCATCTAATTGAAGCATTCACATGCGTGATCCGCAAAGGCAACAACGCGGACGACATTATGAACAATGTGACAGCTTTGTTAAACAGCCGCTCCGATGCAACCGACATATCGAACCACGACCGTCTGGGCATACTCGACTTTCCTGATCCAGTAATCCAAGAAGCAAACGTGGCTGCGACCACGAGCTTGTCCAAAACAGAATTACTCGAGCGGGCAGCCTCATCACCATCAGTCCTCAGTGTCAAAGAAATCAATCTCCTCAAACAACGGTACTGGCTCAACCCAACCGCGGCAGAAACGAGTGCCCGCTCGGCCGCTCAACGCACCCTCCTCTCCGTCTCGCAGGAGCATTGGAAACAAGCAACAGACCAACTGAAGAAGATTCGCGCCATGCTTTACGATGACCACGAGGAGGAAGCCTTGTGGAATGCTGAGATGGAAGAATGGCGACGTATGATGGATGCTTCTAAGCAGNNCAAAAAAAAGCAAGAAGTCGAGAGTCGGCTTGCTACCGCACAGCCATGGATAAAACGACTCTGGGATGAGGATCAGGGTGAAAAGAATTGGGGTTACGGCGTATTTCGTGATCCTAAGGCAGCCAACGAGGAATATGACTCGAGACAAGGTGCTGCTATCATGCATGCACAAGAGGCGACCGGATGTGGAGGCACGATTGCTGCTAGATACACACTGCAGCACTTGAATTGGCCCGACAGCCCAAGCCCACAAAGTCCCCCCTGCCAGCGAGAGCCCGCAGAATACCTCATATGTGAGGATCATGCCCATCCGGAACGATAAGCTTCTCTTCGATCAAATATGCGGTTCTTCCAAAGAGCTTGCTGCAGACGGCAAGCAACACGTACAAGTCAANNCGCCGTATCAGAGGGCAACAAAAAGAGAGACGAGGACACAACAGCCGAACTTGAAGCAAGGTTCCAGGTACTGCGCCAACACTTCAGAAACGCTCGTGATCGTGTTCCTGAAAAGCAAAGAACAGCATTCGACATGCAGACCGATTGTGACGCGCTTCAAGATGGCATTCTCAGGAACGTGTTTCTCGCCATCGACCGGCAATGTATCAATTCCCTCTTCTCCCAAACAGGAAACGTCGACGACATGTGGGTATATGCGGTGGATCCGGATTATATACGGCCTACAGGTGTATCACCAGACGAGTACAGAGGCTACATGCGTGTGCGGCTACAGCAATTGGTAAACAACTTCTTCGATGCTCGGCGATTTCACGCCGATGAGTTCTCCATGCAGGTGCTCTGGCATGCTGCACAAGCGAGCAGAAATCAGGCCTTTGTGTCGGTCAAGAAGTCAGAGCAACAACTTTGGACACTGAGCAGATTCGTTGGCAGTGCGCTTCGGCCAGAGGGTGTAGCACGTCCTACGGTCAATCTGCGCTAGTGAACTGAAGTTTGAGGCTATCTCAGCGTGTAGCAAGGTATGCGTATTGCATGCTTACGAGTGTCTGTGCTATCATTGAATCGCTTTCGCAGAATTTCGCTATCTTCGGCAAGGACCCACAATCATCATGACTCTCTGTACGAACAATCTCGAGTGATGTCCATCTAACGCGGTATCCAAGGACAAAGGTCGTTGACGAGTATTTGCCCATACTGCACAATATGGTAGCAGCTGTTGCCTGATTTGAGTCAGTGTCTCCGTCTGGCCAATGAACGCAGAAAATCGAGGCGAAGATAGGGAAAGACGATCGCTCTCAAACTCACTCAAATCGTGCTCACCTTTCGTTGACTCACAGAAGCTGGAGCCTAGCCTCGACTCTGGATGCTGATTTATAGCCGACTTGCTCTCGCTTTGTTCTTTTCTCTTCTTTCACTTCTCAAGACTCATCCGAAAAATTTCACCATAACCCTCGAAGTGTGCACAAACCTATACGTACAAAAACCCATTCGCGCAAGAACGGATTATCCTACGCCGTGCAACAATGGACCCGGGTACCATGGAAGTGCGCCAAAGGGTCCGCCTTTTGGAAGAGGAGTGGGCTCGCCAACATGAAAAGTGCATCGAGGATGCAGGGCGCAAGTACAAGGACTCAATGCCGTCGCTTGGTGGAGAGATTACTGGTCATCCACTGGGCAATAATACAACCATTTACCGAGACGATTATGAGTCCTTAATAATTTACCAAGGATTTCCACGTTACTGGTGGAGGCAACTTGCAGTAGATCCAGATAAAGTAGTTTGGATGAAGTCCGAAGAGGTGATCCACGTGACAACACGAAAGGCGTGGGAACAAGTCATGAGGTTTCGTCGTGACTTTCTGGCGGAGAGGGATCAGTTGGACTGGCACCAGCGCTTGGGTCTTGATATTTTACTCGGACCATTCGAACGACCGCAGAGAAGATACAACGAGCGACGTCCGCGTATTGTCTCGGGTAGGGAGGTCGAGCCGCCACGTATCATCCTGGCACCAGTGGTCGATGCTAATGCATCAAAGAAGTATCCCACCAAGATACCAAAGCCCGTCTCGGGAACGACACGCCAATATGAGCACTGGAGGGTGAGAAGCGACCGAAATCTGTGGAACTACTTGCGCGCGCAGCGCAGACTCAGCCGGATTGACCCAACGCTGGTACTCAAAGTCACTGCTCTCGAATTTCTCAAGTGGTCAATAAGAAGGGATGATCCACTTCTTGAAGAATTCGATTACCGCTGCCCTTTGAGTTTGTTTGAGAACGAGACGGAAGCTGCTAGAGCTCAACCTTCGTTTCGCCAGTTGCTCAAAACCAGGCGTGCTTTGCCACCACTACGACGCCGTCGGAGGCCGAGGAGGCAATTCTATGCGCGGTCTACCATGTTTCCTCCAGAGCCAGACTCGGTAACAGACTGCAGCTTTGCTTCTTCAAGCTCTCCGAGTGAGACTGAGGATGTCACCTGTGATGACTGGTGGTTGGATTGATCTAAGCATTACCACCGAAAGAGCCATCTTCTGTAAGGGACTTGCCAGCACATCCATCACTAGAAGATGAAACACATCAAAAGACGTCAGAAAGGGAGAGCAGATGGTGGTTGTCTACCCCTGAAAGATCGACAGCGGGGAACGATGGACCCTGATGTTCCCCGAGCCTCGGCGGCTGCACACGCAAACATGAAACCCTGTGTAGCTTTCAAGCTCTTAACGCAAGCATGTCCGTCTTCATCCGAGCCTTTTTATCTTGTCTTCGTCCGCCGTGAAAGGGAGGGTTTGTTTCTCACACCTTGACGAACCTACTTCAAGCTCTGAGCGAAAGAGCCGACCTGCTGCATACTCAGCGACACCAATCACCATTCGAGACGACTATAAACCAGAAAGACAGAATCATGGCATCCGACTCCACTTCCTCGCACGCCTACTTCACCAACATCCCCTGGACATCCCGTCTGCTAGCGATCCCAAACCTACGCATCACCACCCCACAATCACGAACCCCCAAACCATCCACCGAAGACAGCCTCTTCGCAACCACTCTCGCAACACCCTCCACAATCCCTCATTGCATACTCTTTCACCCACGCCTACCTGCAACCGCTGACCTCTCCTCCCTGTCCCTACTTCTAAAACTCGAAGATGGGTGTAATGGCTACCCCACNATCCTCCACGGCGGCATAATCTCCACCATCCTGGACGAAAGCATGGGAATTTTACTCCAAGAACTCGCAGAACGGAAACATTTGGAGAGGGTAAAGACGGGGCATGCGCAGGGAGAATTGGCTCAAGGCATAGATGCGTATACAAAGTCGCTGCATGTGGAGTTTGGGGCGGCGGTTAGGACGCCGGGGGTGGTGTTGGTAAAGGTTAGGGTGGTGGAGAGGAGGGGTAGGGGGATTAGGTTGGTGGCTAGGTTGTTGCAGAAGGAGGGTTTGGAGGAGGAGTTGGATGGGGGATTGGTGGAGTGTGCGAGAGGAGAGGGTGTNTTTGTTACGCCTAGAGGTGCTAAGTTGTAGAGCTTGAGAGTCAAGGTGCATGGTCAGGTCAAGGTTATGAGCATGTAAAGGGGGCGTTGGTGCATATCTGGAAGCTCGTAAAAGTCTGGCATAAAGGCGGCCTCGGAAAGAGGACAGGGTATCAAGATATAACCAATAAAAACAACAAGCATCAATCGTCGCCTTGTATCTTTGCGTGCTTGAAGTATTTCATGCCCACCCAGGCAATCACGACCCACACCCAAGCCATGACTGCAGTCAAGATGATCAAGGCAGGGTAGTAGCCGACAATGGGTAGCGTAGGATCGTCCTCAAGCTCAGGCGGCGCATATGGAGTCTGTCCAACATCCCAAGCCCAACTCCATACACCAAGACAGCTTCCCATACCAACAGCAAAGACGACCCAAGTGACGACCAGCACAACCCAACCCCATCGCTCCGTTTCTGCATAGTCGTAGGCATCGTCTGCGTTGTCGACCAGGACTGGCAAGGCGGAGAGAGGGGATGGGGCATGTTTCTGGGATGAGCGTCGGCGCACTACATCAAGGACAGGACGAGGATCAAAGTATGAAGACGGACGAGTCACAGTGGCGGCCATACTAAGGTCGTCATCGTCAGTAGTCGAGGCATAGCTCTGACTCGTGGGACTGATTATGGGCGAGCCCAGGTCTGGATGCACAGGCGGCGGAGGCACCGAGGGCGGCGACGAGTTGGGCGAATGCTCAGAGACTAGAGACAAACGACGAGGTTGGTGCAAGTCCTTGTTGGCCAAAGCATGGTGCAAAGCATCGCCAATGGATCGGACGGCATGGTCAGACTGGGCGTCTTTGTCGGGTGTGGGAGTGGTGGATATTTCGGTGGCAGGAGGGTCTTGCTTGACGCGACCAGGCCCCAGCAAGGCCGTTTTCCTCAGCGAACCTTTGCGCTTGCGGGCCTTGAGTGGACGAGATGGGTGAGTCGATTCATCTTCTGCTTGCATTGGGAGGCCAACTGCAGCAGGAGCTGATGTCGACAGTTCGACAGGTGCCGGACGTGACAAGAAGTTGAATCGCTGTAGAAGACCAGCAGAGAGGCTTCGGTGCTTGTGCTTGGGAGTTGGCGGAAGGACGGTGCTTGCCAAGTGCTCGTCTTCAACGGCGTCTGTCTCAGTTGCACCGTTCATGCCGGTCGTGTTTCTGCCATGCGTTGTCATGGGCTTCCCAGAATAGACTTGATCGAGTGATGCATCTCTGTGACAGCTCTTCTCTGTTGGAAGTGCTGATTAGTTGAGCAGCCTTCTTGAAATGGTAGTCACGGTTCACAAGACAGGGTCAAGTCGAGCGTGTTGAAGCAGGGCAGGAGCGATCATGGACGGGCCGAGAGGGCGGGGAAAACAGGGCGAGACTTTGCGCGCGCGCTTTCCTAACGGCGTCACCGCCCACGACGTCAAAAGTGTCGCGCAGAGAGACAGAGAACCCCCTGAAGGCGCGTATTTTCCATGGATCTGCAGGAGGCAGAGATAGTCACCGTCTCGCTCCCCTAATCTCGACGTCCTACTGCATACTGTCTCTACACTTTGCATCCAATTCGTGTCACTCCTTTGACCACTTTCCCCAAACATCCGCTCCCAGCTGGACAAAGAAGTCAACAGTTCAACGACCTCTTTGTCCGTCAACACTAGTCATGGCTGCGAACCAATTCTCTATGCAGAATCCACCAAGGACTCCGACCACGTCTGACGATGAGATGGATCCTCAATTAGCAGAGTCGGGTCTGCGCATCAAGCATGCATACAACGAATCCCCAGTCAGATCGCGCCTCTCGGGCTCCTTCGATCGACTATCAGCTTCACCTCCGGATACTGCGAGCACCTCGATGAACACTGGCCGTATGGATCTTATTTCTCCTACTTTCTCGCTAGCCACACCTGCAGACGCCTACAGTCCCTACACACCACACACTGTCGTTAGCGAGGCCGACGATTCGTCAGAGAAGGAGGATGAGCCTATCATTGCCGCTCCAAGTCCTTTCAACTTTACAACACAGCAATACTCTGCCACTCTATCACCCGCCAAACCCGTGAGTATCACAAACACACCAAATTATACCTTACTGACGATACCCAGNGACATCAATGTTGGCAAGCGTCGCGGTCACAAGTACAAGCACTCCAGTGTTTCCCACCAGATCTTTATCGAACCAGCTCCTCGCGCCCCTCTTCAACTACCCGCCTCCCTACCCGTTCCTACTCGCAATGAGGTCCAACACAGCATGACATCAAACCAGAAGGCCCGTTTGGCTTGGTGCTTCTGCCACTTCCTGATCGCTGGGTATGTGCAATGGAGTGCTGCTGGTTCTCTTGCCATGACAGCGCTTTCGCGCCTACTTTTCTTCGATGCCGCCGGTGCCATTGCTTGTGTCTTGGTCGAGACTATGGGAAACTTTGAAGTCTGGAAACGTTCCAGTGTCAAGCATCCATTCGGTCTCGAGCGACTCGATGTTCTTGTTGGCTTCGGACTTGCTGTCTTCATCGGTTTCATGGGCCTTGATGTCTTGTCTCACGGCATTCAGCACTCGCTCGAGAACCTCGGATCTCATGTTGCCCACTCGCCGCATGCTCATCGTCGCATCTCTGCTGGATCTGTTGATGTTGCCGCCCTTCTCGCCATTGTCGTCACCCTGATCTCTGCTCTTGTACTCAAGAATCACGCCCGCATCGGTAAAGCTATGCGCATTGAGTTCATCTCATGCTGGGGCACTGTCTTGAGCAATCCCAGCCATCTTATCACTTTATCGTGCTCGACTCTTCTGCTTCTGCTGCCGCTGCTCAGCATTCAAGCATATCACTGGTTTGACGCTGCCATGTCCTTCTTCATTGCAGTCGCCATGATCAGTCTGGGTGTTCGCCTAGGCACATCTCTCTCATCGATCCTTCTGATGTCTTACTCGGCGCCTGCGGGTGGTGCGACAATCAAGGACGTTATCTCCGAAATCGAAACTGATAAATCCGTTTCAGCCGTTCAAGATGCCAAGTTTTGGCAAGTTCACTATGGACTTTGTATGGCCAACTTGACTCTGAGATATAGGGCAGCTGACTATGGTCTTGACCTGGCTAAGACAAGGGAAAGAATGACAAGTCTTGTGCGCAACAGGCTTGGTGGTGGTTATGGATCTGGCGGCCTCAAGTGGGAGGTGTCGGTACAGTTGATCCCTGAAAGGGACTGAGAGGCCCTGATTTTAATGACCCTTACTGAATTACGAACACGAATTTATGTATATCTTTTATCCTAGATAGCATGCACCGAAAAATGCTGGAAATACTTGAACTCGACTTCACTCATTTGTTGATCATTGATGGCCCACGTGACTTGATCTTGTTTGCCCGCATTTGCCTCTTGTGACACTATTGAGATGCCAACACAACACGCTTTTTCTTTGATCTAGCGATTGTCCAGCAGTATCGAATCATCCACGAATCTGGTCTGACTGAATATAAATCTTTGCAAGGACACAATTAAGATGGCGTCTTCTCAGGACCTACTTGGACGCCTTCAAGCCCATCTTGGCCAGCTGGAGGAGGATCCGATCAATACAAACATTGATGAACGTCTCTTCGAATCATGTTCACTAGCTCTGGCACCTGGTATCTCCAAGAAGGATTCAATCACACTTATCTCGCAGCTCTCGCGCATTCTGCCAGTGCTGCAAAAGGATCCGACACAACCAATTCAATTCTTGGTACTTTTGCTGGAGCCGTTGACTTACTCGGATGTGCTCGGTCTCAATGCCGCGGTTGACTTTGTTGGTGGACTCCATGTCGCTGCCACATCGTACAACCGACTTATGCTGGCGCTGTTGAATAAGGCTGCTGGCAATGCTACGGATGCTGCGACTATTGCTGCACAACCTGAAGTCGTCACTGCTTTGGTGAATCTGTGGCTATGCACTGGTGATGCTGGAATTGCCAAGCAGGCTGGTGATGTGTTGCTTGCTTTACTCAAGGTCGACCATGCGGTTCCTCCTGGTGCTGGTGATGAGCAATCGCTTCCAGGACATAGTCAGGGATTGATGTGGAAACGTGTGTTTGGAGATCAGGATATTTATGCATTGATCTTCTCTGTTTGCTCGTTAAAGCATACTGAGGGTGTGGAGTTGTCGGGAAACCAGAGGACGCTTGCTCAAGCTCGATTGCTTGAGTGGTTGCCTGAAGTTGGTGCTATCAACTGGAATGCAATCACACATGCACATCATCCAGAGATTGAGAAGCGCTACACTGATGGCAAAGGACAGGGTATGCTGTATTTTGCCGCAGCATCCATGGTCGATACTGCTGGCGATGTCTTGATGCATCGCTGTCTGGTTGAGTTCTATGCTACTTTGCTCCAGACAATCACGCCGACCGAGTCAGCAGCATCACCGCACTCTTCTGCTGCTCTTGACTTCCTCGTCCAATACAAGCTACACGAGAAAGCAATGGGTTTCTACCTGGACCCGACCAACCCTCGTCACGATCCCCTAGATGTGCAATTCCTGTACGCACCTTCGGCAAACTATCTGGCTTGCTACGCGTCATCGTACCCTTCCCACTTTCTGGCCAGCCCTCTCAAGTCGATTCTCGTCAAGCGTCTGCAAAGTTCACTAGATCTGTCACCTAGCCGCTGGGCACATGCCGAGTCACCAAAGAATGATTTGCACATTCTCGCATCTGTGCCTCGGAGTGCTCTCTTACCCACAAACAACAACTGGTCATCATCTCCGCTATCACTGTTACCTTCCAAATCCACCAACGCAGACGTACTAGCAACACTAGCTACAATCTTCCACGGCCCTTCAAAGCAAGAAATCATCAATTACCCACCTTCTTCACCTCTCATGAACACCACCCACGACGCAACCTGGAAATCGGAAGCTCAGGCTGCTTACGCACTCTACTATCTTTATCTCAACCACAACCCTTCTCTGTTTGATGATCTCGTGCATCACGCTTCGGTTATTGCGCTGAGGGAAACTGCTCTGGCTGCTATCTCTTTGATCCGCAGTATCGCGACTGCGAATTGGTTGTCTCTGACTCCTACTTCTGTACCTACTTCTACAGAGTTTCGCGCTGCGTTACCGGTTACTGCGCTCGCCGAGCAACACAAAGGCTTTTTGGCAATCTTGTCGCCGCCGTCGTTGGAGTATTGTCTCCCTTACCTGCTTTCTCCATCCCAAACATTCTCGAATTTGGTGGGTGGAGTGGGGGATACAGAAAACTCGGCGTACAGGGTTGCCATGAGTAAATTTGAGTGTTTGAAGGAGGTTTACAATCGTTTGAAAGTGTTTTGTGAGGAAGGGGGTGAGGAAGGAAGGGAGTGGGAGGATGTTGTTAAGACGTTGAGGAAGAAGGTTGACGAAGGACCTTTTGGGGGTAGAGGGGCTGAGGTTGGTGGGAGGATTGCTACTATGGAGTTGTGAGAGTGTTGAGCCTAGCAGCCAAAATTTGCATCGAGAGACAGGTTGCATGTCTTCCAAGGACAGGAATGGTTGGGAGACTGCTTCATCTTGCTTTGCACACAGCGCACATCCACTTCGCAGACAGTCAAAACACATAATTCAATGAAAAGAAACAAAACTTGATTACCACTATCCCATCCCAATCAGTTCCTCGCCTTTTCCAAACTCCTCTCACTTCCCTCCAACCCCACCAACATAACTCTCCCTCTTCGCCCTCCTCCTCCCNNCCCTCAAACACTCAAACACCCACACAAAAACATTCAAAAAGCACAATCCAGTCGCCACCCACGTAAGCGCCATAAACCTATTGCCCCTACTCGCATGCACTCCAATCCCCTTACCATGTTTATTGATTACATCACCAGCTTTAACCGCAACAGCAGTAGTAATCGCTGATGCCAACACACTAGCCACCCCCGCTGCACTCCAAAGCAAAATATCCACAAAGGCTGAAAAACGACCGTGGACAAAGAAGGAGATGAGGGAACAGATGGTGGCGAGAAGAATTACACCAGCAGCGATGCAATATAGCACAAAAGCTGCTTNTTGAGCGAGGCGTAGAGTGTGTATGCCGGTTTGGACTGCAGACGGCCAATGTAACTCTTCCAAAGTAACTCCAAGTCCACTTTTGTTGAGCTCAGCTTGTAGAGCATTCGTAGGATCAAAGTGGAAGAACGCAGTGCGGTTACTGCAAAAAGTAACATTTTGGTGTATTGAAGATGCAGGGATTGTGGCGTTGGGAAGGGATGTAGGGGTATAGTATCCCTCGCAATAGTTTAGTAGGTGTGCAGAGTAAAAATCGTGTAAGCCTAGATCTTGAGCGAAGGAGTTGATGTGTGAGTTGAGACTGGATTCGATGCTGTTGATTACGTTGTCGAAGATGGATGAGAAGATGTTTGAGTCGGAGTCAGTGTTGGAGGTCGTGTTGAAGACGTTTGTGCCGATGCGGGATGTGTTTAGCGTGATGATGGAGTAGTCCTGNNTATGCTTGTTTAACGATACAGGTCAAGGATGATATTAGGATATGTGTTCACGCACTTGCATAAAGTTTGGCTTACTTCCGGCGAATATACAGAGCATCGTCAACACAAACGCCGCAAGGCCAAAGATGACCGGTTACAACGCTGTAGGGCGCAGCATTGTCGCGAGTTAAGGTATTGACAGTCTTCGGGTCGACAACCAGTAAATACTCTCCCAATATTGATAGGGGTTTGACAGATATGAAGGAAGATGGAAAGAAGAGAGGGCCAGAAAGACAAAAGTCAAGTTCTCCTTGTTTGTGAATCTCACAGCAAACAAACCTACTATCAATTTTCTGGCATAGTTACAAGGAATTCAAACATGACGTCTGGTTCATTCCAATGAAGTGCTGGCAATGTCGTGCCAGAAAGCGGGGCTGCGACAAATGCCAAGATATGCAACCGCTGAGGTCTTGAAACGCCAGGTCAATATAAAAATACCTGCTTTGTGCTCTTCATGGGTTGGCGCTTGATTTAGTGAATGTTTGGCTGTGCACTGTGTCGCAATTCGCACAGCTGAGCTGATTTGTAGGGAGACAAAGAGAATACTTTTTTTGCTTGACAAATAATCATAATATATATTCGTACACGTAATTCATGTCTTGTAGCTCGTGTCTTGTAGCGTGAAATGAAACAGCCGGTGAGACCTGATCACATGGAAGGCTTGCTAGGTCTTCGTTGTGCGTGCTGATCAGAAGCGGAGGAACCACTGTCCTTTCTGGTTGAAGGGGTAGTTTCCAGCACTGGCCGTGAATCTAGCTTGTCCAGGAAGGGATTGTAAGGAGCAGCGACAACACTATCGCGCTGAGATATATCAGCGTCTCCTGGCCGTGCTTGTTGGTCACGGTGAAGCTTGTCCAAAGATTCGCCAACGATATTGTATTTGGACCATTCAATAGGAGGACACCGGACAATATCTTGCGGCAAAGGAATCGCAGCAAAGCCAGAAGACTGCGAATTGTCCTTTGCTGTTTGTGAATGCAGCATGGATCCGTATGAGACTGGATATGGCTTGGTCGTAGACTCGGGTTGCGAGTGAAGCGGATCTCGTCCGTTCGTGCTGGAAGCGCCGAGAACAGCATCGTCGTCATCTTCCATGTCCTGGTCTGGAGAGTCTTCAACAGCCCATGGTGGAGGTGAGGGTTTAGCCTGAGCGGTAGCGATCACATGTTTGCGATATTCCTCTGGTCGCTCGACAGCCTGACGCTTAATGTCCTCAAGAGTGCGCAAGTCTCGCTGAGCCTGGAGGCGCTGGAATTGGAGAGAAGAGATGGCGGCGCGCAAGGCTATGGCATCGCTTGAGTCATGACTGGAAAAGGGCAGCGAAGGTGGCTGCTGTATAAACTGAGGTGGCTGCGACTGTTGTATGGGCACTGGTTGGGTCGTGGTCGCGAGCTTGGCTGGTTGGGCAGGAGGGGTGAGAGGGCTTGCAGGAGGCGGCTGTGGTGACGGCGACCGCACTGCTGATGACGAGACGGATGTCGACAAAGGAGGAGGTGATGCCGATGTCTTTGGCGATGGCTCGGCCGGGTTGGCGATGCTGAGGGCCATAATATCGACTGTCGATTATTGTGCTCGAGTCTGTGCTGATTTTATGCCGTTTTTGTTCCTTCCTCCAAGTCTTCCCCACAGATCCGCGACTTCCTCTCCTGAACTTTCCAAGGGTCTTGACGATCTTGGTCTGTGAACAAGACCTGTTTTTGCATATGCTTGCCAGAAGAAAGTGACTGCTCAGGCTGAGCATGTTCAAGTACACAAGCGGCGTGAGACTCAGAGTTCTATCTTTGGTTTCTTGGTTTCAACGATGAATCACAGACCACGCAAGCAAGGCTTCAGCCTGGACAATAGCCTCTTGATTTCAAGCAACAATTTCACTACGCCAAAATGCACTGCTGGGAAGACAATGTTGTAACTGCTCCATGATTACCGATAACAAAGGCTGAATTTATATGACCAAAAGTATATCATACTGGATTTCATGGGACCATATTGCTCTTTTCCATGCCCTCATGAGATGCAACCAACTCCTCGAGACAATGACTGCGCCAAGCCGTGAACATCGACATGTTTCGAACATGTCATGGGTATTCTGAACAACGGGATGGTATTCGATCCTTAGTCAGTGACACATGCTCGTGAGAATGAGTTTGCCGAGGCTGCAGAAGGTGGTCGACTCGATATGCCCGGCCGCGTGCTATTCTCAGGGTCCAGCTCGAGACCAAGGCATCCAGCATGCCGTGTAACCAACCATCCTTGCGGCACGCCATCAAGTAGCGGCGTTGGACTCGCATGCACAAGTGAGAAGTCGAAGGATGCTCGGACGGGATGCACATGGAAGCACCGGGATGAGGCCGGCACGTGATTCGAGGGCTCGCCAATGCAGAAAGTGGAGATTTCAATCTTCGAGGTCGAGCAGCCAGTCATCTTCCTCGATTTCCTGCACAGGCCTCTCACCCAGGGAACTTGTACCATCGGTGCCATCAACCAATCGCCTCGCCCATCGTCTTTAGCCGCCGTGATTCGACGGTATCTGAAGCTTGCTACCAAGTTGAGTCGCGCGTCGAAGCTTCGCCGAAGCAGCTTGATAGGTTGTCGTTCAAACCATACACCTTCTTTGCGCGTGCGTACCTGCAGTGTCACGGTAGAGGTCCGTTGCCGTTGAACAACCCATTCGGCGCAATGCTAACCGCGACTAGCAGTGAGCAAGCCGACGCCAGCAACTTGTCGAACCTACATCATCGTTGCACGCGTTCGCGCCAGCGCAAGAGGTCACACTCGTCGCAACACATCCGTCAAGCGACATAAGCAATTCAGGTAAGGCAGCAGAAGGAAATTGAACGGCAGAAAGGCTGCGTCGGGCTTGCATGCGGCTTGCCAGCGCATCGCCTTGGGACACGGCGCACACTGCAGCCCACAGCCACGCCGCACCCGCGACTTGGATGCCCGCTTTCAACATCCTCATCATCCTTTTCCCCTGCTAACGCCCCGGCCGTGATTAGATCCGCTCTGCCCTCGCGTTCTGTTTGGTCGACTTGCTTCGCTTCTTCATCTTAATTCTACCAATCCCATCCGCTCTCGAAGACCGCGTCGTAGAAGACGCGTCGAGACAAAGCTTCCCAAGCTTGACTTGTTTGGTAACGACTCTTGCTCCGCCCCGGATTTTGGAAGCTCGCGACCTGAATGCGACCGTCTCTTCGTCAGCCATACACACCTCACTAATCAAGTCTTGTATAACAATCGCATTGTGCGACAACCTCGACACGGCTTTCACTCTTGGTCAAGCCTCGTCTGAAACCTCGCCATCTGTTATATCGAGTAGCAAACCCTCGTCGCCTCACCATTTCGACTACCTCATCGAATCATCGCGCGACAGCAACTGTATCCATACATCATAGTACCAGAAACAAACATACCGTCGCCATGGATTATACAACCTACCAGCAGCCGCATGCGCACACCCATAATGCATATGCGCCGACTCACAATGGTCAATCAGGCCCGCCTGTAACTTCCNNCCCTACTCAACAGAACCAGGTCTCTCCCATCCTGTCACAAAACCATGCCTATGCTCAACAACCAGGTGGACCTCATCAGGTCATACCAATGTACTCTCAAGGCTACCCAGTCCAAGGCATGCATTACGGCATGGGCGCAAATCAGATGTCNCCCACGCAAGCCGCCGCTATGGCAACAGCGGCTGCCTCAGGGAACTACAACTATATGCCGGAAACTATGCAACCATTAGCACAAGACCCAAGACAATCACCACGCATGGGACAATCAGTCAAGAGCGAACAGAGACAGACACCGAGGTCGCCGTCACAAAGTCACATGAATGTCAACACAACCATGGCAGGTCAAATGGTCATGCCCGCACCTCAAGCGATTCCTCAACAAATGGTTGCACGTCGCATGAGTCAAGCAGTTCAACCCCCTCAGCCTGTCATGCAGCAACAACGACGCGCATCAGTTGCGCCACAAATGGTGCAACAAGTCGTTCAGCAACACTCATCACCAGAAGCTACTGGTGGTACTACTGAAGAGTCGCCTTTGTACGTCAACGCAAAGCAATTCCACCGAATCTTGAAGAGACGCCTGGCGAGACAAAAGCTTGAGGAGCAATTGCGTCTCACAAGTAAAGGCAGAAAGCCTTATCTGCACGAATCTCGTCACAATCATGCCATGCGACGGCCGCGTGGTCCGGGAGGACGCTTCCTCACGGCTGAGGAGGTTGCTGCTCTCGATGCTGAAGCTGCAAAGAATGGTGGTGTGGAAATGCCGCAACCTACCAACGGAACCAAACGCAAGTCTGGAGACAGTCAATCTTCACCCTCAAAAAAGTCACGCACACAATCCAATGCCAGAAGCATGACTTCTGAAGAAGATGGCACCGAAGAAGGATAGATTTGTGTCTGGGGATGCAAACACGACTTATGACAAAGCGGCGTCACGGTTCTTTGGGCTTGACGAGCATTCGATTCTCAATTTTGGCAAAGAATGGCCAACTTTTTTACATTATGACTGAACGACAGGTGTTCATTTGCACAAGCACTTGCACAGGGGGTGTTTTTTGCTTGTTTTTATACCATATTTGTTTCCTTGTTTCCCCTTCGCTCCTTACAATAACTGAATATACCCCTGGCTGTCATGCCACTTTGTTCTTTGATCTTGATTTCTTATGTCTCCGTGTATGCAAGAAGAAGTATAGTCTAAGTTGCTTTTGATGTATGGCATTTCAGTCCACTGGTCACCCAGGATGTAACTAGTCGGCAAGATGCACACATGCTCTAGGTCATTCCCTGCGGACAGTGGCTAGGTTCGACCTAGTCTAATCAATGCAGATCGTTCTGGAGGAGAATGCACAGACATGCGTTGTAAAGGATGGTGATAAGCCTAAACACTTTATGTTATAATCGCTATTGCATGCCTCTTCCCGATTATTTGGATTTGCTAGGGAAGAGCAGGTCAGGTCAGGCAGGACCATGATGGAAAGCGCAACCGAACAAAGTCCGCTCGCGGCAAGGGTCGCAAAGTCTTGGCAAGAACCTCCATCGAATCTTTGTTCGAAGCGCAGTCGCATTGAGCAGGCAATCCAGATTCTAGACCGCTTGTCGTCGTCGCAACACCACACAATGATTTGCAACCGCTGCTTACGGACGGCCGTCCAGCGCCCCGTCGCTCTCCCTTTCCGCCGCGCCATCACCACAACCTCACCTCTTCGAGCCACCGCTCAAGCAGCACCGCGACAGGGAAACCCAAACAGCTCAGCCCACACACCGTCTGCTGCTACCTCAACAGGAGCCGCGCAACCATTTTCTACACCTTTGACATCTTCGCCATCAGCTGCTGAGCTGCAAGCACCGAGTGCACAGAAAGCGGCACCCACAGTAAAGAGTTCAGTGACTGCTGGCACACCGCTGAAGGGCTTGAACTTTATCAAGGGAAAGAACGACCCTCTTGCCCTGGAAGATGCAGAGTATCCGACCTGGCTGTGGGGAATTTTGAAGAAGAAGGGTGGAGAGAGTGCAGCTGATGCTGGTTCCGTGGAGGGAGATTTGTTCTGTACGTTGCTTTGCCTCTGCTCATCTCGTAAACGTCTCTAGAGGGCCACAACTAACCAACTTCCAAAAACAGCAAAGTCCAAAAAGCAACGTCGCGTGGCTGCCAAAGCCCTCCGCAAACAACAACTACTCAACCCCGAAGCACTGGCTCCCAAAATCCCTCTGCACGAACAAACCATTGATTTGCCTGCTGGAGATGGAAGTCTGCAGGGTGCCATTGAGGCCATGGAGGCTAGAGATGCCTTGACAAAGGCTATGCGCAAGAACAGACGTGCTAAGATCAAGGAGGCCAACTTCTTGAAGGCTATGGGTTAGATGTAAATGAAAGAACATTGTACAAAAAGAGCATGGATGGGAAGCTGGAAAGGAGATGTGTATTATATCATCAATGGACAATTCTTCAAAACCAGTCCCCAGAGTTTGGGTAGACAGACGCACAGAAAGACACCAACCTCTTGAGGAATTCGACAACTCGAAGGATATTCGGACGTGATGAATTCGCGAATCTCAAGCAGTTGTTCCGTCCTGGTTATCAGCCGACTCAGACAGCTGGAGCTCCTCTTGTGCCTCTCGATAATGGATGCAAAGTCCAGGCGATCACGAGACAAGTCAACGAATGCCATCACTCAATTCTTTACAAAGTAAGACTCCAAAGATCACAAAATTGATAACTTAATTTGCACATGGACCAACCAACCTCAACGCCCAGATTTTCTTTGTCTTCCATCAACCAGGGCATCTTAAAGCGGACGTTGGCATACCATGCTTGACTTCCTTTGTCCAGTAAGTTACCATGGTTGAGTGTTCTCTTTGTTGTGTGGCAAAGCTATCATGCAAAGACCGGAAAAGGTCTACATTGACCGCGGTTGCAGTATTTCATAGAGCCTTGAAGGTTGCGTCGGTTGACAAATCCTTTTTACTTTGGCTTGCTTGCCAGGACATCACTCTTTTCTTTTGGAGTCCAAAGGTTCGTCTTGTATAGTTTCGGAAGGCCATTGAAAGTTCACACTTGGCTGTACTATACTGTCCGTCTCACATATCAAAGAGCAATCGAGATCACTTCTGGGTTGGCCTGCTTAGCAATATTCGACCAAACACGACCAAGCCTGTCTCTCCAAAAACAAGAACCTCAAGAAACCAATACACAGATCCAGTCTGTTCTAATAACCTCAATACGTACCAAACCCAAGGCGCAAGACAAAACAAAAAGAGCAAGCAAAAATGGACACACTAGCAAAAGAAACAATGGGCCTTCCAATCTTCATCTGTCCTACAAACCACCATGTCGTGTCTTCTGGCAACACCACAACAACCTCTTCCACTTCCACCGCCAGAAACAGTACACTCTCACCTCCAACATCACCAACAGCCCAAACCTCTCCCACAACATCCTTTTTCGCAACCGCAACACCCACCCGCTCTCCAACCTCCCAAACCTTTTTCCCTTCCCCTCTCCCCNNCCAAACCTCCTCTTCCACTGCTACAAGAGATGCGAGACGAAATACCTACACCCCACCAACTTTTTCTCCGGATTCAAGGCGCTCGTCTCTTCTATCTCCTCATCGTTTATCCCAAGCTTTTGACTTTGCAAGTGCTTTTGCGGTGGATGTGTTGAGTAAAGCTGCTGACCAGGTGTTTGGCAACGAGAATGTAGATGCAGCAGCAGCACAAGGACAGATTTGGGGAGAGCAGGATTTGGAAGCTGGAGATGGAGAGAAGAAGGGAAAGGGCAGATATGCTAGGTTTGGCGAGGAAGGGGCGTTTGAGAGTTGGTTGGATTGAGTGGGGGTTGTTGGGGGTGCATGCTTAGATGGGAAGGGGGTTGTGATGTGGGGTTTTGGTTCATGGCTCGTTTGGTTGTTGCTAAGAGACTGGGTGTGGTGGTATAGGTCACTGGTTCGAGTTTATATGTCATAAAGAAAGCAAGGGTTGCTCAGCATTTCCACAGCAAGAAAGGGTGGATGACAAAAGCTCAGGTGTCCACAGCAGCGATTGTGGTTAATGAACAATGGTATCGTCAAATTCATCAACCGTTTTCGTTCGGGATAGCAATGCTCGATGCTTGTAGAATCATGGTTGCTGCCTGATTTATTAGTCGCGGCTCACTTGTGGATAAGGTTTGATCCTCCAGCTGTGATACGGATGACCTGTTTTCCCAAAGCTCGCTTCTTGTCTTCTCCGCTCTGACTCACTAGAGCTTTACCTTCAAATCCCAAAATCCCAAGATCACAAACACAAGAAACGTATTTGAGACGCATCTTTACAGCAAACCCATCGGAGAAAAGAATAAAGACTCTATATTCACAAGAAACGAGACAAACCAAATGGCGACAAACCCCTCAATCAACCCCCTCCAATCCCCACGACTTTCATACCGCGCCCCGGAATCGCCAACAGACGATGCATTCTTCATTTCCATCACCAACGACATATCCGCCTACATGAACTCCAACATCACAAACGCAACAATCCCAAGCAGCAAACACGCCAAAAGCTACCAAGAACACGTAATGTCCAAATGCCTTTTGGGAGTGGTGATTTGCTTGCCCTCTGATGACGAAACCAACGCTACAAAATCTATTGGTGTTATTCATCTCTCCAAACTTGCGGACAATCAAACTCATCATCGCAGTACGGAGATTGGGATTGAGATATTGAGGGAGTATCAGGGGAAGGGGTATGGCAGTGAAGCTATTCGGTGGGTTATGGGGTGGGCGTTTGAGAGGTTGGGGTTGCATAGAGTGCAAGTTAGAGCTTTTGGGTGGAATGCAAGGGCGATTGAGTTGTATAAGAGACTAGGGTTTAAAGAGGAAGGCAGGTGGAGAGAGGCGTTGTGGCATGAGGGACGATGGTGGGATGATGTGCAATTGAGTATTCTTGAGGATGAGTGGAAGGAGAGTGTGAGGATATAGCATGTTTGACAGTGTCAACTTTTCTTACGTTTCTGATCGATGAAAAGTCGACTGGATATACTAGATACCTTCGAAAGGCGTTTTCTAGCCTATTATCACCTTCTGGAGACAGAGTGACATATGATGATAGTTGGGTTGAATCCCATGGCTCTGCAAAAATCAATCAGTTCTACCTTTCTAATGTAAGCTAGAGTAGTCTCGAATTCGTCGATAGCAAATGCAAGGCGTCCGGAAACAAGGAGCTCAATCATCCCGAGCCATCTCTCGTGAGCAGAGGCTTTCGAGTGTGCACGGTGCTCCGATATTTCCAAAAAGAAGCGCCTGATGTAGTTATTGGGGCATTCGGAAGATACAAGTTGACCATGAAAATAGTCCCATGCCTGGAGCCTGAGATTGAGTGAAGGGTCGCCGAGATTGCGCAGACCCCAAACCACGTGCCTCCCTCATTGCCTCTTTCGGTTACAGGCCAAATTCGTCAATTCCGTTGTATACTGCTTCAATTTAACATTCCATCATATCCTATCTTCGCTCATGATGGCATACAAGGTTGAGTCTGTGGATTATAAGGATGCACCTGGCCTCGCAGACACCATGATGCGGGCTATGAACCAAGATCCTCATTATTGCTTGCAGCTCAATAGCGCAACAACTGAAGAGTTGATAGCAGATACCAGTCTACGTCTCTCACACAACCTAACCAATAATCGCGTCTTTCTGCGACACCANAAGGTTGTCCACTTGGCAACAGGCCAAGCTGCTGGTTATGCTCGTTGGGAACTACCAGAGGCAGAATCGTCCAGTCAGACCGCATGGCCGGGTGCGCAGATTCCCGCTCCCACAACCGTGCAACAGAAAACGTTTAGGGATGACTTCGATCTCACGCAAGTGGACGGCAAGCGCAAGATCTTCAACTCTGAGATGAGTGCTTACATCGGACTGAAACTCGGAAACGTATACAACGAGCTTGTACAAAATGGCGGACCTTACCTTGGTATGTGCATCAGATCGGAAACACATGGGTGCTAAGTTGAACATGCACAAGTTTTAGATTACATAGTGTGTCACCCTGCGCACCAGAGAAAAGGTGTAGCGTCCCTATTGCTTGCTAGTGGAGAAGTAGAGGCTGAAAAGCTGGGTCTGAAGGTCTTCGTCATGACCTCGACAGACCCAGCAAGTACGATGTTTTACGAGAAGCGCGGGTTCACTAAACTTCGAACCGTGGTCTTGGATGATTCAAAATGGGGAGGCACAACACCCCGTGTAACATCTTTCCTTGAAAAGTAGTCACTCAAGATTTCAATGATTGAGGATATTTACGGATGCTTCAAACTCCTCTATTCATGTTACAAGCAAGTGCTAGAAAAGCGATGGTTTTCTTCACGATCTTTGGTCGATCGCACAACTCACGCATTAGTTCTTGTACATGTCCTCCAGGTACCCAACCATCTTCCTCTTCAACTCCATCAACTCTTTGCCTGTGACTCTCGGCGACCACTTTGGTCTGTCTCCTTGCACATCCGCTACTTTCTCTTTACCACCCTCTTTATCATCGTTCCCATCATGATCAGGTAGGACCAATGCAGCATGAGTACCAAAGAAAGGAACACCTAAGTGCTTGAGTACTTGAGACATGCTTTCATTCATATCAAGCTGTGCTTTGTAGAGTTTTTGATCAAAAGCAGCGAGTTCTGCGGCTTTTTCTTCGGGGGTTTGGGGGTNTGTGGTGGTGTTTGTGCTGCCAATTGTTTTGCTGGGACATAAAGTGTAAGTATGAGTTGAGAGAGGTAAGAGATTCTCGAATATGTTTGCGGCTGAGACGACAAAGTGTGCTCTCGAGTCAGAAACAGCAGAATATACTTACAAGATGTTTTGCAGCTCATTGGAAGAAGTGGATCGTTTTGCTTGCATCTGTTTTAGTGCTTGTCTGCTCGAGTNACCTGGTTCCTTGATTAGTTTGGCCATCTACATATTTCTCAACAGAACATACCATTGCATCTCGTTTCGTCTTTGATCGTTAATCAACTTGAATCACAATTAGTCTTGCGTATGGAAATGCAACCATTCATCCATGCAACTTACACCACGAATCTTTTCCGCAAACATTGGATTCTGAGCAGCGATTTTGGTAACGCATCTCAACCCAGCAGACCACTCAGTGATAGTTGCTGGATCGATGATAGTCTGTTCCTGCTGTTGAGGTACTGATGTCCTTGATGGCTGTGAAGGTGCCCGTCCTTGTGGATTTACAGGTTGAAAGACTGCAGCTTGAGGATTATATGAACTCGTTGATTGAGCCTCGTTCTGCTGAAGTTGACTTGGTGCTTGGTTCCATGGTTGTGCTGTTGCATGAGGATTTTGGGATTGTTGACGTCTTTGGAGTCGAGGATCTGTGGTTGATGGAGTTGTGGCTGAAGGTGGTGGTGGAGTTTGTTGTTGATCTTGTTGTTGCTGTGGTGCGAATTGTGCAAGAGTTGCAAGAATAGAAGCGAGATCAGGAGGAACTGTAGGATCTGTCATATCTTCTATGTCCTTTCTGGTATAATCTTGTGACTTTAATGTGTTGTATGAATAGTTAATTGTTCTTGAGAGCAACAAGGCGGGAAAGAGCAATGCTGACCAAAAAGGCTAGCGTTAGGGCTCGAGCACAGCAACGGAAGACACGAACCGAGAACGCGCCAAGACAGCCATGATCATGCAAGAAGTTGCGATTTCTCGACATCATTGAAGTTTTGATCCGTTGCTGCAAGAGACGTCGACAACTATTGCTGCCACATAGCTCCATATCCTCCACCACTATACCTTGCCTATCTGGAAGCTGGAATCTACACTCGACTAATCTTGAGCTATACGCAAACCCCCAACACAACCTCCAAAAATGGCTCGATCAGCCAAAGATGCCACTCGCTTCACAGCAACCACACCATATGCCAGCGCCAAACCTCAGGGCCAATTTACTCCTGCCCCAGTACACATGGGCCATGCCGCACCTTCTGGAGAAACTCCTCAGCAAAAGATTGCAAGATTAAGAGCTGCAGCTGCCAGAGCACGAACGGGCAAGGAATCAAACTTTGATGCCGTTGTTAGAGTGGGAAGAAAATGGGCAGACAGAGCACACAGAGTGACTGCCTATTCACTGATAGGNCTTGACCGGTATGCGCTACACATAATCCCGAGTTCATCGAGGAGGCGACAGCAGAACACACAAGAAGATTTGGAGATGCTGACATTGATCTCAACAGTTGTTTGTGGAGTTACAGCATCCTTCGCCATCGGAGACATGCTCATGCACAACCGCAAGAAGCGCAACGAATGGCTCGCCGACCAACAAGCAAAGCACAAAGTCAAGATCGACGAAGCCCGTGTAGCATTCAACCAAGGCACTGCCGACGAAGACCAAATTCTCCTCCTCAACCAAGAACGCACCAAAGTCGAGGCTGCCGAACTCCAAAAGAAACAGCCTGGTATGATCAGCCGCATCTTTTCGTCAGCACCAAAGGAGGAACCGCAGGGAGGTAACTTGGGTGCTGCTGCAAGAGCTGCCGCTGGGGATGCTGTTTGCGAGGTCAGAGAGACAGCGACGGCTGCGAAAGAGAAGGTTAAGGATTTGGGAATTGTCAAGGCCGTGGAAGACAAGGTTGAGGAGCACAAGTGGCAGAAGCCACAAGCTGTTGGTTCAGAGGCTGTGATTGGAGGACCGTTGGACAGAGAAGCAGCTGCTTCAGTACTGGCAGTGCAAGAAAAGTCAAAGAGCTGGACAAACTGGTTGTTGAGGAGGTGATGGCTTGCACAGTCATGATTAGGTCGCATTCAATTGCTTGTAACAATATAAAAACCACTTGTACAAATTCCGGGGTATCATGCCAAAAGCTTCTTGTCTTTTCTCAGACACATCAGTTGCCGTTCTGCGCTACAGGGTTGTAACTATGTCGATTTCGGAATTTCTAGCCTTGATCAGTATGGAGTTTATGAAGTTCAGACAGAATACAAACCTCAAGATAGGTCTCGGCATATGGTTTTACGGCAGCCCAGATCAGCAACCCACAAGTGACAAGAATGAAAGTATAGACAATCATCTGATCTTTGGTCGAGTCTCTTTGGAAGCAAGTAGTAAAGACATCGGCATCCTTGGCATCCTTGCATATAGGCAGATTATATGAAAGACAGAATTGTCGATTGCAATCGTTGCAAGTTGCTTNTTTGGCCTTGCTTTCACCAGGTAGATCTGTCAACGGGATGATGGTGCTGTTGCTAAAGCATGTGCATTTGCAGAATGATGTCGCCGNCTAGGGAGGGTAGTGTGAGTATGAGGTTGGCCTGTTGGGAGGATGATACTCACAAGCACACAATACTGGGGCTATCAAGGCCAGCCACAAGAAAAGAAGTTGTAGTCGTTGCTTCATGATGGTTTTTGTGTCTTTCTTGTCGAAATGAGCTTTATTGATGGTCAATCAATGGCCCAGATGAATCGAGTCTACACACCGCCAAGCACAAAACGCGGGGCCGACGAACAATCCACCCAAGAAAGAAGCCGCGCCAAACAATTTTCCCTAACCGCTTGACCGCTGCTGCATCCCAATCATGGCAGAAAGCGATCGCGTGCGCCTACACATCACCNNCCCCTTCAACGCAACCCTCTACCAAAACATCATTCCCGCATCTCTCCAACCAACCGCCACAAACATCTCCTACCACACCGTGCAAACTTTTCCCGAACGCGGTTTTGGCTTTGTAGAACTGCCCAGAGCCGACGCCGACAAGTTGCGCAANAAGCTCAACGGTGCAACACTGCGAGGTCAGAAAATGGCTATCCAAGAAGCAAAGCCTGAGAAAAGGAGACGCCGCGACAAGGACGACGATGCCCAAGAAGCAGAAAAGCAACCGCGCAAAAAGGCCAAAAAGGAAAAATCAAGCAAGAAAAAGGATAAAGAGATTGCTGGTTTCGAGCTGCCCGACCAGAGACAAGTAAAGCGCGGATGGACAGAAGAGCCTGGAAAATACAAGGACAAGAAGGACAAGTCGCACAAGTCCAGCAGTGACAAGAAAGACAACAAGGACAAGACACCAAAGAGGGAAAAGTCAAAGTACTCGTCCAAGTCGGAAGTTCTCTTCAAGCAAAAACTACCCGAAGGAGTCATGCTGGCCCAAAAAGCAGAAGGCAAGGACAAGAAGAACAAGAAGTCGAAACAACCAAAGAACATCACCGTCATCCACGAGTTTGAAAAGAACAAACCCGTGCCCTCTTTCCTGAAATCCGACGTCTCGAGTGAGGCTTCTGCAACTGCTGATTTCGTGCCTGGCAAGGGTTGGGTTGATGCGGATGGAAATGTCGTTGAGGAGATTCAGGTTAAGCCGAAACGAGAGGACAGGATCGCAAAGATGAAGGATACGCCTGTCGAGATCAAGATCAAGCCCGTTGCTCCCAAGGAACCTGCTATGCACAAGGATATTACTGCTGGCGCAAAGGCTCTGGGCTACAATTCGTCGAGTGACGAGAGCTCGGATGTATCTTCTGAGAGCGATGAAGACATGNNACTGATGACAGTGATGATGATGATGATGAAGACGACGAAGCAGAGGGAAGAAAAAGAAGCCGAGAAGGAAGAAATCGCAGAAGAGATCAAGGAAGGTGCCGAGGAAATCGCTGCGCCGACGCCGACAGAGCAACAAGACGAGCCCGAAGCAGATTCAGCATCGGACTCCTCAGATTCAGACTCTGACCCTGACTCCTCAGACAAGGACGAAGAAGAAGCCATTCCAGAAAAGGCCACAACACCTCAAAAATCACCCTCCCCAATGGCAACATCCCCCAAACCAACCACCCCACCCCGCGAAGTCCACCCCTTAGAAGCCCTCTTCAAGAAAAAGGCCCCTTCAGACTCAACACCCCGCCCCGCCCCCATCAACACCTCCTTCTCCTTCGGCATCACCGACGACATCGACGAAGAAATGCAAGACTTCGATGACCCAACCTACCCCTCCACCCCCTTCACCCGCACCCGGGACATCCGCTCTGCAGCACCAACCCCCGACACCGCCGCCATCGGCCGCAAATTTTCNTTTTCCTTCGCCAACCAATTCGCCGAAGACGACATCGAAGACAACTACGATGCTGAAGAAGAAGAATATGCAAATGCTAATCTGGAACCTCTGGGAGTCAAGGAGAAGGCAGAAGGAGAAGAGGAAACAGAGTTTGCAAAGTGGTTTTGGGAGAATAGAGGTGATAGTAATAGGGCTTGGAAGAAGAGGAGGAGAGATGTTATGAAGGTTAAGAGACAGAGGGAGAACAGGAGGATTAGTAGACGTGTTGTGTAAAGGATTTTGTATATAGTGCAGAAACGACCTTTTGTCAACATCGAACGCATCAACCTCAAGCAAGTGGCTTCAAGCAAACATGAGCCAGCCCCACACTGGATTCTTGCTACCTCTCCGAGTACTAAAGGACAGTGAAGTACACGCTATAAAAATGCACAATACTATCATAAAACAGGATAGTGTCCGCTGAGAAGCGATCTCTCGTCAGCTCTCTTTGGCCATATCCTTATTTCTGGATAGGATTGTGCATTTGTATAGTGTGTACGATACATATCTTCGCACACGGGAGGTGGTGAATGGCTCATGTTTCCTTGGACCCCTTGAAGGGTCTTCTTTGCTCTCTCCGTTACATAACCCCATCCTCTGCACATAAGATCTGCTGTCTCCACTTTCAACGTAGGCGAAGAAGCATGTGATAAAAAAGCCCTCCCCCTCCTTGAGTCTTCAAGATAATTTCTTGCTAGTGCCCATCTTTTCATACCACAACCTCATCGTCTTGTCAAAGTCCGAGCCTGCTGTGCTGATGTTGTCGACAATTGTCCTCTTACAGTACCGTGGTTTTTTGCGTCGCGGAAGGGCTCTGCAGCTTTACGAGCTTCTTTGTGGATGTGTTTTTCAAGTCAAAAGGCTTTTGGTTCTTGGAGTTCGAGGGCATGGTAAGGGATAGGCAGAAGGTTTTGATGGAGGTATAGATGGATTGAAGTGACTTGTACTGGCAGAGATGGGTTCTTGGAGTCTGGAGGAAGCTGTTGAGATGATAGTGGTATTGTTTTCAGGGAATTGGAGGAGATACACGAGGGATGAAGCATGGTATATGTATATTTGGTTACCACTGGATGTTGTGGACCTTGTCCTTGATCTCTAACTATACCCCGAGGGTAGAATCTCTCAACAATGGAACAATGTAATTGCTAAAGATAGTCAACACTGACTAGAACAGTTCTAGATGTAACAATACCCCAACCACAGATAAAGACTACAAAGCATTCTCTTCAGTGTTACTCGTGGCATGGACAAAGGACATGTCTCACTCGCGTTGCAACAATGGATCGCGCTCTCCATCACCCAGTGGAAGAGTTCACATACCCAGAAAAAGTAGTGCATCTGAAGTCCTCAATCGAACATCTAGAAAGACACGATGCAAGAACAAGATACGATAGAATCTATCTCGTCCCGCAAGATCTTGTCCCTCGAAGATATCATGTTAGCTTTTGATGAGATACAAATCCTGATCACGACTTGGAGAAACAGCAAGTTTGAGTATGCATTGCTGAACTCAAGGCAGCGACCCGTGGACACTCGCACTTGCTGAGTTGAGATGCCATGTCCAGCAGTCATCGCCGCAAAGAACTATGATGAATTGAAGCAAAGACTTGTATCAATGCAAGCGACAGCCATCGGTCCGTCTTCTAGCATCATCGCGAAGAAGAGACTATCTCCCTACATCGCCGCCACGAAACACAGTGTCTTTGAAGTGTAGATCAAATCATGCGGCTCAGGCTCTATATGCTATCTTCTGCTTCTTCTTATTCAAAAGATTCAATACTCGTTGTCTTACATTCTCCCTCTAGACTTGTTATATCTGATAGAAAAACGCAAAATAGAAGACTGCGGCGAGTAGGATTCGAACCCACGATCTCTGCATCGTCATATTGCCAAACTGCAGGTATTAGCCGAACAGTGATTTGGTCACTCATACAAGGGCAACTGCCGAGCTTGTGTTTGCAAGACACATTGATGCAGCGCCTTACCACTAGGCCACCGCCGCTTTTGTTGGAAAATAATCCAACCTTGCATGTTTATAAGGCTTGCTCCTACCAGTGTTTAACCGGCTGTGAGCCTGGTCAAACCTAGACCCTTCCTTGGCATCAGAACAATGCAGTCGCCAAAGATAGTCACAAACGACTGGGACAACTCGAGAGGAAACAATGGCCTCAACAAGATATCTAGTACAAAGCACTTCCTTCCTGTGTCATTCGAGAGTGCGATAATGAAAGTGTGTTGCAGAGTCTCACTTACCAAGGACAATGAACATTGTTCCCAGTCATTCTTTCCAACCACCAACACTTCAACGTTCGTGATGATTGTGTACAGTCTCGACAGACTAGAAGTTATATATACTCCTGTACTGATCTCCCTTGATCTCTCACTATCACCAACATCAGCATCGGCATCAGCATCACAACTCAAGCGGCAAACCTCAAAACCCAGATACAACCGGATCTTCTTGTCTACCACACTTCACCTCAAACCTCTACCTCATCCCTCATCATCCCATCCAACCCCCGGCCCCTTCTACCACCAACACACTCTGCAATTCTTTCCAGCCATGCCGTCCATCAAATTCAACCCCAGCGAAGCAGCCCCCAAAATGCCCAAGCTCTCGAAAAGAAGAGCTTCCAGGTCGTACTCAAGAAAGAAAGAGCTGGAAAGAAGAAGGCATACGATGAGCAGACGAAAGGCCTTACTGAAGAGGAGCAAAAGGAAATCATGAAATCCCTTACCAACGACTTCAAGAAGACCAAGATTGGAAAGTAGATGGAAGAGCTGAACACTAAGGGGTATTGAGGGATGGATCTTCCATGCACCTTCCCGTGTACTTATTGCAGTCACAATATATCTACAGAAATGCACAATGACTTCAAGTAGCATGTGATATCCACGGAGAGGACCGCGAAGGCTATCTCAACGGCCAGATTGATATTTGAATTGCAACTGTGCATTGCGATAGTTTCCAGCAACCCTTAGATCACGGGATGGAGATCAGTTCTCCGACTGCCTTAAGCACAGGAAGGCAGTGTTGAGAATCAAGAATCTGATTCCTACAATTCAGAATATCTATTGAACACCTGGGCAGGATGATGGAGATATCTCTTTGTTCGATCGATAGCATCGAACGAGACAGAATCACACTTCCTGGTGCTAAAACTCGAATTTCCAGGAACGCATAAGTGATCAAGGACATAGTGAAGTTACATTACACTAATCTAAAGCTATGTTTAAATGGTAATACAAGATGAGAAATGTATAAAGGAGAGTCATAAGTTGGTTCGGGACGTTTCATACTCCCGGAAAGTTTTCTAGTCAAGAATGGATGACCAGAGCATTGTCTCATGCTATGATGTGAAGATGCTATTCCACACTCTTAGTTGGCAACAACCCAGAGGCCGATGGGGCAGGGGTTCCAGTCCTGTGAAGAGTCAGTATCGTTGTCATGTACATCAATTGAGGATTGGTTACTCACCTGGAACCAGGAAGTCTCATAGTCGCCAGTAGCCGTAAGCTCGTAAGAGATGCTGTTACCACTGTCGCAGTCACCAGTAGTGATGGTGTAGGCGTTACCGGTAGAGACACCCTTCTCGCCAAAGTCCTTGGCGACGGCAGGCTGATTGTTGAAGGTGGTGTGTTCATCAGCTGCGTTCTTAAGTTGCTTGAAGTCAATGCCACCGTTTCCGGAGCTTTTCACGAAGGAGGTTTCAAGCTGGGACTGGGTTGGGTAGGTGAAGATGACCTCGCACTGCTTGCCCTTGTAGCTCTGAGGAACATCGAAGGTGAAGATCGTGCTGTTGCCATTGCCAACGTACGCATTGTACTGAGTGCCATAGGCAGCTTCGGGCTGGTTGCTGTTGACGGGGACGATGAGGCGAGGCTTTAAGTAAGAGTCCATGTTGGGGAGATCACGAGGGCAGTTTCCGGTGCCGGAAGGAGTGGCAGAGGGCTGCTGGGAGGAAGAGACGGTCTCGGTAACAGGAGCCTGAGAAACAGTGGTAGGCTTAGCAACAGAAGTTGTGATCTGCTGTGTTACAGATTCAGTCTGGGTAACAGGGGCCTGAGAGACGGTAGTAGGCTGCTCAATGGTAGTAGGCTGTTCAATGGTTGTAGGCTGCTCAATAGTGGTCTCCTGAGTTTGAGTGACAGGAGGAAGAGTCTCAGTTTGCTCTTCCGTGCGAACAGCAGTAGATGTAATCTCTTCGGTCTTGTAAATAGTGGTAGTCTCCTCTTGTGTCTTGTACACGGTAGTAGGGACAGTCTGAGTCTCGTTGATAGTGCTGTACTGAGTTTGGGTCTGAGTCTGGTAGACAGTGGTGGGGACGGTCTGCTCCTGAGTCTGCACTTGAGTCTGGTACTCGGTCTTGGTCTCGGTGACAGGAACGGTGACATTGTTCTGCTGGGTGATAGTCTTCACAATGGTAGAAGGCTGGCACTGCTCAGTGGAGACAGAGACAGAAACTGCAGTGGTGGCAGGTGCAGCCGAAGAAGAGGCAGGAGTGGACGAAGGGGCAGCGCAGGTACCCTCAGCGGAGCTCAAGCCAACCTTGACACACTTAGGCATGTTGTCAAGAGGCTGGGTGTAGATGTTGTAGTTGCCGTTGTCATCAACAGGGCAAGCGTAGAAAGTGGCATCACCGTTGTGCTCAATCTGACCAGAAGGAGCAATAGAGAAGCCTCCAGTAGGAGAAGCACCTTGGTCGCATTGGAACTGCGTGGTAGGCCCAGTAAGGATGCATCCTCTACCGCTCTTGTCGGTGATCTTGCCATCGTTGATGCAGTAAGTAGCACCAGACTGGTTGGGACCGAAGCGGTTCTGGCCATCGCTGAGCTGACCAAGAGAACCACCCTGTACACCATCACCAGAGACATTGATGCCGAAGCAGCATGATGACTGCTGTCTGGTCTGGAGGACACGGGCAGATGCCACTGAGGCAAGTGCCAAAGATTGGAATGTGTACTTCATTTCGGACTTTCGACAACGAAATAGTACTTTGAGCGAAGGTAAAGAAAAAGCGAAAGGAGAATGGGAGGATTAGAAGATGTCCTTGTTGTCGTGGAAGTCGACAAGTGATGTTGAGTGATAGAACAAATATGGGGTCAAGCATCACCTCTTTATACACAGCTCGAAAGAGGTGCAACTATGATCAACGTGGTGTATCGACGATGATCACCAGCCATTCTTCTTACAGATGTCATAGCCTGCCCTAGCATCAAGGTGCAGACGGAATATCAGAGTTGAGCGTCATCAACACGAACTGCAGCTCAACATTGGCTCGAGTGTAGGAAGTGGAGGTGGCTGACAAAGGGCATCCTGTTAGGTAAAGATCCAGTCACAGATCATGTTGACCACTCGGATTGTCGACTTCTGACTCAAATGTGTACCCCAACAGCAGAAAGGCCAGAGCAGGATGTGGGTACAATACTCGGGTACAAGCGAATATCACTTCCTTATGCTGCTTTGTCGGTTGAGCTTACTGAAAGCAGCATATCTGACGTTTCCAGAATTTGGTCTATGAACTTGAGGACATTTTACCAGCGTGTCGCATCAGATTCTCATTGCGAATGGTTGCTCGCTACATTCTTCCACGGTACGAGATGAGATTGCGAGCATCAACGCAAAGGCGAAAATCATTACATCTTCACGTTTCGCGGGTGTCGGCGACAGGGCCGAAGAGGAACAGGCAGGACGAGATGAAGATCTCAGTGGCTTGGGATCCAGTGAGACGGTGTTTCGATACGTGCGAGTACGAGTGTGGGTAACATGACGAAAAGAAAAATGGAAGGATGAACGAATCACGAATGATGTTGAAGAAAGCTCAAGAAACCCTGCCGTCGTCCCGTTAACTTAACTGGGGTATTCTGTGGGGGTCTTCAGGAACAAGAAGCAAATCGATCGAAAAATAGCAACCGGAACACGGCTGGCACGAGGATCGAGAGAAAAAGAAGTGGTTTGTTGTTCAAATTGTGTTTGTGCCTGCGGTGCCTGCATGGGTTTTGCAGAGCGAAGGATGAATTTCGGTGCCAAGCCAACCAAGATCAACATGTCTCCTTCTTCCTTCAGCCTTCCCCCTGACAGCAAGCACGACCTCCCGCTGTCGTCCATCGCCATCACCGCATGAGGGTTATGTCATACAGTTGACGCGGCCCGCGGAATTTTGCTTCCTCGCTCAGATGCAGCTTCAACCTGCCTGGTCAAGTCGTCCGAGGCTTGCGAGGTTGCATCGACCGAGAAACATGCCACCGCCAACGAATCACAAATCATCAAAATCGAGATCTGATATCCTGTCGGACCGCTGACTCTGTGAACCGCATACGGAGGATCAAGTACCCAGTCTTCTGCCTCCGACCGTCTCGCTTGTCCTCATCATCCTTTGCCCACATACAAGACTTCTTCGCTCACCCTCAGCCGTCTTGTCTCGATACTGGCAACGTCCTCACTTGGCAAACGTTCATCAGAGAGCTTGCGTAGAAATCCTTCCATGCTTCACAGTGTGCCTGACTCTGACTCCACCATCTTCAACGCTTGTACGTCCCTGGGCATTCAACATGTTAGCGGCAAGACAAGGCCGACTGAAGGCCAGAAGCATCAACGGCTTTGGTGAATCAACAGACAGATCAGGCTGAACAGGAGAAAGTAGCGATCGAGGAATGAACAAAGATGGCATCGCAGTTGCAGACCTGTCTGCAGTCACCAGTGACTCCTCGCGAAGCATCCCTGAAACGGACAACGCACCGGTGATCAAAAGTCTTCCATCAGCTTCCGTTCAGCTTGTGCTGTAGAGCTCTATCACACGTTAGGCAAAGATAGAGGTCAGCCCATGTGTGTTGCAGGTCCATGTACAGGCTTAGGTCTATTGAAAAAGATCTCTTACAGGCCATATAGTAGGAATGAAATATACAAAATTTCCACTGTCTTGACCTGTCGGGGCTCCACATGAGCTTCCTTCAAGCTATACCGAGCAGATTCTCCATACTGTTCGACAATAGGCGAGATTGGCGTGGTATGACAGGGTCACTACCATAACAAGAATTTTGGGATATGCTTAATGGTCAATTGTGCCAACAAGACCCATGCGGAAGGAAATAATATTCTGTGGACTTTTCAGTGATTCAGAAACTATTCACTAAACTAAAAACGTGTTATGTCAGAAGTTGGATTTTGGAGCCTTGCTTGCTATATACAACTCTGGAAGCTAATGTCGTGCAAAGCAGATGGGGATACCAACAAGATTTCTAACCAATCTGACATGTCATGTACGCAACCACATTGACTGACTTGCGACAATTCTGGCTATACTAATCAACCTGGTCGATGGCATAGTGGATCTTGTCAACGCTTTTGCCTACCTTGAATATGCCCTCCTTGATTGACCCATATTGACCATCCACCATCTCACAAAGTAGTACAAGCAAAGCACAGGCATACGCCATTAGATCCTTCGCAGAGTATCCTAGTCTTCGATCGAGTTCACCGCCTATTCATATCAAGACAGTCAAAATGTCTTGTAACCGACCCTTTCTCCATCCCGAGGTACATGGAATTTCATAAGCTGTCGAAATGCACAGTCACGAATCGAACATGAGTCTGGCCATTGAGATAGCCATTGTCCAGTTTCTCTCTGTGGAACCACAGTTTTTACGAAAGGACTGTGCATTTCCACAGTCGCCTTGTGACTGTCTATAGCACGCGGGGAGGCGCGATGGACGGTTTGCGACAAAAGAGTAGCTGAGGTCGTACCCAACCACGTGCAGAAGAAACTTTATGCCTCGCTTCGCTAAGGAATCGACATCACTTCTTCTGTGCAGTGTAGCCTCTCTTGAATCGAGCAATTAGCGCGTCACGGATTGGTTCACATTGTCAACTTCACCACGCCTCCCATGGCGATACCATCCTGGATCTTCGAGCTATCCACCTTGCAGCTCCGTCATCGGCGACGCGACTTGTGGGAACGAAGACAAGGCAAGTGCCTCTGAAGCGAAGGCAGGAAGCTTTCCTATACCATCACACATCATCTGCCAAGTACCGAGGAGAGGGGTAAAATGCTGTTTCTCCACTCCATGAGGGCAAGGAGGAGAAAAAGATGGAGTGACCTTCGTAAAGGTGAAAGTGCGTGAGCGGAAACAGCCTTGGCATGGCTGTCCCGCTCCGCATTCACCTACGCCTCGCATATGCAAAGCATGAGAAAGCATCATCGCATGGCTCTATACGAACGGGTCGATGTCTTGGCTCTATTCGCTGAACTCAAAACTCCTCCCATTATCCTTGCTTTGAGGACTTGGCCTACGCAGGTGTGAGCCCCAAGAATCCCTCCACAAGTTCTTGCATCGCGCCTTCCCGTTTCTGCCATCAAGATGACCCGTTGCAACGGTAAGGAAGCTTTGAGCTACACCAGACGACATACCACACAACCTCGGCGCACGCAACTGTGTCTCCGAAAAAGGCGCCGTGTATATGATAGATGTTCTCTATTGGATGGGCGCTCGTGGCTGTGCTACTTACCTTCTGCCAGTATAAAGTTGAATCTCCCTCGCGCGATGACGGACGAGGCAGGTATCGATTGAAGATGTTGCTCAAGGCATTCTACGGACTCGCGCTTTTTCAGAGCGTCTCCGGTGCTGCTGTATTTCGGAGACAGGCTGCAGGAGGAGATATCGAAAACTGTCCTGGATACTCGGCATCAGATATTGTCAATACGGACACCGGCCTTACCGCCAAGTTAACACTAGCTGGCCCGGCTTGCAATGTCTATGGAACAGATGTTCAGAACCTTCGACTGCTTGTGAATTACGATTCAGGTGTGCATACCAAGCTCCGGAGATTGTCTATCGTCTCGCTGACAATAGTCAANGAGAAACGTTTACACGTCAAGATTGAGGATGAAGGCCAGATTGCCTACCAAGTTCCAGCTAGCGTTTTTCCCACACCAGATGCTAACAACTCAGTCTCACCTGGCGATGCAACTCTTGAATTTTCGATGGAGCAGAGCCCCTTCAGCTTCAAGATCACTCGTAGATCGAACCAGGAAGTACTNTTTGACACTTCCAAGTCAGCTATTGTCTTCGAGGAGCAGTATCTCCGTCTACGCACTTCACTTCCGGAGAACCCCAATATCTATGGTCTTGGAGAGCACTCTGATTCCCTCCGTCTGAACACAACCGACTACACCCGCACGCTGTGGTCAAGAGATGCTTATGGTATCCCTTCAGGTACTAACCTCTACGGCAACCACCCAATCTACTTTGATCACAGAGTAGAATCTGGTACACATGGAGTCTTCCTCCTCTCGTCTTCAGGTATGGATATCAAGATCAACAAGACCGAAGCAGATGGTCAATATCTCGAGTATAACACCATGGGAGGTGTAATTGACTTGTACTTCATGGATGGTCCCAGTCCCATCGAAGTCGCCCACGAGTACAGCAGCGTCACGCAGAAAGCTGCTATGATGCCCTACTGGGGCTTCGGTTTCCACCAATGCCGCTATGGCTACCGCGATTTCTACGCCATCGCTGAAGTTGTCTATAACTACTCTGCTGCCGCAATTCCGCTGGAGACTATGTGTGAGTGTCGTGCATGCAGGGCTACGGGGACTCTTGTCTGACATATTACTNNAGGGACTGATATTGATTACATGTATGAACGATACATCATGACTACCGATCCTGATCGGTTCCCTCTCGCTCGTGTCCGCGAATACGTGAATTACCTTCATGAGCACAACCAGCATTATATCGTCATGGTGGACCCTGCTATGGCTTACCAGACTGAACGTGAGCACGGCCTGCCCTACGAGTCTTTCCTCCGTGCTCGCGATCAAGGTATTCTCCTTCAGAAGAATGACTCTATCTACCAGGGTGTCGTCTGGCCTGGTGTCACTGCTTTCCCCGACTGGTTCCATCCTGACACGGCTGAATATTGGAACAACGAGTTCGCCGAGTTCTTCGACGCTGAAACTGGCGTGGATATTGATGCCCTTTGGATTGACATGAACGAGGCTGCAAACTTTAACTATTTTGGTTCCAATGCCGAGGAAAGTGCTGCAGATCGCGGTTTCCCTCCAACTAGACCGGCCATCAGATCCGCTCCTCGCCCTATTCCAGGCTTCCCTGAATCGTTCCAACCTAACGCTAGCAGCCCGTACCCTCCAGACGATCTTGCATATGCTCCTCCATGGCTTGCTCCCGCGTCTGACCCTGGTGCAACCAAGCGGTCAATCGATGTCAAGAAGCCTGCTAAGCGCACAGTCGGTCTGCAGTACTCTCCTATTGACAAGCGTCAGTCATCTACACGCATCGGCTTCCCGAACCGTGATCTCCTGGCACCGCCTTACCAGATTGATAACGCAAACACTGTTGAAGCCTACGGCGGTGTCTCCAATAACACGCTTGACACCGACATCGTCCATTTCGATGGGCATGTAGAGCTTGATGTCCACAATCTGTACGGAACTATGATGAGCACTTATTCAAGAAATGCACTTGAAGCACGCAGACCTGGAAGAAGGCCCTTAGTCATCACTCGTTCGACGTTCGCGGGTGCGGGCAAAGCTGTCGGAAAGTGGCTAGGTGATAACCTGTCGACCTGGGAGCTCTATCGTCAATCCATTCAAGGTATGCTCGACTTTGCCGCCATCTATCAGGTTCCTATGGTCGGCAGTGATGTATGCGGGTTTGGTGGAAACACAACGAGCAGCCTTTGTGCTCGTTGGGCATCTCTAGGTGCATTTTACCCCTTTTTCAGGTCGCACAACGGCGATTCCAGCCTGCCACAAGAATTCTACCTGTGGGAAGTGGTTGCCGAGTCTGCTCGCAAGTCAATTGACGTTCGTTACAAGCTTCTGGACTACATCTATACGGCAATGCACAAGCAGAGCGTCGATGGTACCCCACTCATCAGCCCTATGTTCTTCCAGTACCCTCATGACAAGGCGACTTCTGCTCTCGATCTCCAATTCTTCTATGGCGACGCTATTTTGGTTGCCCCTGTCACCGAAGAGAACTCGACCAGCGTGGACGTTTACTTCCCCGACGACAGATTCTACGACTTCAAGACATTTAAGACTGTCGAGGGCAAAGGCGCTAATATCACAGTTTCGGATGTAGACTTCACCGATATTCCTCTCTACATCCGTGGTGGTTCAATTATACCGATGCGTAACGCATCTGGCTACACGACTACCGATGTGCGCAAGCAGCCTTTCAACATTGTCATCGCACCAGGTCGCGACGGCAAGGCTAGTGGTTCTTTGTACCTCGACGATGGAGACAGTATCAAGCAGAATGCCACATCAGAGATCACGCTCGAGTATGATAGCGGTCTTCTAACTCTCTCTGGTTGCTTTGATTACCAAGCTGAAGACAACCGCGTTGTCCAGGTAACTCTTCTTGGCCAGAAGAGCCACTCTGGTCAGGCACCACAATGGAAGCATGATGGTGATGACCACGAATGGAACAAGTGTGGAGACAACGACTGGAGCTTTGACGATTCCACCCATCACGTTCTCGTTCAGTTCGATCAAAGGCTTACCGGGCCTTTCGTTGTCTCTGTATAGACAGCCTCACGACGCAACATGGGTCTGCGTGTTGAGTGATATAGCTCTTTCGTACTTTACAGTAGACGGGATTTCATTAGTGAAAAGGATACATTCTCCCTGTGTACTAAAGTATGTAACGTATAGCTATAGAAATGCACAATAGTAACAAAGACACGATAACATCCACTGAGAGGCAACACGTTGTCGAGTCTCTGTGGACACGCCTCAACTTTCTTGAACAATTGTGCCTTTTCATAGTCTAATCTTTTGCTTCAGCTACAGTCGAAGTACGGTGGAAGTTACGGACTTTGTTTCACGGGAATGATGGAAGTCTTGAGAGGAAGTATGTAAACAGTGTCTCATGGCCCACTACCAATTTTTTGCAATCTTCCTTGTGCAGCTGAGAAGAAGCCGCCAGTGTTCTCTTGGATCAAGGAGGCGGAGCATTTATATTCATGTATAGCAACCACTAGCTTGTATAGAGGTGGAAATGAGGTCGCAAAACTGCGCCGCGACCACGAGGGTCTGTGTTATAGCCGTTGAGCTAACGAGTCAAAAGCTGAACTCCCACAACTTTACAAGTCTGCAGATAACACGAAGACGCTCGAGACTTGAAATATAGAATGAGGTTGCCTGATCAGTAACAACAGACCATTCAGATTCACGCATGACATTGAGCACCTTGAGTCTGGTACCGCGACAAACGCGCTGAACGAAGTTCGGGTGCTTTGACCATGATGTGGCCAAGATATATGGCCACATATCTCAGCCCTCGCGTAGACATACCCCCACAAGCCACAAACTCTCTTCTTATTACTGATGCACCTTGGCATCTCTGCTACACCGAACATCCGACTTTACTCCCAGCAACACGGCCATACTATGGTCTGAGCAGGGAATCGCCATTCAGAATCCTACGAAGATCCGCGCTAGTGGTTCGGAGCGTCCGTCTCTACTTCGTATATTGTTCAGCTCAGCTCTGGACTTTCAATACTGGAGTCTTCGAAAGTCTCGAAATCGCATTACCCGCAATGCACCGAATCGGTTTACTCAAATTTTTGAATCTCAGCATCGCACTCTCTGCGGGTTGATGTAAGTGCCGCAGCCTCAGAAGCCCACTGGACGCCACTACTCATACACGAGCCTGCTTTCGGTCGATGGCTGGCCGTGTTGGGCTTGACTGCTCCATCACCTCTTTCCATGTATGGCTTCGTTTCTGTCATAGCAGCTGTGGTGCTTCGAATCGCGGACGACACAGGAGATGACCGACGAAGTATCAATGTCTTGGTATACCAGGGTAAGTCAGAGGCTGAGATATAAGAAGGAGCTCAAGCTCTCTTTTGTAGAACATCAAAATCCAGTCGATCATCACAGATCAACTATATCATTCCTTCCTTCTTTCTTATTGTTTCCATTTTTTCAGTCGTTCCTTTTCTCTAACCATAGTCACTCCCTTCTCTCATCATGCGTTACTCCGTAGCCGTGCCGGCTTTCGCAGCCTTGGCCGCTGCCCTTCCAGCTCCCCAGCTAATCGACCTTGATATGGTCATCGCACAACCCGACATTTCCTACACCACAACTGCTAGCTCCGTCACCTACGATGTCACCTCCATCGCTGCTCAAGCTACAGATGACATCACCTCGATCTCTGTGGACATCAGCGCTATCGCTACCCAGACACCTCTCGCAGTCATTGAGAAGAGAGGCGCTTGTGCTGCTCAGCCCACTGGAGTCACTGGAATCTATGGTCCTCCTGCAAGCCCCACGGACGACACCGTAGCTGCATTCGCGGCCAACGCTGCCTTTGCTGCTGCTGCTTCATCAGCTCCTGTTCCCTCGGGATATTCGAACACCTTCACCAACCTGAATGCCTCCAATAATGCTTACGGTTATATGGGATACACCACCTTGAAGTCCTACGATACAAATCTGTGCGCTTCTAAGTGCAATGCCATCAATGGCTGCATGTCATTCAACTTATACTTCGAAAGAGATCCCAGCGTTGACCCTGCTGCTGCATGCCCCAACCCGACATCCTACACAATGATCAAGTGCGTGTTCTGGGGAGGTCCTGTTTCCTCGTCCAATGCCAACAACTACGGTCAATGGCGTAACCAGTTCCAGGTTGCCATCGCTGGTTCCAACGGCTACATGAACAACACCCTCGAAGTCCCTGCTGGTTTCGGCAATGTCCAGTACCTCAACAACGCTGCTATCAACGCTCCACTTGATGTTGAAGGCTATGATACTTTCATGGGCTCTCGTATCTTCAATCAAGGCCCCTTCAACGCTTCTCTCTGTGCTGCCCATTGTCAAGCTCAGAACGCCTACAACACTGCTCACCCTCCTAACAACGGCGCTCCTGTCAAGCTCTGCAACTTCTTCAACACTTATCTGCTCTACCTTAACAAGACTTCCAACAGCCAAGGCCAATACTGTGCTCTGTGAGTGTTCCATATCATGTTGCAGGACGAAGGACTGACACATCTTAGTTATACCGAGGCTTGGGACTCCAGCTACGCCACTAACAAGGGCCAGTACCGTGGAAGTGATCGTGAGTCCAGCAGATCTTATCTTGACATAGCAAGAGCTAACACTTGCCAGACNTACATGATTGAGTACTCTTACACCTTCACCAACACTTCCAACCCAGGCTTCAACCCCAAGAAGGGTGACACCAACGGCGCTGTCCACCAGGCATCCATCGACATCAAGTACGCCACTCTTCAGCCCTTCTGCTCATCGGCTCTCGGATACAGCGCTCTTCTCGCTACCGTCACTCCTTCAACCGTCGTTACTCCTATGGTCACCAGCACTGTCTTGAGCACCATCACTATCACTGCCGACATTCAGAAGCGCTCTGCTGTGACTGATGCATCTGCATCTTTGTCGACCCCCGCTGTTTTGAAGAAGTATCCTGCTTCGATTCTCGTTAGCGCTTGTTCCATGGTGGTTACTCAAGCTACTAGCACCTCTACTTCCACTGCTCCTCTCGTCACCGTTTCGGCTGCTACTCAGACAACTCTGGCAACATCAACTGTCGTCGTCACTGCCTCTCCCATCCCCAGTGCTTGTGGAAACCAGGGTATTCAATTTGCCTTCTATGGTAAGCCCATTTATACTGAGGGCGACTCTGTCGGAGACGTAGAGCCCTCTGACTACGCAACCAGAACACCAACCTGGGCCGACACCACAACCAGGGTTGGTGGCATCGACGTTGACGTGTACGACCCTCGAACCATTCAGATCTACGACACAACCCAACGCGAGAGCTCCCAATACTTCGTCCTGAACCACCGTGGCTACGTAAGTTGCGAAAAGCTCCAGAAAATGAATCCCCAGTGTGCTAACAGAACATCANNGATCTTCGCCCAAGTCGCTGGTACTTACACCTTCAGTCTCACAAACCCTGATGACATTGTCTTCCTATGGCTTGGAGAGCATGCCCAGAGCGGCTGGAACAGGGGCAATGCAGCTGCCCTCGCCACCCTCGGCACATCCGCGACCACTACATACGCTCTCGAGGCCGGACAATACCTTCCCTTCCGCATCTTCTTCGGCCAGCAAGGTGGACCGGTCAGATTTGCCTTCTCCATCAACGCACCTGATGGCACCCCCATTCTCGACAGCAACACTTCCGAGTCCGACTTCATCGTTCAGTACTCTTGTGATGAGACTACTGCTCCTCCTTTCCGTGCTTTCGGCCAGAGTAAATATCGTCCTCAAAGGACGATCACATCCTAATAAGCTTCTATCCACCATAATTAGTAATTTCTAGTTTTTATATATACAATAGGTAGTGTCCGAATTGCACCTCTTTTTTTTCTTATACTTTAACTGGTCGGTCCGATGCAAAAATGTACATGAAGAGGATCAAAAGCGTTTAATGCCGAAGCCTTTCTCATATATTCTGTTCTTCTCCCGTCATCTCCGTACGCTCAAGACTGCAATGACATAGCTGCAGAAATGCTTAATACTTTTGCAAAGAATGTTGTTTCCACAGAAGACCTCTTATGAAGGCCATCTCCATGGCCAGAGTCACCTCTGGGTTCCAACAACCCCTGCACTCGCGATGGAGAAGAGTCAACCGCAGAACGATGACGGGTTTTTCATCTGAACCCCTTCTCTCATCCCGGCAGACAGTAGTAGGTTATCAAAATACACAATGGTGACTTTAACGTTTCACGCACACCATCTTGACCGTCTTTTCTCATCCTCTTGAATACTACATGTCTCATCTATCTACCTCTTTCTCAATCATGTCCGAATCCATCAACCCTTACACCGGCAAGCCCTACAGCACCGCCTACCATGTCATGCGCAAGCAGGCTGAAGCGCTGCCAGTGTCCCAGAGTATGCCTGAGTTGCTCGAGGCGAACCGCAACAACCAAGTCACCATCATAGTCGGTGAAACTGGCTCGGGCAAGTCAACTCAGACGCCCCAACGCATCTTTGAAGAGCTCCCTGATGTGGTTGGGGAAAAGAAAATCTGCCTCATGCAACCTCGCCGGCTGGCTTTCTTGATCAAAAGATTTGACTAAGTCATCGCTCTCACTGGAACCAACTTTAACCTGATTGTGTTTCTGCATTTTTGCAGATAGCTTTTAGCTTGCTATAGGAGAGGGGATATCATGTATGCTATTACTCAATCTCGGGCCCATATGTTTTTTTTTATCGAATTTCTGACTATATACACGCTCTCACTGGTGTCACCACTGTTCTATATGAGTTTCTGCATTTCTATAGATAACTTCTAGCCTAATGTTGGATTAGGGAGAGCTTGTATGCTATCGCTTGACTTCAGGCACATATGAAACTTAATGCTCTCTCTGGTACCAACCTCGTTTTGGTACCATTTCTGCATTTTTACAGACAAAACTCAACCTACTATGGGATTGGGAATATTACATAAACGCTTGTTTCGCCTTTGGCAGATTTGATTGTAGGTCAGTAGTAGTAGCTAAAAGCTGCAGGTTCAGGTTGAAGACTTGAGATGCAACCTGTAGTCAGCGTTCTGAATAGAGCATGGCGAGATTACTGCTTACTAGAGCAGTATCTGTTTGGGAAGGTAGAGAGTACATGCCAAGACAAACTGAGAACTGGCAGTTTCCTTGTAGTTGACTTTGTTTGACTCTCTTTGTCAATTCACTTCACGCGACGCTTTGAACGCACACCGCACGCCACACGCCACACTTGCAACACCACACTTGCAACACATTTTCGTCAAACCAGGATGCCAATCGAATTGTCTGCTCATCATTACATGACATGCATTGACGCTCCGGATGAGGGCCTGTGGCACCTTCATGGCTACCGGCAGATGCTGGAATTCCTACTGCCCCTTTAAACACCATGAGAATTTTCATCCAGATCTTGTCGGCACCAAGGATCCCAAGGACTACAGGGTGCCCGATGAGCATGGCGTGGCTTGCAGAACCTGTTACGAGAACATGAGAGAGGCGAGTAGCCAGAATGCCAGTCAGCCTTGTAAATTTCCTAACCCAGCACAGTGTGACAAGACGAAGCGCGATGTCAACGATCCGCTCGACCCTTGCTCTGAGTGCCGTCACTCTGGAGGAGAGAACCGCCAATGCATCATTGACAAGAGCAATTCTTACAACAAAGCTGTCTACGATGCTATGAAGCAGAGAGTTGACCACGACTACGCCCTCGCCCCTCCCAAGGATCGCACAGTTGGCGAGAGAGGTGAGTCTGCGACCCCGATGCCTCGCGTCAAGCTTGGCTGGATCGGCGAAAGCAGAGAAGCGCTTCTTGCAAAGCCCGACTTCTTGCCTCCTGGAGTCCGTGAATGTCCAAGAGCCTTCATTGTTGCTCTCGCTTCTGCTGCCTCCCCCGAACCCAAGTTTGAGTTTGACATCTTTGCTACAGACGACATCTTTGCCGACACGACGGACCCCAATCGTTACTATGACGAAGAAGAAGACACTTTTGCTGCCTCGCCGCAACCCGCCTTCGAGGGTACAGACATCTTTGCCGGCATGAAGCATGTTCTGTCTGACGAAGAAGATGCTGAAGACGAGCAATCTAGCAAGAAACAACGTCTCGACCTTGATGCTCTCGCTTGTGCTGCCTCTCCCGAACCCGAGTTCGAGGATACAGACATGTTTGGTACAGACACCTTCCTCAGCAGGATGGATCGTCTGTCTGACGAAGAAGATGCTCCTGCTGCCTCGCCGGCACCCGCTTTCAAGGGTACAGACACCTTTGCTGGCATGATGGATATCCTGTCTGACGAAGAAGATGACAGTTATGAAGGTGACGATCACGTTGAATACTGATCGGCAAGGCCGTCGTGACACTTCCCTCTCTCTTTCTCATACCGCTGTCGAGTAACATTCACAGCTCCCCTTCCCTGATATCGCTGTCGAGTAACATCCGCAACTACCCATCCCCATCTCGCTGTCGTGTAACATCCACAGCTCCCCTTCCCTATATCGCTGTCAAGTAACTTCCGCAGCTCTTCTTTTCTATATCGCCGTCGAGTGACTTCCACGGCTTCCTTCTTGTGTGACCCTGTCGATTAATCTCCACAGTATTGTAGTCGCTAAATAGAACATCGAATGGTCATGCTTTTATCCGAAATTTCAGTACGTGAGAGTTTCTGTGCACAAATCTCAGTAGCTGTTCGATGGGATTCTTTACGTCCTCTAAGATCGAGTCACATAGAGAAAATGGGAGTATCTGTTGATTGATTCCTCAAGAGCTAGGGATAGACTGAGTCTCCGAGACTGACAACGAGCCGGTCTGGTGACTGGCGGAAGGCTTCGAGAAGCGCTTATGCGGGCCGGAGATGATCGGACGTCAGACGAAGTACTTGACGATAATGGTGGCCATCTTCGATCGCTCTCACTGGAGCCAACTTTAACCTGATTATATTTCTGCATTTCTATATATAATTCTCAACCTGCTATGGGATCGGGAATAGCACTTAAGTGGTTGTTTCGCCTCTGGCAGATTTGACAACAACCACTCCTTCCTCATCGCGGGTGAACAAGTTTCCCAACTCGTTCTCGTCCCTCAGAGATTCCAAACTCAGTTTAGTCACCGCCAAGTCGAGCCCAGAATCTGTGCGAGCAGTCACATCAATTGGAGCCCAGCGGTTGTTCTCTATAATCTCCTCCATGCCAACCTTGATGATTGACAGGCGGTTCCAGAACTTCTTCTGGAGGATAGGTATTAATCCTGTGACTTGAGCATGAACCTGTTTTCGTTTGGACCAACCGCCTTGTACTGTTGTTGCCACGTACTCCTGAGAGGCCTCCTCGATATCCTGGCTTGTGACGAATTTGCCTCCATGTTTGAATGCTCGGTCCAGGATGAGAATCAAATCACAAGCGCATTTGACAATCATACGACCAGCGGTGGGAATCTCCAGCATTGATAAGCCGGCCACCAAAGGAAGAGCTCCTCCCAAAGAAAAGATGCACAATACAGCGACACCAGTGCTCAGAACGACGCTTTGGCCAATCTGCTGTGCGAGAAAGCCATACAGATTCCACCCTATGATCTTATTCATGATGTTGTTGACGCTGGCCGAGTCAATCTTTGGAAAACCAAAGAATTTCAGAATGTTGTCACAGAGGATTCTGGAGATGGTTGGCGTTGTGATGGAGGAGCCCACGACTGTCACCGCAGCCACCGACGACGTGCGTATGCCATGGCGAAGAAAGCGAATGCTCTCGTCTATGGCGCGTTTTACTTTGAGCTCTGTGTCAACGACTTGTGCTGCGATGCATCTGAGCCGCGCTTCGTCGTTGGTTATTAACTCAAGAGTTGAGTCCACAAGGCGTTTGATGGACTCGTCATCATCTGTTGCGGATTATCAGTAAATCTTCAATATGGACTTTATTCTGCTCCAAAGTACCTTNNTAGACACGTGCAGGAACTGGATCGAATCGAGACTGAGGTTCGGTATGTCTCTGAGCTCATCTTTGACCTGTTCTCGCCGGGCTTCGAGATCTTGTTCTGCCCTTTCTCGGCTTTGGTTGTCCAAATCATTCCAGTCAGATATGCCGCTCTNTTTCAGATCCCTGCGAGCCACAGACTCCTGTTGATTCAGAAAGTTGTCCTNTTTCGTTCCAACAATGATGATGGGTATGTGTGCCGCGTGTTTAGCTAGAACCTTGAAGATCTCGTCTTCGGACGTTTGGACCACCCGGTCTGTATCTGTTTGCATGCATATCCTGGAAAAGTCAGCCATACTTCAAGAAAAGACGATACGATCTGCGTGCCGCGCATACCAGATAGCGTGAAGGCTCTCTTTTGGGTCATCAATCTTAGAACGTCTTTTGATGAAGTCCTGGAACTGTCCCAACTCCCTGGTATCTCCCGCTTGGAATCCCCGAGAGTCGTGAATGATTATTCCGGGATGATGTTCAGATTCGAAGGCTTCGTTGATATTGTGGTCTCCTTGTTTCATATGCGATTCGATAGTCTGATAGTACAATTAGATGGACACAACATTCAACAGTGTTGTTGTACATACCATCGGCACACCGAAGACTTTGTTGATGAGGGTGGATTTGCCGACTCCTGTGCGTCCACAAACGAGTATACGACATGCTTTGACACTGTTCTGCTGTACATCTTCCATCGGCAATGCTAGCCACGGATCTCTCGTATTGTGATGCTGCTCATTGCGGAAGCGATTGATGTCTTTCTCGAAGGGCCTCATTGCCACTTCAATTCCGAAACGTGCGTAGACATCCATGATCAGGTAGACTGAAGGGTGGATGATGCAACCAAAAGGTCCTAACAACACACATTGTCAGCCAAACAGTGATCGTCTTTAGATACGAAAGCATGTATCATTCTTACTCTCAGATTAGCCCTGTAATCTACCGTCTTGGAATGGTTTGCGGTATTGTTGGTAGAGGATATGAGGAAACCCTGAGTGCACCCGGACGAAATGTTGTGCTAACGCGGAGTCACTTGGTTCAACGACTGGGTCGTGGTCTCGCAGCATTGTCGTGTACGACGGAGTGGCTGATGACTTTTNTCTTCCAANAAGTCCTTTCAAGAAGCCACTCTTTCCTTTTCGGGTGTTATCATCGGTGGAGCGCCTCGAAGCATACGTATCACTATTCGATGCGGTAGTTCCATTGCTCGATTTGCTGGCAATTGACATCGATCTTGACTTGTTAGTATTGTCAGAGCCAGATCGCTTCTTCGGTGGAGTCTGCATGTTTCCATGATTATGAGATGATCTCAGATCTTCCATCCGAACTTTGATGCCGTTGGCATACTGGTACTCCCAAAGGACTTCAGGTGCAGTGGTTTGGTCAGTTGGCGAGCCTTGCTTTCGGGACGGGAAAACCAAGGACAGAGGATCCTCAATCAGCATTGCTTGGGAGTTGTGCTGCAGAACGAGACCTTGATGCTGACTCTCAATCAACAACCACTGAAGAGGATACAACGAGAGCCCATCATCTCTAGCCCCACCCCCTATATCAGAATGTGCACCCACAAACCAGGCTTGAATGAGAGATCGACCGTGGAATGAATCGGTGTCGGCGATTGGGCCATACATCTCAGGTTGGTAGTGAAACCGTGTATCGTTCAATGCGAGGGCATGACGGACATGCCTAACAGAGTTGTGAAAGGCTAATGTATGTGCTGTCGTATCTGGGTCGTTGTTGACGCGCTTGACGGTGTCAAGAAGGCCCAGGAAACCGATCCTGGGACAACTTCTCGATTTGGANNCTTGCTGTTATTGTTAGCTCTGGACATACAAAACCTTGGATCTCACCAACATTGCGAAGAGCTATCCTTCGATCAGTATCTACGATCAGACACATTTTGATAGTAAACATACCTTGCCCTCGTTTCCTTCGAGGCAGCCTTTCTGGATCAGCTTGTGCAAGTCCCACGCCTTCTTGTATGTTTCTTGGAAATCCTCGTCATATGGCAAAGCCCCTATCGTTTCTAGTAGACCAGCGACTACAGTCACGACATCTAGGACTGTCAGAATTTATCTTTTGTTGCCGACTAGGGTGATGGTACTCACNNATGCGCCACGACTGAAACCGTAAAACCAGAGCTCGTCTTCCGGATTCACGATTTGACGACAATAGTACTGATATACTTGTGAGCATCATCACCTCTTCACACGAAGTCGACATACCTTGTAAACTTCAGCTATCTGCTCTGCATATCCGTCTCCAGTCACACCTGAATTCAATCGTTTCAAACGCTTCTCGTTGGTGCCAATACCTGCAAAATATTCGATGATCTGGCCTTCGTTTCAGCAAACGCATTTCCTCAAGATGCAAGGCTGCGCATAGAAGCTCACCTGCTCAATGGGTTCACCATTCTCATCTTTGACAGCGCCACGACCGATTGATGCGAAGATACGAAAAATATTGGTATTGTTTCCTTGCGACTGTCNCTAAACTTCTGTTGATGATTGAATTGTCGGCAGAGCAGGCAGTCTTTACTCACCTTCTTGTCCATCTGCGTCGTACCACGTGCCATCAACACACGCGATGATACGTCTCCGTGGTCGCGAAGACATCATAAAAACGACACTCAAGAAAATGCGCTCGACAACAGATATTTGTGCAAAGCCAGATCGCCAATTGTAGGGTTATTAGGTGACTTTAGCGCTGCTTGTCTGAGCTATGTTGGTAAAGACAGAACTGCTGATCCGTGATCAAGCAATGCAAGGAGATCGCACGACGGTGAGTTCAGGCAAGAGCCGCTCTTATTGTGCAGAAGTGGGTGAGAGAAGCTATTTAGCAAGCAAGTGACGTATCCTGCATAGCCTGCATATTAAATTTCCATTCCGAGCATGTGGCTTGTAGGATTCGATCCTCTTGAAACAAGTACCACGACAAGACCTCTTCATAAGAGCAACTCGGAGTGAGAGTGGAAACGCTCTCGCATGGAGTGCATCGACAGTGGTTATAGCCTACCAATCTATTAGACGGAACGATTCAAGACTGAGTGTCCGAAATTCTGTCGCTCAATATGTGCACTTACGAAATTGTCATCCTTTCTTGAGGATTCAAGGCCTCTGAATCAGTATTGATGCGCCAAGATATATCAACTTTGTGGTGCAGATCAACGTAAGTTGATTGGTCGCGACGTCGATTAATATCGCGAAACACACAAAGGCAAGCGGCAGGCATGCGGGATACTGGCCCTGCGCCCCATCCTCACGTAGTGGTACAGTCGTGAAAAGACCGTGACGCGTCTAGAGAAGAAAAAGATTGTATATCAGAATTGCAAGTGTTGTGTTTTTCTGAGCAATCAGATGTGTGGAGGTGAAGGACCTGAGCATCGCGGAAAGTCCCTAAGCGGAGGTCACACGCTTCAAGGCAGAGTTATCTGGATGTATCTGCCACAGGAAGGTGGCATCTTATGCATTCGTACATAGTGCTGCCCCTGGACGGATTGGATGTCTGTTGTGATCGGGTGAACAATTAATCTAAGATCTGACTCGGTGGTCCGTTCAAGGGATGAAGTGGTCAGGGTGGTCCTGCCGGAAAAGATGTCTTGGCAGCCAAGCATTGTGATCATGTCTTGGCAGAGAGAATTGCATAGCAAGTATATTTGAGACCGGAACGTGAGATACATCAATACAGACATGATGCCGAGGTCAGCAATTCTTCTCAAAGCTATGCGTGGAGGCAGCGTCTTCAGCAGCTTGCAGTCAATTTCACGAACGATTGGTCTAGGCTTTCAAAAACAGCTTTCTGGTGCTGCCTGACCTGCAAGATTGCATATGATATTATCGTAGGTCACAATAGCAATCTGATGCTGGCAACCACAAGATCAATGGTTCACATTAATGAAGTAAAAGAGCCAAGTGAATGCAAATATGTTCTTATACGAAAGACATATCTAAATACTGATTTTCCAAGCTCAAGCACACCGGAAAAGAAATGAATGTGTCGAAGATGCTGAACATCTGCTGTTTTTCAGTAAAAAGAGAAAACCAACAGCTTATGCGGGCTGGCACTGAGAGTACCACTGGTTCTGGAACACACACTTGGTGCCAGAGACACAGGCGCCAAATGATGCTCCTTGACCACCACATTGGCCCCAGACTTGGACAGAACCACTGCTCGATCCGCCGGCGGGAGCAGAGGTGCTGCTAGGAACGGAAGTCGTCACAGGAGCTTTTGAGGGAGTCGAAGAGCCAGAGCCAGAGCTTGCGCCAGACCCACTAGCGGAGCTAGTTCCTTCTATAGATATTGTCAGTAAAGCCTTTTCAATGCACATTTGGGAATAGCTTACACGAACCAGAGACAGTGACGCTAGCACTGCCGGAGCTGCCGAAGGCCTCGGTGGCGAAGACCTGGTAGTTGTAGTCACCGGTCTTGAAGCCGTGCTGGGACCAGGCGTTGAAGTGGTTGGCCATGTTGACGGTACCGGAAGAACGCTTGTTCTGGCGGACCGAGAAGAACTGGCCGAAGGTCTTGGTGCCAGAGATGGAGGGCTGGTTGACCTGGGTGTGGGTGCAGATCTTGTAGGAAGAGCCGTCGCTGGTAAGGGTGCCGACCTGGGTGCCGGTGGAGCAGGGGTCGTAGGAGTAGTTCTCAACGACGTAGTACTCNNTGGTTCGTTTGTCAGTGGGAGTTATGGTTGCGGTTTGTGAATTGGTGAGCTTACCGGTCAAGGGATTGTTCAACCAACCGTAGACGGCGTAGTAGGAGCTTCCCTTGGTCTGGTAGTTACCGCTGAAGGTAATNNTTGTCTGCACAGGTTGTTAGCAAATATTGAATCTCAAACATGAATCGAATAGTGCTGACCTGGCGGAGCCCTTGTTCCAGCCAAGACCGACGACGAAGTCGCCAGGGTTGTTCCAGCTGGCGGAGTAGGTGCCAGCACCCTGGTTGTACTTGAAGTTGGCCATGTTGCCGTTGTAGTTCTGGACGTAGTTGATGGGAGTAGCACGCTTCTCCAAGTCGGCAACCTCAGTCTCGGCGACGGGAGCAGCCATGGCAATGCCAGCCAGGGCAGCGATAGCAGTGGTGAACTTCATATTGTTGGTTTGAAAAGAAGAGGATTGAGGAATGGAAATGAGTGTCTGTTTGCTTGGATGAGAGAAGCAATTCCTGGAGAGCAGACACGATACTTATACAACGACGTATAGATGATCTGATGTTTAGGCTAATGCCAATTATCGGCCTGTGTTGCAAGCAACATGGACTTGTTTGGCATTGATGAGCCTAGGCATTTTTCCAGAGGAGAATCTCACTGCGGATCGTGGGCGTAGATCGCCACGACCGCCATGAAACACGCCAGTTCGTCCGGGATTCTAGCCACATGTTCGACCAGCAGACTAGACGTAGTGACTAGCGAGAGTGTTGATGACTGCATCGCTTGATGGTGCATGTTGCTCCAGACCGGTATGCATCGATGTGCAGATACTTGTTCGCCGCTTCATCTATCTCAACCAGCCATAAGCAGTGTCATGAGAGGCTCTGTCAATCCAGGCGAGGCCGAAGGCGCGAACATTGTTGCGTGCAGTCACAATAGGGTGACAGAACAAGCTTCGGACCGAAGACGGTCGCTGCTCGAGAACCTGAAACTTCGCTAAACTCTATACTTTAACACGCAATCCTTCAACAGCAATCCCCACGGCGATCACGTACAATCTGCCTAGAGTTGATTGCACTTTTGCCTAAAAACTTTGGTACGAACTTGTTTCCGCTGAAAATAGTTCGTCGCTTAATCAACTCGATCGGATAGACCTTCTAGGGTAGAAAATTGACCTTGGTTAATGCAATATTGCAATATATAGCGTTACACGGCAAGTTTCACCTCCTAAGCCTCTACGCACGAGTTTTGCCAGAAGCTTAGCTATACGAGCAAGCATTACTCCCCCGCCACAGACCAAGAGAAATATATTGCCCGGAGGAGAAAGGGCGAGCATGACCATCATTGCAGCTGTACAAGTCACGTCAAGCGTACGCAAACCAAGGTTTCACTGGGGAAGCGAGATTTGCTGTGTAAGCAGGGAACTTGTGGATACACCCTCCCCACAAATTCTGTTCAAGGCGTTTTCCACTCGAAACAGATGGCGCGAAAAAACATCCATGCTGCTCATGCATCTTTTACAAGGACTTGCACGGAATGGCCGAGATTCTAAGATCGGAACAAGCAATTTAAGCTATGCACTATAGGTGACGCAAAGAATCCACTGATGAACTGCCGAGATTCTCAAGGATGCTTGAAGCTCTTGTCCTGTAGCGCCAATGCTTACCAAGATTCACGGCGAAGAGACGGAAAGAATGAATCCACATGGTGCTTTCGAGATCGAAGGTGATGAAGCTAAGGTAGTCCTACGGCCGGGGTGTCGCACCTTCCAAGTCCTTGCATGGGGATCTAGATTCGAATTTGAGATCTTTGTTCTCACTATTCATCCTCATCATCACTGTCACCCATGACAATCTCCGGAACCACGAACTCATCGTCGTCGCTGTCTTCGGCAGTTGCTTGGGGCTCGATGGACTTTTGCCTCTTGTCTGCCACTGCCTCAGGCTCGTCTTCACGCTGCCTCTTGGTTCTATTCGCTTCATGTGCTGCTTCGATAGCGGCACCAATAGCTTCACTAGTACTTCCTTTCGTAGCTTGACCAGAGGCTTCATCAGTGGGTTGCCGGCCCAATCCCTCTTGGACGTATTCGTTCAGTGCCCAGTTGACGAGTTCTTGTTCTTTGTGGGCGAGGTCTTTGTTGCTTGAGGTATCTATCGATGACCCAGCGGCATGTGACACGCTTTCTACAACTTCCGGAATGTCTTCTGTTGCGGCTTGATCTTCTTCGTCGTCTGAAGCCGAGTCTTCATCTTCATCCATGGCTTCAGCTTCGGTCTCGGCAGCAGTGGCTTTGCGGCCGGTTTGCAGGATAGGCATTCTGGGTCTGAGAAGAGCTTCCACTGAAGGGTCGGTAGGGTATTCGCGAGCGAGGAGAGGAAGTAGGCTGTTGCCTTTGCGTGCAGCTTTGGCTGTGGATGTATGATTGAGTGTGCTTGCCATGACGGCATCCTTGTGACGGGCGAGGACGGCAGTACGGTCCATGGTTGCGCGCAGGGCGATAGAACAATGTTCCGCAGGAAGCTGGCCAAGAAGAGTGGGAAGCAGATCCCATGCTGCAGACTTGAGACCTACAAGCTCTGTCTTTGCTGACGGCTTGGCGGTGCCTTGTTTGAGGAAGGTGTCCGCGTTCATGGTGGACTGTTGCTTGTTGCCGTTGCTGTTCTGAGAATCCTTTTCCTCGTTGGTCGGTAGCACATCTTCGCAGCATGTATTGATGTACTTCTTCAAGGCACTGATGGCTTCCTTGTTTAGCGTTTGGCCCGAAAGGTCCAAGATCTTCTTGCCAACGACATAAGCTGCAGTTCTGATCTCAACATTTGCAGAAGAGGCATGGAAAATCCACATGATCTGGTCGAGGAAAGGTTGCAAGGCGGGCGTGAGAGCTTTGCCGTAGCGGTCCAAGATGATGGAGAGGACCTCCAAGCATGCAACGTGAATCTCAGGAAGAACCTCAGTCAACGCATCACGCTCTTCTCTTGTAGCATCGCGCTTGAAGCGAATAGTGCTTCTGGTGGAACTGGTGGAGATGGTATTGGACATCAATCTGGTGAGCAGATCTGCCACAGCACCGACAGAGCCAACAACGGCAGCAGAGGTAGCAGATGCGAAGTAGGCAGTAAGCAAGCGAAGGTGATTCATCAAACCCTGGTAGCCGGGTGTAACAAACTGACTGACAGGGCCATCAGTAGGGGATCTGGCGTCCTGAGCCTTAGAGTAGAGCTCAGACAAGATGTTCTTGTTGACAAAGTTAGTGCCCGTCACGGATTGCCAGTCTTCCTCGACGCTCATGAAAGTTCTATCGGCCATGGCATGAGCACTGTGTAAAGTAGCGACAAGAGTAGCTTCCCACTTGTCGCTCGCACCGTTCTTGGGCTCGCACTGATGGAGCAAGACAGAGATACGAGAAGCAAGATCCATAATGTGGTGACCCGAAGCCTTATTTTCGAAGACAACAGTCAAGAGCTTTGTGACGGCATCTTGGTGTTGACGGAAAATAGTAGGGTGGCGGGGCAGAAGTTGGGCGAAGCATTCCAGAGTAGCCTTGATCTCCTGAGGTGTAGGTTGACGTGAAGCGAGGTTGTTCAAACAGGTTGATACAAAAGTCGGCAGGGAAGGGGTGGTGATCTCTCTAATCAGAGTGGGAAACTCCCACGTAAGCATGAAGATGCGGGTCAGGGTCACAATGGTCAGGCATCTCAGAAGAGGAGGGTCAGGCTTCTTGAGCAGAATCAAAAGACCACGCACCCAAGCAATGGACTNTTTGAGAGTTTCCCAGCCACCAGCCTCGATGGTAGCTTTGATCAGAACAACAGCAGCCCAACGACCTTCAACATGACGGTCTCCGAGTAATGAAGTGATCTGAGTGTTGAATCTGTGAAGAGCAAGAGCAGCGTCAGAGTCCTTCTGATTGGCCAGATCGGGTTGTGTAAAGATGTCCCGGCAAGAAAGTAGAGACTGAGCAGTCAGAGCAGCGACCTGAGGAAGCTCAGCTTTGGAAGCATTCGAGATGCGGAAGGATGCTGCTCTCAGCAGAGAGATGGAAGTGGCTTGAGGAGCCATATCTCACTATTCGGAATCAACCTGATGATAGATTATCCCAGCAAGAAAAGAACAATGTCGAACTCTTTGCTTGTCTGATATTTTTTGAGAGTCCGGGGAAACAGGGACGGCAGCCGTTGCGCGGAGTGCACGGACGCGAGCCGGGAGTCGGGGGTGCGATGCGCATGACGAAGCATCAACCTTGGATTTGTTTGTAGTCGTCTCCGTGTCTTGACACAGACGACAGTAGCCATGAGTGTAGGTGGTGTTGTAGCTGAAAGAAAGAGATAGTCGCTGACATATCCATGTGCAGGTGTCAGAAAGCGACAAGGCGCAACGCTACATCGCCAGCCTCAATGCTGCCCGTCTCAATGGCTCCTGGTCCGACGTGCCCGAACTGGTCCGCAAGGTCGACAAACATGCGCCGCACCGAAGATGCCTGACGCTTGCTGCCACGTCTGAGTCCCAAACTGCCACATCATCCAACCGCCGTCCTGGAACACAAACCTCGGCCGCCTCGCATACCAGCCTCCTCGACCAGACTCCCAAGCTCGTTCAGGCTATCGAGAGCGAATCTGCCCACAAAGAAGATGCCTTCCAGGCCAACATCGCCCTCCATGAGGTATACTTCCTTCGCGCCGAGTGGTCCACCGTACTCGGTGGTCTGAAAGACGATGTCTGGCTACAAGTTTCTCCTTTCGCAAGGTCCCCTGCAGAATTGACCCCTAACACCCGTTTGGCCTTGATCAAATACTGCTACTTCCTGGGTGTCGCCTCCGAGCAGAAACTCTCTCTAGACAGCGCTCTCCGAGTGTACAGCCAGGCTCTTTCAGCCATTGACCAAGCTCCTGTGAACTTGGCCAGTTTTCCGGAATACCGTACATGGGCTGCCCGTTTGCTAGGTCGTATCTGCACCCTGCAGTCAAAAAAAGGTCACACATCGACTCTATCTACTGCGAGCGCTGCTCTGATCTCATACAGAGCATGGGCTCGTATCTGGACAGGCGATTCGGCCTCCAAAACCGCTGCCCCAAGTTACTCCCTCGGTCCCTACGATGTCTCCAACAAGGATGTCTGGGCCATGTATTACAGCTTCCTATCTTTCCTCCTTAGCACTGATCTTGTTTACACGCCCTCGGCAGAGTCTCCCTTGGCTTTTTACAACCCTGATTACCCCACCAAAGATTTAGCCAAAATGAGGCTGCGTCAAAGATCCGAGCTAAAACAGGTCGAGGCTGCATACGAGAGTGTGCTACTATACAAGACCAAGTTTCCACAAGCGAACCAATCTAATGAGGAGGTCGAGCAATGGGCCAACTCGGTCATTTCCAATTGGTCTCTNTTGTGCAGCTCCAGATGGCGCGAAGTTGACCTCGGTGAAGGCGGTAAGGCCGCCGTTAGTCGTAGCACCCTGGACATTCTGTATCGTGCCGCAACCAAGACCTTCCACTCGACACTGATTCTGCGTCATCTCTTTACGGTTCATGCCTCGCTGGCCGAGTTTGACCTCGCTATCAAAGCCTTCGACTCATATACAGAGATTACTAGCCGAGCAAAGTCAAGAGCTGAAAAGACTGGCCACAACGAACCAGGTTTGGATAATGACGATATCGTAGTCTTGACTGCAGCCCAGGCCATCGGCGTCTTGTGCAGATATGGCTCACAAACCGAGGGTGAGAAAGCTCTCGAAGTCTCAAAGCGTCTGTCTGACTGGCTCAAACAACCGCGTCCAAGTTCAGCCATCACTGTCTCTAGAAAGGATGAGGATGGTCGTCAACCAGACAAGGCCGCCATGAATGACGAGACTGCAACTGGCATTCTCATCTCAGCTGAGTCTTCTGTTGCTGCTTATCGCGCTATTGGTGAAAGTCAAGCAAATTTTGCTAGACTGACTCACGATCCAGCACAAAGATCAGAATATAGAGAAAAGGCCATCAAATCCCTAAGAACAGCCGTCGAGATGTCACCAGGTGGCAACCTCGACCCTGAAACTGCTCTTCTGTTGGGCACTGTTCTGGCCGAAAACCGCCAGTTGTTGCCTGCTACTCAGATTGTCAAGTTTGCTTTGGCTTCCACGCAAGATGATGAGTCTAGCAATGCTGTAAGAAAGGGACAGGTCATTCCTCTTTATCACCTTATGTCACTACTTCTCACAGCTAGGGGCGATTACGAACATGCAGTCGAGTTCTGTGATGTCGCCTTCGAGCAGTTTGGCGGTGCCGATATCATGTTTGGAGATGCCGATGGTGAGGCTCTTATCCATCAGATGGAGGATTCAGAGAAGGAAGCATTGCTGCAACTTCGTCTGACGCAGTTGGCTCTTACCGAGATGCTTGATGATTCTGAGATGGCAGTCGATGCAGGCTCTCAGGTGCTCGCACTTTACCATAAGCTGTTTGCCACTTCGGCTAATGGCATAGCACCACCACCACCAAGAGATAGAGCTTCTTTCATTGCACCGTCGGTCAAGACGCAAGGAACACTCAAGAGCGTTAGTGGCAGTATAATGAGACGCTCCAAATCCACACGGAANAATGCTGAAGGCCCTGCACAGGAGAAGGATGTGCCTCCGCTCCCAACGGCAAACAACAAAACTTCAATACCAGCAGTGACCACGACTGACGAGAACGGGTCGCATGAAAAGCATCACCACAAGATCCATCTACCTCATCATCCACTAAAACATCTTCATCACCATGGACATGCAGCCGATCCCGAGAGAGATGCTCTTGCTTTCGATAATGCTCCTGCTGTCCCAACAAAAGATGGATCCGACGAAAACCAACCATTGCGAGAAGTTCCTCACAACCTCGAATCATCAGATCAACCCGCACCTATTGGACACTCAGATCAACCGCCATCGCAAGATCTACGTCTGCCGGCTCCACACCCGACAATGGCATCTGCAGCACCCCGTCCGCACTATCCCTCTGCTAGACANAAACGGCATACAGTGTCTCTGCTCATTGAAGTCTGGTTGCATATAGCAGGGCAGTATACCCGCAGCGAGTTATTCGAGGATGCAGAGGGCGCAATTGACGAAGCACACAAGCTTGCAGAAGAGCTCCAACAGGTTGTGGCACGGGAAGACTGCTCTGCAAAGGCATTTGATGAGAAGGGTTGGGGAGGCGGTCGCAGTGTGAATAGACTGTGGGCAGACATCTGGGCCGAGGTATGAGAATTTCTTTCTCTGATGCTGAAAATCACGATACTGACTTTTGAACAGCGCGGTGATCTGGCAGCAGCCAAATCGCATCGCCACGACGCACTCGCAGCCTACGAAAAAGCACTGTCACACTATCCCGACCACGCCGCCGGCATCGTAGGCATCAGCTCCATCCTGCTGGACATCTACTCTCAAGCCATTCCCGCCGAAGCTCCCAACCCTCTTTCCATAATCACACCCTCCACACCAGCAGCACCCACAAACCCTAAAGTGCTTCCTACAGACCCCACCCCCAGCGTTGCTGTCCAAACACGCCTGGCAGCAAGAGACAGAGCATACTTTTTACTTACAGCCCTGACCAAAACTGGCGAAGGCTGGGATGACAGTGAGGCTTGGAGTTTGCTGGCCAGAGCGCATGAGGAAAGTGGACAGTTGGATAGAGCGAGAGAGGCGCTGTGGTTTTTGGTTGAGCTTGAAGATGGGAGACCACTTAGGCCTTGGAGTGTTGTTAGCAGTGCGCTCTAATATGTCGAGGTGGCTGTACAGATCAAAGCCGAAGGCTTGTAGTCTGAAGATATGTAGCTGCGACCCTAATTGGCTACATTCTACTTGTAGTACTTAACTCAGCTGATATGTTGCCTTGGGATTGCGGCTTTGTGCATGTGTTTGCGCCGCAGGCGGTATCTCAGCCTTGCATGAGGCAATGCCTAGTGATACATGTTTCCTCCCTATGTGCTCAAGGATGTAACTTCGACTGTACTCCGACTATAACAGCGAGTAAAGTGTATGTTATAAAAATGCACAATACCATTAGGCAATAGGATAGTGTCCACTGAGAGGCAATCTTATAGCAGCTCTCTTTGGTCAATCTTTGTTTCTGAATGGAATTGTGCATCTGTATGGCCATACGCATTACATGCCTTTGTACCTGGGAAGGTACTAAATAGAAGATCCCGCGAATATCTAGAGGCTAGATGATGTACTTCGCAACATACTTGCCGTCTTTGGACACCAAGCCAGCCGGCGCTGCACTTCGACGACGCCTCTTCATGTCTATCTTTCACAACATCCTTGTGATACCAACACTAATCACACACTCCGCCCTCGATGTAACCTGGATATCGTACTCTCTGCATGATGCAAGCATAGTGTGAGGCTTGGTCGAGGCTCATCTCGTTGCCTGTCCGACCAGCGACTGGTGCCCCGCTTATATTTCGCATGAGCATCTAACCTCAATGGCAGGACAGCCTTGTCCGAAGCTGCAGGCACGCCAGCCACCCAGTATGCATCCCAGGAAATAGACTGCCTATGCACTCCGGCCAGTCTGAGGTCCGGAGCTCTCTTATACTCCCCCTCATCTAGCTTCAACAGAATCGTCTCATCGCCAGTCATACATCGAAAATGATGCCGTCTCATGAAGATATCGAATTAGACAGACTCCTAGTATGTCCTGGAAATGACCAGTATGGATCAGACACTGGATTATACCATCAGCTGTCGGAATCTTCAGCCCCAGTACAATCTCTTCTAGCGACGACGAGACCTGGTTTGTCGTCACCCCTCAACATGGAGTTTGAAAGCCCGGAACTACATGAAAGTCTTCGCTTGGCAGACGCATACCACACAAGCCCACCGAATCCTTTCTACCTTAGTATACCTGGACGCTCCCAGTCTACTGTACTGGACCCGCTCCATAGCCGAGCTTTCAAAAGAGACCGACGATCACTCCATGGACTCTACGCCGAACTTCGCTGGCTGGGGTTATCCTNTTTCTGACTATGCTTATAATAGTACTCGAAGTNACTGTCTTNCCCTCAAACAAACATCAGGGTTCAACATCTTCTTCACACAACGCGATTCTCCTCTGGAAGTACTTTCCTACCGCAGGTGCGTAGCCTCCAAAGTGTAGCGGATCTCTCAACTCGGGCATTCTTTTCGAGAAGACACGTTCAATTCGCACCTTGAATCTGATCATGCGAGACGTTACTGACTCTATTTTAATAGTATTATCGATCCCAGCAATCTATTGGAGCAACCTTGAATACCATACCAAGGCTTTGATGGCTTGGAAGCTTGTTTTAAAGAANCCACGACCAACTCAGAATAGCTTGTTAATAGATTATGTCTCCCCAAATTTCGCAGTAATGCTCTGGAAGTCGATCCGCTCACGCCATGTTCCTGTCATATCAGCCGCGCTCNNGGGATCCCTTGCGATAATTCTCGCTACTGTGGCTTCCACTGGATTATTTGTCCTACAGTCTGACATCATTAGCCGCAACAGCACCATATCGATATCGAGCAGTTTCCAAGGCGTCGAATCTAGTTCGACTGCTGTTGATGGTTTCCCAGCGTTGCTCGTGTACAGCATCATGTCTGGCGACTTGGCCCTGCCGTATTCTGCATACACCAACAAGGACTACGCTGTTGAGTCGTTCGGATTAGACTCTTGCGCTNNCATGGTCAAAAGCATTGCTCAGCTTCAGAGTCCAATGGTCGAACTCCCTTTCCGAGTGACTTCCTAGCTTGCTGATTCGTATACAGACTCGGATGAGATTATAATGGCGTCTGTAGATGCATTCTCCGCGGATCTGCTTTGCGAGCTAGGAGTTATCAGCAATATGATATTGGATGGCTCTGAACTTGGCTCGTTACGCATAGATGCCTCTCTTTCAGACAGCAACTGCTCTACTGCCTTCATTGGTGTTCTGGGAAAACGAACCACAATGATACAATAGCGTCTGGGTCAATGGGCTACGTATTCAAAGAAGAATGTTCANGCTCATCCTGAAGCGAGACTCTTTCTAGTATTCCCACAGGCCGAAGTGAACTTACAGCAAGACCTCCAGGAGAGCCCGAACGGCACCGGGAACACGTTGTTATGGAACGCTACAGACTTTAGGTACAACGCCTCGGTCGTCGCATGTACACCAAGCTATGTAATCCAGAACGCGCTTGTCAAAACTGATTCTGAAGGTACACTGCTCAAGGTTGATGTCAGGCCAGAGACTCGACAGCTGACGATCAACGGGGTGGATGTCTGGATAGGAGTCGAGAGCTCAATCCAGCTAATAAGCGGAATGACTGGCGACCCATCATCGTCATATGATTCCCTATTCTTCAGCGCTATGACAGTAACGCAGTCCAGGCCTCGGGAAGATTACCTGAATGCAGAAACTCTCATGCATGATGCGAAGACCCTGTTTAGCGCAGTAGCGGCCCAGGTCGCTAATCGAGTTCTGAGGCACAAGACATCAAGAAAGATAATCGGAAGTCATAGCATTAAAGAGCTTCGCGTTGTGCTTCAGCTCAGATCCCTGCGTCTTACGGAAGTTGGCATGGGTATTACCATCATTTGCAGTATCCTGCTGATGATCATCCTCCCCTTGTCGCCNGACTCATTCATGAGCACTGATCTGGCACATTTGGCTGTCTTGCTTCGTAAAAACCACTCAAGGCCAAGCAGATACAACATCGAACGAACCATTCAAGATGGAGCAGGGAGAGCCTTTCCTGAACAGCACGAAAATTTCAAGAATCGTCTACCTGCTGCCATGACATGCGTGGATGAGATCAAGTGGTGGAAACCAATGGCTCTCAATCATCACATAGCTTCGTTCATACTCGCGTTACCACTACTTACCACTGCGGTTCTGGAGATCACCTATCATACTTCACGAACTCAACAAGGCCTTGGAGATTTGCCTGCAGACCTTCCATATCATTATCTGTGGACTTGGCTTCCAGCTCTTCTGATGACTATCACAAAACTGCTTTATCAATCAGTCGCCAGTTCCATCGCAATGCTAGACCCGTACGCATGGCTGAGGAAAGAAAGTGTCGCCGCTCAACACACCTTAATATCTACCAAGTTGTCAAAAATATCCTTAGTTCTGTGCTATGATGGATGTAAGAACAAGCGATGGGCCCTGTTGGGCAGTGCATTTGCGGCACTCTTGGCTCCCTTCTTGACTATCGCAATGAGTGGACTCTTCGTCATCCAATCTGTCCCTAAGATCCAGCATATGGATATTCAGCTGGCTGATTCCGTGTTGAGTCCTTCGGACAAGCAATGCGATCTAAGCAGCTGGACTCAGTCATCTTTGTGGACTGCCAATCTGCTTACACAGGGATATGGTGGCTCTCCGAAAGGCAGTCACGGAAACGTCGTCTACTCATTGCCGTCACTTCGCACGGGTGTTCCAAGTTTACCTGTTCAGGCGCAGCTCCGGAATGCGTCGTCATTACAGATAGATGTATCTGCCGTCTTGTCGAACGTGACATGTCGAGTAATAGATCCCGCTGGGTTCAGATGGACGATGTACAGGGGCTTTTGGCTCAACTACACTCACCCAGAGTTTGCTACTCTTGGGTTCGGCAATGACACTATCATGTCTCGCTGCCCCAGCGGCATACAGAGTTTTGGCTATTGGCCTGACTCAACTGCGCAACGCATAGCAGACGTTATTTATCCCGTGGATATCCAGTCTCGGTATTGTGCGGACCCGTCTGCATGGACCAACCACGATGTATTGACTCGAGCCATCGCTACCCGAGACCAAACTGTCGCTGCTAGCCCTGATATTTTTATAGTCTTTGGAGCTCTAGACTCTGATTGGATGCATAGCAACACCATTCTGAAAGCGATCAATGGGCTGGCTTGCTACTTCAACGTTTCGGAAGGTCAAGCCAAGGTCACGTATGATCTGTTTGGTGACAAGCTGATCTCATTCGATCCCGTACTGGCAGACTTCAAAGAGTTACGCAACACTAGTAATTGTACACCGGACGGCAACGTTGGACTTTCTAGCTTGCTGCTTCACAAAGAGACGCATGCAAACCCCAACCGTAGTCTTGCAATAACAACTTTTTGGGATGCTGCACTCAATGGTAGCGATGAAGCCACTTATGATGCACCCGAAAACGTGACTCGACTTGCAGATCAAGTCAGTCGCATCTACAACGATTTCTACACTCAGTTCTTCAACAACGCCCTTCGCGATCGGAACCCCCTAAATGGTGCCGGGACGGTTCCTGGAATTTTGATTGGTGACAACCGTCAGCGCCTCATCTAAGACGGTACCTCGACAAGAATACTTGAAGCTCTTCTCCTAACCATGTGGCTCTGCACAACCCTCGCCTATCTCCTNTTCAAGACAGACAAATTATTACCGCAAAATCCTTGCAGTATAGCCGCTCAAATCTCCCTGCTGTCAGATTCAAAGTTTTTGGATTTGATCCCTGCTGAAGCTGAAAATGCTACTTCTGCAGAGTTGATGCAGATGACACCGTTCAAAGATCACTTGTTCAGTATGGGGTGGTGGGATGACGAGAATGGGGGCCGCAGGTTTGGTATTGATGTTGGGATGGCTGATTTTGATAGGGGTGATGAGGAGGGTGAGAAGGAGGTGGGAAGTAGAGTGGAGGTCAATGAGGTAGAACATGGGGAAGTGGTTGTAAGTAAGGTGGATGCTAGAGCAAGTGTTGATGTCGTGGACTCTGAGAGATAAGAGTAGTCGAATGGCGATTAGAGCACCTATCTGTACGGTAGTACGACGTATGAGGTGATTTCATCCATTCTGTCGTGGTTATTTCTGGGAGCCTCATTATAGTATTCGAATCCTAGCGTGCTTAGAAGGCTAAGAGCTTGGAGGTGTGTAATAGAGATAATCGACAAAAAATGTTGTTGTTGCTGTGCTGCTTTGCACTCACTTGAACCCCTGACCATGATCACAATCAGTGAGAGAAGTATCGTTGTCTAGGACATCTAACAATAGCAATATAGACAACACTGATTCAGTTTCAACCAAACCAAAAGTCACAGTGGTCTAGTGGTCCTCAAGACGCTTTGCAGAAATTACAGGTGGACTTGGGTACATTAGGTGCAATAGAGCTATTGGCGGTGCCTAGGTCCTGAGCTGTAAACAAAGAAACCCGAGTTCGAATCTTGGCTGTGCCAAAGCATTTTTTTTTGTTGCCATTTGATGATGCAGCAGATCTGTGGCATGTCTGTCTCGTGGTTGAGTGTTACTCTCCTGTAGCTTCACTCCAATGTAGTATCTATCAGGAGAATCGCACTGTCTGGGGTTGTATCCATATGAACTACAGTTCGAACAGCAATATTTCTTCTAGCCTCTTCACGCAGACGAAGAATGGTGTTGTACCGGCGTGCCAGCATACAGTTCTTGTGGCTCTTTATCACTGCCCGGCGCTCCATGATACTTTGGAGGTTGTACTGCGAGCTCAGATCGACCAAGATCTTATGTGTGTCCCTTGACCGACGATTTTTTTTTTGAGATCTGATCGGAGTAGTCTTGCTCATCTGAGGTTGAAGACGGCGTCTTTGTTCGTTGGTAGTGTCGCCAGAGCAGGAACCATCCAAAGGGCGCCTGGCGTAAAGTTTAATGAGGTAAGAGACATGATTTTGGGGCTCAATACGACACCATAATGAAATAACGGAGATGGGTAACTGGGAATGGATTAAAAAGACCGCTATTGACAACTCAACTCGTAAAGAAAAAAAGAAATATATCTCCAACCTGTACCAATGAACAAAATCCAGAACAAATATCCAAACGCTTAGTGTAATCCCTTGTCGAAGTCACAAACAGTCCAATGATGCCTTTATCTCTTGGCTGTAGGGCCCAACACAGTCTCTCCTGGTTCTTCCCCTTCCTTTCTAAAGTTGTACTTCTGTACGCCGACGAGAGGATAGTCGTTGGGATGTGCTCTTTCGAAAGCCCTCTTAGCTGCTGCGTACCTCTCAACGTCGTCTATATCCTCCATATAATGCGTAGGCTTGGGATCCGGAGCTTCAAAGGGATCGCCAATGGTGTCAGGGCGCTTGGGATGTATGATCTTGAGATCGTCTTTGAGGATGAAGATATCATCAGATGGGTCGGCACTGACGTAACGTGCAAGTTTTGGTCTGAGGCCTTCTTTGATTTGACGGGTGACCATGTCTTGACGACGTTTGCGAGATGCAGCTTTTGCTCTTCCTGCACTGGAGGGTGAGAGATCTCTGTCGATAGGGGATCTGCGACGCTTAGGGCGAGCGCGAGGCACACAGAAGACATGTTTGAACTTGTCGATGAACTTTTTGGTGACACCTGGACCATCGCCTCGCAGTGGTGTGGTTTCTGAAATACTGGTATCGCCCTCTGAGAAGCCTCCACCGCTGTTGAGTTCTTCAAACCATTCATTAGTGCCCCAACGCTCCATGCCTTGAGTGAAGTGAGGCATGTACTCCTCGATGACGTCCAATAATTGCTGTGGTGTTGGTCGTTCCTCTGGTTTGAAACATACCATAGCGTTGAGAATGTCGAGTAGCTGAGGGCTGTACTCTCTGCGAAGAGGGGTTTCTGCTTCGCGTGCTGGCGTGCGTTTAGGGAGCGGTTCATAGCGGGGTTCATAACCATAATGGGAGGTATTCCAGGGAATATCATTCGACCAGCTTGCTACACCCATCATGATGGACTGCATGATCCAGCCAATCTGCCAGATGTNTCTGCAAAAACAGTCAGTATGATTATGTGTCTTGAAAGACGTCGATCGGGCATTGATCTTGAGCCAAGATCATGAACTGGATCATCATTCGAAAGTGTATATACTCACGGTGTAAGAGCCTCCAGGGGCTTGCCATTGCCTGTTTCGTTGTTAAAGTTATTCTTGTGGAGGCTGCTAGAACAGAAAGACTTACTTCCGCAATCTACCACCAAACGACGTGATCTCAGGAGCAGACCAGCCTACTGTACAACATCCGTACATCAAGAAATCCCATGGGTCACCTTGCCGGTGTTAGTCTTGTCAGCACCAAGATACTCGGGTGGTGTACGTACGTGAATAAGTGATGTGTGCATTTCCAAAATCCCCGAGATAAACCGGAGGATAAGCCTGGCAAAGTCAGCTAAGGACGTACAGATTAGCAGGAGATAGACATGAGCTTACTGGGAAGTTGTTGTTCTTGCCCAGAGATCCAGGAGCGCCGAGGAATATGTTTTCGGGTTTGAGGTCAACATGGACGACCTGGTTGTCTCTTTCGCTGGTGCGGAATGCGGTATCCATAACTACTGCAGCAGAAACAAGTCGGTGCAGTATATACCAAGCAAATGGTTCCGGAATCTGTCGATGCCCATCCAGCGTAGAGCCTCTTCGATCTTCTACACCTTGCGTTCGAACAAGATCGTAGAGATCACCAAAAGCGAAGAAGGGTGAGTAATATCTCCAGGAATCGAGCGACCAAGAACAATGCTCAGCACCCAACAGGGGTACAGTAAAGACCTTGTCTGGAGATGTGCCGTTCGGTACTAGATATCTCTGCAGAAAGACTTCTCTAATCTGGCCAGTCCCTAGTCCTTGGTTTATGATTTGTTCTGATCGTACTTCGGTATATTTAAGCACGACGCGGTCGACAATTTTCTGGTCTGCATTGGAGACTAGGTTCCAGAGATATGCTCTGCCGAAGCCACCGGCACCGAGTTTCTGACCAAATACCCATGAATGTCCTTCGGGTGCGTTGAGACGAGGCGGCGCGCGCTGTTCGATGTCAATCCGGTCGTTGCGATGCGGGTCAGGGAAGTATCCACCAGCATCCGACATGTCTGTAGAACGTTGACGCGAGGAACGATGAGAACTATATGATGTGTTTTCATTGAAGTGTGTGATTGTCGGGACTGTATTCTGGGTAAGCTAGACATATGGCAAAGAAGTAACGAGAATTGTTATCAACAAAGGACTTTCCGGATTCGGCCTTGATCGTTTTCAAAAATACAGTCGTCTTTGTATTGGAACTCCGTTCTCGAGTCTCCAGGTACACTCTTTGTGCCTTGAAAGCCCTTGACGAAAACATGTTAGATACACTCCGGCGAGTGAAAAGGTCCGCATTGTCACGCCATATGGTTTACTTGACCATTGTTCATGGTCGAACATATATCAAAGAAAACCACTCAACACGATAAATCAAACGGAACTAACTCAGCCTTACGAGGTGCTAATCTGAGTCTTGATGAAAGTTGTTGTCATGTTGCAGCCAAAGATGCTGTGCACGTTACGAGAGATGGAAGGCGCGTTCACCGTGGTCTGTGCCGGAATGTGATTTCGGCACTCATCGAGGTATTCGGTGGTAGATGAGGCTGATCATGATCTCGATGAAGCAGTCATGAGACAGTGTACAAAGATTTCTGCTGCGTGACTCGACTTGTTTCTGTTGCGATTGGGTCGGGTCGAGTCGAGGTGTAGGTCTTGAGGTCGGAGTTGAGACAGATGTTGCCAACATTGAATCAGCCGGAAGATCTTCGGCTATTGCTGTTCTCATCCACCCTCTAGCCGACGATATAACGGATTAAGGTCCTTGGTGATCATCGCATGCAGCCTGCAAGGGGGTTCAAGGAAACATAAGCTACTCACCAGCTCCCCGTGTGCGATTGTTTGTAACGCATGCGGCTGTAAAAATGCACAATACTATTAGAAATAGGAAAGTGTCCACTGAGAAGCGATCACTCATCAGCTCTCTTTGGCCAAATCCTTATTTCTAGATAACATTGTGCATTTTTATAGCCACACGCGTTATAAGCAATCGCACTTGAGGAGACAGCAAAGACCCAGTGTGGAGCTGGCCGCTGGCTCATGTTTGCTTGGAGCCACTTGCTGCAACATTCACGTCGACCCCACCGCCACATGCGTATACATTGAATTTCAGCTGCTGAAAGTGAGATTATAACGATGTTGGTAAGTATTGATAAGGACATGCTCATCCAGAGGCAGGCCTTCGTGACAAGCCACAACCACCAGTATGCAGCCCGCTCGCAATATTCAGGCTCGATAAAAATCATTGGCCTTTCCAAGCCCAGTTTCGATCAGGCGTTGTTGTCTGCACGTAGTCTGAGAAGCGTTCGCTCACAACTGTAGTGGTTGTGGTGCCATAGAAGATGAGAACGACTTCAGGAACAATGGCTGTGGAGATGCCAGTCATAATCTGGTGTATCCACCCGACTACGATCAGGTCTGCCGAATATCTTGACGGCCTCGGAACAGATGCTGCTAATTATTGCTTTGTCTCACGCAGGGCTTTTCTTTTCGACCTGCTCTTCTATCTTTGTGGATCCCTCTTCTAGTTTCCCTGGACTTTCCATATGACTTTTTTTAAGATTCCTTTTCATCCGATTCTCTGTACCTGTTTTCCTTTGCTTTGTTTGACTACTTTTCTATGCCCCTGCTTTACCAATTCACCACCGACGACAGCTAGTTTCTTTCTCTCGAGTCTTGACTGTCTCTCGTATGATAGTTTCAAGCCCTTTCTTTCCAACTTAGTCAATACCTCACTCCTTATCGTAACTTTAGGGGTTATCATTTAGGAAGCCACCAATGTTATCATACCACACCAAATAATCGATGAGTACGACTGCGTATCTTCGAACGACGATGAACAGGCTCATGAATTAAGACTGCATACAGGTGTGCACGCAGGAATACATGACTGCTTCAAGCCCCTGACCTCTCGAGCTCCGTCAGGAATCACCTCAATCACAAGAGTATATATTGAAGTCGAGTAAGGTGCCTTCAAGCCTGAAAAGGTAGGTTAGTGTAGTGGCAGCCATTCTCACGGCCTCTATCTGAGCGGCATGCCAGACTAACCTTTTGCTCATGGTCCACGATTCGGTCTTCTGAATCGGCAATTCTTCTTTTTTTGCACTTTCACGACGACTTTACTGCCTACCAGAGTGTTCACGGAAGAGTCGGTGATTGTTGTTTTTGTCGAATGTGAAGTATTCTCAATCTAATTGATCTGTAGTATAAGTAAGTAATCTCGATGTACAGCGTCATGTGATTGGAAGAACGGGACAATATCATTGGATGCATAAGCGCCATGGCGGAAGACATGCAGAGTTGCAAACCCGCGTGTCAAAGAGTGCAAACCTTTCGATCTGTGAGCAGCTTGCTGCGAATCTGTTCTTCACACCTGCCTCATATATGGTAAAGAGTAGCAATACTTAATCACACCACTCAAAAATCCTGTCCGATAATCCGTGATGATCGAGAAGGAAGGCACAAGAGAAACGATGTGCTCGATAGACGTCCTCTATACCTGCCAGGATGACGACGTACCTCCTATACTACCTGCCGCTACCATCATCGAAGCTTGCAACAATGCGCCAAAGACAGAGCTTGGTTGCGTTCCCACCACTCTAATGTTTTCTTCCGAGCTTGTTATCAAGCACGTTCGCGTCACACTCGAAGAATGCCGCAATCAGGTCAGAGCGTACGAACTGCTGGATCCATCCATCGTCGTGGTGCCCAAAGTGTACCGCTACTTTTCGCACAACGACAATATCTATCTCGTGATGCAGAGGATACATGGCCAAGTCAGAAAAAGAGTCGAAGATTTGCAGAGTGTGAGGCGTATAGCTGATATCATCCGCCATCTCCAAACGCACAAAAGCAACATTCCCGGGCCATTGGGCGGTGGCATCTCTCGAGGTCTATGGTGGGAGAACGAGGACGCGGATTTACGGGGGGAGGTGGCCAGGTTCGCGGAATACATCAAACGCAGATTGAAGGGTCCGCAACAAGGGTGGACCTTCGACATGGGTGAGTTTGTCATGAATCACAACGACATTGCGCCCAGGAATATCATCTGGATGCCTGACGGAAGCATCTCTCTGATTGACTGGGCTCACGCTGGTTTCTATCCTTGGCTCTTGGAATTGGCAATCCTGGAATTCAACACTGACGGAACTGAGGATTTGGGCTTCACCATACCCCTTATTGCGGAATTTGAGCCTCTGAGCGAAGCCGATCAGAAAAACAAGGCTTCTTTGCAGATGGCTTGGTTCAACGGTCACAGGTATCCAGTGTAAGTACAGATTTGGCCATAGTCCGGAGTCAATACTGATGTAGTCTTGTCATCAGAGAGCCCTTGGACCCGCTGCCTCCTTGCCCTGCTGATTGCACATGGCATTGTTGTGCTCGTGTACCAACAGGCTATGATCCACCCCTATCAGAAGATTATTCTCAGGCTTTGCGCGGCGAGGCGTTGAACGAATGGCTCTTGCAAGACCTCAAGAACAAAGGCCTCGTAGAGTAGTCAATGGGACGCGAGGCACATATATTGCTGGTGATTTCATTTGCTCTCAGACAATGAATTTTGCGTCGACCTTTCACTCAAGTATCATGTCACATTCATCTCAGAAAGAGTATGTCTGTGGCTGTTTTCTTCGTATTGATCATTTGAGCATTGTCTGTTACATAGTATTGCAGAGTTCTGCCCGCGATGAACAATTGCTTGGACCACAACCTTGAACAGGCCGTTCCAACTCAATAGAAAGACCCATATACCATCGACAGCGGTGTCGGACCCTGCAGTCCCGAATATTTGAAATGGAGATGTGGCCAAAGGGTAGCAGCAGCATCAGAGCGGATCCACCCCTTGTTGGCTAAGTTCGAGATGACAGTGTNAACTACATCGCAGGTTAGTTCTGATGTTACACACTTTGGACAAGCCTCAACTCACACCCACCAGCGGCAACCGGAGCCACCGCCAGACATATTGTAACGATCTAAATGATGCTGCGTGACCAGAAGGTCGTAGGCCATTCCGACAGTGAAGTATGTGATGGCTTCGTAGTCACAATGTCGAAGTCTCGAGTTACTGTCTACGTAATCATAGACCTTGACTTTGAGGTTGCCATTGATGCGTCCAGATCCAGTTCACATGTTGAATTGAACACTTTTCGCGGGACCAATAATAAGATAGATTGACCAGTGATTGTCGCTAGCGTTCGTGTTCGGAACTCTGCCAGCCCTATGGCAGACCACTCGGACTTTCAAGACTTGAGCATTCCAATCGCTTCGCAGAATATGGGAGCTAGACATGGTATAACGTGGAAGTCTGCCAGAAAATGATCAAGTATCTCAGGCGGCGTCAGATCTTCATGGCCTTTACATATCCAATGTGGGTTGTAACCATCATAACGCCATGCTCAAAGAGTTTGGATAGCTCTCTGTCGCTCGTCTCCAGTCAAGCCAGCTCGCAAATCTAAGTTGTTGGATACTGACGTGTTGGTGGAGTTCATTGGATAATAATTGCCAGACAACGCGTTGGCGGCTACCCGCAAACTCTGCCAAACCACGACGACGTTCTTCGGGTCATCCAGATAGGGTTGGCTGCGTTCACCATACGAACTGGCCGCATGGAATGACCGCAAGATGAGTAAACAGAACGGTGGAGTTCTGCATGCTGTTCTCAATGACAGAATGCTCGGCGGTATGATACCCGAACTCTTGCTTGAATCCAAGCAACTCTGATACCAGTGGCTGAAGGTGTAGGTACCAGCGATGCGAGCGAAGATCTGATACTCTGTTAGCTTATTGAGTAACTTAACATTTCTCGAGACTCATGTGGCCACGGGGACACTGAATCGCCAAGGTCTCAAATACATCATTGCACTTCCCAAACCCGTACATGGTGACCAATCAACAGTGGTATAAGAATAACTCGTATAGGTATCTCTTTAGCTCAAAACCAGGATACTGAATATCAGCAAGATCGATGCATCTCCACTCTCATCAAGACTTCTCCTCATCATCTTCCTTTTCCTCACTATTGTCTTTCTTCTTCTCTTCCGTGTATGGCTTTTGCTTTGCTCGTGAGTTCCAATCCAATGAGCGCGAAATGCTTTCGATCCAGTCTTCGCTGCGTTTGTTGAGAGGTAATACACTGGGGTAGGGGAACCTTGAGGCGGAGATGGTGACATAATCGCCAGGGAAAAGTTCGGTTCTNNAAACGATATGTTGTTAGTATTCTGTCAAAGGGGTACGTAGAATATAGGGAAGTTGAGCTGGGACATACCTATATTTGCCATCGAAACTTGTGTATGCAGAACTGCGTGCGTCGTATGGTACACCAATACGCAAAACCATAGTGTCAGGNNGAAGAATGATGGGTCTGAAGTTTAGAGTGTGTGCAGCGATTGCAGTAAGCAGAATGACGGGATTGTCTGGATGACAGAGACTTCCTCCTGCTGCGAGGTTGTACGCTGTACTGCCTGTTGGAGTAGCGACGATCAACCCATCGGCTGCAATGGTGGTAAAGCATTCTTCGTCACCGTAGACGTCCAGCGCGACCATGGATCCTCCTGGCCCCCTGTCGAGAACAATCTCGTTGAGGATGTGGTATGCTGCTTCTGCCTTGTGGGTGTGGTTATCATCAGCTTCGGTACCGACAAGCTCCTCATCTAGTCTTCTTTGCTTGTGGTCCTCGTCGCTATCGCCTTCGCGACGAATGCTTCGCATGATGGTGCCTTCGAAGCGTAGACGTAGAGAAACAGTAATGCCATCGTTGAAGGCCCTTGGTAGGATGGATGTGTACCTCGCAAAGTCAAACTTGGTAAGGAAACCTAAGGATCCCATGGCGAAACTGAGAACAGGGGGTACGATGCGCTGGAAGAGAAGGGATGCGAAGAGAACAGTACCGTCACCACCAAGNNCTGTTGTGTAATGTCAGTAAGCTAGCCATGACAGTTTGGTTGGAAGAGTAGTTACCGCGAGGACGATGTCAAACTTATGTGGCGTCTNTTTGCAAAGCTCCTCGTCCCAGTACTTTAGCCTGCTTGTCTTTGATTCGTCTCCCTCGAGGATCCACGGGATGTCGAAAGTCTTGAGGTCCTTAAGTTTGTCCTGAACGTANNTCTGCAACCTGTCAGTTACGAAATCATCGTCTCTGAGTTCCATAACATACACAGTATACTGAGCCTCCTTCTGATCCAGCAACCACTTGGTCAACTCTGCCGCCTTAACACACAGAGTAGCATCCGTGAGCTTGGTAAGCACAAAGACATTCTTGACCTTGAGCATCAATTTGACTCTCCCCAGACGTTTCGAAAGCTCACGAATACCAAAAGCCATATCGGACAATTGCTTCTTGGTAAGCAATCGTGATTGCATGTGATCGCCATGTTGAGGTGGTGTACCCGTCTGTTTGTCTGCTGGTCTTTCTTGGTGTTCTCCTTCTACACTTTGCTCATGCTTTGTGCCATCTTCCTTTTCTTCCAACATGTTGTGGATGAAGCATGATGTGTCGTTGCGTTTTGCGGCGGGCCGTGACATGTTGGTCCTGACGATCGAGGATTTGCGCCGTGGTGTTGATTGTCCTTCGAAAATGACCTGGCAGGTATGCGATTAGGATTGCAGGATGGTTGAGCAGGTGTCAGGGTAGGAAGTTACTTCGAGAGCTTGGTGTCCTTCGTCACTGCTCAAGTCGTCNNGAGGCTCTACAACACGCGGGTGTTAATAGAGATGAACAAAGACCGGAAACGGCACATTTACCTCCCTCCTAGCACTGACGCGTTCGGCAAGAGCATCTAGCGCCTTCTCACTCATTGTCTTTGTAGGAATGCTTCCAATTGTTCTGTCGAGGAATGTTGTTCTCCGTTTCGTGCCGCATTCGTGCTTTTAATTGTGTACGAAATCCGTCGTCATGCGGCTCTGGAGACTGCTGATTGTGGGGTCGAGATCTTATCTTATTTCCGCTCGTGGGGATCTGTTCTCATCATGCCGAGGTTGGTGTTGTTGTTGCCAACGAGAGGGACCACTTCCCCCTCTCTCGCTTCTTTAATCCTTCGTGTCCGTCGCCTGGGCTATATACAGTAGTAGCGCAATATATAGCAAACCTAGGTAAATTCTCGACGACGCTTACGAGTAAGGTAGTATATAATATATCTCCTAACTTTTCTTTCTTCGTGTTTCCCCTTCTCTTGTCCCCGACTCATTTCACCTGTTCATTTGAACCCCATACATAAATCATGGCAGATATCACCATCAACGATATAGACCTACAAGCCGTCAAGGGCAAAGTCGTCCTCATGACCGGTACGCTACGAACAGAAACCTAACACTCTTGCATCTTTCTGACAAGAAGCAAAGGCGGCTCCTCAGGCATCGGCCTCGCAACCACAACCCTGCTCTTGAGTCTTGGAGCCAAAGTCGTGAACGGCGACATGAACCCTCCTCTCTCAAACCCAAACTCTGACTCCTACACCTGGATCCGCACCAATGTGACAATCTGGTCCGATCTAGTCGCTCTCTTCAAAGGCACCTTGAACCAACACGGCCACATCGATCACGTCTTCGCCAACGCAGGAATGCGACCATCAACCTCCTATCTCGCTTTGGAAGAAGATCCCAACGGAAACCCAGTGGAGCCTTCCCATCTGACCTTGGATGTAAATCTCAAAGGCGTAATCAACACCGCTTCCTTGGGCTTGCACTACATGCAAAAACAAACCCCTCCCTCACAAGGAAACTACAGCATCGTACTGACCGCCTCCCCATCCGCATACCACCGTTTCCGCGCCGCAGACTACGGAATCAGTAAACACGGCGTCCTAGGCCTATTGCGCGGTCTCACACCCGTAACATTTCCCTCCTTACCCATTCGCGTGAACGCCTTATGTCCAGGTTGGACAGCAACAGCACTAGTCGAGCAAGCCCATTACAAAGGCGTAAACGTAAACCTCACAACAGCAGAGAATGTAGCCAAAGCTGCCGTATTGTTGATGGCTGATGAAAGCAGACATGGGCAGATGGTGTTGAGTGTGGGAGATAGGTATAGAGAGGTCGAAGAGGCGGTTTTGCTTAAAGCTATGACTTCGGAGGTTAGAGGGCAGGAGTTGAGTGAGGATGAGATTTGTGCTGCGGTGACGGAGAATATGATGAAGCAGGTACAGCAATAATTGCTGTTTACGATAGGGGGAAGTGTAATCATTTCACGATATGTAAATGTTAGCCGTCTTTCTGAGAATGGTGAGCTTGATAGAGTTTTGTCCAGGTTCAAAGAAAGATTGAATGTCCCTTTGACACCGATTGGTCTCGAAACTCTTGCTAGATCGTGATCACGTTAGTGCTGGTTCCTCGAAGACGAGATGTTGGTAAAGAAAAATTTGTACAGGTATAAATACAGAAGACATGACTTCTCTCTCTTTCGGAGTCCCACCAAATAACGCCGCCCAATGCAACATTCTTGGTGTGAGCCCTAGTTGGAGCCACGCTTGTTGTTCTTCTTCTTGCGCGAGTTGGAATCTCTGCTCTTGACCTCTGAGCTGCGCAACATGGCACGCTGTCTTTGGTATTGTCTGACGATGTTGTCGACACTGCCAATGTCGTGTCTGGGCTGGCGCATGTAATAAAGTCTTGCTCTTCTTGCTCTCTTCTCCTTCCTTTGGACGACTTCGACACCTTCAACATTGGGACTGTAGATCTTGTACCACATTTCGACACCGACGCGGGTCAGGTTGTTGCGCANAAGGATGGCTGTGTCGATACCTTGGCGACGGATGTTGAGACATACTCCAGCGTATTGGTCGCCGTTCTTTAGGCGGACGAGGAGGATGTCACCGACGTTTGCGCGGTCAACATTCTCACGGCTGAAGAGGCGGGTACGGGCGCCAGTAGGATCGAGGGTAGAAATTTGGGTCTGGGTAATGGCGGCGATGGGGTCTTTGCAGTTTGTGCGGGCTGAAGGGACGGCGGGGAAGACTGGGATCTTCTTCATGCTATGTTCGCTGTCNNTGGAAGCAGGTCAGAGCTGAGAGACAAGGCCGGGTATGTTGTATGTCGTACTGCGGCCGGTCATGATGGCACCGGGGTGGAAGTTCACGGGCCTGCCGGTGGTCGCTGGAGCGGCGGTGGCATAGTAGCGCGAGTGGTGCTTGTCGGCGCGCAATTGGCGCAGGGCTGATTTGAGAGCAGCCAGTGGCCGTGCTGGAGTAGACATGGTCGTGTGTGTGGTGTATTGAATGAATGCTCGCTGTCGCTGGTGTTCATGCGGGTTCCGCAGCCCGCAAAAAGTTCGGCCAGCCAATCACGACGCCGCAAGCCCGCGACTCTCTCTGTACCACGAATTGCTCGACAACTGCTCTTGCGACACACAATCAATCATGACGGATCTCTGTAGGACGTGTGCATTGCGCACTCAGCGCTCTGCTGTCGCTGCCCTCCGCCGCAACACCCAGACTCGCTCTTTCACTGCCACCTCTTCTGCTCAAAGGAATACTGGTATGCATATGCTGCCTTCTTCGCCATCGCTTTCTTTACCCTGACAACCTGCCCANGCCACCCTACCCACCTTCGCCGAAACCTCTTCTCCCGAACTCGATGATGTCCTCCTCCAACTTCGTACCAAACACTTCATCCCCGCCTACCTGAACAAGCGCCAGCGCCATCTCATCTTTGGAGACAAGTTCAAGCAAGAACTGGAAAACAACCCTGCCTACGCTACTCTCGGCGACGAAGAGATCCCTCTTGTTCACATCGACCGCAGAAAGGATATCCCCGCTCGCAAACCTCTGATCCTTCAAGCACTGCGTCTGATCGAGGAGAACGACGAATGGCGTCAATTGCCCTCTCTCCTTGAGGGTCTGCACAAGGCTCGCCCACACCCGGATCTGGCACTCCAGGAAAAGATTTTGAGAAAATTGCAATTGGCCGATCAGTTCCCTGTTATCCTACGCTCGCTGCGACGATCGCATGCCACTGGTCTCACTCTTAAGAACGACGCCGTGCTAAATCAGGTTCTCAACGCATTGCGCGAGACCGCTTCGCTGGAGAACTGGGAGCAGACTCGTTTGGAGAAGGCATTGAAGCAGGCAGATGAGTTGGCTGAGTTGCTTGAGTCGGCGGACCATGGTTCGGGAAGGAAGTTATCACCAAACGACCCCAGGACACGTCCTGCTGTGATTGGTCTCTTCTTGGAGTTGCATGCCGTCTACGCACAGCAATACCAGGGTGGCCAGGACGTGACTGGCAAGGTCAAGGCCTACGCTACCAGATTCATGGCTACCTTCAACGAGGCAAACCAAGTATGTGCTTTCACAATCCTTTCTACAATCAGTTAAACTAACAATTTCCAGCCTGCAGAGACAGATCTCCCAGCAGTCGGTGCTCCGATCGAGTTCCTTTCAAAGATGTCCATCTACCACGGTCTCGGCCTCGCATCCAAGATCTTGGGTTCTAACATGCCTGAAGCTGCTCGCGCAAACCAGATCGTTCAACAGTACGAGCAGAGATTGAGCACACTGGCCGCCGCCCTATCAGCGAGAAACCCCGAGCCCAACAGCTTTGCCGCGTCGAGCTTGAAAGCCTGGGACGCCTGTGTGAGGTAGATTTGATGAAATTCGTCTGTAATAGTATGTTTGCATGTATATCTAAAAGGACAAGATTTTCTGAATTTCCAAGATGGAAACAACAATCCTCAAGAGCTTCTCTGCTGCCTAGGTACCTTCTCTGACTTGTCTGACTTTTGCGCGAAAATGGCGACTCGCGCCTTCCTCTTCCACCCCAACATTTAGCGCCGCGCTTACCACCTTGATTGATAACCCATGTACGTTGTATCTGGAAGCATTGTCACAACTATTTTCATGCATTTCAACCTTGAATAGCCGCTCAAGGCACAGATAATCTGCACGCAGTCTATGCAGGACGACCTTGCCGCAACGATGGCCTCCAACACGGCGGCTACCTGCAGCATGCTTCCGCACCTCCGATATCAGAATGAGTGGCCATGCAAACCCAAAAGTACTTGAAGATGGATACCAAGCGCCGTCCTATGCTCAACTGAAGCTTGTAACACCTATCAATCTTTTACTGGAGCTATGCTGTCGATACCACACTTGAACGATTCGAGCAAAGCTCTTGATGGAACTCAATTGCGATCTAAGGTCTCTGAACAGTCTATTGAACCTTCGATCTGGACGGAAGACGATGANAAGGGTTTAATCTCGTCCTCGACTAAGAAGCATTGGAAGCCAGTGACTCAGAAAGCACACTTCCTCGTGCCGACTATTCTGGCTTCTGGAGCGTTGATAGCCGTCCTCCAGGTCTATCTGGAACGCAGTAACAGAGACAATGGTATTTTGTTCGCCTCCAGGATTAACGATCTTCCTTTGAACCAGAAATTTCCCTATCTCTACCTGCCGACAATCGTGTCGCTCGTGCTCAGTTTCGCCTGGGCGTGGCTTGATCTTGATGTCAGAAGACTCCAACCATTCATTGAGCTTTCCAAAGAACAGGGAGCAAGTGGAGATGATTCGCTTTTACTCCATTATCCTTTCGATTTCGTGGCATTCGTGCCGTTCACTGCAGCTAGGCGACGGTAAGAACATCTCTTCTGATTGCGTAGCGTTGCTAAGACTTTANNTAGACACTGGCCAGTCTTCGCAGCATCGCTAGCTGTAGTCATCATCTATTGGGGACTTACTCCTTTGCAATCAACCATCTTCGCTACAAGAACGATTGAGATGAACATACCAGTCGCTACGGCGAGGTCGACATCCTACCTCTCACTGCAAGAGCAGAAGCATGATTTAACTGCCGAGTACACACAGTCGGTCTACAACATCGCGTGGCTTAACGAAACTTTGCCTCCTTTCATGAGCCAAGAAGGTATGCTCGCTCCGTTTGGCCTCTTGGATAATATCAACGGGTCAGGGTCTGCCGAGACTTGGACTGCACCCACTCGACTCTACTCGGTCGATCTCAACTGCGAAAGCCCGACTTACGGCATCAATGACACGAGCAAGAACCTGCTTCTTAGTTCCAATGGATGCAAGTACTCACGGCAGAATATGGTCTTGCCAACAAAGATCAAGGACAGCGAATACAACAGCCTCTACGTGGGTTACTGGTATGAAGAATCTATGGACTCCTACCTTCTAGGAAGCTGTCCGGAGCATGCCAACCAAACATTCCTTGTCCGCTGGTCTCGTGGTCAAGAACGACAAGCTGGTCTCGACCCTATTCTAACAGTAACTGTACCGAAAGAGGGAACTACTTTGTGGTGTACTTCTTCATACTATCAGCAAGACGTCAATGCTACCGTGTCTTCCCCTGATATGGAGGTCCTTGGAGTAGTACCTACGGGCCCAAAGACGGCCTTGCCTGCTGACTTCTTCAATGTCACTGAATTCGAATGGGGAATGAGCCAGGGTTCTGATGCCAACGGAAATCGAGGAACCTTTCCTAGCGTAGGTATTCCCTCGGGTGGCTGGCCCTCTCCATATGATCGACTCTGCGCCAAGTTTCCAGACCTCGTTTGGGACATGTATGCATACCTACCGAACATGGCAACCTTCGCACTAGGAGCATATCAACGCCCGATGGCGGAATACCTCGATGCAGAGACGCTCAAGGACTCTTATCAAGCAGCTTATCGCATCCTATTCGCACGACGCTTAGCCGATGTGCTACATCTGGACCTCGATGACCGTACAACAGTGATGGGCAACCGTCGTTACACTACGCAGACTGTCATCATGGTCCCTGCTTTTGTCTACGTAGTAGAAAGTATGGTGGCCATAACAGCAGCTGCTGCTTTTGTGATACTTTTTCTCTCTTTGTTCAGGAAGACCAAACTCGTATCCGAACCTGCCAATATTGCTTCAATGATGGCATTGTCTGGCAGAGATTCCTGTATGGTGCAAACGATGACTGAAGACGACTGTGCAACATCTACAGATTCGAAAGCAAAGTACAAAGACACGCGCTTTGCTCTGTCGAGACTGGGACCTGATCAAGGTCCGATCATATGCTATTTCGGACATGATGATTCAAATCTGGACGATGTTGTATCTGCACAAAAACCTACGACGTCGAAGCGCATCTTACCTATGGAACTTTCTTGGACGTTTGGACTCGGTTTCCTTAGCCTCCAGATTGGTCTTGTAGTCACATTGCTTTACCTCCTCACTCGGATCCGAACAGATAATGGTAAGTTCTGATCTACGCGAGATATGCGTTGGCTTACAACTCTAGGTCTGCCTCTGCCATCCACGTCGATCTTTGTCAATCAGCTGCTGGAGAACTATCTGCCAATGGTCTTTGGAGCATTCTTCGAGCCAATNTTTACCATGATCACAAGAACATTGTGCATGCTTCAGCCATACGAGCAGCTCCGAAAAGGTCAAGCTAAGCCTGAAAGGTCTATTATGCTCGACTATGCATCTCTGCCACCACAGGTGGTGGTATTTCGGGCTCTCAAGAACAAGCATGTTGCTCTCGCTCTGGTTTCTCTGATGACTCTGTTAGCAAACGTCCTCTCTATCATTTTCAGCGGATTGTTCACTGAATCTATGGTATTGATACCTCAACGTGCTAACTTTACGGCTGGCTACCAGTTCCCTTTGAACGGGTCCAGCCTTGGGAACGAAAGTATATCGAGGAATCGACCATCTTATGACTCGTATTATGTCGCGTCGTCCAACCTCACGTCTGATACGCCGCTGCCGTCGTGGACAGACGGACAATTCTTNTATCTTCCATTCGAAGCGCATGAGCCAACATCTGCCAACATAACTCAATATAAAGTCGCAACACCTGCAGTCAAAGCAGCATTACACTGTTTCCCGATGGAGCAAAAGATAGATGGTCACAATCTGAGATGGATAACACTCAGCGAAAAGACCACATGCGATTTCAGCTTGGTGCCAAATTTTCCAAGTGTACAGAACAACACACCTCAGGCCATCGAATATGTTAACTTTACCTGGCCAGTATATAGAGAGGGCCCTAAAGGACAAGTAATCACAAACTGCGACCTGAGTGTCATGGCAGGTTGGGGCAGGACCTCCAAATCGACTAGAGACGGTCCTTTGAATGCGTCCTGGATTGGCTGTATACCTAGGCTTCAGGTTGAGCTTCGCGAAGTCACAGTCGACATAGAAGGGAAAGTGATATCTTCATCCACCTTGAATTCGACAGTCGGCGATTTGAAAAGAATGTTTGAGCCAAACGCCACAAGTCTCATCCAGTCAGTTCACAAAGTTCTGGATCCTTACAATGCAGTTGCAAAATTCTACACCACAAATCCTAGCTGGCACAATGACAGCTTCCCTAGCGACTTCGTCAACTACCTCATGGCGCAGACTACCAATGACACGGCTTTCCTAGATCCCATGGCATCACCGCCTTCTTTCGAAGAAGCTGCACCGCTATTGAACATGTTGTATTCTAAACTTTTTGCGATCGTCCTTGCCAGCAATGTTGACAAGGTCCTTCGTCCGTCGAACGAGACGAAGGTCACGACCGGCATATCTCTGGAACTTGAGACCCGAATATTCGTCCAGGAAGAGATGCTTGTCGTTGCCGTCGCCATTCTACTCTTGTTTATGTTGGTCACGATAGTCTTGTACATCCGCCGGCCTTGGGGGATCCTTCCGCGTATGCCGACAACACTGGCAAGCCAGATGGCTTTCTTCGCTGCAAGTCATGCGATGAAAGATTTAGCCGAGACATCAGGCATGTCTGAGAAAGAACGCAACTCATATGTCAAAGGACTGAGGCAAAGATACGGATTTGGAAAGTTCGTGGGCACAGATGGAAAGACTCATATTGGTGTCGAGAGAGAACCTCTTGTGCAAGTTATCACCAAGCAAGACTTGCGGACTATGCGTAAGAACGTGGTGATAGAATCCGATCTGAGTCGGTGATCAAGTCTTCTCGACTCCGGCATCCTGCATCAGTTCAGATGGACATGCAGGCCGTCGTCAGAGAAGATTTCGGCGCCAAAGTCGTCGCATCACAGGCGTCTCCAGAGACAATGACAGAATGAGTTTCCCAATCAAAATTCATACCACCACTCTGCAGAGCATGCGAGAAAGTATCGCTCGGTGGCTCAGAATGTACAATGCTGCATGTGAAGCGCGAGTCAAGAACGAGGTGTTACAGGTCTCAAACAGAACCCAGTGTTTCATGTTAGCGACTGAGCTGCGTCGGCCTTGTGGCCCGAAGGTGGATGCCGGCAGATCTGAGGTCCGAGCTTCAGCACCTCACACGTCCTGCTTGATGACCATTCACCAACACTTTAGAACGAGGTTGTTTGCTTCAATCAAAGCAAACAACTTACTGATGACGCGTACGTACTGACAAAGTTGATCAACATCTCCTGTCCTTTGCGCTATAAAGAACGCAAGGAAGTACGGCACAAACATCGGTTCTTTGTCACATCCACTCCTGATGCACAGACGCGCCGCCTCCCGAGGCTTGTGCATCTCCTTTTCGACCGCTCTCTCGCTCCTGCTCCTTGATTGGACGCTGCCAAAACATCGTTTACTTCCATGCATGCACGTCGGAAAAAATGCTTTGAGCCATTGTCAACATCGATTGTAAAAGCGTCGCAACGTATGACTCTGTTGGCCCACTCCAAGGCTGGGCAGAAGAGAGGCCAGATTGGATAGCAATGCCCAATAATACTTGACACGGATTGGCAGGCTGTGCAAATGCCGGGAAAGACAGGAGACAGGTCGATGTCTAAAAACAACACATAAGGCCAGCGTCAACTGTTGCTGTCTCGCCCAGATCTGGAGACTGCTGTGTGACCAGAACCAAGCTTTACCGTGCTGCAGGGGTGGCCTTGACCGCCATCGTCCTTTAACACACGCGATCGGCCATGCGCAAACTTGCACGGGCATGTGCAGGATTTCTTCATCCGTCTTTCGCAGTGGCTTCGCCCCGCGCTTGGGACGATTTGACGGCTCTAGTTCAGTCTCACCAGTACAGCAAAATGCCTCCTGAGGAGGCACATCTGGCCTCCTACTGGACATCAACGGGCCGAGGGTCTGTGGACCATGGCCAATTCCCTTCCAGAGTCCGATGCGTAGATCTCCACTATGCGACTTGGCTAGCCTACGCACAGAGGCAGGTATGTGCTTGACCTGCAGTTCGCATAGGTGTGGCGGGAATAGGGATATCCGCCCTTTGCAAACAAGATTTGATATAAGAACAGTAGGTCCCGGTGACTTTCAAAACTTCTGTCCCTGTCATCGTCTCAGTTTTGCTGTGGAATCGCCTGGTGCAGTTCCTATCACATTCTTTACAGTCTGCAAGAACGTCACGCGCCAGTCACTCTTTTGCTCAACCTTCTAGATTCACTCACTTTGGCCTTCTGGTTTAGATCCTCAGGTATGTTCACATGTCTTTTTAAACTTGCAACTATCATCCTCTTTTGCATTGTCTTTCATTGTGAAGGTCATTGTTCAATGCTTGTTGTGCATTGTTTCTTGTTCATTGTCTTCATTCAAGCTTTCGCGCTATTGTATTGTTGCATTGAGACATCATGGTGCGTTGGCACAAGACATATATTCCTCGAATCTTCCATTCCTACTGCCTGAGACAGGCATACAACTCGAAGATTCTTGAAACAAAGACACCTAACACATCTTCTCCCTAGTTCTACAACTCTCGAATCTCAAGTCGCATAGCCGGTCTAGCGATATAAAAGCATTTTCAAGCCAATCTTCTTGCACCACACTCTTTACACACACGAATCAAAATGTTGTTCGATCGATCACTCCTCGTCACTTCGGTCTACTTGATGACTGCGAACGCACATCTGTTCATCTCTGAGCCAAAGCCAATTCCCGGTTCAGCTCCCAAGAATCCTCTCGAACCTGATGGTTCCAACTTCCCTTGTCACGGTGTAGCTTTGCCTGGCTCTGGTGGCCAAAGCATGGCCGTCGGCTCCAATCAGAAGCTGGTATTCGACGCTGGCACACCTATATCCTCGAGCCCTTCCGACAATCCTTATCAGGGTGGTGGCAACACTGCTGTCCATGGCGGCGGTTCATGCCAGATCAGCATTACTTACGAAACCGATCCTCAGAAGGTCAAGGTATCGACCGCATGGAAAGTTCTTTACAGCATCGAGGGAGGTTGTCCTACCAATTCCCTTCAAAACCTTGATGGAACCTTCTATGGTCCCCTGGGTGAATATACGAATGCCATTCAATGCTCAGATCCTCACTCCAACGGATACAATTGCATTAACGACTTCAACTTTACGATCCCCGAGGGCGTCAAAAATGGTCAAGCTACCCTGGCCTGGACCTGGTTCAACAACGTCGGCAATCCTGAGATCTACATGAATTGCGTTGCCGTTGATATCACAGGTGGTTCTGCCAACGCTGATATGAGCAAATTTCCCGACATCTTCCTCGCCAATTTGGGTCCTGCCTATGGAGGTGGCCAGACAAACAGATGGCCCACCCAGAACCTCAAATTCCCTGATCCCGGCAAGTATGTCACAACCAAGACAGCTTTTGCATCGACCTACATGTCCTCCGGCGTTGTCCAGACCATCACTTCTGCTTCAGCTTACCCTCTGGCTGTTCCGAGTGTACTCAGCGGTGGTGCTTCTGGCCCTACAACGTACGCTGCTGGCTCTTATGGTGCAGCTCCCACCTCATATGCTGCCGGCTCCTCTGCTAGCTCCCCTGCCACTGCCCCTACTTCCTACGCCGCAGCTCCTTCACCATATGCTGCCGTCCCAACTCTGGCCACATCTGTCAGCGCTGTTCCCATGCCTTCTGGAACTGACTACGCTGGATCTTCCAACAGCACCATGGGCGCTTGCTCCGGCGGCAAGGTCTCATGCCCGACCCCTGGTCAGGTCACCTGCATCGACGAAAAGACTTTTGGCATTTGCAACATCGACTACTGCGCTGTTCCTCAGGCTGTTGCTCCCGGCACCACCTGCTCGAACAATGTTGTCTCCAAGCGTGATGTTGTGAGAAGAAGAAGCTCGCGCATTCACCGTCATATCCCCAACCACATCCACCACAAGCACAGCTTTTAAGCGGAGTCAACAATTTTTACGACAAGACTTTCAGGATCCGGCATCCTTTTGCAATGACTGGGAAATGTCCATATTTGGGATGAGGCGCAAGTCTCGGGGGTTATCTTCTTTAGCATGCATGGTTTCTGCACCTCATGAATCAATTCTTTCTTTCTGATCAAATTATTATCTGTGTCATTCTGTGTGCCAAACGTGAACAACCTCGTGAATTGTAACCCAGATCCGAGATATACGTGTAGCATCAAGGTAGACGATGCTGCACATAAACGCTGAACCATAAGACAGGAATATGTTCTTTGATTTGGTGCAACGATGAACAGAATGGCGGCAGTGGTGTTTCAGACTTTGGGCGATGACGGAGTGGAATGGAATTTGGCAGGAGCTCGCCCTCGGAGGTTCAACTCCCAAGCGCGCCTCCACAAGCTGACCGCCTTCCTCGATATTGTCGACTGCAGCCCATTTTCAGCTATCAATCTGCTGCTGATCACTCGTGATTATCGCTTGTGAAGACATCTCGGGCTATAGACGAGACGCAGTAATTGAAGGCCATTTCCTTTAAAGAGACAACAGTCAGCTCCCTACGTCAGGCATCATTAGCTTGAATCAGCGTCGAGCAACACCGCCACAGTCGCAGGGTCTAGCCGTCTCTGCTGCCACTGGTCGCTGCTCTCTTGCCCCTCAGCCACGCGACCGGCCATTGCTGCCCTTTCGACCTCCACCAACTCCGACTTTGACCTTTTGCAACAACCAGATACACTGCAATCATGTCCGGTCAACCTATGGAGCAGGACAAGTACATCGACAGCGCCGTGCGCGCTGTCACCAACAAGCGACCCGTTCCCGAGATTGATTTCACTCTCCACACCATGGAGGACGGTACCCAGGTTAGCACTCTGGAGAGAGTATGCAAGGGTATGTACTCAGTTGCTGGCTTTCACCCTGCACCACTTGGGAGCTCGGTCAAACTATTCAATGCGTCGACAGACTAAGCTGACCCGCGTTTCAACNNAGACGTGCAAGCGCCCGCCTTCCACCCGCCGACCGACGAGCAGTTCTTCTCTCCCACAGACCCCAACAAGCCCAACCTACAATTCCTCAAACAACACTTCTACCGGGAGGGTCGCCTCACCGAAGACCAGGCGCTATGGATTTTGAGCGAGTGCACAAAGGTGCTCGAAAGAGAGCCCAACCTTCTGGAGATGGACGCTCCCATTACTGTCTGCGGTGATGTTCATGGTCAATACTACGATCTGATGAAGTTGTTCGAAGTCGGTGGCGACCCTGCAGACACACGCTATCTCTTCCTGGGTGACTATGTCGACCGTGGATATTTCAGTATTGAGGTATGCTCTTCCCGCCCGCTTTGGGCTGTGCCCATCTGACATTGTATACAGTGTGTTCTCTACCTCTGGGCCCTCAAGATCTGGTACCCCAACACTCTCTGGCTCATGCGCGGTAACCATGAATGTCGCCATTTGACCGATTACTTCACCTTCAAGCTTGAGTGCAAGCACAAATACTCCGAGGCCGTGTACGAGGCTTGCATGAAGTCCTTCTGCGCTCTTCCCCTTGCTGCTGTTATGAACAAGCAGTTCTTGTGTATCCACGGTGGTCTCAGTCCCGAGCTGCACACACTTGAGGACCTCAAGAGCGTACGTTGTGCTGGTCTTCCTGTGCTCTGTTTCATACTAACCTGCTTGTAGATCGATCGCTTCCGCGAACCCCCTACCCACGGTCTTATGTGCGACATCCTTTGGGCAGATCCTCTCGAGGATTTTGGTCAAGAGAAGACGCAAGAGTACTTCGTCCACAACCATGTCAGAGGTTGTTCATACTTCTTCTCATACCCTGCTGCATGTGCTTTCTTGGAAAAGAACAATCTGCTTTCCATCATTCGTGCACACGAAGCTCAAGACGCTGGATACCGCATGTACCGCAAGACCAGGACTACTGGATTCCCTAGTGTTATGACCATCTTCAGTGCACCCAACTACTTGGATGTCTACAACAACAAGGCTGCTGTTCTTAAGTACGAGAACAACGTCATGAACATTCGTCAATTCAGTAAGTGCAACCCTTGTCGATCCAGGAAACTGAGACATTGAGCTAACGAACGAACAGACTGCACACCTCACCCTTACTGGCTTCCCAACTTCATGGACGTCTTCACATGGTCGCTTCCTTTCGTTGGCGAGAAGATCACCGACATGCTCATTGCCATTCTCAACACTTGCAGCAAGGAGGAGCTTGAAGAAGAGACACCACTCTCATCTGGACCGCACTCGCCTCCTCTTCCATCGAACAGTGTGGCAAACATGGACCCGGATAGCACCGAGTACAAGCGTCGCGCCATCAAGAACAAGATTTTGGCCATTGGTCGTCTGTCAAGAGTGTTCCAAGTTCTGCGCGAGGAATCGGAGCGTGTTACTGAGTTGAAGACTGCCAGCGGAGGAAAGTTGCCTGCAGGTACTTTGATGCTGGGAGCCGAGGGTATCAAGCAAGCCATCACCAACTTTGAGGATGCTCGCAAGGTGGATTTGCAGAACGAGAGACTTCCTCCTTCGGGCGAAGAAGTGAGAAGAAACAGTGATGCAGCCAGACATGATGCTTTGACGCGTGCGGCGCAGGAAGCCGAGAACGATCAGAAGTTGGCTGGTGTCGCCAGAAGGATAAGCATGTGAGTATCGGATTTGCTCTTCGGCACTGACAAGAGGCTAACAAGAAACACAGGTCTTCGGGCTCAGGTCGTAGCGCCAGAAAGTAAGATACCCGTTTGGTATGATGGAGGAGTTTTATGGAGGAAGTCTTTATTATAAACCAACATGACGACCTGTAGCGGACATGTACATTACAGCTGCAAAGGACAGCACGCGATGCATTGACTGCATGGAATGAAAACATTATTGAAATGCCTATCGAGCCAATATGAAATAAAAGTGAGAGCTCGTGGATGTGATGGAAATTGACTTCATGTCATGGGAGCTTTGACGACGCTTGGCGTACAGGATGGCCATGTCGAGTCGCAATACGGCAGGCCGGAGGAGAGACACGATTGAGAAAGTCATTATGCTTCTTCGAGTGCCATTGGCACGAAGGCCGTTGTCGCCAAACACTTGCGCTCGTCTGGTCGCTTCCACGTATACGCCATCTACAACATGGCGGTCCGGATCGTCAATCGCCCGCAAGCAGCCATCCGCAACGCGCCTTGTACATAACCCAAGACTCGCCCAAGCACATGCCGACAGTCCATACACATCACAGCGTGCCCAAATCAGACATGCGACCAACTTGGCTTCAAGGACAGCCATCAACCCTCCCTCAAACGTTCCCGCCGAAAACCAACAACTATACGCATCTCTGGACCGTCTGAAGGATATCGCTAGCGACTACGTGAACCAGAGCAGACTGCAACTCGCCCTGAGAGGACTGGAGACTTCGCGACCCACTGTGAGAATTGGTCTGCTTGGTCTGGGACAAGATGGCGATGTCGCTGCTAGGAAACTTGCTCGCGTCTTGCTTGCCGATGCGCTGGGGGACGAGGGTCAATGGGAGAAGATGCTCAAGCAACCATCACAAGACGGCAAGCCTTTGCTCCTGAGGTATGAGAATGCTATATCTGCTTTCTTGTGCGCATGCTGATGTCTAGACAGATACGGAGCTGAGGACGACATCCCGCCCATGAACCCGCTCGTAAACGAACTGAACATCCCATCGCGTGTCCTGGAGAAGAACAACCTCGAGATCCTCATTACATCTCTCAACACACCCAGCGGTCCCAACATTACTGCTGATCCTTCAGGATTGGCAGAAGCCATCTTAGTGCCTCCGTTGCAGACTCCCGTCGCTTCCTCTGGTCGTACCGGTTTCGTCCGTTACCCCGTCCACAAGGCAATTGTTGTAGGAGAAGGTATTCAAGGATGCATGGACTTTGGTCGTCTCTCCAGCGCTCTGGAAGCAACAACTCTGGGTGTCACAGGCGCTGAACAAGGTCTTATCCAGGTTGCTTTGAGTCTACCACGCGACAGCCCTCGAACGCAGACCAATGACACTGGCTTGATTTCTCCCGTCGATATTGATCAAGCTGGACAAGCACTCGATCTCTTCCGCCAGGATGTCGCTAACGGCGCCGTTTTTAACACAAAATGGCAGGCCAGCAACATTCAGGCCATTATCAAATTCCTGGCCTCGGATCCTATGGACCCTGCTACTGGTGATTCTGTAGGCTTGAGGCCGACTCTACAATCACATATCCGTTCTACGCTAGACTCTGCAGCCGATGCCATTGCTCTTTCCGAACAAGTCGCCAACAATGCTGTAATCTCCAACAGCATATCAGACCAGAAACGTCAGGAGATCTCACAGGCGATTTCTGCTTGGGCACAACACGCACACACTGATCTTCAAGTTTCTCTCGCCAATGCACTGGATTCGCGATCATGGCGACGAACAACCTGGTCGCGATTGCTTTGGCGTGTAGACGATGTGAACGTGGCCGCTGAGGAAGTGCTTCGCTCGCATTGGCTGTTGGACGCTGAATCAACTCTCGCTTTCCTCGCCGGCAGAATCGAACAAGCAGGGTTCTTCCGCAGCAGAGGAGGCGTAGCAAACTTCAATCCCGATTATGCCATGCACGCATCCGACCGTGCAGTTGATCCAAAGACTGGCGAAGTCATCTCGAAGGAAAGGGCTTTCCTCGCTCCATCACAAGCTTCTCCTGCACCAACGACGACGAAAACTTCTAAAGGATTCTTTGGCAGATTCTTCACTGACAAGGTTCCTCAACCCAGCACTGCAGACTTGCTCAACACACACGCTCTCACAGCAAAGGTTGCAGAAACTGGTGGTATCGATATCTTCCACTCGAGGCCTTGGCCTCTGGCCATCCACTTTACACGCCAAAAGCTCTTGCACACTTTAGTCCCTTCTCTGCAAGCCCGCGCTCAAGCACTGCTTGCTCAGTCCCTCACCACCATCGGCGCAACCTCTGCGCTGGGAGTATGGCTCTACATCGCCACTTCCGGCACCATGCTAGCGGAATCAGGTGCCATTGCCGCTCTAGGTCTCGTCTGGACCCTTCGCCGTCTCCAAAAGAAATGGGAAGGTGAGAGGGAGACCTGGGAAGCCGAAGTCCGCGAACATGGACGCGTTGTTCTGTCAGAAGTGGAAGACGTGCTAAGGACAGTGGTTAGAGAAAACGAAAGAGGTGTTTTGAGACAAAGCGATATTGAGNNGGATTGGGAAAGGGCGAGAGAGGCGCTGCTGGAAGTCAAAAGAGCACTAGGAGACGTAGAGGAAGTAGAAGAGAAGGTGCAGGAGATTGGAGTCAAGGTTTAGAAGGGTCAAAACTTCCGAAAAGTACTTTTCATGTTCTGTTCCCTTTTCACTTTCTTGACGTATAAAAATTTGGGTGATGGGGTTGGGAAGTATGCCTTTCACTGCTTTCGTTCTTTCCATCACTCGCTCACATCTTCACTGCCTGTCACTTGCTTGATTCAATGTTGACTGTCTCAGTCGATTCATCCCACAGGGAAAGTGCGTCTGCCTTCCCTATCTCTTTTGCACAACACTTTCATCTCGTCCCCGTCTCAAGCATCTTTTGTTCTAGACTGTATTCATCGTCGCCTTCTGCCATCACCGCCTTCTACATCGCCGCCTCTCGTCATCGCCGTGATGGCTGCCACCGAAGATCAGAATGCTCTAGCCCGCTTCTACAACAACAAACAATTCTCGGATGTCATTGTCAAGTACGGCGAGAACGAATTGTACGCACACAAGGTCATTCTTGCAGAACGGTCCGCATATTTTGCAAGAGCGTTTCTTGGCCAGTTTGCGGTATGTAAACATATCAATGCTGGTATGGGACTAACTGACTGACATCATTCTNNGCAGGTTGCTTCAAGCTCTACCATTGATCTAGGAGATGAAGATGATCCTGAGATGATTCGCGAAATGATACGATCAATGTACGTTCGCGATGACGCACTCAGATACTCCGTTATGCATCAAGACGAAAGGTCCCTAGCATCGCTAGTTGATATGTTCATACTTGCCGACAAGTATGACCTTCCGCAGCTACGCCGCAAGCTCTCCTATACATTCGAGGCCAAGCTGGATGACCATTACTCTAGCCATGAAGACGAGTTTATTCGGACTATCATAGCTAGGGTCTGCGGACCTGCTGCCATCCAGTTCGCCGATAAGGCCTTGCAGCGCTCGGTTTCAAAGCATTGTAAGATGCATTATGCAGATCTACTCCAGCACAGCCGATTTGTCGACCAGTACACAGAAGGAACACTGTTCAACAGCGAATTTGCCCTTGCTTTCAACCTCCATGTAGGTAAGATTGCGCTTGAAAGCAATGGTATCGTCGCTACGCTGGTCGAAGATTCTGAACCGAAGATAGCTCGGTCTGCCACAAGGTTAGTCCTAGAAGCTTTGATTCAAGCAATCTGTCCGGACAACTAATGCGAATGCTGGTCAGCAAACCCCTGATTTCTTCAACAATCAGTCACTTTCCGACGTCAGCATAACCTATGGTCGCGGCCAGTCACTGTTCGCTCATAAGATCATCCTTGCGACTCCAGCTTCGCCGTCATATTTCCATCGCATTCTCGAGGAGTCTCCATCGGTCTGGCAACTCAAATCAAAACCAAAATCTCTTGCACAGGTACTGACACGAGAACAGATCGACTGCATTGCACTCGGTAGCCAAGATGAGCCCAACTTGATCGAAACCATGATACATAAACTCTATGATCTGCAGTATAATCCCGACCCAGAAGACTGGATCACCTTTAGTGCAGACATGTATCTGGTCGCCAAGAAATACGGCTTGGACAAGATTGCAAAAGTCACTTGGAGAACTTCGGACTTGCAGTCTGCGACGACGTGACTACGTCTGAGTATGCCCTACGCGTCGCAAAGTTCTGTGGTCCTTGTGCTCCTGTCTGCTACGCAGACACAGAGCTCTCAGAAATTATATTCGCTGACGTACTCGGGGAGATTCGCTCAATACTAGATGACAACGAGACTTTCTGCGACATGCTTGACCGCGGAACATTGTTCAATCACAAACTCGCAGGCTGCTTTACCATGAGGACAATCGACATGTGGAGGAATGCAGAGGAGAGAGCCTCGTGATGAAGCACAGTTTGTTGACGAATTCAGCGCTTATTCAGATACACTAACACTACTCAATCATGAATGCTTCATTACAATATGCTTGCAAACACCTTCCTACCCCTGAAGCCCCACTCCCTTCTCTTTCAGCCTTACTCCCTCACCCTAGGAATCTTTTCTTCTTCCAACAACGCCACAAAAGGCTCTCTCTCGATCCCTACATGCACTTTACCATCTCTACCCACAAATTTTCCATAAGCCCATCTATATCCCTGCCACTCCAACCATTCTGCCCTCTCTTTCTCACTCATCAAACTCGTACCTTCAAAATCTTGGATAGCATAGCTGGCAGCAAAGAATGCAATTGTGGATGCAATGCTTGTAGGTAAACGCGACAAGATACGCCAAGGACGACGCAAGTAAAGCAAGATTGTGGTTACAGCGTAGAGACAAAGTATACTCTGCGCAATCACAAAAGCTGGGAATGAGAGAAAAATGCGGGTTTGGGGTTCATGGCGGACGGCTGGCAGGGGTTGGGTATTGGGTCGAGGAGTCGTAAAGAGGAGGTCGGCGTTATTGCCGAGTAGGATGGCAAACAGTTTGTTGTACATTGCGGTGTAGATTGTGACTGCTTGATCAAAGGTAGGTGCTGGTAGATTTGGATCTAGAAAGCGGTCACCGATAAAAGTCTCAGCTATGAGGTAGTTATTCCAGTCGGAGGAGAAACTGTCGTTGTGCCAGTTACTGCTGTGATCGATAATGAATTGATGAGCTTGCAAAATCAAATCACCAGGGCTTGTTGTAAAGTGCTCTGACGCCGAGCCATCAGAATAACTCAAAACTTTCGAGCGAAGGATTTGACCATCACTATCAACAGTGATTTCGGCAGATCCAGTGACGAGCTTGGGACGACAAACCATCATGGTTTTACTGGTTACCTCGATGGTTTGGTTGGACGCATTGCCTCTCCACCATCCAGCGACTACATTCTGCTTGCAGGTTTCTGAAGAAGCTGCAACGGTAGAGATTTCAAGACTGCTGGGTCCGGATATGTAGGCAGGCGCATCGATCGAGAAATCTATCGAGCAATTTGTGGATGACCCATCTGGTTGATTGACACTGAACTCAAGAAGACCAGATTCGCTGCTTTCTGACTTGTCTTTGGTGTCTTTGGTCTTCCAGCTAGAAAGTTCCTGGCATCCGAGGCTTGCTCCGAAGTAGCTTGTCGAGACTGTATAGTTGGTTCTAGTCTGAGTGTTTTCTGGCAATACCACCGGAAGATAGAACCTGTGAGGATCAGTCCAAGATGGGAGCTTGGAAGAAGCTATCGCATTAGACATTGCAATATAAAATTCATCCTTGGTGGTTCCGCCTTGCCAGTTCATAGTTACATTGCTGTTGAAAGGCGGAGCTGTTCCATTCAAGCTTTGAAAAGGTAGAGACAGCAATGGTTGCAATGTAATCTGGACATCGACATTGGCCAGTCCTTCAAAGAAGAGACTTGAAAAAGCAACAGAAAGCACATTTGCCAGAATAGTCATGGTTGCAAGGATACCCAGCATGAAATGTCTCGTGCTGAGAGCTTTGAAGACAACCAGTTGAGGAGGAAGATTTGTATGTGCCAGAGTGATTGATTTTCCGCTGGTTGATTTTCCTTTTCGAAGCTCTTCGAATGGCTGCAACACGCACAGTTGACGGGTAAGAAGAATCCAGACAGGTTCTAGAGTAGTCGAGATGGCAGTTGGAATATAGTTTTGCAGCAGCTGGCGTACAAATCGATTCTTGGAAGGTAAAGCAAGTCCTGCNNAATGGTCTTAGCTCACAGTCGCTTTTGTGTGGGAACGCAACCTACCGTTGTTGACTTTTGCTTGGTGGAACAGATACGCGAACACAGCTATGCAGGTAAGCTGCACAGACAAAAACAGAACACCACTATACCAGCAGAGCTCAGGGGATCGAATTCCTCTTGGATGTTTCGTGTTTTCTTTGTCGTCGCCCTCACTGAAGCCTGTCGAAGTTACAGACTGTAGTTCGAGCTTTGCGTCAGGGCTTATGGAGAACTTCGAGCCCACCAACGCGTTACGAAGTTCTTGAGCAGAACTACTGTCCAGATTACCGAGGAGAGCAAGGAGTTCTGAGTCGCCCGCTACAGAAGACATGTGAGATGCAATTGACGTCGGATCGTGCTGAAGGTTGCACGTTCTCGTGAGGCTGAAATAGATGATAGACATATTGAACAATATAGCAAGTACCAACAGAGCCTCTACGGCATAGGTAAATCCAGGGACAAGCACAAGTGCTTGCGTGTNGGTATGTGCGTTGACCATCGTGATGAGTGGCAGTAGTTCCCAAGTCTGACTTCAGAACTCGAGCCATCTGTGCAACAAACAGAAGTCGATAAGCCGCCTGGTAAGACTCAGCGAGAGTCTGAGGGTCTAGGTAGTCTTCAAGACTGGGTTTCTTGAACGCAGCGAATGAAAAAGGAACCATCTTGGGAAGATACGACATGTCGAGGTTTGTGTTGACGAAGTGTGTTTTCTGATCGGGCCATGCGTTTTCAGGAAAATCTCCTCGCCCGCTGTCGTAGCTCACACCTGGGCCTCTGTAGTCCAGACCTGAGCTCATGGCTCTCTCAAAGAGGTTGATGTCAAACATCTCCATAGGGAGCTGGCTTTTCTGCCCGACTGGACTGACCGAGATAACACTGCCGTTGACAGCAACGACACTGGCATTGACCTGTTGTACAAAGTATTGCGGCTCGCAATACAAGGACGTAGTCCTTATCACGCCCTTGTCAGGTGTAGTAGTGGATGCAAGGTTCTGGTCCACGATTCCTGCCTCGGAGAAGAGAGTTGTACGGACCAAGAACGTATGATTGGCTTTCTTTGGACAGTAACCCTCAAGGTACCAGTCTGCCATGCCATTCTGATCTGAGTATCCAACATACATGGCTTCGAGAACCTTGCTAGTATCGTTGCTTGTACCAGTCTTCACAGGCAGTCCATAGCTGCAGCCGCTGCTACTGTTGTATTTGGTGCTTGGGTTATCAGAGTCCGGTTTGCTAATGTAATTTATGGTAGGTTCGCAAACAACATCGACACCATACTGCTTTGTAACTCCGTTCCAGACTTCGTCACCATGTATGGCATAGGATTTGGCAGGCGCAAAGGCATCAAGCACAAAATCGGTCGTACTGTATGGCGGTAGTGTCTCATTCAACCAAGCAATGTTGTACGCGTGTTGTGCATATATGGCAGAGAGTTCGGTTTGATTGGAAGTAGGATAGTATGATGTCGATGTGAGACATGGAATAGTAGTCGTGACTACTCCGTCCTCGGTCGCGAAAATGCCAGCTTGTAGAGGTGTCAAAGTCCAAAGGACGACAACACCAGCGAGCGCAGCTGTCAAGACAGACCAATGTTTTCGTCTAGCAGCTTGAAATGGTATCAAAGCAACAAAATCGAATGGATATTGCAATAGCAGACTATCCTCCGCCAAAGCGCCGCGAGTGTTGCAAAGCTGATAATATGGTTCCATACGCTTGATGTCAAGATCGATCCAACTCCAGAGAAGACCATAGACCACAGCTATGATCGTGGGAGCGTAAAGATAGCCAAATGTTCTGCTTAAGGGCAGATCATTGATGCTGGGAGCGAAGATGACTCCGCCGGTCGTTTGACTTGTGTAAAGGAGCCATTGGAGTACGACGATCAGAGTACAAGTAGCCAACAAAACGAAGGTAAGGAATGGAAGCCTGAGGCTCAATGGTTTCCAGGTAGATTTCTCCTGACTCTTGACTGGTTCTTGAGCAATGAGGAGACCATCCTTCTCTAGTTTTGCACTCTATCAGTCATTTCAGAGAACCTTTGGAGGAGACGAGTATGAGGGCATTTAGCAAAGGAAATAGAAGCTTCTCAGTGGACGAGAAAATGGCTGCCCTCTGGTATTACAGTTCCAGCAGTATATCTAAGGTCATTCTTGAGACTAACCCTGTGCGCGGCTAGAGATAATGTATCTCTGACATCTTGCATGCATACCAGGCATGATGAGTTGCAAAGTGCCCAGCGGTGAGATATTCAATGCATTGTCAGATGCAGGGATACGGCAGCAAAATTAGCACACATCGTGCGGCGCGGGATATCATCAAGGCGGCAAGGCGAGGGATTCAGACTTGCAAGCGCCCATGATAGAGACATGCATACTGCTAGCGTGCATGATGCTCAGCGTAACCAAATCGGTGAGAACAACGAAAGATATGCAAGGCGAGGGAAGAAGCTACCAGAAGGTGAAGTAGAGGTCAGATCAGGTCAGGTTGCGGACTGAGGTACTCCCCAGAAGGAAAGCGCGACTTGAACTGGATACTCGAAGCAGCGCTCGACAAAGAGCCCACTCAATGTCTTCAACATCACATCGATTTGACCCCTCTACTGTCAAGTACTAGGTAAGCCGGCTATATCTCAACGATCTTCAAGCAGATTCACTTGTCGAACATAATATATTGACAACTGCAATGAGTGCAAACGTGGAGCATGTCAGTGCAATCTCGATGTGCAAAGCTTTGACCAACCAGAAAACGCCAAGATTTTGGATGAGCTAAGCGAGTCGCACCCCGACTTTGCAAAGTCTTCAATCTTTGAATCTTCTCCCTCCGAATCGACGACAGCGACGAACAATCCACGACCGCCAAAATGACCAGCAGACCCACGGTTTCCATCATCTCCGCCGACGGCAAGGCCGGCGAGGCTAGCCACCCTCTCCCCAATGTCTTCAAGGCTCCCATCCGTCCCGACATTGTCCAGTACGAATGAACCGCGCCCACACGACCAACCATGGCCAATTGACTGATAACACCCGCGCAGNNGACCGTCCACACTGGTATGGCCAAGAACAAGAGACAGCCCTACGCCGTGAGCGAGAAGGCTGGCCACCAGACCTCTGCTGAGTCCTGGGGTACTGGTACGTTTCTGAAGGCACCGAAAATCTCGAAACGCCAAGAATACCGCTCCTAACACAATCCCTCTCCAGGCCGTGCTGTTGCCCGTATCCCCCGTGTCTCCGGTGGTGGTACTCACCGTGCCGGTCAGGCCGCCTTCGGTAACATGTGCCGTTCCGGTCGCATGTTCGCCCCCACCAAGGTCTGGCGCAAGTGGCAGCAGAAGATCAACCTTGGCCAGAAGCGTTTCGCTACCGCCTCTGCCATTGCTGCCTCTTCCTCCGCCGCTCTCCTGATGGCCCGTGGTCACCAGGTCGCCACCGTTCCTGAGGTCCCTCTCGTCGTCAACTCGACCGCCTTCAGCAACGCTGCCATCACCAAGACCTCCGCTGCCGTCGCTCTCCTCAAGGCCGTCGGTGCCGGTGCTGACCTCGAGAAGGTCAAGGCTTCCAAGAAGCTCCGCGCCGGTAAGGGTAAGCTGAGAAACCGCCGCCACCGCCAGCGCCGTGGTCCCCTCGTTGTCTACAACCCCAGCGAGGATGGTAAGGAGCTCGTCACCGCTTTCCGCAACATCCCCGGTGTTGAGACTTGCCCCGTCTTCTCCATGAACCTCCTCCAGCTCGCCCCTGGTGGTCACCTCGGCCGTTTCATCGTCTGGACCTCTTCCGCCTTCCAGGCCCTTGACAAGATCTACGGCTCCACCACCGAGGCCTCTGCCCTCAAGAAGGACTTCCTCCTTCCCCAGAACTCTGTTGCCCAGCCCGACATTGTCAAGCTCATCAACTCTTCCGAGGTCCAGTCTGTCCTCCGCCCCGCCAAGGGTGGTGCCATCCAGAAGCGCACCAACGTCCAGAAGAAGAACCCTCTCCGCAACAAGCAGGTCCTTCTCCGCCTCAACCCCTACGCCACTGCCTTCTCCAAGGCTGGTCTTGGTCAGCAGAAGATCCAGGACGGCAAGCCCGCCGGTCCCGCTGCCGAGTTCAAGACCCTCCTCCACGAGAACTAAGTGTTAGTTCCTGGGGCTGTTGGTCTGAACGTGTTGAGACGAAGTTATGGCTTGGGAAGGGATTAAAAGTAGCTCTACCGGTCGTTTTTCCAAAAGAAAGGATTTTTTCGCTCTCATTCATTGTTTCTACTATGCCTTGTGAATGCTACTGTGTCAATCGTGCAGCATGATCCTTATGTGCAACCTTTGCAACAATGAGGCATACAATATGTATTGGGTGGATCACTTGCCGTTCAAACGTGATGTTCATAATCTATAGTTCTATCATACTTCTTCAGATGCTGGTCAAGAATTTACTGACCCTCTTGATGAGCTCGTCGACAACCTCTTGATCATCACCATTCAAGTTGTGACTAGCACCACCCAACAGCTCTTTACTCTGCTCATCCACCTTGCCCTTGACGAAAGGNNGAATCCACTTGTTGATCAAAGCCTTCCTGTCAACATTCTTAGGCACATATTCATCCTCCTCACCATATAGAATCAACAATGGCTTATCAATCTTGCCAAATGTGTTCTTCAGCGCCTCATCCGAGAGGTCAGAAGAGAAGTAATCGTCCTCTCCTCCCTTGCAAGCCAGCGCAACCCATCTTCGCGCACTCACGGGGTTGCGTCCGAAGTTGCTAGCTGTGATGTTGAGGGGTAAAATATGTTCGCCCTTGCCTTCTTTACACCAAGTCTCCGCCATGTTGTTTGCATGCTCGAGGTCTTTAGAGTCCATATCCATAGCTATGGCTTCACGATCGCTGACAGAAGCTTGCAACACCACTCCCTCAACAGTCGCTCGATCCCCCCTCTTATCTTCAGAAGCAAAGTAATGCAAGCAATCCTGACATCCAGTGGAATGGCCCATAATAACAATTTTCTGCTTTCCTTGCGTGCGGAAGTGGTGCACTAAAGAAGAAATCTCATTGACGTCTTGGGACAGGGACGAGGTGCCCCAGCCGCTGCCTGCGGAACTGAGGTTTGTTTGGGCGAGCGACCAGGTTTTAGGAAGCGAGCTGGCGAGTTGGTATACATAGTCGACGCTATGGTATGTGTCTGTCAAGCCGCCGATCCAGAGNNGGAGGAGGTTGGGCGAGTTGGGTAAAGGGTTGATTTCGAAGGCTGAGACCGGGGGTACGTGGTGTAGTGTACCGGTGGTTGCGGAAGGTGGTTGAGGAGGTGCCATGCTGGATGATGAGGAACTGGAACTGGTGCTGTGGCTGCGAGAATGTGACATTTGAGTGAGTTGAGCTGTTGCGGTGTCTAGAAGTGGATCGCGTGGGTCTCGGAGCTTCGTGTTGATGCTCGGTCGAATCAGGTGCTGTCGTTTTTCTGTATTGCTGCAGACCAAAGACCTTCTGATTCCGAGATCGCTTTTACAAACAAAGAAGTCAAGAATTGGTGAAGTATGTTCACATCTGCTCTTGATGGTGAGCTCCCATCGACAACCGATGACGCGCGATCCTGTTGAGTTGTCAGTAACACCCTGACTGTATCATCACAACTTTGCAATCAATCAACAACAAGCTACGCCCTTTGCCTCGAGGAAGATAAATTGATGTTGAGGCTATTGGCGTGTGTAAGCATCAAAGCCACCCGTCGTATGCTCAAAAAATTACATCCGATCCGCCCACTCTGCTTTCCCAAATTTCTGTTGTATGGATACAGATCAGTTCTCGACAACCACGCTCTTTTTATCCTGCCTTCTAGCCTCTCTTATCCCACCCACGAGACGCTCAAGCTCTGCCAAAGCACACATGACAGCAATAGTATACACCGTAATCTGAATCCCAAACACTGCCAGGTCAACCCTACAGTACGTGCCAAACTCCCATTTCTGGTATTTGATACACGACGCAATGATATCATTCGCAGTCGTGTTGGTGGTTCGCCACACAGACACTCCTAGACCGATGAAGAGGTAGCGGCAAAATGTTGGTGCCAGGATGTTGAGGACTACAGCGAAGGCAGCGATGCCGCAGATAAGGCCCAGAGGGTCTGTGGTGATGTCCATTGTGACTGGATATGTCAGACGAAAAGCTTGGTGAGCAGATGACATTGGACGCACCTTGAGTATGTTTTACTGAGAAGTATGAATTGGAGTTGAATAAATTGTTCCTCGTACAAGGGTAAATATCAAACCAATTCTCGGATAAGTCGGATGGCAGAGTTAGAGTACGTAAGTTGCTCGTGAGTCGTGACTCTACCATCGCGGCTTTGCCATAAGTAACCAGCAACAAGCCATTATCCATTAGTTCGAGGAATAGCTCAGACATTGAGGTTTTTGAAACTTGTAACATCACTGACATTCTGTCTTGTGCTCGACACAACCGTCGTTCAACCAATGTGCTCTTTTACGTTCTCATCTTGTCTCATAGCTCAAAGCTTCCACCTTACCCTCTTGCCCTTCTACCCTCTCTCCTCCCGACAATATGTTCCACCTCTGTAAAAGCACACATGACAGCAAGAGTATACAGCACAATCTGACATGCCATGTATCCCATGTCTCTCTTACACCTGTATCCCGAATGCGACTCGCCATAGTAAACCGAAGTACAAGCGTCAATAGTCGTCTTGAAGCTTGCCTTCGGTTCCGACCGCCACCACGAAAGTCCAGTGCCAATCCAGAAGAAACGGAACGTTCTTGGTGAAAGGAAATACAGTGTTGTGGTGAAGAAAATAAGGGCGAAGACAAGAGCCAAAGGGTCTTTGCGGAAGTCCATGGTTGCTTCAGGATGTTAGTTTGGGTTCAGCGAGGTGGTTGGTATGTCTATCCGAACCTGGTAGATTGTTCTTTTGCTTAGGAAGTTTTGATTGAATTGAATAATCTGGTTCTTGCGAGGTGTTAGATATAGAATCAATGCTCGGATCAGTCGGATGGTAGAGTTGGAGTAAGTTGCTCATGACTCTCAAGCCACCGAGATTGCACCGTTTCAACCACAACCTACGTGCGTAGTGTGTATAGCCAGCTACTCCTACAAACCTTACTCATGTTGTACTGGTGTTGATTACCTATGGTTCATGTCCTCTGATTGCGTATAACAAATGTAGGTTTGGGTGTATGAGGCATTACTTCTATACGGGCCTGCTGCCACCAGCCGTTAAAAATGTGCGGTTATGAACAAGAGCATTCTGAAATCGAAGAGGTTGCGCTGAAGATAGTGGTCTATGAACAGCATATAGATATTGCTAGTGCATTGAACAAGTCGAAGATAAACGTGAACGTCGGATTAGATGATGGAATATAGCGTACAGAAGCAATGAAGAACAAATGAAATTATTAGACAATTATTACTCAAACCCCCCTCCACATTGTTACCACCACCTCCATATCTTTACCATGCCTACGAGGTAGGTGCAAAGTAGATATCGACCAGTTGGCAGCTTTGGGTTATGGCGTCGTTCGCACCATAGAAGTACATGTGAGAACCAGTAGAGCCGCCACGATCGCTACTGAGACAGAACTTGTAGTAAACACCAGTAGGCGCAGTACGCTTGTCCTGGAAGAGCAGTTGGCTATATCCCGAGGCGTCGGTGGGTCCAGAGATGAAACTAGAGAGACCTTGACTGGCAGTGTGGCTCCAGTACAGGAGGTCGTTTCCGGATGCCCTTTTACGTAGTAGTAAGCATTATTGGTAACGGAGTAGAGCTTGTTGTCCGAGGTGATGATGAATGTCTCACGACTGGATGGATCTCTGCCGTTGTCTGTCATGTGGGTCGAGTCGTCGGATCTTACATATTGCGCACCAGCGTTGATTACAGGCCTGATTTCAAGATAGCCAATAACACCAGTCGGAGCACTAGAAGCGATTGAAATGGTTGTAGTTGATGAGATTGTCTGTGTGGATGTCTCGGTTGAGACAGTGCTCTCTGTGGACACCTCAGTCACCGTCGTAGCTGTTGTCGTGATCTCTGCGCTACATGCCGAGCTCAGTACAGAAGCAGAGAAAGTCTGCAAAGCAGCTGGTGTGACAATGGTAGACTGGGACGAGTCACTAGAGCTTGAGATCTCAGAGCTGGAAGCCGAGGTCTCGGTGGGTGTAGGCGTAGGGGCCTGTCTCTTGAGCTTGTGATCATGTCCGCACTCTGTGGTGATTGGAGCAATGTCACGCTTGCGCTTATACATCTGAGTCACAGCTGTAAGATCGGTCGTGGTGACTGTGATGGTTGTTGTTGAGACCTCTGTCGTAGTTGATGATACCGTGGAAGTCTCGTCACTGTAACCAAGGAGTTCGGAGCAGAATGGCTGGTAGCTTGAAGTAACAATGATATCTTCGGCAGCCGAAACCGGATCGACTGAAATGACGGGCACAGTTGTCGACGATGAAATCTCCGAGGAAGTAGTCGTAGAAGAAGACACCTCTGTAGAAGAAGACGAGGTCTCCGAAGTGGAAGAAGATGAGGTCTCCGAAGTGGCAGCCTCCGAAGTAGAGGATGAAGTGTCCGAGGTTGAAGATAGGATATCAGAGGTTGAAGATGAAGACGAAATCAATGGGATAGTAGTAACGAGTGTGGATGTCGCTGTGGACAGGCTGCTCTTCGGGCCCTCTGTGACAGTGATGATCTGAGTAACCGTGATATATTGCGGAATGGCAGAGGATGATGTTGAGGATCTCGAAAGAGCGCTGGAGCTCGATGAAGAGGTCTTTCTTGTGGTCGTCGAGGATAGCTTCACGCTGCTAGGACCTGTAGACTTGCTTGAACTTGTCGAAAGCTTGCTCGAGCTAGAGATCCTGGTGCTTGAGATAGCTTTAGAAGATGATGAGGAAGTCTTCTTTGTTGTCGTCGAGGACGACTTCACGGTAGCCGAAGTTTTCTTCGAGGTAGTCTTGACAGAGCTCGTGGTTTTCTTAGTTGAGGACGACACAGACTTTCCCTCAACACAGTTGCAGAGCTTGAGCAGTTGCGATGCAGTATATTTCTTGAATGGCGAAGACTTTCTCGGACTATACCCCCAGTAATCAGCATGATAAAGTTTAAAGAGTGTCCGGAGTCAGCGGCGTACTAGGCATTGTAGAAGTTGCAGAAATGCCATGGCTGGGTGAATTGAGTGCCCACTTCACGTCTGCAAGATTCCGTAGTCTGCCTCTTTTCAAGGTCTTGATGTTCTTCCGTGTGTTCCGTGCGCTTGGTCTTTGTGGATGCGATGCACTTGCAAGCAGCGGTCACTCTCCGGGCCGAATTCAAGGAAAGGAGATCTTGTGCGGATACTGCATATCTATCAGTAAGAGTCCTCGGCTCGGACATGCGCTCAACGCTTACTCCGAGTTCCACCACGTGCAGAAGTAGACAGGATCCATGGCGGTACGTTTGACGATTTGAACATCTTTGGCGTTGCATTTCTGGGAAGCTCGTTCATTGAGCAAAGGAGAGGAGTTGACCCCCAGAATAAGAGCAAAGAGAAGGAGAACTGCCCAAGGCAGACGAGCTGAGGGACTCATGCTTGAGTGTTGCAGAAGGAATGTCGGTGAATAGTATTCAGATCGAAGGGGACTCCTCCAGGGCTTTATACCTTCTCTCTTGACCTTGAGCCTCGACGGCACAATCTAGATACTGATGTCTCGCGCCTTTCCATGACCTTGAATGATCTATTGGCATCTAAAAGAGTATCATGCTCTTGCTGTCTGCCATCTCAGAACGTTGACGGCGATGCCGAAACAACTACACTCGAGATGGAATGAGACGTTGTACGTTGTTCAGCTGAGCTCGACACCTTGGCATAGGCTCGAATGTGGAAAGGACGCCAGACCTAGGATCCGATATCACTGTATCGGAAGCAGTAAGATGTGAACATGTTGACTCTATGAACCACATTCTCTTCTGACATCTACCTACATCGGAAGAAGGCATTGCTCATTTGTGCATTGTTAGATTGTCGTCGGAGTCGAAGTCCAGTTTGGAGTCCTGCATTGTTCTGAACGATCAGGGCCTGTTCGGTCCACGTCCATCTTCAGTTTTGGCTATGAAAGGATGCACAAATCTATGAAGGTATGGTCAAGATGGGGCCTCCGTTTCGAACTGTTGCGTCTACTTGAGTCAAGTTCTTCTAGACCAATAGGGCTTTTGCTCGAGATAATCCTTCTCGTCTCGAGCTGCTGTTGATGTGAAGTAGCCGCTCATGATGCCGCAAGCTAAACGGAGGCCGAAACGGAGAAATCAACGGGCCTTCGAATTGGATGTTCGTTGCGAGAAGTTATAACCGTCATACAGTATATGATTAGGGGAGGAATGCCAAGCGTCTATTCGAGTCAGAGGCTCTTTCGGCGGCCTTGGCACATGAATGCTTACCGGTTCGCTTGGCAAGCCCTAACTTCATGTCGATGGAAATCAGAAAAGTGTCTCTCCTGGTTAAAAGTCCTGTGCGATCTGAAGAATCTGGCATCGAATTCGGGGTCAACACCAAAGCGCAGATTCCTAGAAAGCAGGTCTTCTCGCGAGTACCGCAGCGTGGGCTCTGGTGACAAACATACTGTACAGCAAAGCTCGAGATGCTCCTTGAAATTGACCTACCGGTACTCAACATACCGGATCTAGATCTTACGGGACTACTTTTGCATACACAGCAACGGTCGTTAAGGTCGGTATGGCTTTTCCACACGGCGATGCCGAATGGTCTCTTTGGGCTAGTGACTCTCGTGTGGACATACGCCTAGTGATCCCTCGACTCCTCGCGTTCTACGATGCCTGCAGTAGATAGCAGCCAAGTTCGGACGTTGATGTTCGCGATGTGGCTGCAGAAGAGTTTTCGCGGCAAGGAGAGGTAATGGGAATGGGAACGGCACAAGCCACACAGATCGAAGTATGGAGCGAAGTGTTGTTGGGACTCTTCTGGAATGTCCCGGGACAGTCGCAGATCCACACCCAGTGAAAGTAATAGCGGCGTTGCAGATCGACAAACATATGTTCCTCGCCAGGTCCTGCTGGGCTTTGGTGTGGTTCCAAGTAGAATCGGTATGCTTGAGATGGAGGAGACATGATTCTTCCATACCTACTCACAAAGTAGGTCAGATCTAGACCACAGCTTGTGCCGCATGTATTAAGACATGCAATAGGTCCGCCGCGTTGAGCCCACCATGATGCCCTTTGTCGCATCTTCTGTTCGCGAATGTACCCTGCTCAAGAGTACTGAGGCTGTCATACTCGGAAAACATCTCTCTAGTGTCAGGGCTGTCGCCTCATAAGCCTTTTGTCATTCATCTCTATGCTCACCGATTCTCCTACACACACGCAATGAGGTTGTGCGTTGCTTTCAGTCTCACCCGCCCATCACATCTATAAAATGTCTTCGGCCTTTGCACGGGATGATGTTGAAAGACTCGCTGGCAAGATGGAACATTGCATCCTAGCTGAACATCTCTCGGGAACATAATCACGCGCAATCGAAGCAACTCCCCGCGCTTGACGCCAGAATCCATTTAGCAGGTCTGGTGGGCGTTGACCGAACAACGCGATCGGTATACCAACGAGATACAAGAGCTAGAGGTCAAGCTGGAGTCGGCCAATCTCACGATGAACCAGAAAACCTCGTAGCTTCGTTCGCAGATTGAAGTGCTGGAGGACAAGATTGGAAGTTTGGGACTCTCAGAATCGAGAAGAAGAGACTCAGACGATGGTCGCATCAATCGATTACTGGGCAAAATCGACTCACTCGAGAGACAGGCAGACGCACGCCAAGATTAGCTTGCACCGAACCCCAGCGAAAGCAATGCACGAGGGTCACTGGCGCATTTGGATCTTGCAGGTCTCTCCATTCATCTGACCTAGACAATTTATGCATCGTGTCACGATGCAGAGTACATCAGGATATATTGCACGGAGCGTCCATAGCTCAACAATTGACCCCTGAGAACAGCTTCCTTGAACTACATCACCAAGTTCCGATCTCGACCTCAACCACGTCCTGAAGGGGTGTTCGTCCCTGGCTGGGATGGCATGCGCCTTAGAGGTGGATTCTCTAGTCATTGATCTCGCGCTATCCATTCTCGTATAACCGATGCTTTGAGAAATTTTGGGTAGCTGTACTGAACATTTACTCAGAAGCCTTGCACAATTCATGATGAAATGGTTCTTTCGATTGTCTCGTTGTTGCTCCTATCAGCCCAACGTATTGTTTCTCCAATCGATTCTCAGTTATACAAATCTGGTACAAGGCACATGATCATCACCTACGATCTGGGAGATGCCATCAGGGTCTACCCCTTATCGAGATTGCTGTAGACATGTAAGGAGATCTTTTAGGCTCAAGCGAACCCATCGTCAGGCTGAACTGAAGGTATCCCGCTCCTCATGGCAAGAAGGACGATAAGTTAGTGACCCTCAATACTGTGATTCCTATCAGAGTAAACACAACTCGTTGGATACAGCGAGCTTCCACATGGGAACATGTATAGCCTTTGAGGCCACACAGACCTATCTACTTCTGGACCCTTGAGATCAGGGCCTGTATAGAAGCAAGCTGCTTCGCACTGTTATTGAGCTTTTGTCATTTGCTGCATGCGTAGCTTCTCAAACTCTCTTGCTGTGCAGGAGTATAATGAACGATCTGACTGTGGTTCTGATGATCCAGAGCACGGGATAGTGAGCGATGGCCAAACAGCATGCAAGACGCCGATGTTAACCTGCAATGTCGGTTATTTAGACACAGAGTGAGCAATTCAGAGCAAAGAAGATTTCTCCAAAGACGAGGCTTTCGAGTACGGGCCCTACTTGACATTGGAGAAACGGGCAAGTAGAGCTATAAGAAACAAGAAACCCTATTAGGACATAAGATCTCCTATCACACCTTTGAGACACAATCCAGCTCTTTCCTCCACTCAACCTTAAACACGGAATCCACTTCAGACTTCACTCTCATCCCATACAAGAGTAGAACACCTAAATTCTACAACGATTTGTCGAAGAGTACGTCTCATGGATTCAAGGCGCATATCCAAGAGGAGACGAGGAGCAGACTGGGTGTGACAATCGAGACGGGTCTGGTAGTATGATCGAGCAGTAGACATCATAAGATAATACAAAAGCAATGCAAACTAGGGCATACTTCTAAAGGTGTTGAGCAAATCTAGCTAGTCACATAACCGACATATTCAATACTCTCAACCCTGACTACCATAGGAGGGACGATTTCAGAACCGACGCATCCTGAAGCAGTTCCGAAGGACATGCGCGGCACTCAGTATCCAAAGTCCAACTTGGCTCATCAGCACAAACAAGCACGTCGTAGGCCAAAGTCATACGGGGGCAGAACAAGAAGAGCAACAGGTCAGTGTCCCTCCAAATATCGTGAATCACATCAGAGTACATATGACTGATCGGATGCAGAGAGCTTCCGTGGGAACATGCGTAGCCCCTGAGGCTACACAGACCTGTCTACTTACTTCTGGACTTCAGTAAACAGCTGTACTCTCAGTTGCTTCTCGGTGCGGTTGAGTTGGTTTCGCACCACCTCGTTCTCAAAATCGAGGTTGTCAAGCTTGTCAAGCTTGTCGAGCTTTTCGAATCTCTTCCGGAGTTCCTTCACCTAAAGAAACAATATTTAAATAGTAGTTTATTGCGCTGCTGACTGAGCGAACTACAAAAGTGAGGCTCTCTGATCAGAAACAACGAATACAATAAATTGCTTGAAAGCAAATCAGTGCGTGAGGTCGATTCAACATTGTCTCATCACCAGATGCGAATCATACCTTACACAATGGATCGACGGGCTACGTGGTAATAGTCACAGGTTGGCTGTTACGACCACAAGAAGGAGAATACGTTCGGAGAGACGTGATGTACAATTCAGTGGCTCGAAGACATCTGCTTGCCAGAAAAGAATGTCAATTGAGGTTTTTCTATCATAGCGATTGGGGGGTATCTTTGTTGTTCGAACACGTCTCCAACTTTCCGCCATATTCGAGATGCCACTCGTATACCCGAAATACTTGACGTCTCACTAGTATCCACGTCTAGCATTGTTGAACAAGTTCATCAAGACATCTGCTTGTGCTTGTGGCTGTTGAAGAGGCTGCTGTTGAGAGTAATGTTGCTGAGTAGGTGCGAATCCAGGAGGTGCGGGAGTATGTGCAGCATACTGGTGTTGATGTTGAGCTGTCTGCCATTGTTGTGCGTTCATGTGATTCATTTGTTGTTGTTGCATAGCCTCCATCTGCTGCTGTTGCTGCCGTTGTTGTTCAAGGCGCTGGTGCTCGATTTGCTGTTGTTCTTGCATATTGTAGTACTGCTGCTGGTCATAGGACTGGAAGGGAGAGGCGAGAGTGGGTCGTTGCTGTTGCTGCTGGCCGTTCTTAAAGAAATGCAGCAGATTGAGTTGTTGGTTTGGTAGTTGTTGCTCATAGTCATGTCTCTGTGGCTCCGGTGCTTGTTCGCGCTGTATCGCTGGCGGTGGTTGGTGTTGTACTTGTGGCTGTTGTTGTGCTGGCGGCAGTTCTTCCTCGACATACTCTTCTTCCACATCGGCCACAGCAGCAGCGTCTCTGCTGTCCTCGGCTCTCTTTGCGCATTCCTGGATGATCAGGGCATTGACCACTCTTGTCTGTACCGTGCTTCCTCCTTCTTCCGCAAAGATCCATAGACCATAGATGTTTGCACTTCCATCTTCTCCTTCGACTTGCAAGATGACATAGTCGTCCGTCACTTGCACCGACTCGGCAGAGAACAATTCACTAGAGAAGTTTTCGAGACCGCGACGGTTGAGGACGATGCAACTGTATCGTTCAATCTGCGGACCTCCTACCGGTGGTAGAAGCGAACAGACAAATAGTGTGCCCTCAGTTCCCTGCTTCTCCCAACTCGACGAGGCTGGGTTGAAAGTGTAGACAACAGCGAACGGCGCGACCGAAAGGATCTGGTGGACTGAAGGATCGTGTCGTTGCAGCACGCTGAGATTGAGTTCTTCATTTGTGCGCGCTGGGATAGGTGCTGGCTGAGGAAGAGAAGTCATGGCATCGGTTGCGTATGCTGTGTCCGTATCGTAGTCCGAGGGAACGTGGTGATGATGCGCCGCAGGTCGTGGATGCGAGTTGCGGTTGTTGCGATTCTTCGGCGGCATATTGACTAAATGTTGACTGGATGAATGAAGCTATGACTTGCTGGCGCTCGACTCGTTTGTGCTGGTGTCTTAGTGTCGAACGAGCTGTGCGACGCCATGTTTGGAAGCTGTTTGCGACGTCATGCTCCCTCTTTGTTCACGGATGGATCCTGCCAACACTTTCGAGTCACCCTGGACCTTCGAACATTGCAACTTTCTGTAACAGGATGATTGTTTGTTCATCAACTCCAATATATCATACAATATCCTCTCGCGTCTAAATGCTATATCTACAAGGATTCTACACCACTCATGCCTTCTTTTCTTCATACAGCCATGTCAGATAATCGTCCACACTCTCGATGCTTACATCGTCCGTATTCGCCATCTGCCTCTTGGAAGGCTTGTCATATGGCATACCGACCACGATCTTCGGCTTATTTGCTTCCTTCCGGTCAAGGCCAGCCCTCATCTTCCTGCCCTTCTCACTCAGATCCTTAAGCATGTTGATATAATGTTCGTTGTAGCTTAGTTGAGTGCTGTCAGGATCCGATTTGTCGAGTCTGCTGTTGAGCTTCTGATATGTCCTTCTGCGCCGGGCTTGAGCTGCTCTATACTCTCTCCATGCCTGGCCTGGTTTGATTTCGTTTAGGCTGTACTCGATTGACCAATCATGATTCTTCTTGAGGTCCTCCGGTCGCTCGACGTACACACCATTGACTTTCGAACGGATCGTGAGAGTCAGCCCCAGCAAAGNGTTTGTCTTCCTCTGCTGGTGACTCTGGTTTTGATGGAGGTTCTGCTTGTGTCTCCGGTTCTGCTTGACGCTCTGCTTGAGACTCTGGTTCTGCTTGAGGCTCTGACTCAGACGTTTCAGCGATGGCTTCAATCTCCTTGACGATTGGGTCTTTTTCGTTGGCTTTTGAATCTTGCGCAGCAATCCTTTCCGATTGAGCTTCGGGTGTTTCTGAGGCTTGTTCCGATTCGGNNAGACATTACTTTCAGCCGATACTTGGCTCAAGTCACTCTCGGAGTCGCCAAACTCCTTCGCTGTGTCATCACCATCCTCTTCTGCTAGCTCACTGATTTGCTCGCTATTCAACTTTGAGGCTGGGTCACGCAGATTGCGTTCCCACTCGGCGATCTTTTCCTTTTGCGAGTTCTGAATGGTTTCAATGTCCTCTTCGCTCATGGGCTCTGCAAAGATGTACATAGATGGAAGCGTTTCAGCAGCTTTGGTCTCAAAGGTGAATCGAATAGANNCTATGTCACAGTCAGCGAAAGGTCAAAAATGGGAGTCAAGGACACTAACCTGATCAGGGAACTTCTCAGTAGCCTTATTGAAGATTTCGTTCAACAAGCCGATACTGAGATTGAACTCACGGTTTCCCAGAGTGAGATCATGCGTACCGTGAAGAGCCCGATCAAGCTCGTTGAGACTAATATACTGGAAGCCAAAGATACGCTTGACGTTGTGATACGCAACAAAAATGCCGTCCATGTGTCCCATACGAGCTTGTAGAGAGTACTTGAGGGCGGTGCTGCGCATCATATCGTAATACTCTCTCTCGAAACTCTCGTACTGACCTTGATCTTGTGTGATCTCATATCCGGTCATTGGCTCATGATCTTGTGACTGCATACGAATCGGAAGTACAGCACGCGTCTTGATATCGAACATGCCAGTACCGGGTAGTCGATCATCTTGAGCGTCGAGTTGCGATCGTAATAAGAAGTCGCCCAGCGAGGAGTAGTGGTATGCCTCGGGTTGGTTACGCTGCACCTCAGAGATACCACTAGATTTGTCCTTTCTGTATTGCTCAAATTTATCGGTCGGCATGGTCAAGAGTTTCTCCATAGATCTTCCGAGTAACATCAGAACATTGGCACCGTCGTGTTCCTTGTCCGCATCGACGGCGTAAGTATCGCCTTTACGTCTCAAGAAGATTGAAGTAGGCGTACGGTTAAGAGCAGTGAAGCTTTGCAGCGTGTCTGGAAAGTCTCTGGAGAACATGTCGGTGTTGATCTTTCGCCAGGACGAAAGAAGATAGTGGAAATGGGTCAAGGTGCTTGTCATGCTAGAGGTAGAGCCGACGTATTTCTTGCCATGCTTTTTAGCAAATTCTGAGAGGAACTTGTCTTGAGAAGAGGTCTTGTAGGCAGTGAGAGCATCGTAATCAAACTCGGTTACAGGCATGATCTTCTGTAAGTAGGGATCAAAGTTGTAGACCTTGGAACGTCTATCTTGCAATTGGTAAACACCATGCATGAAGAGGACGCGATCAAGGCTGTGGTGTAAACGAGGAACACGCGGTTGTTCGATATCTAAGCGTTGCAACTCAACGCTGGAAGCATCCATGGTTTTGAGACCTTCAGCAAGATACTTTTGAGCACGTTTTTCATCTGATTCTCTCTTCTTCTCTGCTTTTGCGATACGTTCAGGGGTCTGAGGCGCGGGGCTGTTGACAAAGCGCTTGCGTCTGGTCCGTAGTCTCCTCAGCGTTTTTCTGGGAAAGGGAATAGGATCATTCTTGATAGACAGCATGGCATCTCTCAAAGATTGTATCGCGCCTCCATCGTAAAGAGAAGAAGCGGCCGATGGGTCTGTCGACTTGAAAAAATCGATTATGGTGCTTTGTGTTTCCGCAGTGTCTGGAGAATTGCCACTCAATTGCTTGATAGATCTGAAAGGAGTGGTCTTAGCATCACTTTCGGTGGCCTTGTCATCTCCTTCGGATGGCTGCGAAGAGTCTGGGCGATTATGTTTGTCGAAAGATTTTATTTTTCTGATGAGACTTGAGTCAGAACTCGAAATCGAATCTGGATCTGCTTCAGGCTGTTTCGAGTGCTCTGCGTCTTCTTGATTTTCCGCAATCTCGTGCTTGTCGGCATGCGATTCCAAATCCTTGGTCTTTTCGGGCGACTTCAAGTCTTCCTTGTTGAAGGGCCACAAATCGTGAGGACTGTCTTGAACGTCGGTCGCATTTGCATCTTCGGGAGTGACAGGCTTGTGAGAGACAGTCTTGTCATTGTCGTGGTCGTTGGCTTCGGCATACAGCAAGCGCGTCGAGTGGCGGAGTGGGCGTGACGTTATAGTCGAGAAGAGGCGCGTACGACATGGTGGACAGACATAGCCGGTAGCTGTGAAGAAGGGCCGGAGAGGTCGGACGCCTAGAGTGCGCCAGGTGGGCATCGAAAATATTGGTATACCTGTGTTTGCGCGCAATGGCGACCGACTGACAAAGTTAACCTCCAATGCGCATTGCCAATTATTCTCTAATCGATAGCGTTAGGGCCGGTTTGTTTCGGACCCAGCGGCTTGCCGGTGGCCGGGGTGAGCCAGTGCTCTTCGGGACTTGGTATTGAACGTATCCATCCTTCTAGCCAGCCCTGCTCGAACAAATGCTCTGGTATAAACTCTTGACATCCTGTCAGAGCTGGCATAGTATGGCTTCATTATGATGATCTGCTCTGACATATGTCGCTCGGGCATGTCATCTGATGGTTTCTTGGTTTCATTCCATCTAATTCACACAAGGGCTTCTCAAACTAGATTTGGATCATCTGCCCTACTTCGAGACGCCGACGCTGAATAGCCAACTGGTTACCGGCTTCTACCAAGTCCCGCGCGTCAACGCCTCTGACGAAGGCGCAAATCGAGCGATTCACCTGTTGATCGTCTCGGGCTGGTTTTAGAACATTCAGAGTTCAATTCGTGCCGGCTCGCAAGGAACCATCTTTTGCGCCGCGCCTGTTTTCTCTCTTGTTCACATCACTCTCTCTACCAGCAGCGAAGACGACTCCACGTCGACATGCTGCCATCTCTCGTTCTGACGTCTATCGCCAACTCCTCATCTTGATGTCGGATCATCTAATTTCCCTCTCCTTCTGATCTCCCGCCGCCATGAACTTCGGACTTAAGCCAGCTATGCCCCAGTAGTACCACGCCTGACCTGACCCCTCCACGACATCTTCTTTGTAATCTCCTTCTTCCCTCAAGCGCCGTCCGTCATGCCCCGTTCCAGCAGTCGGGAGCACGCCGGCCGGAGGCGCAGTCTCTTCAGCATACCCTCTTTTACCCAGATTCATCCTACCACCACCACTCGCGACTCTCCGGACAAGCTGAACAAGGACTCCTCCAAGACTCTAAAGAAGCGTCGCGGCCCCACTCTCGTCACCAACCTTGAATCCTCACCAGAGCTGGTCCATGATGAGGATCCTTCGCCCATCTCAGCGGGCACTTTACCTTCTCCCAAGCCAGTCACACGCCCTTCCTTGAGTGTCCGTAGTGGTGGTCGTCCTGTCTCATCTGTCTTTGGCTCACTGCGATCCATGCGTTCCATGCACGAAGACGACACTCCTTTAACCACCACCTCAAGTCGAACTCCATCTATCAACTGGGCCGATTTCGATACCAGCCATTGCCGGAAAGGACGGGTTCTGCACCATGGCGAAGTACAAACCAGCAGTAGCATGTTTCGTAAGAAGAAAGAGTACCTGGTTCTGACCGACACACATATCTTGCGCTACAAGAACCAGTCAAAAGCCGCCGAATCTATCGGCAGTGTCCCTCCTCCGTTCGGAAGAAGTCCGACAATTCGTCATAGCTCGACCAATTCCATTGGCTCTTCTCAGGATCTACAATCTCTACACTCGGATTCCTCCGGCGACAAGGAAGGCCGAGTTACGCTTCGTCACATTGTTGCTGTCCACAGACTCGATGATGGCCGTCCCTACTTTGCCATTGAGGTCTGCTATCTGGACGAGGACGGCTCTCAGGCTTCAGCCATGGTCATGCAGTTTGGAGAATCTGAGGATCGTGATTTGTGGTTGCGCTCGATCCGCCAGGCTGCCAATAAAGCTCGACTACAAGATGTTAACCCTATTTCTGTCGTCAACTCNAAAAATGCCGCAAGAGCTGTGGAGCGCGAGAACGATTACGATCCTGCCAACTATGCCATTTACAAAGTCATACAGCGCCAGTTTTCGAAATCACGATCCTCCACCGACGACTTATCTAAAATCGCATCTACCGTTTGCTTCCTGGCCATTGGAATCCACAAGGTCCATGTGATACCTCTAGTGAAGACTACCAGTCGTGTTTCATCACCTTCTCTATCAGCAAGCAATGTGCCAACATCGTACGGCATCCTCAATATGACGGCTGTTCGAGTGAGCCATTCAGACGACCATTTCGAGCTCACCTTCCGACAACCCCTTAAGCGACCGAAAACACTATATCTGGCTTCTCTGGCTTCTCATGATATCGCCCTTCGTCTTCACCATGTTGAAAACGTCCTTCGTCCGGAGTGTGCTTCTCGAATGTTCAAATTCAGCGTCCCACAGGAAATCGACGATCAGCTTCCTCCTACAGTGGATTCGGAAGCGGAAGACCATTGCTGCTTTGAGCGCACGCTTACGGCATACTGCATTGCATACGATGTTAATCCATCAAATATCTGCTATACCATTGATTATTCGTGCGAGGATGCGCCTCGCTTCCAATTGCTTCCATTAGCGGATGCGCGTCGACAAAAGTATAGTGCAGCCGAACTGTTAGCTGTTATGCGGGCTCTACGATACAATGAATCGTTCAACTCGCTCTCCTTTGCCGATGTACAACTCGATGTACTCAACGGACTTCACGACAACTATGGCTCTGAGCATGTCTGCACTAGAACGAAACGAGGAACCCCAATCCGCCTGACCACAGAAGAGCTTACGCAATCGTGTCTCTTGATCCAGGAAGTTCGTGCGCTGGCTGCGACGAACAANAAGCTTCGAAGGATGGATTTCTCTAGGTGTATTGTCGCAAAACCTCCGGATTATACGGATGACTTGGAGGCTAAAGTCAAGGACATTGGATGTGGTGTGGTCGAAGCTCTTTCTCCACTTTGCAAGCATCAAATCACAAACGTTGATTGGATCGCATTGAACGGCATCCATCTCAGCGAGACTGATCTTGATTATCTAGTTGGTGCAGCTAGTGATAAAGCCTGTCACTTCCGTTCCATTGAGCTGAGCAGATGTTCATTGACTGACCGTACACTGAGCTTGATACTGGATTCTCTTCGCGCTCAGGACAATACACTGGAAGCCTTGGACATTTCTGGAAATCTTGCAAGACTCGCACCTGCCGTGTTCGATGGACAGATTAGTGTGTTTGGGTTTATCCGCAAGCTCAACTTATCNTTTGCATCTCGAACTTCAGGAGCCGAACCTTTATTCAATGCTGAAACTCTTCTCACCTGGCGTTTGGAAGAGCTCAGGTTGACTGGCACATCTCTAAATGAGAATACGATCCAGGCCCTCGCAACATATCTCAAGCATCCGCAGTCTGATACACTTCGCGAGTTGTATCTGGACTCTGCATACATGTCCGGTAGTGACATTGCAACCATCATGCGCGCCACTAAGCGAGGTTCAATTGAGCCTCGTTCCCTCCATCTTGACATCAGTCACAACAACATCACCAAGGATCACGATCAACTATGCAAAGCGATCTCGGACGATTCAACACCCACTCACATCACCCTTCGTGCCATTGAGTATCGTGAAGAGTCTGTATTCCGACATCTGATTAATGCAATGAGGAAGAATAAGAGCATCAGATATCTCGACATCTCAAGGACGACACTACCCAGTGATGCTAACGACGAAACAAGTCGTGCACTAGAATCACTCTTCGCGGAAAACTGTACGCTCGAGGAACTAGACATTTCAGGAGAGGACTCGCGCCTAGAAACTTCGCGATTTGGCGTTGGGCTCAACCAAGCATTAAACGGTCTTCGCCACAATACAGGCTTGCATGTCCTTCGAGTTCAATATCAGAGACTCGGTCTGCCTGGTGCTAGTATGCTAGCAGAAGTCTTGAAGGCTAACAGAACGTTACGAGAATTGCACTGTGAGCATAACGACATCCCTCTTTCCGCTTTCACCAACATGATCAACGCATTGGGCAAGAACACGACACTGGTCTACATGCCGTACATGGACGAGAGCCGCTTAGCAGCTCTGAAGCAGACGGAAACACAGGTCAAACAGATACGCGATGAGGTACCTACCTCCACTTCACCTCTCAAACCTACTATCTCTGCCCCTCTTTCCAAGCCACTGCCCTCATCTTCGTCTTCATCAGCTCTACGTAAAGGCCTTGCGAGCATGAAGAGGAGTGTCAACCGCAGCACTGCACCAGCGCCTCCCTCCTTCCCATCATTGGCACCTTCACCGCGGCATACCGCATCTCCACTCGTTTCATCGCGTCCATTCTCGCCCTCGAAGACCAAAGTCAACAACATCGTCAGCACACCTATATCCGCACCATCTGTCTCGCTCACTGATCAAGACATACAAGCCGCTTTGCGTCTGGTAACGGAGTCTTGGGATCGCCAACAGTACCGACTGCAGCAATATCTTGAAAGAAACTGCTGTATACTGCATGACATACCCACATCTATGGAGATCGAAGAAGAAGCTTTCGAACGTGCCACTAGCGTCGGTACCTTGTCCCAGCTCATCGAGAAGGTCAAGCTGGATTCCACGCCCACTGCAGAAAAAGAGCTAGACTTTGGTGATGGATACGGATTGTCCGAGGTTAGTGTTGTTGGGAGCGAGGATGACATGCAGCCTCAAGCAGGACTAAGACTTTCTCTACCACCACGATTGCAATTGTTACACGACGTCGAAGAACACGAACAACCATCTGTCAGCTTCAAGCAATTTCTGCTGGGCCACCACGACATGAGTAGTCCTGAGGACACAGTTGATGGCGTGAGTTCTTCAGGCGCAGCCACCGAAGGCGAAGACAGCGAATTGCCTAGCCCTGTGCTCGAGATGGGAGGACCCGCCCACAAAGGATTTGCTGGTCTAGGCATCAACCAAGGAGATCTCAAAACACCTACCCAGAAGAGTTTCTTTGGTTGATAGCTAGTCACATCTCCTGCTCCTTTGGCATTTTCTTCTTTCTTTCTTGTTTTTTTTTTTCCTTTGATGTCTCGAGGAGTTTTATTTGCTGTGGAGTGGAAATGATGTGTGAGGTTTTCTTATTTGTATAACCCCTCGATGGAGACAAGGACAATGGCTGGAAATGGCAAACGGGAAAGGAAGCATTGTTGGGAGGTTTGTGGTGCATACTCCAGGAGAGAGAGAGGCTAGGTCAGCCATCCATCATATTTGCTGTGTGTATAATGTCGAATGAGAACCCAGATGAATCGAAATATCAAATATTTACTCAAGAACAGCTGAAGGTTCATGGATGTGTATTAGACCGTGCAGTGACTTGCTGTTTCGATACAGAGTCCTTTTACAGATGCTGCTCGCAACAGCAGTCAACTCCGAACAGGCTCAATCTCATTTCCGACTCCACAATCTGTTCAGTGCTTTGTCGAGAGCACCATATGGCCATGACTCGACTAGAGAATTGCAGAAGGATTTGCTTCTTTGCAATCTGTTCCTCTCATACAATCTTTTGTAGCCGTGTATATCTTTAACATCCAAGTCCTTCTTTACATATTCTCTAACGCTAAGCATCACGAAATGCCAAGACTTACACAGAATGAAGACTCTTTCCCATTGTACTCGAGTATACCACAACTGGCACAACTCGATCTGCCCATGACCGATCGTGGGCAGCTTCTCTTCAACCCAATCCAGTGGTTGTGCTGTAGGACATAGTAGTTACTAAGCACAATTTCACATATTCTGGCGCTCTGGCCGAGTGGTTAAGGCGTTTGACTCGAATGATTTGCTTCAGCTTCTGTTCTAGCATTCTCTATTTCTACCGATATCAAATCCTTTCGGGGGCGTGTGTTCGAATCACACGGGCGTCGCTATCCTTTGCTTTTGAACGACTATGTCAATGGTATAGTTTTGTTTTTGGTCTGGGATATGGTAGAGGTGAAATTGGGTGACGGTGAAAGAAAATGAGGGCTTTGGTGAGGGCTGAAGCTTTGGGAAATTTTTGCTTGGCGGCGTTGTGCAAGGGTCTATGCAGGATTTTATGCATGGTAATAACCTTCCAAGGAGAGTATTAAAAATATAGAAGGGATGAGACGGATGATGTGACTTGGTCGACTGTTCGGAAGAGAAACTAACCAGATGTCGATCCAGTAGGAAGAGATGGGACTCGGTGCCAGAGTATGATCCACGGGATAACGGATGGAGCGATCACTTGATGCCAGCTACCATGACAAGAAGATCCAAGTACAAGACAGCGTGCAGTTGAGCAAGTGATGACTAGTACTTGACGACGAGTGAGAAGATGAAGCGACCATTGCTGAGCGAGAAAGAAGAACCATAACGGTACTGTATGAGTATATGTAGAAAAAGCGCTGTACAAGAAAAGTCCCGATCCAGAGACATGGAGAAGCAAACCCAACCAAAGCGAAAGAAGAAAAGAAGGACCCAGGGTATCATTTTTGTTGTCCTTTTCCTCGCCAACCCCTAACTCCTACCAAAGAAAGCAAAACCTAGCTCATTTACGAGCATCCTCCCAATCGTTATCATCGTCATTAAAATCAGTATCGTCAGATTCGACTTCGAATTTCGTGCCTAGAGCGGCTTGACCTTGTCGAATCAGGTCTTGGATTTGGCGATCGAGTTTGCGCATGCTTTTGTCGGCGTCGCGGTCTTTTCTTTCTATGCGGTGAAGNNGGAAGCGTTGTGCGTCGGGACTTAGATTGTCTCCGTTCGCACTGGCAATGCTGGACCGACGGTCTGCACCGAAACTTGTGCGGATGGGTGTGGTGACGGGTGAGCGGCGCACCCCGAATGCGGGACGCAAAGGAGCAGCAGATCGAGTGGAGGCTATGGAAGCTGCTGTGGCAGAACGGTCTGCAAATGCCTGGCTGAAGACGTCAAGACGGGATTGTTGTGCTTGTGGAGAGCCGGTGTAGGAAGTCTGGCGTGAGGGGGCGCGGCGGGTTACTGAGCTTAGAGCGCGACGACTGCTTGCTCTTGTGGCGCCGAGATGTGTGAGGTTGTCTATGGATGTGTTGCGGTTGGATGGTCGAGGTGCTTCTGGATTCGAGTCTACCATGACCCAGCCAGATTCTGTTTGTTGTCTCTTGAGAGATCTTTCAGGAGTGTTGTCTTGCTCAAAGTCGCCAAAGAAGTCGTTCACCGGATTCTGTCCAGGCAGTGGTGTGGGAAGCTGAGTAGGTTGTGCAAAGTCATAGCCTCGTCCAGAACCAGCGTAGAAGCCACCAAAAGCACTCACACGACAAAAGTGCCACACTTTGCCTACGACACCTCCGACCAGTTTCATGGCAAATCCTCCCCATCCTTTGGTGTCTGATGAATCACTGGTGCTCGCCATACTTGTGTAGCTGACCGTCCTGCCTTTTCCATTCCTCTCTCTTGCCAGTAAACCCGGCACATGTGCAGTGTCTTGGTCAGGTGATGCATCTCCAGAATCCCATTTCCAGCGAAAGTCTCTTTCTCCAGTCAAATCGTCGTGTCGTGAAGCAGCTGCTAATGTCGGAGTGTCGAATTTGTAGTCCAGTGTGTAATGTTCGTTTGCAAGAGGAGCTGGGCTCATAGCTTGGGTGGTGTAGCCATGTTTCATGCCATATGCCAGAGGTGCAGAAGCGTTTGGCTTGTTCGAGTTTGCGCGTGACCGCTTCCTTGTTAAGACAGGCTTGTCTTGTGATGGAGTGGCTGTGAAATTCATGTCGAAACCAGGAGTGTGAGGTGGACGGAAGATGTTGCTGTGCAAGCGTCCTGACTGCTGATCCGGAAATGGATAGCTCGAAGCTGTCGAGTAGACGGTCATGTTGCTGACCTCGAGTCCGAGACGAGGCGATGATAGAGTTACGTCCAGGGACCTTGGAAGCGGGGTTGGTTGCTTTTTCTTGCTCAATCCCGTCTGTCGTTACACACAATTGTCGACGTGCATAAACACATGACTGCTGTCGAGTCCAATGCAGTTCAAGTTTTGATGCTCAAGCATGATGATGATTGTTGTTGTAATTCATCTCGCTACCTCCGTCATCGTCACCGCTTCGAAACGCCTAGACTTCTTGTTGGCCTGCCAACCGTGCCCTTCGTCTATATCGCTACCAAGCTTGCGGATACTCCCGCCCTTTGACATTTCTCCATCATGCTCTGATGATGCATCTATACCGATCAACTATTAGCGCTCTTCATCACTGGCCAACCTCAGACGGCCTAAAGACTCTCACCTAGTCGCCAGCTGTCTCTTGGACTGGTAATGCTCATATAAATATGGCTTTCAGATGGTGTTCAGCGATCGCCTCTCGATCACACGGCTTGACCCAAAGCACTGTCCGAGTAACCAGCTTTTGTCCGACAACCTTTGTTCCAATTGTCCTGGATTCAAGATGCTATGCCTCCGGCCGAAACCCCCTATCCGAAGAAGAACGTCAAAGAAGACACGAAGAAGCGAAAGCACGCGCTAAAGAGAAATGGCGCCTTAGATACCATTCGGACCCTGAGTTTCGTGAGAAATGCAAGCAAAGTAATAAGAACAGTTACGCCAATCCCGAGGTCCATGAAAGGAGAATGCGAGAGCTCAGGGAAAGATATGCCAACGACTCTGAATTTCGTGAGAAGAAGCTACGATACTATAAAGAGAAATACGCCAATGATCCTCAACATCGTGAAGGAATTAGTCGGTCATCCGCTAAGCAATGGTTGGAGCTCAGATCAACGTTTGAACAAGATCCTAAGGCACATCAACTGCGGAAAGACCAGATCGCTAAGCGTATGCTGGCAATGTATCATGAAAAAGCTGAATACAGATGGAGGCTGAACCTAGCAGCCCGACTCAGATTATCACCACGTTATCGTGATGAGGTCGTCTGGAATTCACACAAACCCGTCATCTACTCAACGAAAGTGAATCATACCTGTGCCACTTGTGATCGCGAGAGGTTCGGCGGGTTGAAATTATGGTACGTCTTAAACTGTTAGATTGCACTGGAGAGAAGCAGCTAACAGTGACTTTTCCAGGTGGCAGCGCAAGAATGAACCTGATAAGTACGACTGCTTTCGGTGCTTTGCAGCGGATCGAGAAGTATCAACACCAATATATTTTCCTCCAAATCTTCAACCCTTGCTCGACCGCGGCCCAGTGGAGCGACCTCGAGATCACGACGAAAAGGGTGATGAAGGAAGCGGCACAGGATCCACAACATGATATTCATCCTTTTGCAGTGTGCTACACGTGCATCCCTGCCACTGTAATCAATACTACATCAACCCGGTTCAGAGCAAACAACATACTTCTTTTCAAACCTCGACTCCATCTTGTCGAGAACGATGCTACCATTCGGAAACTCAAGGATGTAAAGGTCATTGATGGGGGATACCTTGAAGCTCAAAGACCATCATCTTTGTAGGATGAGGTTGGGGGAGTTGCAGGCTTAGAAAACTGGTGGTCCTCACGTCTTTCCAGGCCTGACGCTCTAATATGCCCAGTTTAAGAGCATTGATCTGGGCTTTGTAGAAGTGGCCTTTTCCAAACTGCACAAGGTGCGCAGAAAAAATCGCTTTATAGCGTACACTAACCACTGACCTGGTAAAGGCAATTCTGACCTTATTGGTTTCACCTCCGCCTTCAATCGAATCTGACGGAACAGATACAGTGTTGGCGCATGGCCTTCTGAGATACTTGGTCGCAAAGAAGATCGATGTAAGCGGAGTACGTGGATAATTCTCAGCCTCGAGCTGTACGATTGTCCTCAATTTCTCAGGATGCGCTTCTAGGGGCTTTTGGCAAAGAAGCGCTGGCATTCTTACATACCACTCTCGGGTTCTCCAATCGCGCAGATGTCTAAATTTGCAGGATCAATCTTGAAGGCTTGCCATTGGAAAACGGTCTGGCAGAAGTCAACTGTAAAGTGTGGAAAAGAACGAGGATAGGAGTAATACAGCTTTCATTGAGAGACCGAGAATCTAATCCTTTGGCGTGAATGGTGTCGAAGAACCTACACAAAACAGACTCTGTTGCCAGGTTTTGCACAACATCAAAAAGTTCTTTGTAATGATGAGTTTTTATACAACCAAGCCAGACGTCTGACCTGCATCGGCAGCAAACCTCTATCCAATCTTCCTCTTCTTGTTGTACTTGCCTCTGGCCTCCACTTTGCCATCCACAGGCAACACCTTCCTCGCCGTAAACAGATAGCCCTCGGCACCACCCCTCCACGTCATAAGCGGATGCGTACGACCCGGCAATACCTGCCAAGGTCTAATCCTCGTAGTCTGCAACGTAGGTCCCAACACCAACCTCGGATCCAACGGGAAGTCCTCTTCAGGAGGCACAGTATCATTAGCAACATGATCCAAAAACGCAGCTTTGCGGTCTTTAGAATACAAATCCATGATTTCGGTGAGTGGCTCGACGGTAGGTGAGTAAATGGCGATATGTGCAGAGCCGCGCAACAAATGCACTGTGTTTTTGAGGATGGTGGCGGGGGACATGTGGGAAGCGATGATCAAGCCGTCAAAGCCTCCAGCACGGGTTTCGTCTACGATGGCTTTGCAGCGGGCCCAGCGGCGGCGTTTACGGTAGTAGGCACCGCGTTTTCCGGATTTCATCGTGTCAAGTTCGGATTGAGGGAGGGTTTCTGGCTCTTCGTAGGTAGGGTCTGCGGAAGGGTCGATAAGTTGAAGCCAAGTGAGGGTTTTGAGATGGGTATGTAGGGGATGGGCGGCGGTTGGGTTGTTTGTGTCGTAGGAGAAGTATTTGAGGAGTGAGACGTTTGGTTGGGCGTTTGCGTGAAGGGACTGTGATGGTGTTTGTCGAGGAGAGATTGGTGTTGTGCTTGTTCATGGGACGCTTTCGGCCGTTCGCTCGTACTTCTTNNCTCCTTCTTTTGGTTCGTCGTTGGTTGGTTCGTCTTTTGAGGGGTCCTGCATTTCGATGTCTGCGTCTTCTTCGGTCGCGGCTGTTTGTTGCGCGCCAGCCTCGGTGGGGGCCTCGTCGTCGTCCGACTCTTGGTCCTCCCTGTCTGGAAGGTACANAAGGCCCATCTTCTCGGCCATAGAAGCCACAACCAGACCACCAGTATCGTCAACGACCAGCCATCTTCCACCACCAAGTTGTGTGCCCTCTTCAGTAAGAGTCGGCTCTGCATCAGGATGGTAGTGTACGTTTGCCCAGCTGCCGACCAGACCTAGCGATTCTTCTCTGAGCTCCATGACTCTTGATGACTCCTTCTCGGCGATCATGTACTCGGTCAACATGGAGACATTCATTGGCAGAACAGTAAATCTGCGCAAGTACTTCTTGTGCTTTCTCAGAGTGTACTTGGCCAGCGCGAACGATGTCTTCTCACTCAGGTGGGTATGCGACTTGAGGATTTTNNTCTCGATAATGTCTCTTCCAGAGCCAGTTCCAGCTTTCTTCAATTCTTCAATCTCGTCCATGCTGAGTGCTTGACGAGAAGCATCGTCGACTGTGAGACGGTTGTTCTTGAGCAATACGGAGCCATCATCTGCGACAATATCGAAGGATTCGTCCGCTTTCTCGGTAGGGTTTTCTGAAGGAGGAGCATCTTCGGCGAGGACTTCAGCATTCAGCTCGGAGGCTGGCACGACTCGTAGGCGGGAGGCATCGGTCTCGGATTGCTTGTCGGTGATCTCGTATGTGAGGTAGTAAGGTCGTCCGATGAGAAGGTTGCATGGGAAGGAACCGAATTTGCCGATGGAAATAACACNTGTGATGCGATCGAGCTTAGTCAAGGACGTTATTGGAGGCGGCAATTGAGGATGTTCTTACCTGTTTGGCACTATCTGAACCAGCTTCAGGGTATCTGAAGGCAAGCGTAGTAGTACATACTCGCCGGCATGAACGCGCGAGTGCATGGTGAAGAGTGCTGAGTCGCGACAAGAATGTACCACTGAAACGGACTTTTTCTTGGACAATCTGGATGCTCGCCGTGGAAATCTGGGGAACTTTTGCGACCTTTCCTGAATGGGATGAAATTGTGACGCTGCACTTCGGCGCGATCTGAACGCGTCCGCTCTACTTGCGAAAAGGCAGCTTCACTTGACCAGCAGACAACCATTGTCTCCACACCCACATTCTGATCCAATCCTTTGTCCATCACATCAGCAATCATGTCCGACTACGAAGATGAAATGGACGTTGATGCGCCCGCCGCCCAGTCCTCGATTCAATTCTCGTCCAACTCAAATGAGAAGGGCAAGAGAAGCGCTGCCAATCTGCCCGTCGAGCTGCAGGACACACTACCATGGTATGCCTCTTCCTGCTTTTGTACCATACAACCCACTAAACTGTTATTAGGNGTGGAAAAGTACCGACCAAACACTCTCGACGACGTCTCCGGTCATCAGGACATTCTAGCTACAATCAACAAGTTTGTCGACAGCAACAGACTNCCCCATCTCCTCCTCTATGGCCCTCCAGGTACCGGAAAGACGTCGACTGTTCTCGCTCTCGCCCGTCGTATCTATGGCAACAAGAACATGCGCCAAATGGTCCTCGAACTCAACGCCTCCGACGATCGTGGTATCGATGTCGTCCGCGAACAGATCAAGACCTTCTCGAGCACAAAACAAATCTTCACCTCCTTCGGCGACAAGACTGGAGGCGAAAGCAGTCCAGCCAACTTCAAGCTTATCATTCTTGACGAGGCTGACGCCATGACCTCAACCGCTCAGATGGCCCTGCGAAGAATCATGGAGAAATACACATCCAACACCCGTTTCTGCATCATCGCCAATTACACTCACAAGCTCTCGCCCGCTCTTCTATCACGTTGCACTCGCTTCCGCTTCTCTCCTCTCAAAGAGGCCGATATTCGACGTCTGGTCGACATTGTCATCGAGAAGGAAGACGTCAACATCGCTCCTGATGCTACCGACTCGCTTGTCACCTTGTCAAAGGGTGATATGCGTCGTGCACTCAACGTTCTGCAAGCCTGCCATGCTTCATCAACACCACTACACATACCAGGTCAAGCACCAGCTCCGGGAGCCAAGATCGACCGCGACCTGATCACAAACGAAACTATCTTCGACTGCATTGCCGCACCACATCCTGCTGATATCGCAACCATCCGGGATACGCTACTTTCCAACCCCGATGTTACTTCATGCCTGGCAACGATCAACACTCTCAAGGCAAACAAGGGTCTAGCTTTGGCTGATATCTTGACTGCTCTAGGTGAGGAACTTGCAAATCTGGAAGTTCCTGCTCATACCAAGGTCACCTGGTTACAAGGTCTGGCTGAGATTGAGCACAGACTGAGTGGTGGTGGTAGCGAGAACCTCCAGACAGGTGGTTTGGTCGGTACCGTCAGAAATGGTTGTGAAATCATGGAGAACAAGAGCAAATGAGCAAAAGTCTGGTCGAACGAGGGGTCAATGTCAAGCATGGAGTCATGGAGTTAGATGGGAATCATATCGGATGTGTATAGCTATGTCTCGGATCAAATGGAGGCCGAGTAGGACATTTGCTTTAGCATGACTTCAAATACGACTTGTGTATGCTCTGCAAACTTCCCTTTCTTGCTCCTGCATCAACGGTGTCGTTCTTCCTGCTTCGACCAGCAATGCAGTCATTGCTACCACTCTAGCTTTCATGACATGGCCCTCACGACGACTCTGCCGTATTAGTAACCCGATGCTGGAGGTCGCTCCCACCGAGCATTGATTGAAGCGAAAAAGCTTCGAAGCGGTTCTTGAGGCTGTGAAGTCAGAAGCCTTCTGCTCGTGTAACGGCTGGGCTCCAACGTCTCGTAGGGGTCGCGGTACGAGGATTGATGGGCACTGTAAGTGATGCTGATTGGAAGTCCTTGGCTATGAGCTTGGTGCACTTCAAGATCCCATGGGTGTTCATATCCTTAACATATTGCTCAGGAAGGAGGAAAGACGGTGTTCTGCAGATGGTTCGTAAGCAAAGCACAAGTCGAGTGGACATCAAGACCATAACGTACAATGAAGCTTTCCAGTGCACCTTCAANAAGTTCGTTTGCGACTCCAACACCGCCAGTGTGCTCGACAGGTGAGATGGGGTTCTTGACGACGTATTCAACATAAAGATTCGCCCAGATTTGGTACAGCACAGTACGCATGCTCGCTATGCGTGTATCTGTAAGCATCACAAACTTGAGATTCGTCGCCGTCTCAAAGTAATGCAACTTGTACTCTCCAGTGCGATATGACAGAAAACTTGATATTGTCAACACATCAATTCGACTGTTTGGATGGACAACACAATGGACTTACCTGTCGTCCTCACCGCCCAGTTGCCGCACCATACGACGAAGAGAAAAGATGGCACCGAAGATCAATTTTGCATCATCTTCATTTGAGAGGGCTTTGGAGTTTACTCNTGGTACGTCGCCATTGCTGATGGCACTGGCTCCTGATTGACGTTGGGCTGCCTTGACGGTTTGAGATACAGGCCTTTGAGCCCAGCGTTTGCTGTATATGCACTNCGGCTGGATTGACATCAGCATTTGTTCATTGATCCAGATTGATGCTGACTCACTATGCCTGTCGAAGATATAAAAAGAGTAAACGGTCATGATTACAAGGATGAGTTGGTGAAATGGCAATATCAAGGGATGGTTGGCGGTTCGTTCTAGCCCTCTGGTAGATGATGTGGGGACGATTGACAGCAAGCTTGGCAGGTGCAGGTTCGGCGACAGGCGTCGAATGGCTGCTCTCTTTCGACTGATAAGTTCGGATAGTCGGGCCTAGCGTTCACCTTGTCCTCTGCATGCCCTAGCCTACGAATATATTCGCGTTTTAGAAAAAGCGATCAAAGCAGCAATGTTATACAAGCATCTTTCATTTGACTTTTCCTGCGCATGAGAAACTCTCCTCTTTCTGCCGCGGCCTTCGACACGATGGCAGATTCACACGATGCGTCTGAGACGATTGACGCCCGCTCATCAGAAGCGGGGCATGACCACCAAACCCACCACAATGATGCTCACATTCTGCCTTCGCGTGGTATTTCTCTCAACATAGCCAGTACAAACACCACCCATGGCCGACCTGCTGCTGTCAAGCATATGTAGGGCTAAACCCCGGACTGAACTCTGCCCTGGTCCATCGTACTGAGCAATTGTCGCGTCGTGCAGNNGTCCCTGCCGGCATACCAGAGCCCCATAAGACACCACCAACGAACTCCCTCGCGAACAACCACCGTCAAGGTCAGCTTGCTGCTTTGAGATTCCCGATCGCAACACCCTCTGACGTGCAATCCACAGGAAACGCTTAATGCGCGAACACACTACGGCTCCAGCGACGATGACGGCGCAGCTGTCCACCGAATCAACCAATACACCATTAAGCAAGAGATTGGCCGCGGTTCCTTTGGCGCAGTACACCTAGCTGTAGACCAGTTCGGCAACGAATATGCCGTCAAGGAGTTTTCTAAATCACGTCTGCGCAAGCGCGCGCAATCCAATCTTCTCCGCCGGCCAAACCAGAAAAGACAACCCTTCCACAGAATGTCGACTTCGGATAAGCTCGCCCCGCAAGCCAACAACTCGCTGGGTCTGATCAAGGAGGAGATTGCCATCATGAAGAAATTGCACCACAACAATCTCGTTGCGCTGATTGAGGTCTTGGACGATCCGGAAGAAGACTCGCTATACATGGTTCTCGAGATGTGTNNAAAGGGTGTCGTCATGAAGGTCGGCATTGACGATAGAGCCGACCCTTATGACGAAGAAACATGCAGATGCTGGTTTCGCGATATGATTCTGGGCATCGAGTANCTGTAAGAAAGCTGACTTGCTCATGCTTGTTGGTGTTCAAAACTAACACATTATTCAGTACACGCTCAAGGCATCGTTCATCGAGACATCAAACCAGACAACTGCCTTATCAACGAGAACGACGTACTGAAAATCGTCGACTTTGGTGTATCAGAAATGTTCGAGAAGGAGTCCGATATGACCACAGCAAAATCGGCTGGTTCACCTGCGTTCATGCCTCCTGAACTCTGTGTCGCCAAACACGGTCGTGTTTCTGGTCGAGCTGCCGATCTCTGGTCCATGGGTGTCACGCTGTATTGTCTCAGATACGGCAGAGTACCGTTTGAAAAGACTGGCCTGCTCGAAATGTACCAAACAATTCGCACTGACGATTTTCAAATGCCCGAAGAGCATAATCCAGATTTCGTGGATCTTATGCGTAGGCTTCTACAAAAAGATCCTGAGCGCAGGATCAAGATGGAGGAACTCAGAGTATGTTGTCAAATCACATCATACTTCATCTCATGATCTGACAAAGTTTAGGTTCATCCATGGGTCACTAAAAACGGGGAGGATCCTCTACTTTCCATGGAGGAGAATTGCGCCGACATGATCGACACGCCGACTGAAGAAGAAATGAACAACGCCATTACGGGCAATATGAAGCACCTTTTGGTTGTGGTATGTACGCGCCTTGCAATCATCTGATCGCATGACTGACACACGTTTACTAGNATGAAAGCTGTCAAACGCTTCAAGAAACTTCTTTTCCGCAAGCGTCCAGAGCTGATGGATGGCTTATTCGGCCGTGCATCTAACATAGTAGCGCCTCCTAGTAGCATTGAAACGAAGTACAGACGAACACGCAGCAGCGATGCCGATGACAGAAAGCCAATGGAGCAAGTTCTGACAGCAGAAGGTATTCATCACGATATCGTAGTATCTGATGACATGGTCTGCAGCCCTGGAGAGATGGACGAACCAGACTTCACCAATCCAATACACGACCGTGTCAAACATACAGAACACCCAGATACGGAGGAACAACAGGACTCGGTCGACCGCGCTTTGAAAGAAGGTCCGCACAAAGGTCAGGCTCATGACCCCCTATCCGAAACGACATATCTCGGTATAGGAATCGGAGGTGAATCGTCTTCACAACACCCCTCAAACGAATCAGAAGAAAACAGCCAAACGACACACATAGTCTGCGAATCGCCTGGCGCGGTAGACAGCAACATTTTCGAACAGGCCTACCAAGAAGAAATACAACGCATACACTCTAGAAGAGGCCGTACGCCTACCATCTACCTCACTCGCCGTGTCGAGCACAACAAGGAAATTGCCGAGCATGAGAGCGTTATCCGTGACTCTTCGAAGTCTGCATCTGAAGGCCCCAAGAGTAAATGGGCTGGTCTCGCAAGTAAAGTTCGCGGTGCCGATGTCGTGGAAGCTGCCAAATCGGCAGCTGGAAACAAAGACCAGAAAGAGCAAGAGTGATTACATTTCTTCGGAGCGAACTCTTTTATCTCATTTTCACTGAGGGGGATTAACAACTCATCGCTGGACGATGGATTTGTAACCTCCTGGTTCCCAAGGGACTTCGGAATATACATGTAACCTTTTTTTTCCTGTGGACATTTTGGTAAGGGGTATGGGAGGGCGCGAAGTCCGAGCAAAAGCACCAGACTTCGATATTCATAGCAGGAGAACCGCATACGATTACCTATATATACACAAGAACTCTGCAGCATACAAACTTCTTTCATCTCTTCCTAGTTGCGCGGCTGGTCTTTAGGCACATGGAGTTCGATCTTTGCCAAGAACCGGCTTGTGATCAGGGTTGTACCAGCAACTATGCTTGAAATGATGTCTGACAACATTGTGGCAGCACCAATGACTATTCTTTCCGTCTGAGCTACCTTGGGCATACTCTGAGTTTTTATGAAGGCTCGTGTAACGCTACAAGTTGATACTGCTTGGTTTCGTGGCGATATGATCAGATTTGACTTTTCAGAAGTGCTCGACCAGAAACTGAACTCCAACCGTATGGATTGACATTGCCAAAGCTAAAATCAACATCAATGATAGGGCATTGTTGCGCAAGTACATCCTCGGCTACCACACGGCGTACTAGACAGTGTACTTAATCATGTTACATTAAAGCCATTCAAGTTTAGAAGAATTGCCTGTCTCTTGCTCATCACGGAGCAAGTCTAGCTAAATGTATTAGCCATTTTTGTCCTCTGTTAAAATCCGATATCCATTACTAATACAGCCCTATGTCTACTAACTTTCGAATCAATACTAATAGGATAAGCACTTGTATTCCTCTAACAGATTTGATATCGCTGTCTCGGGTAAGAGAGCTTGGAGCATTCACTCGGCGAGGTCGCGTGGGGAAAAGCCGTGACTACCCCGGACGAACCCGAGTTTGGAGCAAGCAGCGCAAGCGTCAGAGTGAGCTGCTGCTGGGCGGCTTGCCGTAAATGACATCCGGCCGTGTCACGGCTTTCCGATGCCAGATACCGAGAAGGGAGAGAGGACCGCAGACAAGGCCGATGTTAGGAGGAGCCTAGCTAGCTAAGCCATATATTCTTTTCCGTATACAAATCATCATCCTTCTTTTTCTCTTTTCTCCATATTACTGTTTTTGGGATTGCACAACAATGGCAGCGACAAGACGTTCATGCACCCGCCTCTCGGCATTGCTTCCTTCGTCTTCTAATGTTTTGTTCCGCACACAGCTGCCGCGGGCGACGGCGCGAGTTGCTTTGAACAAGAGAGCAGGCGTTGCTGCTACAGTGACTTTTACTCGCGGCTTCATCAATGATGTTAAGGCTGGTGGAAGCAACAATGTCGACTCCATCGAGTTGAATGAGAGTCTGGCGCCTACTATCGATCGCTCGAGGTCGAAGGTGTATGACTCTGCTGACGAAGCTGTTGCGGATATCAAGAGTGGATCTACCATCTTGAGTGCTGGATTTGGTCTTTGTGGTACTGCTGGTATGTTTGATTTCCCTCTGCTCTGGTGATTGTGGTTGGTTGAGAGGGGCTTGAGCTGATTTTGAGCAGATACCATTATCAAAGCTATGGCAAAGAGAGGAATTGAGAACCTGCACTCGCTAAAGGCTGTTTCTAACAATGCTGGTGCTGGTCCCTATGGTCTTGCCGAACTGGTTCAATCTGGACAACTTACTTCCGTCATTCTGTCTTTCTTGGGCACAAACAAGGCTATTGAGAAGAAGTACTTGACCGGCGAGCTGGACGTCGAACTGACACCCCAGGGTACCATTGCCGAACGTATCAGAGCTGGTGGTGCCGGTATTCCTGCTTTCTATACTCCCACTGGTGTCTCCACATGGATTGAAACTGGAGAAATCCCCATCAGAATGGGTCCTCCGAAGGAAGGTTCCAAGATGCCTACAACTTTGCAATCCGGCAACCGTCGTGAGACTCGCGAGTTCAAGGGCAAGAAGTACAATTTGGAGCATGCTATTCAAGGTGATGTTGCCATTCTTCGCGCCTACAAGGTCGATGAGGCAGGTAACTGTGTCTTCCGCTACACGACTGGAAACTTTGGTCCCATGATGGCCAAGGCAGCCAAATGCAGTATCGTGGAAGCCGAGCACATTGTGCCCATCGGCGAGATCAAGCCTGATGAGGTTGATCTGCCTGGTATCTACATCGACCGCATTGTGCCCGCAACAGAAGAAAAGAAGCTCGAAGTCAAGAAACTGAGAGAGCCTGAAGGCAGCGATCAGAGCAACAAGAGCGAAGCCGAGCAGCGTCGTGAGAGAATTGCTCGTCGTGCTGCCAAGGAGTTGAAGCAAGGTTACTACGTCAACCTCGGAGTTGGTATGCCTACTCTTGCACCTTCATTCTTGGACCCTGAAATCAAGGTCTGGATTCACTCGGAGAACGGATTGATGGGTATGGGACCCTATCCCACCGAGGAAGAAGTCGATGTCGACATCATCAACGCCGGCAAGGAGACCGTCACAATCGTTCCTGGTGGTTCTACCTTCGACAGTGCCGAGTCGTTTGCTATGATCAGAGGTGGCCATATCGATGTGTCTATGCTCGGTGCTCTGCAAGTCAGCGCCAACGGAGACTTGGCAAATTACATGATCCCTGGCAAGGTGCTCAAGGGTATGGGTGGTGCCATGGACTTGGTTTCCAACCCTGATCAAACAAAGATTGTCGTTCTCACCGACCACGTCGACAAGAACGGCGTCAGCAAGATTCAGCAAGAGTGCAGTTTGCCATTGACCGGTGCCCGTGTGGTGTCGACCATCATTACTGATTTGGTAAGTTTTTCTTGTGTTGTTTATTCTGGACGAATTCTGACAAAATGTGATAGNTGTGTCTTCCAGGTCGATCGCAAGAATGGAGGTCTTACTCTTACTGAGGTTGCTCCTGGCGTGTCAGTCGAGCAAGTGCAACAAAACACAGCTGCCAAGTTCAAGGTAGCCGACGACCTTTCCGAGATGGAGTAGAGCAAAGGCAGAGAACAGCCTTTTTGATACCATGATTCGCATCTGTAAAACCACTTTTATACCAAGAATATTCATGAAAGCCACATATGTACAGTTCTTTTCAGTCTACTCTAAGAGTAATCGTAATATGCCAATATGCTTCTCACCTACTCATTCCTTCTGAAAATCTCTAGTTTTGCCCTCTTTTTAGAGCTTTGCTTTGAGACCAGGCGCATATGATGACCCCTTACCTCCACTNNCCAAAGCCTCCACAAGTCTATCCACACTCTCCAACAACCAAACACTGCCCTCATCACCAGCCAACCACTCACCACCCTGCACATCCTTTTCCGCAGTGCCATCTTTAAACGCCTTCCTCAATCCAAACACATGACTCAACACCTGCGGGCCCACCCCCGTCTGCGTCCTCAAACAACTAACCGCAACAATACTCGTCAACACTCTTCCCACCTTGCCTGTAACTTTATCTTCAGGGTCTGCAAACAGAGCACCGTATTCAGAGTGCAGGATGTGGACGGGCAGGTCTGGGTGTGAGGAAGCGAGTTTGTCGTAGAGTTTCTTGTCGAAAGGGTCGTAGATGGATTTCCAGAGCGAGGAGCCGCGGGCGGACATGGAGGTGATGTTTGCGGGCGAGGGGATGCGGGTGGGTGTTGTGGAGAGGGAGGATATTACGTCTGAAGGGAGGGAGTCGCGGAAGGCGTTGAGCATGTTGATGGTACGAGGGACNNCTGTGAACAGTTGGTGTTAGCTTCGGAGAGACCGGCAAGGGGAGAGAGGCATAGGTGTGAAGAGAAAACTTACGCCATTGAAACCAATGCACTTTAATCCAACCTCTCTCATCAGTTCTGCAGTATGCACCGGGTCGTTGTCAGAACCAGCTGCATGGTACAGCTCAACCAGCGAGTCGGGCGAGTTCATCGTCATGGTCGTTGCTGTNNCTGTCGTTCCCAATTCGTCAGTCTTGCTATACCTCCGCTTTGAAGATTGGGTACAACATACAGCCATTGACACCCACGCAGGCTGACCAACACCTCTATCCTTAGCATCCTTGGCCAAGTTCTGGTAAAACGCCTTGATGCCTTGGGGTGCAGGCAGAGCGCCAGGACGCGCAAACGGCGCATTGATCAATTGCTTGAGAGCGGGCGAGAGCTTAGACATTGTGTGTATATATCTGATTGAGACCAGAAATGTTGGAAGAGCCAAAGAGAAAGAGTTGCTGGAACCTCAGGAAAAGAGAGGTTCTCTGATTGCAATTGCAAGCACTCATCATCTGCCGAGGGCCCCGCCTACTGGTCATATCTCCGTGTAACTGCGGGCTTTGGTGACGTGTTGGTTGGAGTAGCAATATGGGGAAGTTCGGCGTCTTTGCGATTTTGCCGGGAGAGCCATGAGATAGCCATACTTCGGGAGAGGATATACCCGAACAGCTCAAGGATACATATCAAAAGACCAGGCCAGCAACAAAGCTGCGAAAAGAGTTTGAACCATGTGATTTTATGTACTGAGTTCTGTGATCAGACAAGAGCCTCTCATCGGATCCACAGTCTCTTCAAAGCTACTCTACACACAACTCCGGCCTCCTCCTCGTTCGATATTGGAAAACAATGCCTTAATCGTTTTGCTGTACCATGCATGCTTTGTGTGAACGAGAAAACAACAATCAGGCGCTGTGCTTTGCATGCATATCAATCAATTCAATCCTGTACAACCGTAATCGTCGTAACTCCGGGTCCTGCCGCGGAAAGGCTCCGTTCATCGGTGCCGTTCGTGCCGTTGACTCGCTCCTTGTCCTTGTCGTGCTCGTTCGTGCCGTTGCTTGTCTTGATGTCTGTTGAGAAAGGGATCGGGTCCAAACAGCAGTCAAACCTCATCTGAATGTCCAGTCCGGCCAGGTGAGGACACTCGACTGATGTTGCAATATTGTAGAAGTCGCTGAACCGCATCCAGCGCAGGGAGGCCATGTTCAGGAATTTGGCTCGGTCTTCCTTGATGCGTTGTTGAATCCTCTCGGCTTCTGCAAGCTCGGCCAAAAGATTTCCTGTTTCCGCAGGTTCGCTGTCTTCACTCAAAGGAAGTCCATGTACCAGGGTAGTTGACTGAAGACATGCCAACATCAATCGACGCTGCTCTTCAGTCACCTCAGACGTTGAGACTGCAGCAAGTGGTGATGGCTTTGCCTTCGTATCAAGCGGAAGACCCAGAAGAGTATCTGCATCTTTGCCTGTGAGTACCGCGGCAGCCTGGTAAGTGAGCATCCATAAATCGTCGGGCTTGCCCTCATCCGGCAGCTCTCCCAAATCTGCTCGCTTGACAACCTGAACAGGAAGGAAGTGTCTTTGGATGTACGTCTGTCGTTCCTTTCCACGAACGTCTGTCAGACCGATGACATGGGCCAAAGCACTTGGAAGGGCCTGAATCTTTCTCTCCCGATCCAGACGACGGTCTTCTGCCAGCTTTCGCTCGTGTTTCTGACGTATCTCCTCAGCCTTACGCTCGGCTTCTTTGCGTCGCGCAGCCTCCTCCTCTTCCGGGCCTGTTCGTCTTTGCGCAACTTTTCTGCCAGTTTCTGAGCATCGGCCTTAGCGTCGAGATCGGCTTTACGAGCGGCTTCTGCTTCTGCGGCCTCGCGATCAGCTTCCTCCATCTTNGATATCTTCATCGTCATCCTCATGCTGAGCGTCGTCTTCGGAGTCGTATGTAGTATGGTCTTCTTCGGTAGGCTCAACCATTGAGGAAGAGCGGTGTCGCTTGGGCTGTGGTTCAGAGAGATGAGAATTGCTGTGCTTTCTTGGTCGTCCTACTTTGCGTGGGCCATTGGGTTTGAGAGAGTTTTGATCGGACGAGCGTTCGCCGTGTCTTCTGGNGGGTGCGACGTCAGAGAGCTCTGAAGATGATCGTTGTCTGCTTTCTGTACGCATATCCTTCTTAGAGACCAATCGTCTTCTGCTTCGTGCTCTTTCAGGTGACTCGGCGTCTTCCATTTCCACATCAGAATCATGCTGGCGTTCCGCGCTTCTTCGTCGTTTCTTGGTGGGCTCGCGTCGGGCGACCGGACTAGAACTGAGTTTTCTGGCATTCTCAGCCTTCTCGTATAGCTTTTGCAGAAGCGCTTTCTCCTCTCTCCACCTTGGGCCCTGCTTGGACTCGGCAATCTCGTACCACGTCAAGTTACTGCTCTTAGAGCGCCATGTGGGTTCGAATTGATCGAGTTCAGTAAGAGCCTTGACCATATCAAAGTGGGAAGTTCCAATGACAGAAAGCATGGGTCTATCAGCCCTTTGACGAGCCTTCTTAGGGGTCATCTCGGCCAGAAGCATGTTCACTAGGTAAAGATCGCCAGTCTTTGCTGCTGCCGCTACAACGTTATTGTCAACAGGCACCCGGGCATCCAGGAACTCTTGGACGGCTGTCCTATCGTTCTCGCTAACGAGCTTAAGAAGGTTCTCGTATGTGCGTGCAAGAAATTGAAGTCCTTGTTTTGGTCCAGGCCTTGAAGCGGGTTCCTCAACATTGTATGTTTGTTCGGATCTGCCATTCTTGTTCCAGTCTTCAATAGCTTCGCGTAGAGCAGCACGAATTTCTGTGGCGTTGTCGGTCTCTTTGGTAATAACATCGAGCGCTTGTTGGCCTTTCAGATTGCAGTGAAGAGGGTTGATTCCAGCCTTTAGTAGAATTTGAACAACGTCGAGATGGCCGTTCTCGACCGCATCAATAAGAGGTGTATCTTTGTCCGCGTTCGCGCAATGTGGATTGCAACCCTGTTCGAGCAAGTAACTCACGATCTCAGGGTATCCATTGAGGGAAGCAACCTGTAGTGGCGTATTTCCTGCAAATTCGCGCTGTTCGAGTTGTTCAGGATCTTTCGCGCGCCACTCTTTGACACCGTCAAGATCGCCGTTCTCGCATGCTTCGGCCAGGCGAGTAAAGCCGTATTTGTTGACGTGCCGCTTTGCCAAACCCATTGGTCGACCTGGTGTTGAAACAGCTCTGCTGGTGTTTCGAGTAAGCCTGCTCTTGGGGTATTGATGTGATGTTTCAGAAGAAGTGTCCGAGTCCCAGACGTTCCTTGTGAGCATGTTATCGCGGACCGGAAAATGAGTAGCGGCGCGTCGTTGCCGTGCCACGCCGGCTGTATGCAAATGTTGTCCGCTGTTACTCCGGCTCTGGCTGGGCCGTGCTGATTGCGCTGAAGCAGTCCGCCGGTGTCTACGCAACTGTGGAGAAGATGAGTGCTCTTGGCTGGACCTCCTTTTCCTCCGTGGTTGGTCCACATCTAAATGCTTGCGTTTCCGTGGATTTGATGCTCGTTCTTCGTCGTCCTTGTCAGATGCCCATGATCTTGCATCCTCATCTTCATCATCGTCTTCGTCGTTATCGTTGTTGTTGGCTTCATTCTCGTTTCTATTTTCGCCCTCAAATGATTGCACTGAGGACACCTCGCTCAAATTGTCACTATCGCTGTCCTGGTTGTCTCCATTGGTGTTGGTATGTTGTTCGTCCAGCTTGGTGTCCTGTTCGACAAGTGGATCTTCATCTTTCTGTGGCTTATCGCCGTTAGTTTGGGCCCTATCGCTCGAGGTTCCACGAGCAGGTTGTGCTAGAATCTCTCCTTGTTGGCTGGCAATCTTCTCGGGAATCTCGTCAATACTTTCTAGAGCTTGGGAGGAATTTGATTGCTTGAGCATATCGCGTTTCTTAACAGGCGATACGATCAAAGTCTCAGCCTCGGAGTCATTCTCGACGTCCAAGGCATCGTTGTTCTTGACCTCGGGAGCATCTTTCTGCGAAGTTCGAGAGGCTGAAGGAGGCGAGGATACAGTTGGACCTTCTAGAGGCATGGGAGAGGTGCCCTTGGTTGCTGCAAGAGGCGGCGCATTCTGGACAAGCGCGTTGTTGCTGTCGGGAAGGGTGCTGTGGCTCATGCCGCGAATATGGCCATGCAATACAAGCGCAAAGCGAAGGCCGGCTCCGCAGGGTGGATTTTGAGGCAGAGGGTCGTAAAAGGGGTGGACAGAGGTTGGTGTGGATTGAGAAGAAGCAAGTATCAGCTAACGGTTAGCAAGAGCTGCAACTTGGAAAGCGGTCCGCTGTCTAACGCCGCTCGGACCTCCAGCAGTCACGTGCACATAACGCCGCCGATCCATGTGCTCTAGCAATCTCACCGACAGTCGAGGCCTGTTCTTTGCCTGGTTTTTGAGTGGTTGCTGTCCGAGGACAGCCTCATTGTTTTCGTGGGCTGTTAGCGAAGCCTGTTGCTTGGTTGTGCTGCACTCGCCCAAAGTCTTTGCATGCGCCCTTTAGGACGCCATCAGTCTCTAACAACCGCCTCAGAAACTTACATTTCTAGCGCCATGCTGGACCTCGTCATATTCTTGAGGGCTTCCTTCTTGCTGGCTGCTGTAGCCGTGAGCCAGAGAAACAACCCATGTATGTGATCAATTTGCTGACTCTCCGCANNGGCTCTTCTTGCTCATTGTGTCCCTTCTCTCCGCAGCCGTTTCCTAGCATACGGCTCTCGTCAGAATGGTCAACAACCAAGGAAACTCACCAAAAACCCGCTAGATGCACTTGCCACTTTCCAAGTACCTCATAGTTGGTTTGCATCTTTCTATGTTGTGTCCACATTGTGTTCGTTCATGTGGCTTTCTCAGATCCTTCTTGATCAATCGCTTTGGCGCAAGTTGGCATCTTTGACCAACATGAACAAGTCCATGACCTTAGATCAAATCATCGTCACATGGATACTGATGCTCCTGCAAGGTGTTCGTCGTCTGTACGAGTGTTTGGAATTTACTAAGCCATCCAATGCTCGTATGTGGATCGGCCACTGGGCTTTGGGAGTATGGTTTTATGCTAGCATGAGCGTAGCCGTCTGGATCGAAGGAGCTCGTAGGTTTTGGTCTTGTGAAAATCCATGTCTTGCTGTTCTGACCTTCTCTCCCTTGCCTNNAGCAACTCTCCTCAAGGAGTCTTTCAATTTCTCACACCTGACCATTGAGCCTCCGTCGCTCCGTACCTTTGTTGGTTGCTTGATTTTCATCCTTGCTTCGGGCGTGCAGCACGACTGCCATGCATATCTGGCGTCCCTGAAGAAGTACAGCGTGCCAGAGCATCCGGTATTCCATCGTTTGGTCTGCCCTCACTACTTTGTCGAGTGCTTGATCTATCTTGCGATTTCTATCGTTGCAGCACCAGCTGGTGCCACGCTGAACTGGACAATCGTTTGTGCTCTTGTGTTCGTGGCGGTGAACCTGGGGGTGACGGCGGATGGAACCAGAGAATGGTATGTGCAGAAGTTTGGACCGGATAGCATGAGCAGGAAGTGGAGGATGATTCCCTTCGTCTTTTAGTGTAGTCGAAGAAGCACAGTGGTCGGTGTTGACGTGACGAGTATAGAGTAGAGGCGTTATCGTATTCTCAAGCAGGAGCCTTGCCTCCAGTACTCTCAACAACCATGGTGATGTCTTGTTTGCAGTCGGGCAGAGCGCCTGTCATCTCTCTTGCCAAAATGTCTCTGAAGTCGGCGAAAGCTTGGCTTCTGCCTTTGAGTTGTTGATTGAGTTTCTGTACAAGCTCGACGAATTCGCGGGTATAGATGTCTGGGTTTCGCGAACGCTCTACGTATTCGATAACTTCTGGTGGGAGGCTGGTCGGCAGGACGCGGGCGGTCTGGCACAAGGAGAGCAAATTTTGGATCAGACGCTNTGCTGGAACGGCATGTCAATATGAGGTTCTGTATGGCTGGGACGATGGATGAGGTGATTACATCTCGAAGGTCATGGCCTCTGTTGTCTGCTGGCCGCGGAACTCATGGGCCTGGCAGATCAGCATGTATAAGTTGTCGATGACAGCTTTGAGCTGCTCTGTGATACAATCAGTATGGGAGTGACAAGAGAGGTACACTGCCGACATACCCTCGACCTGATCAAGACCATCGGTAGACGCCATAGCGACGATGAAGTCAAAAGTTGGTTAAAGATTGTGAAGAAGTGACGATCCGGGTCATGCATGATCAAGATCCGGGGTGCAACTTGCAAGCCAAACGCACCTGCCAGCAATCAGCCCCACCGAAATTACGGACCACCTTTGTGGACATCAACACTCTCCGCCATTTCAACTTCACCGTTATCCGTCGACATGTACAATTGTCTTTCAATGCCTGCGCAGCACAAATGACCTCACACCCGAAATGTGTTTGAATTTCAAAATAACAAATGGATCAAGAAACTGGCCGCGCCGTCCCGCGTGGTCATGCGAGGACTAAAAGCAACACGTCCGTAGGAAGCAACAATCCAACAAGACCGAGACACACCAGATCCAAAAGCAGCAAAAAACTGGATTCCATCTATTCAGACGAAGCAACCGTCGCTTTCATCAAACGCACCTTGTGCGCTCAACAACCTCACAGGACCAGAGGGTAGCAGAGCACGGAATACCTCCAAACCTTTGTCCGAATTATTACCACCTTTGACCACTTCTAACCAAGTCGACCTCCAGCTTTATGCTCTGATATCCATCATAATCAAGGACTTTGTACAGGCTTGGTACTCCAGAATCACCCCGGACCAAGAGTTCACTGATCAGGTCGTCCACATTATCGCTCATTGCACACGCGCCATCGAACAACGAATAAGAGCCGTTGATCTCGAAGCCTTGATCCTCGATGAACTCCCTGAGCTGATCGACACTCATGTTACAGGTAATGGTCACATCCCGAGAAGACATATCGTATTCGTCTAATCGATATCTTGTCAGCCTATCGAACTGCATACAGCGGATCCTACACTTCCTTACTCGTAGCAGATCCCAGGGAAATCTATCACGCCATCAACCCGCATCCTGCTCTTTCCCCCGTCCCCTTCGAGCCTGGGTCTCTCGCATCATTAGATCAGGCCGAGAACGAAGCTGCATGGCGTCAGTTACTGATTCAAGGAGTTTTGTCTCATCTGCTCCCGCCAGAGGACCTGAAGAATCCACCGCTAAGAGTCTTAGTAACCGAGATATTCTCTGAGTTGATCATTGGACGCGGAGTCTGCGGCAATATTTGTGAAGGCTGGTTCATCTGGGATGTTGTCTCTAAGCTGCTTGCCATTCTACGTCCACCTGAACCTGAAGTACAACAGGAACTACCCATCAGCCCGAATCGCCTCGAGAAGTTTGGACTTCTCGCAGATGATAGTGACGACGCCGAAGAGCCACCCACCGTTACCACGAGAAGTCCAGTGGATACTTTATCCGGCATGTTCTGGCAAGTCATGCAATACGCCTTCCTTGTCTTCATCTCGATAAGGGCGTTCTTCACAGCTCTGTCAGATGCCGCAACCCTGCCTCCAAGGACGAATAGCAGAGAAGATACGACACATGCTGAGTTAGACGATAGTGGGTCACTATGGCAGCAATCAACACACGACAGTACGAAGAAACCAATCCTGGGAATGTCTCTCTTGAGCTGCTGCTCGCACTTGCTTTCTTTGGACTTGCAGATGCCTTGGCTCACCACCATGGGTTCGTACATACAGTGGCTTCTGATCTGCAGCTCATGGAAGGTGGGTCACACAAACAGCAGATTGGACAGGTGAGTTTGCTTTTCATTTCTCATCAAGTCTTTTCTCATGTCTCCTCCACATGCGCTGCCATGTCCGCCGATCACGCTTTGATTGTCTTCCCTCCACCGAATTTCAGCCATGCCGGCCTGGTATCTTTGTAGCCCCGCATGTACTTTCAGTCACTTGATCCCGGCTTGAGCCAATACCCTTTCGCGACGGGCCGCCCGCCTGTCAGCCGCATCTTGGATGCAGAACGTGGCGCTTGCAGTAGGAAATACCGACATGATGGCTCGCGTTGCGTACATATTCTGGACGCACACAGGAGTTTGTGAGAGGACGCCACGTCGCAATTCGAAGCGCTTATTGCAAGGAAGTCAAACATGCTTCTGGCTGTCATGACTTTGTCCACTCTCCGCGCCGATACTTGGATTCTCTCCCCACCGCTCCTGCATGCGATGTGGTATTGCGGCTCGGGGACGCCTTTCTTGATGCGGAAGCTGCATCGTATCTTGTATCAAAGACCGAGAATAAGCGGCAGTCGCCGAGCACCGTCGTCTTGATCTACCGTTGGCTTGGGATATCGAACAGGAGCTGCAAGTCTTTCTGCGGCCTAGCGACTCAACTGGCTGCCCGCTATCCTCTCCCTTGCTGCTACTGATGGGCGCTTAAACAAACGATCTTTCTGTGTAACAGTGGCGCCGCTCAGCATGATCCGGACAATTCCAGACTTCCTTCAATCTATCGCCAAACACACACTCTCACTCACACACACATCTCACGCACCCTTTTCATTCCGACGCTTTGAACACTTTTTTATTTTTTTGCGATCCGTAGACAAACCCGAACGATTGGGAAGACCTCGTTTTGCTGACTTTTTGATACTTGGCGTTGCACTAGACTCCTTTCCCACCACATACGCACGAAACTCCTCGATCCCACTCGCTTGCCGGCCATCCTCTTGCTCATCCGCACAAACATGTTTCCCAACAATTCTCTGGGGCCCGGTCGCGTGCCACCCACTCCCGAAGAAGCTGTTCAGATGCGAGCAAAGTGTGCCGCGTCCATTGTTGCTGCTTTACCTCCCATTGTCGTCAAGCAACTTTTGCTGGCGGCAAAGATGAAGATGTACACAAGCAGATGGAAGGTATGTTGGATGTGTTTGGAGATGCGTATTTGAATAAGCATTTGATAGTGGCGATTGTGGATTTGGTAGTTGTAAGGTTGTTTCCCGAGTTGGAGAGTAATGGGATTAATGCTGTGTTGAGGAGAGATGAGAGTAGAGAGGAAGTCCGTGTGTAGAGCCAAACCCCATCGTATACGCAACAAGTTTTCATTTCCCCTTCGAAGTCAAATAGACAAAAACATCTCTTGTGACTGGAAATAGTTATGAACATAAGCTAGGTAGGTAGATGATAAGGAAATCTCCGAAATGATGGACAAGACAATCAAAAAAAAAAGAGAGCCCCATGTCCATGTCCATGTCCTGTCCGCAAAAGAGAGATATAGAAAGAATACAACAAATGCATCCGCGAAAGGCCTGCGTGAGCAGTCAATGAGATATCTGTATATGTGTGTGTTGTTTCACACCCTCCTTCCGTCAATCTTGAAAGACGTTGTTCTGCACTGAAAAAGAAAGAGAAAAAGACAACAAAATGCCGAGAGAGGGTAAAGACAAAAGGGGCGTGTTGGACAAAGCAAAATCCCCTGAACCAGCAGAGGACAGCGAAAAGCAGAAACGAACAACAAAATCAAATCCAAGCATGCAAAACAAACATCTCTAACGCAACAACTTCTGCTGTAAAATCCCTAACAGCATTCCTTCCTGCACTTCTAGACTTCCCTTGGGTTGTCCTTCGAAGAACTGGGCTACCACTGCTAAAGCCTCTCTGGCTTCTTGTTTGGTGGGTTTGGTGTTTTGCTCCGGCTTGAGGGCGTCAGGGTTGATGGTCTTGACGTCTTCTTGCTGTTGCTTGATATCGGCATCATCACCACAAGGAAGCAGTGAGATATCTTCCATGCATTCGTCTATACTTCCCAACCTCTCTTTGTCATCAGCGATGGAAGAGAGAAAGGGGTGGTGAGAAGGCGAAAGCGGTTGTGTATCAGACACCAAAGGAGGAGAATCAGCCATAAAAGTATCCAAAGCGCGGAAGTTTTGTGCTAGGAAGGGAGAATGCAATGCCCCACTAGTGGAAGAGATCTGACTTGCTGGAGAGAAGAAAGGCGATGTAGGCGACAAGAGTTGAGGCGTGAAACATGTAGACGTAGACCCCAAATCTGTAAATGCTGTATCAATCGACGGAGGGGATTTGCGACGTTTGTTGCTCAGCACAGGTTTAACATCTGCACTCATCGTGCTATCCAAAGCAGGAAAAATTGTTTCAGGCGAACTGGAAGACAGGGTCTCGTCAGAAGGTGAGGTCGGCGATTGGACATTGTGAGCATTGTCAGAGTCTGCAACAGAGTCTTTGCGTATTTCTTGATCTTTGGTGTCTTTGTTGTTGATGCGATGCTTTTGCTTGAACTTCTCCAGCCACCCGGGGTTATTTATAGGGTTCGCGGCTGGGTTCTCGGGACCGGGGATGGAAGCAAAGTAGTAGGCTTGCTCTCGGATTGCATCGTCTGTGATGGGCGAGCCTTTCTTTTGCTCTTTGATGACCCAGGCCGAGAGGGTCTTTTCAATGTCTGGCAATCGTGCTTTGGGTCTCTTGTTCGGAGGTGAGCGTGGAGTTTCCTTTGGTTGAGCACGATTCAGATATTGCTCTTTCTTCCTGAGGACCTTTGATACTGTGCTNNTTTGTAATGGTCAGTATGAATGTTATTGAGCAAAATGTCATCAGCCATACCTTCGCTCTACTCCAAACAAATCTGATTGACAGTTAGCCTCGTGAACTCTCATGACTCAAACCAGAAGCTTACATCCTATCTCGGTCTGCTTGGCAGTTGGATTTTCCTCGGCATACTTGCACATTCTTCTACGATCATCGTCCGACAGCGTCTTGCGCACTGATGGACCTGACCTGCTAGACGAACCCGCAGACACCGGCGTCACAGTGGGAGGCGATATCGTGCCCACTTGAGTCTGCGGTAGCAAGGGTGGATAGAAAGTCTGTTGACTTCCTATCATGCTCGGCCAAGGCATCATCAATGGCTGCAGTTGTTGGTGCGTTGGTCTCAACGGTGGTGATTGCGAGAAGGCAGCAGAATGCATTGGAAGTGGTGGCGACCCCCAGCCAAACCCTGTATACTCTTGCGCAGGCGTGCCATGGTATGAGTGAGGATATGATTGTTGTTCTGACCACCTCATTGGAATGCTGTCAAACGTAGCCGGATGTTGTTGCTCAGAACCATCCTCCATTGTGATATGCCACAAAGAACAGCCTCGATTCTACTTGTATGCTGAAATTCTTGTTGCAAAATTTTCTCAAGCGGCCAGAGACGGCAAAATGTGAGGGAACTTGAGCCTGGTGAGCATGCAAGTTGTTCCTGGAAGAAGAGAGGCACAATCCCATGCGAGCCGAAGCATGCAGCTCGGCGTCGAACCTTGACAATAAGGAGAGAAAGCTTCTGCAATCTATTAGGCATAAATGCAGATACTAGCAAATCCCAGGAAACAAAAGGTTGCTTGCCTATGGAGAGGTTGTGATCGGAGACAATAGTGTCAAAGCAGGGCTTGTCTATGAGAAATTAAGTTAACCTCATCGGGACGGTACGAGGCTGGTTTCCGAAAGGATTACCGCAATCACTCTTCAGGGATCATCAGCGGCAGGGGACAATTGACATGATGTACACAGGAAAGACCGATGTAATGGGCGCAGGGCGCGAAAAAAAGGAGGGGGATGGCAACCACTAGATGGAAGGGTGTTGGAGCCATGGCAAGCAAGTGCTGGGTCATACTGCATGTTGGCTGTAAAGGACCGGGCCTCGTAAAGACTCCAAAGAGCTNGCTGCTGCGGCCGCTTTGTTGGCCGCCTGCATCGTTGCATGCACAGCCATAAGGGAACTCCACACGGAAGGGTAATCCGCCCGCAGTCGTCTTAGGAAGTCGGAACCAGATGATCGGCTTCCTGCTTGCTGTGGGCTGAAGATTNNGATGGCAGGAGTGGTGGACGGGGGTCCAGGCGCCNNAGACAGCACAACGCAACGCAAACACCAATCGTGCCCCGGTATGGCATGTTTCGATTCTAATTGATCCGGCCGTAAAGCAGATGTATATTGGTCCTGATATCCCGTTCTGCAACCTTCCTCAAACGGACACTTTTACAACGTAAGCGCGAGTCGAGACTTGTTGAGTTTTGAAGCTCCAGGCGAACAGTCGTTCAGACGACGCCGTCGCAGACGACCGCAAACCCTCGTCATTAAGCGGCCTGCAATGCAGCGCCCAAGAGGTCAAGCCGAGCGAGACCTGGTGTTTCTCCACAACACAAAGCCGCCTTGCGTTATTGGATCACCTCACCAAAGCGAGAGGGCCGGCCTCGAAAAGAAGCAGAATTGACGAATTGCATGTCAAGTTGAGATCCTTTTGATTAAAAAGTCGACTGTGGGCCGAGGCTGCGTGCGGGGCGGTTATGCACCTGCTTCGCGAGTGGGAAAGAGATAACAATGCCTTGGCCAATCAAATAATGGAGTGCAGCGAAAATTGAAGAGAAAGAGCAAAGGAATGAATAAAATGGATGACAAAATCATTGAAAAAAAGCGGTGGATTTTTGATGGGCAAAAGCCGGTCTATCTGAAAAGAAGATTCCACGAAGTAGCAAAAAGAAGAGGTCTCTTACCGGACCAGTCGTTGTTGTTCATGATACGAGTGTGGTGAGGTGGACACTAGCGTATGTTGGATGGGTATGACAAAGGCTGCTGCAAGTAATATCAAGCGACGGGATCGTTGATCTCGACTCGAGGCAATCATTCAAACCGGGGATATCAAATGTGGGTGGAAATGGGTGTAGGCGAGTGACGCGCATGGTCGTATTTATCGCTTGATGATGGTCAAGACATCTTCGTCGGCAAGCTCGTGAGCAAGGCCGACTCTTTGAGGCTGATGTCTGACGGATTTGCCGTAGACAATGGCGACCTTGAATTGTTCGACAATACTCTTGTGAATGGCGTTACACTTGGCAGATTGTTAGCTTCGGATTGTAGACGAATGGGAAACTTGGACACATACGAAGTCCTCGACTGTACGAGCATTTGCTCTTAACACGACGGGAGCGGTGTAATCGGGAGCTTTGCCCTTGGGCTTGGTGTAGACTCGGCACAGGTTGAGCTTCTCCCACATCTGTTCCAGTAGTTCGTCGACGTTCCAGCCGTGCTCGGAACTGATGGGACAGGCGTTGGGAATGCGGTATAGCAGATCGAGTTCCTCGATTGAGATGGCATCAATCTTGTTGAGGGCGTAGATGACAGGAATGTAACTTCTGCTCTTTGCTTCCAAGACATCGATCAGGTCGTCGATAGTGGCGTCGCAGCGAATGGCAATGTCGGCAGAAGAGATTTTGTATTCGGACATGACGGCCTTGATCTCGTCGTGGTCGATGTGGGTGAGGGGAACGGTATTGGTAATGCTGATACCACCCTTGTCCTTCTTCTTGAAGTGAATGTTTGGTGGTGACTTGTTGATTCTGATACCGAAGCCTTCCAATTCGTTCTCGATAACGCGCTTGTCGGTAAGAGGCTTGTTGACGTCGAGGACAATGAAGATAAGATGGCAAGTCTTTGCAACAGCAATGACCTGACGACCACGACCCTTTCCGTCCTTGGCACCTTGAATGATACCAGGCAGATCGAGAATCTGAATCTTTGCGCCGTTGTACATGACTTGACCAGGCACGGTGGTGAGGGTTGTGAATTCGTACGCGGCGGCCTCGGAATGTTGGCCAGTCAATCGACTCATCAGGGTACTCTTTCCGACCGAGGGGAAACCGATGAAACNCACTGTCGAGGGTCAGCTCTTGCCGTATACAAAGTCGAGTGGATGCACGTACACACTGGCAACACCAGTTCTAGCAACATCGAAACCAGCACCACCACCACCGCCACTCGATGATGGAGTCAGGAGTTCTCTCTTTAGCTTTGCCAACTTTGCCTTCAATTGACCCAAATGGTAGGAGGTGGCCTTGTTCTTTTGGGTCTTGGCCATCTCATCCTCGATCTGCTTGATCTGTGGTGCAAAAAGTGTTAGCAATGAATTTTGTCGAACGAGTATCGCAATGGTAGCGCACCTTGTCGACAGTGGTCGCCATGATGGGTGGTGTTTCTGTGAGATGGGGCGACTAGTGCGCAGGGACTGGGTGTGACTCGCGACGTGTGTAGCGAGAGCGGATTATTGATTTGCGGTATGGGCGCACGCGACGGCAGTGGATTGTGAGAAGTCGAAGTTGCAAATTTGGCTGCTGGAATGACGACTGCGGGGTTGTTCTTTCCCGCCCGGATCATCGTCCTCTGCAAGGGCCAGCCCAAGTGCGTCCACTCAAGACCATTCTTATCACAGGTACTTTCTCTCACATGCGACATTTCTAGTAAACCCCAGTTATTACTCTGAGTATCGACCGACTGATTGCGCGAATTTTTCTGTGAGATATGGCTCATTTAGACGATCAGATCCCAGGTAGGGCATTCTGCGAAAGTCCGGCGACATTTTGGACGATGAGGCCCTGATATTTGATGGTTGCGTCAAAATATCGCCGACTTCTCGCTGAACAAACATCAATACAAATACCACCACCGTCTATGGTCTAATCACTTTCTCTATTTTTGCGTCCCTCAAATCGACATATCCATTCCCAACACTCAACTGCGATATCATCTACAGCCCACAGCTGCACCGTCAGTCCATCGACTCCATCATGTCTGTTGCAGCACCACTTTCGTCCATGGTCAATTCGACCAATCAACCTCACCTGCACTGTTGTGCCACTTGCAAATCTGCCGTCTCTGACGACCCTTTCGGCCATCTCGTACGTGACATCCGCCAGTACCTGGGTCCATCTTCTGGCATCGACTCAGCCCATGTCGACCCTGATCAAATCAAAGCCATCATGGCCAAGTACACATCCAACCCGAGGCACTGGGAGCGTTACGCTCGTGCAGACAAGAGCAGGGGATATACGAGAAACATTGTCGACAATGTTAATGGCAAGGCAAACTTGATCCTCATCGTCTGGAACCCCGGCAAAGGCAGCTTGATTCACGATCATGCCGATGCTCATTGCATCATGAAGATCCTCAAGGGCAACCTGACAGAGACCATTTATCACAAGCCAGAGAGTGGCGACACCTCCGTCCATCCTCTAGAGGTCAAGAAAGAGACTGTGTACCACCCTGACGAAGTCACCTACATTTCCGACCAGATTGGCCTTCATCGCGTCTCGAACCCTGACCCTGTTGAGCCTGCCATGTCGCTACANCTGTGGGTCACTTTCGATCGCAAACACGTCTTTCAACCTCCCGCTGACCTTCGAGTAGTGTATACACCCCCTAACGCTGCCGAGTTCGGCTTCCACGTCTACGACGAGCGAACAAGCAAGAGCTCCTTCGTGCCACCCCAGTACTGAAGTCCCTCTCGAGCATACTCTTTGAACATACATCATTCGCTTTCTTTTGGGCGCTACGGTCAGGATTATACCCCACATATATTGGTCAGGAGAACCCGGCGTTGGTATTGGACTATTCTCTCAACTTTCATTCTGTTTCATCAAATCGTCTTTGCTTGTTGACCTCTATACAGTGCTGCTTTGTAACCACGTCCTTCGAGTTCATCGCAATCGCATAAATAGCAACATTTTCTTGGTATAATCAGATCCTTGAAAGCTTTATCTTCTGCCACTTCGAATTTCGACCGTTCATTCTTTCGCGTCTAGATCCAACAACATGCATCGTCATCTTATGCTCTCATTCTAGCTGCTTATGGAGTCTACTAACGATGAGTGCTAAGTAGCTGCTGGCGTCAACTGCATCCAACCCCTCCCAAATGTCGTCCATTAGAATCCCAGCTACGTCCGAAAATGCAAATCGACCACATGAAACCCCCACTGATGTATTGAAGAAGTATCTATGATACATGAAGTAAATGGGCAAGCAATTGGCTGTTGATATCGGTAAAGCGGTTCAGAGTCTTTCTAAATTGCGAAACGCAAAAGTGCTCATCAGCATCGCACTCTTTGAACAAGATTATCCTCATAAGCCACACGCATTCTCGAATATGCACAATCGACAATAACAGAAGAGTCATAACGCTGATGCTGCGAGTATTTAATTCACAGTTCCTGGCGTTTCCTCTTCACCTCTCTATTCTTCGAATCACAGCAGGAATAGACCCGATAACTACTGTCATCCGCGTAAACTTCTAAGGAACATCAACAACTCTCAACACTACTTTCAACGGCAAGTCATCTACATTAACAGGTACTTGTATTTCCGAAAGCTCCTCCGTGAAACACCGACACACATAAACCACTCCGACATAGCAAATCCTTCCTCACACACCATCACCAACCACACACTCAAAATGGAACACTTCACCTCCTACACCGACTTCACTCTCTTTCCCGAGCAGCAGCAGAGCTTCACTGACGTTGAAGCCATGACCGCCCACTCCATCGAAGGGCAGAGGGCAGTGCACCAAGCATGGGAAGAGGCCAGGGCACCAGACAGGCGTTTATCGACCGCCCTATCCTAGAGGCCGATTCTCCANCCGCTGTTTGACGATACAGAACAGAGTGGTGAAATTCGCGATAACGGCGAGGAAGAGTATCGCCAGTACCCCTTCTTTGGACGCGACATGACGGAAGAGGAAGAGGAGGATTGCAATCCCATCAAGGAGAAGTATACGCAAAACTTCCCTGTGCATACATCCAACCTCCCACTCACCTCACCTCTCTCGCCCGAACCACTAGCAACCCTAGACCGCAAAACCAACACCCCAGCCCCAGATTCATCAACAAAATCTCCAAACCACAAACACAGGGGCGGAGCACCTCTAACCCCCTCGCAAATAGATCACCTGCTCATCTTATGGGGAACTCCAGAATTGGTAGTGCAGCATCACCATAGCAGATTAATTGAAAACCTTGAAGGAGAGGATAGGATTACTGCTGTGTCCTCTTTTCTGGATGAGGATAAGTTGGCTTATATACTTGAGTGGAGGGATGGTCTTCCCATACGTTGATACATCATCATAATCTTGCTGTAGAAATGCAGAGTAGGTGTTGCGAACAGGGGGTGTTACTGGGATAGATCAAAGGTAATGTTTTTTTAGTGGCATCTTTCTGGTTGAGAAAAGTATTGTGGACTTCTACGGTTAGGTTGTGGTGGTGTTTAGAATATGGAGATGAGTAGAATGGTATACAATAGAAATGGAATATGGAAGAGATGAGTGTTGTTTAATTAGTAGACATGTTTCTCAATTGTATCGATGAGATTATGTATATCCTCTAACCAAGCTTTGGTCTCTTTTTCACCACCTCTTGATCCTCGTGAATATCGTCAGTCTAGCGATGCACATAAACAGTATGCATACCAACAGCTTTAGCGCCTCTCAAGTCATACGCATGAGCAGCGACCATCACACACTCCTTAGCCTCACGTTCCAAAATCTTAAGCACATATGTATAACTCTCTATCGCAGGCTTATAAACACCCAGCATCTGTGAAGAACACAAAGTGTTGAATGCATACCAGAAGAGCGGTAGAGGTCGAATTGGAGTCGAGTGGTTCCATTGGTGTGGACTACGATCTCATAGCCTTTGTTTCGGAGTGACTCTACAGCTGCTGATACATCTGACTATGCCGGCTGTTCATGCAGACAAGTTCGCATAAAATCCAGTGAGACAGTTTTGATGGGCATGACGGTGTTACGATGGGTATTTGTGGCTGTCACGTTCGACTACAATCGTTGGTCTCGGTTTGTGGTATGCGTTTTGTCGAAGGCTGATAGATATCGTTTGTCGTCAACAGGTATAACATTACTGGCTGTGTTATGTACTTTGGAGTTGTCGGTCAGAACAAGCTGATGAGTCCTACAGGATTGCGCTTTTGTCATGATCTAGGGCGTGGAGAGGAAACCTCCAACAGCCGCAGTTGACACATGCCCAAACTTGGTATTGACTACTCACTGTCTCGCCAAAACCACATGCCACCACAATCCCAGAAGCATATGTTCCTGATTTCCATACTTCACAGCCAACATCAATCGTAATGATAATCATGGAAACCAAGACTTGCTGGACAGGAGCAGAGAACGTTCACGCATGCATCCTGCAACCACAGTTGCTCTCTCAGTTGGCAGTATCACCAAGAGTTTCCTTCTGCGTCCTTGCTGCAACCATCGTCACTTGCTTTGAGGTCTCGAGCCTCATACGCTGCTGTTGGTAGTATCTAGAGCTTCGAGTCTTTGCGTGTACTTCTGTTCGTCTTGGCACGTTGCGCTTGACGCATGTGGGCGCGTTCTTCCTCCTCCCTGCGAATCATCAGATCACGCTTCTTGTTCTGCTGCTCCAGCAACATCAACTGCATCTGATAGTCCTGCAGGGCGTGATTGCTGTTTGCGTTCGGAGGATAGCGCGTTTGTTGCTGGCTCGTTGTTTGACAAACTTGCTGTTGCTGATGGTGTTTCTTGTTTTGCTGTTCTAGTAGCATCATCCGCATGTGGTAGTCCCGCAAGGCTTGATTGGTGCTGTTCAGCGGGAGTCGTGTTTGCTGCTGACTCATTGTTTGTTGAATTTGCTGTGGCTGCTGCTGCTGCTGCTGGTGAGGTATTTGCTGCGTGAGTGTTTTGTCTTTCATGCTGTCTTTCTTGCGCACGAAATTGAGGAACCGCGAAATGGAGACTCTTATTACTCTGGCGGATGTTTGTGGCTCGAGTATTGTGGTAGTGGTTTCTTCAGAGTAAGTCAAGGACTGAGAATGCTGAGGAATATGGGTGAAGGACTGATGAAGTACGCGCTCGGGTGATGCCTGATTTCGAGGCAGTGTAACATCTGGTACCAGGAATGATTGGGTGAGCCTAACGCGCCGTGATGTCATTGCCATACTGTGTTGCAATTGCGTTTAGTGTCCAACAGTGCGACTTTAAAGAGGCTTTTTGCGCAGGATTGTGCCGAAGGTGAAGTTCAGCAGGGTTTCGCGGAGTTTGTGGTTGATGGGAATTACAACAAGTTCATAAGCGCAACGTGATCCTGATGACCAGACATGTAGGCAAACCTATCTCGTCCGGTCAACTTCAAAAGTCTCGCAGCTGAAAAGTATAGTCGTCCGAAGCGTTAGATTATGCAGCATTCTGCATCAGTTCTTGGAGATACTGTTCAACTTTTCTCGCAACCAGGTCGTTGTGNNTTCTGTCATCCGTCAGAAAGTTCTCCAACTGCACATGAGAAAATGACTTACTGATACAGAACCCATGAGGAGTGCCATGTGTATCAATTTCCATAGTAGGTTTGTCCTCATCGCCTGTTTTCCCTGTCGCGGCTCTGGCAGCAATGAGCTCATCTCGAGTTTCATCGGCAACCCAATGATCATCGGTGCCAAAGTAAAAGTACAGTTTCGTTTTGTTGCTGTTTGAACCCTGTGCCTTCGAGATGCCCCAGAGCTCATCGTCCCAAGCATCGGTCGTGATAGTCTTCATCTCGTGACCAGCGAGGTANNTCTGGTCTTGGTTAGAGAGCGGGAGTCTCGGCTGAGAAGAAAGGACAGAAACTTACAATGCTTGCCTGACGCCACCTCTACTCTGGATGAATGCGGTTGTGGGTTCTGCGGCAGGGGCAGGGAATCCAGTAATGAAGCCGACAAGAGTTTGCAGCGCAGTGAAAGGAACCCAGGAAAATAGTAGTCGGACGACCAAGCCTGCAACAACAGCAAAGTACGGAATAGCAAAGAACANACTAAGAAGATACAAATCAATTGTCGAGTCCAGCCACAGGTGAAGCAAAGTTCGAGAAAAAGTGTCATGATTGTAATGCTGAGTATGGAAGAGATGAGGAAAACATACACTGAACTTCTTGCCGCTTGGGCTCTTCGCGATGTGAGTGACGGTAGGAAACAGACAAATTCCGCCAATAACTCTGGCATCGTTGCTCAGTTGCTGAGTCGTTGGACTTTGCTTTCGTCTTCTCAAAACCTCGAGCAAGATGTACGAGCCCACTGAATGGCCCATCAATACTACCTTTGTAGGACGGCCTTGTCCTACACAACCCTCAATCGCTCTTTCGAGCGTCTGGCCTATGTGTTCTATCTGCTGCTCCAAATCATATGGTCCTTGAGCATTGTCGTTGGCAGCATGCTGATGTCTGTCGTCTTGAACTCCAAAACCACGAAGGCTTGTTCCTGTGACTTTGATGTGATGATTCGAGTAGTTGGTACGAAGGCTGTCGAAGCACAAGGTCATGAACGTGCGGTAGTATTCAATAAGGCCAGGGTTTCCAGTAATCATGAAGACCAGCAACGATCCATGGTTTGAGCCAGTGGGTGCGACATGTGTGAGGTCAATCGAGTCTTGGACTGTCATTGCGAAGAGTCGTCGAGAGTGTGTTTGACAAGTACTCGAGAACCAAGTTGAGCTGGCTGCAGTGTAGTAAGCGCGTTGATGCGCGCATGCAGTATGAATGACGGTGTGGAAGCCCCCTGTACTTGTCAATTGTCCGAAGCTAGTGCTGGATCTAGTAATCGGTCATGGGAGCATGCTCTTGATCTGTTCACTATGAGCATAAAACAGAAGTGCCGCAGTCACATTTGCGACAATACAGACACCATATACGATTCAATCTCTCCGATTTTCTGTTATCCTTCAAAGGGCAGAACGAGGAGGGCGACGGTACCTGTCATTCACAGATCGCGATCGGTAGCCGTCTTGTTGCTTTTTACCTGTGTTTCACCCGCAGCACGTGAATGTCACCGCTCGAAGCGGAATTTGTGAAGTCGCGCCTGCCTGTTTTGTGTCGGCGAAAGCGCCATCCGATGTGAATAGACAGTTTTGGATCGGACAAGATCAGGGGACGGAATCAAATGCCACAACGCCCGACGAGAGAAACTCGCCCTCTCGAAGCACTCGCAACCCACGCCAAAGCGACACGCGCTGCACCACCACAAATCATCAACAAAGCACCACCACCATCCACCGCCATCTCCGAAAATCACAATATCGACACGACCATCAAAATCGACCCTCTGTTTTAATTCTGGAAGCTTTTTATTAATTATTTGCGTTGCGTTGGCGGTTGCGCAAAGCTTTTCCTCTGCTCTCTCGCTGTTCCTCCCATCCCACTTTCGCGACACGCAAATTTTTCCCGCAAGGACAGCTTTTCATTAATCCAACGCCAAGCCTTTCTGACTGCATAAATTTTCATCAACCACAACTTTGCATGAGAGTATGCAGAGCACTCGTGCCTCCGGTGCACGCTTCAGGCAGAGGAAACTCTCGACCAAGCATCCGCTACAGGTCGTCAAGGAGAATGAAATAGAGACCTTTGCCATCGATGAGGATCCTCAACGCCACATACCTCATGTTGAGACTGGTGTAGAAAAGGCAGAGGAGACAGAACACCATCTCCAGGCTGTTATCTCTGCCTCTGCCGCTGCGTCGCTAGGTGCCAAAGTCAACCAAGTCTATATTCCAACCCCAGAGACAAAGTCAAGCGGTATTCCCTATGATCAGTTGTATCCACGACATTTTGCTGAACCTGCCACCTACATTCGATTCAGTTCAACGGTAGAGGACTCCATCGGACATCAGTACAATATCGACGAAGAGGATGATGTCTTCTTGCTGAACTTCAACTCATCNAAAAAGGATGATGACAAGCTCTCGGAGGATCTCTTCGAGGAGCTGATGAGCTTCTTCGAACTCAAGTCTGACAAGAACCATCCTTTCGCCAGTATTTCTGACGCTCCGATCCTGACACTTGAAGAAGCCGAAAGCTACTATGACGACCCAGAAGATGAAACGAACCTTTCTGTAGAAGCCCGGAAGTGGGCCAAGGATGTGTATGAGCACTGGCGTTCAAGAAGAGCGCAGAATGGCAATCGCTCGCTCCTGTCGAGCCTCAAGTTCGAGACTGGTGCGGATACTGACGACAACGACGCCTACGTATGTTTCAGACGTCGCGAAGTACGACAGGCTCGCAAGACCAGAGGCAGAGATGCTCAGGTAACCGAGAAGCTCAAGAAGCTGAGGAGAGAGCTTGAAGATGCGAGACAACTTCTCATATCTGTCAATCAGCGCGAGCGTTTGATCAAGCAGAGGATAGAGACAGAACGAAAGGTGTTCGAACAACGCAGTGAGTTGAAGAAGGTCAAGGTGCAGCAAGGGATCAAAGGTGAAAAGGGAGAAGACGAGGAACTCCTTGTCAACCAAAGAGTAAGTCATATTCCTGTTACCGTCAATGTGGTTCGCATGCTGATGTTGAACAGNCCCACACCCAAGCCCAGGCCAACAAAGGCCGATGGACAAAGGCCCACAACATTGCGTCTTCCTGGAACGAGAGCAGAGGCAGTCCGCGCAGCTCCAGAGAACGATCTTGTGCAGTTGTCAGACATCCAGGAAGAAGCAGCCGCGGCGATACAGCGATCAGTCGAAGAGAAGATCGGCCAGCATCGCAAGTGGAACAAGGATTGGGTCGACAACACTTGGGGACCAATCACGCCACCAGCCGAGCCTTCGTCAGCGTCTGGATATCTGCCACGCATCGAAGAGGTTCAGCTGCCTACTCCACCAGCATCTTTGCATTCAGAGACATCACAAGATCATGTCAAGGATGTCGAGATGAAAGACGCAGACTTACCTACACCGGTCAGTGCTGCGCAAGAACAACCACCTCGTACCATGTTCCGCTTCAACTCGCCGCCACCTGAGGCAGGGTATGAGAGACCTGCGTACAGGCGACGATATGGTCGTAATGGTCGGTTGTATATTGAACAACGCAAGCCGCGCATGTTTGTTCAGAGCAAAGGCGTGATAGGCGACTCTGACGATGAAAGTGATGGTGAGACGGTCGTGTATCCCATGGATTGCTACGACACACTGGGCATCAGCTATCGCGCTAGTATTCTGGCGCCGCGAAGGCCAGTCGATCCGGCAGCTGACCATATAGCGCAGCTGAGGCGAACAGCATCCAGCGGTGATGTGGCAATGGCGGGCGGTGCGTCGACGGCGGGCCATGGAACCAGTCATGGCCAGGGCGAGGGTGGAAGTTGATTTGAGCATTTTTCTGGCGAAAACTTTTTGTGATACCACTTTTTTTTCTTCCCTTGACGACTTTTGCATAGTAGATGAGAAACGTCAAGAATTGCTCGGTCTCAGAGACCATTTTTCCTCTCAATTTGGTATCGAGTCCGAAAGCCGAGATGGTATTTTCTCTGCTTGTGATGATTCGCTTAAGCAGGGCCGAGGCCTGAATTTGAAGCGTCTGTAGGGCGTGACGGAACAAACTCTAACATCTGAGGCGTGTGATAGCAGAGTCGAAGCATTGTGAGCGTCGAGATGCTTGTGGTGAGTTTCGTCTATGTTGGCAGGCAATGTGCGATTCAGGCGGTAAGCGGGGCGGTGGTGATACAAGAAGAGGGGACGAGTACAGGCGCTGCGTCCAAGGTGATGCGAGTGGGTAGGATCGAGGCTGATCAACGGAGTATGCCCTTGTGTGCTGGCAGTAGAGGGTGAGGAAAATTGGCGACGAGGAAGTCCATGTCTGAGACGGTGCTGTGTACCAATGAGAGTGGTCTAGGTTGGTGAGTGAAGTGGGTTTAACCAGTGGAACAAGACGATAAAGAGAGTAAAAGAACAGATAGAAGGCAGTAGAAGAAATCAGGACGACGACGAGGTAGCAAGTACAGAAAAGTGGTAATGTGCTCTTTGCAGAGGTTGGCAGGTAGAGAGGGTAATATGCAAGAAGACAAGGCCAAGGCCAGGGCCATCAAGCGCTGCCACTTTTCCCAATCTGGTTGGCGTCAAAGTCCCTTCTTCGTCCAAGTCCGTTCCTTAACACCGTTCTTCGTACCTGCTCTACCTATCAATCTCACAACCACCAAAATGGCCATCGCGATAGGTCTCGAAGGCTCTGCCAACAAGCTCGGTGTCGGTGTCATCCTCCATTCCTCTTCTCAAGCCGACAGCCCTCAGACGCCTCAAGCTCCTTCGAAACACGATAGCCCTCCGGTTCAAATCTTGTCCAACCTGCGTCATACCTATGTCTCGCCTCCAGGCTCTGGTTTCCTGCCCAAGGACACGGCTGCCCACCATCGCCGTTGGGTAGTACGTCTGGTCAAGCAAGCTATGAAGCAAGCACGAGTCTCGGTCGACGATATCGACTGCATCTGCTTCACCAAAGGCCCTGGCATGGGTGCTCCTCTTGGTGCTGTCGCTGTCGCTGCTCGTATGCTATCTCTCCTCTGGAACAAGCCCCTTGTTGGTGTGAACCACTGTGTCGGCCACATCGAGATGGGCCGTGCCATCACTGGTGCCCAAAATCCTGTCGTCCTTTATGTATCTGGTGGAAACACCCAGATCATCGCATACAGTGCTCAACGATACCGTATCTTTGGCGAAGCTCTCGACATCGCTGTTGGCAATTGCTTGGATAGATTCGCCAGGGTTTTGGCAATCAGCAACGATCCTGCTCCTGGTTACAACATTGAACAGATGGCTAAGAAGGGCAAGGTCCTGGTCGAGCTGCCATACGCTGTCAAGGGCATGGACGTCAGTTTCTCTGGCATTCTCGCCCGTATTGAAGAGTTGGCAAAGAAGCTGGAAGCTGGCCAGAATGGCAAAACCGAAGTATGGAAAGATGAAGAGACGGGAGAAGACATCACTCGCGAAGATCTATGCTTCAGCTTACAGGAAACCGTCTTTGCTATGTTGGTTGAGATTACAGAACGTGCCATGGCCCACGTCGGTGCAAGCCAGGTTCTCATCGTTGGTGGTGTCGGCTGCAACGTGAGACTGCAAGATATGATGGGTATGATGGCAAGCGAGCGTGGAGGAAGCGTCTTTGCAACAGACGAGCGCTTCTGCATCGACAACGGCATCATGATTGCTCATGCTGGCCTACTCGCCTACCGTATGGGTCAGACGACCGACATCATGGACAGCAGTTGCACGCAGAGGTTTAGGACCGATGAACCTTTGATCAATTGGAGAGACTAAATCTCGTTCCTGTAGTACGGGCATGTTATGTCAAACTACCCGTGTCTCCTTCTCATAACTTTCTGACTGGTAGCCTTGTCTGTGTTGCATTACCAGACACTGGTCGAACTCGCACCGACTTCTCAATCGGCATCATCAGAGTCCTCAGTCTTGACGATCTTCTTGACAGCCGAAGACTTGTTTCTCTTGTTGACGAGAGTTCTTCCCTCATCGTCTTCATCGCCATCCTCGTTTTCAACATCCTTCTTGGTGCGCTTCTTCGAGGGAGTGGGAGTGGCAGTAGCCTTCTTGCCCTTGGCGGCAGCCTTGNNGGCTTGGCCGGGGTGTCTATTTGTTGTTGTCAGATGCGTAAACATGTCACGCCAAAGATCAAAACTCACTGGGTGCAGTGGGGAGAGAGTCGCCGTCAACGTCACTGAAGAGCTTCTTCTTGATAACACNCTGGAGCGAAGAACCCGTCAACATGATCTGCACGATCTTTGTCTGTGGGCATATCCATGACTTACCCCAGGTGTTGGATGTAGTCTTCATAGTGTTGAAGCCAGCAGCCTTCATGAGCTTTTCCATGTCGACNNCTGATCTTGTTAGTTCGGTGCGCTCGGATTGTCCTTGGTGAACCTTTACCTCGGGAGGGCCAGACTTGAGGCAGCGCCAGGCAGCCTTGAGGACCATCTCCTCCTTCTCAGTAAACACGACCTTCTTGTCGGCCTTGACAGGAGATTCGCTGGTGGATTCGTTGTCAGACATGATGGGTGTGTCTAGGAAATGATGAAATCTCAGATGGGTTTGTCGTGTGTGATGGGAGAAGAAGAGAAAAACATCGAGATCATGTCGTGAATTTATAGTCCAATCTTCACGTCCGTTGTGCCCGACAACACGTCCCGCTTAGTCGCGAACTTAGTGGGTGTTCTCTCTCTCTCTCTCACTTTCTTTCGTGCAACCCTCCTTTCTTGTTGCCCGTCTGCCTGATCACCCATCACCTAATTTTTTTCTTCTTGAGCCCATTTCTTACCTAGGTAGGCACCGTCCCTTGGAAGATTGTTGACTGTCGTTCACTCATAGCCTTTGGAAGAGCATTGCTCAATCTGAACCGGTATCTACCACCTCACATCTTCGAGCCTTGCCCTCCACCAATCGCGGACCTGTATATCACACAGGGTTCCGACATCTCCTGAGGTGAGAGCTGCTGAGAGCTGTGGTTGCAAATTAACGGAATCAACTTGAAGCACGACAGCCGGCCTTGATAACGACCTCCTATAATATAAGAGCAGCGACTGAACAGTTACCGCAACCCTCAGTGAGTCGATCATGCCAGACTGGCAAGTATATATACACAACTTCCTTCCGACTCACCTCCACTTTCCTCACCTAACACTCCTTTATCGGCCTCTTCTCTTCAGGACTACCTTCCTTCTCACAACATACTCTTGCATTACTTTATGCCAACTCACTTCAGTCCTAGTACTTCACCTCAACAACACTCTCTTGCTTTGTATGTCCTTCATTGTTTTCCAATCCAACTACAATCAATACTGACAGATCTTTACAACAGAACTAACCATGCGTGAGACACGCCTCCAGACCAAGAAGCGCGCCGAAGTCCGCAAACAAGTCATCCTGAACATCAAGAGCAAGAACAAGAAGCCAGAGGACGAAGACAAGAAGAGCAAGGACCCTGTTGACTCGACTACCGCAATGGCCAACAAATCTTCGCAAGATTCTTCCGTGGAACATGTTCCTACTGGAGTGTTCCCTCTACTTCGCCTGCCTACCGAGGTTCAGATCATGGTCTACGAATACGTCGTTGAAGATTCAGAGGAGATCATCATGCTCGAAAACGCCCAAACTCCCGCTCTTGCCCGTGTCAACAGATACCTGCGCAGTGCCGTCCTGCCCATCTTCCTCGGCACCAACACTTTCCGTGTCTTCACCGAAGAGGCTCCTATTGCCAAGGACAGCCAGGCAAAGGAAGCAAAGTTCAAGATCCAGAATTCGGTCATGGAGTGGTTGACCCCTCTGGGCTACAACACCCCACTCTTCAAGAGTCTGGTCGTCCACTTTGGCGTTGAGAACCAGACTGAGCTGGTCCTCAAGTATTCGCGCAAGGCTGGCTGCAAGATCGGCAGCTTGACAGTCGGACACGAAGGCAGCTGCCGCTTCTGCTACAAGCTCGAGGAACGCTACCCCGTCTTCCCTCGCGCCATTCTGTCCAGTCTGGCTTGCAAGCTGGAGTTGGGTTCCATCATCGACAAGAACGAAGAACGCCACATCGCCATGGAGAAGGAGCATCAACGTGCCTCTGCTGATCTTGAAGCCAATGTCTTTGGCAAGACTACTGGTATCAAGAGGGATGCTTTGGCCATCAGTATGGCTAACATCATGGGTCTTGAGCGTGTCATCAATGAGGGCCAGATGACGTTTGCCATGGCTGTCCACACCATCAACATGAAGCGTCTTGCAGACACTCCCTGCGTCATCAAATACAAGGACAAGATGTACGTTCTGCGCAAAGACACCAGCGTCTGAAGCACCGAGGGTACCAAACGGAGGATGATGCAACAGTGTGATATCGTCTGGGGATCTGAGACTGGGTTTTGACTTTTGCGATTCGATGAGATGTTCTTTTGGGGAGAAATGGTTTTTGAGACAAAGGACTTGAGCATGCAGACGCGGGACACTCTTTTGACATTTATCTTTTGAGCATCTACCACGCGATCTCAATCTATGGAGGAACTATTGGTTTTACCCATTATGCAGCAGTGGAAATTGAATACTATCTTTCCACAATGCTCAAGCCCTTACCTTTGAGGAACATCTCGAGCAGTAAATCAGCCGGAGAGATGCACAATAGACTGTAAGAAGACTGAGATCCTCGCAGGAGAGACATACTTCTTGATCGAATTCCGAGTCAAAAGCACAAAGCTTGTGCTTCTGTTGTCAAATGTAGCACGAGCGGAAGTTGGAAATTTAGAGCCGCAGGGTACAGAGTCGTGGGTGCCTGAGGCAGCCAATTTCCGCTTGACTCGCGCAACTACGTCAAAGGACCGCCATCGACAAAACCTCCAAGTCGCAACCATCCACATTCTCTTCTCACAACAAAGGGTCGCGCAATACCATGGCCTCTCTATCCTTCTCACTCGGCAGCTCCTCTGCAAAATCTACACAGCGACGTTCTCCACCACCGCCAAAAGAACAAATGGCACGAAACGCGATCACGCCGCGCTCCTCGACGATGCTAGTGACGACGAAGAAACCACCCACGCAAAACGCCAAACCATCACGCATTTCGACAGTGCAGCTGGAGGTGCCGTAAACGCCAAAGCACCCAAAAAGGAAGAAAAGAAACCGCTAGTCATCACAGCACTCGCAAACAGAGATTGGAGAGAAGCGTCCAAACGCCAACGAGCGCAGAAATATGGGATTACGACTGAACAACTGGATGCAAGGAATGAGAAGGTGCAGAATGCTGAAGGAGCGGATAAAGTGGTCAAGGAGACGGAGGCTGTTAAATATGGGTTGAATGTGTTTGCGCCATCTACTTCTGCATTTGCAGAGGATGCGCAGCAGGAAGAGGAATCAGAGCAGCGACAAGAGGATAAACCGGAGCAGCCAAAAACAGCAGATCAACTGGCTATTGATGCCCTCACGGGTGCTGCACCCACATCCACTCTCACTATCCCTACGGCAGCTGTCACAGAAGAAGATGCTTTCAACGATTCCTACCACTCCGCTCCCCCAGCTCCCTCATTGTCCGACTACGCAGCCGTCCCTGTCGAAGAATACGGTGCAGCTATGCTCCGAGGCATGGGCTGGAAAGGTCCTTCTATCACTACCCCATCCACCCAAACAAAGAATGGCAAGAAACCACTGCCGCCCGCGAAAAGACCTGCTTTGCTAGGTATCGGTGCAGACCCCAACGCAGCAGCTCAAGCAGAAGAACTAGGCGCATGGGGCAAATCTTCCTCTCGAGGAAGAAAAGAACCAACTATGTTTGTGCCCATCAGCATGAAGAACAGAAAAACAGGCGAAACCCTGACCGAAGAAGAACTCCGAGAGAAAATCCGCAGAGAAAAGGAAGAAGCAGAAAACCAGCGATTCGTTGTCAACGACTTGGAGATCAGGGATAAGAAGAGGGAAAGACGAGATGATGATAGCAGCAGGGCCGACCGAAAGAGAAGAGACGATTATTCAGACGATGAAGAGGAAAGAAGAAGACGCAGAAAACACACAGAAAGAGATTACGACCGTCATCACGACTACAAATCCAGCAAAGACCACGATCGCAAAGATAGAGATCGGAAAGACAGAAGAGACAGATCCCGCGACCACCACTCCAAAACAGATCGTTCGCGCGACCGTCCTTCCAAACCCTCTTCATCTCGCCGCGACCGTTCTCGCGATCGCGATTACGAAAAAAGAGCCAGGGATTATGAGAAATCTTCCAGTCGACGGGATCGCTATGACGAGACTTCAAAATCGTCGACGAGAAGGGATAGAAGTAGAGATAGAGATTACCATCGCTCTTCGCGACGTTAGAAATGTACAAAAGGCATACTTGAAGGTCATCAACATATATGCCGATTTCTCGCTTCGATTATTTTGCCCCTTTTGGAGTGTGGTTCTTGCTGTGTGTGATGTTTGTGAAGTGAAAGAACTGTGGATATCGTATTCCGTTCATGAATATTGTGGTGCTGGATGCAAAAGCAGCAACTCCATGAAACACTTTCAGGAGCGCTGATGCAGTTGAGTGGTCGTATGTCTCAGCGTGGTTCCTCACATCGCAAAAAAAAAACCAACCCCAATCGGACTCTAGACTAGCTAGACTATCCTCTAAGGATTCATGATCGGCAAGCAAGAGGTGAGCAAAAGAAGCAAAACGTACAGCAGCATGGATCCACCATAGTACTAATCTGCCGTTCAACTGCTTGTGTATGGAGGAGTGGATGGGAGCCCCAGTTTTCAGCTGACTGTGGCCGTGCGTACTGAACCCAGAACTAGATCACAATATCAAGTCTCAACACTATGCTCTCGAGGTCGACCAGAATGCTTTCGTTCGAGGCCAATGCAGAGTCGGAAGCATATCTATGGAACTCTACGCAGGAGGTTCTGACAACACTGCAATTTCAGCCTTTGTTGCATAGTGACTGATGTGTACCTATTAATACAAAGTCCCCAAGTTGAACATCCGTGTACTGGCTTCGAATAGAAACGAAATCTGCCGTAACCATAGCTCATAATCATCAAACGGCTATCGAACCTCAACGCCAGGTCCTTTACCCACGGCCGTACCCTCATCTCCTTCATACCTCAAATCCTCGCCAAAGCTCTTTGCTCTGTCCGTCGTGTGCGTAATATCCTCTAAACTCCTTCCTCTGGTTTCTTCCAAGAAAAACCAAGTCCCTGCCGCAATTGCCAGATCTGCAATACCCCAGAAGAGAAACGTGCCCCAGCCCATGTTTTTGATCATGTAGGGTGTGCTGATCGAGTAGACAAAGTTCCAGAGCCATTGGGAGGATACGGCTATACCGATGCCAGGCTCTCTGATGCGAGTGGGGAAGATCTCGGACACTGTTGGCCACGGGAGGGGTCCCCAGCTAAAATTGTAGGCGATCACGAACAGGTAGATCAGGGCTACGGTGGCGATGCCAGAGGATGTTACTGTAGCGTCTCCAGGTGCAGGTTTAGATCTGACAACAGCAGCGGTGCAGATCTGGCAAGCGCCCATGCCGAGCGCACCTAGTGTAAGAACGATCTTGCGGTTCACTCGCTCGACGACGAACAGGACAAAAGTCAGACAAGCGGCGACTTTAATGGCGCCGAAGATGGCAGTGAGTAGAAGATCATCGTTGCCTTTGCTTCCTACCAGGAGTTTGAAGTATTGTGGTCCGTATGTTGCAAATGCGGTCGCTCCGGTGGATTGTTGGGCAATGAAAACAACGGCAGCAGTGACAGTACGCTTCAAGTTGTCGGGCTTGGTGTAGAGTTCTCTGAGCTGGAAACCTTCTTTCTCGCGTAGCTCTGTTTCCACGCCGAGGCGGATCTCGTCCATTTCGAGCTGAGCGTCGGGTCCGCTGTCTGCTCTGATCCATTGCAGAGACTCCCAAGCTTCCTGGTGACGGCCTTTCAGGGTCAACCAGCGTACTGACTCCTTGAGTGTGAACATCCCGAGACCGAGGAGGACAGCGGGTAATATCTGAATGCCGATGGGAATCTGCCATTGTCTGGCCTCGCTGGTCGGAATGTCCTTGCCGACGCCGTAGTCGATCCAGTACGAGGTGAATATACCTANGCAAAGTCAAGTCAGATATGGCTGTGCATCGCAACAGCCAGCTACGCGCTTACCAAGGGTATAGAAGAGCTGGTAGAAGCTGCCAATCTGACCACGCAGCTGCTTCGGAGCCATCTCACTCGAAAACATGGGCACCACTACACTGCTTCCTCCCAAGCCGATGCCAGCAATCAACCGAGCAGCCAGAAACGCGCCGAAGGAATGTGTGTTGATAGTCTGAATGATGGCGCCAATGACGAAGATGGTCGAGCACAAGACTAAAGCCCATTTGCGGCCGAATCGATGCGTGATGGGCCAGATGGCAAAACATGCGAGGAAGGCGCCCAGTTGTTGGAGGCCGACTGACAAGGAACTGTTGCGAGTTGCTTGCTTCTTGCTGTATCCGAAATCATGCTCGAAGGATGCAAGGGTCAGAACTCCGCNCTGCGCGACGACACCTTCAGCAAGTGTCGAACAACATGTTGCTGTAAAGCTCATACCAATGATACCGGAGTCATATCCGAATAGAAAGCCGCCCATGCAAACCACACAGCCGAGCCAGTAAGCTCTAAAGGTACCCGCTCGTGTCATGTTGGATGCGCGACGAACAGCCTGCTTTGGATTGTCTGAAGACGAGCGAGACAACAAAGCGACCTCAGGGCCCTCGACACCGGAATCGTCGTCCATTTTATAAAGCTATGGATTGCAAAAACAATCCAGGAGGATCGCAAGCAAGCCACGCGCAAAACAATGGGCATGAGATCAGAAACATGATGCGGCAGCCGCGAGCAAGGCAATGGCCTGACCGCCTGCAGTGGTACACGGCCGCTCCTCCCTCTTCTCAGAACGACGTTCAGACGCTCTGCTCCAGTAACATGACAGCCAAGGTGCTCGACGGAGCTTGAGGTAGACTGATTGGTAGACAGTTATGCGGCTTGGCATGTGACGTTTGCCGATCAGGATGTCGCCAATCCTCGGGTCGATGGTGTGCTTGAGGGGTCGCAGTCTTCCTCTCGAACAACCACGTTCATTACATGTTGAGGATAATGTCTTCCATCGTGATTGGGAATATTTCAACAAGAAACCATCTATCAAGCTGAGCAGCATGTCGACGAGAAGAGTAGTCGCGCTTCACCCCGTTGACCTTCCCCATAAATGCGATTCATTTTGCGTATTATCTCCGGGCCAATATCCTTACATACCGGGGCAACGGATTCTTGAATGTCCTTGGAGGCCCAAGATAGCAATTGTTATGATTCTCATATCTCATTCGAAATTCTATTGATATACTTTTCGCTCTGGGTTTGATGTCCTGGACACCCTGTCTCCTTCAGACATATTTTATATCGGCAAAACGATGGACGTGTCCGTTGATATCGTGACTTCGATGGGGGATACACTACAAATTGTTCAAGATCTGTTCAAGGGATCTGATCATAACTGCTCTCATTGGACAGGGGTTCGATGAGAAAAGTGATCACATGTTGGTTCAAGCAGCGTCTTGATGTCGACAGAGGGGCGTGTCGTGTTCCACATGGAAAGCGCACTCTCGACAACCCGCTTGAATACATGTACGATTCTTTCCAAATTTACATCTCTCGACGCCTCTTCCAAAACACAATTGGGTTGGAAGCTGGACCGATCCTTCTTGGCTACCTGACCTCCAGATTATAAATGGGGAAGCGGTATAATCTGGCACCCCAGGACCTTTTCTCATGGAACGGCTCTGAGTATTCTGTAGACACACCTTCATCGCCCCTTCGCAGTTGAGGTATCGACGAATAGACGGAGCTGACAGATAATGAGGGTTTGTAAGCGCTAGCCAATTATACAGCATCAATGCGTAGTCGGCTCTAAACTTTCCAGCGCCTTCTTGTGAAGCTTGCATATTGATTCCGGCTGTTGTACGGGATGGTGTCTAGGTCCATTGTGTGGCGTGTGGCTTGCGGACTGCTTCTCTCGAAGCTCGTTGACGCTCACGTCTTGCTGCATTGTGTAGAAGTATGCAGTGCATCGAGGTGCGCGCTAGCTGATGTTTGAGACAACAAGAGTCTCGGGCTCTCCCGACGCTAGCCAACTTTAAACCGTCGCGGGACATGTGGGGAAATGCGGCTCTATCGGAAACGCGCTTCTTTGCGCGACATCAGCTCCATGCATACCTCCGCCACGGCGATGCTTTATGACTTCTTTCAATGACTTTGGGAACTCGGAGTATGTTCATGCAACATCCCGAGCAATTTCCACGCCTCAACGCCATCAATCTGACTTCCTCTACCCGACACTACTAATCGGCGGCTTGAGAAGAACCTGTTTTCCTCCCAGCAACGCTGATCTCACCCGTCCTGAAATCAATACGGGTATTTTTAACCAGAATATCCACAGCTGGACTGGACTTCTGCAAGCAGTGGTCTCGCCCGTATGGCTTTGTCCGACCTCCTCCGCTGTTTCTTCAAGAACAGACCGGACCTGTCATTCCCGCCCTCAGTCAAACTCTCTATGGGCGAGCGTCCAGATGGCTGTGCAGATATGAACCACACCGGGTCGGAGGAGTATGTTCAAGCAAGAGGGTCGTGTTCTATGGCTTTTTCAATTTCTCGTGGTTGGTCACGAGAAGAATATTAAATTGATCACATCAAATTTGGCTGACTATCGAATAATATCATATACGTACGACTAGCGGTCAACACGTCCTGTTCAAGCCACGAAATGCAGAGGCTTCCACTCGTAAGGTTCAAGTCCTTTCTGTGGACCTCCATGGACATGTAGCCAATCCCCATTGGCATAATGGCCCGTTTTGTGAGCAGGTTTCAGACTGCTCTCAAGCACATCCTTCTTGACGAACATCTTGTGGGCTGTGGCGGCTGCTGCACTCGCTGCAACAGCAGCTTTACCCCCAGCTACCGCGCCTACGAACAACGGTGCCTCGCTCAGCGGTAGCAACCCAGCAAGCGTTACTTGCGCAGTGCCAGCTATGGGAGCTGCAGCGGCCGCGGCGCCGAAAGAAGCCCACCCCCAGTCACGATCACTCCAAGCGTGAGCAGGGTAGGAACGAGTGTAGCGACCACCGCGTCTTCAGTCTTTGGCTCGTTGACGCCGTCGTAGGCGTAGCAGTCAATCGTGAACCAGACTCGGCCTGTCCAGCGAGTGACTCTTTCGCCTGGTTGCAGCACTCCCCAGTACAAGGGGCCTATCTGCGATATAACGTAGACGAGTGGGATTTCCGTGAGATTGGCGATGCGGACAGACTGGTCTCTCTCGAGAGATTGTTCGTTGCCCATTTCGTGTGCTTGAGTGCGAAAGATAGGCCGCCTAGGGATCTGAGCGAGTTGTCCTTATGGCATACTGAGTTGATTAATTCTCACCTTAGAATAAATCGCGCAGATGAATGTGCCAGAGTGGGAGAGCGTCACAGTTTCTGAAGAGTTGCTTGTTGACTCACGCATCCAGATTATATATTCAAGGTCTGGGCCATGGACAACCTGCAGTGAGGCACTGTCCAAAAGCCGCTGCTTACAAGCGCTAGCCAACTTTAATAGCAGCTAACTTTCTATACTTACCCTTTGTAGATCTAGCATCGTTGGATGGTGCTCAAACGCGTCGGCTAGGTATGCAAGACCTTGCCTATGGAGCGGCAGACCCTTACGATTGTATAGAGTGCAAAGTGTGTGTTGGTCTCTTGAGTAACGCAGAATTTCAATGATGGTGAGAATTTTGCTATCAATTTGCAACCTGGAACTCCGCCATAATCAACAGCAGTACAAGTACCATGCACAGCAGTACTTTCACATACGACAACTGCTCCTCTTTATACCCAATCAGCTGTTTCCAAAGGTAGGAGCAATCTTATCAAGCCAGAATCTCGAGTTTTGATGATTTCAGAAATCAACTCATGAGTTCTTAGGAGGATCTCGTGGAGCGCGTCAGTGTCCATCAACATCTCTGCTTCAATGTGTAAATCTGCCACGTATCGAGCGAATTGACCTGCAGATTCTCTCAACCTCTCATAGTCAGCTTGTGTCATGATATATGACCGTGTCTGGCGAATGTCATGGCCCAGTAGCCAACAATCCGCTTTCTGTTTCTCATACTCAGCAATTGATTTCTCGTGCATAACTTTCTCAGAATTGAGATCGAGCAGATTCTTGTTCAAAGTCGTGGCGGATTCTGTTGCCTCGTCCCTTTCGGATTGGAGACGGTTGTCTTCTGAACGTAGGAGTCTGGACATTGTGTCAATCCGGGTTTCATCAAAGGAGTTTTGGTTATCTTACCCTCCACCCACCTCGCCCAGAAGCGCGATTGGACCCATGATATAAGGGAAGGCGACTGCACTAACCCAAAAGCCTGCTCTAACCTGTTATTCCATTAGTGGACTCGATGCAGGCTGCAAAGATTTCATCCACATACGAATCGCATACCAACGCGAGTCTCATGCGCTTCCTCTTGTTCTGCCGTAAGAATTGAGACTTTCTGATCAATCTCCTGGAGCTCGGCACTGCAAGCAAGTATCTTCGTCTTTGTCTGCGTCTCCAAAAGCTTGATTTGCTGGTTCTTGAGTGTGATCTCATCGCACATATGGTTGACTTCTGCATCCAATCTTTTGATTTGGTCTTCCAGGGCAGTCGCGCTTCGCCGTAGGAACATTATGTTTGTGGTAGCCAGCTGTGCCACGTCCAAGAGACTCGCGCTCTCGTCGTAGAGAACATTCCGCTCTGTTATGGCTCTTTTCGAGATCGTCGTGCTAGATGTTTTGCGATGTCGTTGACTTTGACATCCTCCAATAAGCGTTGTTGAGATTGGACAGTTCTCAAAAATGCTTCCACCGAGCTGATGAAAGACTCGAACTCGATTAGAGTAGCTTTTCTGTCCCGAACAATGGTTGACTTGGAAGTGGTCGAGAACTCCACCGCCTTCACAGTAAGGACTTGGACGCGTTTGTTGTATGCGACAACGCTTTGACTCATGGCTGGCTAAAGAAAGTGTTGATGGAAGCTTTGGAAGCGAAGATAGGAATTTGATATTTATTCTTGAACCTCTGTATATCATGGGTATTCGGCATGGATATGCGATTCTCAACGCTCGTGCAGGCATAGCTTCGCGGGATGTTCGTGGCGTTAAACATTGTCCGGAACTTCAGCTGAGAGCTAAACATGCCTCTGAGCTGCGATAAACCTTGCACAATTTCAATAGTGTCATGAAGGTATGTCGGTATCGCCGACAAGCATCACGAAGCCTGCTCTTAGCCTTGAATTGTCTTCCAGCCAGCCACAGCTAACTTACTCGGAGGCAGCTCATCCGCGGAATCCTCCCAGCCTTCACCTCTGGATTTCCGCTTGTGATATATTATATATCTCGGGATAGGACTAGGTCTCAACTCCCAAGTCTTCTCAATCACTCTCTACATACTCTAAGACATCATGGAGGTCCTCAAATGTAACGCCGCACAAGACCCCAAGGTCGCACAATACATACAAGAGACCATGAGCGACATATTGCTCAATGACACTGAATGCAACTGGGGAAACTTGCTGAGCGCTGGACCCAGTGCACTCGTCAATTTGGCTCAATGCTTGGTGGTTGCCAACTCTTCAGAGGCAGCTGCTCTGATCGAGCTCCAGCAGATCGGTCCAATGGAGTAAGCACCAGCACGGATATTTCTTGAAGCATCTGACCAAGCTCTAGGTCTACATCGTTGAGAGCCAATCTGCAACATCTCATCGATCTGGGCTATGATGCGTTCTTCAATGCCGAGTTAGAGATGAAAGCGGTTAACATGACCACCAGACATATATGCAGTCGAGATGGCACAGTACGCCCATAGCATATATCTTAGACATCTTTGTACTGACCAAAGATAGATCGACAAGATCCTCGAGGTCTGCGAGAACGAAAAGCTGGCTTCTGCTATGCTACAAGATCAACTCGATCGACTGAGAGCATTCTCCGCAAAATGTCTCGAACGGACAAACAAACTGAACACAAAGTTCACTCAGTGGGCAGAGCTGGCTGATACCATTGTCAGAGCATCGACGGCGAGGAACGGTAACTGCAGATACATGACTAAGCTAAATGTCGCTAAACTAACGGGTACCAGACGAGAACGCGAGGAGAATGGTCGATCTCGAGGACACGATAGTCAGCAAAACGGAGTTGGAAAAATACATTGAACAAGAGACGGACAACGCAAAAGCTAGTTTGGAAGATCGGAAGAAGATCTTCGCAGATCGTAAAAAGGCGTTAACAGAGGCTCAAGTTTTGCTTGACGCTGAAAATAACCCGGGTAGGTCAGGCTGAGAGGCCACACAGTACTAAGCTGGCAGTGACTGACGGTAACAAGGCTACGCAAAGATGCTGTACCGGTTTGTGGGTGATACTTTAACTTCGACTTATGTCCCAGGAGCGGTTGCAAGCGTGGCCAGCGTAGTCACTGGCGAGATCTTGACCGACACCACCTTTCGATTCCTGCACAGTCTGCAACGTGCAATTGATCCAGACTCTTCATTGCCCCAAACAGACTCAAACGCTGCAAAGTCAAGCGATACTTATGAAGAGAAGACCGAAGACCAAAGGCTACTGGCTATGATGACGAGTCCACTGACGAAAATGAATGCCAATCTCGAAAGGTACGGTCACAGCGGACCTACGGATGTAGATTGGCAACGTGTGTTCGGCAGGGACAAGACCACCAGTCGGGGACAGACTTACACCATCAAATTCATCACATTACTGCTGGATAAAATGGATCGCGAATTCGATGACATGAGAACCGAGTCTCAACAAGACATTCATAACCTCCAGCAAGAAGCAAGCCAGGTGCGTGAAAACAGTGCAGCGCGAAAATTCATCGGACTCAGATTGCTAATCTTATCTAAGCTCGCTCACGAGATCTTAGATGCTAGTCTAACTGCAGACTTCACCGAGAACGCCAAAGCGTCATATGAAAAACTCGCAGAGTGGAGGTACCGTGTCGTTAACATGATGGAGAACCATGACGAGCTGGTAAACAGGCTCAGAGCCGAGGCCAAACAGCGTAGAACGATCAGAGTCGGTGTACCCATGGACCCTAAGTGTAATCGTCGTATGCTAACTGTCTCCAATAGAAGAAGCAGCGCAAGGAAGAGGAACGCATGAGCAAAAGGAGTTCGTTCTCTGCTAAAGATAAAAACTCCACGCTGACACTGATTTAGATATCGCAATGGCTGAGAAAAGGGTCACCGATGCACAAACAGACCTCAGAGCCTCACAGGATCAACTGGACAGATTGGAGGCTGAGGATCAGCTCGCGAAACGCGAGTTCAACGAGACTCAAGTCGCACTTCTAAGACTGGCAAGAGAGGAAAAGACAGTCGTAAGTGTCTCGGACTTCCATTCGAATAAGATCGCTGTAAGTCTGACATACGTAAACTAGGCATCAGTCCGGAAAGTTCTCAAAGATTGCCTCCAACGCCTCAAACAATTCAAGGAGCACCTTGGCACATTTCGTCGTTTCTTCGCCCAACTCCACAACCTAGTTGAGGGCATGAACGACACAATCGTGGGTGAAGTTCTCCTGAACGGGCGAGGTATCCTCGATGCAAAGGACGCCGAGGTTCTTGCAATAAATCTGAAGGTACAGAGTCCTGATAACCTCCTCAACTTCATTTTGCTCACATGCTCATGTGTTTGAATAGCAAATTCGCACCGGAGCACATCAATTACTCGCCAACTACCAAGTCGCCGGTCAAATCGCTGGGACTTACGTGATCGTGTCACGCAAACACATCATGCCTGGAGTCACGGAGCTCAACAGACTTGCCATCGAAGGCTCGTCGGAGACCATGCAAACTAACATTGACCAAATCAACACTTTTGCCAAAAAGGCTCAGAGTCAAATCTCCAAGTTGGCTGACGAGGTAAACCGCATCACTTGACCCAGACTTGTGCGCACCACTGACTCTACACCAGCGTCGAGAAACGATTTGTACACAGCTGATTGACACTAAAAGACGAGTGGTCGAGGAGCAAGATGAGCTTCTGAAGTCGGCGATGAATACCATGGAGGTAGAAGACTCAGACTACGAAGACGAATGGGACACCCTCGATGGCCCGACAGTTCCAGTTGTATCTGTTGCTGCGGCTTGATGATCAGATTGAGTCGGCGTTGACGTTGTTTCACTGATGGTATCTTATTCACATGTATCCCAGATCACATAACCTGCTTGTTCCCTTCACCGATAATACGATCGTTTCGGGACTACTCTAAACTGAATATTCACTACACATAAATCAACCATGTACAACAGTCACGAATTGCAAACTGTTAGCTTCTTTTGCCCCTTCTTACCTATTCGTCCGTCTTCTCTACTCATAATGCCTTGTTTATCATCTCAAATTGATGACAAGATCGACCAACGGCTCACACGTGTTGACTCTGCGTAGTTGAAGAGGCAGTAGCCGTTGTCCAGCTACATAATTAAATGTGGTGAAGACATCGATCCGAAGTCGAAAACAAGTGACGAGTCCGGCCGCCCATCGTTGCATACCTTGCGGATCCAATCAGAAGTTTCTGCTGCTGCTGTAAGCTTTGCTTTTGTTTCCGGATTGAGGCACGCTTTCAGCATACAGTACGGTATCATTCAAGCCGCAAGATCAAAAATCAGTAGCAACAAAGTTGATGAATTTGACCGAACACAACACCTCAAGAGCTCGAGCTGAAAGTACAGACGCCAGCCTGTCATCAACATCATTCGACTTGAGCCTGATAAAAATGACGTTGATCCATATTATGAAGAAGAGTGTATGGAAGATGTAAGAAAGTAAGACAGAGTCAAACATGACTCGATTGACAAAGATATCTCATGGTAGTTCGTGCTGGCGCGATGAACGATAATTAGGCAGTTCGACAAGCTCATTTTCATGCAACTCCGCTGGCCCTTTTTCGCCCCGAGCCCCATGAAGGGTCTCGAAGCGTGTAACCTGAGTCGCCAACCCCTGTGTGACCTTTTTGAGCCATCTGGACGTCCATCAGATCCAGACTTCTTGGAGATGTTGTGGGTCTTCGTTGTCTTCTGAAGAAAATGGCAGCACCGATTATAATGGCAAATAAGGCCACTGCACCAACCACTATACCAGCTATTGCACCAGTGGATGGTCCTGGACGGGGACCTTCTATTTGAACTGGAGATGTCGTTGGTGCATTGGATCCAAGTAAAGACATCTCGGAAGAAGATTTGGCGGTAGCGGACGATGATGCTATGGAGGTTCCGGTTTCTGGTGCAGTTGCGTGTACAGAGGAGGTGGTGAGAGATTTCGTTGACACATAGGATGTAGAGATGGCAGAGGCGCTGGGGGTAGCAGCGGCCATCGGTGAGGACGATGCAGGGTTCGCTACTGCAGAAGAAATGCTAGTGCTAGAGGTTTCTTTTGAGGCTGTCGAAGATGTAGTGCTTGTGCTAGACTGAGATGTCGTGGTTTGAGATGTTGTAGACTGAGATGTCGTGAACAACGACAGGTCATGCTGCTGGAAAGCGACTGTAATAGGTTGCGCCCACATCGTGATCAGGCCAGACACAGTCGTAAACATCCCGGTTATACCGTCAAGAGAGGATGTTACACCATCATCATCTCCTTCCGCGAACACGGTTGTGGGATCAGCATTGGTGAAGATGCTCGTGCACCCGTAGAACTGTGCAGTCTTTCCTCCGGCATTGACACTGCTGATAAAGTTTTTGTAGCCGAACTTGCTGCGACCTGATTAGCAAATTGTGCCGATCAACTCGCAATGGTTATTGCACACCTCAAACAACACACCGCTGTAGTTGTGTGGCCATCATAGTTGTTGTTCGCAGTGGTATACCCAGACGGGCATACACCAGGACTGAAGATCTGAATGAAGGATGGCGCTCTTCCCCAGCCATCGAACCCAGGTGGATAGCAGGGTTCATCATTTCGACCAGCTCCAGCGTTCTGTATCAGAAGTCCTCCGGTCACACTGTTTGCAGCTTGGCTTTCATAGGTCCAATGTGAGGAGCATGAACTTGGTGGTGTAAAAATACCGGACATCGGATTCGTCCGGGTGGTGAGAGGACTTGCAGTAGAACTCATTGTGAGCCTTTTTCAATAGACTATGTCTGGAGAGGGAAAGTTCTGGCTTGGTGGGAATATGAAGAAGAGGCATTTGCGGACGTGCCGAATGGTATAAGACACATGCTCAGGCCAATAGCATAATGACTGGCTCAGAAATATCCTTCAGCGCTTACAAGTACGGACATTTAACCGCCATGTGATGGCAGGCTGCCCAAATGCAGCAGATAGAATGATATCCTTGCGCTCGGTGCCGCGGGGTCCAACGTGGCAAGCAGCGTGACCTCCGTTATCCATGATACCGGCATCGCGCTATGCAGAATCTGAGACCACCTTCAGATGTTGGCGAACTCCCATTGCCAATTCGCTGGGAATATTCTCGCAAGGTCTAGGTCGCATACTCATGTTGAATATTACAGCACCTGAGCAAGGCTGCACCATGGGAAGCACAAAGGGCGACTTCCACCTAAGATTCTGCCATGTGCAGCGGTCTCCATGACGCCTATAATGGATTTCGCAATGATGGGAGTCGGCAGAAGAAGTCCAGCTTACCCCAAGATCAATAATTAAGATCCTGAGCTGTGTGCACCACAGCGTGCAGCTAGAGCAGCGTGCACAAAAATCAGCTGTACTTACTCTTGCTCACCTCATATCTACCTTAACCAGAACTTCTGAACCATGGTTGTATTTCTGCAGTGTTATGTGACGGGGAAGGACGTGCATGTGCAGTCATGTCACGCAATGAAAGCTGTCAACTTCTCCCCAGAAAAAATTCGCCGACGCTTCCCACTTCGCTCCCGACAAACTGGTTCATCACCACAGCATAGCGAGTCATCAGCGGCTATGCCCAGCGGCTACTTAATCAAAATGGGAGACGGTCTCGTATCAGGTATGATAGATGATTGGACTGACGCTCGCTCGGTGTTGGAGCAACATAGATTAAGAAGGTGGGTGCACTGCGTGCCGCTGAAGGTGTCTGATCATGCCCTGCACCGTGATTGAGGTGGCAGGTCCTGCATCAACAAGGCAGGACAGTATTGAGAGTCGACTTTATACTAGGCTCGACACTCTTCGCATCGGTGCGCTGAATTTTCTACCGCCACAAGAAGAGCATGGCGAGACTTGGGAGACTCAGCCTGGGGCGCACGGCGTTCAAAGCCACTTTGGCCTTCTGTACAATCATGGCTTTCGCCTTCTTGAGCCCANNTATCGGACGTTCCCTTCGCCAGCATTCACCACTGGTATGGATCTCTATCAGCACGCGCTAATCAAAGTAACGTACGCTGAAGCAAACAGAACGAGAACAAACTCGTCTTTCGCCAGTCCAATCGGCCAGAATAAACGCGGTTGCGGCCGCGTTCCAGCACGCCTGGGATGGGTATTCCAACTATTGTTTCGGCCACGACACACTACATCCTGTGACAAACAGCTGCGAGGATGACTTTGGTGGTTACGGCGCTACAGCCATTGACTCCTTACCTACTGCGATCATTTTCGAGAACCAAAATGTGACCATACAGATTCTAGAATTCATCGCCGCTCTTGATTTTAAGGTAGTCAAAGGAGGTAGCCGAATCCAGGTCTTCGAAGTCACTATTCGACATTTCGCTGCCATGATATCGGCCTGGGACTTACTCAACGGTCCGTTCTCTCATATAGTCGATAACTCGACCCTCATGGACGCGTTGCTCGCTCAGATGACAACATTGGGAGATGCGCTTAGCTGCGCTTTCGACAGTCCGAGTGGCGTGCCTCGTGAGTGGGTAGATCCTGCTTTGTGTCAGTCAGACAAAGGCACCCAAAATACCATAGCTGGTGCTGGAACAATGATCCTTGAATTTGCCAGATTGTCAGATATCACCGGCAACCAAAAATATGCCAAACTAGCGCAGAGAGCTGAAGATTATTTGCTGAAGCCACAACCAGCATCTGGAGAGCCATATCCAGGGCTTCTCGGTTCTTTCATCAACGTGGACAACGGAGAGATCATCGGATCGCAGGGCAGCTGGGGTGCTCTTGCAGATTGTAAGATCTGTTCCAGTCATCCTTGGAATTGATCAAAGACTAATAAATTACANGCCTTTTATGAGTATCTGCTGAAAGCATATCTATACAACAGCAATCTCTACGAGCTTTACCTGGAGCGATGGCTTCTTGCAACAGACTCGACGATTCATTACATCGGATCACATCCCTATAGTCATCCGGAGTGGACCCTCTTGCCATCTTGGAATGGACACAATCTGCAAAACTCAATGGAGTCACTATCTTGGTTCGCTGGTGGGAATTTTATACTCGGAGGAATGGTAACGAACAACAAGACTCTTGTTGGATACGGCCTGTCGATCGCCGATGCAGCAGGTGCTGTATACAATTCAACCCAGACTGGACTTGGAGGGGAGTTTGTCACGTGGGACACGACCTGCGAGGCCAGTGAAAACAACTCTTGCGACCCCAATAACTCTTTTCGCATCTCCGATGGCAGATTTCGGTTGAGACCTGAGGTCTTGGAGACTTGGTACTATGCCTATCGAGCTACGAAAGATGAGAAGTATAGAGATTGGTCTTGGGCTGCCTTCGAAGCCATAAATCGTTATTGCCGCACGGAAAGCGGATTTAGTTCTCTTACTAACGTGGATGCTGCAGAGGGTGGCAGTAAGGGTGACATACAGGAGAGTTTCGTCTTTGCTGAGGTGATGAAGTATGTGTATCTTACACACTGGGAGGTAAGGATTCGCAAATCGAAAAACGCGAGTCATATATTGGTTTCTGACATCCATAGNGACGCACCGTACCATGTTCAAGATAGCCGGACTGGTATCAAGAACACATGGGTGTTCAATACGGAAGCGCATCCATTGCGTGTTGCTGGTCCGCCACGATGAACTCGGATATGGTTTTCTTTCCCGAGTAGTATTTCCAACTATTAGCAAGAGCTCTACTGATGCGAGGCAAAAGAATGATTGAAACGGTCCGGTATGCTTGCAAGATTAGACACGCCTTTTGGGAGGCGAACCAATTGTCAATAATGTTACATTAGGCCAAGCGGATATAATCCCAGATAGACGGCCACCGGTTTTGAGTCCCCCAACGTACGATTGGCACATGTTATCACACACAACATTTTCATCACGAATGCACGCAATGAACTGGAAACTAGACTGTACAGAAGTAATTTGACAGCGAGTTAGTGATCTACGGAGCAAGGTCTGCGGCGACTATGCCAACGTCCTGATTTGCTCGAGAGTCCGCCATGCATGCAACACGCATGGCCGAATGCTAGCCGCTCACAGACGGCAGTTGTTGAGCAGCATCCATCGTGGATTTGTCCGTGGCGGTTAACATCCATTGCACCCTACTGAACGGTTTCTGCGCCGCTGTGATGATTGTCCACCGTGATCTCCTGATCCGAACTCGATCCTGTCACGCCTCATCTCTGATCAAGCGTGGAAGGGTTGTTAAGAAAGTAAGCATCTACGTTTCTACAGTCTGGGGCACGATCGCTTTTTCATCCTCTGCTGCCGTTTCTACTCAATGCTCTCGCCTAAACGTCTAGAAACCCCTCTCGTGCCTTCGCGCCGAAGGTCACAATCATATTTCCGGGTGATCCTCATTGTCCTTTTTCTATTGATTATCTGGTCTAGCCTGCCGACACTCGCTCTTGTGGAGAAGAAAATACTCTGAGATGAGCCACCTACAGCAGAACATGATCCAGACTACAGGAATCTTCCCGGAGCGAATGAGACGCTGGTTATCATGAGGACTGGCTCAACAGAGCTGCAAGACAAGCTGCCTATCCATTTGGCTACAACCTTAACCCGCTATCCCGATAGCATAATCTTCTCCGACTTTGAAGAAGACTTCGAAAACCGACATATTCCTGACGCTTTGGAAAGTGTTGACCAGAATTTGAGAGAAACAAGCCCGGATTTTGAGCTCTGGCGACGACTCAAGCAACACGGCAGAGCATCGCTACAGTCGGATGAATTGAGCGGACAGACCATCTGGATTGATCATGGTACTGGAAAAGCTATAAATCCTGGCTGGTATTACGCGAACACTCAGTTGCTATATGGAAGACTGATAATCTTTAGGAAGTTAGACAAGTTCAAATTCCTCCCGATGGTCAGCCGGACTTTACATGAATACTCGGACAAGAAGTGGTATATCTTCGTCGAGCCTGATACGTTCATATTTTGGCAAACCCTGTTGACCTACCTGTCCAATCTCGATTGGACCAAACCATACTATCTCGGAGGACAGATGAACATTGGTGACATAACATTCGGTCAAGGTGGGAACGGATTCATAGTCTCTCGTCCTGCTCTCCAGAACGTGGCCACTCACTATCAAGCTCATCAGAAAGAGTATGAGGATTTTACGGACGGTCACTGGGCTGGCGATTGTGTCCTTGGCAAAGCTTTCAAGGACGCACCATTGACATGGGCATGGCCCATAATGCAGGGTGACGATGTCGGAAACATGAACTACGATTATAGAAGGCAGTGGTGCCAGCCCACTATCTCATATCATCACGTCTCACCGTCAGTCATACAGGATATGTTCAACTTTGAGAAGGAATGGATGACAGACACAACGAACGTAGGTTCATTCATTTTACCACGAGCCTGGTTCGGTCATTTGCAAATCTTACTGATGCTTGTCAACAGNAGCAACGCCACTTTCCTGCGCCATAGAGATGTGTACAGACTTTATGCTCTTCCACGCATGGTCTCTTCACGTGTGGACTGGGACAACCATAGTAACGACGACCAAGGGCTCACAGACTCATTAGAGGGCTGTCGCCTACTGTGTGAAGCAGATGAACACTGCATACAGTATCTGTTGAATGCTGAGAGCAGATGTCTGACAACCCCTCGACCAAATGTAGGACAAGCCGCAGCTAATGTGACTTTGGGCTGGATAGTCGAGCGAGCGCAGAAGTTCTACGACGAGGCGGGAGACTGCCATGGTGTTGCGTGGATTCATTGATATATCGCAAGTCGGAGGTCATCATGAGCAGAGACTGAACATCTGATTACCATAATCCTACGGTACAGTTAGAATTCTCTCAGCGCCTGATAACAGGATGGGAACGTAACACATAAGCAAGAAGATTGTCATGTCAGCGTAGACAGTCGTAATTATGGCTACCAGTATTAGTGGCAAAACTGCAAACACAATAAAAGAAACAAGAACAGATTGAGAACGATAACGAACTTCCCAAGTCTCAATCAAAAAATGTATCACCCGCTTCTCCTATGAATGTGTCACCAGCGTGGAGCCTCCCTTTGTTGCCTGTTGTAAGATTGGTGATTGTCACACTTCCACCTTGAGGCAGCCGATCCGCACCCGCCCAAGCTGGAGCTATGACATGACCGAATCGAGCCTTCCCGTCATCGCCCATTGTTACATACTGTATGGAATGGCCTCTCTTGTGTGGAAGATGCTCGAATTGACTCCTCAAAGTGCCATCTATCTTTTCGGATAGTGTTCTGAGCAGATCAAGCGCAGGGTCGCTGGCTAGACTGTTCGGCGGGGCCCGCAATTGGCTGAGTTCATCTCTTGCAAGTATCGCTTGATCACGGGTCGCTGGAAAGAGTTTTTCCAGATTGTCCAGTAGGCGAGAGATGCCTTCGGTGAGGTTGGAGAGATGATCCTTGCTGTACAGCGCCCATGCTGCCAGCTTAGGTAAGCTGATTTCTTTCTGCCGAAGAGCAGCCATGTCCCGCATCTTGTTCGTGCAGCTTGCAAAGCTCTGCCCAACTTCGTCGGCCGAATATATCGCCAGATCCGCAGACTGCCGTCCACTCTGACGAAATTTTTTGGCCACTTGGCTTGAGTCTTCGAGAAGGGCCAGTATTTGAAAGATGGTTGCATTCGCGAGCTGAAGGTCTTCTTGCGTTGCTCGAGGATTTCCAAGTTTCGGATCGTCGTAGATGTGAACGGCCTTACCCCACCGAGAAAGGCGCAACCTCAACATGCTGACCGTCAACATCGCTGTCTGAACATCTTGACCGAAGCGGCGGCCGATTTGGATGTGACCGAAACATTCGATGCAAGCACTGAAGGCAGTCGCGATTCCCACTGTTCCTGACACAATTCCAAATACTTCAGCCATGTTGAGAATATTTATGGTCGGAGAGCAGTGCTGATGGACGGAATGCCTTTTAAAGCTCGAGCAAGGCCAATGCCGCGCTCAAAGCGCTCACTCGCTGACTCTACAATCGTCGAATAGTGCAACCTGCTGCGATCGGTGCATATGCAGACGCTCAAAAAGGGTATCCATTGGATAGCGTGCGGATTCATGCGCCTTCTTGGAAAAGGAACGCAGCGGGTCACCGGAGCCAACAGGATCAAAATAGAAAATCTGCAAGTCACACACTATCACTTGGTTGCCTTGACGTTTGTACAGGGTATATCCATGACTGCTCAATAGCGCGCACATCCACGAGTCTGCAAACAACAAGGATTGCGGCAAATCACAATTGTTACCAAGGTCTAATCAGCCAATCTGCAAGCCACTACTATTGACCGGATGCCTCGGTACTTGTACCTGGGCCACGCGCTAACCTTTCAATAAATGCAGCCTTCCTATGTAAGCGTGCATGATCCAATAGGCTTAGAGTAACTCGTAGCTGACACAGACGCCTTCTTCTTGGCTGTTTTGGGGCCAAAACATAGCTGCGACATCACAGTCAATTCCGCTGCGGTATTTATAGTCAGTCCGTCTACCTTTGATCACGGCCTGTCGCAAGGCAGCTGTCGCGATGGCAGAAGTCGGCATTCCGCCTGAGGTTCATGAATCAAGCAGTACTTTCTCATCATCATCAATCAATGTAAAAACTATCAAGACAGGCGATGGCAACAAGATACATGTTGGGAACAGAACTACGGTTCTAGGACCAGCAGACTCTCTCAGTCATCGTCAGAAGGTTCTGGACTGGCTTTCGCTCCTGCATCCTCGAGAGGATCACGAGTAGGTTCGAGGCAAAGCGGCAATCTCCGAACAGTCGAACAGCCTTCATGATGGTCAGTCCGCCGGAAAATGGCTTTTGGAATCAGATGTGTTCGACCAATGGAGATCTCGGGACCTTCGGAAGCTCTGGTATATTGGGATGCGTGAGTGTTTACCTGTCGAATACATATGTCTAACTGACTTTTCTCTCAGCTGGAGCTGGCAAGAGTGTTTTGGCGTAAGCGGATTTAACACAGTAACATACAAAACATCAAAACGCTAAGAAACAGCAGGTCCATCATCATCCAGCACCTTCAGGAGACTCTTGCCGGACTAAAACCAGGCAGGGACAGCGGACGAATAGCCTATCTCTATCTCAAGTACGATACGCCCCAGAAGATAGAGCATCTCATCGGAAGCATCGTCAGACAGATCATTCGTGAAGATCCGGTGCCTCCGCCTCTGGAAGAGCTCTGGACACGTTGCAACAATGGTTATGATGTCCCCAGCGAAGCTGAATTGACAACATTGCTTGTTGAAGTCGCCGGAGAAGGCCCCACTTACATTGTCATCGATGCACTAGATGAGTGTGCTGTAGAATACAGAACTCGCTTCTTGAAGGCGCTAGGAGTTCATCGTAGCGACGCGAACTTCTTGATCACCTCGAGATATCTGGATGAGTTCGAAGGTATTGCAAAAGGCTTCACCAGAAAGCAGATCGCAGCGAACCACGGCGATCTGGATTTGTTCATCGACTACAAGATCCGGGAAGAATACCGATTGAAGAGCAAACTGGAAGACGATCAGCATCTTCGGCTTGAAGTCAAACACCAGGTCAGAGACAGGTGTAATGGAATGTAAGCAGGACGTACTTACTGCATTGTGCAACTGGTTGCTAATGGCTTGGATGTAGGTTTCTCCTCGCCAGTTTGCACATGCGCTCACTTGCGACGGCGCTTACTAAGGGAGAGTTCAAGGAACTCTTGAGCAAGTTGCCTACAGAAGTCAACGATGCGTATATGCTTACTTTGACTCGTATCGAGGGCATGGAATCCAACAAGCGAAAGCTCGCCCTCGATAGCTTGTGTTGGATCATTTATGCTCAGCGCCAACTGACGACTCAAGATTTACAGTATGCCCTAGCAGTCGATCCATATCGTGGGGTGTTCGACGAAGATCGTATTCCGCAGTTAGAGGACTTGCGGGACCTTTGTCATGGACTCGTCACGGTTGTGGACAACAAAGTAGGACTGGTGCATTACACTGCGCAAAGCTTCCTCAACGATCATTTGAAGCACAAAGTTCCGGACTTTGACGTTGTGATGGCCCAGACTTGCGTCAACTACCTCTTGACAAGTGCCTTAGAGCCCAACGAGTCATCGTGGACATATATGTACAGACGTCCGTTCTTGCTGTACGCAGGGGTTATCTCGACTATCACCTGCAACAACTTTCCGAATCTCATGAATCGTTTCTTACCATCTTTGAGTCGCTCAAAAATCTGCTCACGGATATCAGACAGAGAGATTTTCTTCGGCGTTTACTGATCGAGACTAAAAGCTCTCGTGGAGACAACCCCAGTCTAGGGACCCTGTCAAAGTTAGGGTCATACAATATGTTGAATGAAGACCCGGACTTAGAAGGTTACGAAGAGCCGAGACGTAGATTTTCCCCGGTTTCGGACGAAGCTACGAGTACCTTACCGCTTTGGACGAAGACGAAGGAGAAGACGAAGGAGAAGATGAAGGAGAAGACGAAGGAGAAGACGAAGGAGAAGACGAAGACGAAGACGAAGATGAAGACCACAGACAAAGATTCACAGGCGCTTTCAGACAAGCACGAAGGAGATGGAGAAGACTCTTCAACGCTTTGGTCGAACATGGAGAAGAAGACTATCCACCGCTCTCAGACGAAGACGAAGACGAAGACGAAGACGAAGACGAAGATGAAGAGTATTATGCAGAGTACTATGCAGAAGAAGATGCAGATGAGGAAGCAGATGACTCTCCACCGCTTTCGACATCAAGCTCAGTTGTCACTGAAACCTTGGCTCCTGGCAGGTACCAGACAATCGAGGATGACGTTTCCAGCATCTCGTCATATTCAAACAGGTCTGAAGAATGCTCGGCACTGCATTTAGCGACATCTCTGGGTTGGCCTCCTATCGTGACCTATTTCGCCGACACATCCCTCGATGTCAATTTGCGAGATGCTCGTAATCGCACGCCCCTTGCAATCGCGGTTCAAGCAAGAGGTTGGACGGTCATACCCATTCTGCTCGAGCGCGGGGCATGCATTGATCTTTCCACTTCTCAAGGTCATGCAATATTGCTACACTGCGCCCAGAGAGATAAGCGATCTGTCGTAAAGGAACTCATCTCTGAGAAAACAAGTCCACTGCCCACTCAAGGAGGTTGCCAGACCCCCGGATTCACGCACCGTGTCTATCATCTCAATCCCTCTTTGTTGCTCCTGGTTCTGTGGAATCTTGGGATCAATGTTCTTCGATTAATTTTGGCTTCAACAAAACACAGATTTTCTGTTTGCCTCAGTACAAACAGAGAACAGCCACTAGGCACGACTTCGAGAGACCAAAACTCTACCAAGGAAGAAGTGCAAGATCCAACTGCTAAGCATAATTGGGGTTTCCAGGTGCTTCGCGCAGCTGAATCTGGACAACATGAAGCGCTCCAAGTCTTGATGCTTGATCCTCAAGTGGCTCTGGAAACAGATGACTCTGCTATGTACATACGCACAGCATTATTTCTTGCCACAGAGTTCGGAAATTTGGAGAGTGTGAGGGTGTTGCTGCAGGACGGGCCGAAAGGCAGCGTAAGGATGAAAGGTCTAGATGGAGCAACCCTATTACACCGAGCTACCTCACGTAAAAACGTCGAGCTGGTTCAACTGCTGCTTGACAATGAGGCAGGGCCAAATGTCCGGAATGACTTTGGTCATACGCCGTGGTCTCAACACGCGGAAACAGAGTTTAGGCAAGGTAAGCAAACATACAATGCCAAATATGTTCTACGCTGACGGGTCCCAAAAGTCCTCGAAGTTCTCCTGAAGGGCGGAGCCAACCCGAACCGGCGAGGCACCGATGGCGTTTCAGCTCTCTACCTCGCCGCTGCTGGTGGGCACCTCGATACTGTAAAGCTCAACATCGAGTTAGGAGTCGATCCTTCTATCAGAACGAATTTCGGCTGGGCTCCACTGCATTGGGCTGCCTCAAATGGTGCTTTCCACTGTGTACAAGCACTCCTTGCCGCAGGGGCCGAGCATTCCCCAGTGTCGGACCAGGGTGTAACGCCGCTTGACATGGTTAAGGGAAAGCCGCACCGAATGGCAATCGAGGGGATACTTCTACAAGCGGGGGCATTGACAATGAAGGAGAAGATCTCTCAGAAGACTTCGAGTTCAACATCGGACAATTTTGATTCTCGCTCCGAGATCGAACCCAGCCACAACGGAAAAACTGGCCTGTCTTGCCTCAGCCATTGGAGGCGAACAATATACCAGAAGGGAATGTATAGTGTTATTCGTGCCAATACTAGTCGATCCGATGTGCCAACGAGTAATATGCTATCTCAACGGGCCGCGGTTCTTTTGCTCTCAATAGATCCTCAATGGAACTGCATATCAAGTCGTCGATTATAATTAGATAAACTGCTCTCATGCACGTGTAGTGTACTTCAAGTTCTAGAGTGCAGAAGTAAGTGTGCGCTCCCGCCGTCCGATAGACCCTGGGCACTCCATCATCAGGAGTCAAGAAAAGTCATAGGCAATCGAAAAATCGACTCACGTTTGAACACAGAGCTGAGAGCGAGCAAAACTTTATGACCTCGAAGCCAGAAACAGATCTAGCAAGACAGACGTCAGAGCTTCCACGGAGTGATTCCTCAAGTTCCCTCATCCACTTCCACCCAGTCTCAAGCTCATCTGTTCTGGTCGGGACCATACGTCGAAGTGGAGACGATATCTCCAAGGTTGGAGAGATGTCTCTTCGATGATCGCTTATGCCGAGAGCATATGTCTGACAATCTCTCGACCTAATGTAGGACAAGTCACGACTAAGGTCTTGGGCTTGATCCTCGAGCGAGCGCAGGAGTTCCAAAATGAAGTAGGGAAAATTATAATACCATGTTGTGGAGTGGATACAGTGATGTATCCTGAACGAGGTGGTACATCCTGAACGAAGTGGTACCTAGACTTATAACAACTATCGTTGGAGTTACAGTCTTGAAACACGCTTGGCTGCAGAAAGTAAGGCGAGAACAACTCTCTCTGTCGAGGATCCGAGCAGAAATCCGACTCAGCAAGGAGGATACTGTAACAGGGTCTGCACGCAGTGACTGCATGGAATCCTGTTCAATCTCACCTGCATGACAGTCATTCGATTCGAAGGTCTAATGCACCGAGTCGAGACGACTCGTCAAAGACTTGACAAAGAACCCAGGATATGGTAAAAACAATCTTTTTTGCAATGCTTTTGTATACGATGCACTGTGTTTAATCGTTCCGACAGCCCGATGATGACCCCAAGGGCTCTGTCGAAGAAATAGGAAAACACGAGCTGCGAAAAACCGTGAACTTGCAGCCAAATAGTGAGAGTAGCTAATGACGTGCACACTCAAGGTACTGGTTTTTGAGCAGCTTGACAGAACTTTAATGGTGGTAGGACCAGGCCGAAGACGGAAGGTTCAATCGGGACATGCGCCCGGCCGAGTTTCTTGATCCTCCCCACTCTTTCTTGCCGTGTCTGTCCACGACGTCCCGCGCCGTCCGTCTTTCGAAGTTTCTATTTCCAACATGACCAGGCGACAATTGGTCTTGAACGCTGGCGATCAGCTTGAATCTCATCAATTCCAAACTCGCTAATTTCACGACGGCTTTCTGGACGCGCGCAAGGCTGTGCTGCCAACTCGCGTCAGTACCACACTCATCATGAGATGATTTCATCGAACAAAGACATCTCCAACTTTTAGGTCATGAAATAGATTAAGGGACCAGATGGATGTCGGCTGACTTTGCTAATTGGCAATGCTAAGTCCAATCATCGTCAGTGGCCCTTTTAGTACTACTGGGCACCCACTCTCGACTTGCTTGAACCCTTACAAGGATCGGGAATATAACAATCTAACAGGCTTTTGGTCCCTACCAGACGTCTTGAGAGACAGGGAGTAACGAGCCGTCTTCAAATCCTTGCGATGGACTGTCATGGTCAAGATTGACATTGACAGAGAGATGACGCTCGTGCAACCAAGACAATCATCTCAACAATTCAAGCTGAGCATGAGATGCACACAGGTATAAAAGAGCATGCTTCTCGTCCGGAAATTCTGCTTGGAATCATACAGACATCTTTCATCTAATCTTTCAACACATCACATCCATCTCACCCATCTCAAAATGCTTGCCGCAACCATCATCACAGCCCTCGTCGGCAGCTCCATCGTCGCAGCTGCCCCTGCTGATGTATCCGCCCGTCAAGTCACCATCTGCTCTGGCACATACAGCAATGCTCAATGTTGCGCCACCGATGTCCTTGGTCTCGCTGACTTGAACTGCGCAAACCGTGAGGCATACCACATCGTTCATCGCCTCGTATACTAATAACTGTATGCAGCACCTACCGTCCCTACCAACCAAACCGACTTCATCAGCATCTGCTCCGCAGAAGGCCAGCAGGCTCGTTGCTGCGCATTGCCAATTGTAAGTCCCATGAGACATATGGATTGATTTTGAGGGCCGCGACTGACATCTCTTTCANNGCTTGGCCAAGCTCTGCTGTGCGGCTCGCCTCTGTGAACGCCTCCGAGAGAGAGCATCTTCGTGAGACCAACGAGTACGAGGCAGGACCTCTTCTATAATTAGCCAATGAAAACGATTCAGCACATGGCCGTAAACTATCCCTGAACCTCTTCTCATAGCTTCCACCATGAAGGTCCTCGATATAACCCTTCCATGATCAACCGAGCCATGTTGAATCTTGCTTATCCCCTAGCCGCCGTTACTGACTGTCTTGAACACATCTCCAACAGTCTGTGATCAGCTGAGCCATGGCGATTTCTTGCTTCAATCTGCCACATCGTTTAAACCTCTTGTCAAGGTCTCACTTTGAGACCGTAAGTTCAGCACTTCATCACGCTCTGATTCAGACTCTACTGTAATACCACAACACCCTGAATCGAAGATTTGCGCAGTATCTTCGAGTTCTCGCTTCCTTTTTCTTTTCTCGTGAAGCTTGTTTTTTTTCTTTTTTTTTCCTATCATCTAATCCTCAGTTAGGACTCTGACATTGAGCGCGAGTCGATGGGTAGTGTACAATGGAAGTTTACATTTGGGATTTGGAGAGCTATTGCAGATTTTGTTGTGTGTGCAGAACCTTTCGAACATAATTCATGCAGAAAACAGAAAAAGTAGGAGATTGGAAAGAGATGAAGCTTGGGATTTGCTCTCTCGGCTCCATTCGAGCGATGCGTCTCGAGAGTGCTTGAGAATGCGTGATCACATGAATGAATTTGCATTCATGAAGTGGCTATCTAGACAAACTTTCTTTTATTCATAATACTGATGTCGTTCCCAGAATAGTTTGGCCCTGCTTATGACCTTGCTAGCAAACATCTAATGCCATTCAACCCCTAGTCACATATGAGAAGCGTCTTCAATTACATCCGCCGCAATCTTCTCAGCAAGTGCATACACAGTCGCTTGCGGATGACCAGGCGGCAGGAATGGGAAAGAAGAAGCATCCACCACACGCAACGAGTTGACTCCGATAACACGAGCTTTGGAATCCAGCACAGCCATGGGATCATCAATCTTTCCCATCGCACAAGTGCAGGAAGCATGCCATACAGTGGCAACGTATTGGTGCACATAAGCTTCGATCTCGGCATCGGTGGTGATGTTTGCGCCGGGCAAAAGTTCTTGCCCAACGAGTACAGGCTGGATCGCGCTTGCGTTGAAGAAATCTCTGCCGCGCTTGATGGCTTGGACAGCGAGCTCGACATCGCTTGAGTTGCTCAACCAGCCTGGGTTGATGAGCGGTGGGTCTGCAGTGTCGTTGGAAGAAATAGACACAGTGCCGCGAGACAAAGGTGTAATAATTGCAACCTGCATAGCAGCATACTGCAAAGACTTTTGAATATCAACTCCCTTCATCACCGGAGGGAAACTGCTCAACAAGAATTCAAGATTTGGCCAGTCCTCAGGGAAGGCAGATAATGCTTGCTGAGTCTTGTTGCTGAGTTGTGCAAAGTTCTTTGCTGGTAGCTTTTCCCAGCCCAGGTAATCGGCGCCTGCATTTGTGAGAATGCCTGTCTGGTTTTTGTTGTATTGTGCTGCTGCGGCATCGGCGAATGTGGAGTTGGTTAAGGCTTCTTGGGTTTCTAGGTCTACTTGGTACATGACGGGGAAGAGGACGTGATCCCACATGTTAGATCCAATGCCAGGTCTATCAGCGAGCATCGAGATGTTGTGTTTTTGCAGAGTAGATCTGGGTCCGACACCAGAAACCATGAGAAGTTGAGGAGACTGGAAAGCGCCAGCAGACAGGATAACTTCGCGAGTGGCGTTCAAGGTGTAGGTAGTACCCGCTGTTTCAACAACAACTCCCTTTGCGGTCTTGTTGGAATCAAAGATGACCTNTTTGGCCATGGTATGGATAAAGACTTCCAGGCGTGTTTCATCCTGGGCCAGTGACTGCTGTAGGTACGATGCCTCGCTCGTGCTGCGTGTCTCGTCATCCGGACGAATGGTCGCTGGACAATACTGAGATCCGATCAACTCTCCACTGCTGAAATCCGAGATGTCAGGTACCCCGATTTCTCGCAGGGCAAGCTGGCCCCATGATGCAAATGGAGTGGCCCAGTTGGGGAAGGATACATGAAGAGGACCATCGGCACCCGAGAAAGCAGATGCATTGGCTGGAGGAACGCTCGCGTTTGCAGCGCGCAGGTTCTGGTTCGGTGCTGTGTAGTTGACACTCTTTTCGAAGAAGGGAAGGAAAGAGTCGAAGGCGTAAGACTGATCATCGACTGCGTCTGCCCAAGCGCCGTATGAGTCTCTTGTGCCTCGATGGTAGGCCATGACGTTCAGAGCAGAACTGTTGCGAATTTATAAGTGTGCCGTTCAGGCAAGTTTACTGCTGATCTTGACATACCTTCCACCCAGAGTCTTGCCGCGAGCATAATCAAAAGTCTGGTTGTTTAGAGCAAGTTGTGGAACAGTCTCGAAGTCCCAATCCACCGACGGATGACCCAGGTTCTGAGAGTAGTATCCGGGTACGATCGTGAGGTTGCCGTTTTCAAGCTCATAGAAACCGCCAGCCTCGACAACGGCTACGGAGTATGTTCCGTTCTCAGCGAGACGAGTTGCCATCGCAAGACCAGCAGTACCGCCGCCAACAACGACATCTGAATTTTTTAGCTGTGTACACAAGCAGGCTTGACGAGACTTACAGTCGTAACTTCGATCTGAACCCGCACGACCGAAATGTCTCGAGTATGTCGCACTACCGAAGGTCGAGGAGACAGCCTGAGCTGTAGCGATGAGCGCACAGAGAGAAATTATTGATAGCATTGTTAGCTATGGCGATATGCTTCAAAAAGAACATGGCTCCGGAGAAGGTATTTGTATATGCTCTGATTGTCTATGCACGGACGATCGCTTTTCATGCGAAAACTCTTACTTCGGAGTAGGGGAAGATGCAGAGTCTTGTATAGGCAAACGCAGTGCGATCTCATGTAGATCTGCCTACCCACAATGACGATGATGATCTTCGGAGATCGTTGCTCGAGTCAAACCAAGATTTGGCTTTACACATACCGAAGCCTATTGTGTTCGCAACAGGACAGTAACACATTACTGAAGGTGATGCGATTTGGACTTGTTCCGCATCTGTTTCTTCCATGTTGTTTTTCTCAGTACCGTCTTCTAGCATCGACTTGACAACGTTTTGCTGTGCGAACAAAGTGTGTACTCTTGGTGTGCAATTTGACGAGCAGGCGTCATGCAGTCTTGGTTCTCTTCCTTGTGGCGTGGGTGCACCATCATAGGGATATTACCAGATAGCATGACTATTGCTTGTCGAACCAGTGCTCAGAAACATCAGAGAAGCCAATAATCATAAACCATAGACTTGATGTTGGTATGCAGGAGAAGGAAGTCCGGAGCCAGAAGAAGGAGCTGGTGGTTTTTCGCGCATGGACCCCGGTCATCCTTCGACCTCCGCTCATCTGACCTTCCTATCGCGTTCACCGGTTGGTATCAGCTGTGTCGACTCCTTCGAAGCTGCCATAAAATCTTATAACTTTGCGTGGTCGTGACTGCCAGTCTTCTGTGCCACACATTCTGGCGTTGTGCTTTCGAACTTGTTGATGCGTTGTCTTGCTGACTCTTCGCGACCAAGATACAGAATCGCCGCAACCCTCTATCAACAGTTTGGCGATATCAATACCTGAAGTGCAGGCAGTGTAGCGGAACTTCTGTCAATCACGACAAACAAATTTGTGTTATCTCTCCGACATTCCGAGATCATCTAGAGAAGGCTCAATCTCGACACAATTTGCATCTCCTAGCAACCTTCAGCTTAGCACACCATGTCCGCCAATATGGATGCCGAATCTATTGCCCGCCTTTCTCTCCACGACCCCAATGACTTCCGTATCCAGCACGCTCAAACACTGCATCGTCTAGAGCTTCTACAACACTGGAACATTCTCCCCGGCGCACGACTGTTAGAGTTAGGATGCGGACAGGGTGACTGCACCACCGTCCTCGCTTCTGCTGTGGGAGAGCAAGGACATGTAGTAGCAGTTGACCCAGCCGACCTCGATTATGGCGCCCCATACACTCTGGCCCAAGCACAAGGTCTTATATCCCAAGGTCTGCTAGGCGGGCGGGTTACTTGGGTACAAGAATCACCTTTGGATTATCTTTCCTCTTTGGCATCCGATTCTCCACCTGACAGCAAAGCGTTTGATGCAGCGGTCCTTGCACACTGTTTATGGTACTTTCCCTCGCCTTCACTTATCCTTGATACTTTGCGTGCACTCAAGCAGCACAGCAAAAGGCTCTTGCTGGCTGAGTGGTCTTTGGTAGCGACAGACCCTTCTGCTCAGCCTCATGTCCTCGCTGCGTTGGCCCAAGCAGCGCTAGAATGCCGCAAGCCCACGAGCACCTCGAATGTCCGCACTGTGCTAAGTCTAAAGCGGCTTACCGAGCTGGCTTTAGCCGCCGGGTGGCAACTGGAGACCGAAACACGCGTGCAACCTACAGAAGACTTGTTGGATGGGCGGTGGGAGGTATCCGCTTGTCTTTCTCCTTCTTTCGAAAGGGAGGTGGAGGAGAAAGTGACAGAAGAAAGAGAACGCGGTGTGGTCTTCGCTTTGAGGGATGCATGCGAAGCAAGTCTAGGAAGTGTGCAGGGAGGTCTCAAAGGAGTGAGGGCCATGGACGTCTGGGTTGCCACTTTTGTCTAATTCAACCAAGCTCAGCGAGTATACAAACAAACTCGCCATCTTTTGCACGAGTGATGTTTTGCTTTGCTTACAACATAACCACTCCAACCTCACTAACATTCTCTGCATCAGCCTGCATCTCTTCATTCATACCATTAGCCAGCCTTGCGGTGCGCCAATTAAAGAGATTAAAGTTCAATGACGAGTCTCCCGGTTCGAACTTTTGTTGTTGGAGAAACAGTGAATTGTCCATGGTGGTAAGAGCATTGAAGACGTGGAAGTTGGCTTGTTTGGCTAGGATCAGAAGGTCATGCATGAGTGTTTGGAGATGCTTAGGGTATGATTGTTGAGTTTCAGCCAACAAGGCGTAGGAGCTGGCGTAACAGTAGAGGTAGGCTGTACGAATAGCCAAGGGTGTTGCAGAAGGGCGAAGAACAGAGGACTAGAGTAGATCACCGTAAGTGGGGATTTAAAAGCCAATGCAGAATCAGCATACCTCCAGTGAGTAAAAAGACACAAAATCAGTAATCTTGCCATCGCATTCGACGACATAGCTCCACACTATCCCCTTCGAAGCTTCCGAGCAGAAGTAATGCAAAACCTCCTCTTCAGTGAATATCTGCACAAGACCGAAACGCTGTAGATATTGTTCCAGAAGTATCTTGACTTTCGCCACATCCCTGATTTCCATGGGTCTTAATCCTTTTGTTGTTGTCTTTTNCTCAAGTTTGTACTTGAGTGTTTGTCTCAACGCCGTGGATCCTCGCGGGAGATGACAAAATCCAGTCTTGTACAGATGTTCCCAATCCAGCGAACGGTGATAGTATCTGCATGCTGCCACTGGAGAAGACAATACAGTGCCAGCAGTATACAGTGCCTGATATATCTTCTCGCCATAGCAACGGCGGGTGATTTCCTTGATGAGCACTGGGGTTAAGCGTTTACCTCTGAGCTTCTGATGGATAGTCAAGAAGTTGATCTCGACTGCATCAACAATGTTGCCGCGAATATTGAGTTTAACAGGTATACCAGCGACAAAAGCGACTAATCTGCCAGGTTTGCTTAAAGTGCTTTTGGTACGTACACCAATGTGCCAGCATTTCTTCCAGCCAGGAGGTTGTAGGGCCCAAGACAGAAACTCAGGCGAGTAGTTGAGTCGAAACGAGCCTTCGTCGTTCTCGACGTAATGGTTGTAGAGTAAATCGTGAAGCTCAGACAATACATGCTTCTGAGTTACATCGAGTTCGCACCATTCAAAGCCTTCAATAAGCTTCTCTGCATCTGCTTGTCCAATTTTGTCACAGACGGGGACGGAGAGTATTGCCCCATCTTGTACTGTTTCGACATTACTAGAGGTTGTAGTTGAAGGTCTGAGCTCGTTCAATTTTGGTACCGGCTGTGTGTTCCAGAATCTATATTCCTTGGGATGCTTGCCATTCCTTTTGCCATAGAGATAGCTTCCAGGTCTTGCGAGAGTACGGTCATGTCGNNTTAGATGGCGGTAGAATTTCTGCCGTTGTCGCATCCTGTTCATGCTTGAGTCGGCCTGAAGCATTGACCGACGACATCTTGCTGAATTTTCAATGATTTGCGCTTGCTCCTCACTGATGTCGGGCTTGAAGAATGGAAAACAGATATCTTGTTCTATTTGACACGTTGCAGCCGAAATGAAGTTCGCCTCTACGAGCGCCCCATCCCGTATCTACGTGCGTAGGAGGTAATCTGCTTATAAGGTTCACCGGCGTTTGGCCACAAAGCCTTATACAAGCTAGCATGAACAAGAGTATTAATTGTGCATATAATAGATTCTTTCAAGAATGATTTGTGACAATGAATGGAGAGGAGGATATTTGCTTGCGCTTGCCAAACATCAAGATCGACGGCGAACATACTCCCAATAACCAGAATTATCAAAATCCTGAGTATGCCATCGCTCTCCGCAACAGGGACAAGCATTTCCTTCAAACCCGCTCGGCAGATTCAGACAATTGCTACACTTCGTACAGACAAAGCAGAACTCGTGTTGCTTCAACTGTTTGCAAGAACGGAATTTCCAAAGGGTATCGCCATTCGTCTTCTGAACTTGCTGCCCGCGAGTGTATGCGCGCTGACCACAGTCGAGACAGAACCGTGAGCAAGATTGAACGTTGCCTTTGTTGCATTTCTTGGTAATTTGCTTGAGAGCGAATTGGTCGCGTGGTTTGATGGTTCGACAGCTGAAGCAGATATATCTATTCTTGTTGTGGAATCGCCTCTCGGCGGAAATGAGGAATGTAAGTTTGTCGGCAGCCGATTGGAAGGACAGAGGAGATTTAGGCGATGACTTGAAAATTGGGGAGGCCGCGGTAAGGAAAACAGCGGATCGATAATTGAGATATCTGAAGATCTTCCATTGGATCTCAGAAGGAATTGTTTCTAGAGTCGGAGGACCAGTATGCGTGTTGATCTGAGAGACAGCCATTGTAGATGAGCGTCCTGCTCAGCGAATGCCTTGACCGGTCCGTTGGGGGTGGGAGACACAGTTATATGCAGAGGGTGGTGTGAGCACTGAGACTCAAGGTATCTTGTGTCATGCTTAAGGTTGGACCTTCGCGAACCGCGGTCTTATGAGGCCTTTACCATGTTATGACGACAATCCCTTTGCAGAGATCATCAACCGTGACATGATCTACCAATCCTCCTCGCAAAGGTTACAATAAAGCTCTGGATCAAGACGAAGAAACATGCATTCGCACCTCCCGCGAGTCCGTCGACGAATCTGCTTTGGTGGTGGTAACGGTTGAAACACCTCATCAGTGACTTCGGGGACTGAAGAATACGGCAGGAGCTTTTGGAACACAATCCGACATTCTCTCATTTCGATCAGTTGTGCGGCGTCGCGTACCATACAAGACGGAGCCGGACATCGATCAGATTGAGGACCATACTCTTCGATCAGACAGTCATGGCACTTCTCGCAGTGTTCGCAGTAGAAGCCATCTGACAACGCTGGACACACTGTGCATCTTTGAAGCACCACACAGTCCGCTCTGCCGACTTTCTCTCCAGGACCATAGAACCCCTCTCTTGCGCCGCAGTCAAGGCAGAACCGATATTTCGCATAAATTTGATTCTTATTGCAGTCTCCTCGGACCTGATTCTTTGCAAACTCCATCCTTGGTTTTATGGTGTTGCAGTAAAAGCAGGCGTATTTTCGAGCAGCCAGATGCTGGGCGTAGTTTTCGGCCACCGAAAGAAAGTCTTTCTTGTCGGCAACGGATTGAAATTGCATAGGGTCATTCGCTCGGAAGACATGGCATGTCGCTGCGAGGAACAGAGCGGATGCATAGTCGAGAAGTTCGAAGATCTTCCAGTGAAGTTCAGTCGGTAGGGCTTGGAAAGAGGCGCATGTGCTGAAAATCCTTTGGTCCATGACGATGTTGGTCCATATAGTGTATGGCAATTGTGCCCTGCATGCATTCCAGGCAAGGAGATGGTGTATATATATATCAGGAGATCAAGTTATAGGGGCAGCGGTCCGATTGCGTCTTGGCCCTGCGTCTTTGAGGCATGTCTTTCCGAGACGTGTTGTTAAGAATATCGATTGAGGGATTGCTAGAATCCCAAAGTCGTCTTGGCTTTGCTTGTCGTCTCCATGTTGCCTGGAATACGAGCTGGATATTATGTTTGGCATCTGCTTGGACTAATGTGGAGAAACCTTAATTGTTGTCCAAAATCGCAGTCTAGACTGTCAACTGTCGCAATGCGCCCTACGCATCTCTTTCTGACCAAATCTCTCAGCTGTGAGGACCATGACACCACTGAGCGAACCAATCATAGTACAAGGGTTCCATTCTCGGTGAACGCGGTCTTGTAAAAGCATCATCAAGTGCTTCATCGACCTCAAAAGAGGCAAATCCTCCTTGAATGCCAGCCGTAGCTCCATCATCTTCCGGTGTTCTTGGTTTTCGGGTGACGTACAAGACGGATTCGAACACAGATCAGAGCGAGGTCCATATTTCTCAACCAAGCAATCATGGCACAACTCGCAAGAAGCACAAAAGAAGCCACTTCTGAGTCCAGTACAAGCGCCACATTTGTATAGCAGAACACCAGTCCTTGTTCGCACTTTGTGTCCTGGAGGATAGTAACCACTGGCTACTCCACAATCGAGGCAGAATCTTGAAGTGCCTCGTGGACGGTATCGGTTATAGAGTCCAGCGGTCTGGCTCTTGGAGAATTGCGCCCTTGGTTTCATGGTACTGCAATGGAAACAAGCGTAATTTCTGCTGCAGGTCCAGTGCTGATGGAAATACTCGGCGGTGACGAGGAAGGCGTTCTTGTCCGCAATCGACTGGAAGGATACAGGACTTCTGGGCGAGGAGTGCAGGGAGCGGCATGTTGCTGATAAGAATAGAGCGGATGAGTAGTCCAGAAGTTCGAGTATTTTCCATTGGAGCTCGATTGGCAGTGTCTGTAGATTGATGCGACTGACATGATCTTCTTGGTCCATTGTGAAGTGACGACAATTGGAAACTGCTACAACCAACTGAACAATGTCAGGTATCGATCGCATATATATACGCATCCACGTAGTCTTCAGTCCCTGACTTGGTCGGCGTGTATGCCTTCATTGGGTAAGTTGTTTAGAGTGATCCTTGCGCAAGTGTCTCCAAGACAGGAGATAGAACAAACCAATCAGAAGATGGTCGGATTCAGGAGTCGTCTCACTATACTCAAATCTCCAGCGGTGCCTAGAATACGAGATAGACAAAGAATTAAACTTTGAACAGAATAGCAGGAAGTATTGAAACGATGGGTGACGTCTCGACGTTTAGGTGTTCCCTAATCCGGTATAGCAAGTGGTCGGAGCGGTATCGCAGCCTAGACCAACGATCGTCGTGACGCGCCCTACGGAGTAACCTCAACTTGGCACTAAACGCGTTGTCTCTGTCAGGCATCCGCCTAGAAAATTGGAACAGGACTGCGTTGCATACCAAACACTCCTTGTGTCGACCTCGCGTGGTGTCAGATTAGATATCGTTCGTAGAAAAACCGGACCACAATACTGTGGCAGATACTCAATCCTGACACTGGAGAAGCACCAATGATATCTTCAAGAGCATCAATTCTCACTCGGGAACGGTAAAACCTCCTCGAAAGTCGTTTGCAAGTCTCTTTGCCTCTCTCGCTCCTTGCCCTTCGCTTGCGACAAGCCAGAGCTGAAGTACGCCATGATCACAAACTTCTAGCCGTTCTTGCTTGAGATGTTCCAGTAAATGAAGAGGGAAGATGGAAAACTTCCCGCAGGAGCCGTGGGATGACCGAAAGATATATACATGTCGCTTTCCAGTGATATAACCTGGGGTCAGCGCCAGCGCATCAGCCGGAGCTAGATCGATAGACGCATGACTATGCATGGTGCAGGCTGATCAGGCAGAGCTGGAATTATGATACATTTGCAGTTGTGAATTACAACTGCAGATAGACGTGGGTGTACAAAGTGGTATGGGAAAGCCACATCAGTGGCGGAGGCTGACGCCCGAAACCAGCTGCAAGGCTGAGCGTACTCAGCCGTTGAGGGCTTTCAGCGCCATGGCGCAGCATCTGAGATGTCCAAGAGTGATTGGGCCGCCTGGATGGATGGCATGAATAATAGCTGTATCGCGCAGATGGAAGAGACAAACAGCAAAGCTCGACGATGCTGGAGAAGGATGCAAGAAGCTGGAGGTGGTATGAGACGGAGCTCGAGCGTTGGCAACAGGGGATTGCAACCACCTGTCTTGAATGCCCGTTGCTCCTTCCTGAACCATGTAGATTAGCTTAGCAACAAGTCGAAAAGAAAGAAGAGTGGATGAGCTAAAGCCCGGAGCGAGTATCAATATAGCACACACGGACATGCAGCAAGCAAACTAATCACTTCGTCACGCATAGTTTGAATATTTTCATCTGTGCGCATTCACCTTGATCTTATCTAACCTTTGCCTTTACAATGTTGTCAGTTCCATCAAAGTCAAGTCTGAAACCCTGCCAAAATCGTCAAAGCATCATGTTGGTTGCTTTGCAGCTCTCTTCGAGGCTAGCAGAGCTGTTTACTGACGGACGATCGCAACATCTGTTGCATGATCCTCTGTCATCACGCTTCTCTCACGAAACTCTATATGGCATTCCTGTCTGATTCTTTCTATACGTTCCCAAGCTCTTCGAAGAAAACGCCAGTGCGATGGGCTGTCCGAGACAACGAGTCTTGTCTCGATCCACGGAACTGTCGGGCCTGATTGTGAACTAGGAAGCCTGCGGGCTTTAACTCTTCGCCTGTCATCGCTGTTACCCATCCAGTAGCCCACACCAACATTGAAGCCAATCTGAGGCACTTTGATCCAATCATCTGCTCCGAGCCATTGATATTGACAAACCGAGGATACTATAGCGGAAATGTGATTCTGCCAAACCGCTTTCGAACCCTTCTGGCATCCGGATAACCATGAGCCTCTGTTGATCTCGAGACATGTTAAGGTCAAACAGGCAAAGGTTGCAGATCGTTCTGTGTCTTTAAGAATGCATGCAAAGGCTCGACAATCCTTCGTCGGGATGTGCACGCATCCATCCGCGTCATAGGTTGCAGGGCATGACACGACGAGCTTGGCTGAATCATTGATTCCTGTCCAGCAGATCTNTTTGAGTATACAACTAATGATGCGATGCAGGGCGTGTTGCTCATTATTCTTCAGGGTGCTGAACCAAACGCGGAACGTCGGCTTTCTCAGCTCTGCAACAAGGCCGTCGCCATTTGACATCAAGTCCTGCCACTCCACAGTCGTTCCCATCCAGGCGTGCACCATCGGCAACATGACTTCGGCCACGACTTCGCGTAGAGCGACTCGCTGTGCTACTCCAGTACAAAGACTGACAAGCAAGCCCCAAGGTCTGTCCAGGAAATCTAGATCCACTTGTTCGAGCCCCTTCTCTTTTCGAGTTCGAGAATCGGTCTTGATCCACGTTGAATTGAAGGTCGCGTTTAAGAATTGTCCCCCTTGAAGCCCACCTTGTTTTTCTCGTAAGTCCCAATTTTCCGGCCACGTACCAAGCTCTTCAATGACACTGTTGATTGCCTCTCTCGGGATGATGTTGTCATATCCTGGCCAGACATGACATGATTTGTTGATCAAGTCGACGCCTCCAACGACTATCTGGCTGTGAGGAGTCATCAGGAACTCAATCTGTGCGAGTGCATCCTCGGCTGTACCAGCCTTCCAATGCATTCTAGATGAATCTGCTGAAGGTCTGTAGATGATGCCTCCCCGTATTGCGATTCCACGCAGCCATCTTGCCGGCAATGGTTCTTCCTGATCCAAAGTTCGAGTCGATATCAGATCCCCAGGGCCCCACAGTGCCAGAAGGTCTTCGGACGTGATGGCAAGATCAAATGGCTCGTTGATTTCCGTGATGTCATCTACAANAGCCATGACCCGTGAATCGACCATGTCTCCGGCACAAGTCAGATTCACAAGTCTGTAGTAGAGGCACCACTGTTCTCCCGTTGAAAACACCCCCGCCAAGGCNNGGATCAGCGATAGGGAGTGTTCCAGGANAAACGGGTCAATCTCTCCGATATGAGATTGGGCGAAGGATAACATACCGATACATAATGCCTGAACAGCCAGAGCGCAATCTTGGATGGCCCCAACACCGTGATCACGTGGTGGGTATGGCCAGGCAATCAAGCACAAGATAGTATTGGCTGCGATGCTCAGCTCTTCAGCATGGTCCATTGGCTTATGATCCTCTACAAGCCTGGCAACGGCCTTGTTTGCACATTCGCTCAATCTTGTGATGTTGACGATAGGAACTTGGACACTTTCGACTTGGTGTTGATTGTTGATGCGAAACATGATAAGATAGTCTTTGACCAGCTCATACGACTGCAGCCATCGCAGGAGTTCGCTAAGGCGGTATAGCGCGTCGCTACATCGTTCCAAGACTGCTTCCATTTGGTCGTTCTCGGTACTGTTTATCTGCTCTGCATGTGAGTGGTAGGAAATTTCCGCCATCCTCTGAATCCGATTGATTTTGACGTCTTCTGCCCAGAACGCACGATTGTTCGCGGTAGGAATGATTCCACCGAGACCACAAAGCTCAGATATCTTCCGTTTGACCTCGATATCAGATATCTTGACCGTGGGATTGCCAAGGTCAAGTCGAGGCGGAACAGGTTGAGTATAGTTTGCTCGGTAGATCATGATGTCCGTCTCATTGGCGTCAGGATACACCAATTCGTAGCAAATCCAAGGACTTTGGACCGATTCCTCAATCAAAAGACTGACGATCTCATGTGGTTCAAGACCAAAATCTTCTATATCCTCGAGCCATTCGAAGGCACTTCCAGATCGAGTAACAGATTTGAAATGCTCGTTCAGCAATTCGACGCACGACACTTCATCTCTCGCTTCTAAGCTAGCCGCGAAGGCTTCGACTGGATTTTGAGGGGTGATATCTTCAGGAGAGAGCGACTCCGATCGTGAGGCTTCCGACGGCTGTTCTGAGGATGATGCCGAAACCATTGTTTATCGCCTGTCGGACTGGTAGAAGATTTGCAGGATGTGAGGGCAATATGAAGTTGATATGACGCGAGCGAGAGCCACGTTATGTATGCTGAACATTCAAGCAATGCTAACGCATAGCGCCTCAATGCGTTGAGTCTGTAAGCCACGCCTAGTTATATGTGCCAATCCACCTGACTACATGTAGCTGCAGAGTGTGTCCGCGTTTACTAACCAGATCAAGTGTGGCTTGCCGATTGCTCAGTCCGAGCTTGGTCTTACTCGCGATGCGCCGCAATCCTTGTACATGCAAACGCATAGCAGCTGCGAGGCTGAGAGAGCCGTCGACGAGTCGTGATCGATACGTGCCATGGCGCAGCAACCCAAGCGGTTAAGGGGAGATTCGGAACCGAGTGAGGCCCAGAGGGAGTTGAAGGGAGAAGATTGGAAGAAGCTGAAGCTTGAAGCACGAGGCAGAGCTCAAGCTTGCCCTACAAGCTCAATCGTTGGCAACATATAGCTGCTGACGTCAAATGAGATGTCAACAAATGCTCGGCGCTGATCGTTCCTTCCCTGATGTTGCTTGGTTGCGAAAACCAAATTCAGAAAGACTCTGCTGCAGAGAGACAAGCTAATGCTTTGATACCTCATGTATACACCTCGGCGAACCCGATCTTTGTATATTCAGCCTTCGTAATACAATTCATCCATACCACCCATCCAGCCAATCTAGCCTAAACATCCAGAACGCCTTCCAAGATACCCGAAACATTCATCCAAGAAGAAAGAGAGAATACGAAAATCTGAGCATAAAGCTCAATCGTCCACAATAGAATCAAGGACTTCCACCAAAAAGACCAACACCGAATTCTTCCTTGCCTTCCCACTTTCTGGGCTTGAGCACTCTCATCTTGCGAACAGGACTCTGGTTCTCCTTTTCGCGTTCGAAAGCTTGCACCTTCTCTCTGAGTCTCGCATTCTCCTCTTCCAACTCGGCAATCTTCTCATCACCTTCTGCATCACCGTCTTCGCAGACCTGGACTTCACTCAAACCTCTTGTAAGGATCTCCACCTTTCTGTCAAGATGCTGGTCGACGTGCTCTTGCTCGGCTTCACGAGCGGCATGGTAGCGACGACGTTCAGACTCCAATTGTGATTCAAACTCTTCCCAGATCTCGTCGCGCAGTTCCAGCTCAAGCGACTCAAGACGGTTTTCTGCTGTCAACCATGAGGACTCTGCTTCCTTGCGTCGTTGTGTTTCTTCTTCGAGACGGAGTTGTGTGAGTTCGAGGTCTTGACGTAGAAGAGCGAGTTCAGCCAGGGCGTTTTCGAGAGCTGCATCGCTGGCAGCAGGGTTCGAGGGAGTAAGGCGGCCCGAGGCTGAGGTTCCTGGGCGAGCGAGAGGGACCATGGTGCTAGTGTAGCTGGGAATGCGAGGAACGGTGACTTCTCTCGCCAGAGCCGAGTAGCGAAGGATCTGACTGGTAGCGTTGTAGTCACCGAGAGGGTCTGCTGTGACGATCATAATGCCCTNTTGCGGCGGCTTAGGTGAGCGAACGTGATGTGATGATGAAGAAGGGAACGAGTTGGAGAAGAGCAATTCGGTCAGTTTGCATTGGCGGAAGGGGACGATGTTGGAAGCCTTGGTAGGGTCGGCATTGTCGCTCTGCATCTGCATGCATTGACCGAGATACATGAGCGACTCGTTAATCTTGCCTGCTTCTGCGAGGGTTGAGCCAGCTGTCTTTGCAGCGCGAGCACGTTCAGAGCNCTGTAACGGTCAGCTGTCAATGCTTGATCAGTGCTTCAGGGGTAATCAGGGATACGCACCAGCAAGATCAACAATCGTCAGAGCACTGCTCGACCAGTTGGATGTTGCAGCACCGGCCAGTCTCTTCTTCACCTCGACACAGAAGAAGCCGTGACTTCTGCTGCTGACAGCATTGCTGCCAGTCCCGGCGACTCTGCGTTCTGTCAAACCAGTTTCGAGCACGAGAAGGGCCTCATCTAGGTTCTCGCAGACGACCTTTCTCAAACCAGCGACGACTTTGCGGTCGGAGCTGTGTTCTGTGTTTTTGTAAAGCAGATGTCTGCGTTTGGCTGTTGCAGTCTTGGAGGGTTGGTATGCGGCGGAACCAGCGAGCAAGTCGAAGATGCGGTCGTTGTATACTTCGTACATGCTGACGACAATGGCGAATTCGGCGGTCTGGTCGACGTCGAGGTTGGTGTCTTGAATGATGGGGAATTGGGGCATGCTAGAAAGTCTAGGCATATGGCGCTTGGGCGCCATGGCGGACGAGGGACGAGGGTTGGAAACGAAGGAAATGTCCTTTTGTGGCTGCGTCTTAGCTTGACTTCTTGTCACAGGGCGCTGGAGGAAACTGAAGATGGATGAAGGTTGTGGTCTTTGGACACAGGAATGGCGCTGATTGCTCTTGGTGGAGCAGGCGATACACGAAGTGGTGGAGATACATGATTGATGGTTGAGGCTGGGATACAAGCCCTGTTTTGAAGGAGAAGTTGGTCGTACCATGAGGGGGAGTTGCAGCTCTCGATTGAGCTCNNTCGAGTGAGAACGAGTGTCTGACGAAGCATCGCCGTAGATGGATTCGAGGTACTGGTTGGCGGCTGACATGTGCGCTTCGGACGTGTCGGAAGCGAAGACTGACTGTAGGGCGAGTTGATCGCGTCTTGTCGAGATGAGCTGGTCGCCGAGATTCTGGTAGAGCACGTCGAGGGTGAGCTGCGTCAGTCCACGCTGCGAGCGGGAACCCAAGATTGTGTGACTNNCTGCGTCTTGTCAGCTCCTTCTATTAAGTCTTCCAGGTGAAGAAGGGCAGACCTTGCCGGAGCCAGTGACACCGAGAGTAGCAAAGAGCCCGTCACGGCCCTCTCTACCCTCGGCGCCCAGCACACCCTGCATCATCGAGTCCAGACCGGTGCCATGGAACAAGTCGAGTTGTGTTGCCTCCTCTTCAAAGACTCTGGTGAACTTGAAAGTCTCGACTGCCTTTCTGCGTTGATCGTGTGCGGGCGGGTGGATTGTGATGTGCGTGGGTGCTGCTTTGTCGTCGGCCGCATCGACGTCGAGGAATCTCTCTGCATTGGGCGCGAATGATGGTCGTAGACGGAGATAGACCTCGAACAGCGACGATGTCGTTGGTTTGGTTGGCGCTTCCATCTTGTCTTGTGTCTGTGGATTGTGTGGTTGGTCGCGTAGGTCAAAGTCGAAGTCGAAGAAACAATTGAATGACGTGAATTTCTGTGTTGACCAAACATCCCGTTGCTAGGGTCCTTCACATGCAACTTTAACCGGCCGGAAACTGCCAAGCCGCTTATACTTTGCCTTTTCCGCCTGCTCGACCTCCTTTCCTTCTCGAACAACTTGGACTGATGAGAATAACATCCTTATCAATCGCAGCGCATCTCTGCAGTCTTACCACGCCCTTATAGTATTTCACAGAAGCATGTCCAAGCCTTCAGCTCTGAGCAGGGCATGCCGTCTTGCTTCGGGTGGAAGCACTCTCGTCTCTATCCTAGTGCTGTGACCATATCGTAACAGCCAGTCTAGGTTTGTTCTATTTACTCTACCACAATGCCTTTACCTTCCTCCTGCTCTAGACCGTGCACTCTTAGCTCTATGTAGGTAATTCGATTATGATGTCCATTGACCATTATCAACTTTTCTTTGTCCATGCTCTGCCGCATCCGGACAGGTGATCATGGCTCCTGAGATACATTCGATCGAGAGGCATCATGTCGTCTGCCTCCGATCCATCGCCAACTATCATACTGTTACTCGACAGATGAGTCATTACGGTTTGCCTGCCATCAGTCTCTGATCACCCCTACTAATCATGGCCCAAGCTGCCAGAGCGCTACGGAAGGCCATCTTGGAAGACAAGACTCCACCTCTCCAAAACCTCCCTGCTGGCCACATATGGAAGTACAGCAAAGCAATTGGCGGAGGTGCCCAAGGAAAAGCCCATCTCTGGGTCCACCTCGACGAAACCCAAAAAGTCATCGACCGCATTGTGATCAAGAACTTTATAGCAGAGTCCAAGTACGCCATCGCTGAAGATGCTCCGGCAGGCCGAATACCCACAGAAGCTTACATCAGTCAACTGCTGGTACCAGATGACTCCAAATATTTCTACACTGTACCTATACTAGCTTGTCAGCCTATCTCGGACTCTACCGGTGGTTGGCGCACCTACTCTCCNTACTACAGTCTCGGCAACTTCGAAAACCTGGTCAACAGACATACAAAAGACTTTCCCTTACCAGAACCCTTCCTCTGGTTCTTCTTCCTCCGTATGGCAAAAGCCGTTGTAGCAATGGACGAAACACTCCGCAAAGATGCCAAAGGTCCTGTTATCGTGCACAACGACATAAAGCCTGACAATATCTTTTTAGGCAGTCCAGGTTCACTTGGCAAAGATGCTGATTTTGTCATGTATCCTCCTGCTTATCTTGGTGATTCTGGACTTGCATTTACCACTTGCTTGGGCGAGAATAGATCTGGGCAACCGGGAGGTGCGTTTGGGTGGTGGCCTCCTGAACACCATACTACTGAAGCATTTCGCGGACATCCATTTTCGTTTACTGTAAGTCTGCTCTAAGCCACCACACACGGGAAATACTAACCAGCTGTGTCATAGAACATCTGGCAAATTGGCTTCACTATCCTCTGCGCAATGACAGGCAACACAGAACCTGAACAATCCGCCGCTGACCAAATCCTCCGCTTCTACACCACTAAATGGCAGGCCCTTATAGACGAAGGAGCATTCGCTGGTTATAGCGATGATCTGCTCGGCATAGTACACGCTTGCCTACTCTGCAATCCTTCCGATCGCATCGATCCCCAATCTCTGCTTTTTCTAGTCGAGACTTCGATGTCTAAGCATATAGACAATATGCAGCGTTGGGGCACAAAAAGCTGGATCACGACTAAACACAATCAGACTTTGGAGGACGATCCGAAGCATCCAAGCGATGCATCTAGAGATCCAGAAGATGAAGAACCAGAAGATGGAGAAACAGAAAACGACGACTTACACAACGACCAAACCCCCTTCTACCCAACGCCAACAAGCATCCGTAAACGCAAGCTATCAGGTCCCTCGCCTACTCCGAAACGCCTAAAAGGCAAAACGGCCGCATCACACGAGACATTGCAGAGAAGATATGCCTTAGTCGCAAAACAGATACAACTAGGCAAGACTACACAACCCCTAGACGCCTACTCTGACGACACCGAATTTATCCTCACAAATGAGTTCAAAGTCAAATACTCTAGGGACGAAGAATTTGATCTTGAGATGTTTTTTGTGGGTCCTGATCCAGCGACGATCAAGTATATGGGAGCAGCTCAACCTTCGACTAAGGCTAGAGATGATGCGATGTCTACTTCGGCAGGAGCTGGCGATGTTTCTACCTCTGGGCCTACGATTAAGACTGCGGGTGGGAAAGAGATTCCTTACGTTGATCTCGAATGATAGAGGACTTCCCATCACCAGTGTGCGGATGAGGTCTCAGGTTCATGTTCCCAAATCATACTGGTGAACCAGCAAGTGGGCAGAGATGGGCCATTGCCCCTCTTGGAGCATGCGATCAAACCATGACTACCTTAGCTCCAATTCTTTTGCTTAGCACCCACCTCTATCATATGTGATATCGCTCGATACTGCGATATGTAAATATGTTCATCGTGATTTCACATCCGTTGGCTGGCGCGCAGATCCATGCGTCTACATATTCAAGGATATAGCGAATAGCAGGTGTTACTAAGGTCAAAATAGGTAGCCTACAAGCTGCATGCTAAACAACGGACGAAAGACATACCCTGTACGCTTGTCATGTGTGTCACGACACATTCTATCAAACCTGGCGACATTATGTGGCACGGACGGTGAGTGAGTATGGAGTAGAGGGTGTAAAAGGAAGGGGGAGATTTACGTGTAGAGGGGGGATGAGGGTATGTCGCTTTGTTCGGGATCTGTCTGTTTAAGGTCGTGGGTTTTCATGGTTTGTGGCGTGTTGGTTTGGAGAATTGGAGTGGTAGATGTTTTGATTAGGCTTTGCTGTGTCGGCTCAGAATTACGAATTAATGTCGAAATTCAAGGACAATAACATGAGGAATCAAAGGTCTTCTGAAAGGATTGTCGTATGACGTTGGCTGAGCATTCAATGTGTCGAGTCAGGGAATCCTTCTTCCTGTGACCCCGCATGTGTTAATATACGGGCGTATTCACTGTTGAGTCCTGGAATTTCGGGGCTGATAATCTATCTGATGATGGGAGGTTTGAGGTCTTGTGTTCATTGTATTCCAGAAGATAGCAGTCTCGTGATGACCAATTCACCCAGCCAAAGGAGTGCGCGTCGACGTCTACATGTGTACTCTCGTATCGCCATCCATCAACTGATCATTCATCGTGGCTTCTCCAACTCGTGGAGGAGGTCTTTCAGCGCTTGCCAGTCCTCCTCGTCGCATTCAGGTTGATATACAACATTGTCCTCATCCTTCAACCGATGATCGTTTACTGTGTTGTGACGGTCGAGGTCAAGCCAGTTACAAGGACCGGTACCTTCGTCATAAAACTGATATCTGCCATCCTCGAGTTCACAGGTCAAGGCTTCTGCTTCATCGAAGGATGCATTTTCTCCCCGGTTTCCATGACCAAAGGCGAAATGCTTCAAATGAGGCAGACCATGCTGGAAGCGATTGAAAATGTGGTGCCAGCGCGTTGACCAGAACCATCTCTGTTCTGTGTATGCTTGTGGTTGTGGTCGATAACAAGGACGGCCCTCTTCTATCCTGAGTGGTAGGTAGTTGACGCGTCGATTGGCTATATCAACGCTCTGTTCGATGAATTCAGCGCCGACAGCTATTATTGCAGCATCCAAGGTCAGTTCCTCGAGGGTTGCCGCGTGGCTGAGGATCCAGTCGATCAGATCGTCATTCACAATGCTGAGATTTCCAAGAAGCAGTTTGCGCAGTTTGGGCAACTTTGGAAGATTGCACTTGGGGTACATGCCAAAAGGCATCTCGCTGGTATAGAGCTTGAGATAGACAAGATTGTCGGCGATGGGCGCGAGCCAGTAAGTTTCCAATTCGTGACCAAAGAAGTCATGAATCTCAGGAACATGCAATTCAATTTCTGGCGAGTGTTCGTTATCTTCTGTAGCCACCTGGAGGCTGAAGTGTGTGATCCGTGACATGACCTGCTGAAAGTCCTTGTTGAACCCAGTGTCCTTGTCCTCAGCGCTATCCATCAGAACTTGCGGGGTTAGATCTTGCAAGTTCTTGATGCCCAGATCGTATACCTTGGCGGCAGGATGTTTGGGATGGTTGAGACCAGCATAAAAAGCACTCAAGACTTCTTCTCGAAATTCGACATCCTCCGGGTAGTTGCCATCGTCAAATCCTGATGGGCCAACGCACTGGATCGAAAAGACCATCTCCACGTGGGTGAGGGTTGGGCAAACGACCAACTTGGTCTAAAGCGTCCAGAAAAAGGGATGTGGCTCGCGATAATCATCGTCTTCGCCAGGGTATTGGCGAGCGTAACATGAAGTACTCCCACCAGGCACCTCTCTGGTCTGGAAAATGACTTTCTGTACCAGTTGAGCCAAACTAGGAGTAGCTAGGATCTTGTTGTACCGGGAAGCAGATCCCTGATTGGGCATTAGTCGTACACAACGATACAGATGCGTTGCCCATGCGTGAGAGAAGTGTCTTGAGGTGAGGCGCAGACTTTGCAGGCTGGATACATCTGGCCGTGGCGTTACAGCAAATTTGTTGTAAGGACGGCTCCAGCTCGAAAACGCTGGATCGTTGATGGCCTTGTACTTGTTCTCCTCCTCATAGTCGTAGGGGTCATCCCCAACAGTTGGTACACTAATAGCGACGAATTCAACGATTCGTTCCAGCAGCTCCGGGGGAAGTTGTAACAATTCCGGCATGTTGTAGTAGAAGTCATGCAGATTTGAGAGTTGAGAATGAGAAGCTGTCGGGTTGATGTGTTGATGTTTATAGGTTGCGTTTCACGGAGGTAGACTTCGAACAGCGACGATGTCGTCGGTTTGGTTGGCGCTTCCATCTTGAGTTGTGTGTGTGGATTGTTTCGTTGGTCGCGTTGGTCAAAGTCGAAGCAACAATTGAATGACGTGAATTTCTGTGTTGACCAAACACCCCGTTGCTAGGGTCCTTCACATGCAACTTTAACCGGCCGCAGACTGCCAAGCCGCTTACACTTTGCATTTTCCACCTGCTCAACCTCCTTCCCTTCTCGAACAACTTCATCTGATGAGAATTAACAGCCTCACTCAATCACATTGCATTTTTGCAAACTCACCACGGGAATTTGTAGTATCCCACAACAACATGTCTAAGCCTTCAGCTCTGAGCAGGTCATGCCGTCCCGCTCCGGGTGGAAGCACTCTCGTCTCTATGATGCGGTAACCATATCGCAACGGCCAGTCGAGGTCTGTTCTGACCATTCGGTCACAATGCCTTTGCCCTTCCTCAGACCCAAGACTCTCAGCTTGATGTAGGTACAGTCATTGTGTTCATTGACCATTTCCAACTCTTCTTTGTTAATGCTCTGCCGCATCCGGCCTGGTAACCATGGCTCCCGAGATACTCTCTATCGTAGTTGTTATGTTCTTGGAGAGGTTGGTTATTACAGCTTGCTTACCATCAGCCTCTGATCACTCCTACTAATCATGGCTCAAGCTGCCCGAGCAATTCGGAAAGCCATCTTGGAAGACAAGACCCCTCCTATAAGCAACCTTCCTGCCGGACACATATGGAAGTACAGCAAAGCGATCGGCGGAGGAGCCCAAGGAAAAGCCCACCTTTGGGTCCACCTAGACGAAACCGAAAGAGTTATCGACCGCATCGTCATCAAAAATTTTATAGCAGAGTCCAAATTCGCAATCACCGAAGATGGTCCTACAGGCCGAATACCCACAGAAGCTTACATCAGTCAACTGCTGGTACCAGATGACTCCAAATATTTCTACACTGTACCTATACTAGCTTGTCAACCTATCTCGGACTCTACTGGCGGTTGGCGCACCTACTCTCCCTACTACAGTCTCAGCAACTTCGAAACCCTTGTAAACAGACATACAAAGGACTTTCCGCTACCAGAACCCTTCCTCTGGTTCTTCTTCCTCCGTATGGCAAAAGCTGCTGTAGTTATGGACAAAACACTACGCAAAGATTCCAATGGTCCTGTTATCGTGCACAACGATATAAAGCCTGATAATATCTTTTTGGGCAGTCCAGGCTCACTTGGCAAAGATGTTGATTTTGTCATGTATCCTCCAGCTTACCTTGGTGATTTTGGACTTGCGTTTACTACTTGCTTGGGTGAGAACAGATTCGGTCAACCGGGAGGTGCGTTTGGGTGGTGGCCTCCTGAGCACCATACCACAGAAGCATTTCGCGGACATCCATATTCGTATACTGTAAGTCTTTCCTAAACCACCACACAATTGGACATACTAACCAAGTGCATCACAGAACATCTGGCAAATCGGCTTTACCATCCTCTGCGCCATGACAGGCAACACAGAACCTGAACAACCCGCTGCTGACCAAATCCTCCGCTTCGACCCCAGCAAATGGCAGACCCTCATAGACGAAGGAGCATTCGCTGGTTATAGCGATGATCTGCTAAGTCTAGTACACGCTTGCCTGCTCTGTACTCCATCCGACCGGATCGATCCCCAATCCCTGCTTTTCTTAGTTGAGATTTCGATGGTCAAGCATATAGACGATATGCAACGCTGGGGCACAATCTTGGATCACGACTAAACACAACGAGATCTTGGATGATGATCCCGATCACCCGGCAGATGCATCTAGAGAACCAGAGGTTGGCGAAGAAGTTGACGAACCACAAGATAAAGAAGCAGACCAAACCCAAATCTTCATCTACCCAACCCCAACAAGCATCCGTAAACGCAAACTATCAGCTCCCTCACCTACTCCCAAGCGGTTGAAAGGCAAAACCGCTGTATCGCATGAAACATTGCAGAGAAGATATGCCTTAGTCGCTAAGCAAATGCAACTGGGCAAGACAACTCAATTCTTAGACGCCCACTCTAACGACAAAGATTTCATCCTCGCAAATGAGTTCAAAGTCAAATACTCCAGAGATGAAGAATTTGACCCTGAGATGTTTTTTGTAGGACTTGATCCAGGAACGATCAAGTATATGGGAGCAGCTCAACCTTCGACTAAGGCTGAAGACAATGTAATGTCTACTTCGGCAGAAGCTGGCGATGTTTCTACCTCTGCGCCTGCGATTGAGATTGCAGGTGGGAAGGAGATTCCTTACGTTGATCTCGATTAGTCTAGGATTCCAAAACCGGTGAAAGCATCAAAGAGATCGACTTCCGAGCCAATGCTGGCCAAAAACATATTGGCAGCTCATAAGTCCCTTGTCGGGGATAGGAATCTATCTTCGTTCACTCGACTAAAGAAATAGACAGGTAGATTTACTCAAAGCAATCCACATCCTCTTCAACCTCATCCCCTTATGCCATAAACCCCCTCGTGCTACAGAATACCCTGAACCCCATCCCACTCCATAACCCCCTTATTACAAAAAATCGTAACCCCAAACACCAAAACCCCTTGCCAAAAGGTATTTCATTCCACTGCACCGAGAAACCATGATTTCCGCAACAGAGCTTTAAAGCCGTCAACGCTAGAGCCAGGAAAAGTGCTTGGAGTATTATTGTCATGGCTAGGCAGGTTATGAAACCTGGACCTGAGGTTTTGGCATCTGAAAGCGCGTCAGGCACTTTGTGGCATTTGGGAGAAGTGTGGAACAAGTTAAATTGTAGGTGTGAAAGCGTAGACACAGTCCTAGAAAAGGGAGGTGAAACACTTACCCGTAGTGGGAGTTTGGGGTCGAGTCGGGAATTCCTTCTCTTTAAGATTCTATAGTACTTCCCTAAAGACAATCACCCCTTCTGCACAATGAATCGGAAGCAGAGCATCTTCCACTCGACGTTCAGCCTAGCGACTGTAGAAGAGAGATTTGTAAATGTCTTCGCATCAAGCCAAAGTCATAATCCCACTTGCCTTGGAGTTACACGTGGGCAAACTGGTCTATGATGTCCCCAGCCTTCAAAACAATCCCCCATATCCGAGTTTATGCAATGTAAACGATGCGCAAAGTTGTGCCAATATAACAGCGCAAAACATTTGCCACTGGGGCACGTCACTCATCTTGGAGGCATCGTTGTAGCTGCCGCGATACCAGTGCAGGGCACTGAGTGCTGTCCATATGAACAGCGACTGGACTACAAATATGGTCGCTATGCGCTTCAGCCGGCTAGGCTGGGACTCTGTGTCTTTGTTCAATGACATGGATTAGATATGTGCTTGGCAACAGCCATAAAGAACAGTCATACCTGTGTCCTCGTGCACAATTTCTGCTTTTCCATGTCGCGGTTGTGTGAGTTCAGAACCCCAGGAGAAAGTCGTGTGCTATACCGTGCCATGTCCGGAGAGTGCGATGACAGGATTGATATCGAGGATCGAAACTGGTATGAGACAGGACACGCGTCATTGTTGTTTGTAGGAATTCCTCTGCCTCAGACCCCGCACTTCGTACGGACGTAATCCTTCGTGCGTTGCTAGAATTCGGGGCTGATGGGATATCGAGATCTCATGTGCACTGGTTCGCGCAAAGATACAGTCGTTTCGAGGCCCACCCCTTCCGCTCTGCACCTCTGGTTCGCGAACTTTTGTTCTGCAAGCCGCCAAGCTGCCTTCGATTCTACCCTTACAAAGTATCAATTCCGGTCCACGTGAAGGAAACTCGTCTAGGGATTTGTGCTCATCGCTCTCATCTTGCCACAAATTACCAGGATCACCCCCGCTTCTCCAACTCAAGGAGCAAGTTTTTCAACGCTTGCCAGTCCTCTTCATCGCATTCAGGTTGATATACAACTTCTTCACCATATTCCTCTGCCCAATCGTTGTATGCCTTGTCACTGCGGTCGGCCTGCAACCAGTTGTCTGGGCCAGTACCTTCATCAAAGTACTGATATCTTGCGTTTCTCAATTGACTCGTCAAAACATTGGCTTCGTCGAAAGCGGCATGGTCGTCCCACCTCCCATGGCCGAAAGCAAAGTGCTTTAGCTTGGGCAAGCCTTGCTGCAGACGAGCGAAGACATGATGCCAGCGCGTGGCCCAGAGCCATTTCTGTTTCGGCCCAAGACGGTCTGACTTAGGCTGATAAGATGGACGGCCATCTTTGATCTCGAGTGGAGAGTAATTCACACATTGTTTGTTTGTGTCCAAGCTCTGCTCGAGAAATCTTGCACCGACTCCNNCTATGAGCGCATCATCAAGGACTAACTCCTCGAGTGATGCTGCGTGGCTGATTATCCAATCAATCTGATCGTCATTCACAATGCTCATGTTTCCGAGAAGCAGTGATCGCAGTTTGGGCAACGATGGCAGATTGCACTTTGGGTACATGCCGAAGTACATGTCGCTAGCGTAGAGCTTGAGATAAACAAGATTGTTGGCGATTGGTGCAAGCCAGTAGGTTTGCAACTCATGGCCAAAGAAATCATGGCTCTCTGGTATTTCCAGCATATGTTCGGGGGCAGCACTGTCATCTTCTGTAGCAACCTGGAGGCTGAGATGGGTGATCCGCGACATGACCTGCTGGAAGTCCCTCTTAAACACGTTGTCTTCGTCGTCGGCGCTGCCCATGAGTGCTTGCGGAGTAAAGTCCTGCAAATTCTTGATGCTAAGATTGTACATTTTGCCGGCCGGATGTTCGGAATGGTTCAGGCCAGCGTNAAAGGTGCGCAAAATTTCCTCCCGGAACCTCATCATCTCCATACAATCGTATTCTTGATCCCAGGACGGGCCACTGCAACTGCTCGAGAACACCAACTCCACATGGGTCAGATTGGGGAATCGGCCAACCTGCTTTAACGCATCCATAAAATAGGGGTGAGGCTGACGGTATTCATCTCCAGGGCCAGGTTCTCGGCGAGCCCAGCACGATTTACTGCCATCAGGCACCATCCTCGTCTGGAAGACGACTTTTTGTACCTCGTGGGAAAACGTAGCCGAGGAAAGGATGTTTTTGTAGCGGGAGGCAGATTCCTCGGTTGGCAAAAGTCGGACACAACAGAATAAATGCGTTGCGCATGCTTGCGAGAGATGCTTCGAGGCGAGGCGCAGATTGCGTAGGCTGAAGACATCTGGGCGTGGTGTTATAGCAAATCTATCGTATGAACGGTTCCAGGCTGTGAACGTCGGATCGTTAATGGCCCTGTACTTGTTCTCGTCATTGCGGTTGTGGAATCTGGTCTTGGTTGGTTCACCAATTGCCACAAATTCAACGATTCGTGCAAGAAGCTCCGGTGGGAGCTGTATTAGCCCTGGCATACTGGAGCGAAAGTCTGTGAGAGGTGACAATTGAGAATGAGAAGCTGTAGGGGTGATGTCCTGATGGTTATAGGTTGCACTTCACGTGCGCACGGACAAGGTGGCTGCCTGCTCCGAGATGAGCTCGTCTGCTTTGGGCGATGCGACCTTTCCGTGACTCGCAAATCAGGCAGACAAGCATCTTGGCTATATCTTCCGTGCAATACTCATGGATAGCGAAGATGGAAGTCTGGAAGGAGAGGTGGTTGCGGATACGGCAAGGTCAGTACAGTTGACGGCGCTTGGCTTAGTCAGCAATGCAACCGCGGATCAAATTCCTCTGCGCACTACGACGCTCGCTCTTTCCACGATTCTTGTTCTCGAAACCTGTCGACAAAAATGTTGTACAAGATAACTTGGCCCTTGTACAAGAACAAAGGCCCGGCTGTTGTTTCAACCTCAGTTCCATCCCCAATGGCGGCTGAAGGCTTTGTCGTTGAGAACTGGTGACAAAAGAGATGACCTTAAAGCAAAGGTAGCACAGAGCATACGACGAGCCATGTCGCGTGAGTATGTGAGCCTGCAATCACAGCTGCGACGACGACAGTTGAACTTTCAATGCACTCATAAAACTCGAGGCAAAGCTCAAGCTATCTTCTTCGCTTCAAGTCGGTCAAAAACTTATTCAACGCTTGCCAATCCTCTTCATCGCAGCCTGGTTCCTCCACCTGGAATTTAATGACCTCATCCCCCTCCTGTCTCCAGTCTCTCCAGTCTGTCCAGTCAAATTCTTCGGCATCGTAATCTCTAAAGGAATTCCATTCGCACTCACTGAACGCACCATATCGCTCTAACCTGACAGCGCTGCACAACGCATCCGCATGCTCGTAAGCCTGCTCATCCCAATGACTATGATTGAAGGCGAAATGCTTCAAGTTCGGCAATCTTTCCGCAAAACGGCTAAACAGATTGTGCCATCGCGTAGGATCCTTCCAGACTTGCGACACGAGTGTACGACCGCGCCATTTAGGTTGATAGCCAGGCGGATCTGAGGAATAGTCTTTCTCGTACACGATTGTACGGCTAGGAATATCGACGTGGGTTTCTGCGATGGTGACTGCCACGCCTATCATGGCATCATCCAAGATCAGTTCTTCCAGTGTGCCTGCATGCGACAATATCCACTCCACCTGTTTCTCGCTGGTGAAACTATAATCACCCAATATCAAGGTTCGCAAGGCGGGAAAATGTGGTAAGTTGCCGGCGGGATAGAAACCCCAGTATACCTCTTCGTTGCCGTAGATTTTCAGGTACTCGAGCTGCGCCGCAATAGGTCCTAACCAATACTCTTGCAACTCAAATGCAAAGAAATCATGGACTTCAGGCTGGCGCAGTGTATTGTCTGGCGCAGCGTCCCAATCCTCAACCGTGATGCCCAATCCCAACTGTTTTATCCTCTTCATCACAGTCTCGAAATTTTGCTTGAAAGCTACTTCTTCAACAGTGGATGCTTTCCCCATCAACGCCTTGGGTGTGATGTTCTGAAGGTTCTTGATGCTGAGATGGAACAATTTTTCGGCATCCACTAAGCCAGCATAAAAGGTCGACAATACAGTGAATCGAAACTCTTCGTCCTCGGGTCCTGGATTGTGTGCAAATGCGGGACCGCATTGAGTGATAAATATCAACTCCGCATGCGTAAGATTTGGAAATCGTGCTGCTTTCAACATGGCGGAAAGGGAAGAAGGGATGCGGCTCTGGATAATCATCACTCTTATCGCGGTCCATGGAGCAATAGTAGCCACGGCGACGGTTTGGTTGCTTTCTCGTTTGAAACACCACTTTCCTAACATGAAGATTCAACTTCTCTTCCTCCAAAATCTTCATATATCTCTCCGCAGAAGTCTCCGTAGGTAACACCCTCACAACCGCAAAAAGCAATGGTGTACTCAAATATTCGAAAGTCTTTGAAACCAGTCTCAAAGAACGCAGACTTGCAACATCAGGTGCTGGCGATGTAGCTAGAGCAATATTTGCATAACTCAGACCAGAATAAGTAGGTCCGTCCGCGACATGTTGGCCTGCAGAATCGCTTGCGCAGCGGCGCTTAGGGTCTGGTGGTAAAGAAGTAGCGACGTAGTTTACAATCCGTGCGAGGAGTTCTGGTGGTAGGTCGGAAAGAGTGGACATTCTGCGTCTGGTTATGAGTTCTGATATCAGAGCTGTCGACAGAATTGTAGATGTGGAAGTGGGCAAAGGAAGTGTTATACACGTTTTGGAGTCTTGACTCGTGTGTAGGACGCACAGACAAAGTGGCTTGAGGATAGTCAAATGAGGATTACCACTTTTGGCTTTGGGTTGGTGGAAGTAGTGTAATATCTCGCTTATACAATGCTTGTTTTCCAGTCATGAGGCAGTCCTACATCCAAAGTGTTGGTGGTTGCCTACATCGATATGGAAGGAGTTCTAACTTCTGGGAAACTATACAAGTTCTTCTAGACTAGGCAACCTTCGACTTATCAAATATTTGGTAACTTGGTGTTTCCGATGCGAACGAGATTTTGAATGTTCGAGATTCTATTCTTTTGCGCTTCTCTATCAGAAAGCAAGGGTACGTTCTACTTGCGTAGTGTGATTTTGAAGGTGTAGATCAACTTCCACCAGCTACATTTACTACCACTCATCGTCACCACCACCATACTCGTCATCGCCAATGCCGAAATCACCAGTCACATCTCCAGTAGCAGCTTCAAAGTCTTCATCTTCCTCATAGTGTGGAGAAGTGGGTTGAGCTTCTGCATCTGGCCAGTAGTCGCCCTCGTCTTCTTCCTCTTCCTCCTCCTCCTCTTCTGCTTCCTCCTCTGGTGCGCCTCCTTCTGTTGCAGGTTGTGTAGATTCGTGATGAGAGGGATCTTGTGTAGCTGCTGGTGTAGGAAGAGCAGCTTGTGCAGATCCGGCTTCCGGTGACTGTACAGCAGTGGATGGGGAAGCAGCACGCACGCTCTCTGGTGCTGGAGTGGAAGCTTCCGATGTGGCTCTCGATTCGCCATGTCTGCGATCGCCGTAGATTTTGCCCAGAGCAGCATAGTTGACTCGTTGCGAGAAACCTTNTGGTGCTCTCTTCTCCAGCATGCGCAAAGAAGCATCGGCAGGCGACTCGACAGGTGTTCCTGCATCGGTGAGGACAGTTCCGTCGCCCATGCGACCTCNTCTTTTGCGTTTGTTGGTCTTTTTGTCTTTGCCTTCTGCTTCTTCGAGTGCCTTTTTCAACTGTTTGGCTTGTTGAGCGCGGAGCCAGTCCTCGTTGTGTGCGACCCAGATCATCTCCTTCACCTTGACTTGCTCCTCGCTCAACAATGCATTGGCAACTTCAGGATCATCAGCGAATTCGTCTTCGCCGATAATCTCGGAGTCGGAGACGAGTGTATGTGGCCGGCCCATGGCTTCTAGCCTCAGAGCGTTCTGTTGGACAATGGCAGCACGTTGTTGTTCTGCAAGTGTCTTTGCGCGTTCTTCGATCTTTTCTTTCTCGGCTTGTTCTTTTGAGGAGATACATTCACGTTCGAGCAAGATGTTTTGGATCTCTCCTTCAAGTTCTTCTTCGGCCATGAAGTCGGCATCGGTAAGAGGTGGTGGAGTGATTGTTTCCTTCTTCTTACGGCCACTTTTGACTTTGATGATTTCGGTGGGTTCGGGTGTAGAGGATGTGTGCTCATTAGCTTGAGTATCGGAAACGACACTGGCGCTGCGGCGAAGAGCGGGGTCGAGAGGAATCTCGGGGATTGCGAAACCATCCGCATCACGACGAGGCTGAGATGGTTGTTGGGTTGTTGCCTGGAGAATAGCGTTACNTGCGAGCGCTTGACACTTTTGTCGTTTGGCCGCTTGTGTTGCTTCTGCTTGAGATGAGGATCCAGCGTCAGGGGTGACAGAAGATTGTCGTGATGATTCCTTGCTCATTTCGTAGGCCTTGCGCTTCAGCAATTTTCTCAACTGCTTTTGCTTTCGAAGTTCGGCTTCCATCAAAGATGGTGGGTCGGCTTGTTCTCTGATTCTCACACCTTNTTCACGAAACTCGTCAATCTTGAGATGAGCAGCACGAGTACGCTTGAACTCTTCGAGACGTTTGGAGATTGTGAGATCAGCAACTTTGACGACAAAGACGACTTCTCTGACGGTGCGACGAAAGTTGTTCATGCGAGCGGCCAGAATAAGACAGGCACCACACAGACCAGCTGGGTGTCGACCTGTCACGATCCAATCCCTCTTCATGCGACGGATGATTTTGACAGCATCTTCAGCGACTTGGCGAGTCTTCTCACCGAATTCAAGCTTGCTGGCGTACTTGAGGATCAATGGCTCAATTTCAATCATCTTGGTAGTTTCCTTGAAGTCCACGAAGAGGTTAGCCAGCAGACCCTTGTAGGTATCTCCCAAGCTGAAGACGTTGACTGAAATGACTTCAGCGATATCCATGAGCAAGATAGTGTTCTCGGCCTTGTTTCGACAAGCTATGTACAAGCAAGCACCGGCGACCTCATCAGCGCGACGACCTTGAGTGAAATTGCTGTTAGATGCGAGCTTCCAGATACCCATAGCTTTATCCGAAACATCAGGAGGGATAGGTAGTCGTGCAGTGAATAGACGCAAAGATTCGCGACCATTGTTCTCGCTGTCCTCTCTGCTCTGCATCGAAGCACCCAATCTGCGAGCAGCAGCGGCACCCAATGTCTTTGCATGACGCGAGTTTTCGTTGACGATACCACCTTCGACTGTGGCAGCACCAGTAGATGATTCTCCGAAAGTGACTTCTGCGACGATGTTCTGCTCACTGACTTGAGTACCGCAATTCAGACAAATCTTGGCACCGTCGATGACTTCGAAGCTAGGATTGTCGCAACCACATTCTGATCTTTNTGCTGGGCGAGGAAGAGGTTTGAAAGAGGTAGGCGTCTTGCCTCCGAGACCGGATAGACGCTGAGGTCGACGAGGGGGGGCAATGCCAGGCATGGTGAAGCAGAAAATTGATTTGAATTATGATCGAAAAGCGACAATAGTGGGCAGCCTTGATGTCCCTTATCAAGATTGCAGAAGTTGGATGTTTCCAGACCAATAGTGATTTGAGCAGTTCTTGATTATATCACGCCTTTGTGAACAGTGAAGGCAGTGCCATACAGGGAGAAACTGCGCCCGAGGCAAAGAATCCGAAATTCAGTTCTTGGCGAGTCCAGCGCGACACCAGCTTCGCGAGAGCAGCACACCAGAAGGGTATCAAAGGGTGGCAGTAAGTAGAGGTATATTCCTTGGATTCACGTGCGATGCAGGCTTCGCTCTGGCAGGGGCGATCCGATGGCAGTTGATGGGTGGAAGAAGATGCTGGCGCAGAGTCGCGGTGCGGTGTGTCAGAATTTTGCAGACGAGCTTCGTTCACTTTCATGGTTCCATGGCGCGGTGGGAAAGCGCGTAACTTCGCCAACGCACTGACCCTCTTGGCGTTCAACAAACTTCTGCGCTTGTGTTCGACTCTTGGGGTGGGCGACCACATTTGTGACTGCCGTACGACTTTCGTCTTCCTGACCCTTCTCATCCATCACCCATCTTTGGCAGATTTCAGCTCTAGAGATCAAGCATCAAGACACGCTGAACTACGTNNTTCGAACCCGGAGACCTATCGCGCTTTCTTGGACAAAGCAGCTGCGTATAACATGAAGCGGCATGATGAGGATGCCGAGTACCGGGAGAACATGAGACAATACAGACGACGCCATCACAAATCGAAGATGAACGATCCACTTTATAGGTCTCAGCAGCTCATCAGAGATCTACTGATGCAATATCCATGGTCTCGCACAGGTCTTCCTTAGAAGCTCTATCGACCTGTCGTCACATCCGAGCCAGTTAATCATTATTGTAGCGGATGTAAGGTCACAAAGCGTCGAAGAGTGAAACTGTGGTGGCACCAAGCGTTGGCTGGGTCCGATGTCTTCCTTTGTCATGGCTGTATCTTTTCCAGGGAAGATTGGACCCGCGCGATGCCCGAGGGTTATGAGGACGTCAAGACAATCAATGAAATCATAGCCCGCAAGAAACAACTTGTAGGTCTCGATGAGGGCGAGAGCATGTCTAAAAGCGAGTTGTACACCAAACCGGAAAGAGTCAGGGAATGGACCAGACGGCTTGATTGGTTCCATCAGTTGCCTTGGAAGTCCCATCGACCTTTTCTAACGGAGAACGGGACAGAGGATCACTGCGCACGTTGCACATACAGCAGGTATAGAGCTTTGAAACTCTGGTGGAGGTCGGCGGATGAAACCATATGCAATTCATGCTATACTAAGGGCGAATGGAAGGACATAATGCCGCAAGGCTATGAAGATGTAAGAACTTCAAAGGAGTTTCGCGCTCGGAAGGAAGAACTTGAGAAGCAAGAATTCAAGCGATGACCACAGGAGGTCTAACGAGCTCGACACTCATCGGGCCATTCATCGCTGCACCACAGGGTCAACAACAAGGCTTCCTTCGCATCGAATGATAGCATAATGCATCACCATCCAGTTCTTCAGTGCGCGGCGAGAAGTTCACGGTATCAGTAACACAGATCAAATCTGTGCGTCTTCGCTACCTTTCTCTCTTGCTGCATGAACTTCTTCACCCTGTTTCCAGGCGCAAGAACTCCGTGCTCACGCACATCGCTTTACACCTTTACTCGGCTGCCGGCTTTCTTAGTATCAGCAGTGCTTACCCAGACGGTCCTATCCATGACTCGCAGATCCGCATACTCGCCGCTGCAGTCGAGGAGCAACGCAAAAGTCCACGCCTGCAGGATTACCGCAAAGTTTCCAAAAGACAATCTTGGCCTTTCCGATGCTCTCAAGTTGCACCCGTTATGCCACTTTCTGCCCTTTAGCCTGACACAGACGGACCACCGACGAAATGACTTCGTTTCTTCTTCCGAAGGGTTTGATAAAGAGGCCTCTGTGGCTTCTTCTAGGTGGTCGATTGCAAAACTATGAAACATTTACTTGGTATCTATGCGATAAACATATCACATGGGCGGCTCCAGTAGAAGGGGGATGCTCGTTTGGGTTTCTGTAGGTTTTCTTCCTTCTCTTTGCAGAACTGATAGACTACGGCCTTGAGAAGAAGTACATGAGCAGGAATCTTTAGCTCCTGCTTCATGGGACGTTATTCCTGAAGAAGCTTCCTTGGCATGGTGGCTGCCGAAAGGGTGGGTGATTGAGACAAGCACGCGCATTGCAAGTCTGGTAACAAATAAGGCAGTAAGAACAACAATGGAGAAGGCGCAAACTGTACTCTTGTCATTCTGCAAGCAAAGAAGCTACACCGGCCCTACCCCTCTCCCACACATCTCAAATCATAAATCCTCATACATGACCATCCTCACCATACCCTTTCCCATCCCATCCCACCCCCATCCTACCCAAACCCTCAAAAACTACAAACCTCCATCCTTCTCATCGGCATTCTCAATATCGCCGACTTCGGCCTTGTCCTGACCGCCTGGAACAGTTCTCTCTTTGGCCTTCTTGGCTGCGGCGGCGGGACCGGACTTGTCGGCAGTGTCGTCAGCATCTTCGTTTGCGTCTTCGTCGTCGGGGTCTGCGGCTTCTTCTTCGTCGTCTAGTTCGGCGGGGTCGACTTCTTCGTCGTCTTCTTCGCCGGCGACGGGGTCTTCGTCGTCGTCTTCGTCATCGTCGGCGGGAGCGGCGGCTGCGGCTTTGGTTGTCTTGCGCTTTTGGAAGCCGAGGGGGCTGGAAGGGAGAAGGGTCAGTTAGTTGTTTTGCGAGAGGAGTGGACAGGAGTAGTGATTGATGAGTTTTGATGGCGATGGCGATTGCGATGGCGATAACATACCAGGCTTAGCAGCAACCTCCTCTTCATCATCGTCTTCATCGGCATCGCCCTCTGCCTCTGAAGAATCGTATCTATATCGCCACAAGCAAACGTGTTAGCTCATCTATCCTTTCATCTTTGAGCATTCGCAATCGCTGCTTTCCACGCGTTGCGAGATGGCAAAGACGCGACCACAAGCAAAGCTGCCCCAAATGACGTCAAAAGCACAACTCACTCTTTCTTCCTCCCTCGCTGTCCTCGGGCAGCGATTGAAGCTCTTCCTCCTCAGACTCCTCAGCTCTGCGTTTGCGTGTTCCAACCATTTGTGTTGTTTCGTGGCAGTGTATATGTGTAGTTGATGTGTGTGTGCAAAGAAGAAAGGAGAAACAACAGCAAGACGTTGAGCAGGCACAACAGGGCAGAGGCAGGCGCAAAGCAAGGCCGAGGAGCGGCTGGGATAATCCGGGGAAGCTGGGCAAAGCAAAGCTATGAAGACGTTTAGGTGTTTCTCGATTTGGCAAGTGCGGGATGCTGGAGGGAGCTTGGGCCATGTGTTGTGGGCAGAGAGCAATCACGGGTCTAAGGGTTGTGGTGTTATTGGTTGCTTGCTTTTGCACGCTTCTATGCCCTTTGTTGTCTTTTTGCCCAAATGTTGTTTTGTTTACCTCTGTCATTGTCGTTTGGTCATCGAAAACAGCGACAGCAAATCCATAAAGTCGCAATCAAAGCTCGCTTCGTGCGATCTAAAGCCATTTGACTCGAGAAGCTTCACCATGTAACGTGCCTTTCAACAAAGTGCATATCAAAAACGAATGAGTACAGGTTGAGACATGATATATCGTTTACCCTCAACTCAACAAGACTATCAGAACTAGTAGCTATGGATCATGGTAATGGGAACATCCGATACGCTTTGAAGTTTTCTCGTGCGTGTTTGCGAATCAATGTCGGTGAGGGGAACACCCTGTCAAGTAGAAAAGGAAGCTCCACTGTCACCTGTCCTGAACTTATACGACAACCGTGACAAGTCGGGTGTCATTTTAAGAGAAAAAGACCTTTTGAATTTTTAATTAAAATACCCAATTTTTATTAAACTACGAGCTAGAGCAGTGTCTCCTAGTAATTCCCTCGAATTTCTAGCGAAGCGCCACGGTACGGGGTCGAGATGCTAGCTCCGAGAGGCCGAGGAGGTATAAGAGATAGAGGTATAGTAGGAGGAGGGAGGTTCGAATCATTAGCGTAGGGCGGCGTAGAGAGGTAGGAGGACGAGGATATAATTATAAGGGACGATAGATACTTAGAAAAGAGAAAAAGAGAAGGTAGATAAGGAGGAGCCGAGGACAGCCCTATACGTCGACCGATTAATAAAGATTCCGATAATGCGTTAGTAGAGGCGATACCTAGGAAGAAGCTATCGCCCGTTACGACACGAATGGTTACTAGAAGCGTAGAGAAGGCTAGTGTATAGAGAGATAATGCGATTAAGCTATTATCGTCTAGGGGTAGCCTAACTCTAAGCTCGTAGAGTAGAGAAGACATACTAGGAGCACCTACGATTAGCGATATTATAAGACACCTCCTACGAATAGAAGAGAAGGAAAGAAAAGATAGGATAAGAGCCTAAGAAGAAAGAGTAAGAGTAATAGAAAAGGAAAATGAGTATAAGAATAAGATTAAGTAGTTATAAAGTATAGTTATAGCCTTAGCCCTAGACTTAAAGAGCCTATAAGAGTCGGTACCGAACTAGGGATTATTACAGTTATCCTAGATAACTAGAACGACCGATTTATATACTAGTATTATAGCGAGAGGAGTGTTACTATTAGAGCCGGAATAGGTAGATACGCTACTAAGAGTACCGGCATCCTACGTTTCGTTTAGACCATCTAAATAATCGGACGGATTACTAGTAAGATCTCTACTAACGTTAGTAGGACAGTCGATTAGAAGTGTAATAAAGAGAATAGTGTATAGATAAGAATTAGATATAATTATTAACTTAAGTAAACTAGATATAGAAGGGCACTAAGGACACGACTAAGTAGGTAGGATAAAGAATCGTATTATAGTAGCTATCCGGTCTAACGAAGGACTCGAAAACATAGAGCTTAAGCGGTTTATAATTAGACATATAAATAAAGACGTTTATCTAGCGTACTTTAGAATCGGTAAGAAAGCTAAAGAGGTTATAAGAAGATATACTAATAAGTAGATCGATACGTTCCTTAAAGGAGCTAAACTCGTAGATCTAAGGTAGTACCCTATAAAGATCGACTTTATCCTAGTATTCGTAGTAGACGAGCGCGATAGAAGAAGGATAAGTAAATATACTATAGAATCATTTATAAGAGAAAACGACGTCGAAGTTAAGAGGATAAACTAGCTAGGCGAACTAAAGCTATAGGTAAGCTATACCTCTATAGTAGCTAAACTAGCTATAAAGGAGTAAGTTAAGAGGCTACTAGCGCTCTAGCGAGATAGAATAGAGATAAGCATATTTAAGTATATAGTCGAGGTATTAGTCTTCTTCGAAAAGAATAGGCCTAGGGTATACTACTAGTACTAGTAATTCGGCCATATTAAGAGAGACTATAAGAACCCCCCTATATATATAAGGTACGTATAAATAGGCTATAAGCGCTACGAAACGGGAGTAATAAAGTGTACTAACTATTAAGGAGATTATATAGCGACCGATAAGTTATACCTAGAGTATAGGAAATAGTAAGAACGATCTATTAGTATACGTTTCTATAAATAGTATACTTAATATCCTCTAAGTAAATGTAAGAAAGATGTTAGGAGTTTAGGACGCGTTATATAATAACTAGGAGTTATAGAGTTTTAATCTTATACTAATATAGGAACTATACTACCTAGACTTTAGTAATAACATACATATTATAGGAACTAGACTAAAGTTCGAAGTAATAAAACTAAGAATTATATAATAAGATAACTAGGATATAAGGATCCGGTTATATATCTAGGTAAGTAGAACTATAGAATACATATAATATACGATAACTAGTAGCGACGTTATAGCTATTATAGTATAGAGAGTAGGCCGGTATATCCTAGTTATATTAGTCTATATTCTCTACATTATCTCGAATAGGGAAGAAAACGAATAGTAACTCGTAGACCGTATATAGGACGTTTAGAGAATAATCGATAAGGAGAAGACTATATATCTAGACCTAGAAATTATAGTTATAGGAGATATTAATCGACACGATAGCCTATAGGGAGGATCTTATATAGCGTTAAAGCGAAGGTAAGGAGAAGGAGCTTAAATCCTCGACTTCCTAGAGTGTAATAACCTATAAGTACTTATACTAAGGGGAATAGTTATATAGGAAAGGAATAAGTAGAGGTCTACTATCGATCTAATAATAGTAAGTAAACGACTATATAAAGATAGGATTACCTATAAAACATAGGATAACGAGTATAGATTAGATTATAGAGTAGTATATATAGCATTTTTAATGGATTAGGATTAGGATTAGGAATAATAGTAAGCCGAGAGATACCTACTTTAGAAAGTAGACTAGAATACTATCCGTAAGATAATTACCTAGACACTTATAAGCTTACTATTTCTAACTATAGATATAGAGCAAATATAATAGTATATTTAGAATGTAACCGAGGACGTAATTAAGTAATACTATCCTAAAGTAAAGCCGTTAGTATATACGAAGAGATAGTAGATACTAGATCTAATAGCTCTACGTTAGAACTATATATAGACGCGGAACCGTATAAGAGTAAGGCGTAGGTAAGGAAACCGGAATATAGACCTTAAAGTTATAATAAAGATAGCTAGATATAACTTCTATTACGTAATTAAGAGAGTTAAGAAACGGTACTAGACCGAGTTTCTAGACGATACTAAGAACATCTAGAAAGTAATAAGATACCTAGACCTAGGTATAGGATTAAGCTTTAGTAGGATCATGTTAATTAAGGGCTAAAGTAGGGAACTAATATAAGATAAACTAAGTATAGTAAAAGAACTCCTAGCTAGCTTCTTCCTACTACCGCTAGAACCTTAGTAACTAGATAAAACTAGAGACGATAACGTAGAATAGTTTATACTAAGAGGATTAACGATCGATAAGATAGAAAGAGCACTATCTATAATAAGTCCTAATCGTATAGTAGGAGGGGATAGTCTAATAACTAGAGTATAGAGGGAGGTATAGCTAGTTCTATAATAATAGATCTATTAGCTCTTCTCGATATCTTTAAGGTAAGGTAAACTACTAGAGTAATAGAAGGTTACGAAGATTATTCCTCTAAAGAAGGGAGGTAAGGACGACTATACGCTACCTAAGAATTATCGTCTAATATCCCTTCTTATAACACTTAGAAAGATTATAGAAGCGGTAATAGTACCTAGGATTTCTTATCTTACTAAGGTCTATAAGCTATTACTAAATAACTACTTTAGAGCCCGGAAATAGAAGTCGATAATACATGCTATATTATACCTATAAGAGTCTATCTTTAACGTATAGAGGAGAAGGAAGACTCTCTCGTTAGTCTCCTTTAATGTTAAAGGAGCCTATAATAATGTTATAACTAAACCGCTATTATAACGACTTAGATAGAGAAGGATTCTAGAACCTATAGTTAGATAGGTATAGGATTTCTGTACTAATAGAAAAGCATATGTTATAGTTAACGGGTTTATATCCGAAGTAGAGGACCTACTATAAGTAGGATTACTATAAGGGTTACTCCTAGCGCCGATCCTATTCCTCTTCTTTAACGCTAACCTTATATAACATAAGATTAAGGAGGGCGGATCTATAGCCTTTATAGACGACTATACGGCGTAGGTAGTAGGAGACTTAGCTAAGCGTAATATAAGAAGAATCTAGAGGGAAATCTTACTATAACTAGAGAAATAGGAAAGGGAAAGTAGTACTATTTTTAAATCGTTAAAAACAGCATTTATCTATTTTACTAGGACCTCGTTATCGTAACGGGATAGCGACATACCGCTACGATTTAAGTAAGATATAATAGACCCTAGCCTATTAGTTAAAATCTTAGGAGTTATTATAGACTAAGGATTAAGGTATAAGGAGCATATTATAGGTAAAGCGGATAAAGCCTATAAGGTAGTACTAGCCCTAAAAAGACTATAAGGACTTATATATTACCGATATAGTATCTAGTAGTATCGGATAAAACCCTAGTAACACTAGAGAGAGCTTAAAGAGTTATAGTATAGGCCATTATAGGAGGATTTAGAACTATAGGTCTAAACGTAGTAGTTATAGAGGTAGGCATTATAATAATACGATAAAGACTATACGAGTAAACTCTTAGATTCTAGATTAGTATCTATAAGCTAGATAAATCTTATATCTACTATAAGCTAGCTAAGTATAAGGGTAAGAAGCGTTTTATATCTCTACTATAGAAAGTAGCTATCCTATTTAAAAGCATTAAGGCTCGGTAAGTAGATAAGATCCCTACTATTAGATATAAACCGTAGGTACTAAAACCCTACGTATATATACTAGATAAGGAATAAGCTAAATAAGCTATAGTTATAGAGTATATAATAGTCGATTTCTATACTAACGGGTTAGTAAGGAAAGGTAGAGTAGGCATTAGTATATAGACATCGACATAGGAAGTATTAAAGCTAGTAGGAAGAGAAGAAGACACTAATATTTACTATACGGAACTACTAGTAATATAGATAGTAATCAAAGGCATCCTAGACGACATAAATAGCTAAGTACGGATACAGGTATTCTTAGATAGCTAAGGAGCGTTATAAAGTATCTAGAGCCCGAAGATTAACGATAGTATTAACCTAGTTATAAAAATTAGAGAGAAGATTAGGAAAGGAACATTTTCTCTCTACTAGGTTCCTAGATACGAAGGAATTATAGGTAACGAGAGAGCTAACGAGCTAGCTTAAATAGTAATAGAAGAATTATAACTAATGCTAGCACCCGCTATAATAGTACCTATATTAGTAATTTATAATAGAGGGAAAGTAGTAGGCTTTAAGCCTAAGTAAGAAAAGTTCTATAGAGCTAAAACCGGAAAGTTCTTATAGAGAATCGATAAAGCACTACTAGGAAAGCATATAAGGAAGCTATATAACGCACTTAATAGGATAGATGCTTCTATACTAGCATAGCTTAGAACGAACATATCTAGGCTAAATACTTATCTATATAAGATTAATGTAGTAGAAACGGATAAGTGCGAATACGGAGTGTTAGAAATAGTCTAATACTTCCTATTCTTCACCTACGATAGAGATAGTAAAGATAAGACATAAAATTAGCACACGGTAGGAGATTCTATAACATATTATATGCCCTAGAAGGATACTTAGACTATAAAGAGAATAGTAAGATTATAGATAGCGAGAAAGATAAGTAGCGACTAGACTAGTAGGTAGTAAAGTCTACTATTAAGTTTATAAAGGTAATAGGTAGACTATAATATTAGAGGTAAGAAAGACAAATTAATAGGAAGTGCCTAGGGACTAACTATTATATAATTACTACCTTAGTAACATAACTGCCTCTAAGTAGCGTCTTACCGATAAGGATGTAGACGACATAGGGAAGAGCCCTTATAGAGGAGGCTACCGGCCCCCTATACTAAGAGAAGGACGTGTATAACACTTATTATAAAGGCACTTAGGAGTTATCGGCGTTAATGTTTTACACGGTCTGCTACGACCATTACCCTCCTTTCTACTAAATCTGACGAATGCTATTAGTTAGAATGATGTGTAAATAGCGACAGCTTATACCCCTTGCGGGGTAAATAGCTTGAGAAAATCAAATCAAATCAAATCAAATCAAACTTATACGACACGTGGTATGCATGGCAAAGCAGGTGATCCTGCTGGAAGACTGAAATCATAAGTACAAATTAAACGTCATATTTATACAGAGTGGTTTCGTAAACATTGTCTTGCTAAACAGTCACACGTTGGTGGGGTATGCAAAGGACAAGGGCTCTCAATCAAAGAAGCAACATCAACTTCTGCTCTGTGGGGGTATCTAATAATGTTCTTTTGTACTTTTCGCTGTTTGCTTCTGCTCGACCACGGCTTTACAAATAGCAATCCCGACCCAAGCTATTCTTGAGCCTCTGATACCGTCTAGCGTACCAAGCCATGCGCATAGCAAGATGAGCTGAAGGTCCAGGGTCTGGTCCCTAGTCCGAGTGTTCTGATACCGAGTCATCGGTTCTTGACTTCGCATTCGCTATTTCATGTTCGGATGCAGAAGTCATGTCGGCTTGAGCTTTCTAAGCTGTAGTCACAGCTTGATCGGCTTCTGCTGCCGGGTCAGGTTCTTCAGCTTCCTCATCTTCATCCTCCATTTCCACGTCTTCTGCATCCTCTGCTTCTGCTTCTGCTTCTTCGAAAGAAGCAACAACGTCGCCTTCGGGTTCACCTTCGTCACCTTCTTCATCTTCGACTTCTTCCTCGTCGCCTTCTTCGCCATACTCCTCGATGTCTTCGGCACCTGCGACGCCATCTTCGTGTTCCTCTTCAGTGTCGGTGATCATGTCGCTATCCTTGACACTCGAGAAGCGAGATTTGAGATTCGGAAACAGTGAAGGCTTGGTAAGACGAAGAGGCGCCGGACTCAACATAACAACATTCTCATCAATGTCGCTGAGCTCACTGTCGCTCTCGTCGTCGGCAGAATCGTGGATGCTACCTGCGACGCTGCCCTCTGCCGTAGCAGTGCCTTGCTGATCGGCCAGTTTAGATGAAGGACGTCGTGTTTCTATCACGACCGAAACTTCTTGACGAGGTCGAGGAGGTTCATTGCCTGCGGGCGTGGCAGCGCCGGCACCAAGCTTGGCGGCTATACAAGCATCAGCACACAAACGAACTTCTCGTCTACCCACACCAATCTTGCGACGTGATGCGGGTGCTTGATCGCCTGTTGGCGGAGTCGCGGTACCGTCAGGTATCGAATTGGCAAGCGGAAGGCCAGGGATCTTGGCAGAGACGTCAGGTGCACCATCTACATTCATGAGGTGTGACAAGTTCATCATCGGGTTTCGTTCGACGGAAGTAGTAGCAGTTTGCTCCTTGGCAAGAGCCTCTTGTTTGATGGCTTCGTCCTTGGCTTCTTCCGCAGTCCACAATCTGCGGCCGACAGTGTCGTAGAGATAAGCATAGGCATCACCGATGAGATCGTCGATGGTTGCTGCCTTCATCAATCCACCGTTGATTTTTTTCAGTTCAATGACCTCTTGCATGGTCTCTAACACAGGATGCTGGACGTTTGCAGGTTCTTGACACCACTTCTCCAAGTAATCTTTGCGTCGGAGGAAATCGTCATGGTTGATACCGCTGAAGATTGCAGTTTCCTGAGCAACAGGAACCTGGCCGTACCAACGAAGCACCTTGAGGTACGCCGTACAGAGGAATTGCCAAAGATTGCCATGCTCGAAAAATTCTCCAGTCTTCTTTCGAACTCTTCGCGCGAGGGCATCGAGCAACGAACGGTCATCGAGGAACTCAAGGATCTTGATGAACAAATCGGCATATCTCGTAGTGTAGACAAAATGACGGCCAGGACGCTCGTTCTCTGGCTTCCACACATTCATCATCATGGTCTTTGTGAACATCTGCTGCATAAGCTCATGTTTCGCTGCCAAGCAGTATGACTCTTGTGTGCCATCTCGATAGAGTATAGCCGCCGTTCTGTAAATCATGCGATGGTGCCAATGAACCTTGTCCGCTGCCCGAAGACTACGCAGAACCTTCAGAATGTAAGACTCCCACGAGTCAAAGTCAGAAACCGGTTCTGCCTTTGCAGCATATGGCGTAGCAGCAAGTATGCTGCATCCCTCAGCAGCATCGATAAAGCGTCGAGTGACCATCTTGTGCACAACTGAGACAAGCTTGTAGTGAGGCTCGAGAATTGGTTCACGTTTCGAGTCCTTCTTCCGTGGTAATAAGTTGATAGATTCGCAGAACTCGTTGATGATGGCATCGATACTCGGTCGATCGGTCTCTGTTGGGGCGTTGCAGTACATCTTCCAGAGACATTTACCGAGATAAAAGTGCAACTTCCACTTGTTAGGTGTGATGCGTATAGCGCGACGGAACAGCTCTCTGGCAACCTTGAATGCAGCAAAAGGCATCAAGGCTTTGAAAGGAGGAACCTTTGTGATAGTCGCCCGACTAAGGAATCTCTCAATGTCGTCGACAGCGAAAGCCTTCATGCCGAATGGCTCCCTGGACGAAGAATATATCCTCATGGCAAAATCGGCATAGAGCTCGGCAAACTTCGCTTGAGTGTCTGCACTTGGTTCTGCAAAGCGCATTGCCAACGCAACCGCCATAGTATAGCAGTGTATGGCAGCTCGTTGCCACGCCACCAGCTCAGTCATGTCACCGTTGAGCTTCTCAGCTGTCCAGGAGACAGCTTCTTCGATCTTGGAGTCATATGCCTGAGCCAAGCGGAACCACAGTTCCCAGTCATCCATACTGAATTCGAGTGCTTGCATGAAGAATGCCACTGCAATGTTGAGATCCTCGGTCGCCGTAGGGCCGATGCGTTTCTGTGCTCTGAACTTGCTGAGTGAGATGTATCCCATCAAGAAATACCAGCCTTTGGCCGCTAGAATGGCGTGCTCAGCTGGGACTGGCGTCAAGGCAAGTTCGCCCTCTCCTCTCAAGCATTTGTACAGATCAACAGGGTTGATGTGCGACTTGAGAAAAGCCCTGTACACATCGCGGTTGCGAAGAATTGCATCAGATGGTTTCTTGCGCCCAATGATGCCATGAACCTTCTCGATGGTGTCTTTGAGGGGATGCTTCGGTAGCTCAGTCATCTTGATTCTCGACGCCAAATTGAGCAACAGATCGACAGCTTGCATGCCAGATGTCTTGTCAACAAAAGCATCATGAATGCAGTTGTGCTCCCTAAGCGCATAACTCGGGTTGAGGAAACATTTCAGGCCAAACATGTCATACAGAATCTGTGCGAACTCCAGGTCAAAGTCGTCGTTCTGCTCTTCCGACTCGTTTCGGAAACGAAGAACTTCCGACTTCGCAAGCTTGAGGAAGACACGTTCTGATCCACCGCATATGCTTCGAGCTCCCAACACTTGATGAACAGCTCTCAAGAACTCAAACAGGGAATCGTTGGGCTTTTCGACCAAATCAATGTTCTGTGCTAGACTTTCGCGGTATAGTTTATATATCAGCGTCCACGTTTGCAATTGCAATTCCTGGAGAACTTTCGTGACAGCAATGAAAGACTTGAGTGGAGCGCCGTTGCTAGAAGAAGGTTTCTGCTTGGCACCGACTTGGATCTCATCCTGTAGCATTGTCGAAGCATGCAACACTTTCTGCAGATCAACCAGACAGCTTGTCGCATTTTGAAGGCGCTCATCATCCATGCAGTCCAAAGCATCGGCATGAGAGATAATTGAAGCACTAATTTTGCCGACAAGGTCGTTGATGAGACGCATGTACTTGAGCATCACAATTTGACGCTCGTTGACAGATTTCTCAGAGTATGAAGTGGACTTGAGGTCTGATAAAAGAAGCTCAATAACGCGGAAGTAGCAGCAGACTACCATGGGTTGGTAATCGATGGATTCATATGCTTCACGAAGTCTCTGCCAAAGTGAGACTTGCATGCCGATGTTGCTGTTCTTGAGGAAGTTTAGAAGCTCAGACGGGGCTGGATTGGGGTTGCCCGAATCGCTGTCTTCATCAGGGCTCACTACACTGCTAATGTGTAGATCTTCGTGTAATGTCTCCAAGAGTGGCTCAAGACCTTCAATGACCACGGTGGGATCATTTTGTGTAGGATCAAAGACCTTGGTGAAGAAGTCCTGAGTTGTCAATCGAGAGAGCTCTCTATCAATAGCCTCGATCGACATTTGAGGCATCACGGAGTTGTTGGGGAGATCGATCACTGTCTCGCCAACGGCTTCAAAGATTGATCTGAGTTCTGACCAACAGGCGATGACCTGTTCTTGTGAGATATTGTTCGAGACACTGATATGATGAGTGACAGTCCACAAATAGCGTAGGTTGATCTGATCTTTCAAGCTTGGTTTTTGTAGTAGACTAGTACGCAAATTCATCGCATCGCGGGCGAGATTGCCCCATCTTTCAGCACGGTCTTCCTGAAGCTGCAGAGTTTCCGTGTCAACACCGCTGTTAGGCTCCTTGACAAGCGAGTATACGTCCACGTGTAGTTCGAAGAGAGTCTGTATGACCTCAATAAAGGGAAGAGCGTCTTCCAGCTGCTCAATCTTTGTGTCCGAGAGCAGGACCTTATCCCACTTCGAGACAAAGTCGGACAGCGTCTCAAAGATGAACGCATCAGTCGTGACAAGGACCCGGACTAGAAGCGCCTTAAAGTCTTGTGGCCATGTGTGACCAAGGTAGCTGGATGTGCCGGTAGACAACTCAGGGCGTGTGAGGAGTCCGTGATCGGGACTGAGAAATTGTATGACCCATTCGTAAAGCACATCGTTGATGTGGAGGAAGTCCGAGTTCGTTCGGGATGTGAAACGGTCAAGCTCGGCACGTAGATCCAAGTCAGGTTTGTTGTCAGTATGTGCCTGATTGATGGGAGCGGAAGAGAAGCGGCCACTCGGCTTGACATGAGCATCAGAGGTCGTGTCGAGATCGCTGTTAGCGTTGAGCAAGACCCGTGCTCGGTCATCGGAATAGTCATTTAGAAAAGTGTACATGTCCACACAGGCAAGGTCTACACCCTGCGGCTTTATCTCCTTGTCACCCGCAGCTTCGCGCAGGTCCTTGCGTACGTTGGGTGACACCGCAAATCTGGGCAAGTGCACCTTCTCGAAAAGCTCGTCCAGCGATTCAAAGAGCTGGTTGTCAACATAATCCAAGTCTGCCAAAGCATCGTCTGCTTGAGCTGGGTCCACCATGGTGTCGTCCTCTAGCTGACTCTGATCGACAATTGACTCTCTGGCGCGCAGACGCTTGCTCTTCGATCTTGCGCCTTCGGCAGAATTGCTGTCAATGAGTCCAGCAGCATCGCTTGAGCGTTTGCGAGTAGGCAGGACGGTAACAGATGGCGTTCGAGAAGTGTCTTCTGTGTTTTCAAAATCCTTGGGAGCAGGAAGAGGAACAGTTGGTTGACCGCCGTCGGTGCCAGGGAACTGAGCGTCAACTAAAGAAGACATGGCAGGTGACGGGGCCGATGTTTGATGAGGGGATGGCTGGTCAGGCTCAATCAGCTCGACGTCTGGAGACTGACGGTCCGAATTAAAGGAGATCCCAAGGCCAGGCAGAGCCGATGTAGTGCCTGCTTGCTCAGCCAGATAGTGACGTAAAAGGATGTCGCCCAGATCGTGCCATGACTTTGGTGCGCTGAGTACACATCGAAGTGCCTGGTGCGGCGAGGCAGGCGACACGGGGTGTTCATTCTGGTAATTGTGGATGACCGAGTAATTGGCCAGTTTCTGTTTGAGCATGCTGGACAGTTGGCGGCGCTTCATGGTCGACAGAGGAGCTTGCAATACGGATAGCTCATCTTGTAGTTTGGCGACCAGTTCTCGTAGTTGTTGACCAGCCAGTGTCTCTGAGATGCCAGGTATGGATAGCACAGAGTCCAGGCCTTGGGCATCATCGTCCAGCACAGCTTCAAGACAAAAGCGAGCGATGCGATGGCTGCCTAGCATCTCTCCAACAGCAGCAGAGCGTCTCCACAGATCCAGATCGGTGTCATCCTTGTCTATAGCCTCGACAAAGCACTCAAGGGCAGCAGCAGACGCTTTGAGGATGTGTTTTGTGTTAAGCTGAACATCTTGTGTGGAGTGCAGCAGTTCATATTGCAGAGACTCGAGTAGAAATTGACCGTGATTCTTGTAGGCGAGATGGATGATTTGAGGCAGAGTACTAGGTGCATTCTCTCCAGTCGGCACAAAATGATCTTGGTCGTGTGAATAATAGTAGTCGTCTGTTTCTGGTTGTGGGCCATAAAGTTCTAGGCGTTTGAGTTCTTGTTGCGACTCTGGATATTTGAAGATGTCTGATTCGAAGAGGGCGCGATATGCTTCGGCAGCCTGAGCATAGGAAGGAGGACCATCCGAGTGAAATTTCAGGGCAGTCTGGTATAGCTTGAGAGCTTCTTCAATCTGGATTTCCTTGGTGTCGTCGATCTCGATGTCTTCTTCATCGTCAGATTCGAGGTTGAGGGCTTTGAAGGTCGCCATGGCGAGTGATGGCAGGCCGGAGTGGCCACTTGATGGTCGCGGATGCCTCACGGTCCGGCATGCGATGTTGTGTGCAGAAGAGGAAGGCGCGCAAATATGAACCTGGAACCAGAAATCAAGGTGCTTGTTGCGGAAGGAGCGTCAGGGCCAAATCGGGCTGCTCTTGCCCGCGGGGAACGCCAAGATGGTCATGATGGCGCGCGTTCGGTCCATCGAACAACAAGACCAATCCCCTGCTGCACCTTGCGATCAAAGACTAGAAAAGTGCTTGAAGCGGAAGGTGCGATCTTGTTTGCTGTCGTCTTCGTCTCACACAACCGGCGCATGGTTCAATCGGTATACCAACGCAAGCGACAATGATCCAAACAGCTGTCCCCGAGTTCGTCACCACTTCCTGCCGGTCCGGACTACTTGACTGACAACCCCGGGCAGGATCTTCGAGGATGACTCGACTTCTGTGGTAGAAATTCGCACAGAGAACTTGCAAGCCTTGCGAGAATTGGGTCCGCCCGATCTGGTGCACCTCGTCAAGCAGCCCGTCAAGTCGACCAGCAAGCAGGTACCACGCAATGCCATGCGTCGAAGCCCCTCGAAGCTCGTCATGACTGACCATGTCCTCGTCNNACAGGTCGGAGTCTACCACCACGTTAGCGGTACAGATGCCTCGTCGTCGGCCAGTCTCGCAGCCTACATCAACACGCTCGTCTACTCTCCACACGACAAGACCAACAAGGTCACCTCCGGTCTCTACTGCTGTTACAATGCCTTCTCTCGCCTCGACATGCGCGTCCAAGTCCAGATTCCTGGCACGGTAGAAAGCTACTGCGTCAACGAGCGTGGTGACAAGCTCGAGGCTTCCGAAGAACACTGGCTGGAAACATATCTGTGCAGCGTCCTGCGCGCCTACTCTTACGCCGATGACGGCTCTGGTGACACCATCAAGAAGATTGTTGGAGTCCGTCGCTTCAACCCCATCACCAACACCGAGGCCGAGCACAAGTTTCTGGATGCCGCCGAGCGTCTGTTCTTTGCTGGTGAGCCTGCACTACCCGCAATCTGGTCATCCACACACTGACTCAACTCACANGGCTGGCAGCTGGGCTCCGACCCTGAGATCCAAGTGCCCAACCTCGTATCCAACCATCTCACCACCGGTCTCCTGAACTACATCCGCACAACTGGCCGCTACACCTCGGGCATCAACCTCTTCGAAAAGCTACGCACGCGCGACCCCGAAATATCATCTCTGCTCGCCCGTGTCTACATTATGGGAGATGAAGAAGTCAAGGCTGTACAACTGCTCCGCGAAGCCATTCACCAGATGCCCATGGACTACCCCTTGCTCGACTGCCAGGCCGAATATTGTCTGTCCAAAGGCAGGAGCGACTTGGCTCTCGAGATCGCAAAGCGAAGTGTCATCTCAGCTCCCAGCGAATTCGCTACCTGGGCGAGATTAGCCGAAGTCTACATCAGTCTCGAGCAGTGGGACATGGCTCTCCTGACTCTCAATTCGTGCCCCATGTTTACCTACCAGGACAAGGACTCACCACGCATGCCCGAACCTGCTCGCGTCTCTCTCCCACTTGCGCCAGAAGCCATGTGTGACGAGATCGACGACTCCAACACTGTCGGAGAAGAACTCGTCCACCCTAATCTGCGTAGATTGAGTGCTGCAAACTACAAGGGCACATTCCANAAGGCTTACTCCTTGTTGACCGAGGTCACCAAGCGCATTGGCTGGGATCACCTCCTCAAAATCCGTAGTCAGGTTTTTGTCATGGAGGAAGAGTACCGCCACGAGAGACAGGCCATTGTTCAGCAGGAAGCCCACTCACGCAGCGCTAGTACCACTGCCCTGCGAAGTCCTGCTGCTACCGATGACAGACCATCGACTGCTGGTTCGGTTTTCACTAACGGCGACACCCCACCAGCCTCTGCTGCCCTGGGAGACGATGTGTCCAAACCACAGCACACCGTCACGGCGGTGCCATCTATGGAAACTCCTGACCCTCAACCCCCAGCGGCTGATCCACAACACCTACAATACACACAGTTCCAGCACAAGCGTCTTTGTGAGCGCTGGCTTGATAATCTCTTCATGGTTCTGTACGAGGACTTGCGCATCTACACAATCTGGAGAACCGAAGCTCAGCAATACAAGTCGCAACAACTCGCTTATAAAAAGTCGGCTGACGAGTGGGAAATCTTGGGCGAGCTCGCAGACCGCCTGCACAGGCCCGATGATGCAGCGGAAGCATGGGAAGCTTGCCTCAACATGCGCTTCTCGCCAAAGGCCATGCGCGGGATTCTCTCTGCATATGAGAGGTACGGTGACGTGCGCGGAGAACTGGGTGCTCTGATTAGACTCATCGCTTGGCAATACAAGTGGTACTCAGAGGTAAGGACGATTGTTGCGCTTGAAGTCGGAACATGCTGACAGTCATATTTANNGTTTTCACCATCTTTGGTCCACGTCATCCGGAAGTTGATCGAAGAGGAAGGCGCCGTCAAGGTCAGGAGTATAATCCAGGCGACATCTCTACCTCAACATATCTTGGATCTGACACATCAATACGCTGGTTTGTGTGCGGCCTTCAGGAGTAGCGGAAGCGAGGCTTGAAGTTTTTACAATGAGGATACCCTTTGTTTATCGACGCGTACTGAAGCATTTTTGTTATCTCCGAATGGAAAAGTAAGCAGCAGATTATCGTGCTGTACCTCGTGCCAGTACGAAACAATCCGACGCTTTCTTTGCACGCATCTCAATATTTGATCAACATATGCGGTCAGATGTTTATCTCAGAAGGGAAAATCCATGTGAGTTACCATGCAGGATGACATGTCGGCAAGTAATGGTAGTCAGCAACGTGCTACAGCCGAGCTACAAATGCAAGGACGGAACACATCTTTTGACACATGTCCTCGAAAGTCATCTATTGTTGATCCCATGGTATCTGTGTTCGCAGATACTTTGTCAAGCCGCCCGGGAAGCAGCATGCCGCGATCTCACTTGACATACCGCAGCTCCGATTCCTTACGCAAACTTCTCTTTGCGAGTTTACATGTTTATTCTGTTCCGCATTTTCGCGTCAAGGTGGTGCTTCGACCAATGAGATCTTGCATTTCACCCCGCACATGCTAAACAGACCTCCGGGCATGCGCTCTTTGACCATTAATCCAAGTTCCACAACACCAGATCTCACACGACGCTTTTTGGAGCATCGATGTGCCAGTCATATGTCCATCAGCAGAGACCGACCCCGAACTTCCGGGATGACCCATCAGCATCAGGGCTCAGATGACGACTCGGATGATCGATCGGACAACCTAACCGTACGCGAACCGTCAAACACCAACATGACACTGAAATCCTCTGCCATACACGCAAGAGGCTTGAGCGATGGATTCAAGATCAAACCTACGAGAAACCGGCCTCGTATAAGTATGTATAAGCGTTGTGTTTGATCTATGGTTCACAATGAGACATGGAGAAGCGCTACGAACGGCTGCTAGTCCCTACGCCTGCCCGTTATACGTCTAGAATACCACCAGGGTTTCTTACAGAAGTATGGTCAAGATGTCAGAGATTATGCGCGACTGCCGCGACGTCGCGTCTCCGCAGTATCCGCGAGTCGAAACTCATGCGAGATGATCGAGACCCTTTTATACACAATATCACCCCCTTGCCGCTGTAAGCGAGACACATAACATGATATATCACAGCAACACTCTTCAAACGCCACATGCAACAAAACAGCAGCGCGTGCGGCGGCTCGGTCTTCTCGGATGCCACATGCCATGTTCTTCTTTTTGTCCTGACAGCAGTCGCAGCACTCTTGTGTGTCGGTTTCGCAACTGATCTTCCTCTTCTCCACACGACGCAGCAGCACCTAGCATATGCACCGTCGCGAGCTTGCCATATTAAATTTTAATATATGTTCGCTAGGGAACGTGCATCCGGCTTTGCGGCCAATGACAAGCGAGACCTTAGCGCCATTCAACGACAAGAAACCCTTTGCTGCCCCAGCCCGCATACGATAGCGTGCCTTTGGGTTGGAAACAACGCCCCTCTGTCTGTTTTCTTGATCGCTGACACCTGTTTGCTCACGTTTTGGCCTGGGCAGTTCTTAGCCCTTTGCACGGTGTTTGGAGTGGCCTGCTCTGTCAAATCCCGATGGATTGGTGACATGGTCCCACTATTGCTTCATACAGTTCTCACTAGGGCTCCATGTTCCCTCAAGCCGGGAAACATATTGAGCGAGACGGGACGAGGCGTGGCCCATATTGAGCAAATATGATAGCGTGCAAAAGGTGGATGGGAAAATCTTGGACCGAGGAGCCCAGCATTTTGTTAATCAATCATCCTACCCGAAAGGAAGTCCCCGCTAAGCAACCAATGCATTACTTTTAGCAAGTGGAATCCCTCCTTTCTGGCGCTTTCGCCTGGGTTTCATCAACCTTGTCGCTGGGAAATTCCTCCTTGTCTGGTATATTCGTACACGACATCTTTGTTTGCATTGCGTGGAACACACCCCGGCTGCTGGACACCCAGGACATTGATAAGACTGCACGTCGCAGGTTACAAGCGTTGACACCGAGAACCGCTTCTTCGGGACCCTTGTTACGGTCTGCTGGCCTGTCTGGCTTTTGCACTTTCCAACTATGGCAATTACGACTTTTGACTGCAGGGTATCACCCTTGCCGTCTCTGGATTCTGTCGCTACGACGCTTGTCTCTCATTACCTGGTTGTTATCTTGACTGCTTTTGTTCTTGGATATGTGTTCTATCAACGCTTTTTTGCGCCTCTGGCTGGAGTGCCTGGACCTTTCTGGGCGAGCTTAGGGAAAGGATGGTTGATAGTCAGGGCGAAGAAGGGAGACTTGCATAGGGAGTTGATACGGTTGCATGAGTTGCATGGGCCGTTGGTGAGGGTTGCTCCCAAGGAAGTGTAAGTGAGAATTCATTTCTATCAGTCTTGTCGTTGTCGGAGAAATTTGTTCAGAAACCAATGGTCCGGGAGGTGCATGATATCGTCGATATCCCGATGATCTTCTCATTCCGAAGAAGAGCATCCTCTCGATCCTTTTCATGAGTTCCTGTCATCGTTTCTCTGTTTGCTCTCCTCGCCGCCTCGTCCCTGTCTTTGTTTCGTCACAAGGCGCAACTGTCATCCTGTCCTAACGTCCTTCTTCCATCCAGGNAGCGTAGCAGATCTTGACGGTATCAAGATGATCTACGGCGCTGGATCCCACTTCCACAAATCAGATTGGTACTCAGTCCTCAAAGGCCGCCGCACATTCGACCCCTTCGCCGAACAAGACCCTCACGTCCACGCCGCACAAAAGAAACTAGTCATCCGTCCTTACGCCATGGAAACACTCAAAGACCTCGAACCCTACGTCGACTCCACAATCTACCACTTCATAACCCGCATGCGCGAGAAGATGCATTCGCAAATCGATCTCGGCAAGTGGTTCCAACTCTTGCTTTTTGATGTCATTGGCGAAATCACNTTTTCCAAACGCTTTGGCTTTATGGATACGGAACATGATGATGGCAGTCTGAAATCTGTGGAAAGCACTTTGGCTTCTGCGGCTTGGTTGGGTCATGTGCCTTGGCTATTCTGGATCCACGATTACCTCAAACCGTATATTGGGAATTGGTTGGGAGTTACCAACCGTACTGGAAGTCTGATGCAACGCGCACTCAAAGAAGTAGAAGAGAGAAAAGTGCGCGGCACAGACCGCAACGATATACTCGAAAAGTTTTTTAGGCTGCAGAGGGAGAAACCCGATCAAGTCACCGATGTTGCGGTGATTAGTATGGCTGCTGCTAATATTACCGCCGGCTCGGATACTACTGCCATCTCATTGCGCAGCATCATCTACCACTTACTCCAAAACCCACAACATCTAGTTACCTTGCGTCAAGAAATGAAAACAGCGGAAAAGGAACACAGGTTGAGTGATCCAGTTACCATGGAGCAAGCAGACCGCATGCCCTTCCTCCAAGCCACCATCCTCGAAGGCTTGCGCATCCACTCTGCCATTGGCGGTTTACTCCCTCGTATTGTTCCTTCCTCTGGCACCATGATCGCTGGCCACTACATCCCCGCCGGCCATGTCGTGGGCGCCTGTGCCTGGGTCATCAACCGCAACACCACCATCTTCGGCGCCGACGCCCACACCTTCAACCCCCACCGCTGGCTCCGCGGCAACAATAAGGCCGAAATGCAAAGATATTTCTTGACGTTTGGNGGTGCGAGTCGCATGTGTTTCGGAAAGAATATCGCGTTTATGGAGATGACTAAGATGGTGCCTACCTTCTTGAGGCATTTTGATGTCGAGTTGACGTATCCTGAGCGCCCTTTGACGGAAAAGAATTAGTAAGTTGTGCGAAGAGTGATGGCTGACAAGATTATTGCTGACTTTTTGGTAGCTTTTCGTTATTCAGGAAGGACTTGTTGTTAATCTCAAACCTAGAGATGGAAAAGTAGAAGAGAAACAGGCCAATGGAGGTGCCGAGAAGCAAAGTAATGGATATTAGACTGGCCCAGCTTTGTTGTCGTATTGGTTTATTTCTTTGTTTTTTTTTTAATTCTTCTTTTCTTTTTTTGTCTCTTTGAGATACACTGGCTGCTATACGTCACAGCTGCAGATTCAAATTACCTTCGGAATTCACCAATATTGACAATTCTTGCGTTTCTTGCATCCCGAACATTTCGAGGGTTCCACGACGTGCACTTACGGTATTTTAAGGAAGAGTGTTCTTTCACCTCACGATGATAGAACACTCTACAAGCCTCCCTTGTCGAGAGGTTGAAAGGTCTGAACTGATGCTTTCCATATGGAACGAAGAATACTGCTCTGCACTGGAACACTCTTTCTTCGACGCCCTGATCCACGTGTCTCTGAAAAGAGGCTGTCAGCCACGACGGTGTACATACAGGGGAACAGCAGCTTCGTTGGATAATGCGTGACTTTGCAAAATCCTCATCTCGACCTTTGGTAAATACCTCCGATTCGGCACAAATCTTTCTGAACGTAGGCGGGAGCATGTGCGCGCTACATTCAACGGAGCTGCTTCTCTATGTTATGTACTTGTTCGGCCTGATGACATGCCATGACTGTGATCTGGAAAGCTCTTTGTGTCTGTCCGAGTCAGTAGTAAGCACCTTAACACTATTTATACCTCCTTCACATGAAGGCGTGATCGAGAGCGCTAGCCAATGTACGACAGCCGTAGTCACTTTCCAGGTGGCTTTGTGAAATTGGCCCTTCTGATTGAGTCTTTGTGGCTTCACGGCAGTTCGGGGTTATTGGGACTTGGATAAGCAGATCAAAAGAGCATACCCAGAAGTATTGCCTCGAGACTTGTTGAAGACCCGCATGTAGGACTATTCTGCGTGCTCGCGGATCATTGGAGTGCTACTCAAGTTTGTGAGTTTTGAATTCTGGCTACTCGAGTAGTCAGCGTTTGACAGGAAGACGCAATAAACATGTCCGAGGGTCGCTCGTGCTCGGCCTTTCGTGCTCGTGCTCAACTCTACACAGCACGGTACTCGAACTACTGTCATAAGGTTTATGCGCGCCGTGCCCCGCGGACCGAGAACCTTACACTTACCGCACATGGCGCAAGAACATTCTGCCTTCTTCTTCTTCTCCTTTCAATACTGACAATCAGCTTTCGACCTTCGCAACTGCTTCAATCTTCCAGTTTGAACTCGCAGCGCTTTCGGTGGAATGACTCCTTTGGGTGTCTCTAATCCCGAACAAGGGTGATGAGGATCGCCTGATCTGCAGTGTAGCGAGCATATGCATCTCGGGGAGACTGTGGCTTGCGCAAACCTGCAGCTCGGCCCATTGGCAAAGTTGTGGCCTTAGCATCGACGCACACTCATGGATATTCTTGACTCTTTTCCAGGGTTCCTGCTGTGTTTCTCGGGGAATTGAATACTTGTTAGTGAGTCACGAAACCGGCTGCAGGCCCACTGTCGCGAGTCGGGTGAGTCCAGGGACAGAAAGGTCAGTGAGAGTCAGCTGTTCAATCCTTCTCGCAAGTGGGCCGCCTTGAGGCTTGATTTTGCAGGATCTGTTGTTCTTATATTGCCCAGACTCAGTGTTGAGCGCGCGATGGATCTAGAATGGTACGCCCTTTACTTATCACGGAGTAAGTCGCCCTGCAATGTTGCCGTTTTTATTGCTGACAGGTACGTATTCATTGCGTCCGGAGTACACTTGTTTCTTGACCATTGTTCATTTCTGGGTCTTACAAGCCTGGGTATACCTCCAGAAGTGGTAATCTTTCAACTCTAGCCTTGAATTCTGGTGAATACTTGCGCAGAATTTCAGCCGCACGATGCGGCAACAAAGACAAGGCGGCCGGGATGATGGTCCCAAGGCTGCAGTATGGGGCCGCAAAGTAGTGACAAGTGAAGCACATTGCGACACTCGAACAGGCGAGCGACCTTGATTATAAAATGCAACTAATCCTGATCGACCCAGGAAACCAACATAAAGCCGCAGCTAATCCTTCCCCAAACAGTTTTGTCGTGTTTCACCAACTCCTCCGCTCACTTTTTGTGCATGAGGCAAGAACGAGGCTTGCAGCAAAATCCTTTCAGATATTCCGTTCGACCTCTTTTCGCATAGTCACGAGCTAGAGGAAGGATACGCAGCAAACCAGTCTTTGCAGGATTAGCCATGGACTCTGAACAAACACAGCCCCTTCATTCACCACCTCAAGCCATCATAACACCTTCGCCTGCATTATCGCAAGCATCGACAATCTTTGAGTCTACACCTCGTCCGCCACGACAACGAGCAACATTTGCACGACTGGCTTCCGTCGACGACGGACAATACACAGTAATTAAAAGCCATGAGGACGACATCACTGAAGCCTCGCCCTACAATGACGACCACAATACATCCAAGGCTCATGGTCTAGGTATCGATATCGACAAAGATACCGGAGGGAACTCGGATGATCTCAAAAAGGATTTGGTGTCAATGAACATGAGTTACCCATGTGGAGTCCTAGGCCCGCGATCAAGGCCTCGGCATTCAGTTCGCAGACCAGTTTCCCCCAAGGTTCGGCATATGAGTATGACGCGCACCGTCTTCGCAATCGTCGTAGCTTTGCGGAGTCGTTGAAGGCAGTCTATGACGGTGAGTTTGTCCAGCATCACGTTGACTGGAGAGAAACCAAAATCCCAGATGGATTGAGACTGACCGATGAGATAGACTTCGGACCGACGGACACTTGTGCTGCGCACCAACACTTCCATCACAATAGGAAAAATTGGCTCTCGGTGACAATATTGGTTCTGGCGGTATACTCCACGGTTATGTCTGCCCTCTTCCTCGTCCTCGCTTTGCGCGGACCACGATACAACTGGATTCGAAAGGGCGGGATCATGACACCATCCATTGCAAACCTTCTCTCCGCTCTGTTTGCCAAAACCATCGAACTGTCGTTTGCGACTGTAATTGTTTCCTTCCTGGGACAAGTTCTTTCACGCAGGGCTTTCATGAAGGACCAAGGCCGCGGTATCACGCTTGCAGAAATGGATATGCGCAGTTGGGTCATGCAGCCTGGAACCATGATCACGCACTTTGAGGCCCTCAAATCCAGCATTTTGTCTTTTCTTGGTGTGCTGTCGCTGGTCGCTGCTATCGTAGCCATGCTGTACACCACAGCTTCTGAATCCCTTGTGCAGCCATATCTTCGCTACGGACCCTGGGAAAATAGACCCATGCAAGGCCTTGTCAAAACCATCTTCGCCAACACGATATACCTAGGACAAAACTGTGGGACGCCGATCAAGAGCACAGAAGATGCGAGTGCGGGTAATACCTGTCTCCAGATTCAATATGCTGCGCACAGCTTCTATAACTACCAACGCTACATCTCCGATTGGTCGACTATCTCGAATAACGGCAACGGAACCAGTGATCCTGCTCACCGCCCAAAAGGCTTTGCAATGATTTTCGAAAATACTACGGTCACTGCGCCCTGGATTGATTTAGAGTACAGCAACGTTACGAAAAACTCACAAGAGCATCAGAGAATCATCAATAATGTGACACTTGCTTTGCCGCACTCTGGTGTGCCTGGAGCAGCCTGGGACTCGATCAACAATATTTTACAGCCTGAGGTGCGTAAGTCACAACACTATCATGTATATCGGACTAATAAGAGCATANNGGATCTGGATGGTCAGGGAGTATATCAACTACAAGCTTCTGTTCCATCGCCAGCGGTCAATGTTCTGTGTGCGCAAATGACACAAGAAGAGCTCTCTCCGATTGTGTACACAGAGTGGAATAATAACACCCTCAACGCTACACTATGGCCTACTGGAGCACAACTAGCTTTCTATGAGCCCGGATATCCAAATGGCACCTACCTCAACAAAACTGTAGTCGATGACATATTCGAGTGGGGAGAACAGTACCAAACCTCGCGCCCAATATTCCCAAGACTGCCTCTGTCTTACAACACTGTAATGAATCACACCGGGGCTTATGGCAGGAAAGCCATCTACTTGCTCGGAAGAGATGCTGCCGACAACTACGCCCTCTGCTCTCTTAAAGTGTTTCAAACACCTTTCTGCTCGACTGTATACAATGCTTCAGTCGTGGGCGCAAGTCTAGAAGCGAGGTGCGACAATTCCCCAACAGCGCACCTCACAAACCCAATGCGCTACATCGACAGCCTCAACAACGCCACATCGGGCAACGACACCATCAGCAAAGATTGGCCCGACATTGGCTCCGAATGGTCCAATTCACTCTCCCTCAACGCCGGAATTACAGACGGGGATGCCTCCAACGCACGCCTCCTCACCGAACTCATCCTCTCTAAACAATCATTACCTGTCGATCGACCCAGTATTGCTGAAGCTCTAGCAGTCCTGGCTAGTTCGACTCTCTTGATGTCCTGGCAAGACGCACCCTTTGTTCAGTTCTATAATTATTCCACAACTATTCTTGAGCCCGGACAACGGCAAATCTTCAATACTAGTCTCCGAGCCCAAGAGTATGCTTCTGGCGGCACGGGCGAGCCAGGTACTCATGCGTTTTACGTTGTGCTGTTTGCAATCTTCATCATCAACGTGGTCTGTCTGGTATACTTCATCAGTCAGAATGGCTTGGTCACGGATTTCTCGGAACCGTTGAATTTGTTCAGTCTGGCGGTCAACAGTCCTCCGAGTGATTTGATGGCAGGGGCGTGCGGAGGTGGCCCGAGAGGAGAGCAGTACAAGGGCCGTTGGTTCGTCAATGCAGCTGGTGAGCATCTGTTCATGGAAAACAAGGTCGATGGTAGGGAAGTGGGTGATGAAGGTTTGAGAAGGTTGCAGGGGCATGGGTTGTCAGCGAGTGGCCTAACCCCGATCAGTCCTATGAGGGCAGCATACGAAAAGATGAGCCGACGGAAGAGTTGGTTCTGATCAAGATCGCTATTGTAAACTAGTCGGCTTTCTTTTAAGAGCGCGAGGTATGTTCTTCATATATAATAAGTTTGCTGCTGAGAAAACAGGTCGGCTTGCTAATAGATAGCATGCATTTAGGGATACCAATGCGTGCGCCAGAAGCTTTGAGCTACCACTTACCGGAACCTTCAATTTCATACCTGTTTCTCAAGAACAACAACTTGATGAAGAAATACTTTGCACAATCGAGTCTTACCCAGTCCAGCAGAATGTCATCCTCACAGTTATGCTGGGCGTGATGACTCATGCTCGTATTGATTACGTCAGCTGCACCGAACTCTTTACTTTTCAGAAACTCATACAAGACCAACATACAGAGACCAACAGCTGTAAAGACAATCGTAGGCCACTAATGACAGACAAGATGGATGGCAAGCCTATTCGTGTCGGTGCTGACGCACTTGCTTACTTCGGCCTTGATAAGGGTTATCGCAACTTCAACCACGGTACAACGCGGCTTCCTTGAGAATACCAATAAGACGGTTGAGGATTACCTATACTGATCTGTCCACTCATAGGCGCGTACGGCACTTATCCCACTGAGGTCCGGGATGTCCTGTTCAAAACTCTGCTCGACGCTGAATCCCGCCCATGTCACTTTGTCAACTATGAGCAGCCGAAAGCACTACAACAACAAAGATCAGTCATTGCGAAATATCTCAATGCACCCACGGAATCTTGCGTCTTTGTGCAGAACGCAACAATGGCATTCAACATTGTCTTGCGCAACTTGTCATTCGAAAAGGGAGATTGCATAATCTACTTCCCTACTACCTTCGAGGCTTGCAAGAACACAATCAAGCATGTTTGTGAGATGTCTGCGGCGAAAGCAGTCATGGTTGAATCAGCTCTCGCACCTGAAGCTATGTGCGAAGCCTTGGAGCAAACTATCAGCAACCTCAAGAACTCAGGCCTGAATCCCAAGATCTGTATCATAGACACGATATCGTCCTTCCCTGGCATCAGGATGCCTTTTGAGAAGCTTGTCCGGATATGCAAACAACATGGTGTACTATCATACGTGGACGGAGCTCACGGCATTGGCCACATCTCACTGGATATGGATGAGCTGGATGCCGACTTCCTGGCTACAAATTGCCATAAGTGGCTGTATGTACCTCGCAAGTCCGCTGTGTTGTATGTTTCAGAACGCAACCACGCGTTGATCAGATCAGGTCTTCCCACTGGTGCAGTTCTCGACACAAAGAATTGCGAGGACCCCAGTCCTTTGGCAGCCAAGTTCGGCAGTCTCAGTACTCTTGACGGCAACAACTCTCTGTGCGTGGAAGCAGCAATAAACTTCAGAACACGGATGGTCTGGCAAGATCTACAAGGAGAGGACGCCATCTACGCCTATCTGCAACATCTAGCCATCAAAGGTGCAGCCATCGTTTCCAAAGCCCTCGGCGGTACAGCCACCTTCGAGGACATCTACGATATACCCAATCGTTGTGGTTTCGCAAACGTCAGACTGCCTCTGGATTACCGGGAAATCACCAAGGGAGACGTGGCACTCGCCACCCAATGCTCGAGTTGGATGTTTAGCACTCTTGTCGAGAAACATAATACAGCGCTGTTGATCGCAGTGTATGATGGTTCTTGGTGGGCGCGGATTAGTGCACAGATATATCTTGATTTGGATGACTTTGTGTGGTTGGGAGATACGTTGAAAGCAGTTTGTGATGAGGTTCGACAGAAAGAGTGGCAGAAACCTCAAAGCGGAAGCTAAACGAATCCTCGATTAACAATGGCCCCTCGATGTGAAGCTTTATGGCCACAGTACCCAGATGTGGACGCATGTCTAAGAGCTTTTCAGACCACGCTTGTAGTACAGTAATGCACAGTGATAATGGGAAAGTTTAAGAGATTCGTGAGAGGCTGGGAAGGGACTGTGGCGGACACAATCGTTGACTCAATCTTGTGCCATAAACCTTTTCCAACTTCACTTTCTGCTTTGGAATAGCAGCCTGTCTATACGCATCGCCTTGAGCGATACCTCTTCTGGTGTTCACCGCACAATTAACATATTTCCGGTCTCGATTGAACAACCATTTCGCATTTCCGGCCGAGGTCACTTTCACTCGAGCGTGCTTTGGTCACCGTATTGACATCAGCTTATGATCCTTGCGCTCAAACGGCGGGAAAGATGTGGGTTCCACTTGTGTCTTACAGGTGCGGCGGCCTTATGCAAGTATTCACTCTCATGTATATCTACTGGTCTTTGTTGCCACTATTGCTTGGCGGTTGCCTGGTTCACTTCCACCATCAAGCACACTCCGATCAGCGATTTTTACCACCACAACAACATTTTCCCTGCTTTTCGTCATCACAAGGATGCAGTTCACAAAGTCAGAACCGTACATCGCTGCCGTTCTCGGCGGCGCACAAACAGAACTTGACCTGTCCGGCGATCAACCATTCAACCTCTCAATCACTCTTACTCTCCATGCCAAAGCTCCAATCATCTGCTACATCGGAGAAGACGATACATTCTTTGTTCCTCGAAATGCCTTGTACGATGCCGGCATCATATTCAAAGATGATCAGACAAAGCAGCAAATCCCATCTTGTCACATCGACATCTGCAGGCTCACGGAGTTTTCGGGACCTGAAAGACCTCTAAATGAGCATACGCGCCTTTACATGCAGCCCGAAAAGCCCGTTGTTTTCGACATCCGTTTCAACTCAACACAAAAAATGGGAGGCGATGGTAACTTTGATTCGAAGCTCTGCATGGCGACCTCGGGATTCCGAACCGGTTGCACCTACCATGCTTCTCTGCCCAATGATCGCAAGATCTCTTGGTGGCGATGGGCGAGTTTTTGGGAGGCTGAAGGGCAAGGGCAGGAAGATCTTGTCGTCATGGCTGGGATAAGATCAGGCACCAGGTCTGTTGTTGGTTGGTGGACAGGCGATAAAGAACGCAGACGAGGAGTTCCCGTGCTGTCCGAAGACAATAAATTGCCCATCTACATCGAAGGGGACGGTGTTGTCTTCTCCTGCGTTGGCGAGCCAATGAAATGGCCCGTGTGGCCTTTGCCAGACGATGACTACCAGAGAAGGATGGCTGAGGAAGGAAGAGAACGCATGGCGAAACGGGAGAAAGCTTACACTGATGCAATGAATGCAGCCAGAGCAAGACAAGCTGCTTAATCCTACATCGATGGCAATAGAGACAAGGCAACGACATCACCATCGCCCGTTTGCAGAGAGATATCTCGGATCGTGCAACTAGAAGGATGATATCTCTGTACGATAGCATTCATGTCACACAAAGCCTTCTAGTCTTTACAAACCATATCTCTCCATGACACAACACCCCATCGTGTATACTGTCTAGGTATTCTGCTCGATGGTAGCAAACGAATCACATAAGCCGCATGAAGCTAATATCTGTCATCATATGGAGCCATCAGCTCGTTGTGCTCCACATCATGTGGGAACTTCTCCGTCGAAGCAGTAGTATGACACCAAGGCTTGACCGTAACCTCCTCTCTGATCTTCTTCGAAAAGCAGCCAGACCAGCCACGGCGAGGATAGTTTTCCACAACATCCTTGATTGTATCTGGATGAACATACTCCGGATGGTATCCCATATTGTCGAATTGAGTAGCCAGTTGAATCAGCAAGCCAATGGTGGTGATAGTACCCGTCTCTACAGGATCTTGATGACGGATGATAGCTTCAGCCACAGACTCTGCTTGAGCAGCCGGAGCATTGAACTTTCTGAGTGTTTCCATGGCTAGGTATCCGCCATAGAACTCGAACGACATGAATGTGCCGTGAGTGTGCTTATCTGCAGTACCGATATCGTGGAACAAGCAGGTCAGTAACCATGTCTCTGGGCTAAACTTCCAACTTGGGAACTGCTGGGTGGCTATTGCCATGCNCTGATCGCTTCTTTTAGCTTTTGTTTTCGAAAGGACAATGCAAATGTGCTTACCGTAATAAAATACGCGCATGCTATGGTTGAAGGTGTGCTCTGGCAATTCATTCTTGACGTACTCCATGGCAGCTTTAATTAAAGGTGTATCCGGTAGATGCACTTGACTGCAGAGCTGGACTACAGGATCATGATTGTTCTTCTTGTTGCCGCCCCATTGTTCAGGATCGCAGGAAAGAGCAGTCCAGCCGTATTCGGCGATTTGCTCGTCACGGGAGAGACTCATGATGCCCGAGGGTTAATAGCTTCTTGAATTGCCGTGACTTGAACTCGACAGTCAAACGCTCACACTTGTGCCGGACGAAAGTCGGTTTGTCAAAAGTGCAAAACGCAATCGGAGTGATATTGGTTACATCATAATTTGTCGGAGTCACTTCCTCGATACGGCAGGTACGGCCAGCACGATACGGTAGATACGCTACTCCATAACAAACATTGGAACAACACCGAAACGCGCAATCACTGTCTTCTAGTCTGGGTAGGACTGTGCGATGTCCGTGTCAAGTGTGCCGCTTATTTGATGTCTCTATTCCATGCAAACATCGCAATGAAAGTAAATAACATTCAGCCGATAGAGTTGCTTACATCATCATCGCTTGTCGCGAAGCTTCACCTCGCATTTTGCACTCTCTGAGTTCCGGATGCTCATGACATTTTCAAACAACATGGCGCACCCATCACAAAGTAGGGTGGCCTGGAAGCCGCTCGCTGGCCGGTTGCAATCGACATGGAAATGGCATCGCCTGATTCTCAACGAACAGGAGCGAGAAAGAACGTGTCGCGCCGCGCAAATCGTGAATACGCATGCGGCTCACGCAATACGCGCGACAAATACGGTGCTATACGGCACGATATCTTAGCAAGTTAAGTCCTCTCATCCAAGGAGCTCATGATAAATTGTAGGGTTCCCCATATTCTTGTAGTGTTTTTATTCCTGTCTTCACCATCGTTTGTTTCCCCCGCACCTTGTCTCAATTTAAGTGCTCAAATTGCATACCGTATCCAGAATGTCCAATGATCCCTTGAAACGATGTTTGAACGATACATTACACAATACCCTGACCGGAGACGACTGGAACGATGCGCCGCCGCCGTACACTCTAGTTTCTGGGGATGAATCTACGCTTACAGAGCATGACGGCCGCGTTAGTTTTGATGTTGATTCAAAACTCGCCCGTACTCTCTCTATCCTCATCAAAAACGCCCCGGAACAGTCCCTATCCGATCACCAGGAGTCTGCACTCGAGACTCGCGAGCAGCCACCACCTCTCAATATCGTTATTCAGATTGTCGGTAGCCGTGGCGACGTGCAGCCATTCATTGCGCTTGGAAACGAACTCCAGAAAGCTGGTCACAGAGTCAGGATAGCGACACATGACGTCTTCCGCGAGTTTGTCACCACATCTGGACTTGGATTCTATCCTATTGGAGGTAACCCAAATGAACTGATGGCATATATGGTGAAGAATCCGGGACTGATTCCCAGCATGAAGACGATGCAAGCAGGAGAGATTGCCAAGAAGAGAGCAATGATTCGCGAGATGCTCGAAGGTTGTTGGAGATCATGTATTGCGCCGGACGAGATCACAGGTGCTTCTTTTGTCGCCGACGCCATCATCGCCAATCCTCCTAGCTTCGCCCATATCCACTGCGCTCAGGCCTTGTGCATTCCAGTACACCTCATGTTCACGATGCCCTGGACCGCAACNAAAAGCTTTCCCCATCCATTGGCCAACATCAAAGATAACAAAGCAGAGCCTAGTATGGTAAATCGCCTGTCTTACGCGATGGTTGAATGGATGACATGGCAAGGACTTGCAGATGTGGTAAACGATTGGCGCGAAACCATCGACTTGGAACCAGTCCCTACGACTGAGGGGGCCCTTTTGGCGTACACGCAAAACATACCTACAACATATTGCTGGTCAGCCGCTCTTGTTCCCAAACCTCAGGATTGGGACGACCACATCGACGTTTGTGGTTTCTTCTTTCGGGACGTGCCAGATTATAAGCCGTCGCAGGATCTGCAAGACTTNTTGGATGCTGGACCAACACCAATATACATCGGTTTCGGAAGCATAGTTCTTGAGGATCCGAAAAGAATGTCTTCAATCATTGCAGAAGCTGTCAAGAATACCGGAGTGCGCTGTATTCTGTCCAAAGGGTGGGCTGGTTTGAGCAATATTACGGATTCTCTCAACATCTTTGAGCTTGGCGACTGTCCACATGGTAATCGGGCTCGTTAATTCCACGTTGGACTCCTAGTTGGCTGACGATGAGATTANGAATGGCTCTTTCAATTCGTTTCAGCTGTTATCCATCACGGAGGAGCTGGTACAGCCGCGTGTGGCCTGAAGCACGGTCTGCCAACCCTAGTGTGCCCCTTCTTTGGCGAGTAAGTGGTCGTCCAGCTTTTGGGTCGTTGAGTCTTCTAACGATGAGATAGCCAACCGTTCTGGGGCGAAATGATCTATGCTGCTGGTGCAGGACCTAGACCAATACACCACATGAATCTGACCGCCAAAAACTTGAGCGAAGCCATCGCCTTTCTTACAACACCCGGAGCAAGACACTCCGCCTGTCGAATAGCGCGAAGCATGTCAGCAGAGAATGGTGTGAGAGCTGCAGTCCAATCTTTCCACCGCAATCTACCTCGAGACTCCGTTCGCTGCGATATAGTACCTGACCTGCCCGCTGTATGGACATACAAAGTATCGGCCAAACGAACCATCAAACTATCCAAGCTGGCTGCGGAAGTTCTTGCCGATCGCCTCAAGATTGATGGCAAGAAACTGGGTATGAACGAGATCAGAAGTTATCACATCACGAATCGGCGCTGGGACCCCATCACAGGTGCTGCCAGTGCGGCCGTAGGCACCGTGTACAGATCCGGAATGGCGATTGGTGGCGGTTTCAAGGAGAGGCGAGCTTCCAACCACGGAGATCAGCTCTCTGTTCCTGGTACATCAACGTCAAGATCTCGGTCCCGCAGCAGATCGCCTCGTCCCACCAAGAATGGAGGAGACGACTGCGAATCCATATTGTCCTACGAAGATGGAACGGACAGCAAATCCTTCAAGACAGCAGATTCTACAGAGCTTGGCTCCAAGAAGCAGATTTCTGAGGGCGGTCGCATAGTTAGAGGCTTCGGAAAAGCAGGCAACACGATACTCAAAGGTGGACTAATCGACATTCCNTTTGCCCTGGCCGAAGGTCTGCGGAACGCACCTGCCATGTACGGCGACACACCACGCGACTTTGGCCCTGTCACTGATTGGAAAACTGGCGGTGTTGTTGCAGGCAAAGGCCTCTTCTTTGGCATCTATGACGGTATTGCCGGTCTCGTCATCGAGCCTGTGAAGGGTGCAAAGCAAGAAGGGGCCTTGGGTGCATTGAAGGGCTTCGGAAAAGGCTTGGGTGGCATCTATTGGAAACCAAATGCTGGGCTAGCTGGTCTGCTTGGATACACTATGCAGGGCATCTACAAGAGTGTGTATAGTGCTATACACACTGGAACAAGAAGAGGCATTGCAGCGGCGCGAAGGGAGGAGGGTATTTGGCTGCTTGCAAAAGCGAGAGAGGATGGTGAACTTGATCTGGGAGACATTATCATGACCTTCGAGAAGTTGAAGAAGGGTGATGTTCGATGAAACATGTCTTTTCCTCGCTCCCATGAAAGACAAGGAGAGAACGCTCGATGAACTTGCACTTCCGCTTGCTGAACCTGCTTACATCTTCATAACCGCTTGACCATGATGAGATCGGTCTGGATGACCTGTCCCGTTCGAAAATCATGACTTCCCATCTTTGTGAACCCAAGCCTCTCATATATTCTCATAGCTTTGACATTCTCCTCCCAAACACCCAACCATAGATGGTGATACCCTTCCTTCCTTGCCATTTCTTCCACACAGTTCACCAGGAGCTTGCCCACACCACTACCATGGGCTTTCGGGTGTACGTAGATCCGTTGCAGCTCGATTGTGTTGTGCAAGCCTTCCAGACAGGATTCGGTGGTGCCTCGCGTCAGTAAGGCAAAGCCTATGACATTGTCTTGATTGTCTGTTGCAACTATCAGGTCTTNTTCTGGGTTTGTGATTTCTTGTGCTGTAGCTTCGAGACTATAGACTTCGTCGAGATAGTCAGAGAGGTCTTTGTGCGGTACGGAGTGGCCAAAGGTGAGTGCGTAAACATTGGCTCCAAGATCTGCTATGGCTGTGGTGTCTGCTAGTGTTGCTTTGCGCAGACTGCAGGATGTTGTTGAATTTGGCATGATGAAGCCAAGAGTGGGATGGGATCGACGGCCGGAAATAGGAATACCAGGCTTCTTGCGAGACTCGAAGATGTATCTCCTAACTTGATAGATGTCCGAATGTTGTTTTTGAGTACTTGCGCTTCTCTCTACAGTATTCAAAAGAAGTGGGATGAGCCCAGCGATAAAGTAAACATGGCGAATCTGGCTGAGGCTGGCAAGCATGAGTCACAATTTTGAGAGCCGCAACGCTTCTCGCCTTCTAGGAGATGGAAGGCACTGCCCAACATGAGACGATGCATAGATGTGCACGCAAAATTCCATGAAATTCTCGTCGCTCACATTACTGTTGAGGTCTGGATATTGATGAATTTATGGCGACGTGAGAGCTATGGTGTCGGTTGCTCGATCACTGCGCTTAGCGCAAAGTTGTGGGGAGCGGACGCAAAGCAGCGAGCCGGCTTTCTCCCACGCAAGCTGAGGAAGCTGGTTGATGACAAGCATAGTTGTAGGATTGAATTCCTCCAGGGTGTCTTGCAGAGTCGAGAATAGCATTCTCTCATTGCTCGGCGCCTGGTGGGGCGTCTTATGCGAGTTCAGCATTTGAGTGGCATCGCCGTTATTCTCCTCACGTTCACAGTATACAAGACATCAGCGATAAAAACGTATTTCTTCGTTCACTTGGTAGTTCAAAGCTTGTGACAATGACCGTGAAAGTTCTGAGTAGAGACAGTAGAGTTCGACGAATACTAATGCTGCCCCGATGATCGCGAGAACATCCGCGAGATCCGGTGTTCTTGTTGCTGCCAAGTGCCGCTGGAAGAGCTCGTAGAGACAGGCTGTTAATGAGTTTTCTGCTATGAAGGTACAGGCCATCTGCGATATGCGCTCTTGTTCTAGAAGACTTCTTCGATCGGCCGGAAGTGACATTTAAGGATGGGCCGCAAATCAAGCATAAAGATGAGGCTGATTTTTCCTTTGCGAAATCCTGGGGTCAAGAAAGTTTCCGAGGAAGGAGCGATGTTGGTGCGGTCAAAACGCTCTTTCGCGTTTGGGATCAGGTACGAAGCACTATGATGGGCACGTTTACATCATCTATCTGGAATTTTTCTCGCGGTTGTCAGGCCTCTTGTTGTTCACAGTCGGGCAGCATCCGTATCTTCCATCCGCCGCATCCGTAAGGGTACTTATATCTTGCAAAGCCTCCTCCTTACAACTTGAGATCCACTCCTGCACATTATTATCTTTCTACATCAACCACCGAAAGCGACCATACACCATGAAGTCATCCTTCGCAACATCACTACTATCAGTGCTGGCCCTCTGTCAACATACTAAGGCAGCAGCTACCTGCAGTAATTTCACCATCGTGGGCGCCAACAACTACACAAAGCCGTCACCCATGACTTTTGCCGTCAGCCAAGGTGTCGTCTGCAATGGAGCTTCTGACTGCCCGGTACTGGTTGGTGGAGACGTGACGTCCCAGCGCACAACAAACATAACGGACTCTACTCCTGACTGGGCTTACCGACTCATCAGCAATGCAACTGGATATCCTTTCAACGCGACGTTGACCGGTGCGGTGGAGAACACCACTTACACGATGCAACAAGGCTCGTCTGGATATATCGGCTTCACACCCACATACAGATGTACACAAGGCATTCTCTCAGACTGCGATAACAAGGATCTCGATGGCACAGCTGTAGAAGCATGTACACCATTTGGCTGGGAAGACGGTATGATCAACGGTACCTTGGCGGCAGTTGCAACATCGCCAGAGACTGCGTTGGCCCTGGTATGCAATCCCGCGAACACGAGTCTAGCTTCAAGTAGCAACACGACGGCCAATCTCTGCATCAACCCAGTTAACTCGTCTTCTGGAAACCCAACGGCACCGAATCTGAAAGGCGGTGCTGGTGTGTCAAGCAGTGTAGGCACGGTTCTTTTGTCGGCCGCTTTGCTTGTCGCGATGATTGGATTCTAGATTGTCTGGTCTCCTGTCCAATCTCATTGATACATGGGCTCGAAATGTCTCAAGACTCTGTCCAGCTGTTTGCAATCTAATGCCCTGGTTTGATCAGCCTCGGTTTCTGCAGCACTGAAGCTTGTGCAATTTTCGATCGAGGCTTGAATTCTCACAAGCCACTGCAGCCTAGCATACCGACACCATGGAGACGGTGGATAGTAGGGGCGGTACCTCCGAAAGAAGTCAGCTATACATCTTGCGGTCATTATCTCTATAACGGATGTCGCGATCAGTCTAGGATGGTGCTCGGCTAGATGCGAGAGGGGAACATTGACTGGCTGGCTCAGCACTTCTCAGCGCAATTTAGAGAATCCGGACTCCATAGATAGCATCAGCCTGAGTCTTTATCTGAAGCAACTTTGCAGTATGTGGACACAATGTGTTTCCCGAGCGGCCATAAATCGTGTCTCGTCTCCATCACTTGATGAGTGTATCACCCTGACTACTTCTTTTTCGCATCAAAGAATCGAGCCACGTCTGGATCCAAGTCACATACTGGTGTAAGATAATGATAATTTCACTGGGCAAGAAAGTTCACCATAGTACTCGATAAAGGGAGATGCTGACACTGGACGGTTCTGCTTACACATTTGCAAAGTACGCGCAAGCTCGTGTCCAAGTCGCTGGAAAGAGTGCGGCACACCTTGCAGAACAATACCTCGGCAACGATCAAGTACAGGCCTCAGGGATAGCAACGTAGGGATCCATTCAGAAGACGACCCGAGTATGCAGACATCTGACCATGGCGCAAGCATGTAATAGCCACTTGTACATATGCATGCTCCTCGATGCAGGAAGCGTGGAAGCGTGGGATGGGCCGGTCATAGCCGTGGCATACAACTGTGATGCTGGGCCAAGAGGATATATAGGAAGTCGATAACAGTATTCTGTACCTGCTAGCAATTGCTTGCACCATATCCGTAGACTCGATTGACAACATCATCACTCGTGCGAGCGGAGCGGACAATTGCGACAGCAGCGGCCGAGGCGAGCGTCCTATCTCCGACGTTGCGCTACCCCTCGATTCACTCTAGTTTCATCTCTTTCGCGTGGCTTTTTGGTGTGGAACACAGCAGATCTTGTGCGCATCACCAAAAACAACAAGCTCTGCGCATCGATGACTACAGAAATACTCGTCTGTCGCTAGGGTTCCTGCCTCCCTACCCCGGCGTCTACATTCAAACACCGTGCCTGATCCTTCTTGGTTTGAAATCATCAAACGATCATTGTCTTTCTTTGTTGTAGGCAGCCAATCGTGGATTTCGGTCTTTTCGTGAAAGTCGGAGACCGAACCTCCTGTCCGAGACTAGGACCCCTTCGGTACATAACTTGGTCGCACCCGCCTGTCATCACCACCGGTTTTTTCTCACACGGCTCATTCCTTTTCTTCCTTCTCCGTTTCTGTCCTACCCATCCTCAAAGATGGCGCGTTCAAAGTCGTCCAGTGAGAGTCTACCATCGACATCTTCACCCACCGAAAAACCTCCGGTCGTTCCTAACGAGCAAGCTGCGCCCAGTCCGGAAGTCGTTGTCAACAGCAACGAGAAGGACGTCGAAGCCGCACCACCAGCACCGCCACCAAACTTCCTTGGCAATGTACCGGACGGTGGCCTCCAAGCATGGCTTCAAGTCGCAGCTGGATGGAGTCTCTTCTTCAACACATGGTTCGCATCGTGCTTCAATCGCTTTCGTAATCGAGCTAACAACTCCGGCGTTAGGGGAATTCTCAACACTGCTAGTCTACCCGCCCTTGGCGATNNCAATTCGCTTAACTGACCAAGCTTCTTCTAGTTCGGAGTCTTTCAAACATATTACGAGTCTGGTGTTCTGATACATGCTACCTCATCCAACATCTCATGGGTCGGTGCGATCCAGTCGTACTGTGTGTTGCTCATGGGCTTCCTGTCCGGCCCTATCTTCGATCGTGGATACCTCCGACCATTGCTTATCGTTGGATCATTCCTTGTGGTCTTCGGATTCATGATGCTTAGTCTGTGCCATACCTTCTGGCAAGTCCTCCTGGCTCAAGGTTTCTGTATCGGTATCGGTTCAGGACTCTTGTTCGTGCCCGCTGTCGCCATCCTTCCAACGTACTTCAGGGCCAAGATCGGTCTTGCAATGGGTCTCGCTGCTTGTGGCAGTTCCATGGGTGGTATCATCTACCCCATCGTGTTCTACAGACTGCTCGACCGTATAGGCTTTGGATGGTCTGTTCGTGTGTTAGGTTTCCTGGCCTTGGCTACCTTACTCGTTCCCATCTTCGTCATGAAGCAACGCATAAAGCCNGCAAAGGCTCGCGCCTTGATCGACACAACTGTCTTCAAGGACGTCCCCTTCATGCTCTTCACTCTAGGTGCCATGATAGGCTTCATCGGCTTGTACACCGTTTTGTTCTATCTCTCGTTCTTCGGCGAAGCTCAAGGCTACACTGATGCTAGCATGTCTTTCTACATCGTGCCCATTTTGAACGCAGCATCCGTGTTCGGTCGTACAATACCCAACGCTCTTTCCGACAAGACTGGCTCTTTCAACATCATTCTTCCTGGCGCGGCTGTCTGCTCTATTCTCATCTTCTGCATGATCGCTGTCGATGGTCTAGGCAGTATCGTCGCTCTTGCCATCCTCTTCGGATTCTTTTCTGGTGTCTTCATCGCCTTGCCTCCCGTCTGTTTCGTGGCATTGACTGCAGACAAATCAAGAATTGGCAGCAGAATTGGTATGGCGTTCGCGTTCATGGGATTCGGATGTCTAGCCGGTGTAAGTATAAAAAGCACTGCAGATTCGTGGTTTTGATCTCTATTTTGTCCGTACTGTCGCTAATTTTATATTTAGGGACCTGGCGGAGGTGCCATCTTACAAAACTATGGCCCTCATCTGGAATGGACAGGTTTGTGGATCTACGGTGGTGTCTCGTGCGCTATTGCAGCTGCAATCTTCGTTGTAGTCAGAATGATGAAGGCAGGAGGCAAACTTATGGTTAAGGTTTGAGGACAGAACACAAAACGACCGAGAACACGGGATCAAGGATCTCGAACTTTCATAAGAATAGTAATCGTAATACCAGATCAATCGTCAAACACGATTTCAGAGAACCCTTGCGATCACAAGTCGCTCCGATGTTCGCGTCCATCTGATCAGGCTGTGATCACACTCTCCGCTTGATCCGAACCCAACATTCCACTGGTTTCTTCGAGAAGCCTTCGGTGCACTCCAATACCTTCTGCTCCAACACAAGATCATAGCGTCTGAACAGCGTTCCCACAATCAATGACAACTCCATCAGCGCAACGTTTTGACCTACGCAAGCCCTAGGCCCATAGCTAAAAGGATTGAATGCCAATTTCTGCCTGCTGGTAAGATTTTCGGGCAGAAAGCGGTCTGGGTTGAATGGCCCAACATCGGCGCCCCAAATGGACGCATCGTGGTGCACGGAGTAGCTAGGCACACTCAACACCGTTCCAAAAAGAAAATGCGTATCATCGAACCATACGCCTGAAGGCGAAGTCACGATCCTCGGCAGCCCTGTTGCAGATGTCGAGTGCAAGCGCATGCCCTCATCTATACAGCGGCGCAAGAATGGCAGGTTCTTGACTTGGTTGTGCGTTGCCATAGCGTCTCTGTCTGGAATCGCAGCATCTAGCTCATGCTGCAAGCGAGGAAGAACAGTACCTGGTGCATCCCGCTCGCCAGCCAAGATCCAGTAGATGATTGCACACGAGGTGTTGGATACGGTATCGCTACCTGCAATCAACTGCGTGAGGGATTCAGAGATCAGCTCGTTGCGCTGCATGGGTAAACCATCAGGACCCTTGCTTTTGAGCAGCAGAGCGAGGATATCGTGGCGCTTGTTCTGATCTTGCTTCGAGGTGTCGTCGAGACGCTTTGATACTGCCATGGAAGCGATGCCATGCAGATTTTGCACTGATTGTATGCCTTTGGTGAAGAAGGGATCAGGCAGGTATCTTGCGAAGGGCCGTAGTGCGGGCAACCAACCCAATGTCGATGACACCTCACCACGCCGATTCAAGGTTTCTGCGCCGTGAGTGATGACGACGGGTCCCCCTGGCCGGACTTGCGATTCACACTCATCACGACCTTTTACTACCATTCCGAACGGAGCTCCAAAAGCCAGATCTCCGATGATGTCGAAAGCGATGTATGTGCACCAAGGCATCATATTCATTGTCGCAAACCCATCCTCACCCCCCTTNNCAGCAGCAAGCTTATCCAACTGTTTCACCCATCGCTCAAGGTTCTCCGCCATATGCGACTCAAACGCAACCACCGCACCCGGCGAAAATGCATGCGCGACAATCTTTCGCTTGCGGGTATGTTGTGCGCGATCTCTTGTACTAAACACACCAGGCACACCGCTCACAAAAGCCTCATAGAAGACGTCTTTGAGGAAGCCATTGCCATGTGCGTACACAACTTGAATACCGCGTTCGTCTGCGATGGAGATGTGGTTGTAGCCGATTCTGACAAGAGTGCCGTATCGCTTGTGGGCTGAGTGGACGGCGGCGTATCTTTGGCCTTTGCGGGAGTGGTGGGCTAGCCACAAGTTGCTGAAACTTGCTATGAAGGGTCCGGGGATGCGGCGGAGGTGGGTGTAGGTCGTCAAGTAGGGAACGAGGTAGTATAGAACGATCCACAGAGGGATGGATATCGAGCATAAGAGTAGGTAGTGCCAAAGGTTCATCCTGATACTAGCGAAGACTTCGAAACTCTGAGTAAATGTATGCAGAGAAGATCGCTTGGCTTTTGAGTCCCTACGTGATTCTTCTAGTCGTTACACGAAGTGTCAGCAGATGAACTTACCTGTTGAATCAAGGTGATGAGTACAGGCCCCCACTCTTTGTGTGACTGCTATCACTTCTGTCAGTCGGCCGTATCAAGTAGGGTTGAGGGAGGGGCAAGGTCTGCGACCATCAAGAATCTTGAATGGAGGAGCACCAAACGGATATCGGCATCTCGCATGTGATACAGAATCTTCAAACACAAGGCTACTCTGGTGCTATGGAGAGAGGTATAACATTGTGCTACCTGTTAAAGCCAGAGTTATAACTCGGACTGAATGGTAGTGCTACAATGTTCACTCCGACTATCCGCTCCAGGTATACTGCCTTGAAGGATGCCAGTCTCTAGCTCTGGGCCCTTCGCCATCTTGCAAGTAGTTCTCGCGCATTGTGCTTCCGGCATACTTTTCTTGCAACACGCCTCTTTTCCTCAGCTCAGGCCACAAAAATGCGACCAAATCCTCAAAGGTGCCTGGAGTAACTGCATAACTGATGTTGAAGCCGTCCACTGCTGCCTCCTGGATCCAGTTCTCAAGGATATTAGCCACAGTGGTTGGACTGCCGATAGCTCTTGGATGAGCACCTGATATGGCAAGATGTTCGAGGACGTGTTTCTTCGTCCACTTGAGATTCTTGGTACCAGGAACTGTTTCCGTCCAAGATGCAATCATCGACTGGATAGCAGGTGCCTTTGTGCTGAAAGCAAAGTCCTCATCATCAGTGAACGCCGACAAATCAGTGCCCGTCCAGCCTCCAAACAACGCAGCAGTACCCTCGGTATCCGCATACTTGAGATAATCCTCGAATTTTGCCTGGGCCTTTTCGTCAGTCTCATCTACGCAAATGAAAATGCCTGCGATGAATTTTATGCTGTCTTCTGGTCTCCCGATGGAGCGGAGCAAAGCTTTGGTTTCAGCAACGACTTTGGCGGTTTTGGCAGGTACGAGGCCGGGAAGGAACATTGCTTCTGCATGCTTTGCGGCAAAGTCTTTGCCTGCTTTGGATGCACCTGCCTGTAGCAGAAAAGGCGTGCGCTGAGGTGAGGGGTCCACAAGGTTGGGACCTGCCGACTTGAAGTATTTGCTGTGCTTGATCAGCTCTGCTTATCGCGACCGCAATATGCTTGTTACTTTCCATCACACTTACCCTTCATGGTTGATCTTCCTGACTTTCTCTGGACTTGTCCAAACACCAGTCTCTTTGTCCGCTTCGATGGCAGAATCTTGCCAACTGCCCTCGAGCAAATTATAGAACACATCCATGAACTCGTCAGCAATCCTGTAACGCTCATCATGCTCGATGTTTCCCTCCAAGCCATAAGACTTTGCCGCACTCTCTAGATAACTAGTAACGATGTTCCAACCAACCCTACCATTGGTAACTTGATCCAACGTCGAGAACTTCCTCGCCAAAGCATAAGGATTTTCATAAGTCGTTGATGCCGTGATACCAAAAGATAGATTCTTTGTCGCATATGCTAGGGCAGAGACCAATAGATCAATCTGCAGAATGGGTATCTGTGCACCACTGCTGAGAGCCGCATCGTTGCTGCTTTGGTACACGTCGTAGATGCCCAGAACGTCGGCGAAGAAGATGCCGTGGAATTGGTTCTCGTCCAGAAATCTTGCGAGCTTGACCCAATGATCTAGTGTTTGTTTTTGCTGCGAAGGATGTCTCCACAGACNCTTACATAATTTCAGTAACAGTGTTTAGATTGCCAAGTCTCGGTGCATACCTGGTGCGAGATGTCCTGGCGCAGTCATGGCGAAAGCATTCATGATCCATGGTTTTCTGGTCGCGGCAACGTTTTGTTGAGAAGCCATACTTGATGCGAATCTTCACCTTGCGTTTCCGTCTGGTCTGGATTGCAAGAGTTGATTGTGGTTCGATTGTAGTGCGCAACAGACAGTTATATGTTCGACTGTCGGACATGGTGGAGATAAGGAATATGGCGTGCTCGCACATCACCAGCACGCATCCTTGCGACCCCTCTCTCGAACAGTATATCTCTGATGTTAGTTCCTCAACACTTTCATCGTACATGTCTTGTCACCAGTCCGGATGGTTTGAGAAAATCGATTTTAGGATGATACCACAAAGTCCAATCAGGCCAAGAAATTTCTTCTAGCTTGTCTAGCGAGACACGACCTTTTGGTCGCTGTAAGTGATATCCTCTCTCACTGCGTTTTGCTTCCTCGTCTTGTGCACCCAGATGTAGACAAAAGGATATATCGTCTCCGGGATCATGGTCAAGGCAATCACCGCAATACTTACACCCGAACCAACATACGACCAGTTCTGCGGTATATTCAAATAACGCCAGGCGAAGACACCATACGCAGTCCAACAGCCAAGAAATCTCGTTACNNCCTGCAACAACATAAGTTATCTGCTTGCCGTCGCATGCGGTCGGTATTTGACTTACCAGATTTCCAAAGAATGACCTTTGGTGTCCCAGTTCTTGATCAAAAGGTACAGACTTCCCCATCCGATAGGGAACTGCAAAGCTAGACCAGTCCAATAGGCAGTGATTTGTTCGCGCTCATCTGGCCATGTTTGCGCAACTTTCCAGAAGAATGCCAAAGATGCAACGACACCAACAATCATTCTTTTGATCACCGGAGAGCGATTACCAGGTGCTTGAGTACTAAAAATCGCAACGACTGCAAAGGTAAAGTCAAGAAGAAACCACATGGAAAAGCTGATGCGTTCAAATGTTGTAGTTGTTGTCGCATAGGCATAGAACATTTCGTAGGCCATTGTTCCACAGCTGGTCGCGATGGGTTAGTATATACGGATACCACGAGTCGACGTTATATCTTACGTGAACTCAACAAAGCCGGCGCATGTCTTGTCGCGGTATGTACGGATCATGTAGAACAGATAGCAAAGCGCATAAAGAACGCCACAAGAGACGATGAGGCCATCTTGGATATACAGATAGCTCTCAGGCGGGTTAAATGCGAGGTCCGACGGTTGCACTACCAGATGTGCACCACGATAGTTGTTTGCAAGGTCAAATGCCATGGTCGAAATCGCAACAAGACAAGTTGGTCGATTCTCCAGATGAGTTCGAAGGATCCTGTTCAAGGTGGTAGGATGTCGAAGCAGCACGCAGAGACACGCAAGCGGAATTGCCGGAACATGATATATATATTATGTGCATGACATTCGCCATGCTTTGAAATATGCTCTCCGTAGGGTTCCGTTCGAGCAAGTCATCGGTTATGAAGCCGCGGAGCGGGCGGTTGCCAAGACATGGAAGTCGTGTGTTGCGAACGCTGTCTGAAACAGAGAATGTGATCAAGTCAGAGTCGAGATCGAAAGAATTATGCCCCTTCCGCTCAAGAATGTATCATGGTAGGCCGCATAACTTTGCGAACTTGGCGTCTACATTTGACCAGAATAGATCAAGATCCAAGAGTGCTTGATCCTGATGAATTCATACACCGATATGACAATGAGGCAGTGCAAAGGACGCCGCCTCTTGGTTTGGCCCCTCGAAGACGAATTGTGCAGGTCCTCCTGCGTCGAGTATCGATATTGCGTTCACGCCGAGTGGCCCATTTGCGTCTTCCAGATCACCCATAATCCATCTTTGGACTGTCTGATCCGGTTTCAGAACAATCTTGTAACGTTTGCCCTCTTCTAGAGAGCCCTGATAGCGTTCAAGAAGGCAACTGCTCTTAAAGCTGACAGTACGAACGGTTTTCTCACCAGGCCGAAGCGTGAGCATTTGGTGTCGAACGCGCGAGGTTGCAGAGAGTGGGAAAGACAGCTCTTGCAACTGCTCTGCACTCAAGGTTCGTGGTTTGTCCCAATAATGGGATGGCGATGGAGGCAGAACCACCTCTTCGTTAGATTCAGCATCTATGACAATCAAGAATTCGTCCCAAAGATAGACGTTCGAGGTCAAAATCGTATCGCGTGTATTGACAGTAATGCTGCATGTCACCGCAGCGTCAAGAGCAAGCGTCAGAGTGAGATGCGTCTCTTCTGGTGCACGACATTTTCCAGGATCTGGGTGCGTGTTCGTCAAAGAAATAGATGCAGTTATTGAAGGAGGTTGATCGATACTCAGTGAAGCCATGATTCTGAGATATAGTCAGCCATCTTTGCTCTGCATACAGTTTTAGCATTGCATACTCAGGTATCTCGGCACACACAAAAGATAGGTGAATAGCATTTGGGCCGCATCTTCCCATCCACCTACGTGCATGACTTCAAGAACAGCACTCGTCATCATCGCATCCCTCGTGACGATCTTCGGACCGGCTTCCCAAGCCATGTACTCATCGATGTACCAGAATATATGTGACTGAGGCTGCTCCGGCAGACCAGCATAGCTTGTCGGTAGCCGGCCAGAAGCAGGTCGGTTTGCCATCTCATCGTCGTTGTGTGCGAGCGCTGCTGCCAAGTCGGGCACAACGTAAACATGTAGCATCCATGGAACGTTTCTCAGAAGCTTGCGGCTCAGGGAAGCAAAGAGTGTTTGAGGCGGCTCCTCTCTGTGGCCAATGACATAGAGAGTGTAAGAGAACTTTGTGCTATAAGCGACATGCGTGGTGTGGCTGCAGTCAATGCACTTCTTTCCTGTGCCGTCGATCGCTTCGTGTGCCATAATGTCGTCTGACTCAACACTCGACGTGGGCGCACACGTAACTGATGGCAGTTGTCTCATAGAATGCGCAATGCTTTTGGGCATTTGAGTGTCTGAATCGCATCGCTCACCATAGGTGATGATGTCTTCCCACTCGAGATAGTTGGTGAACTGATCAGACTCGTCTTCCTCGTCTTCATATTCGCATTCGTCGTCGACGCGTGGCCTCTTCTCGTTCCGTAGATAACCGCGGGTGATCTGCTTGCCGATTGGCTTGCTTGGCAAAGTGTTAAGTTCCAAAAGATGAGGATTCTCTGGCCAGCCTAGAGCGATATTCCGATCCGTCAAGGAGCTGAGTGCCCACTCGTGGCCTTCATCATACCAGACAGGTTGTAGGAAGCGTTCGACAAGCTGATTGACGTGGAGGTGACGCTGTACTATCAGGTCCTGCCTAAGACCAGGAAGTGCAAGTTCTTCTTCGTCGTCCTGCCAGCCCGGATGGTCGTTGACATGATTCTCGAACTCACGCTCGCTGCCGTCACGGCCAAGCAGCTGGGCAGTGTATTCCACCGAGAGAAGTCCTTTCGTTTCCCAGTCCACATCATCCACCACGAGCAGTTCTTTCCGATTCAACATGATCGGACCCTGCCCCAGCGACTTTCGGTGTCGCTTTTCTTGCTCATGGTGGTTGATACAATCAAGGACAGAGATCTGGGGATGACTGAAAACTTCTAGTCGCCAAGAGCAATTTTCATTGAATCTGATAGAAGCATCGTTGGAGACGATGTAGTCTCTCAGTTTACTAGGGAAGCTGCTGTCGGTGGAGAGAATCGCAGCACTTGCCAATATGTACACCTGGAATGGGAAGAAGCCAATTTCCCGTAAGAAAGATCTACTCGGACAGGTAATTTTGTTTCCAGTGTGGTCGGTAATCGTCAATGGCTTAGAGGTGTTGCTCGATAGCTGTTTCCTGGGCGCCTTCCCTCCAGTTGACTTGCGAGCTAATTGCTTGGTTCTCGCCATGATGTCTTAGAGATCTGTTGTAAGAGTTTGTAAGAAGGAACATTGTTGGAGTTGACAGCGAAGTTCGACGGGTGGTAGTGCCTGATCGTTTGATCGCGACGCGCAGACGCGACGACGACACGCAAGGTCCCCATTCCTTCGATAATTATGCCTGAGCCGACTCTCGACCATGGCCGTACCATTTCGAATATGTCAAGTTCGCCGTATCGCACGCAAGACCGCCACTCCAGCTGTGTCTGTCGGTGCTACTCGGGAAGTGACCGGCGTGCCGAAGCGATCTCTGCAGAAGCTTTTCATCGCGAAGACGACAGCCGAAAACGCTTGATCCAGAAGATTCATCCGCGCAACACGCAGGAGACCATCGACACTCTTGTCATCCCTCTCACTCAAGAGATGCGATACAGCCGGCACAATGTTATACCGAGAAAGTTCTCTTAAAGTCAATCTTATGGGCTGGCTTTGAGTTCGACCAATTGAGTCTGCTTTTTCTCGCCAAGCCTTGCTCATTGCACATGAACCCCACCTTCTTCTTGACGCGGGTTCTGTTTCTCCGTAACTGCAACACTGTCAACTGATCGTCTTGCTCGAGATATCCTTACTGTAGGTGAGCTCCGTAAGAGGGCTCAGGGTTGCATTCTTATGTGATCACCAATGCCCCACCGGAGTCCTCCAAGCTGCTCCCCTTTAGCCTGAACATACGGGATGGACATCAACGTCACTGAGGTCATGCTACTATGTGATGTGCAGATATAAACCTCGAATATGAGGCCTCCCGATGTTCGATGCAAGATTCCACTCTACTATCATCGTCACATGATGAGACTCTCTACACAGCTGTTCACGCTTGTGGTCCTCTTGTTCTCGCTAAGCAGTTTAGTCGTTGGTTACAATGTGAGCACTGATTACATCTCACCAAATTCCACAGGTGTTCGAATCCAGCACGGCTTTGAGACTGTGCTTGTCCAGCCCTATGGATATGACGGTTTCCGTGTCAGAGCATGGGCTTTTCGACCNCCCAGCGGCAATGAGATCAGCTTCCTTTGCGATCCACCTGTCGAAGGCCCCGAGAATGGCAAAGCTCGAGGTATGAGCTACGATACCAGGTCTAATGGCAACACCTCGATCTCAATTCGGAATGGCAATGCTGTATTCAGGACTTTTGGGCTCGATAATGGCCATTATCGCCTCGCATTCTATCGTATCGAGGTGAATGGTTCAGAGACGCTCCTCACCAATGAATACAATCCTGTCAAGTCTCTGAACCCTCGATACTATTCGTGGAGAGGTCCTGGAAGCGAGTTTTCTGCAGCATTCTCTTTCAGCACAGATCCCGATGAGCAAATATACGGTACCGGCACACAGCAAGATCATATGGTCAACAAGAAAGGTGCCGTGATTGATTTGATCAACTTTAACACACACATACCCACGCCCATGTTCATGAGTAGTCGAGGCTATGGCTTTGTCTGGAATTCGGCTGCTGAAGGTCGCATGGAGTTCGGTCCGCTGCGGAACCGCTTTACATCTGAATCAACAACTGTAGTAGATTATGCCATCGTCAGCGCTGCACAAGGAGATTATGACGCCCTTCAACAAAAGTTGTCTGCAACAACTGGTCGTGCCCCGACACCTCCAGACTTCTCGCTCGGCTACCTGCACTCTAAGCTCCGTTACGAAAACCAGACGGAAGTTCTGCTGCTTGCTCAAAATTTCCACAATCGCAGTATACCCGTATCCATGATTGTTATTGATTATCAGTCGTGGGCGCATCAGGGTGACTGGGGACTCGATCCTGCTCTGTGGCCTAATGTCTCTTATATGGCCCAGCAAGTGAAGCAGCTTACGGGTGCTGAGATGATGGCTTCGCTTTGGCCTAGTGTCGAAGATGCCAGTGTTAACTATATCGAGATGCAGGCGGATGGTTACCTCTCTGCCACTCGTTCTGGCCCTGGTACGACCGATTCATGGAATGGAACATATATCCGCAATTACGATTCTACCAACCCTGATGCACGAAAATTTCTATGGGACACGCTCCGCCGCAACTACTACGAAAAGGGGATCAAAAACTTCTGGATTGACCAAGCGGATGGTGGTGCACTCGGGGAAGCGTGGGAAAACAATGGACAACAGTCATATATCCAGAGTGTTCCCTATCCTCTGCCTGATGTGCTGTACCATGCAGGCACGCAACTCAGCGTCGGCAAGCTCTACCCTTGGGCACATCAACAAGCTATCGAAGAAGGCCAACGTAATGCTTCGAATACACAGCAAGGCTCTGCATGTGACTCGCTGTCGCTATCTCGATCAGGCTACATCGGCTCCCAGCGCTTCTGCAGTATGATCTGGTCCGGTGATACAGTAGCCAATTGGGAGACTCTCGGAGGCCAAGTCGCGAACGCATTATCTGCTGCGGCAACAGGTTGGGGTTGGTTCACAGTCGATGCAGGAGGTTTTCAAGCCGACCCAACCATCGAGTGGAGCAACAACATCGACAGACACGAATACCGCGAACTGTACGTGCGATGGCTACAATGGACCACTTTCCTACCCTTCATGCGTAATCACGGCAGCAGAAGTTGCGACACCAAAAGCGCATTTACCTGCGACAACGAACCATGGACCTATGGAGCAGAAAACACGCCTACCATAGTCTCCTACATCAATCTGCGCTACCAACTCTCCGCCTACCTACGCGCGACCTTTGCAAAGTTTTCCGAGACCGGAAGGATGATAATGCGACCAATGTACATGGACTTTTCACTCAGTGATCCTAGTATCACTGCGTGGACGAAAGTCAACAACAATTTTACGACGCAGCAATATATGTTTGGACCTAGATTCCTGGTTACCCCTGTCACACTACCCAACATGACCACTTGGGAGGTTTACCTTCCTCAAACAAGTGGCAGTCAAGAGAAACCTTGGACTTATTGGTGGACTAATGCGACGTATGCTGGTGGACAAGTCGTCAATATTTCTGCGCCTTTGGAGCATATCCCTCTGTTCCACCTCGGTAGCCGCGAAGACATCATGAGTGGAAATGTCTTCTAGGCTTGTTGAGATGTATTTAAACAGTTCTTGTAGCTTTGTAATAGAACAATCGACACTGCATCTCCGTAGAACATTGTTCCGATCAAAGATGTCTTTTCGCAAGCGTCTGAGCCTTTCGTATCTCGCATAAGCCTCAATTGCTACAAGGGCAATTGACATAATATGACCTGGCTTCTTCATCTTCTCGAGCGCTATTTTTCATCATGTTAACGTGCTGTTGACAGGTTGATCAGGAGAGGGAAAAAAATTGGCAAAAGACAAGGTCGTACCCGGGATCGAACTGGGATTACCGGAATCAGAATCCGATGTGCTAACCATTACACTATACAACCAATTGTTGAAGTTAACTCTGATCAGCGGAATTCTGTATCACAATGTTGTAGACAGTATCGCCATTGAATCAATCACGCGTCGTTGGCCGACATCTTGCAATTAATAGAAATGTGCACCGTTCAACCATGCATGTATTCACGACCATAAAGTAGAGAAACTGAATGTTTGAAGAGTGGAAATAAAGCTTCTTTGGCTTTTTTAATTCATTATGGAATCCTCACATAATATCATGCGTGGTTAATCATCATCTGGAAGCTAAAAACATTGGTATCGAAAACAAGATAAAAGGAAAGAAAAAAAAAGAAAGAAACTTTTTCTTTAGTAGGCGGTGGGAACCTTCTCGCCCTTCTTCTCGTACTCGAGAACCTGGTCAGGCTCGGTGCCAATGACGGGGTTGTGCGAGTTGTGGCCATCCATGGTGGGGTCACGGCCTTGCTGGGTGACGTGGTGGTCGTCGCGTTGGGAAAGAGTGTACTCCTCGTCATCGATGTGCTTGAACAGGAACCAGAAGACGACGGTGAGGATACCGCCGGCAATGGCGCAACCGCCAAAGTCCCAGGTGAGGTAGGGATCTCTGATGACAGCGGAGCAGGCAAGACCGATGAGGTAGGCAATGGCGGTGGAGAAGAGGTTGATGGCGGAAACGAGACCACGCATGTTGGGAGGAGCACGCGAGTAAGCAATACCGTAGGCGGGGACGTTGATGAAGAGTTCGGAGATACCACCAATGGCGTAGGGGATGGCAACCCACCAGATGGTGATGGGAGCGACGAGGGAAACACCGTCAGCGTCAACGCAAGTCTCGCTGGAGCCGAACTTGCCGCAAGGGCCGAGCTTGTAGGCGTAGGCGTTGAGGACAGTGTAACCGACACCACCAAGAGTGGAGAGGGCAAGACCAGTGGTCATACGAGCAACAGGGCCGTAGCGGATGTGGAACTTGCGGAGAAGAGGGTAAAGACCGTAGTTCAGGACGGGAGCCATCAAGATAATGGACAAGGAGTTGAAGTTGCTGATAACGTCGTTGGGAACACCGTTGGTGGTGAGCATGGTGGTCAGATAGGAGGCGGCGGAACCGATACCGTTGTCGTTGAGGTACTGGATGGGGAAGAAACAGAAGATACCAGTAGCCTGGAAAGTACGGCGAACGTCCTCTACGAACTGGTCATCCCAGGAAGTGGAGTAACCAGTGCCTCTGGCGGCAATCACGGAAGGCTTAGCGGGCTCCCAGAAACCGTGGCGGCCAAGTCTCTTAAGACCTCCAGCGCGGAAGCAGATGCTGAGAACCTTGAAGACGTTGGGAAGATCGGAACCGCCTGGTGGGTGAAGGACGAGACGCTTGCGGAGGTACCAGAGAAGGAGGGGAAGAGGGATGTAGAGAATAAGGGGGATGAGGAAAGCCAACCACCAGCCGATGTACTTCTCGCAGTAAGCAGCTACACGAAGGTAAAATTAGCATGACCTCAAAGACTTGAATGAGCAAGAAAGCAACGTACTGGCCACGCCCATGAAACCTCCTATGTTGATAAGAAGGTAGAACCAAAGCATAGCACGTTCGGTAGAGGCTTCAGGGTCGACAATGACACGTTCACCCTTCTTGGTGCTGACCACAACGGGCACAGTCTCGGGCATTTGGTCGAGAAGAAGAGGAGAAACGTTGGGCTTGAAGATACCTACAGAGCATGTTAATGAGATGCGCAGGATTCGAAATAGATTGTAAAACTTACCAGAACCAACAGCGAGCAGGTAGACGGAGATGAAGAAGGGGGTCTTGGCGGCACCGCTTTGGAGACCAGGAGCAGAAGCACCAACCAGAAGAACGTGGGCAATACCGAAGAGCAAGACACCCCAGCAGATGAGCTTGAAACGGCCAGTCTTTGCATCGGCAAGGTAACCGAAGACCAGGGGCAGAGCGTAACAAAGCAGGGAGAATGACTGAGAAACAGCATTGGCCTTGACGGTACCCATGCCGAGAGCACCAGCAGTCTGCTGAGTACCTTCTGCAGGTGCGCCGTATCCGTTACCGCCAACAGGCATGGGACGGTTGACGAAGTTGCTGAACAGGGGCTGACATCCGTAGTAAGAAGCGCGCTCACAGAACTCGACCACACAAATCAGGTAAGCGACAGTGGGCAATGAACCAGGAATGCGGCGAAGAGTCTTGCGCTCTTCCTCAGTGGGCTTGCCATCGTAGTCCTCGGTGGTGAGACCAGGGGCATGTGCAGGCTCAGACTCATAGGTGTAGTTGTGCTTCTCATCGAGAGAACGTTCCGGTGAGATTTGGTCGGCCATGATGGATACGTCGGTCGATATGGGAATGGCTGATCAAAAGACGATCGCAAGGACGAGGGACAGGTGCTTCTCATATACGTTCACTCTGGACTACAACCCCCGGGGCACCTCACGTTGTGCATTGACCGTGCAGGCGAAGCCCGTGTGCTACAACATGGGCGAAAGATAATGCTATGATCGCCAGAGGATCCGAGGCACGATAGAAGAGGCAATTTCTGGTCCAACCTCCAACAGGCAGGTCAACAAGATCAGCGCCGTTCGAGGCTCGAAGCCCGTGGGTGGTGCAAAATAGGAACCCTTGGCATCGGCGCGGTCGAGTGCGGAGCCCTACCGTTGGTCGCTCACCTGCCGTAAAAAGCTAGCACACGTTGAGTCAAGTCCAGACCTGGGCATTCCGCCAAACGACTGTGATAAGCAAGGTGAAGGAGTCGCTAAACCAAACCAATTCTTGGAATCAGGCTTGCATTTGTCTTGGTCGAGCTTATCACGCAATATGAGCTAGGATAATCGCTTTGTTTTTTGATCGCAGGCCAGACACAAACAACAATTACAGATGCGCGCAAAGCAATTCGCCCTTCGCCTGCTCGGCGGAATGCGATATTTCTCCTTCTTGGCCTCGAGCACGCCATTTTTGAACCGAGTTTGGCAGTACTCGGCAATTGTCCTTGTCGCGAGAACGAAGTCAGGTTAGGTCTAGGTCCATGGCTGCAAGGCCCACCAAGCACACCCTCACCGACGGGTTAAGGTGGAAATGTCGCGTGTGTCCGCCCCCAAGATAACCGAAGCAGTGAAGCACGCGATCAAAGGGTCGACCAGTTGACTTTGAGCAAAGGGAAACTGCTTGTCAAGAAAACTGATTGACTCAAGATGCATGCGGAGCTCAGTGCGGAGAGCCAATCGGTGATAAGCCGTCTATCTGGTAGCGCCGAAGCTTGGGTAATTTGTGCTTCTCTGACTGGGTGAAATTAGCACACGTTATTGATCCTCGTGCGCCTCCGAGCTACACTGCTTCGCTGTTCCTTCGAGATGCTTTCTAGACTTGCAGCAAGTTGCTGCGAACCAACATCAGCCACATACCATCACTTGCTTCAGCATCAATTATATTGGAATGGCTTGAACACCCTTGCAAGCGCGGTTACAATGTCTGGCAGCCTGCAGGAACGGAACCACAGGGCGAACGTTCGATGCTTGGTTACATCTCTTGACGGCTTGGATTCGCTTATTCCGAGGCTTATCATCGCCACATCAACCCTTCGACAAGTCTATTGGGAGATCTTCGTTATCTCATTGTACATGAAATACAAAAGAAAGCATCAGAGGTGGCAATGGCAACATGGTTCCGCTCGATATCTTGGCACTCGATACGGAGAGACCGAAGTCCACCAGTCCGCGTGAGTTCCGCTGTCAGCAATCACAGATAGTGAGGTCGTATAACGGCTGGGTTTGTCCTTGGATGCAACCTCCCCTTATCACTCGTCCGAAATTGGTCTTCCAATTGCGAGGTACGACCCGCTGAGGTTTGATGATAGCTGCAAGCTGGTCTCTACAACCATATTAATCTCCATCATTCGGTCATCATCATGGCAGTACGTCCGCACGTGTCAGCCAGCCTTGTCGACTCATGCGAACCATATGTGATTGCATGATTCCATAATGCCTCGCAGCCCTAGACTTGACGGATAACGACCTGTCGTTTGACTCGCTCCTTCGTCTTTCATGTTGTTTGACTCGTATTCCTGCAGCTTTGACGCTGCAGCTGAAGAGGAAGATATCAGATCACGCGGTCGTTCGTGGAACTGACGCACTCCTGATACTCGCTTCAAGCTGTCGTCCCAGCGCGATCGTTCCGTGAATCCTTTGGGAGGCTTGCCCCTCACGACAACTCAATTACGCGCTGAAGCTTATATTCACCATCTGGCACCAAGATTAAGCCATGCATCCTTTGGCTTGGCACAAACATACAACGAAACAATGGCCCCTCCTTCCAGTGAAAGGCTTCCACGAGCTCCTGTCGCTTATACATGCCGTACTTCTCCTATAACATCCAGGCAAACTGACATACATACGCGACGTTGACCTCCTTCTCGTTTTGGGCATCTCTAGCCTGCAGTGATATGGAGTTGAAGCTTATATCAACGACTGATCATTCCTTCGGTCTTCGCTTGCTTGGTCATGCGAGTCGAGATGTGCAGAGTCGAGTGTTGACCTCTTCCTACTGCAAACCCGTGGATGAAGCATGAGTCTCTTGACCTTCTATGTCTACTTATGTTTAACGAGACATACCATGCTTCTTACCGACACGATCGTGCGACTTGTGGCTACTTGCCAGGTAAGAGAGGATTATTCTCGTCTGCTTTTTACCACTTGATCGTCCTATATAATGTATTTCTTTTGAATCCTTAGATGGTCATCTCCATCTCGATGTCGCGAGCGATTATATCTCCATCTGCCATCGCCGTGTGTCGTATGAATGGCTGTCTGCATTCCGATGCCATAAGCAATTGTGTCTCCGTCTCTTTTCCTCAACTTTCGTCGACCTGTCTTAACTGTGTCTTAGGTCTTGGTGAGGTATCGTCATGCAAAACCTCGCATACATACGAAGAAAGCCTATTAATGCTGTCATTGCCATTTCTATAAGTTGCTATTGTTTGTTCCGCCGTTCTCAGTAAAGAGCGTAAATCATATCCCGGTCGGCCAAATCTCTTGACCAAACTTCGCTTAAGTTAGTTGATAGCAGTACCCTGCTCCTCCATTTATCTCTTAACCACACTATAAAACCACAATACATTGACTTTTCAGCAAGGATATGGATAAAAAACTGGTTTTGCAGTATGTGATTGTTAGTACCTAGGTACATAGGATAGATTCAGTCTATGGGTCTTAGGTGTTGTTATATTGTTGTTTGCGGGAATAAAAGATCCGTTGATCATGGGGGCATACTTCCCGTATCTAATTGCTAGTAGCTTTGCTATTCTGATATCTCCTGAAACTTCGCATTTCAATCCATGCTTTTCCTACCTACGCAACCACAGCCAACCTCTTCAATTCCTCCACCTCTGTTTCTGCATATCCTAGCTCCTTCAACACTTCACCAGTATGTTGTCCCAAAGTAGGCGGTGGAGATCTAATCCCCGGCGTGCTTTCCGAAAACTTTACGGGCGTGTTAACGAGTTTGATAGGACCACAGGTGGGGTGGTTGATTTCTTTGACCATGTTTCTTGCTAGGANCTGTGGAGGGTTTGTTAGCAACATACCTCAAAGAGAATGGAGTTGGGAGGAAGGGATAGGGAAAGGGCAAGGAAGGAAGAAACAAGGAAAGAGCGAGGAAGGAGGATATGGAGAAGCAGAGGCAAAACACTTACCATGTTCATGTCTCATCGTTCCCGCAATATCATTAACAGCAGCATACGGCATGCCACTGCCCTCAAAAACATCCAACCACTGCTGTGTAGTTTTCGTCTTCGTAACCGTCGTAATCAATTCCTCGAGCAAATCCCTATTGGCCACTCTGTTTGCATTAGTCACGAATTTGGGGTCTTGTTTCCATTCGGGCTTTGCAAGGCGGTCGCAAAGCACTCCGAAAAGACGATCGTTGCCGCCGCCTAGCATGATACTGCCGTCTGCGGTGGAAAAGCCTTTGTAGGGTACGATGGAGGNGTGTGCAGTTCCCCAACGGCCTGAATCTGGTTTGCCGCTGATGAGATGGGAAGAGGCGAGGTTGGAGAGGGTGGCGACTTGGCAGTCTGAGAGGGAGATGTCTATCCATTGGCCTTTGTTGGTGAGGGAGCGTTGCAACAGAGATGCGAGGATGGAGTTGGAGGTGTAGAGGCCGGTGGTCAGATCGGTGACTGCAACGCCTACTTTGGCGGGTGGGCCGTCGCGGTGACCTGTTATGTGCATGAGTCCCATTTCGCTGTTTGTCTGCATCAGTCCCACGATCATTGAACTCTCCTAGAATGGATATTCAGGGGTGGACAAGGAAGGAAATACTCACGCTTCAACCATGACATCGTAGCCCGCACGATCGCTATACGGGCCTGTCTGTCCATACCCAGTAATACTCGCATAAATCAACTTAGGGTTAACCTTCCTCAACGTCTCATAATCCATCTTATACTTCTGAAGTGCACCAGGCAAATAATTCTCAACCAGAACATCGCATTCCTTAGCAAGTTTATGCAGAATCTTCACACCAGAAGGTGATTGAAAAGACAAACCGAGAGACTTTTTGTTGCGGTTGACGGAGAGGAAGTAAGCAGATTCGCCAGGAGTGGTTTGTTGGGTTGGGTTGCCGTTGATGTGGGGAGCATATGGAGGACCCCAGGCTCGTGTATCGTCGCCGCGGGTGGGATGTTCGATTTTGATGACTTCTGCACCTAGATCGCCTAGGATTTGTGTGCAGTATGGCTGTGGTTTTGCTGTTGTCAGTCAGGGTTCTCACGAATTCGTATGTATTTTCCGCGAGTCTATGTGGTGGAAGGAATCGCAAATCTGTCTCATCCTCCGTGTAGCAGTTGCCTGTGGATTCAATTTGAAGTCCTTCTTTTGTTCCGAGGCTGTGGTTTGTGTTGACGTAGAGTTGCTTCTCTGGAGTCGTTCAGGATAACAACCTTGTTGATGCGATCCAGCAGGTGTTTCTTTTTTCTCCTTGCTCTTCTTTGATGTATCCATTTCCAGACATCAATGTTACCCATCCTCTTTGCAGAAAGAAATCTACTCTTTTCCCTTTTCCCACTGATCAAACTCGCATACCACCTCTTCCCATTTCTTACCTACACATCCGATTCCACATACCACGTCTCCCCTATCAACCTCTGCTTTCCAGACTCCTTCATCTTTATTTTCCCCATCCCCTTCCTAAAAGTCCAAGCACCGAACAACACGATAAGTGAAGGAAAAGTTAACTCACACCAGCAAGAACCCTAGTCATATCCAACACTTTGATTCCCTTGAGCGGCAAGATTTCTTTGCCTTTTGTTGCTGTTGTTGCCATCGTCCTAGAAACCAGTTGCCATCTTTGGTTCGTGTTGATGACTGATCGCTGGGAAGTGAGCATTGCTGCTGCCGCTGCTCCTCGTCGATGAAGGACGTGAGTATGCAAACCCATTGTTGCTGGTTGTTGCTGTTGGTCCTGATCGGGTTCAATCCAGGGAGAATTCAACAATGAATGGAAGCACTGTTACAGAAACAAAGTAAAGAGAGACAGGAAGATAGCAAAGACAACAAATGCCGTCGGTAGTCCAGATGGAGGTGAGCGGTCGCGGAGCATCATATGTGGGGATGTTCGGGGCCGAGTTTCCGATGTTAGTGGAAGCGGGACCGAGGCCCGATGGCACAACTGGGCAAGAAAAGACCGATGATTCTCAGTCAGAGCAGTCTTCTGCTGGATGCATTGTTTCAAGTATCGAGAATAGAAAGGGTCATGACTGTGCAGAGAAATCAAGTCATTTCATCACAAACGTCTTTATGTAAATTCTCCCCTTCCTAAAAGCCCCTGCCCGGAACACCATTTCCCAATGCAACAACTGAAAAATAATAAACGAAGAACGAAAAACTATCCCCCATGCTCGAGACTTTTGCAATGAACCTCTTTTCAACCGAGCATCCAGCGATATGAAAACAACAACAATAACAAAGCAACACGTAGTGTCATTGCGATTAGCACATGACATAGGTGCACTTGCCCTTGGCTTCGCGACCCTGCTCGTTGGCCTCGAGGTTGTACTCGATGGCGACGTCCAAATCTCTTCTGTTTCTCTCGTTGGGCTTGCAGAGAAGGGTACCGTTGAGCTTCTCACCAGCCTCGACGGTGAGGTTGTCGTCAAGGTAGAAGACGGTCTGTTTCCAGTGCGTGTACTTTGTGTGAGGGCCGGTCGAGAACTTGACGGGCTTGTGGCAGGCCGAGAATTCAATGTCGAACCAGGCGATCAAGGCGTGCACGTAGTCGGTGCGGCGGACGGGGAGCGAGTATGGGAGGTGGAAGGCGAGATCGGCGACTTTGCAGGTGTAGAGATCGAGAGTGATGAGAGGTGCGGGATCAGTGACGACGGCCTTGAGGTCAACAGTGTCGACAAGAGGCTCGGTGAGGGCGGTGCGCTTGAGGGGAGAGTAGTCGAAGCCCCAGACGTTATCCCAGACTGCGCATTGAGTTAGTAACGGTGGAAATGTTAGGAAAGAATGCGCGACTCACANGTTGATCTTCTCCTCCTTGTAGTCGCCATCCTCGATACCGGCAACAAAGATGGTGGCCTTGTCGGGGAAGATGAGACCGCCCTTCTTGAGGTAGCGGTCACGAGCCCACAGAACCGTGTCCAACATGGACTCGTAGAGCANAAAGTAGCCCATCCACTCGGAGATGATGATGTCGACCTCGGGGAAGGGAAGGACAACCTCCTCCATCTTGCCCTGGAGAAGGGTGATCTTGTCGCTCAAGCCGTTGACCTCGACAATTTCCTTTGCCTTGTCAATGATGGTCGACATGTCAACACCGATGACGTGCTTGGCGCCGGCCTTTGCTGCGANACCTGCGGATTGAGTCTCAGTATGTTGTTGTGTGGAAAGAGAAGAAGTGGATGCGCACATGGACAGAATGCTGGTTCCGCAACCAACATCGAGGACGACCTTGTCCTTGAACAGGTGACGGTTCTGGTAGATGGCGTCACGGTAGCTGCGGGTGCGCACGTCGTCCTTGAGCATCTCCTCGTGAATTCCATGGTGGTTGTAGCTNNGTCGAGCTTGTCAGTCTTGCTACTCGTTCAAGAATGGCGTAGAATTGGCGCGTTACCTGTTGAAGTAGTGCTGCTCAGAGTGAGCAAGACCGGCGAGATCGGTTGCGTTGTTTGCCATATTTGCTATATCTGACAGGAAGTGAATTGAGCGACCGTGATGGGGGTTGTAAAAATGAATGCGACAAAAGATACAAAAGTGGAAGGAGGATTTTTCTGTGGCAGGAGATGATGCTTTTTCATCCAAAAGCAGAAGCTTCGACTTGCAACGATAATTTCGCCCGAGCGTTGTCGGACTTTGTCCCTCGAAACGCCGCGACGAGCAGACCCTGTCATTCTTGAATGTCTCGCCCCAAAGTCTGGACTGCCTTGGCAGCACAAGATATTTTGATACTCGATAATAAATATTTACAGTAGTGAATGATATAGTTTTGAATCCAGCATCAGCCAACAATCTCATCTGCACCTGCCATGGTCGCATCGTCCATGTTTCCAAGCCGTTCAGCCGGTATGAAGTGGCTGTAGACTTCTTCATTGTCATCAACCAACCATTTCAGATCATTTTCCTCAGGAGGAAGCAAAGCCCCCAATCCTTGACCAGGTCTTGGATAGTTGGCTGTGGGATTATCGAGCTCATTATACCCTTCGTCCACATCATCATCTGGCCGTACTGGTAGAGGATAGTAAGCATGTTCAGAATCGTCAGATGAAGGCTCGGGAGGATTTGGTGGTAGAGGCTCGACTTGTGGTTTAGGAGGATCAAGTAGATCTGTGAGTGTCGTAGGTATAGGCGTTCGGAAAGCTCCTGGTGGGAATAGTGCCAGTTCAGGATGTGATTGATCTGCGCGTAGTAGCAAGTCGACCAGTGTATTTGTCGGTAGTAACATCAAAACCTCACGTTTCTGNNCAAATGTCAGTCTTGAGCCCTTGTGAAAATGTCAGCACACAATACGTACCTGGTGGTCCATCAGATCTCCTCCAGATACAAAAGAATCAGCATCAACTTCAGGCGGTGGTCGAACGGTACAGTCCGAGCAGAACCATTCCATGTCAGGAACATCTACAACCTCCTGGCTGATGGGAGGATAATGGCAATAGCGGTGGTAAGGAGAGTTGCAGCCATCACAAAATACTATCATGTTGGTGGCTGGACTATGAGGCCGGAGACATTGCTTGCAGACTGCCAATTCTGGATTCCTACGTCCCCAATTGCGTTTACGTTTTGTGCCCGAGGTGGGAGATGGTATGACTGGTACGAAGGTGGTAGGTTTTGTGATTGCGCGACCAGAACGCGAAGTGGTCGCTAGTGGAGTGTCTTCAGCATCATCAAAGAAATCATCATCGTCGTCGGAGCTGACTTCGTGGATCTTGATGCCTTCTGCAAGAGGCTTCCGACCACCTCTGCCACCTCTCCCTCTTGGACGACCTCCTCTTCCTCGACCACGACCTCGGCCTGTGGATGGCGGTGTTTCGGCAGCTGCGGACAAGGGCGACATGGCGGATCCAGCTAATGCGCCTCGTCCTCTCCCTCTTCCTCGACTGCCTCGCGGTCGACCTCCGCGATTCCTCCCGCGTCCTCCCCGCACGACTGGGGTAGTCGCATCCATTGGAGTATCGGTATCCTCCTCTTTTACCTTTGCGTCAGGGCCCAGCGAGGTCGAGGTAGTCATGTTCTTGAGGACAGCATTCCTGGCAGCTTCCCACTCTTGTGCGCTATAAGCTGCAGACAGATTTGTCGAGGGCAAGCGTTCCAAGACTTGATCGGTAGCTGGGGAGAAGGACTTGATGGGTGGTTGAGAGGTAGTAGATTCTATAGGCGCAATGATCGAAGAGGTCGCATCCGCAGGCGCATTAGACGCTGAAGCATTTAAAGATGACGGCTGAGTCGGGTCGGTTGAAGGAAGCGCATCGGATTGGGCAGTGTCGTTGAAAGGAGCGTCGGCTACTGAAGGAAAATCATTGGGGGCAGTCGACATGTCGACGTCTGATTGAGGCAGTTGCGACAAACAATCGCGCCTGTCGCATGACACCTTGGAACCTACCACCGGACGTGCACCGCCACACGTCTGATGCACCAGATCCGCTTCAGCCACAGATAGACAGCGCGCGCCACATAACGCGGCACCTACGTCAATGGGCGAGCGTGAACATCAACAAATCTTGGGCCGCAGTCTCTCGTTTCGTCGCACGACAACAAGCAGATATGACGGTACCAGAACGACCGTCAATCGCCGTTACGGCTGCCAACAAGACTGAGCGTCACGATTTCGCAGAGTCATCGACACCTCCACTACAGTCTTCACTCTCTCCCACACCGAGTCCCCCTCAATCGCACCAGCGGCCCATCTCTCCCAAACCCTCGACCTCGTCGTCCAAGAAGGCCGCAGAGCCCACGCGTCCCAGATGGATCCTCCACTTGCAGGCCCAGATGTGGCGCTTCCTCATGGGCATTGGCATGCTGCTCCACCGCATGGCTCCTCCTCATCCGCCCAAACCCTCGTTCAAACGTTCAATCAAGGCCACCGTCAGTTCCAAGCCTGGTGATTTCGATCTGCACTTCTACGTACCCAAGGACTACGAACAACACCGCCGAACAAACTTTGCAAAGAAGAAGTACCCCTGTGTCATCAACTTCCACGGTGGAGGCTTCACCTTGGGCAGCCCTAGTGACGATGCCCGCTGGTGTGGAACCGTCGTCGATGAATGTGCTGCTGTTGTAGTCTCGGTCGACTACCGCCTAGCCCCGGAGAACCCTTTCCCTACCGCTGTCGAGGATGGAGTAGACGCTGTTCTCTACATGGCAGACAACGCCGACGAACTCGGCATTGACGAGAACAAGATTGCCCTTTCTGGCTTCAGCTCCGGTGCCAACATGGCCTTCACCGTGCCTCTCCGCCTGTACGACCACCAGAGCGAGTTTGGCCGAATTGCAACACACCATGGCGCCTCTTCTTCGATGCTCAGTCTGCCCAGGAGTCAGGATGCAGCTTCGTCCAGTCTCAGTGTCGACCGGATCGTTCGCAGCCGCAGCCACACTGTTGCTCCCACCCTGGCCTCGCTACAGAAACAGCAAATGACTGTCAAGCAAGTCGAGTCTGTTCAGTCTGTATCAATCTGCGCAATCGTCCCGTGGTACCCGTCCTGCGACTACACCCAAACTCGCGAAGAGCGCAGAAACACGTCCGTTCGCACTGACCAAGACCTTCCCGCCATTTTCACAAACCTGTTCGACGAGTCATACCTCCACCCTCCAGACACCATCCCTCTGGACTCGCCCTATCTCTCTCCTGGAATTGCACCCACCGACCTCCTTGCCCAAGCCCTACCCCAAGAAATCATCATGCATACTTGTCAATGGGACATGCTCCTCGCTGAAGGTGAAAAATTCCGCGACCGTCTAACCGGCAAAGGCATCAACAAGAATGTCCACTACAAGATGATTGAAGGCGTGCCTCATGGCTGGGACAAGGCACCCAACCCTCTCAAACCCACTCCTGGCGTCAAGGAGCATTATCTCAATGCCACCAACCATTTACGACGAGTATTTGCCAAGCAAGGCGGCAGTGCCCCTGAAGACGCAACTGTTGGTGGTGTCGCTGGCGAAGGCAGGAGAATGAGTACATTGGTGAATTAGACATTCGTGTGGGTTTTCTGTTTGTTTGTATAGCGTGCAATGTAGTCCTTTGTTGGGATCTTTCTTCTTTAGACCCATCATCATACACTTATGCCTTTTGTGAGACAGTGTGAGAAGGGATTGAATATCGTGTACATAAGCTATCTAAGCAAGCACACAACGAAGCGGCAGTAGCTGGTCGTACTGAAACCTCAAACCCAGCTCTTTTGCAGCTTTGGCGCTGGACTTGGGGGTTTGTATAACGAGGCCTATCTCACAGCGAAACCCAAAAATCAAGGAAACACACTTGGTTTCTGAGAACAATAGCAGTCAACCCAGACACAAAAACAAAAGTTTCCATTTTCAACTAATATATATCAAGAATTTAGAAATTCCTTGTTTCTTGTTCTTTCGTGTTTCAACTTTTCCCTCTTGCCAAAGTGTAATGCTTATGTCTCAGAGTCGTGGTTGGCAGACTACACTGCCCAAACACTCAAGACTTGCGGAATGCTTGGATGGTCTTGAGAACAGAGCTGTAAGCCGGCTTCTTGTTGAAGTTTTCATCCCAGAGCAATGCTGCGCCCTCGGTGGGGAAAACCCCGGNGATCCATGAGTACTTGTCCGAGACACNCCTGCACGAAAGCATCAGTCACCTGCACGCAGTGGGAAAAAGGAAAAAGGAGAAAATGCAAGGAGATCTTACCCAAATGGTGATACCGACACACTTCTTGACGTTGATGCAGGATTGAACCACTCTGGCGTATGCGTCTGCTTGTGCTGCGAGCTTTGAAGAGGTGGCTGGGGTGGTGAATCTGATGTCTAGCTCTGTGTAGGCCACCTCAACGCCAAGGTCAGTGTACAACTTGAGCACATTTGTTAAGGTGGTGACATCGGGAGTCACGCCGCCGCCAGTGGATGCAGTAGCCTCGGAACTCAGGTGAGCTTGCAAGCCCACACCATCAATTTGGACACCATAGCTCTGGACAAGCTTGAGGATGCGCTGAGCACCCAGAGCCTTGGCACTGCCGTACTCGAGGTTGTAGTCGTTGTAGTACAGCTTGGTCTTCTTGCCAGCATACTTCTCGGCAAAGCGGAATGCGATGGGGATAAATGCTTCTCCGATGGTGTTGTAGAAGACGGAGCTGCGGTAGGTGCCGTCCTCGTTGAGTGCTTCGTTGACAACATCCCAATGAGTGCACTTGTTCTTGTATCTGCCAGCGACTTTCTTGATGTGGTTCTCCATGATGGAGATCAAGGTCTTGTTGTCAAAGTTGCCTTGACTAACCCATGCAGGCAATTGAGAATGCCAAACCAAAGTGTGACATCTCATCTCCTTGTTGTATCGGTCGGCAAAGTTGGCGACAGCATCTGCGCCGTCAAAGGTAAAGTTGTTGCGTTGCGGCTCGGTGGACTCCCATTTCATGGCGTTTTCGGGAGTGATGGAGTTGAAGTCGGCGCGCGATTGGATGATGCCTTGCTCGACGGGGTCATCACGGATAGTCAGTGCTGTGCCGATGTACTGGCGACCTTTGGATGTCCAGGCTTGAGCGAGTCCTTGGTTCTTGGAGTTGGACGAGGTGCTGTNAGCTAGAGATTCGAGATCAGACTTCTGGCCATCAATTGTTCCCAAAGAAAAGGCTTACTCGGTTGGGGTGGCAGCACCGAGGCCAAGCAAGGCAAGAGTTGCGGCGATCTTGGGGAGATGCATGTTGTTGTCAGAGATAGCAGGGAGCTTCTGGAATATGAGTCAAATAGATCTGTCGATGAAGATCTACCGATATATGAAGAGCGATGGAGCCCTTTGTATTCGTCTAGGATAAATTCAACGTCCTTTTCACTTACGTCCGCTCTTCCTATAACTCAGATTATCCGTCCACCAGCCGCAACTCGATTGCATACCAGAGGCGACATCGCTTTACCCAAAAAAGTCATTGCAGATATCCAAGACGGCTATACAAAGCCAAAGGCCAGACCTACCTCAATCAACCAATTCCCCGCGAAGGTGCATACTGTGGAGATGGTCATTTCCCCCTGGGGTAAATTACCTACCCCTCACTGAGCAACTTGATGGCAGTGTTCGTCTGCGGACTAAGCCCTCGTGGCGTCCATTGGTATGCACAAATATACGTTGCCAAGGGGGGTAAAGTCGTGGATATATTCTTTGCCCAGAAAAGGCCAAGCAGCCAAGCCCCGTACAGGCTGTTGCAAGCAACGTCCGTTGCGGTATACCGGACGGAAGGCATGAAGGACCCGTCAGATGAGAAGCTTGGTGTCAGCTTCATCGTTGTTAGCTGGTGTGTTCGTAGGCTGAAGTTCTTCGTGAACGGCCGGGGTGGAGACGATGAAACCGAGACCGAGGCATCAGGACGAGCTCAGAAGATGGCGGGAGAGTCGCTATTGAATGGCTTTACATTCATCAACATATGCCCTGATTCGTGAACGCTCTGGTAGGTCATCTTGAGGCAGATGATTGATATGCCTGTGTGCTATCATGGTTGTGATATGTCAAAAGCGTGAATGTCTGTGAATGTCCAGTTAAAGGTCGGGAAGGAACGTCGGGGCTTTGCTTGGCAGGGACGATGGAGACGACGAGATTTGGAGCCAACTTTCATCTCTCGTAGTAGATGGACAGTAACATAGTCACAGACTTGTGTCCTCAATTGCAGTCGAACCGCCGTCAAAACACCGACAGTGACCTTCCTTGTTGTTCGCATGAGAGCAAGGATGCGACGCATGTAGTCCTCAAGCTGACGCGCTCAGCAAGAGCGACATCCCCAACGGCAAGCGATGTTCTCTCGCTCTCAGCTGGATCCCCGAATAGCTTTGATGGCACACAGTCCGGATTGAAGAAGCTCTAAGTTGCCGCTGAGCGTCTCACAACCACATCTGCAACTTGCCCGCTTAGTCGACAATCAGGAATCGGACTGGATCAGAGGAAGAGCATGGAAAGAAATACAACTTCAAGTCCGGGAGCCACGATGTGTCGTTGAAAAATTCTCTGATTCGTCCCCGCGACATAATGCGCGACCGCCAATGCATCGAACCACGTCGAATGCGGTCTTTGCATATCCCTGAGGCTCAGGAGACTACGCCCTTGGTCTGCTTCAGCTTGTTCACGTACAGGTGCTTGATGCAATGAACCCGCATCGGCGACAAGCCTATCAGAGCAACGCCAGCCGATAACGTTCTCATCTATGTATATTCATACGCTTTCCGTATGCAGTCTCATATGGGCAGGCCTGACAAGGTCAATGGCACTGCGTACTTGTGATTCTGTGCCACATCGACAGTCGCACAAAGCGAGGTTCATCATGCCGTTGGTGTGTCATCCAATATCGGGCTTGAACGGACATCGGCATGGCCCGAGTAGACTTGACCTGTACTTCATCTTCTTCACACGAGGTCGTGACGAAGTCCCTCAGCCGGATGAATTAACTGCCACAAAAATCACGGAGTCAAAAATTGGTGGCGGCATCGCCTACTTCAGTTCTCCTAAAGTCACACATTGCTATTCATGTTCTGATGTAAGCGGTTGTGAAACTGAGTTTGCTACGGTGACTTGTTCTGAATAGACGTACGTCTGGCCCTAAGGTAAATGGCCGTAGATAGCGTCACAGATCTCGTATCGCGACATCACGCAGGATCGAGACGAAAACCTTGACGCGTTAATAGTCGGGAAGAACGGGAAGACCAAGTGGATATGTGGGCAGAGACCCGTCTTGTTTCTCATCCCACCCATCTGCTACTACTGTTGTCTAACATATTCGACCTTGCGAGCGAGCCAGCAGCCGACAGTGACTCTGTTGTACATATCATCCTTCTGGTCTTTGAAGACCACAGTCCAATCACCTGGTGGAGTCGCGTCAAGACCTCTTGGGTTGCCCAATGCCCAGATCTGCTCCTTTCCAATCTGTCGCATGATCCAGATAGGTCCACGTCCAAGGAAGCCATCGAAAGATCCGTACAGCGCACCACGCTCTCCTGACACTGTGAAAACACTATCACTTTCTTTGCTTCTGTACACTCCAACAATGTTGTTGCTAGAAGCTTGGCCCATATCCTNTTTGTCCACAGCTTGCAGTCGTACGGCTTTCAAAAGTCTATTGTCGTCAAGTCGGTTGACATGGAGAATATCTCCCTTCAGAGTTAGTTTCATGCCATCTGATTCTGCTTCCGTTTCCGAGACTAGTCTGGCAACTTCAGCGCCCGTACCAGGACCATAGCTAACCAAGATGGTGCCAGGCTTCTCTCTGCTGCCTTCTTCTACTGCAACGTAAAGCTGAGTTTCTTCGTCGAAGAAGTGTCCCTTCCAAGCAGCAGGCACACTGACCGTCTGAGGTTCAGGCTCTTGTATATCACAGACTTTCTTCACGATCAACTCGAGAGGAGCTGCTGGCGATGTCTCAAAGTTGTGCATGACCACTACGGAGAGACGCTTCGCTGGGATCTGCACTCTTGCGTGTCGGAAGCCACGGAGTGCGCCGCCATGTCCAATACCTGACTGTCCGGCGACTTTGAGTCGCTTGAGACCGTATCCGTAGCCAGCTGGTGTACCATCGCGGAATTTTTGCTCCTTGGATGTCTGTGCGTACAGACTTGTGCCGTCTGACAGACCTTGATCCAGATAAATTTCGTAGGCGATCATGTCTTCGAGCGAGGCAGCAATACCAGCATCACCACCCCACTCGATACGGTTGGTCGCTGCAAAGTATCCTACCTTGTCATTTCCTTCGTAACCGACAATGGGCAACGGCAATCCATTTGTGTTGGCGCAAAGACTGGCTGTCTTCATGCCTGCAGGAATAAACAGTCTCTGTGTAAGCAATTGAGCAAGCGAGAGGCCAGAGACGTTCTCCATGATCCGGCCAAGGACGTGGAAGTTCACGTTGGAATAGGAGTATTCAGTGCCAGGAGCGAAGTGATAGCTTTTGATCCGTTCAAGCGCTTGAGGAGCATCATGCAGCAAGGAGAACTTGTCATCAGGACGAGCGCCCCAAAGAGTGGTNNTCTGTGTACAGTTGTATGAGCTTTCAATCAATGCCACTCATGTCAATATCACTCACAGTGCCCAGTAGTCGCGTATACCCGACTGCATGTTATACAGATCAGGCACCGTAACACCGTCTTCACCACCGCACTTAAGATTTGGCAACAGCTTCTGAAGCTCGTCTTGAAACTGTTTTGCAGCATCGCAATTGCGCTCGACCATCAGTGGCGTAGGGTCACGCAACAAAGACTCCATGGCCAAGCAGACCATCTGCTTGGAGATTGAGCAGATAGGGAACTGTGTCTTGCTCGTCATTGGGATGCGACGGTCAAGGTCGGCATATCCCCAAGCACGCTGGCCCAGCAATGCACCATCTTTGACGACTGCAACGACACCACCTGGACCATGTGTCAAGTGTGGCACGGCAGCAAGAATGCTGTCAATGTCAATGTCTTGTGTTGTCATGGTTGTGAATGAAACGAAGAAGGATGGTATTGTGTAAAGAGGACAAGTCACTCGGTCGTGCAAGTGGTGTCTCTTCCCCACGCGTGACGTTACTAACAGAGTGCGGGCCGGACACGAGCAGCGGACACGCCAATTGTCAAGCCGCTTAGTCACCGCAGGATGAAGTAGAAACTTGACTGTATATCTCCCGCTCTGTTTACTTGCCTTCTTCCTTGAGGCTGACCCAAACCATTTCGACCTTGAGCACAACGGCCACAGAGACGTATAGCATATACAAAGTGTCGACAGCAAAAGGCGCGGTGCGATGCCAACTCTCGGTCGAATCAGGCGTGCTCCCGCTCTCGCAAGTTCAAGCTCGTCAGCGTCGTCCCTGATAGCTTGAAGCGTCAACAATCACACAAAAAGCTTTTTGAATTGCAAAGAGACGCTCAAGCTCGAATAAACAAATGTGAACAAGGGCTCAAGCACAGGAATTTTCTTGCATCAGCAGAACATCTAGGTATTCATGTTTCATCCTCGCCGGACCCATCAGGGCTTCAACCGTTGTCGTTAGCATTATTCCAGAATATACTGGGACGCATGGAACATCTGGTCTGAGTAAGATCTCTCTAGGTCCGAATGTACTCAAGCAGGAGCTCAGGCCTTTGCAATTGTAGACGATCGCATACAGACTTAAACATGCCGGCTGTGAAGGCGTTGTGTTGCGTTGCGTCCAATCGTGATGGCTATTTGTGCCAACAAAAGATGCAACAGGAGTTGCCGCCTCAACACTGGCCAGTTTCGTCAAGTGGTAACAATTCTGTTCTGTGTGGTGCCTTGTGGCTGTAAGAACCTACAAACATGGAGCGAAGCTTTTCGCCATGGGATGGATGTTTCAAGATGCGCCAATCCTTGCCGATGTATAGGGTCAGAGATATGTCCTTTGAGAATAGGATTCTCCTAAACTGGAAGTTGATCCCAGGTCACAAAACGTCGAACTCAATAGAATCGTTAGCAAGCACCAATGACATGGGTAGCCGTTGCGGATGTTTTATACTTACATCCGGTCATGTTTCTTCAGCATATCTTTCAGCCTTCTCATCTGATTTGGCCCATATCAATGTGTCGAGATTTAAGATACTGCCCCCGTCCGTATCACTCAACAATCTGGAGAATTCTTTTGTCGCAAAATGAGTCTCACGATGATCTGTATAATTATGTCGCGTCAAAACCGTTGGAAAGGTTCATGTATGTAACGGTCGGTTCAGCCTTCTACGTTGACCTCCGCGTCACCCGATTTGTTGGTAGACCTCATTCTTTTTTCGCTGGGATAGATGCAACTTCCATCGTGTAAAACCGTTCAATAGAGACAAAACTTAATCTGGCAATGTTTCACTGTATAGGAGCTTAGAATAAATCTGCCTTGCCCCCCTCCCTGGACGCGCGACTCAGATAGGGCTGGATCATCATCTTTCGCCTGATCACAAGGCTGACTTCTCCATAACGACAAAGACATCACGATGGAATCAGGATCAGCAATCATATCTTTTGTGTGGGTGTTGACCGCACTGTCCGGGGTCATCGTCACTGCAAGGGCTATCATGAAGATTTTACGGTTCAAAGGTCTAGCATGGGAAGATTATCTCATGATCATTTCAATGGTGATTAGCACACCTAGCCATAAGCAGCCATCACATTCATGTACTGATCATCATGAAACAGGCNNACTCGCAATTGTCTATGGATCGTCGACCACTCTGATGTATAGGGACAACCTCAGCCAACACGCCACTTTCCACTCTCCTGGTTTTGCGAAATACCTCTACACCTGCCATGCCATTGGTTTCATGGCACCACTGTTCAGTCGCATCTCTTTCTGTCTCTACATGCTACGGGTGCTCAGCACAACCTCGGCATCCAGGAAACGCTGCATCCACGCCTTCATTGCACTCCAGCTCTTGGTCAATGTACCCGTCTCGATTTTTGTGTTCGCACAATGCGGATCCTTCAACTCGCTCTGGGAACACGGATTGACAGAGCCCGCGGCATCTTGTGTACGCCACGACGTTGTCAAAATCCTAGCTCTGGTAGCTGTGGTCTTCAATGCTCTGACCGATGTCTTCTTGACAATCTTGCCAGCAGTGGTGGTTTGGAGTATCAAAGTCATGACCGCCAGTGCACGCCTTGGCCTTGTTGCTACCCTGGGCTTGAGCTTCTTTGCAACGATCGCGAGTGTCATCAAGATTTACTACGTCTACGCATTGTACACGTTCACACCTACCATACAGATGTTCAGACACTTGATCATCGTTATGGGAGTGGAGATCAATGTTGTCATCATCGCCGCCAGTATTCCAGTATTGGCGCCATTGTTCTTACAGAAGAGTGGACAAAGCAGGAAGCACATGTACAAGGAACCTGAGTTGCCGACCTACAATATCAGCGCGGAGGATTCAGGTGTCTCGCTGCAATCGTCAAGCAAAACATTCGAAAGTTCGGTGAAGAGCAAGAATGTTTCGGTCGTCACGAGTACCATGGACACTTGTGTAGAGAACAGGAGCGGCTATACGGCACCGCAAACACCTTGGGATGAACTGCCAGAGTTCGTGTTTCTGAGCGATAACAAGTAATGAGTGCTAGGGCTATCAATGACGATCAGTCGAGTAAATGTAATAAGCTTCGGGTCTACGAATTTTCATGTCTTGTATGACTATCTCTATCTCAATACACTATGCCAAAAGTATACCAACTTGACTTTCGAGAAGCGTATAGCTCATTGCACCTGCGTATAGCAAATCAAACCATGGCAGTGTCAGCGCTTGTCCGAGAGCTTCCACATTTTTCGAAGACTTATAAGCCAACTCAAAGTTCCTGGACAGGCTTCCTGGCTCAATAGTAAGGTTTTAGCATCGATCAATCTCTCAATGGAATTGCAGACAGATATCAAGAAGTTCAACAGTCGCTCTATCTTTGTTGCAATCTCCGTATACAAATTCTCCCGTCACTGTATTCGAGTTACAGGGCTCTGGAGAACGAACACGATCGACTATGATTCATGGCAGGGTCTCCTAACCACCGCCACCGACCACTCTTTCGTTGAGCATGAAGTCTTTCCAACAGGTGCTACCTGTATCCAACCAGCTACCAGGTCTGCCTCTGTCCTTGGAAAACATTGTTCCAAAGGAGCATTGGTGACGTCGACCTGTGAATACCTCAGAGCATGCCTTAAAACAGCCGGACCGAGGCAGAGAGCTTCTCCTATCTTGGAAGCAACATTAAGCTCAACATGTATGAAGATCCGGACAACCTACCGGAGTGGTGATATCTGTGGACGCATGCGACCAATGGTGTCAAACAGTTACTGAACCCGAGTGAGTGCAGGATGTCAGGGCCTGAGTGATTAGGAAAGCAGAAGATCCGAGAATAAATATCGCACGGCCTGAGTCCATGATCACACAATTTGAGCAGTCAAATCCAGCTCAGCCCGAGGCGTCGAGCTACTTCGGTTTAAGAGAGCTGGTCGTCTTGACGCGTCATTGAGGTGTGAGTCAATGCCAAAACAGGACAATCCTCGACTTTGGCCAGCTTAGCTGCGAGCTCATGGTTCCGCACCGCGCTCTTTAGATGTGGAAGGCAAGGCAATCGTACCGACATTACAGAGTTTAACTCAACCGGATACCCCGAGGTGACTGTAGTGTTGAAGAGTTTTACAGTCCTCCGAATGGGCTTGGTGAAGGGGAACCCTCTTGTCAAGCATCGGAAGACGAGAGAGCGAGATACCTGTTCTTGCGTATCGGTGAATGCAGTGAATGTAGAAAGGTCTGACACGGGGCGAGCTGTGAGTTTGTGACAATGCGGTCGCTGAATGATAGATCGGGGTCTCCGCAGGGTCGCACTCAGCTCGTGCGGGAGGTCGGCGCGGAGATAATCGACGTTCTCAAGAGGCGAACCGTTGATGTACTCGGAGTACATACAGCAGCTGAAGTTCGATGGACACCATGCATATTTATCTCTTGTAAGTTGTAATGAAGATAAGTATCACTGTGGGAGCCAATGGCGGGGTTTCGGTATGGAAAATAGGTGGCACAAAAGCTTGTCGCCCATCTTGATTCTCAGCTGAAAAGATCAGATTGCCGAGGAAGCATGAATTGCTTACTGTACCTGGTACAAGCTTATATGTTCTGGATGCATCTGGGAAATTCTCAGAATATGATTGGGCAAGTTAGACATTTAAGGTTCCGGAGCCGCTTAACAGTATAGGTACATCGATCTGGACATCAATCGTGTCACTGATGGCCACGATGCAAGGATAGAACACAAACATCGAGTGCAGCTCAAGATCAGCTATCTGGATCCCTTTTCGGGCATTGCGGATTCTCATCGAAGCTCCTTCGCGGATTTGTCACACATGTCCGGAGAAAGGGTGAGACTGCGAGAGCCTCGATATGCATTCCCCCTGCATACAAGATAGGCTAGAACTTATGCGTGACTCAATCGAGATCTATCTTGTCGTCAGCATGCGGGGAACCTAGAGAGCACGTTTTGCTACGCGAGTTTTGGGCGTGATAATAACCAATCATTGCTCCTGCTGACTTTATATTCTCGGACCAGGTTCATGAACTGTTCTTATACATAGACGGACCCCCGTTGTACCTGTCACAAGTATTCTACATTGGCTGGCTGATATCAACGTTCGAGTGTGACACGGCAGACAGTTGCATGGTAATAGCCACGTCTCTCATCTACATAAAGGAGGGCTTGACATGTGTAAATCGACTCTGGCGAAGCATTTCTGAACGGTGACAGACGATCTACACAGAGTCAACCTCGAAATCCAGTCCTTGAAACCACAATACACAAATACTCAAACAACACACGATAATGAGGGACACCGCTCCATGGCAGAGAGTCTTAGTGTGGTTCAAAGGATCCAAAGAGGTATATGCTACACATAACTTTCCCACGGCTCATCTAACTCGATGCGTCCAGGACACAAGGTCACTTGCTGCCGATGTTGCTGGCGACTTGTACATCGAGAAGAACGAACGCGATCCTTTGATGGAAGTTACGACCACAGAAAAGCCCGTGTCCGGTCGCTCAGGAAACACATCTTTCGAGAGCTATGTCACGGGCACGTCCACTCGACCCTCGTCCAAGGCAACTAGCAGAGGATGGTCTTCAGATGCGGGCTCAGACCATCATGCTACTGTATCCAAAAGCCGTACAAGGACCAGCAGAATCTCTCTGTTCAGCAGTCACAATCCCGACGAGGAGTCCAAAAGTGTTTCGCCAACGATTTCGCCCACTACAACTCGTCCGCCTGTCTATGTTCCTCGAAATGCTGCTTCCGGTCACCTCCGTACCACAAATCCCTCCCGTCTGGATGCAAAATACATACATTGATTACAGGGCCAGTTGTGCTTATTGAAAACGTATCTGGCTTCTTTTTCTCAAGTCCAGCTCTGCAACCTTTCAAAACGCGTAGATCCACCCATCACAGCTGCAATCTCTTACGAATCCTCTTCTCACATCGCTATGAAGTTAGCAACCACTGCACATATGGTTATACCATCAGGGTTCCTCCAACATGGGATGGTTCCACTTACAGCATGATGCTTCGCTATGCTCACAATCAATCCTGCATCTGGAACGTCAACACCTTTGTCACAACTTGCAGCACATCAACATCATGGTAAAGAATTATTCATGAAGAGCCACCACAGGAGAGAAAACAACAGTGAGTTGGACCTGTGTTAATGAACACCAAGGCCATTAAACCCCGGATAATTGAGCAGAACGATCGCACAAGACACGGACGATTGGATGATGGACGAACTTCATGTATATATCGAGGGCAAGCCTGATAAACAGTGAATGTACTGGAAAGGAGATGATCCCAACTTTGTTCCTATGCAAGCAGTGGCAGTGATCTCGGGGTTTCCACTGGCAGCTTCGACCAACGACTGTAGCAAACTCTACCGTCTTTGATGACCGNCAAAAGATGCTCGATTGGGCGGTCCAAGATCGTGATATCATCCAATGGGTTTTGATCAAGCACAAGCAGGTCTGCAACAAAACCTGGCTTGATCTGACCAAGTCCGGCTTCGCATCCCAACATACGTGCTGGATTGATAGTGGCGGTACGGAGCAACTCGACAGCTGAGAGAACCTCCGAGCGTATACTGAACTCTCTGGTCTGAGCGCTGGTCAGTGGACCAAGCAGATCGGTTCCAAAACAAATGGTAACGCCAGCGTCGACGGCGATTCTGAGCGACCTGATTCCAGCTTCCAAGACCAAGGAATTCTTCTTCGCGCTCTCAGGAGGTAGATAGCCTGGCCAGTCGTTCATCTCAGCATATGTCACTAAGGTTGGTGTCAAGAATGCTCCCTTCTCGGCCATGAGCTCGGCAGTTGGTTTGTCGATGGAATTGCCATGTTCAATGCCCCTGCAGCCATTGTCTATCGCATGACGAATCGATCTCGGCGTGTATGCATGGGCGGNTAGTCTGATTTTTATCAGCATAAACACCTGGCACGACTATCAAGAAAGCTTGTGTCTTACCAGGAGATCGGCGTTGTTTGCAACTGCGGTGATTGCCTGAATTTCTTCGGCAGTGAATTGGATGTTTTCCAATTTGTCCATTAGTGTTGTGACTCCTCCTCCTGCCATGATCTTGATGAAATCAGCTCCTGTCCTGATCTGTTCCCTAGCGGCTTTGATACAATCTTCGATACCGTCACAAATACGGCCTATATCTCCATTTGCTCCGCCGCAGCATTCAGTGTGGTCATGTGGACNCCTAGCGCTGTTAGTTTGACCTTGTGATTAGGTTCAAGGACTTACGCGAATGTCTGCATGGCCGCCAGTTTGCGACAGAGCATGAACTGATAAGAATAGTCTGGGTCCAGGAAAGACACCATCCTCGATCGCCTCCTTGAGAGCATACGTAGCGCCTCCACAGTCGCGGACACTTGTGAAGCCGCGAGCCAGCATCTGCTGACACACATAGGGCTGTCTGAACGCAGATACAGCAAATGGATTTCCGAAAGCTTTACTCAAGTCCTCAAAGCCTGGCACAGCCATGAGGTGCACATGAGCGTCGATGAGTCCCGGACAGAGATAGCGGCCTTCGAGGTCAACGACGATAGCATCATCTGGAAGTTTGGTTCGGCTGTCTGCGCCATCTGTTATCTGTTCGATCAAACCAGCGCTAATCGTGACAGAACACCCTCTGCGGACCACTCCTTGCTCGGTATCAATAAGGTTGGCGTTATGGAAGATGAAGGTCTTTGNGGGCGGAAGCTTCCACGGCTTGATCCTTTCAGACTTGGGTGCCATGCTGTCGTGGAGGGTATTGTTGAAGATCGTAGGTTCAAAAGTAGACTGGATATAAAAGTGACTGGATTGCTCTGAAAAGGGTTGAGGTCGGGAAGCGGGAGTGGACGCTACCCGCTCTCTGCATGACAGCGGGCCGCCAGTTATCTCGGCAAATGTGCCCTGCCATGACTTCCCCCTCTTTTTGAGCCTACCAGCGACCATCAGACGCATGGCCAAGAGATATAGATAAACGCTAGAGATACGTTATCATGATGGTGAAGTTCTCGTTCCAGTCTCAAATATCAGTCGGAGGACGATCTAAACATCACTCCATCAAACCATCATTGAGTCTCATATCATGACTACAGATCGCTCCTTGCCGATCGAGACCACGCATATTCCCCCTGGGCGATGCAGATTTGAAGTCACTCCCAAGTCATACGTCTCCTATTGACCACCAGATAGGATACTCAAGGGCTTTCACGGACGCCGAGGAGAGAAATGTCTTGAAAAAGATCGATTGTGTTATTCTGCCGATGGTGGGTATATCATCGTGAATGGTACAACATGAGTGCTGATGACATAACAGATGTGCTTTGTGTTCTTTTGTCAATATCTAGACAAGCAGAGCCTGAGTTATGCTTCAGTAGCAGGTCTTATACAGGATCTGGAAATGAATGCATCGCAGTATTCCTGGTGCTCTTCTATCTTCTACATAGGTTGGCTTACCAGTATACAAACCCCGGACCCACTGATTTGATACGACAAACTAGGTCAGCTAGTGTCAGAGTATCCATTCATCTATCTGATGAGTCGATTGCGCTTGACGAAACTCGTTGGTTTTACGATGTGAGTCGTGTCTCTCAATATTCATGCTGCATTTCGTCTCTCTCTGACCGTTCATTGATCAGTNATTCTATGGGGCGGAATATGCATGTGTCTTGCTGCGCCGGCGAACTTTGCAGGCTTTGCAGCCGTTCGCTCTCTGCTCGGATTCAGCGAAGGAGCGGTCAGTCCAGCAATCGTGACCATCACGTCTTACTGGTACAAGAAAAAGGAACATGCTCTACGAACAGCGTCAGTGAAATTAGCCCGTGGACACCTAGGGCCTAACTGACTCGTGTCCNNCAGTCTGTGGATCTCGATGAACGCTTTGGCTCAAGTTGTCGGATCTCTGCTCATGTTCGGGATAGCAGGGAACAGAAATCTGGCCATTGCTTCATGGAGAGCCATGTTCATTGTTTGTGGAGCCATGACCGTTGCTACCGGGATCGTGTTCTTCTTCGCAATGCCGAGTGGTGCACAAGATGCGTGGTTCTTGGACAAGAGAGAAAAAGAAGTGCTTGCTGCGCGGATGGCCGAGTGTCATGAGGGCGGAGATCGTAAGAACTTCTCTGTTACTCAACTTCGGGAAGCTCTTCAAGATGTCAAAGTGTGGTTGATCTTCTGCTTCGGACTGCTGGTGACCNNATGCAATCTCCGGTCTTGACGGTAAGGTCCTTCCCGAGCGTATCTCCGGCTTTTGTGCTGATTGTTGTTGCAGTTCGCTTCTTTGATCACAAAAGGCCTTGGCTACAGTAGCCATGACACGTTACTGTACGTGGCGCCATCCGGTGCTGTACAGCTAGTGTTGATCTGGATTGGAGTTTTCCTGTGTATGTGCATCCCTCAGCGACGTTGTGCAATAGCCATCGCATTGTGCATCCCACCACTTGTCGGNATGCTTTTGCTTCTCAAGCTGCCTACATCAGCTGGCTGGGCTGTTGTTGTCTCCTCGTGGCTAGTAAGTCACTCTGCTGAGATTTGCTGTTGATCGAAACTGACGATATCAGGCTTCCTGTATCACTGCGCCGTGGTCNNGATTCTCCTGAGTTTGAGCGCTTCCAACATCAAAGGGAACACGAAACGTAGCGTGGCTAACGCCGTCTTCTTTATTGGCTATTGCGTTGTATCGCTTCCCCACAGNCTCTGGCAACACCAACCACGGTACTTCTCTGGGAGGGTGACTGCCATCGTCACCTGGTTTCTTCTTGTCGTTGCCACCAGCGCTTGGTGGATACTATGCAGGACTGAAAACCGAAAGCGAGACGCCAAACATGGTATACCTTCAGAGTCGCTGGAACCGATTGATCCTGCGACGGATTTAGACTTGACTGATAAAGAAGATAAGACATTCCGGTATTCGTGGTAGGGTCTTTGGAGACAAGCAGTCGATGGCTAGAAGATTGATACCAGTAGATCCTAGCATAATGCAAGCATCAATGATGACGATTTTTCTGTAAATCTGTTCGTCAGGAGGGTGAGTGAAAACGGTCCAGAGCTCAAGGACATGAACCGACGTCAAATCGTATGAATGCCAAGCGATGGCTTGATGCTTGGACGAGGTACCTCGTGGTAGCAGGGTGAGCCTGGGTGGCTTCCGAGGACCACCCCCACTGTCCAAGACCCGAGCCTTCGCTTCGAGGTACGGGCACAGCAGATACAACAAATCACTCTCCAAGTCGTGTCTCTCTGGCGCACGTAATCGACTTTGCATAGTCACATTGCCTATCGCGTCGTTCGTTGTCGTCGAGTAAGATGCGAGGTGGCAGAATCGCGAAGCAGAAGCGACAGCGCCCGCGCGTTCCGGCAGAACAGCGACTTCGGGCAGCGCGCGCATGTGAGTGACACAAACCACATAGCCATTCTCTCAGACGATTCTTCGCTCACCAATGGTCAGGCCGATCTTGCCAGCGAGGCAAACATCGCTGTGTTCCGACGACGTCTGGCGAAGCTCAGTGCGCCAGGTGCCTGCACAAATCGCAAGATTGCGTCTACCCCGACGGAGGTGCTAGATCGCCGCAGACACCGGCCCCCTCACGACGCGAACATTGTAGATCATGCTGCTGACTCGATTCAGTCTGTGGTGAGGCAGGAACCGCGTTGGAATTGTCTGGGATGGATACTCGATTCGCTCGCCCTGACAACAACCCTACCACAGACCATCTTTCACGAATCTTGTCACGAATCAAGGATGCTGTTTTTGCTGGGCCTGTCTCTCAGTCCGCCGAAACTGCTCGCAAAGATATGAATGTTGACCGTGTACCTCACGAGTCACTTCATGATATTGTCAGGAAATTCCCACCACAACCAGTGGCAGAGTTTTTGACCTCGTGTTGCTACGAGCTCGCCACGGATAGCTTCTTCTATTTCGATCAGCAAACCTTTTCTGCTAACCTTGAAAACTTTTACGAAGCTGAAGATTGCGATCTTCGTAGTGATGGTGTCTTTATATGCCTTTCGCTGATGGTTTTCGCACTCGGCAGTCAGTTTGCCCCTTTGAGAGTGGACGCGTCAAAGAGCAATCTTGAGACGGTCAAACGACCAGGCACATACTTCTACCACTTGGCAGGCCGCATCATCCCGAAAGTTGCGTTCGATTGTTCTATTGATGCAGTCCAAATCTGCCTCGTCACAGCAGTTTATCTCCTGCCGGAACATGCCCACGATGAAGCATATCTGTACCTCAGCCATGCAGTGCGCATTTCCGTCGCTCTCGATCTTTGTAGACAGAAGGTATCTCCTGACCCGACGTTGAGAGAGTCTGAAGTCCGCCATCGTCTGTGGTGGTCGACATATTCTTTGGACAGAACAATAAGCATCAAATTGAGTCGCGCTAAATCGATCTCAAGCGACGTGATAGTCACGCCGCTGCCGAAACTGCTCCCAAACCTGGACTCGGAACAATTTTTCAACAATTTCAGCCACCAGATCGCTAACGCGAAGCTGGTCCTGCTTATGGACGTGATCGCCGACAGTGTAGGGCAAGGTATGACTAATTCAATCAAAGATCATGAGATATTAGAGAGCTTCTCGAGACGACTGATCTCATGGAAGATGTCTCTAGAGCCTCAACTGGAGCTGCAGAGTATCGCTCCTCGAGCTAAGGGTTATCGCGCGGTCTTGAATCTTCACCTCAACTATCATTATGCATGGATCTTGATGTGCCGATCTGTGCTGATTGCGCTGCTACGCCGGCGTCTGGAGCAGCTCTTCGATGATAACGATGAGCAACAAGACAACTATGTTCTGCCGCTTGAGCGTTATGCCGGCCAATGCGTCGAATCTGCCAAAGCCATGATTGACCTGTTCGAGACACTTCAACGATTGCGATACTTGAGGATGTTTTCGTACACCGACTTTCAAGGCTGTAGTACAGCCACCGTTGTCCTGATTCTAGACTGCATGTATCAAGGACAAACTCCCGACTCGCACTTCGTCGAGACTGGCCTGTCTTGTCTTGAGTTCATGGCGACTGAAAATCATCAGGCGAAGACAGGCCTCCGCATCGTCCAGGAACTACGTTCCATTGCGCAAGATGTAGCGGAGAGATCTAGGCTCTCAGTCATCAGCGAACCTCAACGACCTGAAGAAGCATATGGGGCGGATGCATACGAGCAGTGGGTTCACGACTTGGGTGCTAAGAGCGAGGCGGCAAGTGAGGGTAATCCAGAAGCGACAGGTACATCTGCTCCCAATGGGAATGATCAATCTCGTGATTTGCCAGTCGGTTCCTCAAGAAGCAGAGCCGATTGTGAGATGACCGATGTGCTCGCTGGAACGTGGAATCAATCAGTAACTACGGGAGCCATACCTTACGACGATACTTACCTTTTCGGCCTGACTGGACTTGACGCTCTGGACTGCCTTGAAGTGGAAGACCTGTTACACGACATAGATTCCGCATACCAGATTCCGCTTCGAATTGACGTGGGTGTGACTGCCAGAACTTGAGAGTCAAACCAAGGAAGGCGGCGCCCGCGAAAAGTCGAAACAAACGCAAAAGCAGACAACCTTGCTTACAAGCCCTCAAGTCAGCCATGCAGCTTACGCCTCTCAACTAGTGCAGGGCCACATGCTATGATGATCTTTGCAGACGCTTGTCAGGAAGAGAACATCCCAAAGATTATACATTAGCAAGATAGATACAGTGGATATCCGGTTTCTGGTTTATCAGCCTGCCTTCGTTGGCTGAAAGACGCCATCCTTCTCGATAGCATTGAAAACAGCTTCAGTATGCTGCAAAACCGACTCTTGGAAATTCTCATCCCTCAACTTCTGGTAATACTTGCTCACGTCGTTGGTCTCGTTTGTATATGTCACTGAATACGCACCTCCTCCCTTGACTCCATCAGTCGCACTCACACTAACAGCACCCGCTTCCAATCCTTTGGGCGCATATCGCTCTGCCGATGCCAGGAACAAGACCCTTTGTCCGATCTCCTGCGGCGTTAGGTACATAGGTAAGAACCGCACGAATGGTTTTGCACTTTTCCATGCAATCTTGAACCACAATGGGAAGTTCGGATCTTCGAAGCCTTCGTGGACGACGAGACCAGGGAACATGTGCGAGCAACTCAGTTTTCCGGCGTGTTTGGTGGCAAGATCTTCGAAATACATGGTTTTCATGGATACTGAGTGCGTGCGGCAGTTTCCAAAGGAATAGTGGTTGGGTTGATCCAGGGATAGGTCGTTCGAGTGCAGAGTGCCTTGCGCTTCCATGCCTCCTGCGTAGATCGAGATGATTCTGGCGCCTGTTGGCAGGGTGGAGGAGAGCAGGCTCGAAAGCAAGTTGTTGACGAAGCGGATGCGTGAGTAGTAGAGCAGAGACATCGATTTGTCGAGATTTTCTTTTGTATNCTGAGATTCATTAGTATGTTGTAGGAGACAGGGAGGAAGAGGAGCTTTACCGATTCGGGGTCCGAATTCCACTTTGCCTTGAGTCATGACCAACAAGTCTATACCGTCTGTCTTCGTGGTTTCAAGAATGCTTTTGACTTCGTCACATGCCTTGTCTACGCTGTGTAGCAAACTGATGTCGCCGCCTTGCACGAAGTGAAACTCAATGGATGAACACAGATATCTGCACTCAGTCATGATCTGGTTTGCGGCTTTCTCGTTGCGCCCGACGATGATGATTCTCAATCCAGGTCCATCGTAGCCGTGTGTCTTGCATAATTCACGGACTGTGAACTCGCCAATTCCATTTGTTGCTCCTACGAACACGGCCGAGAGCGGTTGTTTCTTGACAAATGCGAGATTGGCGGCAGTGACTGTCGTGAGCTTGACCATCTTTCGGAGTTTGCGGGTGGTGGAAGGCTTGGAGAATATGCTTGTTGAAAAGCTTGGGATATGCGCCCAGATATAGCTTCCACCGGTCGATGGATGCACCGATGTAGATGCGTTGATTTCGATGCTGGTCGCATCTGCGAGTTTGAATCCTTCGCGGTCGCTGTCGCGTCTGTTTTCGGTTTAGGCGCGGATGAAAATCACTCCGAGTCCCATAAACTGAGCAATATGGAACATACTGTGCGATCGCGAGTGACTTTGAATCGAGTTGCGATGGCCAGATCGCAAGCAATGTTTTCGATTTCATTGAAGGTAAATGATCAGAAGGTGATTGAACTGCTCGAAATTAGCTTCGTACACACTCGTTGCTTGGATGACCCTGGCGTGAAGCTAACAAGTAATTCCGTCGGCAGGAGAGATTGTCACGGGAATTTTGCCGGTGCAGCACAAGATTATAAGATAAGAACGCAGGGAGAGGATGTGAAACACAATCGCACGAGGAAAACATGAACGCGCGAGCGTCGGAGGGGGATGAGAAGCTTGATGGTTTTCCTTGATCGGTTTTCCTTGATCAGTTTCCAGACGTCGACCAAGACTCTGGATGATTATCAAGCTGGAACAAGAGGCGTTTCAACAAGTCGCTGTCAGACTTGCTTCACTCAGAGCGAGTTCAGTCGAATGCAGACCAGGGGAGTTTCGAAACGAAAAGCAAGGGCGTTGTTGTTGTTGACGCAAGCTGAAAGTTGACCCCTTTCTAAGAATCTGGAGTAACGCCGCCCATGGTACGCGCACACCCCACCATTCGAGACCTCGAAAAATCGTTGCATTTTGGCAATTCAAAGGGGAACGTATCGGCAGTCAATGTTTTCAAGAGGGCAAGAGGGACTGGAATCGTTCTGGGCAGCCTTTTGATCTTGTTCTCTGACCTCCATATAGCAGACTAATTTGTCGGCCAAGTAGGATTTCGTTATCTCGATCCTTTTTCAGCCCACCGTTGTAAGCCTTCCGCTTAATACGAATCCCATCGCAGCTGAGTTCCACCTATCTTCGTGCAAGGCTGAGCCTCCGATTGGCCTCCTGTGGATATGTCCCAGCTGCAGGTCAAACTGATTTAACGCTTACACTTAAGATATTTTTGGTCATGTTCACTCTATCCCCCTTTTGTGATCGTTGTGTCAGTATCCCTTGACAAGCCTTAAAGCATCTACTGTTCGACTCTTGGTTTGCGTTTCCCTTGTTCTTTCCTTCGCATACTGGAGACGAATCTCAGGAATCGATAATCTCTTGCTGTTCCGACCATGGCTGTCTTTAGTACGCGCATTCTGGTTTTCGCCGCAGCCATTGCCACTGGCATTCTTTTCATATTCGGAGCATACAGCCAAGGCGTCACCACGACCGATGTGAGCCATTTCGCCAACAAAATCACATCGCAAATGCCAAGTGGCGGATCATCGCAAAACCTGGCATACATGACTCTCCTCACCAACACCATGAACGCTCCCGAGAACCCCAGCGATGATCACTATTTTATGGCCACACGTATTCTGGGATATCAACTCATGCATCAACCTAGTACGAAAACGCGAAAGAATATCCCATTCGTTGTGCTTGTCACCAACGATGTGATTCAGAACAGACGGGATCTGCTTGTTGCAGACGGCGCAATCGTTATAGAAGTCGAGACCGTTGACATTGATACTTCCTGGGTGCACGGAGAGATGCCACAGTGGAAAGATCTGATGAACAAGCTGCGCGCATGGGAGTTCGTTCAATACGAGAAAGTCGCTTTCCTGGACGGCGACTTTATTCTGAATCGCTGTATGGACGGCATCTTCGACGACCCTGCGACTGAGCGCACTCCTCTGACCAAGTCCAACACATTGCCCGGAGATGAGGGCGAACTACCGGAGACCTACGTCCTTGCGACCGTGGCAGAAGCGAATCCTTTCCACAAATATCCTCCCAAGGCCGAGAACAACGACTACAAGGACCCCAACTACTTCAACGCGGGCTATTTTATTTTCTCGCCTGATGTCAAGCTCTTCTCGCATTTCCAGAAAATCTTGACACTGAAGGGCCGATTCGACCCCAAGTACATGGAGCAAAATCTCCTGAACTACGCTTTCAGAAGGGAAGGACAGATGCCATGGATCGAGATGGAGGGAAGCTGGCACATCAGGTTCCCAAGCGTGCATGACAAGGAGTCAGGAGTCGCAAGTATGCACGACAAATGGTGGAGTGCTCACATGGACAAGAAACTGCAGCCATACTACGATTCGATAAGATGGAAGATGGAGGGATATTATGAGGCCAGGAACGAAACTTTGTCCGCCTCGTAATGGAGATGTGTAATCATGATTTTCTTGACCTCTTTCTGAATATATGTTCACCTGTTCTTGCTTCTTGATGTGATCTTCTGCTTTCATGTACTAAAGTAGATCTCAGAAGTTGAGACCTTGCTTGAGCAGGACCCGGATTGACACAGCGATTGACAGTATTTCCAGAACATGCCAGGGAGTACCATAAATTGCTTGTGCTTGTCAGCGTTCGGGATCTCATCCCTGTAGCGCTCCTCCTTCTTCCAAGCCCAAGCACACACCTGTACGACGCCATCAACGCCGATAATCCTAAGCGTACATAGAAACATACATACATAAGGAGCCTGGCGGTGAAAGCAGCCAAGGACTACCACCCAGCGAACCAACACACGTACTTTTGGCCATATATGTCCCCATCATTGTCCTTGATATCTTCCAACAAGCAGTATCTGTAGCCATTCGTTCCGTCTGATTCCAGATCGAATTGGGAGCTGTAGCCAGAATCGTTGGTATTGAACGCAAAGCCTGCGAGTTCTCGAGTTGGATCTCCATACACGAAATCAAGTCTTTCTCCGCTTGAGTCGGCTCTTCGTGTAATGATCAGATCTCGTGGTAAACCCGTGACAGTCATTGATTGGTCCAATCTGAAATCGTCGGTGCTGGTCGTCCCGACTTGCTGAAGAGCATTGTCAAGGAATCTGCTGACCACTGCTTCGTACACGTCGCGATCGTCTCCAGTGATGGAAACCGCTACTTGGAACGACTCTACTGGTTCGCTCTCACCGGTGACCTTGTAATTGTTCATCGTCTCGAGATCGTAGGGCCAGCCCATTCTGCCTGCTTTTCCCTCAGACGTGACATAGTTCAAATCACTAAGATGTAATTGTTGGCCATCGTTGGTACAGTCTGGGTTGGGTTTGCAGTAGGGGACTATTCTATGTGAACGTTAGCTTCTCGATATTATCTTCTAGACATTTGACTCCAAAAGCCATAGGCACGTACTCATCTATCTCGGTGTTGGTCAAACCGGAAAGATCAAAGTCGACGGTGAATGTCTCTCCACCTCTAAGAGCTTTGGACCCACCGCAGGTACGTAGATGAGCATACTTGCCACCCTTAGCCTTAGAGTAGTTTGCAATGCCTTGGCGAAAGAATTTGTACAAGTTACCCGCCTCTGCCAAAAGTATCAGCATGGAGATCGGAACAATAATAGAGCTCGAGCGTATCTCCTTACGGGAGTTGTCAGAACGGTGAATGCATCGCAAACTGTTGCGAACTGTCCCAGGACTGAGGGTGGAGAATTCTGGCTGCTTCATGGCAGCCACGGGCCATTCATCCATCTCCAGCTTAGGATTATTTTGCTTCCAGTTTGGCCACTGATCGAATGTCTTCTGACTCAGTGGCATTATACGGCATGGACTGCTAGGATTCGTTGTAGTTCCTGCGTCGACTCGATTCTCAGCGGCCTGTCTCGGGAAACGTTTGCCACCACCGTCAACATATCTGACGGTACTACCTCTCATAACGCAATTCTGATAGTAGCAAGCGTTCTAACACGTCATCTGATAAGTAACTCTGCGTGTATCCGACAATGCGTGGAGAAACTTACGTTGCAACCAGACTTTGCTGACGCGCAGTCCATTCTGTATATACCACAGTCCGTAGTAGTCCTCTTTTCTCGATTGAACATACTAGGCTTGAGAGCATCATTGGGCGTGAACAGCAAATGCTCATCTTCATCGTCATCATCATCATCATCATCCGTCTCGACAGGAGACTCATTCTCGGGCTTGTCGCCAGCTGAATGAGGGGCCGTATGCCCCATGAAGCGCCAGAACCCTGGCTCCTGCTTGGTAGTCATGCAAGGACGGGGATCGTGACAGGGACACAGAGGTCGTATTCTGAATGGTAGAATCTGTGAAGTGCTCATGTGGCTCGAGTATGATCATTGGTACGAGCTTACCAAAGGGCATAGCTTTTCCGTGAGCATGCGAAAAGCAGAGAGAGGTAAGACATATCAGGAGAGCTACAGATTTCATGTTGAATTGCTGGGAAAACAGAAAGCGAGGACAGGATGGAGAGCAAGAGAGATACGAGCCCTGGTCTTGCTTCAAATACGAGGTCTGTTCATCGCTCTCTTCGCAGTCGGCATAATTGAGATTACAGGGCATGCAGCGAAGCGCCCTTTTTCTTGTCACAAGTTAAGAGTTGACCCGCTTGCTCATGCCCGCGACATCCAGAATCCTTCTTGGGTTTGCCTGACAAGCTATGTTCAGGAGCAGGATTCTGTTGGGAGTCAAAAGACAAACAGAAGCACATGCTGGAAAGTAGACTTGACCCGCCAAGACCCAACAGCGCGCGCTTCCAGTCGCCTGATCCCACGCCGAGGCGTTTCAGATGCCGCTTGTGTTTCGATTCCCGTGATTAAAACCTCAGCAAATCTCACACTGTTTTCATTCATCTTGAACCTGCAACATCAAAATTACCTGATTAGGTGCCTCCAGACAAGCCAGAACAGAACCACACGATGGAAGGATCCCGTGCCGAGCAAGAGAGAGTCACCCCTCGACAACCATTCCAGCACGATGGAACAACGGCAAGGTTGACCCTTGCACGACAGACTGAAATCCGTATGCCGATGATGGATGAGGAGACAAGATTCACAGCTCTTTTGTGCTTGATAATGATGTCCCTACCAATGTAAGACTGTACTTGGGCGCATTTACACCGGAGGAGCTTGTCATGTTAATACGACTTTAGATGATTGATAGCCTTTTGGAGCAGGTGAACAGAAGGTTGCGGGTTGACGACATCTGGCTTGCAGACACTGCAATCCCCGACGGCTTGACAGAAGAAGATGAAGAAGCCACTATCGCTCCGATCAATGCATCATGGCAATCGCCCTTTGTTGGTCAATCGATTGAAGAGGCCTTCAAGTTTCTTGCTACGATTCCTCTTGATAAAACGCTGAACAGGACATACATCATTGTTCTAGACAGGAACCTTTATGAGGAGAAAAATTGGGTTCTGCTTTACCGAATCGATGAAGAGGGTGAGATCACTTGTGTTCCTTGCGCAGCACATATGTGTATGGTGTATATCGATTCGTATGGCTGGGACCGTTGGCCAGATCACTTGGAGGCATGGCGCAAGCAGGGCGAGCCGATCTTCTAATATGTCAAATCCAAAAGATCAACTGTACAGATACCACATCCGAAGCAAGGTCACCTTGCATTACTCAACCGCCCAAGTTGATCCTGAGACGAGCTTTCGCGCTGGCGCGATGAGTACGAATAGCTTCTTGGCGGATCAACATTGTGACCATCTGCGCAGAAGTGGAGAATTGATGCCCAGGTGTTCCCTTGAATTACCACAATGCCTAGAATCTGGGGGCTGTTTCATGCTTGCGAACCACCGATGTCGCGACGGTTGCTTCACAGCACCTCGGCAGCGAGTTGATGGCGCTTAGGGCTCTTGATCTTGGGCGCCTTATGATCCCTGAGTCTTGCAGGCCCGAACAGGCGCCAGAGTGTCTTCGAATCACTCATGCAAGATACATTTATAGAGATTAACTTCGCTCACTATCAACTTCATGGTCGTATCTTCTCTTTTCGACCGATACTCATTCATCAATCATGCTTGTCGATATCTTACTTCTTGCCAGTGTAACGATGGTACAGGGATTCACTTGGCCAGGCAATGGTACCGCAACAGACTGTGGATCGACCGGATGCATACAAACATCGAGCAGTCTCGAGGCACCTATGAACCATGTATCTTCGGGTCCCAGTTCAACCGAGTCCGGCTTTCACACTCCTTCGTCTCCATCGACCAGCCACATCGGATCATTGGTTATCGACCCAACAGTCACCAACTTACAATCCGCCGTGGAGTCTTCGATCGCCACACTGAGTAGTGAGACCTCCGATGGAGTTCCAGACGTCACGACTCCATCCTCGGTGCCCGCCATATCATCTCCAGGCAATGCTACTGAGCCTCAAGGATCAAGCCTTTATTCCTCACTCACTTCTGTATCACTTTTGACCTCCGGCACTCCATCAATATCTCTTACAAACGACACTATGGCGACAGATACGACTACCGCTGCACCCGGGGAATCGTTCACTAGCGTTTTGCCACCTACTCCTTCACTTGATTCGGACAATCCTGTCCTGGCACTGACTACGGAAAGGATCGGAATACCCGATTCTACACAACCCGTGACAGGTGGGCCTTCTGTGGAAATCACAGCGACCTTCACGACTATGCCAAGTGGGGTCTCGATCGAGCCCATTACCTTATCAGGGGTAAGCAAGAACACCTGGTACACGACAACGAAAGATAGTCATACCACGATCTTGCCTGTGATTTGGCGATCTGGTGATGACCATGGCGGGGCGATATTGGTCTGGGGTCTTGCGTCTGGTCTCACAAATATCAAGTTTGCATGGTCCGGGATACCAGAGTTCATGTTCAGCTGCATCAAGGTTTTCGGCATCACTATAGGTGATTGTCCAGCAGGCAAGAGCGAAAGCGATGAGGACAATGATGAGGAACCCTCATCATCCTCTTCGACTTCCACGATCTCAAGCGCGTCTCAGACTTCTTCCTCGGAATCCTGTAGTTCAACTACAGCAAGTGATTGTCGGGTTGGTTGTTCAGTGTCGACCTTCTCAACTAGTTCTACCACAACGGTCTGCTATACTACTTCCTGTTGGAGCACCGTGGGCTGCAGTGTCCAAGCCGCAACGACGACCAGTATGACTACATCCTCTCGCTCCTGGAGCATGTTGAAGCAAAACCCAACACCCTACAACGCTGAAGCCACCTGGTAATCACTGGGCATGAGCACCCTGGCTTGGTATCTTGGTGCCACACTCACCATTGCTAATCCAGATGCCGAGTATACCCCAGGTCCAGATGACATAGGCGACGATGACCTCGACGATGAAGACTCAGGTGATCTGTCCGACACATCCGCTTCTGCGTCATCTTCTGACGAGACACCGTGGTGTTACATATAGTACGCCCTCCTCGATCATGAACCAGATCCGATACCATTCTTTACTCACCTTCTCACAGCGGTGACTCTAGTAGCGACTACCATTGCGAGTGCGGCTCTGGAGAAAATATGGTAACCTCACCAGTGGTCAGCGGAGCGTGTCCGTACACTTCCCACAGCATTGTTAGCACAACTTTACCATCCACATCGACTGCACCTCCCAAAGTCATCACGTATACCAATTTTGATGGAAGTGTTCAAGGATGCACGAGTTTCAGTCAGCTGACCAACGGGGTACATGGCTCCGTGTGCATTGGACCGACCATTGTAACGCCAGCGCCTCCTACTACTGAAGCAAGTCCCACATCCGCCGAGCCATTGACGACCAGCATTGTACCGCTGCCCAAAGCTAGCTGCGATCGTGCCATATCTAATGACGGGAACTCATGGACCGTACAAGGACGTGGTTGGTTTACCGGTTCCTTGAAAAGGAACATCAAAGCTTGTGGTTCGCTCAGTGATTGGAAGCTGGATAAGCTTACTGATGATCCTGATGGTTGGGAGTTTCAGGCGACCTTTCAAATGAACTCGGACTATGATTACTGCATCAAGAGCGAGATCAAGGGATCGGTGAACTGCTGAGCACTTTTTCTATAGCAGCGATACAGGTCATGGAAGAGAACCTTTGGCTTTACGAAGTCACGAGATTGCCATGCTGAGATGTTACAGGTCACTTGATCTTTCCCTTTTGGCTGTACTTACGGCTATAAACTATCGAAAAAAATCAGAGGTCCACTTGCGGAGCATGGATCAACCCAACCTCCTGACTTGTGGGAACCCTTGACAAGTCCCATCAGACAGTCCTTGGCACGATTTGTATAGACTCCTAGGGCCTGCCTCACAACACATGGCTCCTCACTACTTGAACAGGTGGTGTTCTTAAGCAGCTCAGAGTGATTAATCATGTCCCGATACTGTATGTGAGTATGATTGATCACGGTTTTCGTGGTCCGCGATTTGAATGCAGAAACCGAATGCAGAAACCTTCGTCAAAGCGTCAAGACGCGCCCATCTCGCGTCCACATCGCGTCTGCCTAATCTGATGATTCAGGTGCTTGCCGTTTCTCAGATGGGAGCTCTTCTCCTACTCTCCATCTCCATCTCATCTCCATCACCACTTCCATCTTCAGGCGCATAACTCCAGATGGGGAGACCACTCTTCGTGCAGCAGCTTCCGCCTGGCCGNCCCCCCTTTCAGCATGAAGAAGCGATGATACCTCTAACCATACCTCGACAAACAGATATGAGTATGCCTATGCTGGGAGAAGAGGATGCCCTTTTCACCGCGCTTTTCATTCTGGATCCCCACGTTNNTCCATCAAAGTGAGGTCGCTCCCAAAATCGGTGATACACGACTGATTGGCATCAGATGATTGGTGAATACCTGGACAAAGTCATCAAGCACTCAAATGTCTATAACCTCTGGGTTGCAGGGACAAGTCAAGAGGGTCTGACAGACGAAGACGAAGATGCAACAATTCCTCCAATGCATCCGACTTGGAAATCGACATTCGTCGGCAAACCAGTCGAGGACGCCTTCGCACATCTTGCCACACTTCCATTGGATCTGTCTGTCAACAGGGTATACCTAGTCGTGTTGGATGACATTTTGTACCGGGAGAAAGGATGGATCATCATCTATAATATTGACGAGAAGGGAGTTATCACTTGTGTACCCTGCACAGCGCACATGACTCTTACATATATAAACTCCTACATGTGGCATAATTGGCATAGATACCTAGAGGAATGGCGTAAGCAGGGAAGACCGGTGTTCTAGCATTTATGAGCTGGGTTCAAGAATGCAGAGGGTTGCGTTCTTATGTTACACTTGGATTTCTAACAAGATTCTCTTACTGCCCGCCTCCTGTTATATTGCAATCCTTCTGACGAATCATTTCTCATAATCGCATGATCCTATAAACACAGCATCAGTCAATTGGCTTGCCTAATTCTGGCGCCATTAATGTAAGCGCTGTTTGGCGTCTGTGCGCCGCGGCACCAACAAACATTGACCTCATCCATTGCTTGAACTTGGACCCTTGCGAACACTTTCACTAAGCATCCTGCGTACCAAGATCGTAGGGTTCTCGTGCCCAACACTCATCTCTATTGCTTCGACCAATGTCGACCACCTTCCATCATGGCAGCGACACAGCGCCATACACCGTCTCGCGCCCAACAACAATCCGCATGCCTATGCTTGGCGACGAAACTCATCTCGCTGCACTCTTTGTTCTTGAAGAAGGAATACCGTCCGAAGTAAGATTCCTGTACTGAACCCTTCATTGTAGACTGACTCACTTCATTCGACAGGTCATTGATGAGTTTTTGCANAAAGTGTACAGCGAATCAGAAGTATACCATCTGTGGCTAGCTGACGACAGCCCAGGTAGCTTCCCAGATGACTTCGATGTGGCGACTGTGCCTCCTAGATCTCCTGCTTGGCGATCTCCGTTTGTTGGAAAGACTATTGAAGAGGCATTCGGATTCCTTTCAACTCTCCCCACCAACACTGGAGTGACGATGAATCGTACATACACCGTGATTCTGGACAAGCACCTGTATACTACGAGAAACTAGGTCATTGTGTGCAAGATCGATGGAGAAGGCACGATCACCACCGCACCTTGCGCAGCACAGAATCCTATCTTGCACATCGACTCGCTGTCCTGGCACTTATGGCCGCAGTATCTAGAAAGATGGCGTAAGGAGNNGGGGAAGCCCTTCTTGCGATGAAAACCCAAAGTGCTGCAACGCGAGAGATTACGAGTATATCACCGCGAATCCTGTGCAGCGTTCCGGATTTCCACTATCCACTCGTGAATCATGGTGGGAATCTCACGGAATTACGCTTTCCGTACTCTTGGTTCATGGCTGTTTCACGTAGAATGAGCGCTACACACACATTCAGGACCAACATCACCCATCGTTTGGCCTCTGAATCTAGACATCTGGGGCTACAATGGTACGACACAGGCTTCTCAGCTCATGGTTGGAGTTTATAATGTTGGAAGGCCGCGTAAAAATGCCATGTATGGCGGCCATCTCCTGGATCCTCCTCAATACTAGTATAATCAGCTTGATACCCACTTTCTCAACAGTTGAAAGCGAATCTGACCTCCAAGACTCTGGTACCTTGCCATTACCAATCATATAAGCAGACATCACTGCGACTTCTACGAGTATATCGAGTGGAGTCTCGACTGAGCCATCACGTTGTCTTGTGTGAGCACAAATACATGGTACAGAACGACGGAGGACAGTCATACTACAAGCTTACCTGTAATCTGGCATTCCAAACAGAATCGTGGTGAGCGGACAGAGAATCGAAGGTCAAAAGCGACCAGAGCTCATTTCATATGATACTTTGTGAGCTGACGAAGGAAAATCGGGATGATGCCGCTCCAAAAACCAGTTGAGCCGGTGACTATATCGCCGGACTTCGCTCGCTACCAATATTGTTTCTTATGGTATTGTTCAATTCATAAACCACGTCACACGATCTAGAAAATGGTAACGGAAGAAGAACCGCTGCTCTCGTAGCCCTCAGTAGCCATGATCTGGTAGTTGAAAGTACCAAGGTTNNCTGGAACATCGTCAGCCCAACTACAGTTGATGCAGGTCTGAATCGGACTCACCAAGCCCAAAGACGCCCAAGCGTTGATGTGGTTCTGGAAGGTGATGGTACCGCTGGTACGCTTGCTCTGGCGCACGGAGAGGTACTGGTGAAATGCGGCAGTTCCCTGGATTGAGGGTGCGTCGGTACGAGTGGTCTCGTAAATGTCGTAAACGCCGCCGTCAGTAGTAACCTATGTCGCATATTAGCCAAGGCTTTGATCATGTCGCCATCCGAAGCGGTATCTTACAGTGCCTAGATGAGTTCCAGCGCTACCAGGATTGTAAGTGCCGAAGGTCTCGATGACATAGTACTCGACAAGAGGTCCAGTAGTCCATCCGTAGAGAGCTACCAGGCTGTCGTTATTTGCATCAATGGATCCGGAGTAGTTGATTGTACTGCACATAGGTCAGTTACATTCCTAGCCGGAAAGATTTCACACTGGCCGAGCTGCACCAGTCTGCCAACCAATACCAGCAACGACGTCAGTATTGGCACTGGTCCATTGCAGATTGTATGTGCCAGTCCCGATGGTGAAAGTGTCGGCGCCAGTCTCGACATAATTGGAGAAGTAGTAACCGCCGTAGTTGCCGGTTTGATTGTCAGTGATGGTCTCACTACGCTTCTTGATGTCGTTGACAGGAGCAGCCAATGCGAGGGCGGCGCGTGCGGATGCAAAGAGGATGTTCTTGAAGGAAGGCATGGTGAAGGGTGGATATCACAATTTCTTGTGAATCTGATGTTGTCGAGCTAGAAATGGTCTCTTGGGCATCTGTCGATACTTATACCTCATGAGGACATCGTTGCGGTGTTGACGTGCTGGCAATATCCCGTTCCCCTCGGATTCGGAACCTGGCTAAATCTTGAGGGCCGCGGACGAGTAGATACACTGACTCGCAACCCACGATCAAGGATTTGACCACTCAATGCAGACTTACGGGTCGGGCCAGCCGAAGCACGTCAAACATCTGGGCCAGGTACAGTACCGGCAAAAAGTGAAGGCGTAATCCAAGCGTATCAAGCATCGACAAGCTTTGCCAAAGCGCGTACTTCTTTAAGCAGGCTAAACAGAGTCGGAGAAACAGTTTGGACAAGCTTCGCTTAGAAGTGTCGATCACCCAAACGGATGCCGCGTCTACAGAAATCGGCATGTCATTCCATCCTTCCGTGTTTTCGGAGGAGAGGATGAAAAGCCTGAAGGTCTGCCAATCGATTCATGCGTAGCTGTATACCAATTGTCAGCTAACTGCAGCCATATTCAACCATTCACAGTTGTTCGTTAGTGTCGTCGCAATCAACGAATGGACCCCCGCCACGACTCCACATTCTCCCCTGGCGACTGAGGCGGGGGTTGACACCTGCATGTATATGCACGAGACGTTATAGGGCTTGAGATCCCAAACTGTTCAGCCGCGTGGCGATTGTTGTAAAGCCATACTTCGAGCAATGCAATGTGCGAGTAAAGGCGGAAATCCAATTAGTTACATTATCATGTGTCGAACATACCTCAGCGGGATGTCGTGCTCGACTGACCATCAGTCTAGGATCTCTCACCTCTACCCGAACACATCAGACCAGCGACTGTGATCTAGAAGCCCTGCTGTGCAATACATACCTGCCTGCACCAAGCTGTAATCAGTTCTGCCACATAGATCTCATAAGCATCTACTGGATTACGCATGATGTTCTCGAAATTTGCTTGTGGTGCGGGGTCCAAGCAAGGAGACTTTCCCGGATCTTGCTTGTTGTGTCAAGAACAATTTCAATAGTGAGCATTGCTCAAGGCCGAACTATACCAAAGGTGGAAGCTCTTTTAGGCCCAGATCATCTTAGACGAGGCGAGCTCATGTCGATTTCCTAGTCTCCTCATGGAGTTGTGTTGGATTACTATGCCTACGAACATGAAGTCTTCTTGGTTATCGTGAATGCTAACTGCTGACAAGAATTTGTTAACCAGACAGACCATTCTCGAACGCAAGCTCTTTCCAGTCCTGCAAATGTACTCCAAGATTTGCCAGTTGTGCCTCCACATCTTCCCTGACTTGTGCATAGGATCTTCCTGTCGTAGCATTGTCGTACGTTGAATGAGCGCCTCGGAGCAATTTGATGCTAGAGGCATCGAAGCCTGCTGCAATCGCTCCCAGTATTGAGGCTCGAACGCAATAATCAGTCTGCAATCCGACAAATACAAGATTTGCGATGCCCTCCATGCGAAGCGAAGTTGCCAGGTTTGGGTTTGACGTGAACATGTCACCTGGAGGGAACTTCAGCGCAGTACACAATGNTTCATTTGCTTGCCTATCATTACCAACGTCCTTATAGATTAGCCTCTCAGTCGCGACATCCTCTTGTGGTGGGAACATCAGATTCCAGGTCGGCTTTCCTCGGTGCAAAGGATCAGCTGGATCTGGGTCGTCATGTTGAACAAATAGAATCTCGATCCTGCGATTCTTGTCCTGGTCTTGAATGATGTTCTGATTGTGTTGGCGAGCAAGGTTCAGAATATGGCCAATCGCTTGTTTGATTTGTTCGGCGTCGGGAACTCCGTCAACGGCATTCGCGATGCCACTTTGTACATCTACAACTATAAGGGCTGTTCTTCCGCACATATCGAATGATCAGTACAGGAGAGTGTACATGTATATGAGACGTTTGTCGCGTGCCTAAGGTTGAGATTCATCCAGTCTCCCCAGGTGAGTCATCGCTCAGCCAGTACTTTCTTGGCGGTGAACCAGGAATTGGTTGGAAGAGCTTACTTCTAGATCAAGAAGCCCCGATTGAGACTCCCGGGGCATTGGATCACGACTCACTCAAGGGCAGACTTCCATTCAATTCTGTTCCAAAGGTCGGGAATCTTGGTGTCGATATGCCTACAAAGATTGCCCTCCCACTTCCAGCGCCAGGGCCATTCCACTTGCTTGATGCCACAGGATATGGCAATGGAACATCCAAATACCTGGGTTATCTGTTCGAAAGCGGAGAACCACGTAGCCTCTGCGTGGAACATAGACTGTGTCACGCATCGGCGGATCAATCGGGTTCAGAGGACCTCCAGGTGGTTCAACGTCCACATACGGATTGTATGAGCCCCAGCCAAAATCTGCACTATGTGAAGCCACAACATAGAAGCCGTAGCCATGTAGATGCCAAGAATGACTGTTCTCGTCGAGGTTGTTGAGAACGATATCGACCCATAAGGGTTGCGATTCGCTGCAGGGTATGAAGCTGATGGTCGTTCCACTTCGAGCGATCGACTGAGATCAATGGAGAGACCTGAGGTGACCATGATGTATGATTGATAAATCCATGCGGAACGTTGGCAAGGTGAGATAGCTTTAGTGTTTTCGAATAGAGCACGATGATCTGGTTGACTTCGTGTGACATCGGCGCCTTCTTTGACTTGGTTCTAGCAGGACTTTTCCATGTTTTGTGCCTCCTTGATTTCGGGGGTTTTAAGGTGTGATCCTGCTGGATTGCAAACTCATGTACTGTGGACAGTGTAGGGTTGGCATACTTGAAATTCTCATGGTTCAGAGTGATACTGAGCTTCGGAGCCTCGACCGCTGAAGAGTCCATCGAGATGTAGAGATCTGCTCTCTGACCAGGCCAGATGACTTGCTTAGTGTTAGCGATTTCTGCAGCAGTGGCTTGGTATCCGCCATCGATCTCCGAAAGGACCATATCGAGACCCAGCAAGTCCAGCTCAATGCCGGCAAATGAGCCAACGTTAGCTACGCGAAGCTTCGTCTCGCCGGTAGTTGGGAGTGACAACGTCGGGCGCTGAACAGTAGCGCATATGACTGGCCGTGACGGAACCGCCGTTGAGCAGTCATATGCACCCCGACCGTTGAGCAAGTGTGAGTCTGGTACTGGTTCGTTACCGAAGGATCCAGAGCTCATGTATGCTGCCGAGACATCTTCGGCAGCGCGATGATACCAATCACCAATCAGGAGAAGTTGCTCAGATATAGTTGGGCGCCCGATACCACGCTTTGACTTGTGAGACCATGGTTTGTGGACAACATTCCTGCTGTGTGTGCACAAGGAGACTTCCTGCTCCGGAGCAACAACCTCTTGGGCTACTGTCGCTATCACCGTGTCTGGTACCCACGTGCGAAATCTCAAGTTGCATGTGTGGCCAGCACCAACAGACCCTGGGATGCCCCGCATATCGCCTCTTCGTATACTATCCACTTCTCGAACTTTTACTGTGAACAGCGACAGTACATATGTGGCCGTAAAGGCTTACCTAGTTTCCGATTCATAGCTGCTTGAACAGTTCTGGACACTCGTTATTGGTCAGCTCCACATCACGATATGTTAAAACACGTTTCTGCCGTGAGCATTATTGCTCTGTTCAGCTGGCGCGTCAATGCTGCCGACTCGCTGGAAGATATCGAACATGTCGTTCTCTTTATGCAGGAGAACCGTGCCTTTGATCACTACTTTGGCAACATGGCTGGTGTGCGAGGATCTGCAGATCCCAATGTCCATTACAATAATGGCAGATCTGTTTTTCACCAGTGAGTGTCTACGAAGAGGCGAGATGTTACATGCTGATCTTTGGTCAGGGATGTCAACTCAACCCTGACAAACAAGACGGACACTTTGCTTCCGTTCTACTTAAATTATTTGGGTGGCAACTGGTCAGAAGCGACTCAATGTCTGATTGCTGGTGACAACGGCTGGGACAGCAACCATGGCGCTCTGAATGCGGATCGCAACAACAAATGGGCACTTGCAAATACCTCTTGGTCGTGGGACTACCTTAAACGCACCGAACTGCCTGTCCACTTTGCGGTCGCTGAGGGCTGGACTGCCGGTGATATGTATCAGGGTCGACCGGCCTTGATCTTTAGTAAGTTCGATGCTGAGAAATTATTACAGGAGTCTGTGATTGCCTCAACAAACCCCAACCGTGTCACTTGGATCAGCGGCTCCATCAATGCGCCCGGTTCTCCACAAACTCCTTCTGAGAGCGGTATTGTCATTAACAACAATGTGAGCACGCAACTAATGCTGATGGTACATCGTCTGACAAACGCANNGGAAACTCCTGGTTGGGAAGGACCAGATCTAGACTGCTATCCTACCACACGAAAGACTATCCCAGAATACTACGAAAATGCTGGGGTCTCATGGCAGGTGTACCAGGATACCGACAAGTATGTGCCTGGAAATCCTCGAAGAAACAGGATGCTGACAAGNGACAGCTTCGACGACAAACCTCTTGCATGGTTTGAAAAGTTCCAAGATGTATCCAACACGAGCGCTTTGGGTCAACGTGGTATGGCTTATGTTGGCCTTGACAAGTTCCACGCCGATGCTGCAGCTGGTGCCTTGCCTCGAGTATCTTATATCATCGGCCCGGCCGAGCTTTCAGAGCATCCTCCGTATCAACTCAGGGACGGAGCATGGCCACAGCGCAAGGTCGTCGAGGCTGTTGTCAATGGCAAGAACTACAAAAATACTGCCCTCATCATCAGTTACGACGGTAAGCAAGACTTCAATCTGTGTCGACATCTACTAATTTGCGTCATCNNAGAGTCTGGCGGTCTGGATGACCCCGTTGTGGCCTACCATTCTCCAAATGGTACAGCAGGCGAGTGGATCGAAGACCCTTACAACGAGTAAGGTTATGTAAACACTGGTCCAGGTACATTTGTCGTCCTTTGTGTTGAGTGCATACGTTTTGACAGGTTNCCAGGATTTCGTCTACCATTCTATGTTGTCTCGCCATGGACGCGTGGAGGCAACGTGTACACTGAGAATGCTGACCATCTATCGCAAATCAAGTTCGTTGGTAAGTACCCAACCTGCTCTGGAATATACTCTCAGATCACTGGCTAAACAACACACNNAGAGAAGTGGATCCAAGCCAAAGGCTACAACAATGTCAAAACAACCCAAATCCCAGCTTGGCGTAGACAGAACATGGCTGATCTTACCAATGCTTTTGACTTCAATCATGTAAATCTCAGGTCACTGTCTGTCGAAATCCCACTCTGACACGTTGCANNGCCTGACTACAGTATTCCTGTCTTTTCTGACATCTCCGCTCCTTCGGTCGATGGCTCTGGACAGTACAACGGATACTCTCTGTGTCAAGCGAAGTATCCCCACGACTCACGTCCTCCTGTACCTTACGGTAAACAATCCGAAGCATCAGCACTTGCCACGGAGCAAGGTTCCAAGTTGGTCCGTGGTCAGCTCACCGAAGGTCGCTTTCTGGTGTTCGAGAGGAACGGTTCCGCTCTGACCAGCCCGAGTTCTGGATCCAGCTCTTTGACCGCTACTCGTGCCAGTCCTATTTATGACATTGTGGCCTAGCGTTGGATTGAGTATCAGACCAAGCAGGGAGGTAACCAATCGACTCCCCAGAGTGTCACCACGGGCAAGTGTGCTGCGGGATCGGGTGACCTGGAAACGTGTGTCCAATCGGCACCGATCACTATCAACGATCTTGGTAATGGAAAGGGTCATTCACTTCAAGCTTCGAGCGGGCAGTATCTGTTCATTAACAAGAACGGCAAGGCCATACTCACCTCGAAGGTCGAAGGTTTCCAGATCTTCAGTGTCACTTACACTCGATGTTTACGAGTACTCGCCTGAAGAATCGCCTGAGAAGTTTATCAGGGTCATATGATGACTCAATTTGGTACGTTTCATGGTCGGTAGAGGCGGAAACATGGTACGCATGTTTTCTAAAACCGTAAAGTTCAGTGACCACGGTTTCTCGAGAGGCCAATACAGTCGCTGCTAAACCTCCGCTTCACGAGCTTTGATTGCGAGATACAATACACACGACATATACTCTGCAGTCGTGAGACGAACAAGATAACAACGAGCCAGATCCTACTACCAGATTCCTAGAATGTGACTGTGTCGCTAGTATCTTTGTAGCGACTTTGTGAGGGCAAACAACCATGTATACGCTCGATTACCTTAGACACGATTTACAGAACAATCACTACTTGACCGGTGAGCTTTTCGGCGCTTAAGAGATCGTAGGCTTGCTGTATCTAATCGAAAGCGAGTTTATGCATGCCTATTCTCAGCTTTCCAGCTATCGCGAGACTGTAGACATCTTCCAAGTCTTGGCGTGTTAAGTCCATAGAGAGCGCAAACTCGCAGCTTGTCGCCATGTGGTTCCATCCTACCTTAACACTTCCACCCTTCCATTCGAATTCCCATGATCCGTCCCTGCGGTCGAGATATCTTGGCAGTAAGAGCGGTTCGTAGCAGCTAATGCGTCTAAGTGAATGACTACGTCTTAATCCTGCGTGATGTCGCGATACAAGATCTATGGCGATATTTACGGCCATTCAACTCAAAGTCAGACGTACGTCTATTTACAATAAGTCACCCTGGCAAGCTCGTTTCCATGACCGCGTACACTAGAACATAAATTGCAACGTGAGAGTTTGAAAGTATTGAGATCATAAAGGTCGAGATGGTGTGACCAAGCAACTTGTGAATGTCACCCCGAGCTGTCAGGATACAAAAGATGATAACGATGAGAATTTGATCGCATTGAACAAAAACAAGTTCATTAGTAATACGCCGCGGCGTCCCAGCTAGCAAAATATTGGTGGGTATGGTAGTGTGGCATATTTCCAGGAACACCATAGTCTCCGACTTTCCAAGTACCATCAACCACCAGCCTCTTCCAGAATTGACGAACGTCGCGCAAGAGTGCTGGGGGCCTTCCGGACATCCACGGGCACGATCCTCTGTAGGAAAAGCTAGTTTCTCTCCCTCTGCCATCCGAGAATACAACTGCATCACTCCAGTCTTCGCGGGGCCAAGTATAAAGTCCCACCATACCCCTTGTCAGGTCCGAGCCTCTCTTCAGCAAGACCGAGCCCCTACCCTCATAGTCTCTTAGCGAAGGTTTCGTAGGTTCTCGCGAAGTGGATTCGACGGCTCTGCCAATGAATAGCAGAGTCGGCGCTAGGTCTCGAGACAGAGCTGATCGATAGTCCTCGGGATCGTCGGGCTTTCTGCCGATGACTTGTTTGCGCTCGCTATCGTGAGGCTCTGCAGCGTATGTGGCTTCGAAACCCTCGGCCGACCATACATGGACGCCTGGTGCGGCACAACTGAACACAGGCCGACGGGCCTTCGTGAGGAAAGCACGCTGGAACGACTGTTCTGCGCATCTGTCTGCGACGCTCTGTTCGACAAGCGGTTCATTCGTGGTCTGCCGTGATACATGAGTGGGTAATCGGCTCTCAATAGCATTAACCAGTTGATCCCAAGCCTCGAGGGACGCCTGAAGGTCCCGTTCAGTCCATGGCTTGAATTTCAGGTCGGGTGCGATCTTGCCGGTCTCCCACATCTGGAGCCATCGTTGTAGTATTATCGTCAGTGGGAACCATAACGATTTTGGTTGACTTTGAAGGTCAGAGTCGATCCAACAGGCAAGCTTGAGATTCTGCAGTAAGAACAATCCTCCAGCAGACTTCTTGGCTGGGTACAACATGACAAGATTGTCTTTGTATCGCTCAAACTGTGGCATTTCCTTGTGTATGAAGAATGCTTCGGGGTCCGGGTAAAGGTTGAAAGGGGTGAGTAATGTCGCTTCGTTGCTTGTAGACCTAGGAGCGATGGCCCTAAAGAACTCTTGAAGATCGGGCAAGAGACGTGCTCTGAGTGTATCACTGTAGTCATCGAGTAGACTCTTCGAAGGTTGAGCGGAGTCGGCAGATTGCTGTGTGGCTCGTTGAAGAATCTGGTTGTGCAAGCTTGCACATTCGTGTGGATCCAATGAGGGCTTTTCTTCGCTTGACATGGTGAATCAGTGATGGTCATAGAGCGAAGGCTGTGAATAACCAGATGAGATGGGAGCGTCAATCACAGAGATGAGGAGGGCCAAGCTTATATACTCTGGCCCAATGTGTATCGACTGCTATGAGGCGCAGTCGTTGATCCTTCGATGCGGGCACGACTGATGTATTGCATCTTGATGGAGCGGTGGACTATTCGAGCGCAAGCTAGAAATGCTGTCCTCCCGTTTTCTCTCTTGGCAGAGGCAAGTGTCAGATTTGACCATGACTCTCAGTGCTATCGACCTATCTGCGTAAGAGTCAGCATGCTGTTTCGCACTTGGCGTGCGGATGAGTTGAGGGGTGCGTTCTCAGGAAGCAGACGCCGATACGATGGCGATGTCACTCTGTTCTTTTGGAGACACCGCGACTTGGCAATCTCGACGGCGAATCATGTCACCTTGAGACGTTCTAGCTTTCACAGGACTCGAACGAAGCAAAGCGAGACACTCGATACAGGAACCGTTTCCTTCTTGAAAGTCGAATGCTGCAAGGAAAGTGGCAGACGTGATTTTTGAAAAGCGTCAGGGTCGTATGGGGAGCAAGTGCAAGCGAAGCATCTCGCAGTCATGACGTTGACACAATCGTCCAAACAATACAAGTTAAGACAACATCACTTCACTTAACTTTTCTTATAGCTTCGTAGCACAGAGAAAACTGGACGAGTAAGGGAGAGCTAGAATGGAACAAGGACGCATAGTGGCACGAGAGGTAGCTGGTAGGAGACGGCTCAAGTAGGTCTTTCTATGAACACTTCGTAGCCTGATCATCCAAATTGTGCAATCGATAAATTCTTATGGGTAGATGCAATATAGCATTAATTTTCCGTGGCAACTTCTCTGATGTTGAAGTTGTTTGCGCATCTTAGCAGAGAGACTCGAGCTTGTCGCCTGGACGGGGAACGATGCCCTCGGAGGCAAGAATTTCCCAAGACCAGTAATACTTCTGAAGGGAACCGTCATCGCCAACAACAGTGTCACCATCGTGCTTGCCGTTCCAGAACATACCACCACTCAAGTACTGGGTGTATGCCTGCAGCTGACTGCGGAAGAAATCTCTGCGGGTGTTGTCACCAAGGTGATTGAAGTTGGTAGCCTGGATCGACCATTCGCCAATGAACGTAGGGTTGCTAGCGTTCTGGTAGGACTTAGCAAGGTAACAAGCACCATAGGCAGCATCGTAGGAGTAAGCTCCACCAGTGAAAAAGTAGATGTGGGTGTCAATAACGAGGTGATCGTCAACGTTGGTCCAGTAAGGATCCCAGGTCTGAGGCCCGATGAAACCGTCTGAGATGGCGACAGGCAGAGTCTTGGATCGCTGACGAACTTCTTTCAGAGCCGCGGTATAGTACTTGTTCAAGTATGCAATGGAGTCCTGGGTCTGACCGAAGAAGTAAAGGGCAGGAAGAGGCTCGTTGATCAAAGAGAGGGTGTAACTGCCGCTGTGGGGCTGAGCAAGGATATCGTCAGTAGCTCTGCGGACCATCTCAAGAGAGAGATCGAAAGCAGTCTCGTTGTGCCACCAGGTGAGCTGACCAGTCTTGCCTTGGTTGTCAAGACCGTTCTGACCACCGGGAAGAGCGTGCAGGTCCACCAGAATGTGCATGTTGTGCTTGGTGATAGCGTAATGAGCGATCTTCTGCATAGCCAGCTTCTGGCCACCAGTGTAGTAGTGGTTACCAGCGATGGCGGGCATGTATGCCCAGTAACCGATGGGAATGCGGAGAGTGTTTACACCGAAGCTAGCGAAGTTATCGATGTCCTTTTCGGTAATGTAGGTCTTGTAACGCTCCTCGAGAAGAGCACCACACTTTACCTCACCAAGAACCTGACAGAAGCTGTCCTCATCGATGGCACTAGGTGCGTTGTCTTCGAAGAAGCTGGGCTGAATATTCTTCTCCAAAACGAGCCAGCCACCAAGGTTAACACCATTAGACTTGTAGTTTCTCCAGCCTGGGAAGGTGTTGGCGGCGGGACGGATCCACTGAGGGCAGGTCCAGAAGACAATGACCTTCTGAACCTTAGCAAAGATCTGTGCGGCGACCCTGAGAAAGTTCACAAAGGGACCTCTAGAGATCTGAGAGCCAAAGAGACCCTGGAGATCTCTCTTGGACACAGTTGAAAGATCAACAGACACAGCAGGAATGTCGTCGATGGAGAGATTGGGATTGAAGAAGTCTGCAAGGGAAAGGAACTCATCGTCCTCCGTAGGACTAGTGGTAAGGAGAGCTGGGCTGTCTGCCTTCACAGAGGTGGTGTCCAGGACCTCGGCGGGAACTTCGACTGAAAGGGTAACGTTGACGGCAGCAGCCTGGGTAAGGGTAGTGGCTTGAGGAACATCCTGAGGTGACGCAACGGAGGTGGTGGAAGTCTGAGCAACGGCGCTGGAGGATTCCTGGATATAAGCCTGAGGAAGGGCTGTAGCAAGACCTATGAGGCCTGCGGTGAAGAATGTAGTCTTCATGCTTTGATATCTGAAAAGAGAATGTGTTGCTTGCTTGAGAAGTTATAACTGAAGGGACACTCGAAGAGATTATATAGTCCGCAGTGTCGGGTTACATAGCATCAAGATGAATTTTCATCTGTGCACTGTGTCTGTACCATGGCGACGGCATACACACGATACAGCGTTCGAGGCTTGGTCTACTCGCTTCCCGAAGGATGAGAAAGAGAGTTTCGGTACACTTATAACGGCGCTTGGGATCTAGATCTAGCGTGGGCGCCTGAAGTGGTGGTTGAACGCATGGTACTTGGGTAGAATGCCAGTAGTTCCTGGTCGCCAGCTATGCAGGTCGATTCCAAAACCGTCATCCTAGTTCTAGCCGGATCAATCCTCTACTGCCTTCAACTGGATAGCAATGGGTTGAGCATCCGCAAATATGTATAGCTTGCCACGGATGTTCTGACTCGACGGAGAGTTTGGGCCAGAGCTTCTCAAGTTGTTGAGCATACTCATACAATACCCTGGTTCCGGGACCACATTCTCCATAGAAAAGCACTAGGAAATTCTACAAGACTTGGCGCGTGGATCTTGGCGCCGGCAGTTGGAGAGATCATCGGTAAGTGGAGGAGAAAATATAAGCACAAGGATTTTGGGTCCGTAAGTCATGTCGACCCAAACATTTTGGTGTCGGTAAGTCATGTCGCTATTTTGGGAAATTCCAAAACCCTGAGGAAGTGAAGCAGAGTAGTGTCATAGCTTACCATAGCCCACAGTCATGACGACATTCACGCAGTCTCCCAACGAACAACATTATCAAGACAGCATAACAAGATTATGGCAGTACAATCCAGAGTGGCTGCAGTGACAGGCGCCAACAAGGGCATTGGTCTCGCCATCGGTCAGTGAATTGTGCTTGGATTCAGTTGGCAGATGCTGACGGACCACACAGTGCGCAATCTGGCCCTTAGCTACCCATCGTCGGCACTCCGCAACGGGCCTCTGGTCATCTACCTCTGCGCACGCTCTGCTGAAAGAGGCGCCGACGCCGTCAAGGCTCTCCAAGATGACCCCCAGCTGAAGAAGGCAAAGGTCCTCGCCCAGGACGGCGGCGACACGACCATCACCTTCCGCCAGTTCGACGTCAGCGACCAGTCCAGCATCCACGCATTCCGTGACTTCTTGCGCAACGAACACCCCGACGGCATCGATGTCTTGGTCAACAACGCCGGCATCGCCATGGACGGCTTCAACACCGACGTCGTCAAGCAGACTCTCGCCACAAACTACTACGGCACCCTCGAAGCTACCCAATCCATCCTCCCTCTAATCCGCCCCACCGGCCGCCTCGTCAACGTCAGCTCCATGGCCGGCAAGCTCAACAAATACTCCCCTCAATTGCGCGACGCCTTCATCGCTGCCTCCAAGTCCGGCGTCTCCGACTGCACCGCCCTCATGCAACAATTCACAAAGGCTGTACAAGATGGCAAAGAGAAAGAGCTGGGATGGCCATCTGCCGCATACGCTGTCAGCAAGGCTGGAACGACTGCTTTCACAAAGGCCATCGCTGCTGAAGAGGACAACAAGGGAAGAGGTGTTCTGGTCAACGCCTGCTGCCCAGGTTACGTCAACACCGACATGACCAAGGGCAACGGTGTCAAGACCCCCGATGAGGGCGCAAAGACTCCCGTCATGCTCGCCCTCGAAGACATTGGCGGCACGTCTGGCGGTTTCTGGCAGAGCGAGAAGATTATCGAGTGGTGATGCAGACCTCCATTGCGAGCACCAGAATATGACATTATGATTACATGAGAACCGCTGCAACAGACAAGACCACAATTGCCAATGAAGCCCATCCCATTCTACTGTGCTGAACCTCTCCTCTGCCTGTTCGGTTCCTATCTACAATGATTGATTGATTGATTGATTTAGTTGATTAGGCTACTTGGTTCTACGGCAAACCTATAAGCCGTCTCCTTTTGGTTCTTCCTTCCTTGTCCCTATCTGTCCTTATTCCATTGTAGCTTCCCCTTATTCGACAGCTCTCGTCTGCCACGCAAACCTGCCGGACTTATAAAGGAAGTGGAGGACCGCCTTTACCGCCGGGAGGTTTGCCTTCCATTTTTCCTTCGGCCCGTCGACTAGTTGCCTAGTCCTCGGGTCTTCCTAAGGATTCTAACCCCCGAGTATGTAAGATAGGTCCCTCTACCTATGCCCTACTACCTCGATGGCAATTTGACGATCTTCACGTAGGAGGGGGCATTCGTATATGACATGCTTAATAGTTTCTCGCGTAGCTCCGCATTCGCACCTTACTAATTCCACCAGTTTTATCCGGCATAGGTCACTCTTTAGTTAGGAGTGCCCTATCCGGCATTAGGCGAGTATCGACGCTTCTTCCGCTAATAATGCATTATACACTGTCGCTATATAGGGGCCTAGGAGAGCTCCGTCTAGCTTCCACGTATATAATCCAGTATATAGCATGTCTCGAGGTCTTATATTTCTAGCCTGTTTCTAGGTCTTATCTAGCTTCTTTTAAAGTGTCTTCTTAGCTACCCTTAAGACTATCTTCTTTATAACTCCTATATAGCATTATTAGTATATCCTCGACTTTACTATACTACGGTCCTATACGTCTAGAGGTATTAGGGAGTTAGTAGGTATTAGAAGGTCGATAGGTATCTAGGTATCTTCCGCTTCTCCCTATTCCTCCTCTAAAGCCTTCTTTACCTACTTATCTACCTACTCGTTACCGTATACCCCCTTATAGGCTAGTACCTACTAAAGGGTAACTATTACCCCTTCTTAGGCCTAGAGAGCTTCGATATACCTACGGATATACTATACTACGTATTATCTATATAGGCTTATACCCTCTATAATTTAGCGGATAGCTTATTTACTATCTATCGTAATAATCGTATTCGACGGTTAAGGTCTTTTCTTCGCTTAGTATACTAGCGCCGCCTCGATAGCTATAAGTTCCGTAACCGTCGAGTCGCCTACTACCTATCTAGGAAGTCGTTTTCGAGTAATAATCTTCCTAGTATTCCCTTATACTACTATAATGCCGCTTTCGCCGTCCTTCTATATAGCGTCGGTATAGAATATACGTCTCTCTTCCCTACCTACTTTCGACCGTAGTTATCGAATAACTATATCCGCCTCGTCTTTATTACGATCTAGTGTTAAGCGTACCGGCTTCTAGCTCGTATATAGTCGATTATTACTACATTAGGAATCCTGTTCTAAGGATTCTACTAAGAACCGCCCTCTCTATAGAGTAGTCTATAGCAGGCGGCTACCTAATACACCCTACTCCCTCTAATCTCTTACTCCCTCTAATTTCTATAGAGTAGGTAGAGTAATAGAGAGAGCAACATATATATACACTTATTATCTATTAGGTATATAGGTAGGTAGGAACTTACTAGGAGGTCCTACGTTTAACTTAATTAGTTATTCTAATAGTCCCTTTAGTATATACTACTATATACTACTTACTTTACTTACTTAATACTCCTCTTTACGAGTATAAATCCTGTAACTAGTTATTCTCCCTAGCTAATAGGAACCATACCTAGCTAATAGAATCCATGGGTTGCACTACAGCCCGTCTAAAAAGGGTTTCGCGGGGTTATGCTTTCGGCGCTTGGCGGGGTAGAAGTGAAGTTGAACCCGTAGTAGAACCCCGATCTTGTAAGTTGTATGAACACGACTCAATATTTGTAAAACTATGGTAGAGATGAGTTAATATGATACAAAGGCAATTGCACCATTTAGATTTCTGATTCTGGCTGCGACTTGTTGAGTATCGTTGTCCAAAATATGGCAAGTATGACTTTCGAAGTTTGCCAAGAATTGCGCCCGCAACTCCACCCGACTTCTTGTAGGCATGCAAGGTCACCCCAACAACATTAACACCAAAGATCTGGGAGTAAGATATATGGTCAAATTTGTGATCTATATAGTGAACTCTTCAGTTTCTTCGTCAGAAGAATCTTGAACCACTCGCAGCAAGCGTTTAGATTTTTGCAAGTGAGGAGTAGGTTCTTGAGTGGTCCCATTGAGCGTCCGGCCTGGAACCACTTCCCGGTCACCAAATATATGTTTTTGACTTGCTCAATACCAGCCACTGAAGGTATAAGATCTGCTTTCAGACATGCTAGGGCACGAAGCGTATAGTCGCGACAGGAGTCACAACAGTTACGGACAAGTTTCGATGATGAGGTGCCATGCTTCTCGAAATATGCGTGGATCTCAGCAAATTTAGCAAACATGCGAGCGAATTCAGGGCCATCACAGGTTGTCGCATTATCAGAACCATCAGCCGATGTCACCGCTTCGTTATCAAAACTGCTTAAGGGAATTTCATCTAACAGTTGCGACAGGCCAGCAGCAGGAGACTCGCAAGGTGGAGTGACTGGTTCAATGATCCGATGGCCACGGATTCTCTTGATTCGAGACTCGCCGTCTCGGCGTACTGTATTCGTAGCTTCCGCTACGTCTTGAGGACCATTATCCAGACAATCTGTACCATCACTTGGCTCCAAATCAGGATTGGCGATAGTAAGATCATCGTTTTCTATGCGCTTTCTCTTCCGGGAACTGTCTTTTGTTCGGATAGCAGAAGTCGGCTGCTGTTGCGGTGTTGTCGGGACCACAGGCATCAGCTCTAGCACATCTTCCCGAACGCTCGAGGCGGATGCATTCATGGTACTGTTGAAGAACTTGACATCTTCTGGAATAAGCTTACGAGTCTTCAAGATTCGCGTTCGAGGAGGACGGTTTGCAGGATCAAGACGTCTCTCAATAGCACAACGCCAACCGATCACAGCTTGTTGCTGATCTGGCACGTTTGCACTAGTGATGGCCACTTCACTCAGCATTCTCTTAGATAGGTCTTTGACAGACTCGGCAGGTCTCATTGAAGCAGGAATAGTATCAAGCCAGTTGTCGCCCCATATCTCAGCAATGGATTGCTGGTGGTTCTCTTTAGACCATTGAGCAGAGGTGCCAACGACGACCATGACTTTGACCACTTTGTGATTAGCAACACTGTTAATGAAAGCTTGTTCACTACGAAGGTTTGGGTCTGGGTGAGTGTCCCACAGGTTGTTGATCTTCACCCATCGCCAGATGTAAGCAGCTTGGACACTAGCGCTCTCCGCTCGGTCGGCTGCAGCAGCAAGCAGGTCGCTCGCGGCTTGTATAGGTGAGACATCGGGACCGGGGTTGTTCAGATAGTCCCAGATCGAGACGTCAGGCTTGTCTGGGAGTCTCTGGTTGCGCAGTTCCGATTCGACATCGGCCGGCGACATCATCTGGAGCCGAGCTTCGGTCTCTCCAGCATCGGCTCTAGCTCGAAGGGATTGGTGTTGACGTTGCACTTGAGACGCCGTAGGGGCGCTCGGTCCGGCGACCGCTTGCGTGCTAGGAAGTGCAGAGGGCCGAGGTGCAAGAGGCACCGCTGACGGCACTTGCGAAGCGTCGCGGACAAGGCGCTGTGGAGAAGCGACATCGTTCTGGAGATCCGCGGTCGCTACAGCACCGACAGAATTTGGTTCAAGTCGATAGAGAACACGTGTGCGGACATTTTTCACACCCGCCATCGTTACAGTTGCAGTGACAACTACTATTCGATTCTTTGCCAAACTTATGTAGATCCACCCTGCCCGAGCAAGACAGGAAAATCGCGCAAGAGAGAAAAGCAAGGTGTAAGATAACAAAAAGAGGGGGAAAAGAGAAAGTGGAAGAGAAAGATAGTACGCTAAGCTGAATTCTGAAGAAACGCAAGAGCGTGGCGGGGAAACGCGAAGCATATATATTAGATTTGACAAGGGTGGAGGCGTCCCAGGCTTAGCCCCCCGCACCCCATTGGACAGACATGTGTCCCGCTAGACCATTCTCATGAGATATCGCAAACCATCAGCAAGTAAGATGCATAGTTATCGCATGATCAGCCCACAGGTCGCACAATGCTACAAGCAAGGTTCTGCGTGTGTATTCCGCGACAGCTCTCTGATAAGAGACACTACGAGAAGGGTAAGACGCGTCGGCGAATCTCTCGCTCCGTTCTGTTTCTCTGCTCTATCTTTTCTTGCCACTATTCATCGTTCCATACGTACACTAAGCTTCTCTTATGAACGATCCAGCAAGAGAGAAAGTATACAATTATCCATCTCGACTTGCATTTAGCCAGAAGACATGGAGCTAGCATATCGGTTGACCGAATACGCTCTAGAGCCAGCCGGCGAGGACGACACAGCTAGAGTCATGACGCGTCAAGAAGGCAGTATTGAGGAGACAGAGCAGCAAGAAATCGCAGCAGCCATGTCGAACTACGTCTATCTAGCAGAGCACGAAGTTCTCATCTGCAAGGAACACGGCTACGCAGTGCGAGGCTTAGACAGCCATCTGCGCTTGGTCCATACTTCTTACACTTCTACGTCGAAGAAGGCAAGGGCTGCACTAAGACAGCATCACAGCGGACGCAACATGCCAGACCCATCCACAGTCCGTCTACCCGAGCCAGGACAGCCGGCAATTGAGTATCTGTGTAAGCCAATCCCAGGCTACTACTGCATCCACAACCAGGACAACACCGCCGGCGAACAAGACGTACGAGGGGATGCATCGACAACAACAGACTCCCCCAGTCACTGCGGCTTCACCACCAGCGACCGTACCAACATCGGCAAACACTGTCGTAATGCACACGGCTGGAAATCTACTGACGAAGACCGTCAGTGCTGGAAAGA